CCAACCCCAACCCCAACCCCAACCCCAACCCCAACCCCAACCCCAACCCCAACCCCAACCCCAACCCCAACCCCAACCCCAACCCCAACCCCAACCCCAACCCCAACCCCAACCCCAACCCCAACCCCAACCCCAACCCCAACCCCAACCCCAACCCCAACCCCAACCCCAACCCCAACCCCAACCCCAACCCCAACCCCAACCCCAACCCCAACCCCAACCCCAACCCCAACCCCAACCCCAACCCCAACCCCAACCCCAACCCCAACCCCAACCCCAACCCCAACCCCAACCCCAACCCCAACCCCAACCCCAACCCCAACCCCAACCCCAACCCCAACCCCAACCCCAACCCCAACCCCATGAATTAAGTAAAATCAATTGAGGAAAATAATGTAAAAATTTATATTCATTTTTCTTTCTTTTTAAAATATTTTATTGTTTAAAATAAAATAAATAAATAATTTTTGTTTTATAAAACATTTTTTTTTATTTTTTACAAAAAAAAATTAGTAAATTTATTGTTTTTTCTATTTTTTCTTTGTGTAATCTTAGTTTTTTAAACTAATTTTTTATTTTTTATTAAAAACTTATTTAATTTATAAAATAATTTTTTATTTAATATATAATCTTTTTCATTCATAAAATATTTTTTATTTATAGTAATTTCTTCCACTTTCATTCATTCATTTTTATTTATTTTCACTCTTTCATTAATTCATTCAACTTTTTCTACCACTTTAACCAATTTTATTAATATTATTTTGAGATTTTTTATTTTAAATATTTATTTGTTTTTTTGAAGAAGTTGATACAATTATTTTTCTAAAAAGATTATAAAAATATCTAAAAGAAAGAATTTTTGTTTTGTTCTTTATATAAATTTGTAATTTTTCTTTTACGAAGAAAAAAAATCTATGAAATTAAATTCGAAAAATTAACAAGCTATATATTTATATATTTAAAGAAAATAAGCCCAAGCTTGATATTCTAATATAAATTTTTATTCATACTTTCAATAGAACTCAAATACAATTTTATATATTTAAGTAAATAAACGCAAAGAAATTTTATTATGTATTTATTTTTGAAAGAACATCTTTACTTATAGAGCTTTTTTAACTTTAAATTGTACGAAGGAGATTGTAATATTAATTTTCGCTAAAATATTAGGGGGATATATTAAAATTTGCTTCTTTAGTTAAATATTTTACTCACTCTATATATATAGCAGTGAATTGTAAATTTATGTGGTTAAAAGCTTTTAAAATATTTGATATTATTGTAATTATTTAATTTAAATTAATTATCTAAAATAAAAATTATGGAAAAACAATAAAAATTCAATACTATTTGCAGAAATATTACAGAATAAAATTTTTGCTAATTTGGAAATAGTTGCCGCTATTTGCATCCAGGAGATGTGACAAGTAATCAAATGCTTTCTTTGCTTATCAGCTTTTAATAATATTTTATATTAAAATTTTTTTACTTATTTTATCTAACAGCTAAGGTATTCATTGAAAAGGTTGATAAGAAAAGTAAATCAAAGAGCAAAAATTCTGCTAAGGATGTGTCAGAAAATAACTAAAAATAGAATTTCTTTAAGTCTACTTCTTCTTAATTACCTAAAGATAACTCTACCAAATAAACTAAATGTGTATAAGATTACTCTACCTAAGCATCGATGGTGACTAAAACTCCTGAATCTGCAAAAAATACTCCTGCCATTACTTATAAATTAAATTCCATGAATGATGGTGAATCTCTTAAGGATGCTTTGAAAAATGAGAAAGGATGGAGAAACAAAATAAAATCTTAAGCTAAAAAAATTACTTTTGAAGAAATACCTGAATATGCATAGACTGTTCTGAATCCAATCTCATCCTCTATTGTTACTTAAGAAAAGCAAAATTGTTCTATTTTAATGTCAGAGCAAGCTTAAAAATACGATCATTAAATAAACTTGAGAGGACAAGATATTTATTTAGAGAAAAGCGAAAATAACTCAAAAAATTAAATCTAATAAGGCAGTGAGGCGAAATTAAGACAAGTTAATTATAAAAAATAACTGGAGAGGTAGTTGGAAGGTTAATTTATTAGCATAGAAAATGTAAATTAAGATTTAACTTTGATTACAAAAGACAAGCAGGTAATTCTTTATGATTAACTAATCCCTTTAATTGAAGAAGACATAGAACTTACAGAAAAATTTTAAATTCATTCAGTTATAAAATTAACTCATTTAGATGATATTATTAAGTTGTTTTATGACCCTTAAAGTAGCTAGCTTTACATTTTGTAATTAAATTAATTACAGAAAAAGATGAAGTTTTATATTATTGAAGAAGTTTATTAATACTTAACTCATTACAGCAAAGACTTTAATTTGTTCTTTATCATTGTTGTCAATATTGACAAAGAGAATATAGGATTTTTCCCTCTTCCAGAGAAGAGAGAGTGCTAATACTTAGAGCCAATTATAGTAAAGAATTATAATGAAACAATTATAAACTTTTAGAAGACAGAGCAGACTTTAAACATAAATTTATATAAGGGAGTTATTATTGAAGAATTTTAACTTATCAGTTAGGAAATATTCTAAGAAATGAGAGCTTAAAATGGGCAAAGTAAAGAATTTAATGAAAATTTACAAGATATGATTATCGTCGAATAAATTATTCCTTAAGCAAAATAAAGTAAAAAAAAGATGATTCTTAGCGATAGTGAAAGTGAAAATGAAAATGATTTAGAGATGTCAAGATATTTTTAGAATAAGTCTAGTTAAAATCTTTTAAAGTATTTATCTTAAAGTTCTACTATTTAATAAGATTCTGAATAAAACAATAAAAATAGCATTTTAAATCAAAGCAGCATTCTATTTGATTCAGGTAGTAAAGTCGAAAAAAAATCATTGGAAAGTGTAAACAAAATAAATAGTTTGCAATCTACTGAAGCAAGTGATATTTTTTCGTCACCACAGACAGTTTCTCCAAAAAATGAAAACACGTTAGAATCTTAACCAAAAATTGCTAATAATAAAGATAAATAGCAGCTTGATTAAAAAGAATAACTTTAGAAAAATTCTAAGCCTTCCACGTCTGATAGAAATAACTCTAATTCAAAAAACAAAAATAAAAGCAATAGGAGTAAAACATAACCTCATAGTAAAAAATCATCAACCGATAACAAATAATAAAAATAAGATGAAATAAAATAGCAGAAAGTAGAATAAACTAAATAAAATAAAGAAAGTTAAAATAAAAATTTAAAATGTTAGAAAAACCCCAAAAAATAATCTTAATCTTTAAATAGATCAAAGGAAGTATCGAATAGTGTGGAAAAAAAGAAGACACATGAAAAATTAAATTAAGTTAATAACAAAATTAATGAAAGCAGCTAAAAAGTAAATGAAATCATTGGGTAATAATAAAAAAGTAAAGTATTAATGAATATTGAGGAAGATGATTTGTTTCCTGATGAAAATAACCTATAATTAGAATAATCACCTGAACTTAAAAATAACAAACAAATTTAAAAAAATTCTAAAAAAAATGAGGAAAATAAGAATCAATCTGAATAAAAAATACCTTAAATGAGCTCTTAAAAAAAGACATAAAAATCTAACAAGCTATCTCGTACTTTAAGCAAAATAAATGATAATTAAAATTTAGTTATTGATGATTCTAGTAAGGAAATTATTTAAATTTCGATTAGTTCTTCTCAGTCTTTGAGTTTGGTAGAAAATGCAAATGTTAGCGAATAATTTAAAAGAAAGAAATAGGTTGAAAATAAAAAATAAACTTAAAATGTAGATGAAGAATTTGATATTGAAAATAACTTATTCTGTGATACTTAGTAGAATAAAAATAGTTAATTGAAGGAATTAAAAAAAGATAAAGACTTTATAAAAACCTCAAAAACTAATAAAATAGTTAGTAAAATTAAATAAAAAATAGATAATTGTATTGCCTAGTCAGAATTTCAAATGTAAGAAAATAAGAAAAATAACTAACAAACTTGCATTTAATCAGATTTTGAAAAATTAAAAAATTAAGAAAAACACTCTCAAATAATAAATCCAGAGATTCGCAAGTAGAAAGGCTAAGATTAAAATTCTCAAACAAAAGAAGTAAAGTAGAATTAAAAAAATTAAGAAGACCTTAACCAACAAAAAGAGTAGCAGAAGGAATAAGTTGAGAAAGATGACCAAGAGTTATCGGATCAGAAGTAATATGAGTTTGAAATAGAAAGCAAACAAAGCTAATTTTCTTTATAATAAAAATGTAATAAACCAAAATCCGAGTAAAATTTTAATAAAAATTAGTCAAATGTGATTCTAAATCAAAGTGAGTAAGTGAGCTCTAAATTAGAAAATACTCAATGCTCAATAAAAAATGAATAGTAGTCATACAATAACTTTACAACTGCTTAAAATAGTAGTGAAAAAAGTAATAATTTAAAGGACAATATTATTACTATAAGATCTGATATTATTTTAAATAAGAAGAAATTACAGCTTGTAAAGTATCTTAAAAAAGAAGATATTGTGGAAAACTTTAAAAAAATGCAAATTAAAACAAATTAAAATATTTTATCTGAAAGCAATTGTGATTAAAGTCAAGAAGAAAAATCAAATGTAACTACTAATCAAGCTAATATAGAAAAAAAAAAAAATCCTATCATTATACATAAAAGTAATTACGAGGGATAAAAAAACAGTGATAATAAATAAATTATTTTGGATTAAAAAATTATTAACTAATAACCAATAAAATTAAAAAAAGATGAGCCAGCATTTGTTGTTGTTGCTGCTGCTAGTTCTGAAGTGAAATAAAATATAAAAAAAAAGAAAATAATAAATATGAACAAAATTAAGAGAGAAGAATTAAATAATGACTACTACGATGACTTAAACTCAAGCAACACTTGCAAATATGTAAAAAAATCATTTGAAGAGCCTAAAAATGTAGATGTAAACTTACCTTATTAAATCCTCTCAGAAGAAGATTTTAATTATAATAATTAAAGAATTAAGTAATATCCTCCAACAAGAGTTACTAGCATGGTTGGTGATATTGAAGAAATAATCATAACTGATGATGAAGCCTATCTAGAAGATGATATTGAAGAAACAATATTGAATGAAGAACCAAAAAAAATGTATAATAATAAGCAGTATGATTAATAAGATAAGAAGAATATTAGTTTCAATTAAATTCCATAATTTATTAATTAGCCATAAGCATTTCTGCAGCCAAGTTAATAATTCAATTATTAGCATCAGCAATTGTAAAGCATACAATTTTTTTAACCTCTACAAACCAACATAGCACAAAACTTTACATAAAATTAAATTTAGTATTTATCTCATTTGCAATAAAATCCAATGCTTCCATTAAGTTTCTATCCTTAATGTAGAGGTTAAAATGCCTACGACTTTGGCTTCTATAATTAACACTCTTTCTACCAGCCACCTTTACAATATAACCAGCAAACCTAGATTACTGATCTTGAATTAGCATAGATAGAACTTTAAAAATACCAGTATATTTAATAATTAATTAATTGATTTCATACAAATAGTATCTAATCTTTATTGTTATCAACTGAATAATATTCTGATTAAAAATTTATATTTTTTTGTATTTTTTGTTTTAACAATTTTTTCATTAAATTCCATTATTTGTTAAATTTCTTTTTTTAGCTTCTAAGCATAAAATTCAGTTTAATTTACATTCTTTTTAAGTTGATAAAAAATTACAAATAAACTATACTAACATAAATAAATAATCATTATAATTTAGTAAATAAATAAATTTCTATTGAATTGATCAAGAATTAAAAATTAATAGGATTATTTAATAATATTTTTTAATAATTTAATAAATAGTATGAATTTTTATAATTATTACGAAAATTACTTCAAAGTAAATAGAATACTTTTAAATTATAAAGAAAAAAATACATTTTAAACAAATTTAGAAGTAGATTTTTTTTATAGCTCAATATAATTTTACTAATTTAGCCCAAAAATATAAATTTTTCATAGTACTATTTCTTTCATTCGTTAATAATATATCTGTCATTTAACCTTTAACTTTTAGGAATTTATTTATTTTTTATTTTTTTGCATTTTTTATTATAATGGATTATTTATTGAATAAATATTAAAATAAAATATATTTTTAAAATAAAATTTTTCTAGAATTATAGAAAAGATAAACAAACATATTTTTTATGTAAATTCAATAAATAATTTATGATATTTAAAGCAGCAATAAATAAATAATAATAGTAAGAATTGTTTCTACACTTAATATGTGATTATTAATTTGCTTGCGAGTTGTTTGTTAGAGATAGCTAGCTGCTGGGCTAGCTAGTAAATGAAAAATTTGATTCCTATTTTATTTAATTAATGAGAAGAAAAGAATTTTAAATAATTTAATGAATAAATTTAATAGAGCATCTATTTGTTTCCATAACTTGTAAATAAAAATCAATAAAAATTTTAAAGAATTTGTCTGTAGGTAAATGTTATTAGCTAGTTATTTGTATGAATTTTAAATAAAAGCAATTAATGTATTGTCTTAATCACTAAATTTATAATTGATAGCAAGTTTAAATGCAATTTTAATGAATAAAAAATGCATATATTAATTTCGTTTAATAATTTAGAGATTATATTAATAATTTAATTAAAAAGAGAAACAAAAGTCAATTTATATTTAATAGAATAGAAATGTAGAATCGCCAAACATTTTAAAATTAAATCATGCAAAGTTTTAAATAGTCTAAAAAGAAGAAAGAAAAAGAAGAAAAAGAAGATGAAAACTAGCGTGTTTACTCTCGAAAGGTGCCTAAATTTTATTTTTTAAAATAATTTCTATTTGTTTAATCTACATCCCATTTAACTTTTTATAGATTGATTTATTTATCATTTTAATTCTAGTTAGAGTTAGTGAATGGCGAGCTTTTTGGCAAGATATAAGTTATTTCAGATAAAATATGCACAACAAATAAAATCTCTTTCTTCAAAAAGGATCGATATGTATACTTTTTTATTCATTATTTTCCATAATCAAATCTATAATTTTACTATTTAGGTTATATTTAACTTTTTGCTCATGCTATCGAAGAATTACTTCTACCGGTTTGGAAATACGGCTTGTATAGTTATTGTTTTTATTTTTTTAGGTACGCCTGTCAAAAACATGATAAAAAGTAGACTTACCTATGAAATGTAAATTAATTTCTACTTTTAATTATTGAGGTGAGACCTCTTACTAGACTTAATTCTACTATATTTTAAATTATTTCACTTGACTGATCATAAGAGAGAATGATAATTAATTATCTTTAAAAAAAGAAACGACTATATCTACTTTTACTTGCTTTAATCAGTAATAGGTTTCATTGTTTTACTGATAAGAGACTTGTATATTATTACAAACTTATAAGGACTACTTTCTTAGATAAACCAATCACAATACACTCTTTTCCAAAAATTTAATGATGATAAGATTTAGCAATTAATAAAGTCAAGTAGAGATGATGAGGATGATTAATATAAATAAAAAATAGCTACTTACACTTCTTCAGAGGTCTCAAATATATAAGTATCATTTTTTTAATAAAATATATCAGTTAATAGCTTACTTTCTAATAAATTATAAGATTGGTGATATAGTTCTATTAAAGAAAGGTGACATTTGCCCAGCTGACTGCCTTATACTGGATATGAAAGAGTAATTTTGTTCAGTAAAGAATAATGTCTGCTCCGAGTCAAACTAATTTGACATAAAGCGTGCACCACAAGTCACATAAAGTAAAAAATACAAATAATAAATTAATTTTTGACTTATTAAACTTAGGTCCATAATAAATATCCATTCATGTATTTATTTAATGATGTGATTTATTATTTTTAAATAACAGTCTTAAGCACTTCAAAAATTAAAGGGTTTCACTTTGAATATAGAAAAATACTCAATGGAATTGTAGAATTTGTTAGTTCTACTGAAAATGAAACCTAATTTGAAGGCTATATAAAACTTAATAAGGATCCTAATGGAGAAAATCTAAATGACTAAAACATGATTTTCAGAGGTTAGGAACTCATGTACACAGAATGGTGCGTTGCATTAGTTCTTTATGTAGGTTATGAATGCAGATTTTTTAAAATATACTCAGAAGAAAGAAAAAAAATAAAATTTGCAAAAGGAAATCTTAGCAATAAAATAGAAAAATTCTTTTTGTTTACATTTTTATTTATAATATTATTTACTCTTGCTTCATCTATTATTGATTATACTTAACCTTTCAATTCCAAATTTAACTCTACTCAAATTGATCAAAATACTGGATAAGTAGCTGCCAGTAATTTAGATAAAAATCCATTTCTTTTATTCAATCTTTATTCTATTAAAAGCTTACTTCATCGAATACATTATCTTCCTTCCTATAGTGTTATATCCCTTTTATGATATCATGCATCTTACTTATTTGTACATGAAAAAAAGAGTGTTTGAAAATCGTAAATAAATAAATAAATTCTTTCTTTATTTTTTTAATTTTCTAAATTAAAATTTTATAATTAAAATATAATTTATTTTTTCAAATTTAAACAAAATTATTTCATTTTTATTTTCAAAATTGCTTTAAAAATTAATTTTTTAATAAATTTTTAAATTTTAAATGATTTTTTAGATTCAAAAATATTTCAAAATTACAGTTTTTATTTATTTTTATTAAAAAAATAGCATTTTAGTTCTTTCCTTGCTAATTAGATATAAAAAAAGATGAAGACCAAAACAATGAAGATCTTTAGGAAATAAATTTGTAAGAATCAGCTTTTACTCCAATAGATGATATATAAGATAGTGAAATGTGTTTATCAACTCATGCGGTTTTTAGCAAAAGCGGCACATTAACTCATAATGAAGAATTCTAACTAGCTTCTATCACAATTGGTAATAAAATGTATAAATTAAATATCGAAACTCTAACAAATGTAATTAATCATATCGCTGCTGCAAAACCTTCGCTTCAGTATGTTTAAGGTAAATTATTATTGATTAATTAATACATTAAGTAAGATTTTAATATTATTAAATCATATTAGAAAATAAAGTACCTTCATATGAAGCAATAGATATTGATGAGGGAACAATAAACAACTCTCCAGATAGAAAAAATGTCTGTACTCGGTAAATATTTTTTAAATTTAACATTTTTTCTAACTCATCATTCATTCATTATATGTAATTTTAGTAAATAAAACCTTGAAAAGATGTAAGCTAATGATTTTGATCTTATGATGCTAAGAAATGTTTTTGTATAAAATGTATAAAACTAAACTTTAAACACTTAAAGCACATAATAGTAAAATGAAGAAACAATAAATACAAATGAAGCTAGAGAGTAGAAATACAAAAAAGAATACTTGGATACCGCTTCCCCATTAAATGGTAATGGTTCACTTGAAAAAAATACTTAAATTAACTAATAAATAGATGCTTCACCTATTTTGCATCATCGTTCTGACATAGGAAGAATGTTTTCTAGCCCTAAATCTAATATTTCAGGTGATTTTTTGAATGAACCAGACTACATAAATTTAAGAGGATAGACAATCAGTGAGAACTAAAGCATGGAAAGCTCTCCAGCAGATGTTCATCATAAATTTGAAAATGTATTAGTCCGTTAAAAAAATGAGTCTTGTTCCATGAGCTAGAGTGGCATACATTTGGATATAAGCAATTTTACAGGAGGAATAGAAAAATTTTACAAAAACACTTAGTAGAATTCATAATTTACAATCGAAGGATTGTTAGATAGCTAAGCACCACTTGATTTCTCATCAAGTATCAATAACAGTAAAATTGGCTAAAATAGTTTTGAGAAAAATGACATTGAATTCATACAAGAAGAAAGAGATTTTCTTAAAGATCTCCTCAAAAATGATTAATCGTTTGCTAATGCAATTAAAGTACTTTTTATTTTATTATTTATTTATTTCTTAAGTTGTTTGTTTATTTATTTGAAAAATGTAAAGTTATTAAAAATGTTTTTTTTTTTTTAAAAAAAGGCCATATCAGTTTCTCACATGACAAAAACTAAATTTTAGCAAACTTAGCTTCAATTTTTTTAAGAAACGATAAATCCATTAGATAAATTGATTTAAGATTTTACATCTCAAATAGGCTATTAATTTAGGTGTTCAAATAAAATAAATGATGGAGGTAAAGATAAATTTTAGTATATCTTCACAAACTATTAAAATGAAACTAAAAAATACACACTCCTCCTGCCACCTGCATATAATGAAAGAAAAACAAGGTTCTGCATCATTTTGAAGGAAGACGATTCTAAAAGATATACCCTCTACTTAAAGTAATTCTAATATTTGTTTACTTATTTATTGATTTGTTAAATGAATATTTATAATTATACAGAGAAGAATTAGTAAATTATCCTAGCTATATGATGGTTGATAAAGGTATAAATAGACAAGATTAAGAAAAGAGACTTAGGAGACTAATAGAGCAAGGACAAATTCCGTAATTTACTTTTTCTAAAATTAAAGGTTTGTAATTTGATGAAAATATTAAATAGTATTGCCTTCTGTAAAAGAGAATTGGATGAATTAGAAATCTATTAGATATAAAACTAATATGAGAATGCTTTGAAAGCTCCAGAATTCTATTAAAACAAAGAGGCGATCATTAATTATATATATTCCTCTTACATTTTTAAACTTGAACTGTAATGTATTATTGGTATTTAAGAAACTTTAAGAAAAGATAGCTAAGAATTAGTTAGCTTGATGAATGAAAGTTTCATTAATACTTGGATGCTGACTGGAGACTAGTTCCAAAAAGCTGTCCCTGCTGCATACAATTGCAGAATTTTACAAAGGGAATCTACTTAACAAACTTTAATTTTTGATTGCAATAGCTATAAAAATCTAAAAGCGCTTATTAAAAATTATATTATAATACTTAAACAAAAATATCTTGGAGAAACTCCTCAAATAAATAAAAATTAAAATGACTTTCAAATATAAAACAGTTTGAAAAGAAAGAAGACTTCATTCACAAACTATGAAAAAGAAGACAATAACAAAATATTTAACATTATAATATCTGGAAAGACCTTTGAAATTATTTAAAAAAATTAATATTTAAATGATCACTTTACATTTCTTTTATTCTTTACAAAAAACTTAGTTGGATATTAATTCGATTAATTCCAAAAAGCATAAATTTTATAAAATCTTAAAAAATGCTAGCCTAAATCAAAAATTTTAGGAATTGGCAATGGATTGTCTGACCTAAGAATGTATGCCTAGTGTGACTATTCAATTGAAGTTGTTGACTTCTAAAAACGGGTAAAATATTTTAGACTTTCTTTCAAATAAATAGCAAAGAAATAAATAAATAGATTAAGTTTAGTTTGAAAATAAAATAATAATTTAAATTGATTTTTTAATTAATTTAATAGGAAATTTATGCAAGGGCAAATAGTATTGTACGTAGCATGAAAGATATTATAAAGCAACTGGCAATAAATTCAAAAATAAATTATTTGTTTAGAGAAGATTTAATTATAATTATTTTCAAGAAGTGCTTTTTATTAGGCTTACTCATGTTTTTTTGGAATAGTTATTAATCTTCTTATGGGATATAATTATTTGATTAGATTTACTTGTTTTAAAATATATACTATACCCCAATGGCCATTTTTTTATTGCTGATGCTAAAAATGTACAAATGGCAATAGCCTTTCAAAAAAGAAATTATTGATAAAGTCTAAACAATCATTTACATAATCCATAATAAATCAGCCAAAAGAGATAATATTATTTAATACATCAAAACTGTATTTTTGTAAGGAACCATAGATGGTTTATTGCTATTTTTAGTAAATATTTTTTAGTATTAACGCAGCTTTATCTCAAATAATGGGTAGGTTTTAGATCAAAAATTTTTGGACTACTTTTTGTACTAGAATTTTCATGCATTTTTAATTTACAAATATTTATCTTATCGTAAATTAAATTGGAAAATTTGGATAATTGCAATTATCTCAATATGCTTAATTTAAGTTAATAGAATATGGGATAAGGACATACAAGCTTAGTCTTTTGTAGTAGTTAATATGACATAAGTCTGCCAAGGTTTCTTGACTATCTCAATAAATTTATTTACATTAAATTTCTATCCCCTATTCTAGACAAAAATAAGTAAATAATCCAAGAAATTTTATGAGCTCTTTGAAATCCTAAAGAATCTTTTACTAGAAAAACCTATAAAAAAGTTTAATTTACATATGACTAAGGTTATAAGAAACGTCTTTAAAGATAGAGAAAAAGAAAGAGCGCTTGAAGAACTAATTACAGTAAAACATAATTTATTATTTTTAGATTTAATTCTTATAAAATATTGAATAAAAATATATTTTTTTATGATTTAAAGGATGACGCCACTATATCTTAATCCAAGACTAATCCTTTTACCTTAAAGTTCCTTTAAAAAGAAACTGAAACTAAATATATCTAAATGATATCTTAACGTGATAAGCGATTCATGTAGATTTATATTATTTTGTAAATACTTCTACAGTACATTTGCTAAGCTCTAATGTACTCTTATGAATTGTAAGATAACCACACCTTTAATAGTTTTTCTATCTGCTCAGCTATACTAGCAATAACGTGGTTTATAACTTTAACATCAATTTATAGCAAATACTTTTTATAAATAAATAATTTTATCATATTTATAAAAGTATTGTGCAACTTAGATTTGATATTATCAGGAAAGTATGTCTAAAATTCATTACAAGAAATTATTAACCATTTGATTATAAGCCAATAGAGCTACGTCAATCCTATTTATTATATTGCTGCAATTATGACTACAACTCTTACTTTTATTTTTGCTTTTTTTAAAAAATATAATTAATTTGAGTATTTCAACGAGTAAAATCTTGAAACAAGCTATTTCATTACTTAGACTAATTAATACATACAAAGCACTGTCTTGGTATTCTAAGTTTTGATTGTTATTTTGATTATCAAAAATAAATACAGGTATAACTTACCACCTACCTAAATTACTTTTGAGACAGTTTGATTATTTCTTACATTTTTTTAATTTTAAAAATACAGGTTTGATCATCTTTAAAGGCTTCATTTTTAAAAATTAAATCATCTATCCTATGAAACAAAAAAAATTTAAGGAGTATTGTCGATTTTAATGCCTAAATTTATTAGAGATAAAATAGACAAAAATGGTGAAGTGCAACTGCAGGAAGATCAAGGTGAAGTTTCTATTCTTTTCTGCGATATTTGTGATTTCGAACAGATTTTGAGTGCAGAATAAGAGAACATTGTGAGGCTAGTTGATAAACTCTTTAGAAGCTTTGACAGTCTTTGCAATCATGCAGGCCTTTAAAAAATTGAGACTGTAGGTAAAACTTATATGGCTGCAGGAGGATTGAAGGATTCTGAAAATAAAAAGAGCTAATACAAGTAAATAAATCCTGTGGCAAGAGCTGTCATTATGAGTTTCGAAATGATGGATATCATTAAGTAATTCAACTATGGCGATAATGAGAAAGTAAAAATTAAGATAGGTATTCATTATGGAAGAGTTATTGCAGGTGTCATAGGATGCCACAAACCATAGTTCAGCTTAATAGGGGATACAGTAAACACTGCAAGTAGAGTATGTAGTACAGGTGATGTGGGTTAAATAACCTTGTCAGAGTAGGCATACGATGAAATTAAACAAGTATGTTCTTTAAATTCAAACTTCATTTACTTAATTAGAATTATTTAAGTTAATTTATTGTTTAATATTTAGATTCCGTACATAATTTTTTAGAAGAAGAGAGTGTATGCTAAAGGTAAGGGAGATATTAACACTTACTAAGTTATGAAAAGGCAAAAGTAGAAAAACTAAAATTCAAACGAAATTCCTTTAAGAGACTAAGTTATTTAGAGAGTGAGCTAAAAGAAGAATTCGGAAAAAGGATTCATAAATTAACTTAGTGAAATGAGCAACAAGAATATGAGGAAAAATAAAACAACTATATTAAAACAAAGAAAAATTTTAAATGAGTACCACTCTCAAGAAAACATAGAGTATTTCAACTCATTTAACTTTTAGTTAAATAGTCCAACTAAACTTAGCGAAAATAAGAAATATAACATTAAAATTCCTGATTAATTGACTGCTAATAGGTAGCAGCAATAAGAAGAAGGAGGTACTACAAACTTTGAAGAGATGAGCTCATACAAATTTGCAATTTAGAGTAACAATCTGCATACTATAAATGGATTTGCTCAATCATAAAAAAGCTCGAATAACAATATCTTATCTAAACCATTTTTATCAAACGGAGCACTAACGAAAGCTTTCAGTAGTAAAGTCTTAGGTAATTAAGGAGAAGCAATTTAAGAAGCAGACGAAGAAGAAGATAAAAAAATCGAAGCTCACAAGAAAAGTTAAGAATAATTCATAGAAGAAAGGAAGAAATCTGAAATTAGTCAAAATTTACAAGATCAGTAAAGAAAAATAACAACTAGTCTGAATTATCAAATAAATAACAGAAATTATAATTCTCCTAGCATAGAAAATAAAAATAATATAGAACAATCTACCATCAAAGAAAAAGTAGATATTTACACTAAATTAGATTGCTAAAATAAGGAGACCGTTGATGAAGATATTTGTTAGTAAATTCTACGTAAATAATCAAAGTTCAAAAATGAATATGAATAAACACCTTAGTCTGAAACAAACACACTAAAAAATCATAATTTATAAACTTACGAGCTTATCAGTCCCATAGAAGCTTAAAAAACTGTTACTATTGATGAGCAAGCAGTCACTTAAGAAAATTAGATAGAATAATATGATTTAAATAATTTGAAACGTCAGGATAGAAAAAGCAAACGTTATTTATCGAAAGAGCTCTCTAAAATGTGGAATCAAAAAATAGATAATCCAGAATCCTCTACAATAATTATATAACCTATTAAAGCTTTAGAATAAGAATTGGGTACTGATTTAAAGATAGACATAATCTAAGAAGTAAAAGAAGCAGAAGTCGAAGTAATTTTAAATATCTTTTTATGCCATGATTGATTTCCTATTTAAAATTGATTATTATTTTTTTTAAATAAAAAAATTATTTTAAATAGAGCAAAAAATTACAAATAAATAAAATTTTAAAAAATTTTATAAAAATTTAAAATGAATAATGACTAAATAATTTAGTTTTATAACTAAAATGAAAGTTTGTTTAATATAAAATATACAATAAATATTATTTTAAATATTTAATTTATTTAAATAGATTGAAAAACTAGATGAGCTTTTTGTAGAAGAAAAAATATTAAATAAAAAATTAGGAAAAAAAAATCACAGTGAGCACTCTTACCAATATAATGAATTCTTGAAAATAGATGATTATTTTTTAAAAGTTTTTCTTTAACACCAAATACATATTAATTCAAATGTGTTAAAAAGAACTCTAATTTTAAGCATCATGATGGCTATTTTTAAGAGTGTTTGCATAATACTTGTGTTACATGATTTTACTGATTTTTTATATTTTTGTATCATTCTATATGGAGTCTCTATAACTATCTGCTTGGCTATGCTTATAATTTAGAAAAAGAAAATCTTTAAGATAAATGGTTACAAAATAAGTATTATTTTGTCTTTTATTTACTACATTCAGTCAGCATCAGTTTTTATTGAAATTTTATTAATGAAATTGAATGATTAAGAAACAGAACAATATCCACCTTATATTCATGTCTTAACACTTCCTTTGATATACCTTTTTATTCTGTTTTTAAGGGTATGCATGTTTACGTAAATATTTAATGCAAAAATGCAACTTTAATTTAAACAAAATATTTATTTGATATAATAAAGACCTAGGACAATGATATTTAAAGCTGTTTTTCAGATTATAGTTTGGAACATTGTTGCAAATAAAGTATGCAAAATGACTATACATTTAGAATATCTTGTTTTATTTACAATTTTTATACAATTGATAATCTAAATAAATAATTTTTATTTGGAAATCTCTCAATTTTAGTACCAGTAAACACTAGAATCTAGAGCTAAAAAGTAAAATGATATTCTAATGTACTTGCTACCTGAGCATATACTTTCTAAATTTTTAAACAATCCTAATAAAAAAATTGATCTTATAGATTAGCTCGATAACGTTACATTCTTGTTTGCAGATATAGCTGGTTTTACTAAATACTCTGGTAGCGTCCAACCAGAAAATGTGGTTAATATGCTGAGAATTTTGTTTAATGAATTTGATTAATAATGCTAGAAGAAAAATCTGTATAAAATATACACAATAGGTGATTGTTATGTTGTAATTGGAACGAAAAACGCGAGCAACAGACTTAGACCTCATGAAGAAGCAAAAAATGGTAATAATTAATTCATAATTAACCAAAAATTTCATATTGATGCTTTTCAAAATAATAAATAGTTGTTGAGTTAGGGTTTGAAATGATAGAAATAATTAAGAAAGTACGTTCAATTGTGCAGTTTGAAGAGCTAGAAATGAGAATAGGTGTTCATACAGTAAATCCTTTTCAACAATTTTATATGCATTTATTAAATTTACTGTTATTTGTTTTTTAAGGGATCGTACATTGGTGGAGTCATTGGTACAGATATTGTAAGGTACGATATTTATGGTCCAGATGTCATGATTGCTAACAAAATGGAGTCAAATGGAGAATAAGGAAAAGTTATGGTAAGCAAAACTACTATGAATTTGTTGTATGACCATTATGGAAGTAGATATAATTTTACCAAAGGCAACGAAGTCTATATAAAATAATTCCACAAACATATTGAAGGATACTTCATTGAACAAAACATTATTTGAAAATAACTATTTCATTAAATAATATAAACATATGAAAAAATGATATTCAAAAAAAACAAACAAATTTATAAAAAAGCGCTCAATTTCACTCAAACTATTTATTTATTTTATTTTTATAGTATTTTTTATTTCAATTTAATAATATAAAATATTTTTTGAAATTTATAAAAACTTAACATAAAATTCTATTTTTTAAAATTTATTCAATTTTTTTATAAATTAATAAAATTAATATCATTTAAAAATCTAAATTAAAAGCAATAAAATTTAGATGGTGTTACATTATCATTATCATATTTAATATTTATTTTTGAAAATTTTTTATAATTTCAACAAATATTTTTGGAATCAAAAAGCTTGAGAAATTTAACCATTACATTAACTTAGTAAATTTTAGCCACCTTTCTTTTAACAAAAAACATAAAGTTTAAGTGAAAATAGTAGATAATTATTTAATTAGTTAGAGATTTAAACTCTTTAGATTTTAATTATTTGGATGTAAAAAAATTACTTCATAACAAAAACCTTTGGTTTTCCTGCAAATTTTAATTTTTTTTCTCAAAGACTACTTCGGTATTTATATACAGCTGCTCTAATTGATTATAAAAAATTTTTATTAATTAAGGAAATTAATAAATTTAACAGATGGTTTAGAAAAATCAAAAAATTATTTGATCCTTCATCATTTTAAAATATTACAACAAAAAATCTTCAAGAACAAATAAATAAAAAGCTAAAAGAATTTAAAATTTTCCTTTATTGGTTATTTATCAGAGAAGATAGCATTTAAAAATAATTTTTATGAAGAAACAAACATATAAGATATTGTTATAGTTTTTATTAAATCACTATTTATCATAACTATATTTAAAATAAAAAAATTTAATTTATGTTTTTAAATGAATGGCTTACACTCTCAAACAAATATTAATTATTATTTTCTAACATTTTGTTGGAAATTTTAGCTTTTCAACATAGCAATCAGTAATATGAGTGCTTATAGTGTTTTTTTTATTATGAAAGCAAAATCAAAACCATAAAATAAGAATTAATATATTTAATATACTGAAAATATTGATAAATATATTTATTTGCATCGTTTATCCATATAAAGATATTGAAAACTTGAGATAGATATATAGATATATACATACATAAATAGATAGATAAAGCTTTATAATATACTTAAAAAAGATATTACTTACATAATTATTATAACGTCCTCAAGTTCTTTATTCCCAATTTTGAAATGAACGCTTCTTAGTAAGTTTAATATCGCAAATTGATGGACTATTTATCTCCATTTGATTCTCTGAAGATTAATAGCCAAGAATATTAGTAATTAAAAAAAAAAACAGTTTAGTCTGCAGTAAAGAAATTAGATACTGATGCAAATCAATTCATACTTTAGTAGCTAGGCGTTTATTAAACTGCGAAATTTAGCAATTAGCAAAGAATTTCGACTTACAATCCTAACACTAATTCTGGCTTGAGTCCCAAAAAATAATAGATTTAAAATAGCTCAGAAAGATAAAATGGTAGATCAAATTCGGTATAATCATTTAACTATAGCAATAATAATGCTCACAGTAACTAGACTTCAAGAGTACAAATTACAAAAAGAGGTAGTGTTGATATACGTACACCTAACAAGGTATATTCAAATTAATCATCCAGACATTCTTATAGATAGAAGAATTAGTCTTGGAACACACCATCTAATTTTTCAAAAGTAAATTTGGGGACAAATGAAACAGAGTCATTCATCGTGAATGAAAGTAATAACAGCAGCTAAATTAAAGGTTTGTAGTAAAACAATCAGAGTAATAAATTGGTGTCTTTAAATATCTCTAACATTATAGAAAATATCAATTAAGAAAATAGTCATCATCAACATAATATAATAACTAAATCCGTCGTTTACTAAGAGCCAGTAAAGTACGCATGGAGTGAAATTAAATTTAAGGGTAAACTTTGTGAAGGTAGATCCTTTTCTTAAGCAGTTATTTATAACGGAGAGTTCTATTTTTATGGAGGGTATGATGCTTCAAAAGGAGTCTACAAGGACTTTGTTTGTTTAAGCTTTTCATCTAATGGTCCTTCCTCCTTTCATTAAGTAGAGCTCTCAGAAGATAATAAAGAAACTCCTGGTAATTCATTTATATTTATTTAATTAATTCATAAAAAAAAATAATATTACAATAAGTATTTAGAAATTATTTAATTTTAAAGAAAAAAATATTTTTTAAAACAGGAAGATTATGCAGACATGGAGCTGTTTTAAAAGGAAATATAATGGTAATATTTGGAGGAAGAACATCTTCAATTCAGAGTTCTAATTGCATGTTTGAGTATTCCTTCGAAGAAAGAAAATTCAAAAAAATTGATCCCGTACTTTCTAATCCTTAAGATTTACCTGATAGTCATCAATATAGATAACAAAAAAATCAAATGAAATCGAATTCTTAAGTTTTAATGCCTTGCATAGATTCACATTCTATGCTTTATGATTAAAACAAAGAACTACTCATTATATCAGGAGGATTTCTAGGTGAAGTTTGTGAATACAGTATTGATGTCTTCACTTTTAATTTTAGCTCTAATTCATGGACTTACATTCCTTCCTAAACCTCGTAAGAAAAACTACCCAAGCCAAGAGGATCACATGGTTCAGTATTACAAAATAATAATCTCTTCATATTTGGTGGAACAGATGGTGAAAATATTTTGGAAGATATGTGGTATTTTAGTATGGATTCTCATACATGGACTTAAATAGATTTTACTCAACAAACTATTCAGCCAGGAGTAATTATTAAAATTAAATAAATATTTTATAATTTAAATTATAAGTAAATACCTTATAACATTCCATAAATTCTATTTAATCTACATTCAAAATTAAATCATTATTAAAGAAAGTTTTAATTACATTAAAATTTCTCTTTTAATTTGATAAGATTTAATTAAAAATTAGAGATTTTATATGTTTTTTATTAATTAATTTCGATAAATTAAAATATTTTTAAACTAATTTAGCCGAGGAGTGGAATACAAATGATGGAATATCAAGGATACTTTTTTGTGTTTGGGGGATTCAAAAGTTTAATAAATGAAAGAAATGATTTAGTAATTTTTGATAGCAGAAAGATGGAGTGGATTTATTAAAGTGAAAGAAAAGAAATAATAGAAACTATTTAAACTTAATCAGCTTGTTCAAGCCCTAGTAAAATAAGATAACAATCTAATAATAAAGGAGGTATTTAATCTATAAGCAAGTAAATTTTGAATTAGTATCGATCTGATTTTTCTAGACAAAACTCGTAGCAGGCATTTCTCTATTAGCATGGTTCTTCATCTTAATTGGGTTCTCCATTTAGTAAAAAAATTTTAGTTCCATTGCTTTAGAAAGATGAGTTATCATAGATTATGAACAAAAATAGAGAGAATAGAATCAAAGTAATTAATGAAAAAAAAATGCAACTCCTTAAATAATTTGAGGTTTCTGAAGAAATGAGAAACCAGCTTATTTCTCCAATACCTATTTTACAGTCCATGAGAAGTTCTTTAAATTTGTTATCATCTTGTAACTAATCTCATAGATATGATTAAATCAATGAAACTCAATTAAAATTATAAAACTTCTAAAATACGCAATCCCTTATAAGAGGTAAACATCCAGGAGCAAGAGATGGATATTTAAGTGCTGTTATTGGTGATAAATTGATAATATTTGGTGGAGATCGCCACAGAATGTCTCTTAACGATACATACTAGCTAGATTTAAAAATGTTATTAGAGTACTTAAGAAGATTATGAATTAAGTTCCATAATTTTTAAAAAATATAGTTTAAATTTAAGTTAAAAATCTATTTATTGTATAATTCTTTTAAATTTATATTAAAAATCTTTTAATAAAAAATTTTTGAGAATTGATAATGTAAATAAATAAATTTTTAAATATTTAGAATAGGCTTTCAGTAAAATATTTAATAATATGTTTTTAATTTAAAAAATGATATTATTGAAAACAACTCTATCTTTACAATTTTTAATATTTACTTCTTAATTAAACTAGCAAGGAAAGATATATTTGTTTATTTTCTTTTAAAGCGAAGATTAATTACAAAGCATTTTATTCAAATTATATTTAAGGATATATTAATTTGTTCATATCAAAAGATTTATTTATAAAGTAAAGTATTAAAATAGCATAGAAATGTCAAACGTATAAGATTATTTTAACTAAACGTAATAAAATGCTGACTATTTTTTGTATTATATAGTTTGTTGTCAATCCTAAGCCTTTCCTTGAAGATTTATTAGGAAAATAGATTGTTGTTAAGTTAAAATGGGGATGGGAACTCAAAGGTAAATATTTGATAGATTCATTCTCGCGATTATTATAAATGATTAAACTGTTTTAATATAAATTTATTAATAAATATAGGAACTCTTTTGTCTACTGACCTCTATATGAACCTTCATGTAAGCATAAAAAATATTTGCATTAAAAATTTTGACCAATATTTTGATTATTTGTTTTAGCAATCACATTAATTCAATTTTTAAAATTCAACCAAGTTACTTAATGCTGAAGAATGGGTTAAAGGAGAAAACAAGGGTACTTTAGGAGAAATTTTAATCAGGTAAATAAATAGTATTAACATTACAAGAGATGAATAATAATTTTATTTAAATAATATAATAGATGTAATAATGTTCTATATATTAGAGGAGTTGAGAATCAGTGAGTTAATATAAAATTAAAAGCAAATCTTTACAAAAATAAATTACAAAACTAATATAAAACACTAAAGATAGATAGATAGTAATTAATAGACGCTAAGAATAATATCATAATTAATATATATACATATCAATATATATTTCAAATTCATCTCCTTAAACAAAATATAAAATCATTTATTCTTTACAAGCAGTATTCATTTGTTTAATTTATTATATGCATGCTATCTTTTTATATTGTAATAAATTAAATTAGTTTCCTTTAAAGTATTGTTTCATATTAGCAGTTTTTGGCAATATTTTCATTACAAATTCATACAAGTAAAAAAGCTTATTTTCATTTAAAAAATAATAAATATGTTTTAATAAAAATTTATCATAAAAAAATAGTTTTATTTTTAATTTTTTCAAGAATTATTTTTTATGAGAAATCTATTTTCAAATTAATTTAAAAAAATTAAATAAAATTACAGTTATTTTATTGTTTTAATAAAATAGGTATGTGTGCTATAAATCATCAATGAATTAATAACTTTCTAAACAAAAATCTAATTAAAAAAAATAAAATCATCTTAAAATTTTTTTTAGTGGAAAATATAAAATTTATTTACATTTTATAAAAAGAAAGCTTAGAATTAATTAAATAAAAATTAAATAATTAAATGAAAGTATGTTTTTTGTAATAATCAATTTATCTATCAAACAATCTATCTACAATAACAAATAAATGACAATATATAGATTTTATTATTTTTATACATATTTATTTATTTTTAAATAACATATTTGTAGACTCAAATTAATTTCTTTCTTTGTAATTTTTATATTCAAAAAGAAAAAGTAAATTTATTTATTTTAGTATTAATATAGCTGTTATATTTATTTTTTTATTTATTTTTATAGGAGGAAAATTTATAGAATTTTCAATTTGTTTTTCAAGCTTTTCCATTTTTTTATGGAGATGTGTAGGATTTATCTTATTGAGGATTTTTAGATTCATAATATCCAAACTCAGATGGTAATCTATAATATCCAGGGCCAGGTATTCCTGTTGCTTTACCCATATCTTCTCTACCACTGTGAGGGAATGTGCATGCACCGCTGCTTTTAAATCTATAGACAACTTATTTACCAGTTTAGGTTATTGTTGATGGTGGATTATATTACCCTGGTCCTATAAAATTTTGGAATGCTAAATAATGAGTCTTTATTCAATAATGGATTTACCTGGTAAGCTTGATTTGTGTGCAGAGGAATTAAAATCTTTGACTACTGTTTATGGGCTAATAAATGCAAGTCCACTATTTCTATTTACATTATTTAAATAAAATAATTATTAATAAATACAAACAACAAAATAAACTTAATTAGTATATTCTAAATAAAAATTTATTGTTTATAATTTTAATTCACATAGAGTTTAACATATTATTTTTATTACTTATATCTTGAATGAGGATATTTTCCATTTGCGCTCATGCTCAAAGGGTTAGTATATGTTCCAGGTCCAGGACAATCTTTTCTGTTTGTGAATTTCTCATCTAATTTTTTTGACAAAATTCTTAAAACACATATTATAAAAAATATAACAAATACCTTGACCTGGAGTTTTGGCTCTCATTGAAAAGCTAATATTTGAAAGAGTAGAGTTCACTTTATAAGTACCTGGGCCAGGCTTATTTCCCTCAGATTTTGGGTTAAACATACTTCCAAAATTTACATTCTATTTTAAAAATAATATTATTTTACAATTTTTATTTAAACATCATTTTTAATTTTCATTTATCATTAATTTAATTGATTAATTTACATTTCTACCAAGACCGAGTGAATATCCTCTATGCTTTTCTTTAGAATTTTCAAATTCACCAGTTATATTATATTTATTAGGAGCAGGGCTAGCTGATAAACCACTCAAATCAGACTTTTTTCCATATCCGAATGAAGTTGATCTATGGTCTTTAGTGCTTGGTAAATCATAAAAACTATCACACCTATTAAAAAATAAATATAAAATTTGTTGTTTTCTTTTGCATATTTTAGAATATTAAAGCATCAAATTTTAAATTCAAAAGTAGACATTTCAACTGAATAATGATTTTAATTTAGACTTAAAAGCCAATTATATAAATTTATTGAAATTGAACTTAATAACATTTTCTAATTAAACTAAATATATTAATTACATTTTAGCACTGTTATCGCGAAAACGCTTATCTTTAGGGAATGAATAAAGCTACTTAGATTTCGATAGATTTAAAGGAGAATTCGAAATTTCATAACAGTTGGACGCTGTAATTGACATTTTTACTATTTGGAAATAAACTTTGTTTGCTATTTATTGTGCTACTATGAATTTTGTTTTTATGATGATTGTTGATTTTAATTTTTGGTATTATAATAAATTTACTAAGATTTTGTTTCTTGGATGCTTGCTTGCTTGCTTATTAATAATTATATAAAAAATATAATTTTGCTATTAGAATCACTTATTTATTTATTGATATACTTATTATGAGAATTACCTTACAATAAATTAATTATTTAATCTTTGATTTTAATTACATAAATTTTCTTCCATTCAATTTAAAGTCAAATTTTTACTACCATAATTTAATTGGTCATAATCAATCCATACTAGTTGCAAATTTAATTAATCAATAAAGTTTTACAATAGCTCATAAACCACATTAAGTTCTAAATTTATTAAATTTTATTTTCTTTTGATATTATAAAACAATAAGCTCTAGGTAATGTGAATGATTTAAATAGAATTAAAGCTAATAAATTACACTTAGCTTAACTCCTATCATTAACTATTTTTGACTTATTTAAATATAAACCTTCAACTTATAAAAAATTATTTTTGTTAAATATTTTTTTTATTTAACTTATAAAAGTAGCATAAAAAATATTTTTTTTGGGGAGAAAGAAATATCTAAAAATATATTTTTAAATAGATCTCATTCAATGAAAAAATATCAATAGTTTTAATAAATAGGGTGAAGCAAGTAATATAAAAAATTATTTAAGGTGTCCTTCTTTTACTGACATTACCTAAGTGTATAAGTATATAATTAATTAATTTATTCAATTTTAAATTAATTTAAAAAAATAAAATATTATTAAAACTTTAAAAAAAACTATTTTTAGTATCTCTTTAAATAATTTTTAGTATTATTTTAAGCAACAATAAATATAAAACGTATATTTATTTAATTAAAAAAAATATCCATAGCATAAAATGATAGTGATAATAACTTAAATTTACTTTACTGAATAAATACAACTATAATTAAAAAATAAAATTTTGTTTTTTTTTTTGTAGAATTAATAATTTTGAATAAACAAGCAATTATATATTTGGACTGTTTAATTATATTTATTTGCTAACTTTGTATTAACGTTTTGTAAATCTTTTAATGATTTTTTATTGCTGAATCTCACTTTGAAGTATATTCCTTTACTATATCTAGAAAATAGTACCTACATATGAAAAAAAAAATTTGCCATATTATTTATGAAATCCATATTATGAAGATTCTAATTTTATTTTTTCTTTCGAACTCAAGATGAATAAATGTAAACCAGACTACGTGAAGAGGACTTAACATTTCCATGAATTACAAAGCAGTTTTAGTAAAGAACCAATAAATTAAAGGTATATATAGCAAGTATATGAAATAATATTTTTATTTTGGACTCACATCTGCTTTGACATTGTAGAAAATCGAAATGCAAAATGATATTTATAAAACTCTGTCTATTGGCAATATGTATGAGCATGCTAAAGCTAAAACTGCTATAGTCAAAATCATATAAAACACTTTTCCTTTATATGTTTAGAAAAGATCTCTATATATTGGTCTTTCCAATAAAGTATCCATATAAATTTTATGATCCTAATCTTTAGGGCAATGTCTAATCACTTTACTTTTAATTAGCCTAGTCCTAAAATATTCTTTCATGCAGCTTTGGCAAATGCTACATTCACAAAAATCTTATTTCTTATCATGGCTAAAACATTTTTTACAATAGGAGCAGTCAAATTTCTAATTCTAATCACTTTAAACTTCTTTTTTTTTCATTCTTGCTATTTAAATAATTTTCTTTAGAATTTAAATCCTTTAATTTAAAATTATAAAGAATAAAAATAATAAATAAACTTTTCAACAAAATAATTAAATAAATTAACTAACTATCTTCAACAAACAAAACAACAATAGCATTTAAATATATAAATTATTGAGCAAAATACATTTTAAAATTAGTTTGAATTTTCTATAACACAGATAGTTAGTTAATTAGTTAGTTGTTTATTTTATCTATTTTAAAATAATTTGAAAATAAGTAAATAATTATGTAAATTTTATTTGAATACCAGTTTAAAATGAATGAATGATAAGAATTTGTTGTAGACACTTTAAAAACAATCAGCAAAAAATAATTTCACATAATTATCCATTTGTTTATTATTTTATGTTTTTCAAAATTGTTAATAGCTTCTTAATCAGTACATACTATTTGCTTAATATTTGTTTAGACAAGAATAGAAAATTATATTTAGAAAGAAAAGGTTATAAAATATACCAAAGATCTTTAAAGTTATTTGTAGTTTAGTTTTATAAATTGCGCTATTTGCTTGCTTGCTTTCCTGATTGTTTTTTTGTTTATTTAATTAATTAGTTGAAATTGAAGGAAGTATAAACATAATTATAATATAATAAAAATAAATAATAAAAATATTGATTTAAACAAATAGAATTTAGAAAAAATAAATTATTGATATTTATAATAGGCAAAAATGCAAGTCATGTATTCCCAGATTAATCCCTATTAAATGTAGGTTTAGATGCCATAAAGACCACTAATGATTTTTCAAAAGCAACGAAATGGCATTAAAAACTAAATGTATTAAGCAATTAAAGAAGGCAATTTTTAAAAAGTTAAACAGCTTTTAAAGGAATACGACGTAGATCCAAATGAAGAAGTTTCAGTAGCTGGCTATTGCTGGACAGCTTTGCATTATTCTTGCCATTTTAGATAGCCTTAAATTTTAGAGATTTTTATTCATCTAATATATAAAAAGAATTAAAATTTCTTTGTGGATGTAATGAATATTAAAACTAAGGAAGGATGGACTCCTTTGATGATCAGTTGTATCTATAAATCACCAGAATGTGCTAAGATTTTGTTAAGCTATGGAGGAGTTGACCTAAATGTCCGTGATTACAAAGGTTCAAACTGTTTACAGCTTTGTGAAAGCTTTTAGACCAAAGAATGTTTTGATATTATTTAAACTGCAATGAAAAAAAATTAATAAAACAATGGATTAGTTCCCACAAATTTAGAGCTTTTAAAGTCTAAATCAAACTTGATTGATGAATTTTAAGATGGACGTGCTAACAAATAGCCTAAGGAAATGGATAAAGCAACTGAATAAAAATATAAAAAGCTTTTAGAAGAGGGTTATAGATTGCCATGCGTTATTTGCTAAGTCGAGTTAGGTTATATCAAATACACAGATTGTTGTGGCCAGCCTATGCACGGACATTGCTAAACAGAAAAGATTACATCTTGTCCTGTTTGCAGAAATTCAAATTATACCTTAAGAACAGATGTGATCTTTCCTGAAAGAGCTTTTAGTCTTGAAAAGCCTTGATTTCCTCTTAGTAATATGAAACAATAAATTATTAATTCAAATCTCTATGAAATAGAAAAGACTTTTTACGATTTACAAAATTAATTTTAGATATGAAAAGGTTATTCTCAATATTTTTACTTGAATTTCAGCTGCAATAGCTCTTTTGTGTATTCTGCAAAATATAAAAATAGCATATAAATAGATAAATTAATATACTAACATCTCAACATAATAAAAATTTTCTATATCTCTTTTTTCTCATTTTCAAAACAAACAACCAGACAAACGTATGAATAAATAAATAAATCTATGTAAAGAATATAATTATTAGATTGATAGAAAACATAGCATTTTCATTTATATAATATTTATAAGTTAAAATCAACGTTTATTTCTTTAGTTTTATAATATTATCAAATGCATTTTAGTTATATATAATCTCAAAAAACAATAACAAATTATTTAAAATCTTTTAATATTATTCTAAAATTTTATAAAAAAGCTTTTGTGAAATTAAAATGATATTTAGAATTCATAAAAATAATTATTAAATAACAAATAAAATGGAATTTTTTATAATGTTTTTTATGAATTTTGTTTATTTTTTATAAGTAAGTAAGGATATTCTTCTTGTTATTTAAGAATATAGTTTAAATATAAAAAATAGTTCTTAAAAATGAAAAATGATTTTTAATGAAAAAGATAAACTAGGAAATATGATTAATTTAAATTGAAAAAATGAAGGATAAATGAAATATATTTTATTTTTTAGATTTTATTTTATTGCTATACATTAATAAATACACATTTTTATTTTTTTCTCACGTAATCAAATTCATTAATTATTGAAATTTTAAGGAAATAGCTCAAAATAATCTTGTCTGTTAATAACATCATATTAAATTCTAATATGCTTTGAATTTAATAGTAATTTATTTATCTATTTAAATAAAAATTATTCAATAATTTATTTTTTTATTTTTGGTTACTTCTGGTAGAATTTCTCTTAGCATAGTGTTCATAAATCTCTTGCTTAGATTTTCTTCATACTCAGATCGATACAATTTTCCTTTTACCTAAAAAAATATAGTAATATATATTATATATTTTTATATAACTAACATTTATTTACTTTTAATAAATCTGCTAATTCTATTACCAATTCTTTAGCAAACTTTTTCGCTAAATTGGAATCCATATCTTATTTAATTTCTTCTTTTATATATATATTAGTTTTTGAGTTATCCATGTTACTATCGTTATTGCTATCGAAAGAGTTTTACTAGTACAGATTTTCATTATTTATTTTATTTTTAGTTTAAGAAGGCTTCTTATTGTATTCTAACCCAAAATTTTTAAAAGAAGCTGTCAATTAATTAAAAATACTTTCACCATTTAAGAATTTATTGATATTTTTATAGGCAACGTATATAAGAAGAATCAAAAATATAATTGTAGCAAAGTTAATTTTTGGAATTAGTCTAGCTTATGATCTATTATCATTAACTTAATAAGCAGTACTGATTGGTTAATTTAAGTTATTACGAGTGTACTTCTATAGATCAGGATCAGATACGCTAGGAGGCTGAGGAAGATTAGGAGCTTGTAGATTATTAACTCCTTTATTTTGAGGTTATTCAATTTTTCTCCTTACAATCTCTACATTACCAAAGGAATCTTCTCTCCTTTCTGTAATATATTCTGATTAATCAGACAAAAAAGAGCATTTATTGTCTGGTAAAATAGAGCTTAAGCTAGAATTTTCAGATTTAAAGTGTTAGTTTTATTTTATATATTCGTTGATTGCTGAAATATCCTTTCTTGTATAAGCATTAAAATTGTTGTAATTATTATTATTATAAAGATGAGGTGTAGGAGATTATGAATGATGATGATACTTATTAGCATAAGCATATTATTCCTAATTTATCATTTATTGTGGATAATGGTTATTATATTGATACTATTGTAAAACATTATTTTTATTGTATTAATAAATCTAGTTGCCTGTTAACGGATCTTAATAATCTAAGTAGCTAAATCTTTCCGCATCTCTATTGAAGTAAACAGGACTCATCTGATTTTTTAATTCCATTACATTCTTCCTATTTTAAACTTTTTGTCTTGTATTTGTAAGGTGTTTTATATCAAGATCATTCAGGTTTTATGATTCGTTGCTAAGGCGATTTTTTTCTGATTATTCTTTTTGATTGCTCATACTAATAGTTGATAGAATACTCTATTTCCCAGCATCTTTAATTCTTGACTCCTTACAATAGTTTTCTTTTTCATTTAAATACTTCTTTGTATTCCCATGTTCATTAAAGTTCAGTTTATTTGGACTTCTGACTGAAACACCACCCTTGATTCTTATTGAAATTATTTATAAGTGAATTTATGACGCTTAATAAATATGGCAGTCTTCTTAAAATAAGAAAAACAAATAAATTTTTACAAATCAAGATAGTTAGCAGATTTTGACTAAGCCTACCCTTGCTAAGTGGTATAATAAGAGTTTTTACTCATAAAGCTATCCTGTAAAAATAGAAATGATTCCTTTATAAATTGGCTCAATAGAAATTCTTTTGCTCTTTACTGTTTATCACTGAAAAATAAATAAATAAACAAATAAATAATTAGTAAATATTTAGAATTCAAAGTTTTCTTAATTTAAAATTTTACCGATAACAACTACAAAAAAATATTGAAATTTGATTTGAAAAGGAGACAAAAAAAATCTAGGCATAAATTCTAAATAAAAACACGATAATAAGCAAATAAACTAACACATTAAACAAGATCTATTAATTACTTCAATGAACTTGTTTGTTTATTTATTTATATTTACTTGTTTTTCATTTTTATTAATTTATGAAAAGCTTAAAATTCTACTAAATAAATAAGAGTATGAATGAATAATTTATATTTTACTATCAATGCAGAAAATAATTTTAATAAAAATTTCAAATCCAAATGTAAAAAAAAAAAAACATTTTAGACTTTAATATAAAAAATGCTTTAAGAGACACTAAAAATATAATTTGATGATTTTACGCAATAAAAACAAAAAATAAATATTATTTGTTTACTAAATTTATAGTTTTTTTCTTGATAATTATTATATTGAAGTGAATTAGCTCGCTTTCTATTTATTTATTTAGCTTGCTAACTAGATGCTTATCAAAATTATAAAATTGAGTAATAAATTAACTTATGGCTTTAACTATACAGGAAGTGCTTTTAACAGTTCTTCTTTCTTTTTTATATATTAACATGGGAAGTGTTTTATTTTATACTGTTTAGTCCTCAAGAAAGTCTTATCAAAATATAAATTCTAGAATCAACGTTGAAGTTTTTAAGATCTTCATCTTTACCACTGACCTTCATAAGCAAACCACCAAAACTAGCAAAAATAGACACAGTCTTAGCTTTGTTGTCAGAATTCATATTGTATATTTTGCCATGCATAACGTATTCGAACTTATCCTTGATGCTTTCTCTGTCGAATTCTTCTGAGACAAAAATACCTTTGTCTTCTTAGAAGTTACCTAAAGAGGAGGTGATCATAACCCAATATTGATTTCCCTTCTTCATTGAGTAGAGATCAGTATGAATATCGATTTCAATCTTAATGTTATTATCGCTGACTAAAACTACTCTTTCTACTTTAGAAAACTTTTCTTCTTTCTTGATTTCTTCTAATTTGAAACGATCTTCAAGCAAGATATCACTTTTACTCATTTTTACTTAATTTATGAAGGTTTATGTGTGTATGTATAAATGAACTTATTAATTTATTTATTTATTAATTAATTTAATTTATCTTAATTTTTAGATCTTAGTCCTATTTTTAAATAAATTGCTATTTATATTATTATAATTAACAAATACATAAATAATCTTTTTATTTTAATTTCAAAATATATATAATACAATCAATATTCATTCTTTTGCTATTAACTTTGTATTTCCATATGTTTATATCTTTGAATAAGGATCAAAAAATATTCACTAAGACTCACTCTGATTTACAAAGCTAAATCAACCAATGAGCTAAAAAGATATCTTATATTTTAATGTGATATAGTTTTACTTTTACCTAGCTGTAAATTGTTTGCTTTAAAAAACCTAAATTAAACATTTTCATTTTTTATTTATCTTTTTGGAATTACTTTCACAAAGTGCGCATATGAGTGTAGCATTTTTTAAAAATTGCACTATTATACGCAAGTGCGAAACTTATGCAAAATATATTTGAATTAACTTAATATTTATTTTTAAAATATGTTAGATAATATTCAGTTTATTAATAAGCATATAATATTTATGGCCAATTTAATTGGATTTTTTTTACATTTTAATTGAGTGTTTGTATTCTACTAACTATTGTATTTTAATTTTTAAAATATTTGGCTGAATATATTTTTACATAATTTTTTATTTAGGGACAGACCGAATATCACTTTTTTAAAGAATAACAAAAACGGATAAATGAATTTAAAAAAAGTTTGTTAAATTCAGAAAAAAATTTTTTTTTTCTCTCTTTAATTATCTATTCAATAAAGAATAGTTAAGTTAATTTTTTAAATTATTAAGAAATTTAAAAATAATATTTTCATTAATTTTAAATATTCTACTCAAATGTTCACAATGTGCGCAATAATTGTAAATTGAAAAAAAATTTATGAGAAATTTTGTGAAATAATTTTACCATACTATCAATTACCATCTTAAAAGATTATTATTTATACAGATTATGCATAAAATATAATATACAATACAAATTTAATAAATAAATGTATTTATTTAAAATAAAAGATATTTGCTTTTAGTTAGTTAGTAAGTAAGTTAGTTAGTTAGTAATATTTTATTTTTTTTAAGCAGAGTTTCATGCTTATTTGAAAAATATGAATTTAATTTTCTTTGATTTATATAAGCAAAGGCTTTTTTAATTTTATTTTAGCCAGTTATTTGAATGTTATGTTTATATATCATTCATTAATGCTATTGTTATTGTTGTGGAGTTTCAAAAACTGATTAACTTGCTTCTTTGCCAATTACTATTAAATTTTATGTTTAAGGCTGGAGAGATCCTAAATATTCCCTAAATTAATTCAAAATTGTATTAATTAATTTCAGTAAATTTTGGTTTCAATCAATTTACCATAGATTTTCAAAGTTAGAATATCCTTCTATTGCATAGTCATTAAAGCAGCTTGTAAACATTTCTTTTAAAAACCAAATTAAAATATTTTAAAATATAAAATAAAAATTACTGTTTGAGCAAAATACTCTATCGATAGTAATCCTAAATGCATCATCTAAAATTTTTAAATATAAAATTAACTAAACAAAAGTTTTTTCTATTTTCATTATTTTACTTAGCATCCTTGGAATCAATTTTTATAGAAGTTCATTTGATTCCTCTATGCAAGGGTTACTATTAATTTCAATTAATTATGTGTTCCCATTACTTTCTACCATAAAGTCATATCCAAAAATTTCAAATGTATTTTTTCTATCTTTCCTATATAGCTTCCTTCTTACAGAACTGAAAGAAACCTTTATTAAATTCTTAATTTACTTCAAAGTGTCTTCAACAGTAAAGGGCATATTTTTATTTTTCAAGTATTCCTTTTAAAATTTAGAAAAATAAATGTAAAAAATGTATTTGTTTGTTTGTTTTTTTAGAAAATTACACCATAATCGTCAAACGAAATAATGTTTCCATTTTCATACTTTCCATAATTTTTTCCGTATTTTTAAATTGCATTATTGGTTAAATGAACATATTTGTCTTATAAAGTATGAGATCTTAAGCTGAATTTCTCACTACTCAGTCTGAGGTATCCTTCTCTAACAATTTTAATTAATTAATATATTAGATGCTTTATTAACTAATTCTATTTACTTAAACATGTAAAACTTAAAATCTTGATCAACTAAAACCCACACACGAATATCGAACTTTCTATCCTTGATTAGTAATGGTTCCTCTATATATTTCTGCAAAACTATAACTTTTGGTGTTTAATTAAGGTTGCTCACTTAAAGACGAGGCTTTCTATAGGCTTTCTCTATAGCTTCACTTTAGAACTATTTAATATCTATTTCTTTAAGCATATCTTGGCTTTTTTGTTACTATTCATACTTCTCTACAACTTAAGGGCATATTTTAATAAAAATTTATTTTAACAATTCTATTTTTCCATATGAAAGCAGCAGTGTAAATAGTTAAGACACTGTACTAAATAAGCTGATTCCTTGACCTCTATTTAAATCATCTGGTTTCAAAATCCAAATATTTTTTAATTTTGTTGATTGCTGTAAGTTAAAAAAGTAGTCAACAAAATTTTGAATATCTCTCTCATAATTTTCAGATTCTATGTTCAAAAGAAAAGTTTTAGGAACTAACTGGTCTATTTCATTCTAATTATATTTATATGTAAATTTAATGCAAATTAAAAAAATATGTTAACCTAAGTTTAATTCATTTGAATGTATTTTCTATGTGCAAATCAAATATTTAATTAATAATTAATTATTTTACAATTATTTTGTTCTTATTGAGTAATTAATTTAAATGATTTGATCAGAAATTTAGAATAAGAAATAAATAATTATTATTAATTTGATAATTTTTATTTGAGAGATTGTTTATTTATTTAATAAATTGCTAATAGAATAAATCAATTAATAAAACATATATTTATATAGCCGTTAATATTACTTTATGTGAATTTTTTAGGTTATTGTATAACTTGCTTTTACAAGATATTTCAACATGGTTTTCAATGTGATTCACCATTTACTTTTTAGAAGGAGTGAACATAATATCATCGAATTTGATTCCACTACTTGTTGGTTTCCATCTTTATTAATATTAAAAATTCTTATTTTAGTTTAAGTCATAAAATTAATAAAAACCTAAAATGATAAGAAGAGTAACTATTTTAAGCTTCAGCCCACCAATCCCTTTTATTTAGAATGCGCTTCACTATTTATGAATTATTTCCTTTTTCAACAATATACTAAAATTGTATTAGTTTAATACTTTTTGATGTATTTTAATGGTTAGTTTGTTCTTAATTTTCTATATCAAATAAAAAATACATTACTGTAAATTGAACTTTGAAAAGTGGGGTGATGTAGAGTGTTGACATTGAATTGTGAATTAATGTAGTAATGCTCATTTATGATTTGATGGCTTTGTTTGATATTATTCTCTTCTCCCTGTTTTTAAATTCCTTCTTCTCATCTTTTCCTCTTTATAAGGACTATTTTAATTTAGAGTTCTTTATATAATAATGGTTAAATTAATATGTAAAGTACTGTGTTTTTGGTTTATTTATTCTAATTTGCTCGTTATACTGGAGCTTCCTATCCAGCAGAGTTATATTTAAGAAAAGGAAGAGTAAGCGGTTGTTAAAATAATGAGTTTTCCTTATCTTGTTTACTTTTATTTGTGTTTTCCCCTGAATTGCAAGACTAAGATTATGTAGAAACAAAACTTTATCCAGTTGGAGATTTTTATGAAACCTATTGTTCCTTTGGTACTTTCTTAGTTATTCTCATACTTACAGAAATCTGCTAATCACTTCTTTTAAAATTTAAATTGCTGCTCTAATTCTGGTTCATATTTTTGGAAAAAATATTAGTATTAATTGTCCTATTTAACTGAACTCCTCTATTTTATGATTTAGACAAACTAGTTAATATATTAGGGTACTTTTGCTATTCACTCTTTTCAATTTGCTTCATTTACAAATAATCATCAGGTTCCTTTTTCGCTAACGATGATAACCCTAATGGAATGTCTAATAAGAATGGATTCTCATCCGCTCCGTTTGTACTATCATTTCCTATAATAATTGTACCTTTTGTACATTTTATTTTTTCAATATGACCACTCATTGTTATTTATTTTTTGAAATTCTAATTTTTAATTAAATTAATTAAAGATTACTTAAAAAAGCTAATAAATTAGTTAATTAATAATTATTTAGTTATGTTAATAATAATTAAATGTATTATTATAATATGTCCGTTTAATTATAAAATACTTTATAATTAATTTACAAATATGCTAAATAATAATAAAAAAAAGATCAAATAACAAATTGAAAATTATATTCTAAGTTAATTAATCTCAAACAAACAGATCATAGATATTTATTAATATTTTTATAAAAAATTATTTTATCAAAAGATTTGGAAAAATCCAAGTTCAATATTTGTTAATCTTTTATTCAAGATCTTTCTTTTCGTTTTTGCATGAGTTATATGGTTTCTAATTGTTATTTGTTGAAAACATTAATGTATGGATTAATTGTCTTATGTTATTAGCTATTTCTAATTATTCATGTGTCTATTTATAAAGCCATTTTATTTAATAAATTGATATGCATTTAATTATTTAATATCAAAAAGCAAAAATAATTTTTTTATTTTTTTAACAGTTGTATGTTGATATTGTAATTATCAAAAATCTAATTTTAATTTTAAATATTTGTATTTTTGTGTAAAATATCAGTATATTTATTTTTATATTTTTCTTAATTGATTTATTATTTCAAGTCTTCATAAAGGGATGTAATTAGATTTCAAATTTAATGTCTCCCCTTTTAATAGGTATAGTTTCTTAAGTTTTTGTGCTATAGAAAGCAATTCCAGGTCTATGTAAGGAATTTTAGGTGAATTTTGCTTATACTATAAATTTCTGTAAGTTGTACTATTAGTTATTATATTATTTATATTTATAACATTTACATTTTTTTTTTTATGTTAAGATTATTTTATTAAGAAAATATTATTTATAGGATTTTATATGAAAAAAAAAAAATCAAAAGTTAATTATGGTAGTAACAAGTAAAAAATAATTACTAAAATGTATATTTTAAATCACTTTAGTTAAACTATTTTTTAATAAATTTAAATTAATAAGGATGGATTTACAGAAATCATAAAATATATAAAATAAACTATTTACAAGAAAATAATAAATAAATAAATAATATTTTATCTTTCATAAATTTAATTATGATAATTCTAAATCTTTTTATTATTATTTTTTAGAGAATTTGACCATTTATGTTCTCTTAGACATTAATTCATCAAATAGATTAGATATTTACATCTCTTTTTGGTATCTATTTAGAATATATGATGTATCATTTGCTATTTTAATGTCTACTTTTTTATTAAAAATAATCTTATTCAAACTTGAAGATTATTAGTTTAAGTTTTATTTTTTTTTTTTAATAACTTAATCAATAATCCAAAGAATTAGCTAAATCAACATAGCAATCGATGGTAAAAATATTAGTATGAATATTATTACTATAAATGATAAGATTCCTGCATCAAGTATAGCTTCATATTTATTTAAAAACGGTTGTTAAATGTATATATTTATCAAAAGGAACATTACATATAATAGTAACCAAAGTAAAGAGTTAGTTATAAATAAACTATTATTAAGTTTGGTGGTAAATGGTCTTAGATAGATTGTAATAACTACTAAAATTAATTAAATAGCTATTGAAATAGATGTGGCTGCTTACCATACCTCATTTAGCTATATAAAAATTGTTGGTATAAGTACAGCTTCAAATAATAAATTTATTAATATAAAGTAATTTCTTATTTTTGATTCTACTATTATATCATCTAATATTTTTTTTTTTGTTATTTGTTCAAAGTCAGTATTATCATATCGAATATTTTTAGAGTCTATATATTTGTACAAGGTATAAAATACACCTCCAGCTGATGCAAATGATATCAACAATAAAGTCACTTTAAGTCCTATTTATTAGATATCTTAGATTTTTATAAATTCCTTAATTTATTGATTAATTGATATGATAAAAATCATTGTGCATAATTCACTATATTGAATTATTAAACCTAAGAAAATTTTATCATAAAGCAGGTTAGAATACGAGATAAATTTCCTATTTTTAGCAAAAGCAGAAATTAAATAGAAAATGAAAAAACATAGAGCACTAGCAGAGAATATGATAGCATACTAACCACTTGTCTGAAAGATATTAAATGAAATATTGACCTCTTCATATCTTAAATTTTAATACTAAGTGACAGCATCCTAGTTTACCCAACTTTTAAAAACATTCATAAATCTAAGTTACTGAGTAGGATATTACTCTAATTAATCAATTATTAAAAATTTTTAAATATATAATAAAAAAAATAAAATTCTTTCTTTAAGGAGAGGGTTCTGAAAAAAATTTTTTTTTTGATTTGAAACCACAGTTTTATTTAAAACTATTGCTTCAATTTTCCTTTAAAAAAATCATTAAAATTTACCCCTACACCTCTAAAATAATTGTTTTAAAGTTATTTTGTGAAATTTTAAGTAAAAATTTTTAAAATTGAAATTTATAATAAATCATGAAAACCAATAAATTACTTTATAAAGCTAATAATATTTCGTATAGATACTTAGGGAATATAGCATCTACTAGCAAAAAAAAGCTAAACCTTTATCCAACAAAACCACTCATCAGAAAAGCAAATGTTGAAGTGAATGCCATATTATTTGTAAAGCTTAAAAACAATGAGCTTAGAAAAGTTATTTATGAGGAATCATGAATTAGCTAAACGATATTATACATCGTATCATTTCTTATCTACGAATTATAAATAAAATATTTTTAAATGCATTATTAATTAAATAAAGAATATTCCTCTTAGCAATCCAAACATTAGTATTTGCTAATTCCAAAGCATCTTTTACATCCTTTATAGCAAGAGTTACAATATGAACCTTAGATGATAAAACCATTATAAATATCACATAAATTACAAGAATTATCAGCAAATAAATAATTTCCTGCTTGGCATGATAAGCAGTTGGTTGGTAGAGGGCCATTGCAATTTTAACAACTTTAATCGCAATCATAACAAAAAGAATCTTTAATATACTTTCCATTATCTGCACATGTTATACATTAATTATTTTAATACAAATAAGTACCATTCGGACATGACCTACAATTATTAGATGCAGGACCATAACAAGTTAAGCAGTTTTTATCACAATCGAAGCAATTAGTGCCATCAATATAAATTCTATCCCCAATGCAAGGTACACATTAGCTTCCATGATACAAATAACTTCCTGTTGGACATGATTTACAGTCTTTGGATGAAGGACCATTACATGATAAGCAACTTAAATCACAATCCAAGCAATTAGGACCATCTACATATACTCTATCACCAGTGCAAGATATGCACTGATTGCCATGGTATAAATATGTTGCAGAACCAGAATTGATTAGACATGTTTTACAATTTTTAGATGTAGGGCCATTACAAGTTAAACAACTTATATCACAGTCGAAGCAATTTGTGCCATCAATATATTTTCTAACACCAGAACAAGGATCACATTAATTACTATTATACAAATAGCTTCCAGTTTGACATGATTTACAATTTTATGATGAAGGGCCGTTACAAGTTAAGCAACTTTAATCACAATCTAAGCACTTACTACCATCAATGTATACTTTATCACCTGTACAAGATACACATTAATTGCTATTATTTAAATATTTATCTATTGAACAACTTATACAATTATTCGATGAAGTACCATTACATTTTAAACAGCTTGAATCACAATCTAAGCAACTTGTGCCAAAGATATAAACTTTATCACCTGTACAAGGTACACACTCATTATTATGGTATAAAAAAGTACCATTTGGACATGATTTGCAATTTTTTGATGAAGGTCCATCGCATGTTAAGCAACTTTAATCACAATCTAAACAATTTTAACTGTTAATATAAACTTTATCAGCTATACAAGGCGTACATTAATTATTATGATATAAGTAATTATTTGATGGACATGATTTACAATTTTATGTCGAAACACCATTACAAGTTAAGCACGTGATATGACAATCTAAGCAATTATTGCCGCTAATAAAAACTTTGTCGCTTTTGCAGCTTTAACATGTATTATCAGTATATAAATATAAATTATTACCACAAGATTAACACTATCTAGAAGTATTTGTACACGTTTTACAATTTGAATCACAAATCAAACAAGATGTCCCTGATAAATAATATCCATCTATACAACTTTGGCAATTTTATAAAGAAACATCACATGAACTACAACCTTAGGGACACTTTTTAAAAAATAGTATGTAAAAAATGTTTAAAAATTTCAATAAATGGTCTATATCAAGAAAAAAATTTAACTTTTTTTATAAATCTTTAAATTATACATTTGAAGTTAATTAAAATTAAAAGACTAGCCTAATTAAAATAAATATATTTATGTATCTAGTTATAAACAAAATTATTTAATAATGGGAGGAGTTGTATAAAATAACAAAATTCATAACTAATTTAAAATTTATGAAAAATTTTAAAAAGAAATATGAGGTTGCTATAAAAATATTTATTAGAAATTCAAATAGTTTTTAAAAATAGCTGAAGATAAAAAAGTTATGATAATAGATAGACTCTTTTTTATATATTTTAATGATTTGAGATACATTAAAATATGTTTGTTCCATTAAAAAAAATTAAATTAGGCTAGAATCAAAATTTTAAGCTTCAAATTATAAATGAATGTTTCGAATATAAATAACTTAAAAAATTTAATTGCTGGTAAAAAAAATAAATTTAAATTTTCTTTATTTTAATTTATTGAAATAATATTTAAAAGGTAGAATGAAGTACATGAAATATTAAGATGTAAAACTACTCAATGTATTTTGTTTTTAAACCAGGAGTGTAAGAAACACTAGAAATGATTTAATTGATGTTATCAAAAGTAAATCTATCTTAATAATAATCACAAATACCCTAATCAAGGTGTTTTGATGGATTTAATTTATAGAATTTTGGAGCCTAATTATTAACAGATATAGAGATATCTAGAGTAGGGCAAGATGGACTTGATTAAAAAACCCACTAAACAGGAAAAAGTTACACTCTTTAAGCATACAATGGAGAACTATTTAAAAACAAAAAAATAAAAGCAAATAATTATTTTATAAATATTTTGAAAGTTTTTAAATTACCTGTCAAAATTAAAAACTATTGGCTAGGTAAAGTCGCAATTATCACCACCTGTCCCATAGTACGAATTACCTTATTCTATAATTCTCTTTATATTTTTACAATCACTACTTGGAAATATCAAATTGGGATTCATTTAATTAAAATCAGAAATTTAAAAACTAGCTAGAGCGCATATGTATTCTTTTTGTTAAATATTTATAAACTAGTTTTAATTTTATCCATATAATTAGTAAATTATTTTTACATGACGGATTAAAATTTTATCCATTTGAAGCATTTGTGCAGTCTTCTCCAAAAACTGTAGAAACTCCTGAAAGGAATAACAGAGTTGCAATTTCAATAATAATTTAAATATTGATAAATTTAAGAAGACTGTATTATTTCATTTCAAATTACTTTTAAATAAAATTTGCTTTTTTTAATGTTTGAAAAAAATATTAATTATTCCAATAATCTCTACAAGTGATAGCCAAAATAAGAAAACATAAATTTTTGTGGTAAATTAAAATTTGGCAAACTATTAATCTTAACCTCTTAAATAATTTTCTTACTTATAAAAAATTGGAAGATAAAAACATTAGAAATACGTGGTTTTTATTGAATTAAGTAATAAATCAGAAGTATTCTTATCTTAATACCCTACTTTTTATCATTTTGATTCACATATTTTTTAAATAATTAGTAATTCTATTCGAAAAATATGACTCATATCTAAATTAATAACTTGGATTTATCACTTAAATTTGCTTTAAAAAATTTGACTTTATATATTAGTTTTTTATTTATCAATTAAATTATTAAAATATATTATATAATTTAACTTCGCAAGGATAAAGTATAAAATAAGCAAGTCATACATGATTATTTTTACAAATATTTTTATTAGCGCGTCTTCAAAAAGTAATTTTTATTATATTTAAATATAAAATAAATCTAATTAATTGTATGGTTTTTCTTTTATTTATATGTTACATATACTTAATAATTTAAAATTTATTGATTAAAAAAATTTATGCAAACTGAAAGGAATTAATAGATAGAACGATTGATATTACTATTCAAATTGAACTTTGAAATTTATACAATTATATCTAGCTAAATGAGTAATGCTTGATAAATCAAAATATTTCGATTCAAGCTTTTAAAAATGATAACTAGATTTTGAGTTTTATAAAATTTTTTAAAAGATTTTTTTAAGTTTAAAAATTTAAAAAGAATTAAAAAAGTAATATTAATCAATTTAAAATCATTTATGTAAATTTAGAATATTTACTAATATAAAAATGGTATGTACGCATTAATATTAAATAGCTCAGATTTTGCTTAAATGATTAAGAAAAAATGCAATTTGCTGAAAAATGAATTCATAGTAATTTGATTAAAAAAGTTTGTTAAAGTTTAAATATATAAAATTTGTGGTGTTTATTATATTTTATGAGTAAAAAAATTTGTAAAGAAATATAAGTAACTCTTCAAATTGTTATCTCTATTGTACATTATTGATATACGATCAAAATTTTAATATTGATATTTGTTTTAGATTAATAGGTTTCAGTAGTAAGCAAAAAATTAATTAAAAACATAGAAAAAAGAAAAAAAAGATAGTAAATTTATTTAATTAATTGTCTAAAACTTCTGTAAATCATAAATATCAAAGATGATAGAAATTTAATATAAAAAAATAGCTAGTATTTAGTTTGTATATTTGAATAATAAATATTTATGTATAATTTGCAAACAATTTTCAGAGTTTTAGTATTTAACATTAAGAATTAAGTAAGATTCATGAAATTTGAAATTTTTTTACATAGGGCTGAGCTGTATGGACTGAAAAGAAATTAATGAGATAATTTATTCAACTAATTTCCAAGTATGTGTATTTTAAGATTTAATTAATTTAAAAGGAAAGTTGGGTTAAATTATTTCAAAAATGTATTGAATATTTTATTTGTTAAAATAGAATAATGTTAGTGAATATTAAAGTTGATTGGAATTTTTATAGAATTTAGTTTAAAATGAGATATTTAATATTTGATTATATTTTTATAAATTAATTTTTGAATAAATTCTTTTTTGTTTAGATAGATTTTTCTTTTTTTCCTTTAAATTCCTGTTAAAATGTATGATTGACTCTTTACAATATTTATTCATTCTTTCATTATTTTTTTGTATGTTTAGATCATTTAAATTACCTTAATAACTTTTTAATAGCCTCATTATTTTTCCTTTTCTTATAGTTCACAAAATTAAAGGTGGGTTTCTTATTTTAAATTGCAATTAAAATCAAAATCTATTTGCATGCACTGCAAAATCATATATGCATAAATAATAGTTAGAATTTATAGTGCATTTATTGATAAAGTATCAAAAAATATATTAATTCTTAAATATCCAAAAGAAAGTAAAAGAAAGCGGAGGAAAAAATATATTTTAGAAGAAACTTAAGGCAAAATTACTCAATTAGAAATTAGTGTTTCTCAATTCTTTACTGTTTCAGATTTTTCCAATTTTACTTAGGAATCTGAATAAATACTTGCATAATAATAATAAACAGCGAATAATTTAAAAAAAAGCTAATTCAGCTGATATATTATAATTATAACAAATTAAAATAAATTTAAATGATATTTATTATTGAATTTTTTGTAAAATCATTTATATTAGGGATAAAAATTTTATATTTAATTAATAAAAAATTATGATAATATAATTATTTTGTTTCATATATAAAGTGTATGTTTATAAAAAATAAATAAATAATTTAACAAAAAATATTTTGTAAAAAATAATATTTTATACAAATTCTATTAAAGGGTCTCTTTTCTAAAAAATTTAGTATTTTAAGAGGTTATTTTGGAGAGGGTTTTGTTTTTTAGTAGGTTTTCAAAGAATAATTATGATAATACTCTTAAAATACTAAACTAATAATTTAATGAGCTTAATCTTAAATATAAAATTAAATTAGCTTTTATGCCAAAAATTACAAAAAAATGAAATTCAAACAAGATATATTGTAGATTTTTTTATTTTTAGCATTAATTTAATAAAAATCTACACCCTTTATTGATAAACAATTAATAAAATTCATCATTAAACATTTTTATTAATTATTAAAAGAGATTCAATTATTTATTGCAAAAACATCTATAAAGTAGATTCTAGTTTAATTATAAATATATCTAATTTCCTTATGCTAAAAATGCTATTTAATAATGTTTAAATGAATAATAATAACAATATTTAAATAAAAATGACATATTTAAAATAAAATTGAAGTTCATTAAAGTAAAATAAATTTAATTTGTAAATGCAAACAAAAATATTAAATATATTTTTAAAGTCTATCTAAAAGTTATTTAGTCCAAAACCAAATATTTAATTTTAAGTAGTTTTTAAAAATAAATTTATGATTAAAATATCTTAAGATTGAAGTAAGAGTTTCTTAAGTTTAACTGAGAATTATTTGTTAGAAATTAATTTTTATTTTAAAGTTTAAAAATAAATTAAATTCATTTCATTATCACAAAAGAATTAAAAATAAATTAAAGTATAGGTACCTATAAATATTTCTTCATATTAAATAAATACTTAGCTAAATAAAATTTAAGTAGCTGAAAATAGGTTAAAAATTGATTTAAATAATTTATCTCTTCTAAAGAAAATTAGATTAAATGACAATACTATGTATTACTTGAGATTAGAAAATAAAAACAAAGTAAACTTTAACAAAATGCTACAGGATTATAGAAATAATTATTACAAATAAATTAATTTAACTACTCACTCTTTATTTCAAAAATTAAACAAAAAAATTTTTTTTGATCATAAATGAAAGGCATCATAAAAGATTGCTAGGTTATATAAAAATGGTTTTAGGTTTTTAAAATTAAGTACTAACTTCTATTTTAAACTTTACACTTGTGATTATCAGTAAAAGATTAATAATGAAGAGATTCCTTTTAAAATTATCTCCAAATAATTTTAATTAGACTCTTTAAACTCTCTTATTTGATCATAATTAAGCATACTTTAAATAAAGTAAATTGCCAAAAAATGCATATTTATACATATTTTTTGACTAAAAATAAATAATCACTTCACTTTTTGCTGATATATAACTATATATATATTAAAGGAACATAATAAATTTATTTTAATTTATAGTTATTAAAATTCAGTTACTCTAAAGATTATCAACTTAAAGTTTTTAATCTCTAAGCCGTTTAACCATTTTATTTTTTTACCATTTTTTTAACTAAAATTTTTTTGGGTGTTTTACTTATTTGCTTAAGGTTTTTTGTTTAATAAGGAACAATATTTTTAATAATGAAAAATTAACAGGTAAAATAAAAAAAATTAGAATTATTTAAATTTTGTTTTAAAAAAAATAAATAAAATATATTTAAATTTATAAGGAAATGCCTAATTTAAGGTTGGTTTGTATATAAATTTTATTAATAATATATAAACTTTTTATAATTAATACTTTCAGAATTAATTGATGTTTGTTTGGATTTTTTCAGAAATGAGATAACTTTAGCTAGGTACATCGAAACCAACATAATAAGATTAGAGGACAGTATAACCGAGGCTAATATAACTGCTGTAAATTAAAGGGAAGAGGAGTACCTAGTATTTTCCATTTTCTTGCTTTCTAGTATATTGCTATGGTTTTAAAGTAATTTTGAATGGTTATCCGCTAGTTGCAATTAAGTTCAGGGAAATGTCCTTCAGCTTCTCAATAGAATCTACATTGAATTTATAGGTACTTAAGTCAGATTATTCACAATGATATTCATACTAAATTCCTTCGTCTTAAATCTATTTGACGATACTGTTTAATTAAAAGATTCCAATGCTAATATAGGGACTATACAAATCAAAACCAGCTACAGTCCCATAATTAAGTTTAAGATCTCCATACTTCAATGAGAAATCTGAGGGTGTAGAGTAATCTGAATTGCCGTTGTAGTGTTTAAGTTAAACAAATTTTTATCCTTTTTTTATCAAAGATAAGTTTGGGCTACCAACATCTATACTTCCTACAACACCTTTTGTAGAATTAGTACTGTTAACATTGACAAAGAATTACTATTGTTATATCACTCCTTAAGAAGCAAGCTCTTAAATAATATTATCTTATTAATTATCAAATATACTTCCAAAGCAAAGGGCTTATTCTCCATAAAAGCTAGATTTAGAATCAGGATTTGTAAAGTTTAAGTTAGCTGTTAAATTACCAAGCTAGAATTTGGTAACATATTCTTATCCTTAAACAAAACTATTTTGACCAATAGCAGTAGCTCCGCAGGTTTTAGACTAATCTTTTGACTAAGTAATTACATTAGAGCAATATCCAATTAAAGGAAGCAATTCAATCTCACATTAGCTTTTACTACCGAACTTACTAGGTATGACTAACTAATCAGACTTGTTAATCTTCAAAGGAAGACTGATGACATCTGACTAACAAGAAATATAGCTTGAGCAAAGGAAGATAAAAGCAGCAAAGGTTAAACAAATACCACGTTTCGAGTTATTCATTTTTTTGTTTATGGTACTTTAAAAATCAAAGAATATTAAATAAATAATTATCAAAAATATCTCTGGATTAGATTTTGTATTTAAAATTATTCCTTCTATATAAAAAGGATTTAAGAGCTAAAAAAATAATCGTATTTAATTAGATTTCAATTACTCATTCTTTTATAATAAATAATAAAAGATTTAGGTTAACTAAATCATAAAATCAAAAAAAAAAAATTACTTTTACAATTCAGTGATAATTATTTGTTTCATTTTCAAACCTATTGATTTTTCTATAAAATTGAGAAAAAAAACTAAGCACACGTTTATCTTATATAAGCAATTACTAATTGACAATAATCAGGTTTAATTAGATTTAAATTTGTCTTTCTTTTATAATAAATAATAAATGATTTGCATCACCAAATTAAATTAAATTTATTTGCTTGTTAAACTTCTATTAAATTACAAAAAAAAAAATGCATTTACTTACACAATACATTTAAAATTATATTATTTTATAGGTAATTTTACTTTAGAGTTGATAAAAAATATTAGCACACATTTTAATTGTAAAAAATTAAAATAGTTAAGTTAATAATATTTAATTAGATTTCAATTTATTATCCTAATATAATTAATATTAAATATTCAAATTTCAAAATTAAAATAAATCTAATTTATTTGCTAAAAGAAATAAGGTGCTTTTTATTGAACAATCTGAATAGTGGTTGAAAATGCACATATTAAGTGAAAAATGATCTTAAGAATTTTTTTCATGCTTAACACAAAGTATATTCACATTTTATGTCCATTTTAATATAAGGATAGGGTGAATGATACACCTATTGATTTAAAAATATAATAAAATTGTTAGAACAATAAATAAAACAAACATGTTAACATTTTAATTAAAATAATATTATTTTTTACTATTTTTTCATGTGTTCTAGTTTTGTTATTATTCTCTTGAGTTTTTTGTTTTCTTCTTAATTTTACATCTTTAAGGCCACCAAAATACCTTTCTACTTTCTAATAAAGTCTTCTATTTATAATAAAATAAAAAAAAAATTTTATTTTTATATCAAGACTAAACTATGGATATCTAAGGCATAATGTAAAATAATGATTTAAAAATAAAAACTAATGCTAAAGAGTAACCTAGATAGATAGATTAAGTAAAATTAATTTTACAATATAAATGTTGATTTAAAGATTATTGTTAGTTGTATAAACTTTGTATTCATACAATTTAAAATGTTATTAATAATTTATATTTATTTTATATGCTAGACAAACTCATGTTTTTGGTAAAATTCATAAGTTTAGCAATTCCCAATATAAAATAGCTTTACAGTTATATTTTTTTAAAGTAATTTTATTATTTTTTAAATATAAACTTAAAAAAAATTATATCCAAGAATTAATACATAAATTTATTTTAATATTAGTCATTTTAAATGTAATTCTTAGTTAGATTAAAATCAGTTTTTATTTTTTAATGATTTTTTAGAGTAGTTAAACAATTGTGAACGTTTAGACATTATTTAATCAAAGAACGATGACATTTATATTTCTTTTTCGTATATATTTAAGGTTTATTATATTCTATTTTTTATTTGAGTATCTGAACTTTTATTCAAGATGATTTTATTAAAGCTTTAATTATTATTTTCTTTTCTTTTTTAATTAATAAATTGAATCAGCTACATAATTAGTTATGTTAAGATTAACAAAGCTGGTAATAATATTAATATGAATAGAATACTTAAAAATATTAAGGAGCTTACATCTAGTAATATTTCATATTTTTTAATTAGAGATTACTAAATAACAATGTTTATTAAAAGAAATATTATGTAAAGTATCAACCATAGCAGAGAATTCATTATATAAAAAATATTATTTAGCTTAGAAGCAAATGGCCTTAAATAAATTGTTATGATAAGAAAGCTGAATTAAACAGTTATAGAAAGTGATGTAGCTGCTTACCAGATATCATCAAGCTATATAAAAATAGTTGGTATAAGTAAAGCTTCAAAAACTAAGTTAATTAACATAAAGTGTGTTCTTATTTTAGATTCTACTATAATGTCATTTTGAATTTTTTATCTAGTGATTTAAATAAAATTGTTATAAAATTAGGCTTTTTCATAGTTAATATATCTGTATAACGCATAGAATATGCAAAGAACTGATGTTAAAATTAAAACTGTAAAACTTATTTTAAGACCTAATAATTAGATTTCTGAGTTTTTTACAAATTCTTTGATTTGCTAATTAATTCCAATAGAAAAAATCATTACGCACAACTAACTATACTAAATGATCAACCCTGATATAATTTTATCATAAAGTTTGCTAGAATAAAAAATGAGCTTAACATTATAAGTATATAAGAAAATTGAACAGAAAGCTAAAAAGCAAAATAAGCAAATTGAAAATATTATAAAATATTATCCACCTGTTTGTAAAATGTTAAAAGATATATTCACTAATTAGTATCTATCATTTTAATAATTTTAGTAATCTGAACTTATTACATTTTTAAACACATTTAGAAATGTAAACTGCTAAGTTGGATACTGTTCTTTTAATATAAAATTAAATAAATTTTATTATTATAAAAAATAAAAAATAAATAAAATAGTTTAGTTAATTAATTAAAATTAATTTAAAGGAATAATAAATTAAAATTAATTTTTCTAATTCATTCAAATAAAAATAATTACTAGATAAAGCTTACAAAAATTGGTAGATATTTTTGGGAAGGAGAGTATTTACCAGTAAAAAATAACTAAATTTTTAAACTATAAAACCACTCATCAATATGCCAAAGCTTGAGGAAGACACTAAATTTTATATAAAACTCAAAGATATTGTACTTGTAAATGCTATTTATGATGAGTAATTTATCGATTAGTTAATCAACTACATAGAATCATCACTTATGGAGGAATTATAGCTTAAATATTATTTGAAAAGAAAATTTAGATCATAGAATTCTGAACATTGGCTTTAACTAATTCCAAAGCATTTTTTACATCCCTAAAAGCAAGCTTTGCAATATGTTGATTAAATAAAAAAGCCATTGTTTGTATCGCAAATTTTACATGATTAATCATCATGTAAATATTTTCCAACAGGACATGTTAAGCAATTAGTTGGTAAAGAGCCGTTACAATTCAAGCAAGTTTAATCACAATTAAAACAATTAACACCACTGATGTAGACACCAGTGTTTTAGCATGATTAGCAAGAGTTATCTGTGTATAAGTATGTGTTAGTTGGACATGATAAACAATAAATAGAATAATTCACACAAGTTAAGCAATTTAAATCACACTTCAAGCAAGAACTTCCTACTAAATAGTATCCATCAATACAACTTTGACAATTTAGCATACTATTATCACATGAACTACAACCTAAAGGGCACTTTTAAATAAAAAATCTTAAACATTAAAGTTTATTATATTACCTTGATTTATTTTTTTCAAACTTTGGATTCAAGATACTTTAAAAACTTACTTAAAACAGATTTAATAATAATCAATAAAACTACATAAAAACATATTTATTTATAGAAAATCAATGTGTGATAGAATGAATAAATGAAAATTTATTCATATTTTTTTATAAAATCTTAAAATTTTTAAAAAGAGAAAGGGAGTGTAAGATATTAATTAATAAACATTTAAAGAATTAAAATTATTATTGTTAAAAATAAATAAATACCTTAAATATCAATATGTAAAGCTATTCAATATATTTTGTATACTAGCCAGGATAGAAGGAAATTTAAGTAACTAATTGATTAAGATTATCAAAAACTAGGTTACTTGAATAGTAATCACATAAACTTTGAGGACTAAGGTAAGCAGATGGAGGAAAATTTGTAGATTTTGGAGCTAAATTATTAACAGAAATAGAAGCATTTATTGTTGGACAGCTACTATTAGATTAAAAAACCCATTGAACTGGGAAAATGAAGACTCTTTAAGCATAATATGGAGTGCTAATTACATTTTTAAAAAATGTTTATAATAAACTATTAATTAATTTTATAGCCCATATTAAAAGTGATTATGTTTGTTACCTATTATATTTATAAACTATAGGAAATGTATAGTCACAGCTATCGCCTCCTATCCCATAAAACATAGCACCATTTGGAACAGATTTAATACTTTAGCAGTTAGAACTAGGAAATGTCAGATTAGGGCTAACTTGGCTAATGCTTGGGATATTATTCAAGGCTAAAGCACAGATAATTTCTTAAATGTTTTAAATTTATATTATATTTATAGAATAAAAAATATTTTTTACGTGATGAATTGAAATTATATTTTATTATCATACTTGAACAATCATATCCATAGACTTAATCCATTTCTTTAAAAAATAGCAAAACAGCAATTTAAATAATAATTTAAATGTTTTTTAAAAGATAAATAAATTACATTTACTTTTAATTTTACCTTTATTTTTTTTATTGAATCTTTTTTGAAAAAATTAATTATAACATTTGTGTTATTTTTTGCCTGAAATAAATGCACTTATGAATAATTTCAAACATAAAAATATAAATTTTTATGATAAATTTGTAATTGATAAAAGAAATTATATTGAAATTTTTTTTCGCATTAATTAACAGCAGAGTATTTTTAAAGCTATGGCTTAAAACTAAATAAAATCTAAATTTTATATTTCATTCACAATACACATTCCTTTAAATTATTTTGTAACCATACATATTTAAGTTGCAATCATTTAAAAAATACAAATCTAGAAAAAGTAAAAAGTAAGTTAAAAATTATAAAAGAATTTATAAATTAAAGATAAAAGCTAACAGAAAAAGTAAATCGATTAGCGGAAAATATATGTTTATTTTAAACATTTTAAAAATTATTTTTTCATTTTTATAATTTGATTTTTTCATAATTTTTTAATCATCTATGATAGAAGTAGATATAAGTTATGAAATAAACTCAATGAAACATTATTATTTTCCTAAATACATTTTTTGAGCTCAAATAAAATAATTATAAAAATAAATAATAGAAAAGTCTATTTAAAATAATAAAACAAAAAATTAACTTATTAATGTTTGTTTATATATTAAATTAAAGATATTTATACCAATTAAGAAATGGAATTATTATACATTATAGTGAATATAACTAAATTATGTAACAAAATAAATATTATAAATCCTCATTAATTAAGAACTAACCTGCCTCTTATTTTTTATTTAAAAATTTACAATTATTTGTAAATTTTTAATTAATTTAAAATGAATTTATAATAAACAAATAATACAATATTTATATTAATAATAATTATTTTTAAATGCCATCATTCATTTTTTAAATTAAAATTAATTTTTATATTTTAATTATTTTTTAGAGTAGTTGAACAATTAAGAGTCTTTAGACATTAATTAATCAAAGAATTATGACATTTATCTTTCTTTTTCATATATATCTAATGATGATTATATTGTATTTTTTATTTGATTATCTGAACTTCTATACAAGATAATTTTATTAAAGCTTTGATTATTATTTTCTTTCCTTTTTTAATTAATAAATTAAATCAGCTACATAATTAGTTAAATTAATATTAAAAAAGCAGGTAATAACATTATTACGAATAGTATAATTAAAAATACTAAGGAGCTTACATCTAATAATAATTCATAATTTTTAATAAATTTTTCCGAAATAATAATATTTATAAAGAGAAATACTATGTAAAGTATCAACCACAGCAAGGAATTCATTATAAAAAAAATGTTATTTAGTTTAGAAGTAAAAGGTCTTAAATAAATTATTATTGTAAAAAAGCTTAATTAAATAGTAATAGAAAGTGATGTAGCAGCTTACCAGATTTCGTCAAGTTATATAAAAATTGTTGGTATAAGTAAAGCTTCAAAAATTAAGTTAATTAACACAAAGCTTGTTTTTATTTTAGATTCTGTTATTATATCATTTAGAATTTTCTATTTAGTGATTTAATTAAAATTATTACAATAAAATTAAGTTTTTTAATATCTAATATATCTTTCTAATGCATAGAATATGCAAATAATTGATATTAAAAATAAAACTGTAAAGCATATTTTTAAACCCAATTATTAAATTGCAGAATTTTTTATAAATTCTTTGATTTACTAATTAATTCCTATAGAAAAAATCATTACGCACAGCTAACTATATTAAATGATAAGCCCTGATATAATTTTTTCATAAAATTTGTTAGAAATTTAAATGAGTTTAATATTTTTAGCATAAGAGAAAATTAAGCAGAAAACTAAAAAGCTAATTAAACTTATTGAAAATACTATAGCATACTATCCACCTGTTTGTAAAATATTAAAAGATATATTCACTAATTTGTATCTATCATTTTAATAGTTTTAATCATCTGAGCTGATTATATTTTCAAAGACGTTTAGAAATTTCAATTGCTTAGTTGGATATTGTTCTAATTTAATTTAAAGTTTAAAATATTTAAAAATAAAATTATAGGTTTAAATTTGTTTTTTGAAAATTATTTAAATTAGTTAACTAATTAATTAATTTGTTTGTTTAAATAAAAATAATTACTAGATAAAACTTGCAAGAATTAATAGATATTTTTGGGTAAAATAGTGTCTATTAGTAAAAAATAGCTAAACTTCTAAACTATAAAGCCACTCATTAATGCACCAAAACTAGAAGAAGAAACTATATTTTATAAAAAACTCAAAGATACTATACTAGTAGAGGCTATTTATGAAGTCTATGCTGTTGATTAGGTTATTGACTTCATAGAACTTTCTCCTAATGAGGAATTATACGTAAAATTTTACAATACACATTATGATTTAAATAAAGAATATGAATCATAGCAATCAGAACATTGGTTTTAACTTATTCCAAAACAAGTTTTACACCCCTTAAAGCAGACTTTACAATATATACCTTCAATAGTAAATCCATCATTTATTTTACAGATTTTACATGAATTATCATCATGTAGATACTTTCCATTAGGGCATGTTAAGCAATTAGTAGGTAGAGAGCCGTTGCAAGTAAAACAACTCTAATCACAGTCTAAGCAATTAGTGCCGCTTATGAATACTCCTGTATTTTAGCATGGTTAACAAGAGTTATTCCTATATAAATACTTTCCAGTAGGACATGTTAAGCAATTAGTAGCTAGAGAGCCGTTACAAGTAAAACAACTTAAATCACAGTCTAAGCAATTAGTACCGCTTATGAATACTCTTGTATTTTGACATGATTAACAAGAGTTATTTCTATATAAGTATGTGCTTGCTGGACATGATAAACAAAAAGTAGAAGAATTTACACAAGTCAAGCAATTTATATTACATTATTAACAAGAATTTCCTACTAAAAAATACCCATCAACACAACTATTGCAATTTATTAAATTTTCATCACATGAACTGCAAAATTAAGGACACTTTTTATTTAAAAATATTAAAATTTTTTAAAAAAATAACTGAAATATATTTTATTAAATTAATTCAATAAATTTTTTTCAATCTTTAGCTTCAATATTCTCTAAAACTAAATTTAAGATTTGACTCTATAACTTGTTTATTTATTTTTCAAAAATTTATAATGAATAAATAAATGAGGTTTTTGGTATATTTTTAATAAAAAAAAGTTAGTGATTAATATAATTCCTAAAAAATTTGAAAATATTTATAATTAAATTAAAAGTAAATTTATTAGTTTTTGCAAAATGAAAATTTTATTTATTTACTTTAAATAATAAAAAAAATAATTTTAGATTTTTCGAGCTAATTAAAAACAAAATTTGTAATTTAATCCCATAAAAAGTAACAAAATTACAATTTTAATAATTAACTAAATATTTTAAAAAAGCAACATTATATTTCTTTTAACTGATTTTTTTTTAATGAATCTTTTTTAAAAAAATTAATTATAAATATGATGTTATATTTTTATGGAGTAAATCTTTTAAAATATATTAAGAAAGAAGACTATTTATTTTTGTGGAAAAATTGTAATTAATAAAAAAAATGAATCAATTTTTTTTCCCCCCAAATGATTATAAAAAAGAGCGAATTAGTATATATGTTTGGCTAAAAAGATACGCTATTTTGTTTTCCATAAATATTTAGCCTGATTGATTAAATTTGAAACAAAGAAATTTTGGAAAATTAGTTCAAGTATATAAAAGAACCGAATTATTGATACATTTAAAAGAAAAATATTAAAATGAAGAATAATTGCGTATATTTTTTATAATTTTTAGTTAACTACAGACAGGGATTTTAATTAAATGGAAAAATGGCTAGTATTACTTTTGCTGATATTCCTAGTAGAGAGTAAGAAATATGTTGATAAATAATTTGGTTAGGCGAAAATTTGATGATATTAAAGGAAGAGTTGTTAATCATCGATTGTAAGTTAAAACTAAAAATTGTAGCATCATGTAGAAATAGCAATGTTTAGTTGGATCAAAGGATATCATATGCAAAAGAATATTTACTGGAAATACTCAGCAAAATAAAAAATTCTTCTACAATATCTGTGGAAATGCAAAATCAGTATTTTTAAAGGAAAAGGATTTTTAGACACTTTACTTTGCTATTTCTCTTACTTAAAATTCAGATCAGTTGGAAAGCTTACAATGATATAATTTTATCTACCAAAATAAAGTAATCTCTATGCTTTAGGAAGTGAGAAATTAGATAATTTACAAATATACAATATTAAATTAGAAGAAGATGAATTAGCGGTAGAAATTCGTATGGATATTGCTTTAAATTCAATATTCCTTCTTATGAATAAAAATTAGATATACCATGTTTTAATTTAAAAAGCTAAGCTTAATGATGGTTCAATAAAAGTGTTTAAATCAAAAGGTACTTTAAGACTTCACAAAAATAATTTAATCTTTACTTTTTGCGTACTTTCAATTCCTTAGAATATAGAATAATGCTTCTTTAAATAAAATGAATATAATTTACAAATATAAACTTCATTCTAGACTTTTAAGCCATCACTTTCTAATGTTAATTACCTACTATTTTTGTTGCTGGATTGAGAGGAAGTAATAAAAATATTCTCAGTAGATCTAAGCACTCATGAATAAATCTACCAAGATTCTGATATTGAATTAGAATCCCCAGTTACCTATCTAGAATAAGTGGGTCTTTAAAATTTAGGCAGCATCATTCCTCCAAATAAAGTTTCTTCAAATTAATAACTTCCTAACAACGATGAAATAAACAATTTGATTTAAGAAAGTAATCAAAAATAAATTAAAAACCCTTGCAATAAATAATCTGATAGCAAGTATATGAAGAGGTATAAAATCCTAAAATAGTCAAAGCTTTATAAATAGCTGAAAAATTATTTTAGTTTTATCTTTTTCAATAATAATTTTGTATATTAATAATGTTTTTATAAAAATTAAAGGTTAAAATATAAAGTCTAATGAGAACGTGAACCCACTACAATAGTAACCGATAATGTCAAATTTACATGTATTTTTGTGACTAGGAAATACCAAATTAGGGCTAACTTGATTAATTTTTGGGATATACTCTATGATACATATAATTTTTAAATCATTTTAATTAAAATTTTTTTTATAGAATGAAAAATATTTTTTACATGATGAATTGAATTGAAATTTTATTTTGCTATAATATTTGAACAATCTTTTCCATTGATTTAATTCATTTCTTTAAAAAATAGCAAGACACAATTTAAATGTCTTTTAAAAGTTTAATAATTTACATTTAATTATAATTTTACCTCAATCTTTTTTTAAAAAAATTATGAAACATTTATGTTAATTTTACTTGAAATAAAAACAATTATGAAAAATTTCAAACATAAATTTGTAATTAATAAAAGTAATTCCAGCGAAATATTTTTTTTCAGAAGTTAAATGCGGAGTATTTTTCAAGTTACTGATTAAAACTAAATTAAATCTAAATTTTATATTTCATTCATAATACATACACATTCTTTTACATTATTTTGTAAACAAGCATTTTTAAGTTACAATTATTTAAAAGATAGAAAGCTATAAAAAAAAGTAAGTAAAAAACAAAAAAAATTTGTAAATTAAAGACAAAGGCTAAAAGAATAAATAAATTTAGTAGCAGTAAGTATATATTTGTTTTAAACATTTTAAAAATAATTATTTCAACTTTCTAATTTGATTTTTCAAGTTTTTTAATAATCAATAATAGAAGTAGATAATAAATTCTGAAATAAAAGCAATCAGACATTATTATTTTACTAAATAAGATTGTTTGAGTTCAAATGCGATAATTATAAATAATTCATAAAATTAATAATTCGAAAAAATATTTTTAAAATAATTAAAAAAATAGTTTATAATGTTTATTTCTATATTCAATTAAGATATTTATTCCAAGTAAGAAATGTATTTATTATACATACTGCTAACATAAATAAATTGTTTTTAAAAATATTTATTATAAATCCTAATTAATTAAGAACTAACTAACCCTTTAATTTTTATAAAATAAAATCTACAATTATTTTTTAAAAATTATTAAATTAACTAAATATTTTCTAAAAAAATGTTTATGGGTTATTGCGACTTTTATATTTGTGTTAAAGCATTTATTCAAAAATTTCTACAATAAAAAAATATGATTTTTTGAAAATTAACTTCAATATAAAATATCTTTTTTTGTAAATTTTTATTATTTTAAAAATTTTTTATGTTTTTATGATAAATATTTATTATAAACAAAATTTAATACAAAATATATTTTACTAATAAATAATCAGTTACTTTTTAAATCGAATTAATTTTTATATTTTAATTATTTTCTGGAGTAGTTGAACAAGTGATAACGTTTAGATATTAATTTATCAAATAAAGATGACATTTATATTTCTTTTTCATATGTATTTAAGGTTTATTATATGGTATTTTTAATTTGAGTTTCTGAACATCTATTCAACATAATTTGATTAAAGCTTTATTACTATTAATTATTATTTTCTTTTCTTTTTTAATTAATTAATTCAATCAGCTACATAATTAGTTAAATTAAGGTTATAAAAGCAGGTAATAATATTAATAAGAATAGTATAATTAAAAATACTAAGGAGCTTACATCTAATAATAATTCATAATTTTTATTAAATTTTTCCTAAATAATTATATTTAAAATGAGAAATACTATGTAAAGTATCAACCATAGCAGAGAATTTATTATAAAAAAAATGTTATTTAGTTTAGAAGCAAAAGGTCTCAAATAAATTACTATAATAAGAAGGCTGAATTAAATACATATTGTAATTGACGTAGCAGCTTGCCAGATTTCATCAAGCTATATAAAAATAGTTGGTATAAGTAAAGCTTCAAAAACTAAGTTAATAAACACAAAGCGTGTTCTTATTTTAGATTCTACTAAAATATCATTTAGATTTTTCTATTTAGTGATTTAATTAAAATTATTACAATAAAATTAGGTTTTTTAATAGTTAATATATCTTTTTAATGCATAGAAAATACAAAAAATTGATAATTAAAATAAAACTGTAAAGCCTATTTTTAAACCCAATTATTAAATTACAGAGTTTTTTACAAATTCTTTGATTTACTGATTAATTCCTATAGAAAAAATCATTATGCACAACTAACTATATTAAATGATAAACCCTGATATAATTTTTTCATAAAATTTGCTTGAAATTTAAAGGAGTTTAATATTATTAGCATAAGTGGAAATTGTGCAGAAAACTAAAAAGCAAAATAAGCTTATTGAAAATACTATAGCATACTATCCACCTGTCAGTAAAATATTAAAAGATATATTCACTAATTTGTATCTATCACTTTAATAATTTTAATCATCTGAGCTGATTATATTTTCAAAGGCATTTAGAAATTTCAATTGCTTAGTTGGATATTGTTCTAATTTAATTTAAAGTTTAATATATTTAAAAATAATATAATAGAAAAAAAATTAGTTTTTTGAAAATTATTTAATTGAGTTAACTTATTAATTAATTATTCAAATAAAAATAATTACTAGATAAAGCTTTCAAGAATTAATAGATATTTTTGGGTAAAAGAGTGTCTACCAGTAAAAAATAGCTAAACTTTTAAACTATAAAACCACTCATTAATAAGCCAAAACCAGAGGAAGAAACTATATTTTATAAAAAACTCAATGATACTATGCTAGCATAGGCTATTTATGAGGTTTATCCTATAGATTAGTTTATTGACTACATAGAGCTATCTCCGAATGAGGAATTATAGACAAAATATTACTAATCACATTATAATTTAAATAAAGAATATGAGTCATAGCAATCAGAACATTGGTTTTTACTTATTCCAAAACAAGTTTTACACCCCTTAAAGCAGGCTTTACAATATATACCTTCAATAGTAAATCCATCATTTATTTTACAGATTTTACATGAATTATCATCATGTAGATACTTTCCATTAGGACATGTTAAGCAATTAGTAGGTAGAGAGCCGTTGCAAGTAAAACAACTTTAATCACAGTCTAAGCAATTAGTGCCGCTTATGAATACTCCTGTATTTTAGCATGGTATACAAGAGTTATTCTTATATAAATACTTACCAGATGGACATGTTAAGCAATTAGTAGGTAGAGAGCCGTTGCAAGTTAAACAACTCTAATCACAGTCTAAGCAATTAGCGCCGCTTATGAATACTCCTATATTTTAGCATGATTAACAAGAGTTATTTCTATATAAGTATGTGCCTGCTGGACATGATAAACAAAAAGTAGGAGAATTCACACAAGTAAAACAATTCTAATCACAGTCTAAGCAATTAGCGCCGCTTATGAATACTCCTGTATTTTAGCATGGTATACAAGAATTATTTGTATATAAGTATTTGCTTGCTGGGCACGATTAACAAAAAGTAGAAGAATTTATGCAAGTTTAACAATTTATATCACATTTTAGACAAGAATTATTTGATAAATAATATCCATCAGCACAACTATGGCAATTTATTAAATTATCATCACATGAACTACAACCTAAAGGACACTTTTTATTTAATATTAATTTTTTAATAAAAATAACTGAAATAAATTTGTTAAAATTAATTAAATCAATTTATTTCAATCTTTAGCTTTAAAATTTTCTAACTAAATTTAAGATTTTATTAAAATTTGATTCTATTAATTTGTTTTTCATCAAATTAAAAAAAAAATATTAGCTACAAATTAAAAAAATTTAGAAAATGTTAATAATTAAATTAAAAGTAAGTTTATTATTTTTTGAAAAAGAAAAGTTTTATTTATTTACTTTTAATAAATTAAAAAAATAATTTTAGACTTTTCAAGCTAATTAAAAAACAAAATTAGTAATTTAAATAATAAATACCTTAAATATTAGTATGTAAAGCTTTTCAATATATTTAACATAAAGGCCAGGAGAGAAGGAAATCTTAGTAACCATTTAATTAAGATTAGGAAAAATAAAGTTTGTTTTAAAGTAATCACATAAAGTTATATTAGAAAAGTAAAGAGATAATGAAGAGGTGTTAAATCTTGGAGCTAAATCATTAACAGATAAAGAAGAATTTAAAGTCGGGCAATTACTAATAGTGGATTAGAATACCCAATTAATTGGGTAAAGGAATACTCTTTAAGCATAATATGGTGAGCTATTTATAATTTAAAATATAATATTTAATATCTTTGTTGTAATTTATTTAACTATGCATTAAAAAATTAACAAGATTACCTATTATAATTAAATATTATTGGTTTTGTATAATCACAATTATCACCTCCTGTCCCATAATATGTATTACTTGGTACAATAGTTTTAATATTTTAGCAATCACTGCTTGGAAAATTTAAATTATGATCTATTTAAGTGATATCTGAGATTAAATTATAAGCTAAAGCACATATAATTTCTTTAAGTTTAATTATTATAATTTATATTAGATTTATTTTTAAAAAAAATTATTACGCGATGGATCAAAACTATTATCTGATATAATACCTGAACAATCATTTCCTTTGACTTAATAAACACCCTTAAAAAGTAACAATATTGCAATTTTAATGATTAGTTACATACTTTTAAAAAGCTACATTATTTTAATTTTCTTTTACCTAAATCTTTTTTAATCAATCTTTTTACAAAAAATTAATTATATATTTCATGTTTTTTTTTACTTTTAGAATTAACTTTTTTATATAAAATTAAGAAGACGATTAGTTTTTGTGGTAAATTTTAATTAATAAAAAATCCCCCCAAGTAATAATGAATTAGAGTCAATTAATATAAATTTTTGGCTAAAAACAATAAAAATGGTAAGATGCGCTATCTTCATTTAATTTTCCATAAATATTTAGTTTGATTGATTAAATTTGAAAAAATTAAGTTTTGGAAAATTAAGTTAAGAAAATATAAAAGAACCTAATTAGCTATACAGTTAAAAGAAATATATAAAGGAAAATAAATAATAAATTTACATTTATTTTAAACTTTTGAATATGTTTATTATTTTTATTAACTATAATTAACCTATCAGAATATAAATCAACTAAATCAGAAAAATAAATATTTAAAATTAATATATTTTATTTATTATTTTAGCTGCTCATAAATTTTTATTGGAACAGAATAATTTTGTCAATTTAAAATATAATTCATAAATAATACTAAATGATTTATTTTATATTAAAATGTTAAATACTCTTCTAATTAAATTAACATATAAGTTTCAATCAAATTTATTTTAAAATTTTTTGTTTAAATTATTTAGCTACTTAAAAATTTAATTATTTTAAATTTAAATATTTATTTGAAAATAATTATTAAATTTATTAAAAAGTTAAAAATATTTTAAAACTTTTTGATGATAGTTTTTTAGATATCTCATTTTAATGCCAATGAAATTAAAATTTGATATAATGAATGTTTGTTTTTAATGCGTCAAATAAATAAATAACAAATTGATGAAAAAAATTGTACAAATGAATTTTTTGTGGCTTCTAAAATTTTGTTGCTTTTGCAAATGAATGTAAATAATATAAAAAGCTTTTAAATATTTTTTTAATTTATTTTGCAAAAGATTGACGTAAAGAATTGTTATTATTGTTTGATAGATAATTTAAGTATGTAGATAGATTCAATTATAAATAAAAATCAATTAAAGACATACAAATAGGATTCATTAATAAATAAATAATAAAAGCATAAAGTTCCCTATTTTCTGCTAACAGTAACAAATAAATGAATAAAAATATACAAAGAATTCTGCTTATAGTAATTAATTGGCTTTAATTGATAGGAATTTATTGTTAACTAATTGTGAAATTTTAGAATCTAGAGCTTTAAATGAAGCAAAGCTTATATTTTTTACAATTTTTAGTTAACTACAAACAGAAACTTTATTACAATAATTAACTCCCGATGAGACTTTCATTAAAAAGGATATGAAATTTCTACCTGATATAAAGTAATTTTAGTTTAAATAAGCTGAAAGGAAATCTTAATCTGGCCACAACGAAAATTTCTTAGTTATTGTTGACATTTAAAATAGAGTACATATTATAGATATTGAAATTGATGTTAAAAATGGAAAAGTGGCTTGTATTATTTTTGCTGATATGCCAAGTAGAGAGTAAGAAATGTGTTTGTTGATAAATATTTTGGTTAGGTGAAAATTTGATTATATTAAAGAAAGGTATGTTAATAATAGATCGTATGTTAAAACTAAAAATTTTAGCATCATGTAGAAATAGCAGTATTTAGTAAGATCGAAGGAAATCGCATGCAAAAGAATATTCAGATCATCTAAGCACTCACGAATAAATCTAAGATTCTGATACTGAATTAGAATTCTCAGTTATCTTTCAAGATTCAGCGGATCTTTAAAATGTAGGAAGGATTATTCCTCCAAATAAAGTTTCTTCAAATTAATAACTTCCAAACAACAATGAAATAAACAATTGTTTTAAGCTCTGCAATAAAATACAAATTATAAAAATCCTAGCAATAAATAATCTAATTGTAAGTGTATGAAGATGAATAAAATCCTAAAATTGTCAACACTTAAGAAATAGATGAAAAAATTACTTTAATTTTGTATTTTAAATATATTTTTTTTAAATTAGTAATGTTTTTATAAAAATTAAAGGTTAAGATATAAAGGATAATGATAATACGAACCCACTAGAATAGTAACCATAATGTCAAATTATAAGCAATTCTCTGTAATTTCAAAAAAATTTTATGGCTTATTGCAATTTTTATATTTGTGTTGGAGCATTTATTCAAAAATATATACTTTTAAAAAATATGATTTTTTGAAAATTAACTTCATAATATAATAGAATATCTATCTCTTTTTTGTAAATATTTTTATTTTTTTGAAATTTTTTATGCATTTATTATAAATAATTATGTAATAAATTTTTAATACAGAAATATATTTTAAATCAGAATTAATTTTTATATTTTAATTATTTCTTAGAGTAATTGAACAAGTGAAGACGTTTAGACATTAATTTATCAAATTAAGATGACATTTACATTTCTTTTTCGTATGTATTTAAGGTTTATTATGTAGTATTTTTTATTTGAGTAACTTAACTTCTAATCAAGATTATTTGATTTAAGCTTTATTCCTATTTATTATTATTTTCTTTTCTTTTTTACTTAATAAATTGAATCAGCTACATAATTAGTTAAAGTAAGGTTAAAATAGCTGGTAATAACATTATTACAAACAGTATAGTTAAAAATACTATGGAGTTTACATCTAACAATACTTCATAATTTTTAAATCTTTAGTAAATAGTAATATTTAAAATGAGAAATACTATGTAAAGTATCAACCATAGCAGAGAATTCATTATAAAAAAAATGTTATTTAATTTAGAAGCAAAAGGTCTTAAATAAATTGCTATAATAAGAAGGCTGAATTAAATAGCTATTGTAACTGATATAGCAGCTTGCCAGATTTCATCAAGCTATATAAAAATAATTGGTATAAGTAAAGCTTCAAAAACTAAGTTAATAAACACAAAGCGTGTTCTTATTTTAGATTCTACTAAAATATCATTTAGAATTTTCTATTTAGTGATTTAATTAAAATTATTATTATTATTATTATAAAATTAGGTTTTTTAATTATTAATATATCTTTCTAATGTATAGAATATGCAAAAAATTGATATTAAAGATAAAACTGTAAAACATATTTTTAAACCCAATTATTAAATTACAGAGTTTTTTATAAATTCTTTGATTTACTGATTAATTCCTATAGAAAAAATCATTACGCACAGCTAACTATATTAAATGATAAACCCTGATATAATTTTTTCATAAAATTTGCTAGAAAATTCAATGAGTTTTATATTTTTAGCATAAGTGGAAATTGTGCAGAAAACTAAGAAGCAAATTAAACTTATTGAAAATACTATTGCATACTATCCACCTGTCTGTAAAACATTAAAAGATATATTCACTAATTTGTATCTATCACTTTAATAATTTTAATCGTCTGAGCTGATTATATTTTCAAAGGCGTTTAGAAATTTCAATTGGTTAGTTGGATATTGTTCTAATTTAATTAAAGTTTAAAATACTTAAAATAATTATAATAGATTTTAAATTAGTTTTATGAAAATTATTTAAATTAGTTAGCTAATTATTCAAATAAAAATAATTACTAGATAAAGATTACAAGAATTAATAGATATTTCTGGGTAATATAGTGTCTATTAGTAAAAAATAGCTAAACTTCTAAACTATAAAGCCACTCATTAATAAGCCAAAGCCTGAGGAAGAAACTATATTTTATAAAAAACTCAACGATACTATGCTAGTAAAGGCTATTTATGAGGTTTATACTATAGATTAGTTTATTGACTACATAGAACTATCTCCGAATGAGGAATTATAGGTAAAAAATTATTAATCGCATTATGATTTAAATAAAGAATATGAATCATAGCAATCAGAACATTAGTTTTTACTTAGTCCAAAACAAGTTTTACACCCCTTAAAGCAGGCTTTACAATATATACCTTCAATAATAAATCCATCATTTGTTTTACAGACTTTACATGAATTATCATCATGTAGATACTTTCCATTAGGACATGTTAAGCAATTAGTAGGTAGAGAGCCGTTGCAAGTAAAACAACTCTAATCACAGTCTAAGCAATTAGTACCGCTTATGAATACTCCTGTATTTTAGCATGATTAACAAGAGTTATTCCTATATAAATATTTTCCTGCAGGACATGTTAAGCAATTAGTAGGTAGAGAGCCGTTGCAAGTTAAACAACTTTAATCACAATCTAAGCAATTAGTGCCGCTTATGAATACTCCTGTATTTTAACATGATTAACAAGATTTATTCTTATATAAATACTTTCCAGATGGACATGTTAAGCAATTAGTAGGTAGAGAGCCATTGCAAGTAAAACAACTCTAATCACAGTCTAAGCAATTAGTGCCGCTTGTTAAATCTAAATAGTATCCATCAGCACAACTATGGCAATTTATTAAATTATCATCACATGAACTGCAAAATTTAGGACACTTTTTATTTAAAAATATTAAAATTTTAATAAAAATAACTAAAATAAATTTTACTTAATTAAAATTTTAGCTTCAATATTCTTTAAAATTAATTTAATATTCTATTAAATTAGACTTTATTAATTTTTTTATTTATTTTTAAAAAATTGATAATTAATCAAATAAAAGATTTTTTTGGTATATTTTTAATAAAATTTAAAAAAATATTAGTGATTAAAGAATTCCTAAATAACAAAATGTGAAAATGCTAACAATTAAATTAAATTAAAAGTAAATTTATTAATTTTTGAAAAGAAAATGTTTATTTATTATTAATTTATTTACTTTTAATAACCAAAAAAAACAATTTTAGACTTTTGGAGCTATTAAAAAATAAATACCTTAAATATTAATATGTAAAGTTTTTCAATATATTTAACATAAAGGCCAGGACTGAAGGAAACCTTAGTAACTCTTTAGTTAACATTATGAACAAGAAAGCTTGTATTATAGTAATCACATAAAATTATTGCACTAAAGTAATCAGATAATGGAGGACTGAAAGATTATGGAGCTGAATCATTAACAGATATATAAGAAGTTAAAAGCGGGCAATCACTTCTAGTGGATGAGAATGCCCACTGAGTTTGCTAAACGAATACTCTTTAAGCATAATATGGCCAACTATTTATAATTTAAAAGATAATGTTTAATATCTTTATTGCTGTTTATTTAAGTATGCATTAAAATTAACTAGATTACCTATCATAATTAAGTATTATAGGTTTTGTATAATCACAATTATCACCTCCTGTTCCATAATATGTTTTATCTGTTAGAATACTTTTAATATTTTTGCAATCATCGCTTGGAAAGTTTAAATTATGACTTATTTATCTGAAATCTGAGATTAAATTAAAATCTAATGCACACATAATTTCTTTAAGTTTAATTATTATAATTTAGATTACATTTATTGAAAAAAAAATATTATTACGCGATGAATCAAAATTATATTGTGATATAATATCTGTACAATCAATTCCTTTAACTTAATAAACTCCTTTAAAAAGTAGTAAGATTGCTATTTTAATCATTAGTTAAATATTTTTAAAAAGCTACATTATTTTAATTTTCTTTTACCTAAATTTTTTTAATCAATCTTTTTAAAAAAAAAATAATTATACACTTTATTTTTTTTTTACTTTTAGAATTAATGTTTTTATATAAATTAGGAAGACCATTAATTTTTGTGGTAAAATTGTAATAAATAAAAAAAATAAATGAATCAATTTTTTCCCCCCCCAAGTAATAATAAAAAAGATTGTATTAGTCTTAGTGTTTTGCTGTAAACAATAAAAAGTGTATATTTTAATTATTTGATTATTAAGATGCTATTTTCATTTAATTTAATCCATAAATATTTAGTTTGATAAATTAAATTTGAAACAAATAAATATTTGAAAATTAAGTCAAATAATATAAAAGAACCTAATTAGCAATACAGTTAAAAGAAAATTATGAAAGAAAGCAATCAATTTATATTTATTTTAAACTCAAATTATAACCAAAAAATAGATATTTAAATTAATATATTTTACTTATTGCTCATAAATTTTTATTAGAATCAAATAATAATTCTTTTTTAAAATATAATTCATAAAAAAAACTAAATTGTTTATCTTATATTAAAAGTTAAATATTCTTCTAATTAAATTAACATATTAATTTTCAATCAAATTTATTTTAAAATTTGTTGTTTAAATTATTTAGCTAATTAGCGAATTAAATTATTTTAAATTGAAGTAATTATTTATTTTTTTTAAATACAATTATTCAATTTATTTATTTAAGCTAAAAATAATTATTAAATTTATTTGTTTAAATTAAAAATATTTTAAAATTTTTTGATAATAGTTTTTAATTTATAAGTAAATTTATTGATATTTCATTTTAATGTTAATGAAATTAAAATTTGATTTGATGAATGTTTGTTTTTAATGTGTCAAATAAATAAATAACACCTTGATGAAAAAAAATAGTTTAAATGATTTTTTTGTGGTTTCTAAAATTTTCTTGCTTTTAAAAATGAATGAAATAATATAAAAAGCTTTTAAGTATTTTTTTAATTTATTTTGCAAAAGATTGATGTAAAGAATTTTTATTATTGTTTGATAGATATTTTAAGTATAATATTTAATTATAAATAAAAATCAATTAAAGACATACAAATAAGATTGATTAATAAATAAATAATAAAAGCATAAAGTCCCATATTTTTAGTAAATAGTAAAAAAATAAATGAGTAAAAATATAGTTAAGGCAATCAAAACAAAGAAGTCCGCTTACCGTAATGAGCTGGCTTTTAGTGATAAGAATTTATTGTTAGCTAATAGCGAAATTTTAGTATTTAGAGCTTAAAATGAAGCAAAGCTTATATTTTTTGCAATTTTTAGTTAACTACAAACAGAAACTTTATTACAAGAATTAACTCCCGATGAGACTTTCATTATAAAGGAAATGAAATTCCTACCTGATACGGAGTAATTTTAGTTTAAGTAAGCTGAAGGAAAATCTTAATCTGGCAACCATAAAAACATCTTAGCTATTGTTGACAATTAAAATAGAGTATATTTAATAGATATTGAAGTTGATTATGAAAATGGAAAAATGGCTTGTATAATTTTTGCTGATATGCCTAGTAGAGAGTAAGAAATGTGTTAATAAATATTTTGGTTAGGCGAGCATTTGATGATATTAAAGGAAGGGTTGTTAATAATAGATCGTAAGTTAAAGCTAAAAAACCGTAGCATAATGTAGAAATAGCAATATTTAGTTGGATCGAAGGAAATCGCATGCAAAAGAATCGTTGCTGGAAAGACTCAGCAAAATAAAAAGTTCTTCTACGGTATCTGTGGAAATGCAAATTCAGTATTTTTAAATGAAAAGGATAATTAGACACTCTTCTTTGCTATTTCTCTAACATAGAATTCAGATTTATTGGATATTTACCTCTCTGCTTATAATGATATAATTGTGGCTACCAAATCAGGAACTCTGTATGCTTTGGGAAGTGAGAAATTAGATAAATTACAAACATATAACACTAAATTAGAAGAAGATGAATTTGTGGTAGAAACTCACATGGATAATGCTTTAACTTCAATATTCCTTCTTACGAATAAAAATTAGATATACCATATTTTTATTTAAAAAGCTAAGCTCAAAGACGGTTCAATAAAAGTGTTTAAATCAAAAGGTACTTTGAGATTCCACAACAAGAACGTAATCTTTACTTTTTGTGTACTTGCAATTCCTGAATCTATAGAATAATGCTTATTTAAATAAAATGAAAATAATTAACAAATACATACTTCATTCTAGACTTTTAAGCCATCACTTTCTAATGTTAAATACTTACTATTTTCATTATTGGCTTCAGAGGAAGTAATGAAAATATTCTCAGTAGATCTAAGCACTCACGATTAAATATACCAAGATTCTGATATTGAATTAGAATTCCCAGTTACCTATCTAGAATAAGTTGACCTTTAAAATTTAGGCAGCATCATTCCTCCAAATAAAGTCTCTTCAAATTAATAACTTCCAAGCAATGATGAAATAAATAATTTGTTTTAAGCTCTGCAATAAAATACAAATTAAAAACCTTAGCAATAAATAATCTAATAGCAAACATATGAGAAAATATAAAATCCTAAAATAGTCAACACTTAAGAAGTAGTTGAGTAAAAGCCATCATCTAAGCCAGTAAAAAAAATTACTTTAAATTTATCATTTTGTATATTAATAACATTTTTATCAAAATTTAAGGTTAACCCTTCTATTTTACCCTAGCAACAAGATCCTATCTTAGGCTTGCTACTAAATTAATTTGAGTAGCAATAATAATAGTAGATTTAAAATTAAATATAGCAACCTCAACAACCTAATCTTTTGAAAGAGTAATCTTCATACACATCTCATGAGTAAAAAGAAGTGAGAAAGAAGAATTAAATTAGAACTCTTACCAACCAAAATGAATATAATGTTGAGCCTGAGGAAAAGGAATACAACGATCAGGTATCTCATCACAGCCATCATTAACACTCTGAGCATAAAAACTATTTAGAAGAAATTAAGGATAATAAAATAAATAAAATATTCGATGAGAATGTAGATAGGATGACTAACTAGTTAGATGAATATTTCGAAGTATAAAGCATTAATTAAACATGAATTATAAATTTAATTTCTAATTTATCTAATTTTTAAAAGAAAAAATTCAATAAACTTGATGCACAAATTTCAGCAAAAATAGAAAAAATTAGAAAAGAAGATGATATAGTCAATATGGTAGAGAAAAGTACCTAGTGCCAAAGAGATAAACTTGAATAATTTTTGCATGACGAAATGGAGGTCCAATATAAAAGTTACGTTGAGTAAAATATGAAAACTTACATGATAGATATGTTCCAATAAGTCACAAAAATTTTTGAAAGAGGACAAAAGTTTTATACGGATAAGATTTAACAAGAAAAAGAGAAATCTAAAATATAAAATGAAAATTCAGATGAAATACTCAATATTGTCAAGAAAATAACAAGTCCATTCTCTGAATCAACAATCACCTCCAAAAAAATCCTAACTGAAATTGTTCAGCTATCCACAGAGAGAAAAAACAAAATGGACAACTTAGAAAAGCAATTAACTCAGCTAATAACTAAGCAAGATTAAATAGTGACAAGAATTTCAACTATGGAAAAAACATGTAAATAATTAATTGATTTTACAAATAAATAATTAAAAATAAAAAATGTGAATATACAAAAATTAAATTTTAATAGTGCAAGAAGAAATGGCGCCTCAAAAGATTTAAAAAATCATTGAACAATCTGTTGCAAATCAAATCCAGTAAATATTGGAATTTTTCGTAATATATCTAAGTAAATTTACATAAAAAAGGAAACTATAGTATCAAGGAGCAACTACTAAAAATGATAATGTAGTTATTTAGCAAATTAAAAAACCTCCTCATTAATTACAGAGTGAAATTAATTCAGCAAACGAATCAGGAGGTGATAATCCTCGCAGAAAGCCTAAAAAGAAACTTGTAGGAGCTAACTCAAACTTTTGAGCAAATTTAACCTTTAATGTTAAATAGATTGCTTGAAAATAAGCAAAAATAAGTTAAAAATAATGTTTTAATTTTCATTTTTTGAAAATTATTTTTCATTTTCTTTATTTATCTACACAAGTAATATGACTTTAACTATTTTTATGTTGTTGATATAATTATTTAAACAATAAAGCTGCTTTATTATTTTATTTTTGCTTTCATTTACTAATTTATTATGGAGTTCTAAAAATCGTTAGATAATATTCAGTAATTGAAATCTTTTAAAAAGCTAATTTTCTATTCAAAAACTAACTTGATTAAATTACATTTTTATAAATACTTTTTGACCTGACACAACAAAAAAACAACAATAAGTAAAGCTATTTAATTAATTAATTAATAATTGTATTATCTATCTCATCAATTTTTATTTATTATTCAATTGAATCTATCAATCAACGCTTCATAAGTTTCTTTACTACATCCAAATAATTTATACGCTCATCACTTTTAGGGTTGATATCTTTTAAGAATTCATTTGCTTGCTCTTCACTCCATCTATTTCCAAGAGTCATAAGCAATTCCTTGAACTACTCTACTCTTATGTATCCCTCTTATTCCTTGGTTTCATTAGGAGTCTTAGCAAGCTCATCATTGACTGCTTTTTCAACTAGTTTAAATGCCTATGTTAATTATTCATCTTTATCGTTATCTCTTATTTTTTTTGAGACGATGATGAAAACTGCATCCTCGTTTATTCCATCTGCTTCTGGAGAAGTTAAGCAAAACTCATTATACAACTCTTCTAATTCATCGTCAGGAAATGTTATATTAACAGATGTGAGCAGTTCTTTTAATTCACTCAAATTTATATATTTATCATTATCACGATCGAAAAGGGCGAAATTATTTTAATATTGCTATTTCTTCTCTTCTGAAAAAAATTTCTAAAAATCCTAATACAAGTGATGCTTTAATTCTTCAATTATTTCTTTGGCAGGTTTCTTTGGTAAACCATCATTTAATGTAACTAACTACTTTTCTAATTTTCCTGTATTATCCATTTGCTATAAAATTAAGTTTCTCTTTATCAAATAAATTCAAAAGTTATTTATTAATTAATATTAACAATTTCAATAGAAATCTTAATTTGATTCCAATCATTAAATTATGCAACCAATTTTTTATTAATTAATTAATTATTCTTTTTTCATTTATTGAAAATTATTAAAATAATTATTATTTTAATATTTATTTTAATCAATTTATTTATTTTTTTATTACAAAATTAAAATAAATACACAAATAGTTTTATTTAAAAATAAAATTTTTTTAAATTTAATTTAAATTTTTATGAAATAAATGCAAAAAAAATAAAGAATATCTTTGTAATTAACAAAATAAATTTAATTTATAACACTTTGATTAATTTAAAGATTTTTACAAATTCTTCAAATAACTTTAGACAGTCAGTTTGTCCGAGTGGTTAAGGAGGTTGACTCGAAATCAACTGGGTTTACCCGCACAGGTTCAAATCCTGTAGCTGACGAAATTTTTTTTTTCACAAAAAAAAGATTATTTTTTACAATTAATTTAAAGCATGTCTTAGTAAAAAAGTAAAGAACTTTTAATATATTAAATAGGAAAATGAAAAAAATCAAATGGTTTGAAGTGTTAGAAATGAATAGGAAATTCATAAAATTTTAGTGAGAGTTGTATTGTTTCATATTTCTTCTTGAGAAGATATGATTTGTAATAAAAATGTAGGTAAATTCAATTTATTATTTAGAAAACCACGTTTTTCCACATTAAAATTAATTTTTGTGTGGAAATAAATATCTAAAGAATTATATTTCAATAATATACTTTAATTTAATTATTTAATATTAAGTAAATAGATACACTTAGAAATGAACGTATTCGTAATAGGTATCATCTATCTAATATTTGTGTTAACTGCGATTGTAGCATCGTTGTTAACCATCTAAGAAAAGCTTAAGTTTGATGATGAAAACGGCGTACTCATCTTAACAGATAAAAATTTCAAATTTGCACTCGAGTAGCACGATTTTATCATGGTTGAATTTTATGCTCCATGGTGCGGTCACTGCAAAAGCTTGGCTCCTTAATATGAAAAAGCTGCATAATAACTTAAGGATGGTAACTCTAAAGCTGTTCTTTCCAAGGTTGATGCAACTGCTGAGAAATTTGTTGCTTCCCAATTTACTATTTAAGGATATCCTACTTTGAAATTCTTCATCAAGGGTAAATCCATTGAATACAAGGGAGGAAGAACTACAAATGATATCGTTGCATGGATTGAACGTAAAACTGGTCCCCCTTCTCAATTAGTTAGCAATCCTAGCGATCTCTAAGACATCATTAAAGACAACGATGTAAATTTTAACATATTTTTTTTTAAAGAAAAGAAAATAAAATGAACAAATAAAAGAAAGTCAAATAAAAATTTATGTTTACAAAATGATAAAAAATTTTAAGATATTTGCAAAATTTTCAAAAATTGAATATTAATTTTTTTAAAACAAAATTTATTAAAATAAATTGTTCATTTTTTTTTCCATAAAAAAATTTTTTGGTTTATTTTTATAAGTAAAAAAGGAGTTGACATTTTAAAGCCTTTTTTTTAATTAACTTTAACAATTGTTTAATATCATTTTACAAAAAAGGTTGTTTTGGCTTATTTCGGTGATTCTGAAGAAGATAAGGAATACAAGATTTTTGAATCTATCTGCTTGACATACGACCATGTTAAGTTCGTCCATTCTTTTGACTCAGCTACCAAGGATTCAGTTAAGGGTACTTTTAAGAATGTCAAATTATTCAAGAACTACGATGAAAGAGAAAATGACTTTGGTCAATAATAATTCACTGCCGAAAAATTAGGAAAGTTCATTGATGACTTCTCTCATCCTTTGGTTTTCCCTTGGGGAGACACTGCCTCATCAAAGATATATTCTGATAAAAACATCGGTGTCCTTTTGTTCAGAGAAGCTTTCGACTAATCTTCTTTATTAGTTCTCTAAGAAATTGCCAAGACTAGAAAATGTAATTTAAATTTTTTTAATTAAAATTAATTTTAACAGATTTATTTCATTTTTGATTATTTAATTTAATGATAAAAAGTGAAAGAGTAGATTCAATTTGCTTAGGTTGATAAGCAACATAAGGAATACTCAAGAATCAGTGAAAATATTGGTGCTACTGGCTTAAACCTTCCTGCAGTCTTCATCGTTGATCCTAATGAAGAAAATGCTACTTACTTGATGGAAGGAGAAGAATTAAATATTAAGAATTTGGATAGATTCATTAACAACTTTAAGAACAAGAGATTAACTAAGTATATCAAGTCTCTTCCAATTCCTGAAAACACTGGTACTGCTGTTCAAACTATTGTCAGAAAGAATTACGACTAAGTTGTCCGTGCTTCTAACAAGGATTTACTTATTATGTACTTTGCTACCTGGTGTGGTCATTGCAATCAATTCAAGCCCAAGTATGAAGAATTAGCTAAAAGATTTGTTGAAAACACAAATCTTGTTTTTGCTATGTACGATGGTGTAAATAATGCCGTAGAAGATGTCCAAGTTAATAGTTATCCTACACTCTACTTCTTTAAAAATGGTTCCAAAGCCTCTCCTGTAAAGTACGAAGGTAACCGTGACGCTGATGATTTAATTCAATTTGTTAAGAAACACACAACGTAAGCTATATCTTGTTTTATCTTTATTTTAATATAAATTTGTTATTTAAAAAATATAGTCACCCATGGGTTTAACCTTCTGCTTAATGAAGAAATTTCACAAAAATAAGATAATTGTACAAGATAACTAATTTAACTAATTGATTTGTATTAATTAATCTTTTGTGTACTGCTTTAAGCTTAATGTTTTTTAATCATCAATTTAAATTTTTTTAGTAAAACTAATTAATAAACATTTTATGAAATTAAATTTTTAATTTAATTTATACAGCTTACCTTACTTATATTTACTTTAATAAAAATACTCATTTCTTCTTCCATAAAAAATAAAATTGAAATATTTTCTTTATCGTCAATAAAATAAAGTTTTAAAACGGATTATTTTTATAAATTGAATATCAACAACATAATTAGTTATTAGATTTTAGTTATATTTTTAATTTAACTTCTACAACTTAATTAAATAAAAAAGGTCATTTCCAATTCCATTAAATTTAAATTATTATTTAAATTTTTAAAAATAAAATTGTAAATAAATAACATAAATAATTAACAGATTTTAATGAAAAATTAAGAAAATTTAATTGAACTTTTAAAATAAAATAGATTTTTTAAAAATATTTTAATTAAGTTTAAAGAAAATAAATACGACAACATATAAAAATGAAGTTTAAAATTAATTACATTTTTTTTTATAATAAAATAATTTAAATATTTAATGAATGATTGGAATAAATTAACTCTATATTGAAAAGCAATCAATAAAATCATATGACGTGCATTTAGGAGAGAGCTTCTTCTAATGACATAATAGTTTGTTGTTATTGCTATTGTATTAAGATAAAAATTAGATTGTGAAAAGTTTTAAACTAAAGTGTTTGTTTACCATAATTTGTTTGGATTGAATCTCAATTTTATCTAGGAGTTCTTCAGATTGCTATTTATAATGATTGTTTTATTCTTATAAAATATCAGCTCTTTGATTATCTAGTTTGAGTTCTTCAATTTAGAATTCAAGTCTTTCTTTTTCTACTTGAAGCATATTAAAATTAGTTTTTAGCTTAGAAAACTCACTTTTTTGCTTTAAAATTTAATCTTATGCAACTCTAAGCTCAGAATCCTCTCCTTTTGACTCAATCTATTATTTCTTTTTTCAAACGAAAATAAATTTTTGATATTTAAATTGAATAAAATTACTTGTAACTAGATATACAGATTGTTTATTTCTTCTCTTTGGGTAGTTAGTGTTTCTAAATGCTAGTTTTCTAATTATTTATATTGAGTTTTTAGTTTTTCTAGCTCTATTTAAAGCTAATAATTTTATTATTTAAGCTATTCCTACTGCTCAACCAATTCTTTTTGCTAAGCCAAATAATCTGCTGATTTCTTATTTATGTTTTCTGTACTTAGATTTTATATTTCTATTAATTCTCTTATGTAAATTTCCTTCTCCTCCAGAACTTTCTCTAAATGTTATATTTTAAATTTTAACTCATCTTCTGTGCAACCACGCTTAAATTATTCTATTTAGTCACCCAATTTATTTGATCTAAAGTGATTTAATTGGTCTTAGAGAATTTAATTATCTGCCTAGAGTTCTAAAAATATCTTATTTTACTCTTAAAATTTTGAGTTTATGCTTTCATATTCTTTTAATAAATTAGCATATTTTTACCTTATTTCTAAATGCTCAATTCTTTAAGAACCTATCTCTTTAAGTTATCCATCCAAAGAAGCATTTTTTAACTAAAGTAATTTAATTTCATTCTAATTATTTGATATTTAGTTATTTAACAATCCAATTTCTTCACTGTTGCTGTTTATTTTTTGTTTTTGGTTTGCTATTATAGTTGAAAATTCAATGTTTTAATTCTTTAATACTAGATTAACTTATGTTAAATGCTAGTTTTGTTATTCGATTTCTTTTTGTTTTTCAATTAATTTGTCGTTTTCTTAAATCTACTACTTTAGTTCGCTAGCCATATCTTTGTTGCGATTCTTTTACTTTTTAAGCATTTCCTAAATCTGCTTTATTTGCTCCTCATAAGTAATCTTAAGAGTTTCTTTCTACTCATTAAGTATTTAATCTTGTTTTGAGCTCTCTTTTTCAAAAAATTTATAAATCTTATCACTTTCTTAATTAATTTGTATCTAACACCATTCCTCTTTCTTCAAAGCTTATTACTCTAATTCTATGATTTTTAGATTCAACTCCTAGTAATAAATAAATAAATTAATTTAATAATTTAATTAATCACTCATAATCAATAAAATATGTAATCTTTAATAAAAAATCAACCTTTTTAAAATTTACAATTTATTTTTGCAAAAATATTGTAAAAAGTAAGTTTGTAAGTAATTCAATCAGTCACTTTTCACCAATAAAAGTGTTAAAAATTGGAAATTTTGTTGGGATAAACTAAAAACAAAGCAAATCAAATTAATTATTTTGATTGATTAATTAATTGAGAATGCATAAAACATTACTTTCACTCTTTAATGAAGATATGCTTTTTCTTCTCTCTCATAACTCATTAAGTTGGCAGTATTTTAATCTATTTTCTGTAATTTTTGAAGCAATTCTTACACTTCTAAATTCTTTTTGTTTTTTATTAGGTTTATTGAGTCTTCCATAATTTGGCTCTTGACTGTGATAGTTGAGTTGAAATTTTACAGTTATTATTGAGCAGTTTAACCAGATTAACTTGATTTTCCTACACTTTCATAATTAGAAGGATTGTTAGCTACCATAGATTGTCTCAGAGAAGCAACTTCTTACTAATTTTTTTCATAAATTGATTGCAATTCTTGTAAATGATCTATTTTTAAACACTCGATTGTATTCTTTTTTGAAGAAAGTTCATTTTACAAGTCGTCTATTTTCCTTTTATAGGTATTCTCTAATTCCAATTATTATTCTATGATGATTTTTTACTTTTAGTAGAGATTTTATAAATCTTTTACTTCTTACTACCTCTCTTTGTCCAATTTCTTCTAGTTCTACATCTAGCTCTCTTAGTACTCGATTTTCTTACTTTATTCTTAAATTTTGTTGCAAAGAGAATTTACTATTTACTTTTTGTACTCATAATCTGAATATTTGTTGCTTGGTTTATTACTTTATGTGTAAGATATATCTGAAGGTAATTTTCTGTGCTGGATTTTAGATGAAATTTATTCTTTCATATCATCTGGCTATTAATAATTACTAAAGCTGCTAAAATCTATTTTTTTATCCTAATTTGAAGAGTTCCTTGTGCTTAAAAAGTTATTGAGAAGTTTATTTACATTCTATGGCGAGCTAGACTCGCTAATTTTTAAACTTTAGCTAGCTGTTGAAGCAGAATTTAAAGGAGTGTCCTATTTATTTTTCAACACACCTTTTATCTATGGGGAAAATGGAGTAACTGATTTAGATTTTTCAGAAAAGTACTAGTGAGACTCCAAATTATTAGTTGGAGTTGGAGATTTTTCATTCCTTAAGGATACGGGAGATTCCCATCCGGACGCTTGTGCTAAAAATATAACTGGTGATAATTCTCTTTCAGGATTTATTTGCATTTTGGTGTCAGCTTTTTTATATTGTTGTGTCGCTTCGCTACTCATTTATTTATATTTATAATTAATTGCTATTAATAATTAATTAGTTAATAAATAATATTTGTGGTGATATAAAAAATTGATTGAGCCAATAAATTTTATTTAATAATTAACTTTGGCATTTTTTTATCTTCAATAGTTTTTAATAGTATTTGTCACATTAAATATTAACAATATCGCATATCTAACATTTTTTTTTGTTTATATTTTTTTGTATTTATTATAAATAATCAATCATTTCTAATAATTTCTGCCAAATTTACAATTTCACCTATCATAAATTAAAAATATATTTTATTAAAATTAAAAAAATTATAAAATAAAAATTTAAAATTAAGTAAAAATTTAAAAATATTTTAATTAAAAATTCATTTTAAAATTAATTAAAGTTTTTTTTGTTAATTCTCTTTTCAAAATTATACTTTTACCAATTGATTAACAATAAGATTCGATATAAAAATTGTTTGATTGTAGCTAGAATTTATTGAACACTATTTTTTGTATTTAATTATTAATTTATTATTTTAATCAAGTTTGCAAATCAAAATCTTAGTGCTTTTAATGAGAAATTAAATAACAAATAAATTTCAAACTAAAAAAAATACCACAGATTTTTAATAAAAATCAAAATTAATTTACATTAAAATAAAGATTTTTGAAATATACGAAATTTAACTAAACTAACTAGAAGAATTATTTCAACTTATAATAAAAACAGATATACAAAAATAAAACAATATTTATTAATTTAATATCACAAAATATTAGTCATAAATGCTTATTCAATAATCCAACCGCAAACAACAAGTATCTTTTCATCATCTGTCATATCGCTGCCAAAATTAATAAAACCTTTAGAATAAGTAGCATGTTTAAGATCCCATGGGCAACTGCATAGAAAAGAACAACAACAGCATTTAGGTTCTTCGTAATGTGAATTAGTAATTTCAGAGATTATATTTCCGTTTCTCATTATATCTATTGTTATTGGGTACTTACAATATTTACTTGGGTTTTTTCTGATGCAATATGAGAAACTACATCTAGGAACTAATATTATAGGAGATCTTTGGGCATTAATAGGCTTAATTATAACTCTGTTTGAAGTAGAACAAATACCACTTATTAATCTTTCGATTCTTCCGATTACAACACCTTTATATCTAATTAGTTATGTCTTGTAGCAGCACATTTCTATTTGAATAGGGCATCTCTAGTTTGGGATATTTGTAAAGTAAAAGGCTCTTTCAAAATGTTCTGCACAACAATTCTTGAAGCAGCTGCAATCAATATAGCAGCAACCAGTATTTCTTATAAATTCAATTTTTCCAAACATATTAGTTTCTGTAAAGAGCTAATCTTAACCAATACATAAAAGGGCATCAGCATATTTTAAAGTTGTTTGCTCATTCATCCAGTTAGGAGGGACATCAAACTTAACTTAATTCAAAGCAGCTAATTATTGCTAGTAAGCTATCTACATAAGCTATTAATGGTAATTTTGTATGTCTTAATTTACCTAAGCATTAATTTGATGGTTTGCTTGATAAACCATTGCTTATTCCATAGACTGTTGAGTAGTGTTAATTGAAGTATCCATTTATTTATTTATTTTTAAAGGCAATTTTAAATAATTTTCGTTTGATTGTTTTTATTAATTATATTTTTTTGACTATGATTAACTACCATTTAAACTTCAAAAAGTTAATTAAATACAAACAATAGTTCTAAATAAAAATATTTCAGATTTTATAAATGATTACTTTCTTCCAAATATCACTTATCACCACAAAAAAAACCAAATTTTTATATATCAAATAAAAGTTATTAAGATTGTATTAATATATTAATTTCAATAAATCAATTGTATGATTGATCATTTACATACAAGGCACTACATTCCTGGATTTAAATAAATGTAAATATCAATTTATGATAAAGTTTAACTTTTCATCATCTCAACTATTTTATCGAATTAGTCGATTGTGAACATTTATATATATAATTTAGTAGAAACAAACAAAATAGTATCCAAATGACTGACTTGCTTGTATAGAAAAAATTAATTATGCTTTCGGTATTAATCAAGCAATTATCTTATTTTATTGAAATATATCTTAACTTTAGTTACATCAAATATAAAAGAAATCATAAAAATAATTTGTAATTTACAAATATCTCAGATTAGAAAGTTAGCTATGATTTTACAAGGTAAATAGACACTTAAAATTGTTTTGGTTTTTACCATGAAATAAATAGAAATATAAATTAATAAAATATTCTACAATTTAATAATCAATCAACTAAACTAGTCTATCCAAGATCAATATAAAATAACATTTTTAATATAAGTTTTTGCATCAAATCTACTTTAAAAAATAATTTTTAATGTTTTATAATATTTATTTCAGAAAAACTTTTTTATTTATTTTTCTTTAAAAGAAAATAGACAAAGATATGTAAACTCATGTTAATTTTACTTACTTACTTTCAGTTGATAAACCTTAATAAGGAAAGTTATTTAATAAAACAATATTTTGATTTTTTATATCTCTTTATTTTGAAAAATAATTGGTGATTAGTTTTTTATTTAATTATTAAGCTTTTAATTTAATCTTTATTGAAATCAGCAGCTGTATATGCTTGATTATTAGCTATAGATCAACTTTAATAAAATAATATTTAATTTATTTATATCATTTAAATTAAGTCAAAATGTATGAATTTAATCATTGATTTATTAAATTTTTGTAAATTAATAATCTTATTTCTGTAAGCGGAATGATTAGTGTCTAAAGAATATAAATATAAAATTTCATGAAAAATATTACATGAATAAAGCTTAACTAAATGAGTGGTCAATTAGTGATTTTTGCACTATTTAAAGCATCCAAATATAAAATTATAAATATATTTTTTTAGTATATATATTAATTTGATATAACTATTTATGCTTCAAATAGAATAAGAAAGTAATAGCTAAAACTTTGAAATGGTATAGAATTTAACGAAGTTTAAAATCATCTTAACTTTTCTAATAAAATTCTAAAATCGAAATTGAGAAATAAATTGTATAAATCGCATCTATTATGAAATTTAGTAAATAATTTCCACAAATTAAATCGCATCTTATTAATAATGTAGAAATTTATTTTTTATAGTTCAATAAATTAAAAAAAAACAGAGAGTGAGAAAGGATATAGATTTAGGAAAATGATATGATTTTTATATTTTTAAGTTGATTAGAACTATTTTTAAATTGACATTGAATTAATCTCATTAATTTTCATAGTAAATCAAAAGTTATAAAATAGCTAGAACGCAAATGAATTATTGTATAAATAATTTGCAAAAAAATCAAAAATTTTTTTTGTTGCAGAGAATTAATTATTTAAAGAAAATTAAAAAATCTAAAAAAAATTGAACAAAGTATTAATAAATAAATTAGTAGATTTCAGTAAATGAATTATTAATTATTGCAAACGATATCTTGCCATATTTTTAAATAATAATTTTAATTATTAATGAAAAATAATCAATTTATAAATAGCATTCAATTTTTATTAATTAAATAGATTGGATTTGTTTAAATTTCATTTTTCAGTTTTAGAGTTATTGAAAATTTCATTTTGACATTCCTCATTTTTTAGACAAGATATTTATTTAGGTAGACCAAATAAACTAAAAATTATAAATATAGAAGAATAGTAAAATATTTTTAGATGATTAGTATGGTTTATAAATATGAAGATATTTAATAATAGGAAAAAAAGCAAGAATCCATATCAATTTTTTTATAAAATTCTAATTTACTTCATTTTTGTTAATCTGTTTTAGCAAGCATGATTTAATAGAAATAATAATTTATATTAAAATTTTTTACAGTTTTTAGTCTTATAATAGAATTATAAAATAATTAAAATATATTTTCAACCAATAATCAGATTTTATTTGATTTTACTATTAAAAGAGTATCTAAATTGATTAGATAAGCCAAAAAGATAGGCAAAAACAAAATTGAAACAAATATATATTGATATCATAAAAATAAATAAATAATTTCAAGATATTTTAGAATATAAAATTAAAATTTGAAAGCTAGTATACTGGTTAAAAAATAAGATTATTAATTTATGTTTTTATTTTCTCTTAACGATTAAATTAATTTTGTTTTTAATTTAATATAATTTTTAAAAATAAATTACTATGAAATGTTTAAAAAATTAAATTAAAATTTATAATATTTAATTTAGATATCTTTAATTTGAAATTTAAAAAGTTTTTGTGTTAATTAATTAATTTATGTTTATCTTAAAAAACTTTTCAGAAATACAATTTTATTGTTTTAAAAAATTGTTTATTGAATACAAAATGAAAGTATCTTAATCTCGAAATTAAAAAACATATTTGAGATCAATAATTTATAGTTATTGTTTGAACATTTTTAATAAATGAATATCAATTTTATTTTAATCTTATTAAAAATTAATTAATAAATTAACAAATTAATTTTACAAAAAATAAAAATGGGTCAGAATCTAGAAAAATAGAATGTATTATAAAAATGAATTTACAAGAGATTTTAAATTAATTTCAATATTAAAAAGGTTTCAGAATAATATTATTTAGATATAGTTAATCAGTATTTAGTTAGCTATTTATTTATAAAATATTCTTAAAAGATTTTTTAAAAACTTTTAAAATAGTTTTTATTAGATAAGTTAAAATTAAATTTAAATTTCTTCTAAGAATATTCCTGACTAAATTCTCGAAAAGTATGAGTATGAACAATATAATTTAGATGAAAATGGAGTATAAGGTTTAGCTAAATCTTTGAAAAAATGCAAAAAGCTGAAAATGTTAACTCTTTATTTTGAATAGTATTATTGTTATTATTTTGAAATAATCTAAAATAATTTTATTTATTTTTGATTATAGAGAAAATATAATTGATGAATAGGGAGCAGATTAAATAGGGAAAAGCTTTAAAGAACTAAAAAGCTTAGAATCAATAAAATTAATATTTTAAAAGTATCATAAATATTAAACTTTAAAATTAATAATACTTTTTTTTAATTAGATATTATATTGTAGAGCCAAAAATACTAGATCTTTTAACAACCAGCCTTGTATTTTTAAATAACTTAATCATATTTGATATTGGATTTGGCGGGTATTTAAAATTATTTTTAGATCTTATTTAATAGTTTATTTAAAAGAAATAATTAGGTAGATACTCAAGTTTTTCAAATTTTGTCAAAACTCATAATTAAATTGAAGTTACTCAAAGGTCACTCTATTTATATAGACCAGTAAATTTTTCAAATTTTTAGCAATTTGTTTATTTTTTTTAGTTCTTAATAATAAAATTTTCAAGGATTTGATAGTTACTTCAGATCAATTTCTACACTCTAAGAAATGGAATCTTTTAGATTTAATTGCAATTTGTAATACTGATTTTCTTTATTTATTTTAATAGATTTTAAAAGTATTTAAAAATTATTATTAAAAATTTTAAAAATCAAATATACTTTCTTTTCTAAATAAAATAAATTAATTAATTTTAAAATGTTTGTTGATTGAAAATTCTCAAACTCTATTTATACTAAAACGGTAATTAAAAAAATGAATCAATCATTTTTTAAGTATTTTAAATAACAAAAATACATCCATCTTAAAATAATATATAAAAAAATTCTTTTATTGGTTTTCTTATTTTTTTATAAATTTAATTAGTGTTTTTTATAAATTTAAAAATTATAAAAATCCAAACAATATTTTTTTTTTGTTTTAGAAACATTTTGATAACATTAAATTTATTACTTTTTCTACATACTTTAAATTCTTATGTATATAATCCTAATAAATACTCTTTTGGAAAAACGACCAAAATTTTAACAAATTCGCAAGTTTCATAGGAAAATATAGTAATAAATTTTAAATGTAGTTAGATGAAAACCTAAATATAGTTTAATGATATTTAGTATAGTGTGATAGGATCATAGCTTAAGTTAAAGGAGTTGTAAATAAAGATAGCTGAGTAAAGAATACATATTTTTTAATAAATAACTTATTTTATTTTATTTTAAAGTATATTACCATAAGATATTTTCTCAAAGGTTTGTAAATGCTTTTAGCAGTGCTAATTTCTCGAAAAAATAGTTTGTGATTTGACCTTTCTTTGCTAGAATTAGAATAAAAATGAAAATATTAGCCAAAACGATTAACTAAATTAAACTCTAAAAGATTTAGGAAAATCTATAAATGCTTCTAAAGATAGTCTATTAAAACTGAACATCAGCTTGATTAAGTAATTTCATACTTTATTCAAAATGCTTATTTAATCAATGCAAATCTATTCTTATATTTTAAAAGCTATTGTTCTCTTGTTAGTTGGGAAAATTTGCAATGCTTAATTGAGGAAATTTAAGAATCTCAAAAAATTCAAGAGCTTCAGATATTATTCCCTTTTACTTACCACCATTTCAATACAGAGAACAAAGCTAAATTCTTTCAAAAGCTGTCTAAATTTAAAAACCTCAATTATTTAGTTGTTAAGACTCTACCTCAATAACGTTAGTAATCATTTTTCTATTATTTTGCTTTTGAAAAAATAAAATATTGACTTTATTCTTAATAGGAAACTTGTCGGAATGCTTAACCCAATACTTAAAATAAAAAAACTTGTCCATTTCTAAATTAACTGAAAAAAAATGTCATAAATTATTTTATATTTTATTTAAAATTCCAAAAATATAAATTGATTTTCTACAAAATCTCACTTATATTATAATAAATTTAAACACTTTTTTTAATCTTATTAGCTTATTTTTTTAATATTCTTAAAAATTCGCTTTAATCTTTTCATGCATAATGTTGTTTAAAAAATTTAAGCAATGTTAGATTTTTTTATTTATATTTCATTGTCAAAACTATTATGAAAAATCATATTTGTAATAATGACTAAGAGAAAAAAGCAATTGAAATTAACAAAAAGTCTTTTAGTAGTGTGAATTAGTTAGCAAAATTTGAATGCTTTTAAAACAATAAAACAATAAATTTTACAAGATTTATTATAATAGCCACATGAATTGATTGAATTTTAATTTAACTGAAATCTTTCTATCTATACCTTTTATGCCCTTAGATTCTCAAAAATGGAGATATTTAGTCTATTTTAATATAAATTTTATTTATTCTCACAATTTATTTTATCGAAATCAAAAAAAGATATGATTTTGATGAAGGGGTAGGGAATAATCTAAGAATTAGGATTTTATCAGTATTAAAAATAGCAATAATGCCTTATAAATATTAATTTTAAGTAATATATCATCACATAAATATTAAATTAAAAAAAAAAATAGATTTGATTAAACACCTAAATTAATAAATGGATAAATCAAATTAATACAAAGAAGATGAAGATCGCATGTGCAAGGCAATCTTAGAAAAGTACTCTTACTTTAACGTAAGGAACTTTTACGACTACGAAGAATGCGATGATCCTGAAATTAATTGCCTAAACAAATACTTCCACGACTCCTTCAAATACTGGGATCTTGAGAGTAGCGGAAACGAAGCTGAGCTTCCATACTTCATTATAAAATAAGATAGACCAAAAGTAATGCTGACGCCTACTCAGATAACATATCCAATGATCGAATTCTAAGACAAAGAGATTCTTGATTTCAACTATTACAAAATGAAAAGAGAAGAGTTTCTTGTGTTAGACTCAAGAGAAGGAATAGAGTTTCAAAAGCCAAGAAAACCTCTTACCATGAGCTAAATAGCTTAAATAAATGAGTCTGGTAGCTTCAAAGCGTAAATAATTATCTACAAATAATTATTTTATTAAGTTAATTTTAACTATTTTAAATAGCTTTATATTGCCTAATCTTTACTAAGAATGGTAAGTTAGGAAATCTATCTACTATGGAAAGAAAAGATGCATTGAGAAAGTAAAAATTTAGATTCATAATATAAAGCACTACCTAGGGTTAATTAAAGATAGGTAACTAATTAATTAATTAATTTATTTAGTTTACTATTTGATAAATCCTATTAATATAAAATTTGTTGATAAATAGATTATGGATTGAAGGAGATTTCAAGTCAATTATTTCATCCAAGAAGCTAAGAGATATCAGCTGCTTAGACATTAAGGAAGATTTCTCTAATATATCTATTGTTGATGGATTAAGATAGATTATTCACGCATCTATTTAAGCTGTTGAACTTTTTATTGGCTTTCCTATCTTTCAATATGACCTATTTGCAATTAAGAAAGAAAAAGAAATAGTCTTTTAAAAAAGAATCGAAGAAAAAGTTAAAAAGAATCCTGAAAAATATATTGAACTCAATTTCATCAATCGCCTCTTGAGAGATCCTACTATTTTCACCTCTAAGACTATAAATTTTAACGAGATAAAAGAAGTTTTACAAATTATTTCCCTCATCGAAGATGGGTAAATGGTGCTTAAGTAAACGGTTTTTAATTCGTCTGAGCTGCAAGATAAGATTTTAGAGAGAATTACTAAGACTTACAACCAATTCCTAGTTGATAAAGATCTTAATAGAGAAGAAATAAACAGCCTTTTGAACTATGTTAAAGGGGATTATTTAATTTCTAAATACATTTATGATAAATCATTAAGGAATGACCATAAGAAAGTTGACGCTCTTCTAAAAGCTCTAAAGAAGCACAAACTAGATAAGCAATATGAGTTAGTAAAGCTTATATCGAACGAAACTTTATCTGGTCTCAGCATCTTAGAAAAGCAAGCGATTTATTCTAAGAATAGAATATTTGAAGATAAGCTAAATAATTGCTGCGCAAAAAATATTAGTAGAGATACCTACTTTTGGAAGTTTAAATTTTACTTTAATGAATGCAACAGATTAACTAACTACGTATTTAGCAAATATATTAAATTCCTATTCAAATCTCCTTATGGGTTCAAGAATCTAATTTGTTTCGGCGATGGATATGTCCCAAGAGAGTCCAGCAATATTAGTGAGTAAGTTAAGTAAAACTATAAAAGTTTCGAAGAAATAGGAGATGGAGGATTCTTTTCTAAAAAGGTAGGAAGTATTGTGTTATTTTTACATAACAGGATAATTAACCAATTCTTGTACCAGTTCATCATGTTAAACATCTTTTTAAGAATAGTTTATATCTTCTTCTCTTGCATTTTGTTTGTATTCTTCCCAATAGTTTTATTGTTTTGGCTCTTGTGCACTCCTTATGCTCTTCTCAAAATTGTGTTTACTATTTTTATCTATGACATGAGTGTTCCTTCAGGAGACTAATACAGTTACCCAGTTGTGTTACCCATATTCTAGCTTTTTATGAAGGTGATCTTAAAAGGATTAGTATAAATGCTTATTTGTGTTTTTTGCATGATCATATACCTATTCCTCATATTATTTAATCTCTTCATATGCCTTCTAATTATACCTAGAAGATTACTTGATTACTTTACTTATTGCATCCTCACATGTAATGGAAGAGTGCCTAAAAAAGATTCCTACAGTGCTAAAAAAATTAGAGAAAAAAAAGTTGTATTTAGGGGTGAAGAAGATGCTCTCCTTCAAAATCAGAGAAATCTAATGCAACAAGGATAAGAAAAGATAAAAGTAGGATACTAACTTTCTTTCGATCAAGTAAAATACATAATAGAAAGTAAAATTGAAAAGATTCTAACAAAGTATTACATGAACTACCAAAAAAGCAAAGTAGGTTAGCTTTATTCAGATAATAATAAGATGCTTGAAGAAATTATTAAAAATTCTCCATTTTAAATGGAAGATAACAAAATAACTAATTAAATGTCAACACTTAAATAAGCCATTGATGCTAATTTTGAATACACATTTAAAGAAAAAATGAAAAAAAAGGAAATTTCAACTCCTAAATTTGAAAGACTAACTTTTAATTTTGTCTATACTTTTACAGAATCTCTAAACCTATATTTATAAATTCAATACTATCTCTATGAAAAATTCCCTCCTAACTCTACCTATACATGGATTCTCTGGTAAAAATATGGTTTATAACAATACGACTATCAAGGACTAGCAGAGAAGCTGCTTTCTAAAATTTTCGGAGTCAGTTAATACGAATCAGTCTTTAATGATATAGTTATGAAAGATAAAAATGTGAGCAAATATGATTAGAATTTAATGAACTAGATCAATTAATACTTCAAAGAAAAGTACAACTTTACTTATTTCTTCTACGGTTCTGAAGTCTTTTCATTTTCAAAATGCCTCTAAAAAATCTTTAAGAAACAAGCTTCAAATAGTGGCTTATTAACCTTTGAGCCATAAGATTGGTTGCTAGTTAATATCTCTAAATTAAAAGACTGATATATTGTATATTTATTATAATTTGTATTGAAAATATTTAATTTTTGTTACACTTTTCAATTAAAGTTATATTTTATGAAAAACTTAGTAATAAATAACACTTTATTTTTTTCTTTATGAACAATAAAAACATAAGAATCTATTTGTATATTTTTCTCTTCTTATTTTCAATTTTCTTAGGGAACGAACAACAAATATTAATAATGTTAAATATACTATTTTTTTTAAGATTTGTTGCTAGTTAATATCTCTAAATTAAAAGACTGATCTATTGTATATTTATTATAATTTGTATTGAAAATATTTAATTTTTGTTACACTTTTCAATTAAAGCTATATTTTATGAAAAACTTCTTAATAAATAACATTTTATTTTTTTCTTTATGAACAATAAAAACATAAGAATCTATTTGTATATTTTTCTCTTCTTATTTTCAATTTTCTTAGGGAACGAAGAACAAATATTAATAATGTTAAATATACTATTTTTTTTATTTATAAATTATTTTTAAATTTGATTTATAAAAAGACAATCAATATACCTAATATTCTCATAAACTAAGACCATATTTAGAAATCTTAAAAGAATTTTTTTATTAAGCCAAATGAAGGACTAAATTTTTACAAAAATTTTGATTTGAGTTAGTCCGTAATTAATCAGAAACTACGGTAATCAAAATATATTTAAAAAGAAAAAAATAAATAGATTAGTTATATCTCTTATTTTCCTATCATAGTCACACTCAAATTCAAAAAAATAAATCATAGTAATAGAAAATTAGTTCTATCTACTTAAAATAGGTATTTTTCCTAAATTTTAATAATGCTATATTATCTTATTTTGATTCTTATCAGGATGCTGATCAGGTTATCTATCTATTTTGTTGGATCTTGATAAAAAAAGTTTCTAATCCATAAAAGAAAAGATATGATGAAAACATCCAGCGAAAATGAGTAATTTTAAGAAAATAAATAATAAAATTTTTCGAATTATCTGAAGCACTCAATCACTAATCAAAAGTAATTATGCTGTATTATTTTTCTTAATGACCGAATTATATTAATATTTGAATTTTTTGAGTGTGAATAATATTTAAAAACTGTAAATATAGCTTTATTCAACAACAAAAACGATATTCAAATAATATTTAGACAAAGAAAGTTAATTATTTATAATAATTTTATACTATTAGGCCATTTATTATATTCTTATACTATTTTTAATATCTTAATCTAATTAATTATAAAATTGATAAAGTTCTTACTAGTGTGATTAGGTAGCTAGCTGATCAAAGATTAGATATGTATTACCAAATATGATCAAAAATATGTAATTTATAATTATATTAATCCCTAGTAACTAAAAAATATTTATGATTAACTAATTATTTAATAATATATGTAAGTATAAATATAAAAAATTACATTCATACATGATAATTTTAATTTGGAAATTAAGAAATTATTGTGTAAAATCAAATAATTTATTGACTTTATAATATCATTTAGTTAATATTAACTTATATACTTACTTAATTTGTAATTCTTTAAAAATACAAATATTAGAAATAACTCAACCACTTTATTTTTATTTTTTATAAGATTATTTATTTATAAATTAAAATATATAAAATTTTATTATTGAAGGGGTATTTCAGTTTCGAAATCTATTTCATTAAAGCAAAAGATATTTATTATGTTTTTAAAATAAAAGATGAAGAATAATTATAAAATTTATAAGCTCCTCTTTTATATTGTTTTTAATTACTTTCTTATGGCAGAAATATTCACTCTGCTCAGTGTATCCTACCCCAAATAGACAAAACAATAACTAATTAACTAAAAAAAACAATTAATTACTTAAATCTATTAAAATAAATAAATCTATGAAATACTAGATCTATTTGATCTTTATTTTGTAATACATCTGTTTATAAATCTTATATTGTTATCTTACAAATTATCAAAAATTAAGATAAACATGCTATACTTAGAAAAACAAATACGCAACAAAAATTTGAATTAGTAGGTATAAGTGCTGTACATTTACATATAAAGCATGACATTTAAATATCATAAATATAAATAATAAACTTAAGATAGAAAACATTATAATGAGAAATTAAAAGTAATTAGCTTGTTAAATGGAAAATTAGATTCTTTTGATTGATGAAGAAAATCAACTGAGCCATTCAAACAACATTTAAACCTCAGTTGAAGATTTCTATTTTCTTATCCAAAATTTGACTTATGAAGAGTTCCTTTCACAAAATTTTGAAAGAATTAAACTTTATTCAGAAAAAGACGACAACAAATATCAAACTGCTTTTTGGCATTTAGATGTAATTCTAAACTAAAAGATTTGTATGTATCAATAAAAAGAAGAACAACCAATTCAAAAAATTCTCCAGACAAAAGGTAATACCATCAAAATGTTACCAAATCAAGTAAATTTGACAATAAGGTATACACCACTACTAGATTGGAACTTAAACTCTCCTTAAATTAAATTAGAACTAACCTAAAAATAAGAAAATATCCAAGAACCTCATTAAATGAAAGGTTTAAGTAAATAATAACTTAAGCAAATAAAAGATTTCGGATATTTTTATGTGTAAAATAATTATTTTGAAATAAGATTCATTATTTTAAATCTTAAAATATTAGTTAAAGGTAATTGAATAATTCAATTGAAAGATGGAAAATCTCAGAATCGTTTTATACTCCAAAGAACAGTCTTTAATATAGCAATTAATTGCAAGTTTTAAAATAAAGTTTGACAAAATCTCTCAAAATGTAATCCATTAAATTATATTTTTTACAAATATTTTATATAAATAAAACTGAAATATTAATTTTTTTATTGTAATTTTAGTAATAAATTAATTAACTAACTGAGAATATCTATTAAATTTCTAATATTTTTTTTTAATTTTAAATAAACTTAGTCTTTACAATGAATAGAATATACTTGGTTATAAGAATTTAAGAAAAAAAGAATTCGAAGATTTTAGTTTAAAAAATATCTCTTTACTCTAAGGAGTTATAGGAGTTATAAATATTCCATATTAATTGTTTGGTATTTTATTCGGAGTTCCCATGTACAAAAAAGATTCATAAATTATAAAAGAAAAAATGACTATGGAAGACTTTGTAGAATCTTTAAAGAAATAATTAAACATTACATCTAGTAAGAAAGTTGCTGACTACTTAGAGCTAATTTAATGCTTAAATATATCTCCTATAGCCTATTTATATGAATCAATCCAAAAGTTTGAAGGAGGAGAAATTACTTTAGTAAACTTAGAAAACTTTAAACACATCCTTTTTCTTTATTGCCACAAAAAGATGTTTGATTAAATCAATTAAAAACTCTAAGAATCATTCCAAGATATTTAAAACATTTCTAAGTTGGTCTTTGAAACTATAGTTGCATAATACTTTTTAAATTTATTTAATTTCGAGCAATAAGCTCTATATAAAGATATTAAAAACTAATTTAATACTACCTTTTCAAAAAACTTATTGAATTTTATGAATGATGCAGCTTTTTAAACAAACACTATTTTATATAGTTAAATAGAAAATAATGATAAATACTTCTGGAAACTCACATTACTAAAAGTTTTAATGATGAATCATTTTAAATAATATTTTAATTTTTTAGTTTATAGTCAGTTAGGCCTGCAAATTATATTTAGTAAGACTTCTAAATATGGCCATAAAACAATTTACTAAGAATTTTAAGAGATAAAATACTATATTTAGTAAAGACGGAGTCGTAATGAAGAAAATGCTGATGATAGTGATGATGATGATAATGATGATGGAATATTTGGTCCTTGCTGTAGCAGATTTAGTAGACTTTTTATTGTCTACTTATGCAAGTATTTCCTTTATGGAATCATATTTCTTAATATTTTGAAAAGACTGATCATGATTATTATAATCCTATTCATATTTACTGCTTACGTATGTTATATTATGTTGCTACTAATAATCATCGCTGCTTATACTCTTATAAATGTATTCATATATGACACACTGTTCTCTTCTTAGGCTATTGACACCATTCCTAAATTCCTGCCCCTTCCCAGAATAATTTTAAAATTATTTACATCTTTACTCTTAACAATTTTTGTGCTTTTATATTTTATTTCTCATTGCCTAATTGCAATAATAAAATTTAGCTTTTATTAACTGATCTCTTTACATTAAACTGTAAAAAATAGGTTAACTTATTTACTAATATACTTTTTTGCATAAGTACCATAACTTGAAACTAAATACTGTAAAAGAGACTCAGAAGTTACAAATAGTTAAAAAAACTAAATATTTTAACTTTCTTTTGAACAAATAAAAACAATTGTGGACATAGAGATTAATTTATTTTCTTTCTATTAAAAGTTAAAAAGAATTGAATGTGATTAATAAGTATTAAATGAAAAAAATGATGCTTATACTAAATTGATTATTAATTATCTACCTTTTAATGAATAAGGCAACTAAATAAAAAAGAAACAAACATTTTACTCTATTAGGTTAAGCTAAAATCTGAAAGATATTACTCAAAAATTGAATGAGAAATTTAATTTGACTGGATATCTTACTAATTATAAATATAAATATACTTAATAATAGTACAACAACGTATTCTTATAATTATTTGACTACTTAAGCTAAAAACCTGAAACAAAGTAGGAATGTTTTTGGTAAGCTTATGACTGCGAACAAGGCAATTATAAATAAATAACAAAATTTTTTTTGAGATAAATCTTTTGTGGATATGAATACAAATAAAAAAGCTACAAAGAAATGAAAAAGGAGCTCGTATTGGTTTAAGATGACTAAAACGATTTAGACAAGATTAATGAATATTTAAAATAAACATTTCAATTAACCAATATTTATAATATTTAGAATTCAGATTATGAAATTTAGAACAAATTACAAAATGTTTTAATTTTAGTAACAAATGAGTTTGATATTAATAACACCTTTTGATATGAAGTCCAGTGCTTAAAAAAATATAATATATTTAAATTTAGGCTTCTTAGTTTTTTTTATTGGTATCCTAAAAATAATACTCACTCTGTTAGAGTAAAGCTTATGCTTAAAAATTTTATTTATTTTTTATGAGATATGGGATTATCAATAATGTATATATAAATATTCATATGAACGAATATAGTTTATGTGTAAATTATTTTAAAAACAATTTTTAGTAATAATAATGCAAATTTAAATGAATCTAATTTTAAATCCTAACTAACAATTTTTATTATGAAATAAATTCACTATGTGTAGTATTTTTTATTTTTCTGATAGATTTTATTAATGATTTTAAATCCTATTTTATAGAAATATGTAAAAGTTATTAATCTAAAATTAAACTGAAATAGATTTCAACTTTTTAAATAACATTTAATCTATTACATTATATTTAACTTATCCATTTTATTCTTTTCAATCAGGTTTTATCTATCACATTAATTATTCTATATACCATTAAAAAGATTAAACTAATAAATTAATTTTTTCTCAATTTTAATTAACTTAGTTTACACTCAAATTCTTCAGAATAAACCAATTTCGGGTCAGTAGGAATACGGTCTAAGATCTAAAAATAAAAGCAAAAAATATAAATATTTTATTTAATTATTTTTTAAACATAATAAGACAAAAACATTGGGTTTATAGTTTTTTAGTATATTTATGCTTATAGAAACTTGTATAAGTGTTTAAAATTTAAATAAAATAAATAAATTTTAATCTTTAATATTACATTTAAATTTTCAAACCTATAAAGTTGTATACGAGTAATTTTGAGAAAATAATTGATAAAATTTTTCAAATTATTGAAGTGCTTACTAATCAAAATGGAAATAATATTTAAAAACTCTAAATATAGTTTTCTTCTATAACAAAAACGATATTCAAATAATATTTTTAGTATACTATATGTTTATAGAAACTTGAAAAAGTGTTTAAAATTTTAACAAATTTCTTTTAAAAATTTTAAATAAAATAAATAAATAAATTTTAACCTCTTACATTTCATTTATATTTCAAACCTACCATTTAATTCAATTTTGATAGAAATAATCAAATTATTGTATTAATATTTAAAATGAAAAAAATAATAGATTAGTTCTTTCTCAACTTCTCCTATCTTAGTTTACACTCAAATTCAAAAAAATAAATCATACATAAATAGTGTTGGAAATTAGTTCTATACACTTAAGTAAGTAAATATTTATTTTTCCTAAATTTAAGAAATAATTTTTTAGATTAAATAATTTTAATGATGCTATAATATCTTATTTTGATTCTTATGAGGATGCTGATCAGGTTTTATCTATTTTGGTTGGATTTTGATAACAAAAGTTTCCAATCCATTAAAGCAAATATCAAAACATCCATCAAATATGAGTAACTTTGAAAAAATAAATAATAAAATTTTTCAAATTATCTGAAGCTCTCATTAATCTATAGTAATCATATTTCATTATTTTTCTTAAAGACAGACCGAATTATATAAATATTTTAAATGTTTAGAATGTGAATAATATTTAAAAACTCTAAATATAGCTGTCTTCAACAAGAAAAATAAATGGTATTTAAATAATATTTAGACAAAGAAAGTTAATTATTTGTAATGATTTTATACTATTAAGTGTTTACATTCTTATATTATTCTAAATATCTTAATTTAATTAATTATAAAAAGAATAAAGTGCCACTTATTATGATTAGGTAGCTGATCAAAAATTAGATATAAATTACCACACTAATTATTTAATAAAAATATATGTATAATAATAAATATAGCTGTTCCTGCATTTAAAATAATTTTTATATAGCTAATGAATATTTTTTTTTTAAATCTCAAGCTGCTTTGCCCTCCTAATTTTATTATTGAAGGGGTACTTCAGTTTCAAAATCTATTTCACTAAAGTAAACAATATTAATTATGTTTTTAAAATAAAAGTAAGTGAATAATAATAAAATTTATAAGCTCCTTTTTTATATTGTTTTTAATTACTTTCTTATGGCAGAAATATTCACTCTGAACAGTCCTACTCCAAATGTACAAAACGCTAACTAATTAACTAAAACAATTAATTACCTAAATCTATTAAAATAAATAAAATATATGAAATATTTAAATTGTTTTTATTTTTATTTTGTAATGCATCACTTTATTAAAGCTTATATTAATATCATACAAATTATCAAAAATTAAGATAAGAATGCTAATCTTAGAAAAACAAATACGTGACAAAAATCTGAATTAGTAGGCGTAATTGCAGTGCATTTACTTATAAATTATAGCATTAATAGCTCACAAAAATAAATAATAAACTTAACATAGAAAATATTAAAACGATAAATTAAAAGTAATTAGCTAATTAAATGGAAAATTAGATTCCTTTGATTGATGAAGAAAATTAACTGAGCTCGTCTAACAACATTTAAACCTCAGTTGAAGATTTCTATTTTCTTATCCAAAATTTGACTTATGAAGAGTTCCTTTAACAAAATTTTGAAAGAGTTAAACTTTATTCAGAAAATGACAACAAAAAATATCAGACTGCTTTTTAGCATTTAGATGTAATTCTAAACTAGAAAATATGTATGTATCAATAAAAAGAAGAACAACCAATTCAAAAAATTCTCCAAACAAAAGGCAATGCCATAAAAATATTACCAAATCAAGTAAATTTGAGAATGAGGTATACACCCCGACTAGATGGAAATTTAAACATTCCTTAAATTGAATTAGAGCTAACCTAATAATAAGAACACATTCAAGATCCTTATTAAATGAAAGGTTTAAGTAAATAATAACTTAAGCAAATAAAAGATTTCGGATACTTTTATGTGTAAATTAATTATTTTGAAATAAGAATTGTTATTTTTAATCTTCAAATTTTTATTAAAGGTAATTGAATAACTCAATAGAAAAATGGAAAATTTAAGAATCGTTTTATACCCCAAAAAGCAGTCGTAAATACAGTAATTAATTGCAAGCTTTAAAATAAAGTTTGACTAAATCCCTTAAAATGTAATCGATTAAATTATAATTTTTCAAATATTTTATATAAATTTAACTGAAATATTAATTTTTTTCATTGTAAATTTCCTAATTAACTATAAAGTTTCTGATATTATATTTGTTTAATTTTAAATAAAATTAGACTATACAACGAATAGAATATACTTGATTATAAGAATTTAAGAAAAATAGAATTTGAAGATTTTAGTATAAAAAACATCTCTTTACTCTAAGGAGTTATTGGAGTTATAAATATTCCATATTAGTTGTTTGGTCTTTTATTCGGAGTTCCCATGTACCATAAATATTCATAAATAATATAAGAAAAAATAACTATAAAAGACTTAGTAGAATCTTTAAAGAAATAATTAAACATTACATCTGGTAAGAAAGTTGCTGACTATATAGAGATAATTTAATGCTTAAATTTTTCTCCTGTAACATATTTATATGAAGCAATTCAAAAGTTTGAAGGAGGAGAAATTACTTTATTAAACATAATAAACTTAAAACATATCCTTTTTCTTTATTGCTACAAAAAGATGTTTGATTAAATCAATTAATAAATCTAAGAATCAAAGAAAGAAGAAATCCAAGATATATAAAACATTTCTAAGTTTGTGTTTGAAACAATAGTTGCATAATACTTTTTAAGTTTATTTAATTTCGAGCAGCAAGCTTTATATAAAGATATTAAAAATTAATTTAATACAACCTTTTCAAAAAACTTATTGAATTTTATGAATGATGCAGCTTTTTAAACAAATGCTATTTTACATAGTTAAATAGAAAATAATGATAAATACTTCTGGAAACTCATTTTACTAAAAACTTTAATGATAAATTATTTTAAATTATCTTTTAATTTTTTAGTTTATAGTTAGTTGGGTTTGTAAGTTATATTTAGTAGGACTTCTATATTTGGCCATAAAACAATTTACTAAGAATTTTAAGAGATAAAATACTAAATTTAGTAAAGACATAGTTATAATGATCAAGATGCTGACGATATTGACGATGATGATGACGGAATATTTGGTCCTTGCTGTAGCAGATTTAGTAAACTTTTGTTTGTTTACTTATGCAAGTATTTCTTTTTTGGAATCATATTTCTTAATATTTTGAAAAGACTGATCATGATTATAATAATCATATTCATATTTACTACTTAATTATTTAATATTATATTACTACCAATAATCATGATTGCTTATGCTCTTTTTAATGTATTAATATATGACACACTGTTCCCTTCTTAGGCTATTGAAACCATTCCTAAATTCCTGTCCCTTCCCAGAATAATTTTAAAATTATTTACATCTTTACTCATAACAATTTTTGCACTTTTATATTTTATTTCCCATTGCTTAATTGCAATAATAAAATTTAGCTTTTATTAACTGATCTCTTTACATTAAACTGTAAAAAATAGGTTAACTTATTTACTAATATACTTTTTTGCATAAGTACCATAACTTGAAACTAAATACTGTAAAAGAGACTCAGAAGTTACAAATAGTTAAAAAAACTAAATATTTTAACTTTCTTTTGAACAAATAAAAACAATTGTGGACATAGAGATTAATTTATTTTCTTTCTATTAAAAGTTAAAAAGAATTGAATGCGATTAATAAGTATTCAATGAAAAAAATGATGCTTATACTAAATTGATTATTAATTATCTACCTTTTAATGAATAAGGCAACTAAATAAAAAAGTAACAAACATTTTACTCTCATAGGCTAAGCTAAAATCTGAAAGATATTTCTCAAAACTTGAATGAGAAATTTAATTTGACTGAATAATCTAATTATTAATATAAATATACTTAATAGTAGTACAACAGCATATTCTAATAATTATTTGACTACTTAAGCTAAAAACCTGAAACAAAGTAGGAATGTTTCTGGTAAACTTATGACTGTGAACAAGGCAATTATAAATAAATAACAAAAATTTTTTTGAGATAAATCTTTTGTAGAGATGAATGCAAATAAAAAAGCTACAAAGAAATGAAAAAGGAGCTCGTATTGGTCTAAGATGATAAAAATGATTTAGATAAGATTAATGAATATTTAAAATAAACAGTTCAATCAACCAATATTTACAATATTTAGAATTCAGATTATGAAATTAAGAACAAATTACAAAATGTTTTAATTTTAGTAACAAACGAGCCTGATAATAATAACACCTTTTGATATGAAGTCAAACACTTAAAATAATATATATATAATAAAAATTAGTAAAATTCAAGCTCTACCAATAAACATTTACAAAACCCAAAATAATATTTATCGCATTATTTCTCAGTTTTTTTTATAATTATTTTGTTTTTGTTAATAATTTTTCTGCTCAAAAATTAATATATTAAATAAGCTTTGCAAATGAAAATTTACAAAACCCAAAATAAAATTTTTGTTGCATAATTTCTCAATGTTTTATATAATAATTTTCTTATCTATTTTTTTTTTAAATTTTCCTGCTCAGAAATTAACATATTAAATCTTTTATTTTAATAAAAATTAATTTTGAAGAAATACTAACAAATATAATAAAAGATTATTTCAAATAGTTCATTTTTGAACAAACCTAAATTATTTATCTTAAAACTTCATTATTTCAGTTAGTACATACATACATACATACAAACATGAATTTTTACAAAATAATATTTTTTATCTTTTTTTAGTGAATTGTATTTACCTACCAACCTACCTACTTCCGGTATATATTTTTAGTTTATTAATCTTAAAATTAAAATTGAATGGATGTAAGAAAATTTTTTAAGCTTATTTGTTTTTTTCACTTTATCATGTCTGATCAGCATCCCTTATTTGTTTGAAGTATTATTATTAGTGCTAAAATGTTGTAGAAAAAAGCAATTTAATTATATTTTAATATTGTAATCTTGAAAAAAATTTTCGAGAGATTTATTCTTTCTATTATCAATTGTTGACTTAACTTACTTAATTTGCGAGAAAATAGGATAGACCAAATAAAACTAACTAAATTGTAGTAAAAAATATGCTTAATAATAATCTAAGATTTAAAAGTGAAACAAATTGTAGTTAAATAGACTATTAAATAGTTGTCATAAAAATTTTTATATGCAACTATATTTGTAGTATTATTATTAGCTTTAACCAATATTCACTAACATACTTTATTTAAATAAATATAATATACAAAACAAAAATAAGAATTTTTAAAATTCTATACAAAATAAATTGATTGGATTGGATTTCTCATCTAAAATATCAAATCAGCTTTATGCTAAATGCTAATTTAAGTTACATTAAATTAATTTATAAAACAAGTACTATTTTTTGAAAAAAACCAATCATTCCCGTTTATAATATTTTCACTTATTTATTATTTAAAAAAAACATCATAATCAATTATTTTAAAAATAGAATTACAAATAATTTATGAATAAGTAAAATATAAAATTACTTAGCGTGCATATCTAATAGTGCTTTATATTTTTATTTGAAAAAAATTTCTGTGAATTAATCAATTAATTACCTTACTAAAATTCATGGTTAGTTTTCCTAATTTAGTGAAAAATCTTTATTTAAATAACTAACTAGATCACAAAAATTCAACCCTATAGATGAACTTTTAATTAATTACATAATTAAGTATCTTTAACAAAAACTTTTAATAATAAAATGATTTATTCTAATATTGTGAATTTGATATCATTTTAGTAAAATAATGAAAAATATACTAATTGAAATACTTTGGCTAGCTATTAAAAGCTGATCAAAATTAGACCTTTAGTAAAAATAAATAAATATTATAAACTAACATAATAAATATTTTTATTTTAATCATTAAATATCAATCATATGAAATAAATTAAATAGATTTTCATTTATTATCTTATAAAAATTAAGTATATTTATTATTTGTAATATAGCATTTCAAAAAATAAATAGTTTTTGCATTTAATACAGTTCTTTGTTTCCACATTTTTGTATTCAATTTTTCATTAACATAATGCTTTAATTAACAAGTTTGTTTTTTAATATATACTTCAATTTTTTTATTTTGAAAAATAGGAAATTTTATTTTTAAATCCTGAACCTAAATTTTATTAAATTATAATTGTATTTTTAAAAACTATTTGAAGGGAATACAAAATGACTTTTATATTATATTTTATAAATTTTATTCACATAAATTTTATCATCGACTGACATCAATCAATAAATTAGCAGTTTTAAAAAATCGAAATCTATCTATTTAAAATCTAAACACATTTTATAGCTCTAAAAATAAATGAATATATTTTAAACATATTTTATTTTCATAATAAAAGAGCTTAAGAGAACAAATAAGAAATTTAAATTACAAATTATTATTTTATAAATATACTAAACTTATTTTAAAATATGCTTTCTTAATTTTCTATATATTTTCTAAAATAGGTTTAGACCATTAAACAATAAAATAAATTTATAAAATGATAAAAATGAATGTTTGTAAGCTAATTTAATCTTACCTGAATTCATTTTGATTTAAGTGCTAACACTAAATTAATTAAGATTATTTATACAGATATTAATTACTGTATAGTATTTCTAAAATGTTTGTGATAGATAAAAATTATTTAGCTTTCGAGCACTCAGTCTACTCTAAGCTCAATTTTTCTATTTTTAATTTTAAATTTATTACATTTGCGTCATGCCATACCAAATAAATACCAAAAATTGAATCATTTTATTCTCATATTTTAAATCTCTTTTTAAATATTTTATTTTTTAAGCAATTTAAATAAATTACTTCATAAAAAAAAACCAATTTGATTATCTAATCTATCAAATCAGAAATAACTTAGCAAAATTTTTCATCTATTAAAATATTTTAGAGAATTTATATTAAATTTAAAAATGATAATATTTTTTTTCAGAAAAACTTAAACATATAAAAGAATTTTAAAATTAAAATCTGATAAAATCCTAAAAATGAAATACTGTTGACAAGAAAAATAAAATTTTCTTAATTTTTGTTTTTACTACTTGAATGCTCTTGCAATAGCCAAATTGACTTCTTTACATAATAAAAAAATAATTAAAAGCCTTAAAAAAAAATGTAAAATCTTTAGATCGTTTTAAACTGTTATCTTAAATTATAAATATTTATAAAAAAAGTTAATAGTTTTACATTTTTAATTTTTTAATTTTTTCATATAAGAGTAAAATCAAATATAAAAAATAAAATTATATTTAATCTTTTCAAGCATTTTTTTATTCAATCAAGTATTTTTTAGATCCTATTAAATACTAAAAAGTGTAATTCTGATCGAATTTTGATAAAAAGATAACCAGCTTAATTTTATTTGTTTTATTCAAGCAAGTTTTTGAAGCTTCGGGTAGGTAGGTAAGTAAGTAAGTATGAGATTGTATGTAGGTAAGAGATTTTAGCCAGGTAAGAGGTTTGGTTTTAGGCTTGTAAGAGGAAAGTGTGAATAATTATGAAGGGAAAAAATCTAAAAATAGAAATATTTTACTTTAAATAATCTCTTATTTAACTACACTAAATAAATAATAATTCATTATAAATCCAAAATAATTCTAAGCTAAAGTAACTCTAAAAGCAAAAAAAAAAATGGAAAAAAATTTGTCTTTAAATTAATTGTAATAAGTCTTTGGTAAACCAAATGAAAAGTCAGATGAATATTTCTAAGATTATTTATCTAAATACTTTGATGAGAAAACACTTTTAGATGATTTTTAAAGTGCATAAAATCTTTTTTATCCTATAATGAAAAAATACTTTTCTGATATTAAAATTTATGCAAAAAATGATCAATATGATATTCATTCATAAGAAATTACCAAATAAAAAAAAAAATTAGTTATTGAGCCTTTTGATTGGTTTGAAGTCATTGAAAAGAACTGCTAAGAATTAGAAATAAATCCTCAACAACAAGAACATAAAAATTAGCAACCTTCTAAAGACATTGAGCTCTAAAAAATAGGATAACAGTAGGATAAATATGCAACACATATAAATGATATTTGCTAACCTTTAAGCAAATATTAGCTATAAAGTATTCAAAAGAATGGAAGATTTATAAGGTAATAAATAAATATATTCATTTGTTTATTTACTCCAAAGATATTTTTTTATTAATTTTATATTTTCTAAAAAGCTGTGATTAAGGAGATCAACCTAAAGTTTGGTAGATTTCAGAAAATTTTTACGCTTCTTATGAATTCATGAAGAAACATTTTAAATAGTTTGATTACTCAAAATTGAAAGAAGTGTAATTAATTAATAAAAAATTATTTTAATGAAATTTATTTTATACAAAAATATTTTCTATTAAATTTATTAGGTGGTGCTCTGAAGAATCTAAAATCCGCATTAATAAAAAAACTTGGAAAAATTTTGGTTTAAGTTTTTGCTACTGGAATATGTAAGATGGTTTACAGACAATATTTGTTGACATGCCTTTTCAACTTTTAAATTGCTTGATAGGTACTCCTGTGACAATCAAGACTAAAATAACTCTTGCAAATTATTTTTTAAAATATTTGAAGCCTTACTTTGAAAAAATTAATCTAAGCTAAATGAATGTTTTTAACGAATAAGATTTTTTGGATAGGATTAAATCTTTTGATTTTATAGCTGTTATGTTTGATAAAATAAAAAATCTGAAATGGCATCAAATTCATTTTATCTTATTAAGAAATCTTAAAATATATCTGCTTATAGAATGTGTAAAGGAGTTTTTTAATCAAAATAATGATTTAGATGTTAAATATAAAAATCAAATTAAGTTGGTAGAAGATTTATTTTATTGTGTCTTAATTTTTGATTATTTAGAAGATAGAATTAAGATGTGTGAAAATAATGACATTTCTTAAGTACAAATAATAGTTTAGGATTGCTAATTTTTTATTAAGTACTACAAACTTGATGCTTTTGAGAGATATCTAAATATTTTTAGCAATAAAATAAATAAATTCTCACAAAATTAACTTTGGATTGCAGATTATGATCCCTCTTTTAAGTTTGAGAGAAATAAATATTTTTGGAAAATAATCACTCATTATTAAACTATTAAAAATATTTTCATAGAAAATACAATAAATAAAGTGCTTATTAATATTCTTTATGGATGCTTAGGTTTTTCAGTAGTTTTTAGAAAATAAAATAAAGAATCTTCTCATAAAACCTTATATGAAACTTTTTAATAGATTAAAATTAAAGTGAAAACTAATATCTAGAAAAGATTTAATCAAGATTTAGAGGATCTCAATGATGATGGTGACGGAATATTTGGTGATTGCTGTTCTAGATTACCTATAGCTACATACATTTTTAACTATTTCTGTGTATATTTTTTACATGGGATTATTTTTGTGAACATAATTCTAAGAATGATAGGAATTTTCTTTATGGTTTTATAGCTTTTTTTGGTTATACTCCTCTATGCATTTGCAATTTTTACCTTTTTGCTATCCTATTTGATTAATATTCTTGTTTATGATGAATATAACGAAAGCAATCTAAATATACCATTTGCATTTCCTCTTTTTTACATTATGATTGTTAATCCAATCCTAGGAATTTGTAAGATTATGTTTTCATTCTTCAAATTTTTCTTTTACTTCCTCTAGCTCCTTGCTTTGAAAATTAGAACCATGGCAAAGAGCTTAAAAAATTGTCTTGCATTTATTCTCATAAAGCTATTCAGTTAAGTTCCTCATAGAGATTCTAGTTATTGCTACTTAATATAGAACTAAGATTATCAAAATTATGAAATTAAACAAAAGAATTCATATCAGCAGTAAAGTTAAAATTAAATACCAGAGAATTGCAAAATAATCATGGAAAAGATTTCTCAAAAACCTATTAAGCTAAAATATTTTTCATCTGAATAAATAAAGCTCTTCATAGACCTTGAGTTAGATTAGAAATATATGGAATTTCTCCTATCAGAACTGGACAAATACACCAAATAATATCAAATAGAGACAGAGGCTGCTTTAGCAAAAGCATTCAATTACCTACCCTTTTCAGAAAAATAAATAGTAGTAAATATGCAAACAAATATAAAGAGCTTCTAATAATAAATGAAATAAATTATTGAATTGAAGTATGCTAATGAATTAGAAATACAAAACGACGAGGATTGCACAATAGTTTATGAAAAAGATCAATTAGATGGAATATATCAACAGATATAGTAATATCTCATCTCAAAATAATCTTAATCACCTTTAAAAATGTAAAATTTATGGTAATAGGTTAATATAGAGGGAAACAATAGCTATTATTTGCTAACAGAATATTTTATATAAAAAATGCTTTAAAAATATTTGACAAAAAACTTAATTAAACCATTAAAATATGAATTACTAAAAGTTAGCTCTATAGATTATTCTAACCCAAATCCAGTTGATGAAATCAATTATTACTTAAATAAAAGCTTATTTTAAGAGAAACACCTATTTACTTCATTTAATTTAAATTTTGAAAAATTATCACAGAGAGTATAAACACAAATTAATTTATCTAAAAAGCATTGATTTAAATTATTAAAAAATTATATTTAATTATATACTATTTAACCTCTAAACCTCTTCCTGTACCGATTCCGGCATTTTGTACCGAGGTATGGTATTATAAAAACATCAATAATCCTCTTATTGTTTTTTAATAAAAACGAATGTCTGTAGGTACACATATATATATTTTTTTTTTTAGTTTATTTATCTTAAAATTATAGTGAACTAATAAAATTTTTAAAATTTATTTACTTTTCCACTTTATCAATTCTGATCAGCATTATTTTTTTATTAGAGTAATTCAAATTAGTTCTAAAATGTTGTAGAAAAAAGCAATTTAATTACATTTTAATATTGTAATCTTTAAAGAATTTTTCGAGATATTTATTCTTAACAATATTAATTGCAGTCTTAACTTAATTAATTAATTTACCTTAAAATAGAATGTTTAAAGTAAAATTAAATAATTTTATTATACATAAAATAAACTAAGTTAATGATTAGAAATATTCTTAAATGTAATCTAAGATTTTAAAAATGAAACATTTTGTAAAAAAGGATTTAAGTAGACTATTAAATAGCGATCATAAAAATTTTATATACAACTATTTTTAGAAGTGATATTAGCTTTAGCCAATATTAACTTACATACCTTATTTAAATGAAATAGACCAAAACTAATCAATTATTATTAAAATTCGATAAATAATAAATTAATTTACAGTAACATGATTGGATTTGATTTTTCATCTATTATATCAAATCGAGCTTTATGCTAAACGCTAATTTAGATTACATTAAATTAATTTATAAACAAATCCTATTTTTTTTAAAAAAATCTATCATTTTTATTAATAATTTTTTTTCTTTTATTAATGATTTAAAAAGTGGTATAATAAATTATTTTAAAAATACAATAACAAATAATTTATGTATGAATGAGTAAGTAAAATATAAACATAACTAACTTACACATATATTTTATAGTATTTTAAATGTTTATTAGAAAGACTTCTGTACTATGTGAATTAAATAATAAATATTATTTATTACTAATTACCTGACTAAAATTTAGAAAAATTTATAATATTCTTTTATTTCTTAATAGTGTTTATTAATCAAAATTTACAATTAGATTACCTTAAAATATTTATAAAGTTAATTTATTATTTTACAAATTCTGAGGCATCAAATTTAAAAAACAAATTTTTTATTGATTTATAATGAGGCTTACATTATGTTTTTAATACTTACTCATAGTTTTAGAAATTTCAGATTTAATAAAAATAAGTAAAAGTGGATTGAAATAAAACTATGCATACGCATGAAGGAGATCTTATTATTAACATTTTTAATTTCGCTTTAAAATACCAAAAATTGATGGTATGTATTAATAATACTTTTCTTAATTTAAACAAATTTTATCTAACCTTTATATTTATTATTTACCTTAAAATATCAGGTTAAGTAAATTAACTCAAGATTTATAACTGAAAATATTTCTATAAAGCAAATTTTAACTAAAATAAAAAGCCAACCAACATTGATTTAAATAATGATGTTATGCTAAAAATTCATTTTAAAAGAATTTAAAATATTTCTAGTTTAGATTTTCAAAATAAATTTTAAGAAACTTCAAAGAAAATAAGAGGAAAATTGAAAACAAAAAAATTAAATTATGAAGATATATTTAGTTTATTTTACATTACCTAAATTGAAGATTTAAAATATTAATATAATCTCAATGTATTTTTCTTTTTTATAGAACTCGCAATCCTTTTTTTTATTTAGTTTTACTCTCTTAACTTAACTTATTAATCTAAAAATAAGTAGTCCAATTTCTTATCATCTTGTTAAAATTTCCTATTTATGTTAATTTTCTATTCCATCAAAAAGTTAAAGTATAAAAAAACTGAGTCTTGATTTAGATTTATATATTATCATCATCCAAAGGTAATTAAATATGAAAACCTTTAAAAATACCTATTGATTTATTATCTATTTCTTATATAATTTTAATTATTTATACCCTACCCTATCCATATTATAAAACTCTGCTGAAATCTTTGAAAGCTATATAAACTAAAATAACTAAAACAGATTGCTATTTTAAGAGTGAATACTCATAATAGTTATCTAATAAGTATATTATTTTAATAAAACAAATTCATAAATAGCTAAAAACACAAAAGTAAGTCATTTTTTGATGGACAACTATATTTTTGATTTAGTCAACAAATACTACAAGTAAGAAAGCCTTTTTGAAGAATATGATTCTTCAAATATTTAAAATATCTTACATCCCCTTTTAGAAAAACTCAGAGAAGTAAAGATTTTTTAGAAAAGAAATAATGATACAGAGTTTCAAATAAGATAAAAATAAAACAACCGAGTTACTATTATACAGCCCTTAAGTTGCTTTGAGACTGTAGAGAGTTAATAATAGCACTAACTTCCTTTATATTGCAATAATTTTGAGTTTCTGAGCCATTTTAATTTGATAAACTAAGATTGCTGTTAAAACATTTAGAAAAACCAAAAACATGGAGATTCTTTAACAAAAGAACAGCTTCATGACATTGAATTATATGGGGCTTTTACAACGTAAATAATTAAATTTTTTAATAGTCTTATATAGCTAACTAAGTTGGTTTGCCCTATTAGATTTTATTATAAAATTTTAAGCTTAAAAAAAATTAATGAAAATATTTATGTAAATAATTTATTTTTATAAAATATTTAGATATTTACAAGAAGGATAATAATAAAAATGGCAGATCTCTCAGCATTTCTATACTCCTAAAAATGAAATGCAAGTATAATACAAATCAAAAGATATCATAGAAAAATATAACATGTAATAAATAATTAATTTATTTAAAATTCAACTTTTTTATTTTTCAAATTTACTTAGCAAATTTAGCGAAGACACAAATAAGAGGATCAGAGCTAAAAAATGGAAATACTTCAGGCTAAACAAAAGATATATTAACTTTAAAGATGGGATTTATACTTTGTTTTACGATGTACCTTTTCATTTACTAAATTTATTGATAGGTGTCCCTGTTACTATCAAGAAAAAATTAAGTTTAGATGAATATCTTCAAAGCAATTTTATTGATGTTTAACCTGAAATAAATTATTTGAAAAGATTAAACCTATTCAATTAAAAAGATATCTAAGATTTATTATTGAATTGTCCTATTATCGATTTGATCAGTGAAATAGTAAAATAGCTAAAGTGGACTAAATTTTTATTTTCACAAAAAAAAAATTTATATCTGTATATTTAAATTGAACTTTTGAAAAGTGTCTTCAGTCGAAATGGACTAAAACTCAACAATAATTAAGACTATCAAACTATTTTAGAAAAAATTTTAGGAGTTTTTATTATAAATTCATTCAAAACAAAGATGCAATCAAACTAAAGCACTTGTACAAAGTTATTTTATGATTGCTTGTCTTTCCTTAACCACTATCAGCTAGATTCATTTAAAGAAAAATTATTAAAAATAGAAAGTAAATTTGAAAGTGTTAATTTAAAAAAGGTCTATAAAGAATTAACAGTAGACACTATGTTCGCATACAGATAGAAATACTTTTGGAAAATTGAGTACTATTGGAAAAATAATACATTAAATTAGTCTATGAATGCTCTAAAGAAAAACATTATTTATGGGTGTTTTGGTTTTAAAGTAGTATTTTGTAAATAAAATTATGAAGATAAAAGCAGAAGAACTTTATATGAAAAATTTTAAGATATTAAATAACTTGTGAGATAAAGAATTTAAAATAAGATATAATAAAGTTAATAAGAAGAAGATGATAATGATGATGGTATATTTGGTGAGTGCTGTTCAAGGTATTACGTTTGCACATATTTTTTTAATTATGTATTTATTTACTTAATACTTGGCATAATTTATAATAATATCATATTAAGGATATTTGGAGTTATCCTTATCATACTATAAACATTACTCTTAATAACAGTGTTCATCTTAAATTTAATAATCTTCATTACGACTTACTGCTATTCAATTATTTTTTATGATTAATTCAATAAAAGTAATCTAAATATTCCTTTAGTTTTTCCTATCTTTTAAATTTTAATTGTCAGCCCTTTTATTGGTATCCTAAAAATAATACTCTCTCTGCTAAAAAGTTTGTTGTTTTTGGTTGAGTATTTAGTACTGAAGCTTAAAACATTGCCTAAAACTTTAAAAAATGTTCTTACATTTATGCTAATAAAACTATTTAGCTAAGTGCCAGTGAGAGATTCAAGATTCTGTAAACTTATAAATCCAGAGAATAAAAAAGAATAATCAGAGAAATAAGAAAATTAATTTATAATAAATAATAATTTGTTAAATATTGAACAAGATAACTAAATATTTTATTCATTTTGTTAATCCTCAAGCAATTAGAAAGAGTAGAATGATGAAAAAAGAAAACTTGTATACTTATCATTTGAATAAATTAGAATAGCTATAGACTGCATCATCAGTAAAATCTTCTTAAAATACTTATAAAAGTAAGTAAAAAATATCAAAGATTAACATATTAATTTAGGATACTAAATTGTTAGAAACTGTCTTTAATAACTACCGTTCTAAATGAACAATATTCTAGGTAAAATTAAAGAAAATGCTGAAGCTTTTGAGTTAGAATTCTGTAAATTATTAAAGTAACAACATCTAATAGAATACTAGATAGACTACCAATAAGGTAGCTACTAAGTTTATTATGAAAAAGAACAATTAGATAAAATTTTTTAACAGATTGACCAGTATCTTAAGTCTTTTTCAGAAGTAGATTCAAATAAATATAAAATAGTTTGCGAATTCACAAATATTGAACAAGGAAATTTTTTAAAATTGAGACTCTTTTTTGCATAAATAATATTTCATGGTTAGTATTCATAATTTAGTGAAAAATCTTTATTTAAATAACTAACTAGATCTTACAAATTCAACCCTAAAGATAAACCTTTAATTAATTACATGAATAAGTATCTTAATAAAAACTTTGAATAATAAAATTATTTATTCTAATATTTTGAGGTTCATAGCATTTTTACCAAAATAATACAACAATATACTAATTGAAATGCTTAAGTGATTAAAATTAGGTCTTTAGTAAAAACAAATAAATTAATAAATAAATAAAAATAATAAATGTTTATTTTTAAATTAACCATTAAATCTCAAACATATTAATTAAATCAATAGAAATTTATTTATTTATCTTATAAAAATTAAGTTTATTTATTATATTTAACGTAGATTTTAAACAAATAAATATTTTTAGTACTTAAAAAATTTCTTTATTTTAATATTTTCATATTCAATTTACATTATGCTTAAATTAGCCAGTTTTTGAATATATACTGCAATTTTTAATTTAGTTTTTAAATCCAAAGCCTAAATTTTAAAATATACTTAGATTTACAAAAAATTTATTTACATGATGATATAAAAATACAAAGCACAAAAATAATTTTTTAAGGTTTATTTTGAAAAATAAAATAAAAAAGAAATAAATTTTATTTAATATTAAAATGATTAATTTCTCAATTATAATTATGATTATTATTAAAATAAGGGGTAGGAAATGAATGTATGAGAATATAGTGTATTTTATTTTTCTTGTATCTTTCTTATCGTTTCTATTACATCAAAAATTTCATAAATATATTATGAGAATGACTAAATACAAAATCTAAATTAATATATTTGATCTCACACCGTATTTTTAATCTTGCAAACAACATTAATAAGATTTTTAAATTATTTTCGTATTATTGATCTTAATAAAAAACTAGTTTAAAATATCTTAGTTTATTGATATTTTTGTATTTTAGTACTAATTCTACTTAATAAAAATTAAATTTATTCAATAGATTTCAATTAATATTATTTTCTAATAGAAAATACTATTATCTATTTTCAAAATGAAATAGCTGCTAATAAATTCAAAATTAATATTTTATTTCTCAATTTAAGAAATATTAATTATTGCAAATTAAATCAATGGCTATTTGAATCAATATTATTTAATTTATTAAGCATCAATCAAACCAAAATGATAATTAATTATTAAAAAATATTATTTAGTAACTAAAATACCTCTTAAAAAGGTTATCATCAAATTAAAAATGAGCAATAAATAATAAATAAAATTAAAAGGCCATTTAAGTAAAATTTATTAGTTTGGTGGTGAAGCAAACAATTAAGAAGATTTAGAGTTTTTACAAGACATAGAAAATAATGACAATAATACTATTGAAAAAGAAGTAGACTAATTTCTTGGTATATATTTTGATAGATAAAAGTTCATGAAAGAAATTGACTTTGAAAAATTAAACTAAGTATTTGAGCCAATCATAAATCATACCTAAAATATCATAACTAGCTTTTGTAAGAGAGATGATTCTCCCTCATTCAATTAGTATTTTAGTTAATAGGATTAAGGTGACAAGATTGTACTCAAACCTTTATTAAATGACTTTGACTTATTTACTAAAAAAATATAAACCGGTGCTTATGACATAGAATAAAGAAATATTGATCAAGTTGTAATTGAGATGAATAATTAAAATCCTAATAAAAAACCTGAATAAAAATAATAAATTTAAAAATCTTTAGATCCATTAAATAAATAGTAAATTTAGAGCATTAAAAAGATTGGATAGTTTACAGTGTAATTTAAGTTATTAAAAAATTAATTATTTTCTTATATTAATTAATTAATTTAATTAGGTTTAAAGAGAAAGGTACTGAAATATGGGGAGTTTTAGATTCTTTTTACATTTCTTAGTAATCTCTAAAACATTCTTATTAATAAAGCATTCAGAAATACACACAAGATATAAAAGAACAATTGTAAATTATTTTTTTGTTTCTTTTTATGCATTAATTTATAAACTTTATCAAACAAAGCACTCAGTTTTTTAAAGAGTGTTTTTATGTTTATAATAATATTTTTATTTTATTTAATCAAAAATTTTAGAATAAAACCATAATTTTTAATTATTTTAATTAAACTTTATAATCTGATTTATTCTACTTATTATATTTTTAATATTTAATTTAAATTTAAAAATATTTCTTAAATAATTTCTTTTTATGTTTTGAATATGGGAAAATAAATATTACTATAACTAAAAATTGTTTAATAAAATAGTTTAGACTCAGAATGTACTTGGAAGAGATACTGGACAAATGAATGGGAAAATATGTAGTTTAGTAAATGGCATATCAACTTATTAGATAGCTTAATAACTTTTTATCATATTCCTCTTCACCTTCTAAATGCCATAATAGGAATTCCTTTGAAGAGAGTTGAATTTTAGAAAATTTCAAGACTAACTTATGTTAATGAAATGATAAATAAATCAACAATAAAAAGGGTGCCTTAAGATTATGATTAGCTTATTCAAAATTTACTTAAAAATATGAATGATGATTTAAATTAAGTAAACTTTTAACTGAGAGTAATCTTACAACATTTGGTTGTATTTTTATAATGGAATAAGCAACTATATTAAGAGGTTTAATACCTAAAACTGTCCTTACTCTTGAAAACGTATGAGTAATATTTTAATGAAGTGTCTGGGGATTTTGGATAATAAGAAAAATTTTAGCAATTTCTTAGAGACTTTAAAGCGTTTTATATTGTAAAATATTTCAAGAGTAGAATAAGAAACGAAATAACAATCAACTAGAATTCTGTTTGTGATTGCATTTATTTTATAAAATAGCACAACCTTCCTTAAGGATATGAAAATTAATATCTTAAGATTTTTTAAATATTAAATGAGTCCTAAAATTTCAAACCTAAAAAATAAGAAATCATTAATTATTACAATAATAACAATATTGATAGGTCGACTTACTTCTGGAAGCTAATTTATTATTGGAATAATTTTAAAATTTATTTGATGGAGATGGATTCAGTTTATGATGCTATTGTAAATGGTGCTTTTGGATTAGTTGTTTTTTTTAGCTGTAAAAAAGAAGCACATTCAAAAGTAGTAGTTTCAGGAGTCATATATGAAGACTATCATAAAACTTTGAGCTAAATGTTTAGAGAAATTAAGTAGTAGATAGAGCAGAATAGTAAAAAATTTAAAAATAGTGCGGAAAATGTGGAAGATGAAAATGATGATGGTGGAATTTTTGGCGATTGTTGTGGTAGATTTAATTGTGGATTTTACATTAGAAATTACTTTTGCTTATATTTCTTGAAGGGAATAGTTTTCATAAATATTGTGCTAAGATTAGTCTCTATAGTTTACATTTTATTTTTATCACTAGCTTACTTCTTAGCTTACTTTGTAATTTTATTTTTCGTTCTATTTCAGATGATTTGTGCACTATTTGTTTTTGACTTCTCCAATCCAAGAAGCGAAAAAGAAGAATTGAATTTAGTTTATCCTATTTTTTCTCCTGTTTTATAGGTATTAATTATATATCCATTATTTGGTTTAATAAAAATGATAATTTCTCTCTTTGCTCTGCTTTATTGCTACATTGCTAATTTTTTAATCTATATGAGATACCTACCTTTGAATTTAAAAAATTTCTTTACACTGCAATTTATTAGAATTTTTGGCTAAGTTCCTGAAAAAAATTCAAGAAATTGCATATTAATTGATTAAAACATTAAAAATGAATAAAGTGAGATACCTTATAAAAGAAATGATCAGAAAATTAATTGCTACTTGAGTTTTGAATAAATTTAAATTTTAGTAAAATAAGAGCTCAGTATATTTAGAGCAAAAGCAATAGAGTAAAAGCTCATCCATGTTATTTCTAAGAGAATTGCTTATAATAAAAAATATATGGAAAGTCTTGAAAATTTACCATTTAATAAAAAATCTAACTAAATTATTTAAAGGTTTGAAAAAGAAACTAGTTAATTTTAGTAATAAGTAGAAAATATGTTTAGTGAATTTTACAAGAAGAGCTATTAAATAGATATTTAACCTAACTAATAGTTCTTTTATGAAAAGAATGAGCTTGATTAACTCTAAATATAAATTATTGATTTCTTACAACAACTCTCCAGCCAAGATCAAAGACTGTTTGACTAAATCTTTGAAATTCTAGTTATCAAGAAAAACGATTATAAAACTCTTTCTCAATACTTAATTACTTAAATTTTTAAGAATCATGTTAAAAGTGAAGATAAAACATTTGATTCAGTTTATCATGAATTAACATCTTTTCCAACAAATAATAAGTAAGAAATAATAGGTTGCTCTATTGAAGATATTAATAATTATGTGGCAAAAAATTTCTGTCAAACAATTTATCTATTTGAAAACACAAATCTAGATGTATAAAGTCTATTAAAGAAATTTAATAAATGGAACAAAAAATCAAAATACTTTAAATGATATTTTAAAATTGATAATTATATAGTAAAATTGTAAGAATGTTTGAATTGAATATTATTTATTTCATATAAAATGCTGTTAACTTTTTTTCATAATTTTTTATACATTTGTTAATAAATTGTTTTTTTAATTTTTATAATCAAATATATTTTCTTTTAATAAATTTAATATTATATAACTTTTTTTTAGGTTTTTTTAATTTTATTTGTTGCTAAATAAATAAAATCCATCCTTGAAGTATTTTTCGAAGTTAGGTAAATCTTATTTGGGTACTTTGAAATTCGAATAATAAAAGCTAATGAGGTATATAAACTTAGTCATTTTTCTTATAAAATCAATTATTGAATTGATGCATGAAGATAATTAGTATAAAACTTATCTAAACTCATTATATTTGTTAGCTGTAGAAAATAAAATATTTATTTTTTTATACTTTAAAACTGTTTTTAATAAAACATAGAATATAAATAAAGCGATTATCAGTCTAACAAAAAATTTATTTACATGATAATATAAATATACAAAGCACAAAAAAATAATTTTTTAAAAACAAATTTAGGTTTATTTTGAAAAATAAAATGAAAAAGAAATAAATTTTATTTAATATTAAAATGATTAATTTTTTCATTATAATTATTATTAAAATGAGGCGTAAAATAAAGGAATAATTTTATGGATAAAATTATTGAATGTATGATAATAGAGTGTATTTTATTTTTCTTGTATCTTTCTTATCGTTTCTATTACATCAAAAATTTCATAAATAAATTATGAGAATGACTAAATAAAAAATCTAAATAAATATATTTGATCTCACACCTTATTTTTTCACCTTGAAAACTTAAAATTAATAATATTTTTTAATTATTTTCAGATTTATGATCTTAGTAAAAAAAACTAGCTTAAAATATCTTATTTTATTGATATATTTGTATTTTAGTACTAATTCTACTTAATACAAACTAAATTTATTTAATGAATTTCAATTAATATTAATTTCTAATAGAAAATACTATTATTTATTTTCAAAATAAAAAAGCTGCAATAAATTCGAAATTATAAATTATTTCTTAATTGAAGAAATATTAAATGATTGCAAATTAAATCAATAACAATTTCAATCATTATTATTTAATTTATTAAGCATCAATTAATTGAAAATGATAATTAATAATTAAAAAATATTATTTTGTAATTAAAAAACTTTTAAAAAAGTTATCATCAAATTAAAAATGAGCAAAAAATTATAAACAAAGTTAAAAGGCCATTAAAGTAAAATTTATTAGATTGATGGTGAAGCAAACAATTAAGAAGATTTATAGTTTTTACATGAAATAGAAAATGACGATAATAATACTATTGAAAAAGAAGTAGATAACTTTCTTGATACATATTTTGAGAGATAAAAGTTCATGAAAGAAATTGACTTAGAAAAATTAAATTAAGTATTTGAACCAATCATAAATCATATCTAAAATATCATAACTAGCTTTAATAAGAGAGATGATGCTCCCTCGTTCAATTAGTATTTTAGTTAATAGGATTAAGGTGATAAGATTGTACTCAAACCTTTATTAAATGACTTTGACTTATTTGCTTAAAAAATATAAACCGGTGCTTATGACATAGAATAAAGAAATGCTGATCAAGTTGTAATTGAGATAAATAATTAATACCCTAATAAAAAACCTGAATAAAAATAATAAATTTAAAAATCTTTAGATCCATTAAATAAATAGTAAATTTAGAGCATTAAAAAGATTGGATAGTTTACAGTGTAATTTAAGTTATTAAACATTAATTATTGTCTTATATTAACTAATTTAATTAGGTTTAAAGAGAAAGGTACTGAAATATGGGGAGTTTTAGATTCTTTTTACATTTCTTAGTAATCTCTAAAAAATTCTTATTAATAAAGCATTCAGAAATACACACAAGATATAAAAGAACAATTGTAAATTATTTTTTTGTTTCTTTTTATGCATTAATTTATAAACTTTATCAAACAAAGCATTCAGTCTTTTAAAGAGCGGTTTTAAGTTTATTATATTTTTATGTTATTTTAATCAAAATTTTAGAATAAAGCCATAAATATCTGCTTTATTCTACTTAAAAATATTTTTAATATTCAATTTAAGTTTAAAAAATTTCTTAAATAATTTCTTTTAATATTTTAAAAATGGGAAAATAAATATTACTATAACTAAAAATTGTTTAATAAAATAGTTTAGACTCAGAATGTACTTGGAAGAGATACTGGACAAACAACTGGGAAAATTCGTAGTTTAGTAAATAGTATATCAATTTATTAGATAGCTTAATAACTTTTTATCATATTCCTCTTCACCTTCTAAATGCCATAATAGGAATTCCTTTGAAGAGAGTTGAATTTTAGAAAGTTTCAAGACTAACTTATGTTAATGAAATGATAAATAAATCAACAATAAAAAGGGAGCCTTAAAACTATGATTAGCTTATTCAAAATTTACTTAAAAATATGAATGATGATTTAAATTAAGTAAACTTTTAACTGAGAGTAATCTTACAACATTTAGTTGTAAATTTATAATGGAATAAGCAACTATATTAAGAGGTTTAATACCTAAAACTGTCCTTACTCTTGAAAACGTATGAGTAATATTTTAATGAAGTGTCTGGGGATTTTGGATAATAAGAAAAATTTTAGTAATTTCTTAGAGAATTCAAGGCATTTTATATTGTAAAATATTTCAAGAGTAGAATAAGAAACGAAATAACAATCAACTAGAATTCTGTTTGTGATTGCATTTATTTTATAAAATAGCACAACCTTCCTTAAGGATATGAAAATTAATATCTTAAGATTTTTTAAATATTAAATGAGTCCTAAAATTTCAAACCTAAAAAATAAGAAATCATTTATTATTACAACAATAACAATATTGATAGGTCAACTTACTTCTGGAAGCTAATTTATTATTGGAATAATTTTAAAATTTATTTGATGGAGATGGATTCAGTTTATGATGCTATTGTAAATGGTGCTTTTGGATTAGTTGTTTTTTTTAGCTGTAAAAAAGAAGCACATTCAAAAGTAGTAGTTTCAGGAGTCATATATGATGATTATCATAAAACTTTGAGCTAAATGTTTAGAGAAATTAAGTAGCAGATAGAGCAGAATAGTAAAAAATTTAAAAATAGTGCCGAAAATTTGGAAGATGAAAATGATGATGATGGAGTTTTTGGCGATTGTTGTGGTAGATTTAATTGTGGATTTTACATTAGAAATTACTTTTGCTTATATTTCTTGAAGGGAATAGTTTTCATAAATATTTTGCTAAGATTGGTCTCTATAGTTTATGTTTTATTTTTATCACTAGCTTTCTTCTTAGCTTACTTTGTAATTTTATTTTTCGTTCTATTTTAGATGATTTGTGCTCTCTTTGTTTTTGATTTCTCCAATCCAAGAAGCGAAAAAGAAGAATTTGACTTAGTTTATCCTACTTTTTTTCCTGTTTTATAGGTATTAATTATATATCCATTATTTGGTTTAATAAAAATGATAATTTCTCTCTTTGCTCTTCTTTATTGCTACATTGTTAATTTTTTAATTTATATGAGATACCTACCTTTGAATCTAAAAAATTTCTTTACTCTGCTATTTATTAGAATTTTTGGCTAAGTTCCTGAAAAAAATTCAAGAAATTGCATATTAATTGATTCAAACATTAAAAATGAATAAAGTGATCAGAAAATTAATTGCTACTTGAGTTTTGAATAAATTTAAATTTTAATAAAATAAGAGCTCAGTATATTTAGAGCAAAAGCAATAGAGTAAAAGCTCATCCATGTTATTTCTAAGAGAATTGCTTAAAATAAAAAATACATGGAAAACATTGAAAATTTTTTACCATTCAATAAAAAATCTAACTAAATTATTTAAAGGTTTGAAAAAGAGACTAGTTAATTTTAGTAATAAGTAGAAAGTATGTTTAGTGAATTTTACAAGAAGAGCTATTAAATAGACACTCAACCTAACTAATAGTTCTTTTATGAAAAGAATGAGTTTGATTAACTCTAAATATAAATTATTGATTTCTTACAATAACTCTCCAGCCAAGATCAGATATTTTTTGACTAAATCTTTGAAATTCTAGCTTTCAAGAAAAATGATTATAAAACTCTTTCTCAATACTTAATTACTTAAATTTTTAAGAATCATGTTAAAAGTGAAGATAAAACATTTGATTCAGTTTATAATGAATTAACATCTTTTCCAACAAATAATAAGTAAGAAATAATAGGTTGCTCTATTGAAGATATTAATAATTATGTGGCAAAAAATTTCTGTCAAATAATTAATTTATTTGAAAACACAGATCTAGATGTATAAAGCTTATTATAGAAATTTAATAAATGGAACAAAAAATCAAAATTTTTGAAATGATTTTAAAATTTATAAATATAGAGTAAAATTGTAAGCATGTTTGAATTGAATATTATTTATTTCATATAAAATATTGCTAACTTTTTTCAGTATTTTTTTTACATTTGTAAATAAATAGTTTTTTTAATGAAATATAAATGATTTAATAATTTTTTGTTTAAAAAATTCTAAATTTTGTTATTTTTATAATCGAAATTATTTTATTTTTATACATATTATTTTAAATACAGTCAATTTTTACATGTAAATTAACCTTTTAAATCGAATGATATGATATGCACTTCTGTAAATATAAAAACTAAAATAACTCTTGAAAATAAATTATTTTACCCAATATTTGGAGTCTTATTTTAAAAAACTAATTTAAGTAAACTAAATGAATATTTAAAATTAATAAGACTTTTTAGATATAATTAGTTAGTTCTTTTATTTTAAGGCTGCTATGATCGAATTTAATATCAAATTAAATTCATTTTAATTTTAAATTAAAATTTACAGAATTTACACAAGAATTTTTCAATCAAAATATTGATTTAGGAGTTACATATAAAATCAAATCAAGCTGGTAGAATAATTTTTAGTTTATTTGTGTCTTAATTTTTATTATTTATGAGATAAAATTTTGAAGTGTGAAAATGTCATTTTTCAAAGAAAAAATTAAATAAACTCTGGTAATTCTATTTTTATAGACAAACTTTTCATAATATCCATTATAATAGGGACTTGCTTAAGCTTTTCTGTAGTTTTTAGAAAATAAAAAAATGAAATATTTATTATAAACTTCTTAGTAAAATTTTTAGTGAATAAATTTAAATGAAATCTATTTTTAGATAAGGCTAATCAAATTTAATCATGATGGAAGAATATATTTATGGTGATTTTCCTCTAAATTTTCAATAGCCACAACATACATTTTTTAATACTTCTGCATATATTTTTTATATGTTTATTTTTATGAACATAATTCTATGAATAATAATAATTTTCTTTATCTTTTTTATAACTCTTATTTGTAATACTACTCAACACATAATGAATCTTAGTTTTCTTGCTAAATTATTTGATAAATACACTTATTTATCATGAATTAAATCAATGCATTCTAAATATTACCATATTTATTTCCTTATTTTTTCATTTTGGATGCTAATCAAATGTAGAAATTTTAAAGCTTATGTCTTCATTCTTCATATTTTTCTTACTTTTTTAAATCCTTGATTTAATAATTAGAACCCTGACAAAGAACTTAAAACTGTATCTTAAATTCATTATACTTAAGCAACTCAGTTAAGTTAACTAGTGGGATTCTAGTATTTACTATAAAATATTACTTAAGATTATCAAAAATATTAATGTAAGCAAAACTCTTACCAATTAAATTAAAATTAAAAACAGGAGAATTGTAAAATTAGTCTATAAAATATTCTAAAAAAATAAAATTAAGCTAAAATATTTTCATCTGACCAGTTAAAACTATTCATAGACATTAAATTATATTAAATATGTATGGAATATTTCATATTTTAACTCTACAGCTACACCAAATAATATCAAATAGTGACAGAGGATACTTTAAGAAAATCATTTAATTTATTACTTTTTGCATATAAATAAATAGCAACAAATATGGCAACAAAAATAAAATGCTTCTAATATTACATGAAAAAAATGATTGACTTAAAGCATCAAATTTGAAATTTAAAAAAACTAAGATTGCAAATAGATTAGTTTATGAAAAAAATAAAATAGATGGATCTCACCTTAAAATAATCTAAATCACATTAAAAATTAGAAAATTTATGGCAATAGGTTTATATTGATAGAAAAAATAGCTAATATTAACTACCAGAGAGAGTATTTTATATAAAAATGCTTTCAAAGTATTTGAATAAAAACTCTATAATACTGATTTGTTTACAATTGCTAAAATCAAGGTATTTTAATTCATCTAACCCAAATCTCAATTTAATAATCAATAAATACTTAAAATGAAAGGCTTTTTTAAGAAAAAAACCTATCTATTAATTTAAATTTTGACTTAGAAGGTTTACCATAAAAAACACAAATTAATTTATCTAAAAAATATTGATTTAAATGACTAAAAATTTATATATGTTAAGGAATTATGTAAAGAATATTCTGCTTTAAGGTGGAAACTATACACTTTATTAAAAATTTTATTATTAAAATACATTCAAAATTTAAAACTTTCTTATTAATTTATTTATTTTTTTCTCTTACGATAGTGTTTTTGCTAAAGATATTTTGATATAACTGAAATCAACTAACTATGACTAATTAATTGAAAAACAGATGAAATAGTAAAAATAAATATTCATAAATTCAATAAATTTACCTTTAATTATTACAAAGAGAAATAACTAATTAAATAAATCAAAAAAATATTTCTTAAAACTTAATATCAAGATAAATTTTTATTTTTTAAACTGAATTCGAATAAATCTACCTAATTATATATAAAGATATTTTCAGTTTATTCAAATTAAAATTAAAAATTGTATAGTACTAATAATATTAAAATAATTGACTTGCTTTTAAACCTTTATAACATCTAATCAGCAATGAATAATTTATATTTATTCAATATGTAGAAAAAAATGAATTTAAAAATTTTAATTTTCAAATGTTTTATAGAGATTTACTTAATTTTTCTATTAAAATAGAATTAGTCAGTAAAATTAATATATTTTATTATAATATTTTGAAAACTATTAGCTATTCAAGAATATTCTTATCATATATAGGTTATAAATATAATACCTTCTTTAAAAATATCAAATAAAGCTTGAGTACTAAATGCTAAATTTAGATTATTTTATATTAATGAAAAAATATGAACAATTTATTCAAAATAATCTTTCATATTATATCAATTTTAAATTGTTTTTCTATTATTCGTGATTTAATGAAACAAATAACAAAATCATCTATTTTAAGAATAGATTATTAGATAATAAATATAAAACTTAATTAACGCATATAGTTAGTTTATGATAATTTTTATTATTTATATAAAAAACTTCAATTGATTTAATTTGCACAACCTAATACAATGATCTCACCTTAAAATAATTAGAACATTTTTATTATTCATTGATTAATTTTGTGTATATTAATCAAAACTTACCAATTAATAGATTGCCTTAAAATATAATTTTGTTCAATTAGTACCTTACAAATTCTTAATCCTAATAATTATAATGTAAATATAGATTATTGATTTATGGATTTATGATGATACATACTACTCTATCTGTAAATCATTACAATCTTAGATAAAATTATCCTTCTCATTTTATTCAAAAAAGTAAACAACACTTAAAGATAAAATGGCTAAATATGAAGGAGATCTTAGCAAATTAACATATTAAGTATTCATATTTATATTTTCGCTGTAATTCATACAAAATGTTATTTGGTAATAGAAGTATTTTTTATAATTCAAATAAAATTTATCGAACCTTTATATTTGAAATTTTCCTTAAAATATCAAATCAAGTAATTAAACGACTGTTATTTGAAATATTTCTATTAAATAAATTTTATTCACGAAACTGTCTCAAAGATTACATTTATATGATGATGCTAAAATAATTCTACTTCGAAATATATTTTAAGAACCTTAAAACTAATAAAAAATGAGGAAATTGTAAATAAAAAAAATTAAATGCTTGAATCTTTTAATAAAGAAAGATATTTATTTTCTTTAACATTACCTAAATTGAATATTTAAAAATTATATATAATCATCTCAAAAAGTTTTCTTTTAGTAAAACACAGGTTCTTTTTGTTTATTGAATTTTTCACTTTACAATTTTCTTATTAACCAAAAATAAATAGTTCTATTTTCTTAAGCTGGAATTTAATTTTTATTTCTCTTAATTTAAGTTCTTTTACTTTAAAGAAACTGAATCTTTTTTTATATTTGTAATCTCACTACTAAAAGGTAATTAAATTTGAAAGCATTTAAACATATACATTGAGTGATCTTGCTTGATCTATTATCTATTTCTGATATTAATTTAATTAAAAATATACCCTACCCTATTCAGTCAGAATCATGAAAATCTGAGAAAATCATGTAAACTAAACTGTGTATTACAAATTTGCTTTTTTAAGACTTAATTATTCAAATACTCTAAACGTTTATCTAATAGGTATATATTTTTAACTAAAATTGACAAATTATAAAAGCTAAAACCACAAAAGAAAAGAAATTTTCAATGGACGGCTACATAATTGACCTAGTTAAAAAGAACTATTAGTAAGAAAGCCTTTTTGAATCATATGATTTGCAAAATATATAAAATATATTGCATCCTCTTTTAGAGAAGCTCCGAGAAGTGAAAATTTTTAAGATCGTAAATAATGATATACATGATCAAATAAAGCAGCAAGAAATCAACACAATTACTATAAAACCATTAAACTGTTTTGAGAATTTAGAGAGCTAACCATAGGAATAATTTCCTTTAAATTATAATAATTTTGAATTATAGAGCCATTTGAATTTAATAAACTAAGATTGCAGTTAAAATATTATGAAAAACCAAAAACTAGGAGATTCTCTTTCTAAAAAACAGCTTGAGGATATTGAATAATATGGAGCTTTTACTACGTAAATAAATAAATAAATTTTATATTAGCCTCTAATTTTAAATAAAAAATTTATTTTTATAAAATATTTAGACAATTACAGGAAGGATAATAACAAAAATGGCAGATCTCTCAGAATTTATATATTCAGAAAACTGAAATGTAAATAAAATACAAATCAAAAAATCTTTTAGAAAAATATAATATGTAATAAATTAATTATTTTATATTTCAAATATTTTAAAATTTCAACATTTTTATTTTTAAAATTTACTATAGCATACTTAGCGAAGACACAAATAAGAGGATTAGATCTAAAAAATGGAAATATTTCAGGCTAAACTAAAGATATATTAACTTTAAAGATGGGATTTATACTTTGTTTTTTGATGTGCCTTTTCAATTACTCAACTGTCTGATAGGTGTCCCTGTTACTATCAAGAAAAAATTAGGATTAGATGAATATCTACAAAGCAATTTCATTGATGTTTAACCTGAAATAAATTATTTGAAAAGATTAAACATATTCAATTAAAAAGATATCTAAGATTAATTATTGAATTATCCTATTATTGATTTAATCAGCGAAATAGTCAGATAGTTAAAGTGGACTGAATTTTTATTTTCATAGAAACAAAATTTAGATCTGTATATTGAAATTGAAGTTTTGAAAAACATCTTAAGTCTAAATGTACTAAAACTCAACAATTAAGATTATTAAAGAGTTTTTGAAACAGTTTTAGGAATTTTTATCATAAATTCATTCAAAGAAAAGATAAAATCAAGCCAAAGTACTTGCATAGAGCTATTTAATGATTGCTTGTCCTTCCTTAACTATTATCAACTAGAGTCATTTTAGAAAAAACTATTAAAAATACAAAACAAGTTTGAAAGTGTTAGTAAAAGCAAAGCCTATAAAGACTTGCCAGCAGACAGTTTCTTAGCATCTAGATAAAAATACTTTTGGAAAATAGAGTAGAATTGGAAAAATAATACATTGCTTTTTTTCATAAATATTTTAATCGGAAATCTAATTTATGGAAATTTTGGTATTAAAGTTGTATTTTGTAAAAAAAATGCTGAAGGGAAAAATATAAGAACTCTACATGAAAATTTTTAAAATATTAAATAAACTGTGAGATAGAGAATTTAAAAAAAGGTGTTATAAAGTTTGTAAGCTGAAGAAGTTGATGATGATGAAGGAATATTTGGAGAATGCTGTTTTAGGATTCCAATATGCACATATTTTTTAAATTATTTTTTTATTTACTTAATATATGGCATAATATATAATAACATTATATTAAGAATCTTTGGGATATTAATAATACTACTCAAGTCATTACTCTTAATAATAATTTCCCTTGAAAATTTAGTAGTTTTCTTAGTAACATACAGCTATTCAATTATCTTTTATGATAAATTCAATAGAAGTAGTCTTAATATTCCTTTTGTCTTTCCCATCTTTCAAATTCTAATTATCAGTCCTTTTATTGGTATTCTAAAAATAATATTATCTGCACTGAAAAGTATATTGCTTTTGATTGAGCATTTAGTTTTGAAACTTAAAATATTACCTATAACCTTGAAAAATCTTTTTGCATTTATGCTAATAAAGTTATTTGGCTAAATACCAATAAGAAATTCAAGATTCTGTAAACTTGTAAATCCAGAAAATAAAAAAGATGAATCTGAGAGACTATAAAATTAAGTTATCATTAATGAATAAATAAATAATAACTTATTAAATAAACAACAAAATAATAACATATTTAATTAATTTTCTTAATCCTCAAGTAATTAGCAAGGTTAAAATAGTAATAAAAGAAAGCTTACTTACTTATCATTTGAATAGATTAGAGTAGCTATTGATTGCATCATCAGTAAAATTTACTTGTAATATCTATAAAATTAATTAAAAAAATTCAAAGATTAACATGTTAATTAAGGATAATAAACGGTTAGAAACTGTCTCTAATAATTACCCTTCTAAATGTACAATATTCTGAGTAAAATTTAAGAAAATGCTGAATCATTTGAGTTAGAACTCTGTAAATTATTAAAGAAACAACATCTAATTGAATACTAAATTTAATACGAATAAAACAGTTAAATTTCTTATGAAGAAGAACAATTAAATAAAATATATTAACAAATTGATTAATATCTTAAATCTTTTTCTGAAGTAGATTAAAATAAATATAAAATAGTTTGTTAATTTACAAATATTTAGCAAGGGAATTATTTAAAACTGAGGCTTTATTTTCTCTAAATAATATTTCACGGCTAATTTTCCTAATTTAGTGAAAAATCTTTATTCGATTAACTCACAAGATCTTATGAATTTGATCCAAAAGATGAAAATTTAATTAATTACATAAACAATTATCTTAAAGAAAATTTTTAATAATAAAATGCTATTTTTTAATATTGTGACCTTAGTAATATTATTCACAAAATTATTTAGTTATTTTCTAATTGAAGCTTTTAGCAAAAATAAATAAATAAATAAAAACAATTAAAAAAGAATAATTATTTATATTCATTAACAAAATCCATTTAATTAATATTTTTAAGATATGTATGTATGTATGTATGTATGTATGTATGTATGTATGTATGTATGTATGTATGTATGTATGTATGTAAAAAGATTATGTTTTTTTTCTTAAGAGTATTTAAGAAACTACGTAAAAAATAAAAATACATTTATAAAAATAAAAAAAAATTAAGAAATTATTTTTTTAAATAATTAATTAATGTTTTCTTTTAAAAATAATCAAACTTATCAAGTCATAAATTTAAAATCGATTATAAATATAGAATTTAATATTTAAAATTAAATATTCAAATTACTATAAATAAAATGAGTTATAAAATTTTATAAATATTTTAATCTCATTTTATAATTTTATATTTCTTTTAATTAATTTATCACTTTCAGAAAAGAAAAACTAAGAAAATAATACTTAAAGTCATTTTAATGATAATAGAGTTTGTATTAATATCATTACTATAAATATCAGTAGGTTCACTCATCATAGATTAACAAACTGAATCATCTAAACCTTTAGTTATTGCACCATCAGTATAAGTATTTTCTGGGCAAGCCTGACATTAAACTTCTGTATTAATATCATAATAACCTGTTTTGCTATAAAAACCATACCCACAAGGCCTTAGATTACAATCTGTAGAGCCTTCTAAAGAGTGTGTACCTGCATCACAATATTAACAATGAAACATATAATTTTAATGATCAGAATAATAACCTGATTAACTAAAATAACCTTCAGGACATAATTTTAATTATATATCACAAACTGAGTCATCATTTCCTTTCGTATTGTCATATGTCGTAAATTTACCTTTTGGACATTTTTAACATTCATCTTCTTAGCTTGAAATATAATATCCTCTTGTGCTATAAAAACCATAACCACAATATATTAGATCACATATTTAAGAGCCTTCAAAAGAATAAGTACCTGGATAACAAATAAAACATCCATTCCCTTTCCCATCAAAATCATAACCTGTATAACTAAATTTACCTTCAGGACACATTTTTAACTATAAGTCACAAACTGAGTCATCATTTCCTTTCGTATTTTCATATGTCGTAGATTTATCTATTGGACATTTTTAACAATCATCTTCTTAGCTTAAAATATAATATCCCGTAGAGCTATAAAAACCATAACCACAAGGTTTTAGATTACATATTTTAGAGCCTTCAAAAGAATAAGTACCTGGATCACAAAAAAAACATCCATTCCCTTTCCCATCTAAATCATAACCTGTATAACTAAATTTACCTTCAGGACACATTTTTAACTATAAGTCACAAGCTGAGTCATCATTTCCTATCGTATTTTCATATGACGTAGATTTACCTATTGGACATTCTTAACAACCATCATCTTAAGTTAAATCATTATATCCTGTTGGGCTATAAAAACCTTTGGAACAAGATATTAGATTACACCGTTTTGAGCCTGCTAAAGAGTAAGTATCATATCTACACTTTTTACACTCGCTATCTTTTGCATTACCATTATAACCTGTAGTACTCCAATAACCTTCAGGGCATTTATCTAATTACAAATTGCAAACTGAATCATCCTTTCCAATTGTAGTTTCTTGTTAGGTTGATTTACCAATAGGGCAAGCTATACAATATCCATCGTCATATATATTGTAATAACCTGCCTTACTATAATAGCCATAGCCGCAAGGGGCTAGATTGCAAATAATAGAACCTTCTAACGCGTAAGTTCCAATCTTACAATCCTCACATCCATCGCCTCTTCCATCACGATCATAACCAGTATTGCTCCTTTTACCAGCTTAACATGCTCTAGCAATACAAACTGATTAATCAGTACCTAGAGTAGCTACATCTAGAGTACATGTGCCTTTAGCGCATCGAGTACAAGGGCCATCATTATCTGTCCCATCCTTACTAAAAGTACAACGTTTACAGTCTTTATTATATGCTACTTTTACCAGAGAGAAAGCAAGTATCAAACAAAAAACTATTGAATTCATTTAGTTTATATATTCTGTATCTTTTTTTAGGATTTTTTAAATTTATTATCTATTAATTATAATTCTCATAGGCTCTTAACTTAAAATAATAAGACTAGTGCTATAATTATTTATTTATTTTTCTGTTACTGTATGAATTATTTTTACATTATTTCTATTTAATACAGCTCTTATATAAGAGTCAATTTTTTTCTTAAATTAAGAATAATTTTATCTTAAAACTAAACCTATGAGCAACAAATAGGTGGTTAATCAAAGAATAAAATTATAAATCAATTAAACTTAAGATAATTTCTTGTGAAAGGAATATTTTTTGAAATTATAATTTCCTTTTGTTGGTTCTTTTTAAAGGTAATAAAAATGAATCTCAATATTTTTTATAAGCCATATATAAAATAATATTAAAATTTAAAATAAAAAATAAAATTGCAAATAGATTACCGTAGTACCGTAATTCCTCTATACGATTGTACGAATCGCGTACGAGGAATAAATATTTTTAGGCAAAATTAAAATTTCATGATTTTATTACTTTCTCAGTTCTACTCTGTGCTCTTATTGAGGTTTTATGGTAATAGTTAGTTAGGAAGTAAATCTAAATTTAGGATACTAAAAATTAAATTTATATTTGTCTAAAATATCATAATTTAGATCTAGAAAATTTGTTTACTAGTGTGGAAATAATTAAATTCAATAATGTATTTAATTTAGAGCTACTCTCTCTTTCTATGAAATAAAAGTACAAAATAATATATTTGATTTAACTATTAGTTGACTGACAATCCATATTTGATATATAAAAATAAAATTTAGTAAATTATAGTTTATAGAGTTTTTGCTTAAATAAATAATTAAAAATTTAATAACAAATGTAAGATTAATTTTTCATTTATATTTTTGTACTCAAAAATTTGTTAGATAGTAAATTTAATCATTTTCTAAAAATTTTTATTCTGAGGTAATATTAAAGCTGAAATTTAAAAATATTGAGTTTAATATTTGCTAATAATACATAAAATATATATATCAATCATTTAAATTATGCTAAAATTTTAAAAATTAAATATTAAATTTATTAATTAGGTATAAAACATTTTTTTAAGTCTAGTTTAAGTATGTAAATAAAAACAGATAAGAATATACAATAAATTGATTATAGTAAATTTATAAATGAAAAATGTTTAAAAATAATATTTTAAACTATTATTAAATGAAAATATTATAGAACCAATCTTAACATAAATTAGCATAATTACTTTTGAACTAAAATATTTAAGGTGGATTATATTGATTATTTTGTTAAAAATGAAATAAATTATGTTCATAATTATTATCCAAATAGTTTGTTTTTAGATATATTTAGATTTAATAATATTAATCCTTTTTTTTATTTAAACACACTTAATTTAGCAATATTTTTTACCTTTTAGCTGAATCATCTAAATTCTTGGTAATAGCTCCATCAGAATAAGTATTTTTTGGACAAGTTTTACTTTAACTTCTGAATTAATACTGTAAAAACCTGTTGAGATATAAAAATCAAAACCACAAGGCCTTAGGTAATAGATTTTAGAACCCTCGAAAGAATATGAAAATCTTCACATCCTTCCCATTTCCATTAGAATCATAACCTATATCACTCCATTTACCATCAGGACAGAAATTTAATCTCATACTGCATACTGTATCATCTATTCCTTTTGTATTTTCTAGTTGGTTAGATTTACCTGTTGGGAATTTTTAGTATTCAGTTTATTTAGAAAGCTTTTAATAACATTTTTTTGTTATTATAGCTATGTCCATAATACTTTAGATCACAACTTTTAGAGCCTGCTAAAGAATAAGTACCTGGCTCACAGTCATAACATTCATCCCCACTCCCATCAAAATCATAATCTTAATCTTAATAACTAAATTTACTTTCAGAACACAACCATAACTATACATTACAAACTGATTGATCATTTTCTATTGTATTTTCCTGCTTGGTAGATTTCTCTATAGAACACTCATTACAATTAAATTTTGTATTCTAATCGCAATATCCTGTTTTACTTTATAATAACCTTAACCACAAGGTCTTAGATCACAATTTTTTGAGCCTACTGAGAATGAGTACCAGGTCTATACTTCTTACATTCACTTCCTTTTCTATTAGCATGATAACCTGTAAAACTATATATACCTTCAAGACACTATTTTAATTTAAAAGTAAAAACTGTGTCATTATCTCTTGTTGTAATTTCTTTTTTGGTTGATTTACCATTTGGGCAACGATTACATTTAGCATTATATCTACTATCGGAATATCCTGCTTAGCTATAAAAACCATAATCTAGATAATAAAAAGATAAACCTTCTTCAGGATAAGTACCAGCCTTACGAGTTTAACATCCATTACCATTTCCATCACTATCATAACCTGATTCACTTTATGTCATTCAGGGTATAATTTTAATTTTACCTCACAAACAGAATCATTATCTCCTTTTGTATTTTATTGTTTGTTGGATTTTTCATCTGGAAAATAGTCACAAATTTAATCTCTATCTCCTTCATTTCTATCTTAGTAGCTTGTTTCACTATAATAGCCATACCCGCTAGGGATTAGATTAAATTCTGTAGAACTTTTCAAAGAGTAAGTTCCATCTTCACAATCATTATATCAATTCCCTTTTGCATCAAAATCATAGCCAGTTGCGCTATATTTACCTGCCTATAATTTTCTAGCAACACAAATTAATTAATTAATTCCTTTAGTTGCTCATTCTATAGTAAATGTACCTTCATCGAATGGAGTATAAGGGCTATCATTATCTTTTCAATCTATACAAAAATTGCAAAGTTCACAGTCAGCTGTATATGCTCCCTGTAATAGAGTGAAAGCAAGTATCAAACAAAAAAGTTTTGAATTCATTAAGTTTATTTATTCATTTATTCTGTTTCATTTTTATTAATTATTTGTAATTTATTATCTAAAATAATTATAATTTTTTTAACAGCCTAAATTTAAAAAATAAGACCAGTACTATAATTAATTATCCTATAAAGAGTATATCATTTGGTTTTATATTATTTAAAACACCAAGTGTAAATATATAGCAGTTTGATAAAGGATACAATTATAAATCAATCAAAATAAAGATTATTTATTATGGAATAAATTTTTTTTGAAAGATCTAATTCCCTTTGGTTAATTCTTCATTTAAGCCAATAAAAATGGATATTTGTATTTTTCATTAGCCATACTTACTTTAATCTTAAATATAAAGCGATCTATAAAATTGCAAATACAAATTTATTCAAAAATATTTTTAATTAGTATCTAGTAAAAAAATAAATCTAAAATTAGTTTAACATAAATACATTTATATAAATCATCCATCTACATTTGTTAAAAGTCACATTTTTATTTTAAATTAGAAATAACAAACAAACAAAAATAAAATGTATAAAATAGCATATGGTAAGAACAATAACTATACACCCTTCCCTCCTCCATGTTTTACCTTAGATTTATTTAATATTTTTAGTTACCTAGTACAGGAGGGTTTTCTAATCAAGTAATTAAAGCATCTAATTTAGAGGTAAAGTATCTATATATTCTTAGCATAATAAATTAAATTTTAGTACAAAATAAAAAATTTAATTAAGAGCTAGACTCATTGACAACTATCCTTATTTGGTATGATAAAATTTAAATGATTTTTTATAGGCTTTTCAATTTGATAAATAATTAATATTATACTAATAAAGTATACTGACTTAATGTATTTAAATATTTATATATAAATTAAATATGAATTAAATTATGCTAATAATTAATATCCTTATCTATTTGATAGTGCATAATAATCCTCTTTTTTGGAATCTAAATATTTAACTATTTAATTTTTTAAATTTTTAATATCTTAAAATTATATTTAAAAACAAATTTCAATATCAGTTCAACAAATAAATGTAACCATTAACAAAACTCTCTAAAAATAAGTATTAAATATTAATAAATAGCTTAATTTCTGATAATAAATTTATATTTAATATATTTTTATCAATCAGTTTCAGAAAAGAGCAACTAATAAAACAAAACTTAAAGTAGTTTTAATGATAATAGAGTTTGAAGCATATCTTTCACTTTCAAAAATACTTGACTAATAAGGTATACAAATTGAATCATCTAAACTTTTGTTAATATGTACATTAGTATAAGTATTTTATGGACAAGCCTTACATTTTTCTTTTGAATTAATATTGTAATAACCTGTTTCGCTATAAAATTACTAAGCACAAGGCCTTAGATCACAGCTTGTAGAACCCTCAGTAGAGTACGTTCCTCCATCACATTCTTCACATCCTTTCCCTTTTCCATCATAATCATAACCTGTATTACTCCATTTACCTTCAGGGCACTTATTTGATTGCACACTGCAAACTTTATCATCTATTCCTTATGTATTTTCTTGTGGGGTAGACTTACCTATTGGGCATTGTTAACATTCTGTCTCTTTAGAAATATAATAATAGCCATTTATGTTATAATAACCATAACCACAATACTTTATATCACACCTTGTAGAGCCTACTAAAGAGTGAGTACCTGGCTCACAATCAGAACATCCGTTCCCTTTCCCTTTCCCATCAGAATCATAGCCTGAACCACTATATTTATCTTAAGGACAGAATTATCGCTACACATCACAAACTTTTTCATCTTCTCCTTTTGTCTTTTGCTCCCTAGTAGTTTTGTCTGGAGGGCACTTAGTGCAATCAAAATCCTATTAAACATTGAAATATCCTGTTCTACTATAATAACCATAATCACAAGGCTTTAGTAAACAATATTTTGAGCCTAATTCAGAATAAGTACCAGATCTACACTTCATACATTCTTTACCTTTTATATTACCATCATAACCTGTAGTACTAAATGTACCTTCAGGACACACTTTTAATTACAAATTACATGCTTTATCACTATCTCCTATAGTCATTTCTTTATCAGTTGATTTATCAAGTGGGCATTTTCTACATTTGCCTATAATAAAACCATTGTCATATCCATTTTTGCTATAAGTGCCAATACCACAGACTTTTAGAAAACACCCCATTTCACCTTTATTTGAGTGAGTACCAGGCTCACATTTTTAGCATCCACTGCCTTTTCCATCACTATCATAACCTGTTCCACTATATGTACCTTCAGGACATTCTTCTAACTGTAAATCACAAATAGTATGAATAGTATCTTCACCTTCCTCATCTTAATATCCTATTGTATTTTCTTTTGAGGTGGTCCTATAAACTGGGCATTTTTCACATAACTCTCTTTTAAATCCTTTATTTTTATTGTAGTAACCTGTTTCGCTATAATAGCCATAGCCACAAGGGATTAGATTGCATTCTGTAGAACCTTCCAAAGAGTAAGTTCCATCGCGACAATTAGTGCATCCCTTCCCCTCTTCATCAGAATCATATCCAGTTTAGCTAAATTAACCAGCCTAGCATTTTTTAATAGAACAAGCTAATTAACTAGTTCCTATAGTTCCTTTTCGTGGAGTACATGTACCTTCATCGCATTTAGTACAAGGGCCCTTATCATCTTTTCCATTTATACTAAAAGTACAAAGCTCACAGTCAGCTGTATATGCTATCTATAATAGAGCAAAAGCAAGTATCAAACAAAAAACTTTTGAATACATTAAGTTTTATTTATTTATTCTGTATCTTTTTTATTATTTTCTTATAATTTATTATCTAAATTAATTATGTTTTCTTAACTGACTTAATTTAAAATAATAAGACTAGTACTATAATTAGTTATTATGCAAAGTATATATCATTTGGTTCTATGAGATTTTCATTTAAAACAAAAACTAGTTTTTTTCATAAATTAAGAGCATTTTAATCTTTTTAAATAAAGAAGTTTAACAAATAAGTAGTTTACTAAAGGATTACATTATAAATCAATCAAAATAGGGTGATTTATTTTGAAATGAATTTCTATTGAAAGATCTAACTAATTCCGTTTTGTTTGTTCATCTTTAAAGACAATAAAAATATATTTCAATATTTTTCATTCATTAACCATACATACATTAATCTGACATTTAAAATGATCTATATAATTGTAAATAAAAAAATACTCAAATGAATTTTTAATTAATAGCTAGTAAGAAAATAGATCTATATTTAGTAAAACAAAAAATACATTTATATCATCAAAATTAATTAAAAGTCACAGTTTTATTTGAAATTAAAACAAAAAGAAAAAAATACACAAAATAAAATATAGTAAGAAAATTATAAAACCTACTCATATTGAGGTAAAATAGGGAGGGAGAGAGGCAGTTAAATAATAAATATGAAATAATTTGATTTTTTTAATTAATCTATTATCTATTTCTAATATAAATTTAATTAAAAATATACCATACCCTATTAAAATCATAAAAATCTGAGAAAACGATGTAAACTAAACTGTGTATTATAAATTTGCTTTTATAAGACTTAATTATTCAAATACTCTATACCTTTATCTAATAGGTATATTTTTTTAACTCAAATTGACAAATTTTAAAAGCTAAAACCTTAAAAGAAAAGAAATTTTTGATGGACAGCCACATAATTGACTTAGTTAAAAAAAACTATTACTAAGAAAACCTTTTTGAATCATATGATTTGCAAAATATTTAAAATATATTGCATCCACTTTTAGAGAAGCTCCGAGAAGTAAAACTTTTTAAGATAATAAACAATGATATAAATGGTAAAATAAAGCAGCAAGAAATAAAAAAAATTACTATAAAACCATTAAACTGTTTGGAGAATATATAGAGCTAATAATAGGATTAATTTCCTTTAAATTGCAATAATTTTGAAATATAGAGTCATTTGAATTTAATAAACTAAGATTGCAGATAAAATATTATGAAAAACTAAAAATTTGGAGATTCGTTAATTAAAAAACAGCTTCAAGATATTGAATAATATGGAGCTTTTACTACGTAAATAAATAAAATTTTATATAAGCCTTAAGTTTTATATAAACAATTTATTTTTATAAAATATTTAGACATTTGCAGGAAGGATAATAACAAAAATGGCAGATCTATAAGAATTTATATATTCCGAAAACTGAAATGTAAATAAAATACAAATCAAAAGATCTTTTAGAAAAATATAGCATGTAATAAATTAATTAATTTACTTTTCAAATATTTGAAAATTTTAACATTTTTATTTTTAAAATTTACTCTAGCATACTTAACGAAGACACAAATAAGAGGATCAGAGCTAAAAAATGGAAATATTTCAGGCTAAATAAGAGATATATTAACTTTAAAAATGGGATTTATACTTTGTTTTATGATATACCTTTTCAATTACTCAACTGTCTGATAGGAGTCCATGTGACTATCAAGAAAAAATTAGGATTAGATGAATATCTAGACAGCAATTTTATTGATATTTAACCTGAAATAAATTATTTGAAAAGATTAAACATATTCAATTAAAAAGATATCTAAGATTAATTATTGAATTGTCCTATTATTGATTTGATCAGCGAAATAGTCAGATAGCTAAAGTGGACTGAATTTTTATTTTCATACAAAAAAAATTTAGATCTGTACATTTACATTGAAGTTTTGAAAAATGTCTTCAGTCCAAATGTATTAAAACTCAACAATTAAGATTATTAAAGAGTTTTTGAAAAAGTTTTAGGAATTTTTATCATAAATTCATTCAAAGAAAAGATAAAATCTAGCCAAAGTACTTGCATAGAGTTATTTAATGATTGCTTATCTTTCCTTAATTATTATAAACTAGAGTCATTTTAGAAAAAACTATTAAAAATACAATACAAGTTTGAAAGTATTAGTATAAGAAAGGCCTATAAAGATTTACCAGTAGACAGTTTCTTAGCATAGAGGTAAAAATACTTTTGGAAAATAGAGTAGAATTGGATAAATAATACAGTGATTTCTTCCATAAATACTTTAATGGAAAATGTAATTTATGGAAATTTTGGTATTAAAGTTGTATTTTGTAAAAAAAATTCTGAAGGCAAAAATTTAAGAACTCTATATGAAAATTTCTAGGATATTAAATAAACTGTGAGATAAAGAATTTAAAAAAAGCTATTATAAAGTTTATAAGTAGAATAAGTTGACGATGATGAAGAAATATTTGGAGAATGCTGTTTTAGGTTTACGATATGCACATATTTTTTAAATTATTTTTTTGTTTACTTAGTATATGGCATAATATATACTAATATTATATTAAGAATATTTGGAATTTTCCTAATACTACTCTAGTCATTACTCTTAATAATAATTTCCCTTGAAAATTTAGTATTTTTTTTAATAACATACAGCTTCAATTATCTTTTATGATAAATTCAATAGAAGTAGTCTAAATATTCCTTTTGTCTTTCCCATCTTACAAATTCTAATTATCAGTCCTTTTTTTGGTATTCTAAAAATAATATTATCTGCACTAAAAAGTATATTACTATTGGTTGAGCATTTAGTTTTGAAACTTAAAATATTACCTATAACTTTGAAAAATGTTTTTGCATTTATGCTAATAAAATTATTTGGCTAAATACCAATAAGAAATTCAAGATTCTGCAAACTTGTAAATCCAGAAAATAAAAAACATTAATATGAGAGACTATAAAATTAAGTTATTATAAATGAATAAATACATATTAATTTATTAAATAATATGCAGAATAATAAAATTTTTCATTAATTTTGTTAATCCCCAAGCAATTAACAAGGTTAAAATAATAAAAAAAGAAAACTTACATACTTATCATTTGAATATATTAGAATAGTTATAGACTGCACCATCAGTAAAATGTACTTGTAATACTTATAATTTTAATTAAAAAATTTCAAAAATTAACATGTTAATTAAAGATAATAGGTTGTTAGAAACTGTCTTTTATAATTGCCTTTCAAAATAAACAATATTTTAAGTTTAAAAAAATGCTGAGTAGCTTGAGTTAGAAATTAGTAAAGTATTAAAGTAACAACATCTAATAGAATATTAAATTGAATACAAAAAAGACAGTTAAATTTCTTATGAAAAAGAGCAATTAAATAAATATATTAACAAATTGACTATTATCTTAAATCTTTTTCTGAAGTAGATTAAAATAAATATAAAATAGTTTGCTAATTTGCAAATATTTAGCCAGGAAATTTTTGTAAAATTGAGGCTTTATTTTCTATAAATAGTATTTCACGGCTAGTTTTCCTAATTTAGTTAAAAATCTTTATTCGATTAACTCACAGGGTATTTCGAATTTGATCCAAAAGATAAAAATTTAATTAATTACATAAAAAATTATCTTAAAGAAAACTTTTAATAATAAAATGCACTATTTTAATTTAGTGATCTTAGTAATATTTTTCACAAAATTATTTAGTTATTTTCTAATTGAAGCTTTTAGAAAAATAAATAAATTAAAATAATTAAAAAGAATAATTATTTGTATTTATATTCATTAACAAAATTCATGTAATTTATATGTATTTAATATTTTTCATTTAATTATATTTTAATATAGAGATTATTGCCATAGTCAACTCTTGTCACTTGCAAAAAATCAGCATATTAGACTCATTTTCATAAATCTATTTTTAATTAATTTACATCATACATATCTCAAATATCCTCATAATTAGATTCATCTAATCAGATATTCTAAATTATAAATAATTATTTTAAAATCAATTTTTATATACCATAATTTGTATTATAACCTGTCTGAACTTTTCTACTTTTCTACATTTTAACAACTATTTGGGTAACACAACCATGAAAGTTGGTTGAAAATTTATAATTATTTTCTAATATAGTAATTAAGGTACTTATTTAGAATAAGTTCTTTATCTATTCTAAATTTGGTAAGTTAAATTATAGTAGAAAATGAGAAAATCAATTAAGTAGACTGATTGACTGAAGACTACCCAGATCTTGCATGAAAAAATTTAAATTAAGTAAAAAAGTAGACCTAATTTTCATTAGTACTTATTTATGTATCCAAGTATTTATTTGTTAATTTACTGTGTTTTATTCATAATATATTTATATTAAATAATAAATTTAACCAAACATTTTACTTTTAAATAAAGTAAAATATCAATTTAAAATATTTAGCTGATATTTGTTTGTTTTTAATAGAATTCATCATTTAGATTATGCTAAAATTTAAAAAATTTAAATTTAATTAAAGTTCAAATATATTCTAAATGTCTAGTTAAAGTCTACAAATCAAAATTAAAGTAATTTACAATAATATTAACAGAGAGACAGAAAGGATTAATTTATTCATAAAATTTCTACAAAGTATTATTTTATATTATTAATGAAAGAAAAAATAAAATAAGTTTCTTAGTTTAAATTAAATTAACTACTACTAAACTAAAAAATTTAATGTATATTGTCTTGATTTACTTTGTTAAATAGAAATTAAATTATGTTTTTTATTAATGATTTGATAATTCCTATTAATCCTCCTTCTCCTTTTTCGAAACTAAATCCACTTTTATCAAGAATATTTTTACCTTTGTTTTTCTCATATTTAAAAATTTGGTTTTATTTTAAATTTCAATATAGTTTATTTACCTTATTATGATATTTTTTTAGGAATTTATATTCATCAAAAATATTAAAAGAGCAATAAGTTTAAAATTAAAACTTTAAGCTAAAGATTAAATTTTTAAACTTCATTCACTGATCAAATAAGATCTTAATATATTCTAATTCATCATTATTTAAGAATCACCAATATTAAAGGCTAAAAAAAATTTTACAAATTAAGGAGTAAAAATTTTAAAAATAACTTTAAAAAAACCCTCCTTATTCAAACGTATGTACGGTACGTGTACCTTCATCGAATATCGAATGGAATATAAGGACTATCATCATCTTTTCAATCTATACTAAAATTGCAAAGTTCACAGTTAGCTGTATATGATCCCTGTAATAGAGTGAAAGCGAGTATCAAACAAAAAAGTTTTTAATTCATTAAATTTATTTATTCATATATTCTTTTTCATTTTAATAAATTATTTGTAATCTATTTTCTAAAATAATTTTAATTTTCTTAACAGCCTAAATTTAAAAAAATAAGACCAGTACTATAATTAATTAAAGAGTATATCATTTGGTTTTATATTATTTAAAACACCAAGTGTAAAAATATAGCAGTTTGGTAAAGGATAAAATTATAAATCAATCAAAATAAAGATTATTTATTATGGAATGAATATCTTTTGAAAGATTTAATTCCTTTTTGTTAGTTCTTCTTTGAAGCCAATAAAAATGGATATCTGTATTTTTCATTAACTATACTTGCTTTAATCTTAAATATAAAGCGATCTATAAAATTGCAAATACAAATTTATTCAAATTTATTTTTAATTAGTAGCTAGTAAAAAAATAAATCTATCTAAAATTAGTTTAACATAAATATATTTGTGTTTATCATCTACATTTGTTAAAAGTCACATTTTTATTTTAAATTAGAAATAACAAACAAAAATAAAATTTACAAAATAGCATGTGGTAAGAACAATAACTATCACCCTTCCCTCCTTCATGTTTTACCATAGATATTTTAGTTACTTAGGGTTACTTACAGGAGGGTTTTCTAATCAATTAATTATGGCATCTAATTTAGAGGTAGAGTATCTATCTATTCTTAGCATAATAAATTAAATTATAGTAAAAAATAAAAAATTTAATTAAGAGCTAGACTCATTGGCAACTATCCTTATTTGGTGATAAAATTTAAATGATTTTTTATAGACTTTTTAATTATATAAATAATTAATATTATTCTAATAAAGTAGACTGCATTTGTGTATTCATATATTTATTTATAAATTTACTGTCTGTTTTTTATTCATAAAAAATTAAAAGAAGATAATAAATTTATTAATTTCTGATTGCTTTTATTTCGATATTAATTAATTTTAAATAAATATTTAACTAAATATTTACAAATATTATTTTATTTTTATCAGAATTCATTATTTAAATTTTGCTAATATTTTTCAAATTAAAATTTAATTAAAAATAAAAAATATTAAGAGATTTTAGTCAAAGTAAGTATCCAAATAAAAAGCAGAAAGTAAATTTATAATCATCTTAACATAAAAATGAAAGCATGTTTCTAAGTTTAAATTAAGATAATTACAACAAAAACTAAAAAAATTAAGGTAGATTATTGTGTGTGATTTATTTTGTTAAATATGAATATAATTATGATAATAATTAATATGCTTATCATATTTAAATTTGATAGTGCATAATAATCCTCTTTTTAGGAATCTAAATATTTAACTATTTAATTTTTTAAATTTTTAATATCTTAAAATTATATCTAAAAACAAATTTCAAAATCATTTCAACAAATATATGTAAACATTAACAAAACTCTCTAAAAATAAGTATATATTAATAAATAGCTTAATTTCTGATAATAAATTTATATTTAATATATTTTTATCAACCAGTTTCAGAAAAGAGCAACTAATAAAATCAAACTTAAAGTAGTTTTAATGATAATAGAGCTTGAAGTAGTTTCAATATCATCATATCGTTCACTTTCACTTTTATTTTCACTTTCACTTTCACTTTCATCATATTCACTTGAATAATAAGGTATACAAATTGAATCATTTAAACTTTTGTTAATTTATTCATTAGTATAAGTATTTTTTGGGCAAGCCTTACATTCTTCTTTTTAATTAATAGTGTAAAAACCTGTTGAGCTATAAGAATTATAACCACAAGGCTTTAGATCACAGACTGTAGAACCCTCAGTAGAGTAGGTTCCTGCTTCACAATGTTTACATCCTTTACCTTTTCCATCATAGTCATAACCTGTATTACTCCATTTATTTTCAGGACACTTATATGATTGCACACTGCAAACTTTATCATCTGTTCCTTATGTATTTTCTAGCGGGGTAGATTTACCTATTGGGCATTTTTAGCATTCTGTTTCTTTAGAATTATTATAATAGCCATTTATGTTATAAAATCCATAGCCACATGGGATTAGATTGCATTCTGTAGAACCTTCCAAAGAGTAAGTACCTGGCTTACAATCAGAGCATCCGTTCCCTTTCCCGTCAAAATCATAGCCTGAATAACTAAATTTACCTTAAGGACAGAATTATAGCTACACATCACAAACTTTTTCATCTTCTCCTATAGTCTATTTCTCCTTAGTAGATTTGCCTGGAGGGCACTCAGTGCAATCTTCCTCATTAAAATTGTAATATCCTGTACTACTATAATAACCATAATCACAAGGTATTAGTTCACAATTTATTGAGCCTGATAAAGAATGAGTACCAGGTCTACACATCTTACATTGACTTTCATTTGTATTTTCATCATAACCTGTAGTATTAAATGTACCTTCAGGACACTATTTAAATTACACTGTACATGCTTTATCACTATCTCCTATAGTCATTTCTTTATCAGTTGATTTACCAATTGGGCAAACTGTACATTTCTCATAATTTCTAGTATTGTAATAGCCTGTTGAGCTATAAGTGCCAACACCGCAGACTTTTAGATAACACTCCATTGAACGTTTTCCTGAATGAGTACCAGGCTCACATTTTTAGCATCCACTGCCTTTTCCATCACTATCATAACCTGTATCACTATATGTACCTTCAGGACATTCTTCTAACTTTAAATCACAAATAATATTTTCATCATCATATTAATAATCTCCTATAGTATTTTCTTTTGTGGTGGACCTGCATATGGGCAATGCTCACATTCATAATCTCTATCTTTTTCATTTATATCGTAGTAGCCTGTTTTGTTATAAAATCCATAACCACAAGGGATTAGATTGCATTCTGTAGAACCTTCCAAAGAGTAAGTTCCATCGTCACAATTAGTGCATCCTTTCCCCTTTCCATCAGAATCATATCCAGTTTCGCTAAATTAACCAGCCTAGCATTTTTTAATAGAACAAGCTAATTAACTAGTTCCTATAGTTCCTTTTTCTGGAGTACATGTACCTTCCTCGCATTGAGTATAAGGGCCCTTACCATCTTTTCCATCTGCACTAAAAGTACAACGTTCACAGTCAGCTGTATATGCTATCTATAATAGAGCAAAAGCAAGTATCAAACAAAAAACTTTTGAATACATTAAGTTTTATTTATTTATTCTGTATCTTTTTTTATTATTTTCTTATAATTTGTTATCTAAATTAATTATGTTTTCTTAACTGCCTTAATTCATTTTAGAATAATTTTTATTCTGAGGTAATATTAAAGCTGAAATTTAAAAATATTGAGTCTAATATTTGTTAATAATACATAAAATTTATATATCCATCATTTAAATCATGTTAAAATTTTAAAAATAAAAAATTAAATTAATTAGGTTAGTTTAAGTATGTAAATAAAAATAGATAAGAATATACAATAAATTGATTATAGTAAATTGATAAATGAAAAATTTTTAAAAACACTATTTTAAACTATTATTCAATTAAAATATTATAGAACCAATCTTAGTGTAAATTAGCATTATTACTTTTGGATTATATTGATTATTTTGTTAAAAATGAAATAAATTATGTTCATTATTATTATCCAAATAGTTTTTAGATATATTTAGATTTAATAGCATATCCTTTTTATATCTAAGCACACTTAATTTAGCAATACTTTTTTCCCTTTTAGCTGAATCATCTAAATTTTTGGTAATAGCTCCATCAGATAAGTATTTTTTAAACAAATTTTACTTTATCTTCTTAATTAATATTGTAAAAACCTGTTGAGATATAAGAATCAAAACCACAAGGCCTTAGGTAATAGATTGTAGAACCCTCGAAAGAGTATGTTCCAACATCATATTCTTGACATCCATCCTTTCAATTTCCATTAAAATCATAACCTATATCACTCCATTTACCTTCAGGACACTAATGAAATCTCATACTGCATACTGAATCATCTATTCTTTTTGTACTTTTAAGTATTTAGTTTCTTTAGAAAGCTTTTAATAATATTTTTTTGTTATATATACCATCAAGATACTATTTTAAGTACAAACTGAATCATTATCTCTTGTTGTAATTTCTTTTTGGTTGATTTATCATTTAGGCAACGATTATATTTAACATTATATCTACTATCGGAATATCCTGCTTAGCAATAAAAACCATAATCTAGATAATAAAAAGATAAACCTTGTTCAGGAAAAGTACAAGTCTTACAGCCTTAACATCCATTACCATTTCCATCACTATCATAACATGATTCACTTTATACCATTCAGGGCACAAGCAGAATCATTATCTCCTTTTGTATTTTATTGTTTGTTGGATTTATAATGTAAACAATAGTCACAAATTTCATCTCTATCTCCCTCATTTCTATCTTAGTAGCTTGTTTCACTATAATAGCCATACCCACAAGGGATTAGATTTCATTTTGTAGAACCTTTCAAAGAGTAAGTTACATTTTCACAAACATCTTATCGATTCTCCTTTGCATCAAAATCATAGTCAGTTGCGCTATATATACCTACCTATCATTTTCTAGCAACACAAATTAATTAATAAGTTCCTTTAGTTGCTCTTTCTAGAGTACATGTACCTTCATCGAATGGAGAATAAGGACTATCATCATCTTTTCAATCTATACTAAAATTCAAAAGTTCACAGTCAACTGTATATGCTCCCTGTAATATAGAGAAAGCAAAAATCAAATAATAAGTTTTGAATTCATTAAGTTTATTTATTCATTTATTCTGTTTCATTTTTATTAATTATTTGTAATTTATAATCTATAATAATTATAATTTTCTTACAGCCTAAATTTAAAAAAATAAGACAAGTACTATAATTAATTATCCTATAAAGAGTATATCATTTCGTTTTATATTATTTAAAACACCAAGTGTAACAATATAGCAGTTTGATAAAAGATAAAATTATAAACCAATCAAGATAAAGATTTATTATGGAATTATTTCTTTTGAAAAATCTAATTCCTTTTTGTTAGTTCTTCTTTGAAGCCAATAAAAATGGATATCTGTATTTTTCATTAACTATACTTACTTTAATCTTAAATATAAAGCGATCTATAAAATTGCAAATACAAATTTATTCAAATATATTTTTAATTAGCAGCTAGTAAAAAAATAAATCAAAAATTAGTTTAACATAAATACATTTATCATCCATCTACATTTGTTAAAAGTCACATTTTTATTTTAAATTAGAAATAACAAATAATAATAAAATGTACAAAATAGCATATGGTAAGAACAATAAATATACACCCTTCCCTCCTCCATGTTTTACCTTAGGTATTTTTAGTTACTTAAGGTTACTTACAGGAGGGTTTTCTAATAAATTAATTATGGCATCTAATTTAGAGATAGAGTATCTATCTATTCTTAGCATAATAAATTAAATTATAGTACAAAATAAAAAATTTAGTTAAGAGCTAGACTCATCGAAAACTATCCTTATTTGTTATGATAAAATTTAAATAATTTTTTTTTGACTTTTCAATTAGATAAATAATTAATATTATAATAATAAAGTAGACTGTATTTATGTATTCAAATATTTATTTTTATTCATAAAAAATTAAAAGAAGATAATAAATTTATTAAATTCTGATAGCTTTTACTTTGATTTTAATTAATTTTAAATAAATATTTCACTAAATATTTACAAATATTATTTTATTTTTTTCAGAATTCATTATTTAAATTTTGCTAATATTTTTCAAATTAAAATTTAATTAAAAATAAAAAATTTTTTGAGATTTTAGTCAAAGTATCCAAATAAAAAGCAGAAAGTAAATTTATAATCATCTTAACATAAAAATAAAGCATTTTTCTAAGTATAAGTTAAGATAATTACAACAAAAACTAAAAAAATTAAGGCAGATTATTGTGTGTAATTTATTTTGTTAAATATTAATTAAATTATGATAATAATTAATATCCTTATAATATTTAAATTCGAAAGAAAGCGCATAATAAAAATAAATGTAAACATTAACAAAACTCTTTAAAAATAAGTATTAAATATTAATAAATAGCTTAATTTATGATAATAAATTTATATTTAATATATTTTTATCAACCAGTTTCAGAAAAGAGCAACTAATAAAATCAAACTTAAAGTAGTTTTAATGATAATAGAGTTTGAAGTAGTTTCAATATCATCATATCTTTCACTTTCGCTTTCACTTTCACTTTCACTTTCACTTTCATCACAATCACTTGAATTATAAGATAAACAAATTGAATCATCCAAACTTTTATTAATATATCCATTAGTATAAGTATTTTCTGGACAAGCCTTACATTCTTCATTTTAATTAGTAATGTAAAAACCTGTTTAGCTATAAGAATTATAACCACAAGGCTTTAGATCACAGGTTGTAGAACCCTCAATAGAGAACGTCCCTGATTCACAATATTTACATCCTTTCCCTTTTCCATCATAGTCATAACCTGAATTACTCCATTTATTTTCAGGACACTTATTTGATGGCACACTGCAAACTTTATCATCTGTTCCTTATGTATTTTCTAGCGGGGTAGATTTACCTATTGGGCATTATTAGCATTCTGCTTCTTTAGAATGTTTATAATAGCCATTTATGTTATAATAACCATAACCACAATATGTTAGATCGCATGTTTTAGAGCCTACTAAAGAGTAAGTACCTGGCTAACAATCAGAACATCCTTTCCCTTTCCCGTCAAAATCATAGCCTGACTTACTAAATTTGCCTTAAGGACAGAATTATAGCTACACATCACAAACTTTTTCATCTATTCCTATAGTCTATTGCTCCTTAGTAGATTTGCCTGGAGGGCACTCAGTGCAATTCAATTCCTTATTAATATTAAAATATCCTGTACTACTATAATAACCTTAATCACAAGGTCTTAGTTAACATGATTTTGAGCCTTATAAAGAATGAGTACCAGATTTACACGTCTTACATTGACTTTCTTTTGTATTACCATCATAACCTGAAGTACTAAATGTACCTTCAGGACACTATTTTAATTACAACGTACATACTTTATCATTATCTCCTATAGTCATTTCTTTATCAGTTGATTTACCAATTGGGCAAACTCTACATTTCTCATTAGCTCTAGTATTGTAATAGCCATTATAGCTATAAGTGCCAACACCGCAGACTTTTAGAGAACACCACTTTGAACCTTATCTTGAATGAGTACCAGGCTCACATGTTTAGCATCCACTGCCTTTTCCATCACTATCATAACCTGTATCACTATATGTACCTTCAGGACATTCTTCTAACTGTAAATCACAAATAATATCATCATCATCATCATAATAATCTCCTATTGTATTTTCTTTTGTGGTGGACCTGCCTTATGAGCATTCATCACAATAATCATCTCTATTTCCTTCCTTTTTATCGTAGTAGCCTGTTTCGCTATAATATCCATAGCCACAAGGAATTAGATTGCATTCTGTAGAACCTTCCAAAGAGTAAGTACCTGGGTTACAATTAGTGCATCCTTTCCCCTTTCCATCAGAATCATATCCAGTTTCGCTAAATTAACCAGCCTAGCATTTTTTAATAGAACAAGCTAATTAACTAGTTCCTATAGTTCCTTTTTCTGGAGTACATGTACCTTCTTCGCATTGAGTACAAAGGCCCTTATCATCTTTTCCATCTGCACTAAAAGTACAACGTTCACAGTCAGCTGTATATGCTATCTATAATAGAGCAAAAGCAAGTATCAAACAAAAAACTTTTGAATACATTAAGTTTTATTTATTTATTCTGTATCTTTTTTATTATTTTCTTATAATTTATTATCTAAATTAATTATGTTTTCTTAACTGCCTTAATTTAAAATAATAAGACCAGTACTATAATTAGTTTTATGCAAAGAATATATTATTTAGTTCTATGAGATTTTCATATAAAACAAAAACCCATTTTTCTCATTAATTAAGAGCATTTCTATCTTTTTAAATAAAGCCCAAGTTTAACAAATAAGTAGTTTACTAAATGATTACATTATAAATCAATCAAAATAGGGTGATTTATTTTGAAATGAATTTCTATTGAAAGATCTAACTAATTCCGTTTTGTTTGTTCATCTTTAAAGACAATAAAAATAGATTTCAATATCTGTCATTCATTAACCATACATACATTAATCTTAATCTGACATTTAAAATGATCTATAAAATTATAAATAAAAAAATATTAAGATATATTTTTAATTAATAGTTAATAAGAAAATAGATCTATATTTAGTAAAACAAAAAAAACATTTATATTATCTATATTAATTAAAAGCCAGTAGTTTTATTTGAAATTAAAATAAAAAGCAAAAAATGCACATAATAAAATATAGTAAGAAAATAATGAAACCTACTCATATTGAGGTAAAATAGGGAGGGAGAGAGGCAGTTAAAAAATAAATATGAAATAATTTGATTTTTTTAATTAAGGGTAACACAACCATGAAAGTTGGTTGAAAATTTATAATTATTTTCTAATATAGTAATTAAGGTACTTATTTAGAATAAGTTCTTTATCTATTTTTAATATGCCAAATTAAATTATAGTACAAAATGAGAAAATCAATTAAGTAGACTGATTGATTGAAGACTATCCATATCTGGTATGATAAAATTTAAATTCAGTAAACTATTTTTGAACACTTTCCAATTTAGTAAATAATTAAAGTAGACCTAATTTTCATTAGTACTTATATATGTATCCAAGTATTTATTTGTAAATTTACTGTCTGCTATTCATAATATTTTTATATAAAATAATAAATTTAACAATTTTAGAAACATTTTACTATAAAATAAAGTAAAATATTCATTTAAAATATTTAGCTGATATATGTTTGTTTTTAATAGAATTCATCATTTAAATTATGCTAAAGTTTTAAAATTTAAATTTAATTAAAGTTCAAATAAATTCTAAATGTCTAGTTAAAGTCTACAAATAAAAATGAAAGTAATTTACAATAATATTAACAGAGAAACAGACAGGATGAATTTATTCATAAAATTTCTACAAAGTATTATTTTAAATTATTAATGAAAGAAAAAATAAAATAAGTTTCTTAGTTTAAATTAAATTAATTACTACTAAACTAAAAAATTTAAGGTATATTGTCTTGATTTACCTTGTTTAATAGAAATTAAATTATGTTTTTTATTAATGATTTGATAATCCCTATTAATCCTCCTTCTCCTTTTTGGAAACTAAATCCACTTTTATCAAGAATATTTTTACCTTTGTTTTTCTCATATTTAAAAATTTGGTTTTATTTTATCTTTTAATATAGTTTATTTACCTTATTATGATATTTTTTTAGGAATTTATATTCATCAAAAATATTAATAGAGCAATAAGTTTAATTTCATGATTTTAAGTTACTTTCTCAGTTCGGCTCTGTGCTCTTATTGAGGTGTTATGGTAATAGCTAGTTAGGAAGTAAATAAGTACTCTCTTTCTATGAAATAAAAGTACAAATAACATATTTGTTTTAACAATTATTTGACTAGTTGATAATTCATAGTTGATATATAAAAATAAAATTTAGTAAATAAATTATAGTTTTATGAATTTTTGCTTAAATAAATAATTAAAAATTTAATCACAAATGTAATATTAATTTTTCATTTATATTTTTGTACTCAATAATTTGTTTGATAGTAAATTTAATCATTTTCGAATAATTTTTATTCTCAGGTAATATTAAAGCTGAAATTTAAAAATATTGAGTCTAATATTTGCTAATAATACATAAAATTTATATATCCATCATTTAAATTTTGCTAAAATTTTAAAAATTAAAAATTAAATAAATTAATTAATTAATTAATTAGGTATAGAACATTTTTTTAAGTCTAGTTTTAGTATGTAAATAAAAATAGATAAGAATATACAATAAATTGATTATAGTAAATTTATAAATGAAAAATTTTTAAAAATACTATTTTAAACTATTATTCAATGAAAATATTATAGAACCAATCTTAACATAAATTAGCATAATTACTTTTGAACTAAAATGTTTAAGGTGGATTATATTGATTATTTTGTTAAAAATGAAATAAATTATGTTCATAATTATTATCCAAATATTTTTTAGATATATTTAGATTTAATAACATATCCTTTTTTTATCTAAACACACTTAATTTAGCAATAATTTTTTACCTTTTAGCTGAATCATCTAAATTTTTGGTAATAGCTCCATCAGATAAGTATTTTTTAAACAAATTTTACTTTATCTTCTGAATTAATATTGTAAAAACCTTTTGAGATACAAGAATTAAAACCACAAGGCCTTAGATAATAATATTTTTAATTAGTAGCTAGTAAAAAAATAAATCAAAAATTAGTTTAAAATAAATACATTTATATTTATCATCCATCTACATTTGTTAAAAGTCACATTTTTATTTTAAATTAGAAATAACAAACAAAAATAAAATGTACAAAATAGCATTTTTTAAAAAAAATAACTATAAACCCTTCCCTCCTCCATGTTTTACCTTAGATGTGGAGGGGTTTTTAGTTTCTTAGGGGTACTTACTTACAGGAGGGTTTTCTAATCAAGTAATTATGGCATCTAATTTAGAGGTAGAGTATCTATCTATTCTTAGCATAATAAATTAAATTATAGTACAAAATAAAATATTTAATTAAGAACTAGACTCATTGACAACTATCCTTATTTGGTCTGATAAAATTTAAATGAATATTTATAGACTTTTTAACTATATAAATAATTAATATTTTTCTAATAAAGACTGTATTTATGTATTCAAATATTTATTAAAAAATTTACTGTCTGTTTTTTATTCATAAAAAATTAAAAGAAGATAATAAATTTATTAATTTCTGAAAGGTTTTACTCTGATATTAATTTATTTTAAATAAATATTTACAAATATTATTTTATTTTTATCAGAATTCATTATTTAAATTTTGCTAATATTCTTCAAATTAAAATTTAATTAAAAAAAAAATATTTTGAGGTTTTAGTCAAAGTATCCAAATAAAAAGTAGAAAGCAAATTTATAATCATCTTAACATAAAAATAAAAGCATGTTTCTAAGGTTTAAATTAAGATAATTTATATAAAACTAAAAAAAATTAAGGTAGATTATTGTGTGTAATTTATTTTATTAGATATGAATTAAATTGTGCTAATAATTAATATCCTTATCATATTTAAATTTAATAGTGCATAATAATCCTCTTTTTAGGAATCTAAATATTTAACTATTTAATTTTTAAAATATTTAATATCTTAAAATTATATTTAAAACAAATTTCAAAATCATTTCAACAAATAAACATTAACAAAACTCTCTAAAAATAATTATTAAATATTAATAAATAGCTTAATTTCTGATAATAAATTTATATTTAATATATCTTTATCAATCAGTTTCAGAAAAGAGTAACTAATAAAATCAAACTTAAAGTAGTTTTAATGATAATAGAGTTTGAAGTAGTTTCAATATCATCATATCTTCCACTTTCACTTTCATCACATTCACTTGATTCATAAGTTATACAAATTGAATCATCTAAACTTTTGTTAATATATCCATTAGTATAAGTATTTTTTGGACAAGCCTTACATTTTTCGTTTGAATTAATATTGTAAAAACCTGTTTAGCTATAAAAATCATAACCACAAGGCCTTAGATCACAGACTGTAGAACCCTCAGTAGAGTACGTTCCTGCTTCACATTTTTCACATCCTTTCCCTTTTCCATCATAATCATAGCCAGTAATACTCCATTTATTTTCAGGACACTTATTTGATGGCACATTGCAAACTTTATCATCTAATCCTTATGTATTTTCTTGTGGGGTAGACTTACCTATTGGGCATTTTTAGCATTCTGTTTCTTTAGAATTTTTATAATAGCCATTTATGTTATAATAACCATAACCACAATAAGTTAGATCACATCTTTTAGAGCCTACTAAAGAGTAAGTACCTGGCTCACAATCAGAACATCCGTTCCCTTTCCCATCAAAATCATAGCCTGAATAACTAAATTTGCCTTAAGGACAGAATTATAGCTACACATCACAAACTTATTCATCATTTCCTATAGTCTATTGCTCCTTAGTAGATTTGCCTGGAGGGCACTCAGTGCAATTCAATTCCTTATTAATATTAAAATATCCTGTACTACTATAATAACCTTAATCACAAGGCCTTAGTTAACATTTTTTTGAGCCTAATAAAGAATGAGTACCAGGTCTACACATCTTACATTGACTTTCATTTGTATTACCATCATAACCTGAAGTACTAAATTTACCTTCAGGACACTATTTTAATTACAAAGTACATACTTTATCATTATCTCCTATAGTCATTTCTTTATCAGTTGATTTACCAATTGGGCAAACTCTACATTTCTCATTAAGTCTAGTATTGTAATAGCCTGTTGAGCTATAAGTGCCAACACCGCAGACTTTTAGATAACACTTTTTGAAACCTTTATATGAGTGAGTACCAGGCTCACATGTTTAGCATCCACTGCCTTTTCCATCACTATCATAACCTGTTTCACTATATGTACCTTCAGGACATTCTTCTAACTGTAAATCACAAGCAGTATCATCATCATCTCCTATTGTATTTTCTTGTTTGGTGGATTTGTCATATGGGCAATATTCACACTCATCATCTCTATCTCCTTCATTTTTATCATAGTAGCCAGTTTCGCTATAATAGCCATAGCCACAAGGGATTAGATTGCATTCTTTAGAACCTTCCAAAGAGGAAGTTCCATTGAGACAATTAGTGCATCCATCAATATCATAGCCAGTTTCGCTAAAAGTACCAGCCTAGCATTTTTTAATAGAACAAGCTAATTAACTAGTTCCTATAGTTCCTTTTTTTGGAGTACATGTACCTTCATCGCAATTAGTACAAGGGCCATTATCATCTTTTCCATCTATACTAAAAGTACAAAGTTCACAGTCAGCTGTATATGCTATCTGTAATAGCGCAAAAGCAAGTATCAAGCAAAAAACTTTTGAATACATTAAGTTTTATTTATTTATTCTGTATCTTTTTTATTATTTTCTTATGATTTATAATCTAAAGTAATTATATTTTTTTAACTGCCTTCTTTTAAAATAATAAGACCAGTACTATAATTAGTTATTATGCAAAGTATATATCATTTGGTTCTATGAGATTTTCATTTAAAACAAAAACCAATTTTTCTCATTAATTAAGAGCACCTTTATCTTTTTAAACAAATCCTAAGTTTAACAAATAAGCAGTTTACTAAAGGATTACATTATAAATCAATCAAAATAGGGTGATTTATTTTGAAATGAATTTCTATTGAAAGATCTAACTAATTTCGTTTTGTTTATTCATCTTTAAAGGCAATAAAAATATATTTCAATATTTGTGATTCATTAACCATACATACATTAATCTGAAATTTAAAATGATCTATAAAATTGTAAATAAAAAAATATACAAATGTATTTTTAATTAATAGCTAGTAAGGAAATAGGTCTATATTTAGTAAAACAAAAAATACATTTATATCACCTAAATTAATTAAAAGTCACAGTTTTATTTGAAATTAATATAAAGCACAAAATGCACAATATAAAATATAGTAAGAAAATTATGAACCTACTCATATTGAGGTAAAATAGGGAGGGAGAGAAGAGTTATATAATAAATATGAAATAATTTGATTTTTTTTATTGGGTAATACAACTTTGAAATTTGGTTGAAAATTTTTAATTATATTCTAATAGAGTAATTAAGGTACTTATTTAGAATAAGTTCTCTATCTATTCTTAATAAGGTAAATTAAATTATAGTACAAAATGAGAAAATAAAGCTAGACTGAATGAATGACGGCTATTCATATATGGTATGATAAAATTTAAATTCAGTAAATTATTTTTGTATAATTTCCAATTATGTAATAATTAAAAATTAAATCACTCACTAAGATGACCTAATTAATTTTGATTAGTACTTATTTATTTGTAAATTTACTCTCTATTAATCATAATATATTTATTCAAATAATAAATTTAATAATTTAAGAAACATTTTACTATAAAATAAATTAAAACTTTCATTTAATGTTTAGCTGAAAAATGTTTATTTTTATAAGAATTCATCATATAAATTATGCTAAAATTTTTAAAATTTAAATTTAATTAAAGTTCAAATAAATTCTAAATGTGAAGTTAAATTCTACAAATAAAAAAGAAAGTAATCTACAATAATTTTAACAGAGAGACAGACAGGATGAATTGATTCATAAAATTTCTACAAAATATTATTTTTAATTATTAATGAAGGAAAAAATAAAATAAATTTCTTAGTTTAAATTAAATTTATTAATTAATTACTACTAAACTAAAAAATTTAAGATATATTGTTTTGATTTACTTTGTTAAATAGAAATTAAATTATGTTTATATTAATGCTGTTTCGATAATCCATATTAATCCTCCTTTTTGGAAACGAAATCCACTTTTATCAAGAATATTTTAACATTTGTTTTTCTTATATTTAAAAATTTTGTTTTATTTTTTCTTTTAAAATAGTTTATTTAACTTATTATTTTTTTTTTTTAAGGAATATATATCATCAAAAATATTAAAAGAGCAAAAAGTTTAAAATTAAAACTTTACGCTAAAGATTAGATTTTTAAACATCATTCACTAATCAAATAATATCTTAAATATAAATAATATACTCTAATTCATCATTAATTAAGAATCGCCTATATTAAGGGCTAAAAAAAATTTTACAAATTAAAAAATACCTATTCAAAATGGGAAGGGTTTTCCATTAATCAATGAGGAGTTAGAGTAAATTAATTAGTTTATTAGACAGTTAATTTAATTTAGAATATTTATATAGTTAAAAATAAAAACTATTTAAAACAATCAAAAATGTTAAATAATAAATAAAATATATATTGAGCCTTTTCTTTTTAATTTAGATTGCTTTTTATGTAAATTTGATATGGAATTAACTAACTATTACAAATATATTTTAACTTCATCTTTTTTTTCTTATTTCTTTTTAAAACCAATTAAATAAAATTAATTTAATAAAATTTTCTTATTAGCTCTTTTAGAATGATCTTTAGTTCTAATCATATTTGATGGAAAGTTAGGTATTTAATTTAAGAGAAATAGCTATAAAAAAACTTTTTAACTATTTAAAATATTTTTCTTTTATCTAGATACCCAATTTAAAATAATTGTAAAATTTTAATAAAAAAATAAAATAAATACCTAATATATTCTTTTAAAATAAAAACTAAGTTAATTAAATTTAAGTATTGATTTTGAGTATTTTGATATGTTAATTAAATTTGTTTTAGTTTTATAGTGGTTATAAAGCAGTGCATTGAAAACTTAAATATCTTAAAAGGTTTAAATTTATTAATCTTTAGCTTTTATTATATCTACTTAGATCAATATAACTAATTCTTAAGCAATATTATTTATTATTAATTACAAGCATTTTTATAGAAGTTTAACTAGCTAAATTTATATAAAATGAAAAGATACATTCTCAAACTTATAGATGGTAAAGATTCAACTACCATTCAAAAATGGAAGCTTAAGAAGGACAAGTATGTTTATTATAATAGCATTTTCATTTTCAAAAGTGTAAAAATTCATTTTTTTATTCAGTACTTACATTATTGGAAGAAGTGATAAGGTAGAAATCCCAATTTAGCAAGAATCTATTTCAAGAAAGCACGCCGAAATCTGCGTTTTAGAAAATAGTGCTACAATTAAAGACTTAGGATCTGGTACTAATAAAAAGATTTTCATTGTTTACTTCAAGCTAAATATTTTATTTTAAATTAGCAAACGGTACATTCATAGATGATAAGATAGCAAAACATAATTAAATAATATTCCTTAAAAATGGCACTAAAATTTATTTAGGAGACTCTCCTAATTACTTGATTGTCAAAGGTAATTTGTATAATGCTAAAGTACTTATAATAAAATATTTTTTAATTAGAAAAAGAAAGAAAAGCCAAGGTTTCTGAACAATCTTTATAGGAATAAGCCGAAGAATAAGAAGAAGTTGAAGAATAATAAACAAAGGAACAAAAAAAATTGAAAAAGAAAAAAGAATCTAAATAAAAAGAAAGCGATGAGGATGATGAGTAAGAGATTGAATAAAAAAAAGAATAAAAAAAGAAGAAAAGCAGTAAAGAATAATAAGAAGATAGAGAACGTTCTCGTTCTTATGAAAAAGAAAAGTAAAAAAGTAGTAAAAATGAATAAAAAGAACCTTAGACACAAGAATAAAAACCCAACACTTCAGTGTATTCTTTATTTATTACTTTTTTAATAGAATATAATGAAAAACATTTTTAAATTAAATTATAGTAGCAAAGACCTCAATGCATCAGATAAGAGAAAACTCTTATGGCAAAACAAGAAAACTGATAATTTAGAAAGTAAAGCTTAAATATATGGAAAAGTAGAAGCTAATGCAGAAGAGACCAATAAATTTTTTAAGTTGCTCGGATTCAAATCTGTATAAATTAATTTTAGTTGTTAGTTTTTATTAATATTTATTTTTCATACAATCAATTAAAGAGCGCTGATGGAAAGTCTTCAACAGGAGCTAAAGTTCAAAACTATTTTATTACAAAGAGTGGTTCTGATAAATAGACCATGATTAATGATTTAGAAAGTTAATATAATGAAGGTATGAAGAGAAAAAATGGTAACAAGGGAGGTTTAGGTTATAATTGAATATAATAATTTAAATTTAATAGTAAATTAATTAGTTAGTTAATACAAATATTTATAATCTATATTTATATTTTTAAAGTTTATTTTAGAATCCTTTTCATTATTTGTCAAAACCATTTATCATTCTTTTTTTTCATTTGTGATAAATGAATCACATAAAATTTATTTTACAAATAATTATTTTATTTAAAATGTAAAAATGCTCATTCATACATTCTTGTATTTATTATAATTTATTCAAGAATTGATTGGATCTTTTTAGGATTAAAAAAATAAGAAATATCTATTTGTGTTTTGATAATATCATCCAATCTTTTTTGCTTTATAATTTTTAAAAACTAGCTATTAATTAACAGTATTTCCTTCCAAACTCAAATTTTCAAAAAGGAAATTAAAATTTTTAAGCAAATTTATTTGTGGATTTTAATAATAAAGAGATAGCTACTTCACATTTTTATTAATCTAGAATTCAGAACAAAAGCCTTTAATTACTGAAATTTAAAATAGCTTATAAAACGAATATAGTTGAGCGCAAATAAAAATTATGAGCTTAAAGCAGAATTATTAGGAAAAAGATAAGAATGCGTAATATTTAGAGTGTTTTAACATTTTGAAATAGATATAATAGATTAAACCTGACAAGTTTTCTTAAAAAATTGTTGATACAAGTCTTATCCTTCAGTTATAAAAACTATCTCAGAAAATATAATAAACTAAGAAGCACTAACTTCATGAATAGACGACTAGATATTAAAACTACCTTCCATCTCCATGTAAAATATGACTTTATAAGCAATAAATATTTTCTTTATTTTTTTAATATTTTTACTCAAAATAGAATTTCAGTCTCCTTCAAAAGAAGGCAATTTAACTAATTAAGCGAATAAGATTTTACAAAAACTAAGCTATAAAAGAGTGTTGAAAGAAGTTTTTGGAATTATGTGCTTACAAGAAGTAAAAGCTTTCTTGTTTGTCGTTTAAATTTATTTTAATTTATGAATAAATAACAGTGTATTTTTCCTTACTTTGAATTCGAAGAGCTTATTTAATTAAGGTTAGTGTGTAAATCATTCTAGGATGCTTTTAGTTAATTTTTCACTTAGTTACTACCCTAACTTGAGCAAACTCTTATCAGATACATAGTATTAATAAATTTTAAAAGGCAAAACATTTTATTATTGTTATGAAAAAAGTTTAGAAACCCAGATTTGGACTTATCAGAACTAAAGAAGGCTGCTTATTTCTAAATTCCTTATGAAATCAGGGAATGGGTTATTTTAGATTCTAGATAATGCTAAAATGTAATCGAAAATACTCTTTATAGATAAGACATAGATTCTTTAAAGCAAATCAAAAAAGTACCTAAGCAATTCGATGCTTCGTTTGCTCCTTTCTGCATACTTTTAGGGATTAAATAACCGATACAATATCATAAAGGAGATGGAAAATTAGAAATGAGCTGGCATAGCTAGTTCTTAAAGATAACTTCTTCAACAAATAATATTTTAAAGTTTATGAGTTTGGATTTCAGCAAAATAACATAAAATTAAATAGATGAAATAATATTTTATTTAAATTAATTTACTTTTCAGTAGTTAGAAAACTTTAATTCATCAGCTCTTAAGTTGTTTGTATGGACAAGGGCATTAGTTTCTCTCTATCATATAGATAACATATTTAAAATAAGGAAGCCTAACGAGTAAAATTATTTGAATAATAATAGGTTTATTAATATTATTAATATATTTTATTTAGATTGATAGGAAAAATAGACAATAAGATCATAGAAAGTATGTTCATCATTTAGAAAGAAAAAGGAATAATTAATAAATTGAGAAGAATAATGAAAAATGATAAAATGTTTAAAATCTACTTAGACTTCAATTAGATTGAAAAACCCAAAGCTGTTTAGGATAAAAACATACATTTTTTTAGCTTAGACAATGCTTAGCTAATATAGCAATTTTTAAATTATTTGACTCTTAAAGATATTTTAAAGCTAAGGTCAACAAATACTTTTATCAAGGAGCTATGTCATGTTTATATTCTTAGTTGTTTGAGTGAATAAATCACTTCTTTAGAGAGAAAAAAAATGCTTCACATTAATTAGATATACCCAGTCTTACCTTCTTTATATGAAAATTGTTTTTTTTCTGATTTTTTTGATGTCTCATCTGAAATTCTTATGAAAAAGTTATTTCTTGTTGATCGTCACTCTTTCTCTAGATTTAAATGCTAAACGAAACCAAGCCATTCTTTAGAAAAATTTTGCAAGATAGTGTCTATAATTTTCAATATTTAACCATAATAAAATAGTTTACAAACTACACAATAAACAAAATAGATTTCTACACTATAATAAACTATGAACCAAACGCTTAATCAAAGCAATTAGAGAGATCAATATTTCTAATATATAAAAAACTCAATCAACTCAAAAACATTTGAAAGCTAATTAAAATAATTTAATCCCTTTCATATAAATCCTGAAGTAAAATTAAGAATATTTTCTGATATATAATTAAATTAATTTCAATTAATTTTTAACAGAAAATAAAAGAGTGTGAGGAAATAGCTTTTAGTCTAGAAAGTGATTTGATGAAGGATCCTAATTAAATAGGTATTATAGAAGATTTATAAGGATTAAGATTGTACATAAATCTATTAATCATTTTTTATAGAGCTACTATGCCTCTAGATTATTGCAATTCTAATATATTTTAAGAAAACCTCTTAGATGTTTATTCTGATATTTACAGTATAACTGATTCTTGTTAGAGGCTTTTCAAAATTTGCTATAACTTTTCTCTGCTTACTCCAGAAAATATGAAAATTATTGTCTCCTAAGCTTTTGAATCTCTTTAGAATGATCACTAACATCTTGTAACATAATTGAAGGTAAAAAATAAATATAATTTATCAAACAATCATATTCAATTCATAAATAAATTTTTAAGTAATTCAAAAAAAATATTTTAAAATTAAAAATAATAATTCAATTAGAAGTTTAATTTTTATAAATTTTTTACTAAAAATTTATTTACAAAAACTATTCTGATTTTTTAATTTATTTTAATCGAACAAAATAATTAATTTATTTTTATATAAATCCAAATTTATATGCGAATATATAATTTTAACAGAAAAAGGAGTTTTCATAATTAAAACATCTATACCAAAGAGCAAGAGATTCAAAAGAGTTAAATGGGGATAAAGTGTAACTTATAATAATTGAGCTAATAGAGAGATATAACACTTAGTAGAGAAGTAATGAAGTGACTTAAAAAATTAAGTAGGCTAAAGAAAAGTAGGAAAAAACATAAAACTTTTTGAATTATTTCAAACATTTCTTCTTGAGAAATATTTTAAATTTTTTGCCTTTGTAGGATCTATTATCATTTGGATTAGTTAGTAAAAATGCTTTTTAAATTTATAATATATATTTACACTTTAGAATTCACATTGAGGCTTCTTAGATAAGAAATTTAGAGCTTAAATTTGAAAATTAAGTAAATTATTTACTCATTTTTTAAAGCAGTTTTAATTTTATTCTTTTACCAATAAATAGATAAAGAGTATTGATAGAAAAAAGAGAATTTACTTTTAAGATTCTGAAATTGATTATCCAAAAAAGGAACATGCCATTTAGCTTTTAACAGAAATAAGTCTTAAGGATGTTAGTAATCTTAAAAGAATAACTAAATCATGTGCAGGTTTTGACTTATTTGCCAAGCCTGTTGTTGAGTTACTTAACATTAAATTAGAGTACAAAATAGTGTATTTGAAAAAGCAAGTTGATTATTGGACAAGTTTATTTAAATTTATGCAAATTAATGATTTTAATAAAATTCTTCAGGAGTTTTAAGTGGAAATCGTTGAAACTGCTAAAATAAAGAAAATCGAAAGCTATATCAAGGAAAATTAAAACTTCACAATTCAAAATGCATTTAAATTGAGTGAATCATTATCAAAATTAGTCAAATGGATTTTTGGTAAATTAAATAAATATTGTAAGTTAATTTTAAATTAAATTTAATTAAAATATATTTTTAGGTGTTTTGGAAATACACAAATTCCTGAGACGATATAGTTTATGCGAGGAATAAGAAGAAATGATGGATATTAATGAGTTAAAAATAGCTAATTATCTTGATTTTAGATAAAAGTAATCTTATAAAATGCTTAGATATATAGGCAAGCACACTGAATACTAAAAAGAATATGAATACTGGAGCCAAATATTCTTAAAAGAAAGCAATAAATAAAGAAGATAAAAAGAAATTTAAATAATTGATGAAAGCAAATAACCTAATAGCAAAATTAAACGAGTGAATACATAAGATACTAATTAAAACTTAAAAAAGAGCAAAATAGATGAAGAGGATGAGGAAGAAGATTCAAGCTCATTTTAAAATTAAAATTATAACTATCTGAATTAATCTGAGCAATTTATAAATTCAAAGCAACCAGTTTAGGATTATAAAATGAATAAATCTGCAATTTGAAAATCTAAAATTATAATAATTTCTATAATATTCTATTGATCTGAGCATATAAAAATAATCAAAACTAAATTTACAAATAAAACTAATTTTTAAAAGACATTTTAATAGACTATTTTAATAATTAAATTTATTAATATTATTTATAAAACTAGTAAAATTAAAAATGAGCCTATATTTTATAATGTATTTATTATCTGTTCTGTTAGTTCATTTCAGTTGGAAAGATGGATATTAAGAAGATTTATTCTAAACATAAAAAAATTAAATTTTTCTTTTAGTAAATTATTTAAACTAATTTTTTATTTAATTTTAAAGTATTAAAATAAAAAGACCTATTATGTTTTTACAAATAGAAAACTAAAGATTTTAATTTATTTATTTCTAATATAACGTAAATAATCTTTTTTATATTTAAATAACATAAAAGACATTTTTTAAAATAGGTTTTTTTTTCAATATAATTTATTTTTTATTGATTTTTGGTTATATTATGATTAATTTTTCAATTAAATTTAGGTTTTCCTATTAGAATGATAAAGCAAATTTATTTATTTATAATTTATAAAAAATTATTTATGAGAAAATTTAAATTTTATCTTTTTAACTTAAGCATACGAAGATAGAAAATTTATATATACAGATCTGTAAAATAAATAAATAAATTAATAAAATTATTTTTGTTGATTGATTGATTTTGTTTTATTATTATTTATATAAATTACTTCATTAATAAATAAGGGGGTATAAAATGGTTTTGATATGGTATGAAGAATATGTTTTTTGCTGATTTGTTTATTTGTTTTTTTTCATTATTTATTTATTCATTCAATCTTGTTAGTTTTATGACTCTTTCCAAAAACGAAGAACAGCTCCATCTAGAATTTTATCAACAATTTAGATGAAATCACCTTCGGGAGTTCCAGGAGGAAGTTCAAAAGCATCTATATTAGCGAACAGATTGTTTTTATTTGGTGCATATAAATTAGAAGAGAAATCTGGCAGATAAACATTTAAACTTTTAGTTTCTTCGTTTGTGAATTTTGTTGTTTGAGGAGGAAATGGTTTCTTCTTAAAAAAGGATGCCTTAGTTTTATTATAATCCTTCAAGATAAAGTTAGCTGTTTTCTTAAACGATTCCTTATCTCCAGCACATTACTGATAAGTTTAATATAGAGCAATACCAATTCTTGTTTAGAAATTTAGGTTTTAATCTTTATCAGCAAATTGCAATTTTTTTTCTTCATTTTCCATAGATTTCTCAGATTTAAGGCCTGTGAAACTTTTTCTTTTGTTCCTAAACTCATCTTCTGAATTAGCTCTCTTTTCTTATTTTACATCAAAAGAATTTAAATATTAACTAAAAAACATTTATTAAACACCAAATATAATTATCAACAATATTTTTTGAAATTATCTATATAAAAAATCTACAGAAATTGCTTTATGATTAGAGGAAAAAATAATGCTGTTTTATTATTTAACTAACCATACTTATTATTGTTGGAAGATTGATTTATTTATTGTATTTTTTTAGTTAAAATTATAAGTAATAAATAAATAAATAAATAATTATATTTTAAACAAATTTTTAATTATAAAATACTTTTCTCTATAAGTTGCTATTGTTTTATCAACTTTAAAGCATCAGAAACTCCTCTTCCGGTCAGATTAACTCTTCTATCTCCAGAACGTTGCTTGATCTCACTGCTTTTTAGTCTTTATTCTTCTTCCTAAATTTTACGAGATTTTTCAACTTTTTATCTTAATTCCATCTACATACGCTTTTTAAAACTAAAATAAATAATATTTCCTTCAGAATCTCTTCCAATATTCTCATCATCTTCTTCTTACTCTGATTGTTTATTTGCTAAATTCCCATCTTCATCTGCTTGGTCTCCTTGATATTATTTAATTAGTTTTAGATTAAACTTTTTAAAAACGAACTTACCATTGTTATTGGTTTATGAAGAGGCAGCTGCATTTTGATTTGTACTGTATTAAAGATTTTATCCATTAGCCGTTTGACCAGCTTACTACTAAGAAAGTAGGCCACCTGCTGTTTAAGTCATTTCCTTTTACAAATATTCCAAATAATCAATTTTTTCTATCTTGCTTTTGAAAATATTTAGACGATGATTAACAGTTTCAAGTGTTGGTGTTTTACAACCGAATTAGCCCATTCTGATTATATCTTTAGTCATAGATGTCCACAACTTCGACTTTTCTTTTTTTTAATTTTCTAAATTAAACTTAACCTCTCTATTCTTTTTAGGACTTTCAGATTCACTGTTGTTGTCCGAATCTAGTGCTATTTTTTTTTTCCTATCAACTTCTTCTAAATTTCTATGCTCTATTAATGAGCTTTGTTTGTCTTTTTTTGGTGATTTTTTAAGATTTCCATATGGATCAAAACCTGTGGGCTTATGATGATTTTATTACTAATCAATACCCTAATTTAAATTTTAGTCCTCTTCATCTGAATTAGGTTCTTTAAAAGGTTCAAATTTAATAGCATCTTATAATTGAGGGTTTTGGGAGAAAAAGTGATCCATTTAATCCTTCAGATTCATAAAATTGTTATTAAAATCTAATAAAAATTAGAAAATTTCAGCCATTATTAAAAATCAAAAAATAATGCGTTTATATTAAATAATTAATATTCATAGATAAACCAACAAACCAACTTACCTTCCTAATCATTATCTTCAACAGAAGAGGCAAATGAATTGTTTGAATTCAAACTATCTTCTGAACTAAATATCAACTAATCCTTTTGCTACTTTTTAAAATTCATTTATTTTTATTGATGGTAAAGATATAATTTTTCTTTTCAAAGTAATACTACTGGAATAACTAAAATATTATTTTAATTAAAAATTTTCTGTTTTTGCTAATAATTTGATGATAAATCCTTTTTTATGCAAGCCAATAAGAATTGTATATTAAAAATTATAAAACTTTTTGCAGTAGGAATATTTATTTATTTAATTATTTTTCCAGCCAATTTCCAATAGAATCAATTAATGAATGAATGAATGAATTTATAAATAAATAATTGCTTAATTAGGCAAAGTTTTACTTTTGCTTTATTTTTGATCAATACAAATTATATGGTCAAATATAAATAATTACTAGTTAACTGATTGATTTTGAAGCAATATCAAAAACCCTTTTTGAATATTTTGAAAAAATTGCGCTGCAAATTAATAATATTGAATTTCTACTTTGAAATAAATATTTAATAAAATGAATGACACAGCCCTTCATCAATTAAAAAAGACATGGGAATTTGAATATAAAATTATGGAGAAGTTAATTAAGAAGCTTCATAACTAATTAAGAGCATAAAAAGAGTTGAGAATTTTGCAAGAAATGATGAGAAAATGTAAGTAAGTCTTGAGAGATTTAGGAGACTTAATTAAGGAAGAAAACAGAGAAAAAAGAGTCTAAAATCTCAAATAATTTTTTAAACTTTGTACAAAAACAATGGAGACATGCCAAAAATTTGGATAATATTGCTATTAATATATTGAAAGGAAATTTTTGTTGGAATTTTCTTCTATTTCTTTCGCTTGCTCAAGCAGATTCTATTATTTATTAAAAGAGATCCATCCTTTCTTAAACAAAATTTTCAAAAGAGAGAAAGCTTTGTTGTAATCGGAAGAGATTAAGGAATAATAAAAATAAAATAACACAATAGTAATACATTGATTGAAGTTATTGCTAAATATCATTTTAGTTATTCTTATATAAATAAATATAGAAAAATCATATATCATATTATAATTAGATTGAAGTAATTAAAAAATATACTTATTAAGTTAAAAATAGACTTTTTTTGTATTCAGTAATTTATTATTGTATTTATTATTAATTTTAAAGATTCAAATCTTTTTTGAGCTTTAAGTAATGTCACTAATAAATCATTATAAAAAAAAACGCAAAAAACAAATAAATGATTGTTCTAAATATTTTATTAATTCTAAGTTTAAAAATATTTACCATAATTGGTAAAATAAAATTATCTGGCATAAACTTTAATTATTTTTATGTTTAAGATCTTTTTTGATAAAGTAATAAAAGAACTTTCTCAAATCAAGTACATATAAATTAAAAGTTATTAAAACTGTATAAATGTTCTCTTGTGTATCGATTGTAAAATCTTTCTTTTTATTTATACTAATAAAATATTATTCTTTAAATTATTTGAACTATCTTAGTTTAATTAGAATTGCAGTTTTGCCTAAACAAAGTTGGTTTATTTCAGAAACTAAAGATTAGATTAAATATATTATTACTCTTTCTTTAAGGAATATTGTTATAAATAAGTATGAGATGCTACTAAATATAGTAATAAAATAACAATAATTAAAATCTTAGGTTTATTTAATATTATTTACATGAAAAACAAAAACTTTATTTACTGAAACCCATTCTTAGTAAAAATAAAGAATATATATTATTATTTGTAAAATTAAGGTATGGTTTCTTTACAAAATTTGCAAAATAAACAAATAATAATAGTCTTTAAATAATTTTTGTCAAGTAGATGAATAAGAGTAAAAAGATAGATAGAATAAAAATCTAAGTTTTGTGATACTTTTATTTTTTAATAAATATGGAAAAAAAAATTGGTGCATAGTTCTTATAGAATCTTAATTAATTAATTAACTAAATAACTAACTAACTAGTTTGGTTGCTTGAAAAAAATTAGAATATAATTATAAATAGACGATAATTACATTTTTAAGTAATAACTACTAGATAAATAATTTATTTAATTGTATTAGTATTAATTGGTAAAAAGGTAATTAAAATATACTTCACAGTTTAATTTCATTAAAAGAAGCTATAGAAAATAGGAAACACAGAAATAGCGGTTGAGCCCTACAAATTAAAAATAGATTTAAGGAAAGCTAAGAAATAGTTAGTGTTTTACATTTTTAAGTTTGAGGTCCATAAAATTTAATAGTCTGACTTGATCTTAGTAGTAAAATGAATGGGGTTAATTCTCCTAACTTTAAACAAAATATATAATAAGAAGAAGATGGTAACTAGCAAGTTAAAAGAGAAGAAGCTAAAAGAAAGTCTTTTACAAGCGTCTAAGGTTACACCTTGCATGAGATATTAGGAAAAGGGTCTTTTGGCCAAGTTTTCAAAGCAACCAAAAACAACAAGGTTTATGCAATTAAAATGATAGATAAGCCATTGATTCGCAAGAAGAATTTGCAGAAATATGTAAACAATGAAGTTAAAGTAATGCGTGAATTAAAGAATTAAAATACAGTTAGGCTTTACGAAGCATTCGAGGATAAAGATATCCTCTATCTGGTTATGGAATATTGCAATTAAGGAACATTATTTAACTATATTCTAAAAAATAAGCCTGAAGAAACTGAATGTGTCAGAATCTTTGTTTAGATTCTTAAAGGCTTCATTGAAATACATGAGAAGCATATTCTTCATAGAGATTTAAAGCCCAGTAATATTTTCATTAAAGATGGAGTCTTTAAAATTGCAGATTTTGGGTTAGCAAAACCTAAAGCGCTGGGTAGTAGCTACTGCGGTACAAGCTACTTTATGGCTCCTGAAATTCTTTAGAAAAAACTCCATGATTATAAAGTAGATTTGTGGTCAATGGGAGTAATACTTTTCTTTATGATTTTCAGAGAATATCCATTTAAGAATTCAGCCAAACTTCTAGATGAGATATAGCAAAAAACAAATCCTTATTTTGACCCATACAAATGTCTTAAGCATCCAAAGAACACTCAGTGTTCACCTAATCTATTAGAATTATTTAAAAGAATATTTGTAATAGATCCTACCAAGCGTATTTCTTTTAAGGAGTTATATGATACTGATTTGTTTAGTGGCTACTTTTCTGCCAATGAGCTTCGCCATTCTTCAAGGATATATTAAGATCTAGAAAAAAAACCTCCTTAGAATTAGGAAAACGAAGAAAATAATGATGAGGAAGAAGATGAGGAGGAAGAGCATCCTAAAGAGGAAATGACCAAGACTAAGACATCAAAGTTTAAACCCTCTAAGGCTTCTGAAGCATAGTTTTAATCTCTAAATAATATTCAATAATAAACAGAAGGAGGTCAGCAAACTTCCTCAAAGAATACTATCAACCAGTAAATTGGAGCAGCAGTTACAACTTAATACGTAAATGGAGATAGCGAAAATAAACTAAGCGAATAAATTATAAGCCTTGATACCAAAAATCAAAAGAACAACTAAAATTCGTAATCAAATAATATGAACAAATCAATAAGAACTAATTTAACTTTTGAATACAAGGAAGTTAAGATAAACATGTCTAACCAACAAATAGTAAGCTTCTATATTTATCTTATTATAGCATTTTTAAATTAAATTTATAATAAAAAGCAATTACAAAGTAATGATTCAAGGTTCGACCATGATGAGCTAGAGATTAACAATGACGAATCACCATAAATATAACTCAAAAATATCAAAATGTATTAAAATAATCATTAGTTTGGACCCAAGGCATTCCAAGAACTCTATACTCTTCCTAATTCTAAGACAAAAAACTATGATGAAATGGATTCAATTCCAAATGCCCCATCTTCATTCTAAGTAAACAACTTATCTCATAACAGTTTACAAAATTTTGCTCAATAGATAGAAAATGGAAACGGAAATGCAACTACAGGTCAGTAATTCTCATCTTCTAAAAGTGTCTAGTAATTCAAGTTACTTATTTTTCATTTTTCATTATATTTGAATTAAATAAATAAATAATTAAAAGCAAAAATTTAAATGAGAATTTTAAAAATGTTGTTTAAAATATAAATTTAAATTGCTAGTATTAATTTTATTTTATAAATTTAGAATTGCTTCTAAATATGGCAAGACCAAAGAAAATGTAGCTGAAGAAAATGAAGATGAAGAATAATCTGTAGGTGAAAAGAAATAGGAAGACAACGAAAGTTAGCCAATCTCTTTCCCTGAAAAAGAAGAAGTTAGTAATGATTCAAACATGAAGAAAATGCCAATTCGAAAGGCACCTTCAATGCACATGAATATGGTCGATTAAGCAGTAATTAAAAATAATTTCTAAAACTACAAAATGGCATCAATAAATTTTGCAAATTAAAATTATCATATTCAAAATTATTTATTAGATGATTATTATCTAATTTTCTTTTTATTTGATAACCGCAAAAAGGTAAAAGACAAATTAAGAAAATAAATTATAGAAGAATGTGAATAGGTGTTTGAAAGTCATGCATAGATATATTTGTATGAAATTGGAATATACAGTATATTGGGTGATACTGTTGACTCATTAAATGTACTCAATCTGGGAAGCTCTACCTAATCTCTGATAAATTATTTACTTTCCAAGTTATTGTTATTTTTTGCTACAAATCTCTACAATTCTCTTTAAAATACTGCAAATATATTCAATTTACAATACTTTAATTAATTTGCTTCCAGTCCAACTTCTCAGCTTTTGAAAGGGAAAATCACGAGAGACATCGAATAATGGAGTATGAAATTCAGTCTCTTCTATTACGGAATAGATTATGAATAAGATATCCAATCTGCTGAAGTGAGAAAGGTAGTGACTGAGGAATTGATTGAGACAGATTTTGATACCTAACTAAAAATCCCCATTCGTCTAGTATTAGATTTAATCTTCAAGGCTTCCTACAAAATGGGTAGGACTTGCACTAATCCTCTTCAATCCTCTGCAATACTGAGAACTTCGCTTTATATCCTATTATCTATGCTAATAAATAATATTTTTGATAAAAATAAGGTCAAGGACTATTTAATATATTACTTTTAAGATCCAAAAAACATAGGGGCAACTTAAATAGATTTTGTAAATTTTTCCCTTTGGACAGCTCAAGCATCAAAAGAAATACTTTTAGAATAAATTCATCACTTAATTAAGGTATTCTTTGGTGAAAAGAAGCTTTAAATCTTGAAAACAAGACTTTGATTTTTTATTTAAAATGTGTAAACAAATATAAAAATCAATCAATTTTTAGTTATAATAATAAATATAATGGTAGAAAAATTTGACAAGCCTATTAACAACCAAATAAACAAACGAAAAATACTATTAAATATAATTTTGTGATAAAAAATATAATTTGAAAAGCATTAAGATATTAATAAATATCACTTAATTTTATAAATAGATAAAACTAATTTTTGGCAAATTATAATTTTTAAATTTATCAACAAAAACAATTCTAAATTTATAAATACTTATTAACAAAAAAACAATCAAAAATCAATCATACAAACAAACAAACAAAGAAATAAGCAATCGAAAATTATTATTGTTCATACAAACATATATAATTAAAATCCTCTATTCTTATTATATCATTTATTTTTAATTATTTGTTATATTTAAATACTTATAAACCAAATTAATCTAGTATTCCATATAAAAATACATATATACTTACATATAATATATTCATGCAAATAAATTATCTCCTTGATTTTCCAAAATATTCTAAAATTTATCAGTTATTTTTAATAAGTTTACTTTTTTAAAATGTTATTCATTCATTCTTCTATAAAAAAATTTAATTTCAATTAATTAAAAAAAAAAAAAATGGAGAACCTGGGCATTGATCCCAGTGCCTCTCGTATGCTAAACGAGCGCTCTACCATTTGAGCTAGATCCCCTTACAATTATTATTCAACTTTGCAATTTCCAAGAATTTACTAATTAGAAATATTTTATTCAAAAAAAAACTGGAGAACCTGGGCATTGATCCCAGTGCCTCTCGTATGCTAAACGAGCGCTCTACCATTTGAGCTAGATCCCCTTACAACATATTGTGGATTATCTGATTTCTAACAATTTAAAAATACATAAAAATAATAAATTAAAAAAAATAAAAATTGGAGAACCTGGGCATTGATCCCAGTGCCTCTCGTATGCTAAACGAGCGCTCTACCATTTGAGCTAGATCCCCTTACAATTTATTTTCAATTATTTGATTTCTAACAATTTAAAATTTAGAAATATTTTCTATTGAAAAAAAAAGATTGGAGAACCTGGGCATTGATCCCAGTGCCTCTCGTATGCTAAACGAGCGCTCTACCATTTGAGCTAGATCCCCTTACGACTATTCTTCAATTTATTAATTTTAACAACTTTCAAATTAAAAATATTTTATTTAAGAAAAAATTGGAGAACCTGGGCATTGATCCCAGTGCCTCTCGTATGCTAAACGAGCGCTCTACCATTTGAGCTAGATCCCCTTATAATATTTATATAATAACATGATTTCTAAAAAATTTCAGAACTAGAAATATTTTAATTTAAAAATAAAATGGAGAACCTGGGCATTGATCCCAGTGCCTCTCGTATGCTAAACGAGCGCTCTACCATTTGAGCTAGATCCCCTTACAATTATTTTTAAATTGATCAATTTCCTAGAATTTACAAATTAAAAATATTTTATTCTAAAAAAAAACTGGAGAACCTGGGCATTGATCCCAGTGCCTCTCGTATGCTAAACGAGCGCTCTACCATTTGAGCTAGATCCCCTTACATTTTTATGGATCTGAGCTTTTATATTTTCTTAGAATGGAAAACATTTTATTAAATTAAAAAATTGGAGAACCTGGGCATTGATCCCAGTGCCTCTCGTATGCTAAACGAGCGCTCTACCATTTGAGCTAGATCCCCTTACAATAACATGATAAATAATCTTAATTTGTCTTTTTTAAAATGTATCATCAAGTAATAAAATTTAATTTATAATTGATATATTTGATTATGAGATTTATAATATTTATTAGAATAAAATGAAACATTTAAATTTGCATTTCATATAAAAAAAATGAATTTACTGCAAATCAATTAAGCTGAATATAAATTTTTATTTAACAAGATAGGAGGAGATGATTTAATAGAAAATTAAAAATATTGGATTTTTTATTTTTGTTATAATGCGAAAAATAATTATAATAGTATGGTTGATGAAGATAGAAGAATAAATAATATTGAATGGTTGAATTTAGATGGCTTAGAATGCTTGGCTCTGCAACAATAAATTTAACTAAAACTAAAGCAAATAATTTATAAATCATATGATATTTTATTATTAGAAATCAAAATTTAAGTATTTTTTCCAAATTTATATTTTGAATTGAGTCTGCATACAAACAATATCAATTTAGATATTAACGTTTATAATTAAAATAAATTGGTGTAAAATTTTTTGTTTTGAAATTAAATGACAGACCACTTTAATTGGCCAGCCTTGAATAGAAAAGACTTAATGTCGTTATCCAAGATAGGTATTTACATGAACTTATACACATTTAATGAATAATAGCTTCATTAATTCATTAAATTTTGTTTTAAAAATCATTTTTTTATTATCAGAATTTAATGAAAATGTTGGATTAAAAAGACTTCAAATTTAAAGAGAATCTTCTTCACTAAGAAACGAAGATATAGATGGTAAATAGTTAAATTCTAAAATAGCTAAATCAAATTATAGTTTTCTTATAAAGGTGCAAAAACATTTTATAGACATACAAAGTATATGAACAAAGAATCCTTTGTAAACAAATGCGATGATATTAATGAAAAAGAGCGTAGTTCTTCTCCAAAATACACAAATTTATATTTTATGAGAATTGATGATATTGAGGGAGCTCAAGCGAAAAAAAAATTTGTAACAACTAGGAATACAAATCCACTAAATCCTGTGTATGTGCTTCCTACCAGCGCGTATATAGCTCCTTTTGAAAATAAATTTATAAGAGATACATTATATGTTAAAGACATAGAAGGAGCTACAGCAAAGCCTGATACAAGGTATTTAAAAGAAAGAAATGTTAATCCATATACTGAAGTAGAAGGCTCTCGTCCTCGATAAAGATTTATACCTAAAGATAAAATAAACAGCTTAGAAGTAAAAGATATAAATAACGATGGTATATTCAAAACTACTCGTACAACTAATCCTCTTGACCCAAAATATAACTTATCAACGTAAAAAAATAAATTTATTTATTTTTTATTAAAAATGTTTTATTATTATTTTGTAGACTTCTTAAATCTGATATGAATGTTTAATAAGAAATATAAGATTATGGATTTATAGATGGTAGTAAATCTAGAATAAGACACCCAAGCTTAAACAAGGAAAAAAGCTTTTCATTAAATACAAAAGATATACTTGGAGCTCATGCCAATGCAATTCCTGAAAAATTTATCAATTTAAATAATGTAAATATGTTTAAAATATAAGTTTTTAGTAAAAATTTTCATTTTATAAATAGACTCGTAAAGATTTCATAAGCACCAACAAGATAGATGATATACCAGGAGCTTAAAAAAGCACACTGATAAAAGGAATTATTACAAAAAGATGTGTTGATCCAAATGTTCCTTAATACTCATTTCCAGGTATAAAAAACATCAAAAATTAATATATTTATTTAAAATAATATTTATTATAAAAAAAGGTCATACAGAAGATTTTTCTAAATCATATATTAAAAGAAATAGAGTTTACTCTTAAATGAGCCAAACTAATTAGGAAAATGATTAATAAAGGAATTTATCAGTTTAAAAGCGAGTTTAACTAGAGCCTTTATCAAATTAAAGCAGGGCAGTTACTAATTCTAGATCTTTAAGATCGTAAAGTGTTCATTCATAAAATGGATAAAACGAAAACCTTAATAAAACAACATATTCTACTTTGTAATTTTTTTAAAATATAGATTCTCATTAATTAATTTTTATGTAAATAAATATAGCTAAGATTAAGCACCTGCAAGAAAGCAGTTAGAAAGTGGTGGAAATAAAAGTATTAAGGCTGAGCAAACAACAAACGAGAGAGAGAATATCAATCTTAAAAATATCTTAAATGCAAACAGCAATAATCTATTATTAAATTTAGAAACAAACGATATATCAATAAGTAAATCCTATAATAAAAATGGAAATGTAGATGGATATAAAACGTAAGATTTATTTAAATTTTAATATGTTAATAATTAAATAAAATGATATATAGGAATGCTTAAAAGTTGGATTCATTTATAAATAAGCACAACGAATGAGTTTTTATTGCATTAAAAATAGCAAAATAAATTATATCATAAAAGGAGGTAATATATGAAATGTAAATATTTAGTCATGTCAATAATGATAAATTACCTTTAAACTTAGTTACATAATCAACTTTATAAATAATTTATTGTAATATAAACAAAAACTAAAATATTAATTAAGAAAGTATTACTTACTATAAAAATTACCATTTTTAAAAATGTTTTGCCCAATTAGAAATCTAAATCTAATAAAATCTATATTTTAATGTTATTATTTATTATTTTTATTAATTTAAATATTTTTTATATTATTTCTTTAAAAAGTAAAAAATAAATATTAAAAAAATAAATAAAAATAAAAAAGCTCAAAATCTACTTTTTTATTTAACAAAAAGAGTTTTACTTTAATTGATATCTTTTATTTTGTAATTATTTATTTAATATTAAAAATTTTTTATAATTACATAAAAGATATTTTTAAATAATTTATTATGATAAAATAATTTTGTGTCAATTATTCATATCAAAAACTATTACTGATAAATATTAATATTACTAAAAAAATTTTTGTTTGTTTGTTTGCATATTTATTTATTTAATTATTTGTAATTTTAAAATGCAAATTAATTGAGAGAGATGGATATTTAAAAATGCTCAATTAAAGCTAAGAAATTTTTGTTTAAAATTAGAAGATAATTTTAAGTTATTATTTTCTCTTTTTAAATTAAATTAATAGATATTAATTTTATAAAATGTTATAAAATAATTTATAACTATTACTTGCTTATTTTCAAAAAAGTAAATTATTTATTTCTTTGTTTATTTATTTTTTGATGGATTTCTCTTGGAACTAATTCATATGTATAAATAATTAAAAAATATAGAAGTTTTTAAAGAGAAGCAGATTATAGCTTTATGAACAGAGAATCGAAAGATACTAATTAAGAGATTCGAAGATTTTATTTAAATTAAAAATATTAAATAAATTAAGAAATAAGATATAATTAATATTGATCAATAAAGATATCGTTTTTAACATATACATTCACTTATTCACTATCTCACTGATTTTTCAATATTATAAAATCAATTAATATCTATTTATCTTTGTTAATTTCTAAATAAATTTATTGTTTTTAAATAAAATATTATTTTATGTTTTTCTTAAACTGCAAGAAATTAATATTGTAAATAAATTGATATTAATCATAAATGCTATTAGAATCGCCATAAAATCCTACGCTTACAAAATAAATTGAATGAATAATGCTTATTGATACACGAAGTAAATATACATAAAAAATAATTCTTAATGTTTAGACTAAAAAGTAAAGTATATCGCTTATTGTTTGCTTAATGGTGTTATATATATCCTTTGTATTATATATTTGTAAGCTGTTTCTTTCTTCTTTGTTGCTGCTTGCTTGCTTGCTGATGATGTTATTTTCGTATAAACATAGTACATATACATTATATCCTTTTAAAATAGTGTGCTAACTAATTAACTGATCACTAATTGTGTATTTTTTCGTTAGCACGATTTACGTAACCTTAATAGTCCCATTTAGATTCGATTTCGTAAGGTTATTCAATGCGGACTCCGTTTTTATCAATAACTGTGACTTAAATTGTTTCATGAGCTCTAGCGTCTCTGTAGAAGAGAGCTTAGAAACAAGTGTTTACTAGTTACTTAGCTTCTTATTCACTCATGTCAGCTCTCCATCCTTTTTCGAAGAGAGGTCCGCAAAGGTAGTTACCAAATCCAGTTGAAACGTGATTAGTTTCAATATATGTGCCATAAAGATCTATATGAGCAAGATATGGCTTGCCATTATCAACACCTCCGATGACGTTCCAAAGGTATAAAGGATTCATCTTATTTCTGTGGTGATATTATAATTGAGAGATGTAATTACCATAGTCACGAGGAGTGTAGTTGATCTTATCGTCGTTTAAGTAAGTTTGATTAGTCATTTCATCAATTAAACGAGAGAGTTCCTAAAAATCAGAAAATTCTCCACTTGAAGCAAATGCACAGTTGTCAGTGATTTTATGAACACGCTAAATGTGATTGTATCTTGACATACCACCATAAGAAATAGAAGTATCAGATGCAATAATTACACCACCGTTAAAAGCTATACCAATAACGCTGGAGCCTGTAGTGATTGGATTCAAGGTGTGCTTTTTAGCCTAGCTTTCATTTAAGGCTAATTCGCTATAATGCATTTTTTCTTTATTTTTGCAAACGTAAAAGGCCATTTCCTATTCTTTTTTATATGAACTTTATTATTTTTATAGTTAATTTATTAAATTTTTTTTAATTAAATGTTTTCTTCTTATCAATATTTAATTGAAATGCAAATTAATTAATTATGTTCGTTTGCTTAAAAAGAATACATACAACATTCATAATGTATGCTAAGATCGATCATATCATCAGAGTAGTTCTATTCACTCACTCTTTATTTTTCTTCTCTTTTCTCATCTCTTTTGATGATGGATTCATTCATTTAATTAAAACCAATATAAACACAGGTCCTTATATTTTTGAAAAATAAAATCTTTTGTTTGAAATTTCCATTGAAAAGAGTTAATATTTGTATTGATAATCAATCTGATCTTACTTAGGATATCGTCTTGGTTTTAAATTAATTTCAATTAAATTAGATACACACACTCATTTCATTTTTTAAATTTTTTGAAATTATTTTTATAAAAAATTTAATTTAATTTTTAAACAAAATATCATTTTTATTTGTAATAAAAATTATCTATTTGATTTCAAAAAATATAATTTATTAAAATTTAAAGCAGATAAAAAGTTAAAATAGTTATCTACAAAAAGAAACAGACAATTATAATTGATATAATTGTTTGTTTTCCATTTATTATAATTTAGTTTATTTTATTTTCATTTTAATATGAAAAAATTTAATAAAATTTTAAAAATTTTGTAATAGTATTATATAAGATTTGGCTACAAAAATAAAAAATTGTATTTAATAAAAAGAAACAAAAATATATTTAATAATTTGTAAAGTATAAACACTCTCTAATTAATGATTAAACAATTATTAGCAATTCTTTTTATTTTAATAAATCTAAATTATAAGTTCAGAAATTATGTAAAAAATTATTTTTTTATGATCTTAACTTAGAAGATTACTGGTATATTGTTTATATTTTTTCTAGGTTAGTACTAAGATTTTAATAAAGATTGAGAATATCCTAATTAGATATTATTTTAATGGTGTATTTTTAAGCTAATATTTGAGAAATTAAAAAAAAAAATCAATTAATAATATTAATAAAAAAATATAAGGAATAAAGTAAACTTTATTATTTTAAATTAGAGTTAAAACAGTACGATTTCGCAGCTTATAAATAGCATAAAAGAAAATAATTAAACTATAAATAAGAAAATACTCTGTTTACTTAATTAAATGTCTGATTCGAATCTAAATATTCAAAATGAAAAATAAGATTCAACAAAATATAGCATAACACAGATTGAAAAAATGAAATTATGTAAAGAAGATTTTGAAGATGAAGAAAGTTATTAAAAAATGAGGGCTTTAAGGAGAGCTATAAGAAAGATGAATAAGGAAAGAAAAACTCAAAAAGAATAAAGGATGGTATCCTACAAAAGTATTAGAGTTTAAGATGTTTAACTGTACTTCAACTTAGATTTTACTTAAAAGCTATTTATGTTTTATGGAGATTTTTTTGTGATGACAGATTATAATTAAACACCTCATGATATCGCAGAGCAAATTAGCTTTTTTAAAGACATAAAATATGTTTTAAGTGCAGAAAAAATTGATAAAAAATAAATAGTTTTTTTAAATGTTGTTACAAAAGATACAATAATGCACACTCCGATTGAAGTATTGCAAAAAGTTATCCAGAATAAACCAGGAGATTAACTTTTATAGTAATTTTGGCCTCATATTTAGTAATATTACACTAATCTGGAAATTAGAAAATCTCTAGTTTGTTATTTAAACTCAATTTACACTGAGGATCAATTGATGTAAATAAAATAACTCAGAAACGAGTATTTTGATAAAAAAATATTAGAATACATTGATTAAAATTTCTCTCAGTTAGATTTTTACATTTACTATAAATATTCTTAAGCTGGGCTAAATGATCATTATCTTCAATTCACTAAAATAGGAATCTCCTATTCACTTATTGCTCTACTAGGTTCAGATCCAGATATGTTTATAAATATAAGTATGCGAAATGGATTTATGGAATTTTCTTCAAAGTCTGACAAATAGAAATCAATTTATTAGAGTTTAATTTGTTCTCTTTTAGTTAATTAAGCTAAATCCTTAAAGTGTGGTAATGAAAAAACTACACTATTAACTTTTGATGAATATGAAATTAACACTGTTATCAATTGTATATGCTTTACTTGCGATTATCCTCCACATCTTAATATTGAAGTAAATGGAAATAATTTTACAACTGAAGTATGTCATTTTATGAATTACGAGATAGATGAAAATATCATCTAATCTATTATTGCAAAGAGAACAAAAAACCCTTAATTCATGCAGTAATGGGAAAACGAAGAGTTTGGCTACACAATGGAAAGTCAAGTTTTTTTAGAAAAATACTATAATTAATTGCTCTAAAATAAAATTACTTAAATTGAATAAAAATATGTCCACGAAAATAAATATTATTACAATAAGCAATGCAATTATAAACAAATATAAAATGAAAATTTGATATAAAATGAATTAGATAATTCAAGTAAATTACTACATTTCAGAAATAATGTTTGTTAAAATTGATAATTATCACAAAAAAATAATTAAAATTAAATTTATTTTTTGCTCATTTAGTATAAATAATAATTGTTAGAATAATTAAATTAAAAGTCTCGAAAGTGTTTTATAAATATAAATAAATATAATTATTTTATTTATTGGTAAACAATTAAAATTTTATCTCAAATAAAAATCATAAATTATGAATTATATATAATTTAAACTTAATTGATTATTATTAAATAATAATTTATATTTTCTTATTGCAGGATAGTAAAATATTCTAAAATTCTATATTTTTTAAAAAATTATAATTTTTAATCAATGCACATATTAAATTAATATTGAAAATTTATTGATTTATCTTTATTCAAATAGTTTTATGTTCTATTTTGATATCAATATTATTTTAGTTATTTATTTATTTACCTAAATTCAAAGGATATTTTATTGCTTTAAAAAATAAGATAGAATATTAGGTTTTAAATTTATTTAAATTCAGATATTTTGTAAATACTTTTATGATTTTAAAATGAAGAAATTAATTCAAAGCTTTTAAAAATTTTTTTATTTATTAGTTTAGTAATACTGTGGTAGTATTTTATATTAATTCAGTAGAAAAGCCAAAAAATAAATAAATCAATAAATAATTTTATTTCGTTATTTTTTCATTATTTTTATGTTAAAGCATAATAGAATAGATTAAATTCAAAAGCATCAAAAGTATATTTTTAATTTACTTTGGATATACAAATTACAAAATAAATAAATAAACTATTAGTTATTTAGAATAAATATAAAATTTGGAGAACTTTTAATTAATTTAATCTGGGTTATATTCACTATAACAGTATGGAATACTTGTTTTTTTTAAATTACTAATTAAATTAAAAATGATGCTGGTCAATTTAAAAATTTAAAAAAGATATCAAATAGGAATTAATTTATCCCAACAATTAAATTTACTTTTTTTTTCTTGTATTTTTAGTAATATGTAAAAAAAGATATTTGTAAATTTGAATACTAGAGACAGACATATAGATATATAGATAAATATATATCTTATACTGAATAAAAGTAGAAGCAGAGTAGGATAAAGTAATTCATAGAAATCTTGGTAATTTTTTTGAATAAGCATCAGAAAAGTGCTAGATGTGGAAAAAAGTAAATTAATAATATAATTCACATCTTATTCAGTTAGTCATTCAGTCAATCTATTAAGATATGTGAGAAGAAATTCTGACAGTAAGTCATTTGATGTAGAATAAAAATTCTTCTTAAGTTAAATTTATAATAATAATTCTGTTGAATTCATAAAAATGGTGTCAGGAAAGAAGAAAGAAAAGATTATTTAAGAAGAAAGCTAGCCAATATACCTTCATTTTATCAAAGAAGAGATTAAATTATTGAAATTTGTCGCAGAGTGAAAAATAGAAAAGCTGTATATATAAGAATTAAATTAAAAATTGGTTAAAAATATAAAAAAATCAAATAAAATAATAAATAGTTAATCAAAACAAAAGTAAACAAAATAGAGTGTTAAGTAACAAAAAATATGAGCGGAACTCCTGAAATCACTAACTTAGATTAGGCCATTGAAGTTATGAATGGTATTCTTAGTGGTAATAACGAAAAGATTAAGATTGGTACTAAGTTGTTGAAGCATTTTTGCAAGAAGACTGATTCCATCAGTATCTTCACTTACATTTTGGCTCATTGCCAATAAGATAACTTGAGACACTTAGCTGGTATTTTATTAAAGAGAAACATGATCGCTAATTTCTCTAACTTGGCAGAACAAGCTTAAAAAGATTTACAAATGGTTCTCTTAGAAAGATTCTTTTCTGAATCAATGAAATCCGTTCGTAAATCTATCGGTGCCTTGATTGGTATCATTGCTAAGCTTACCCTTCCCGAAGGAAAGTGGGCTGAACTCTTATAAGTCATCCAACAACATACCGACAAGTCATAAACTCTTTAAAACAGAATTTACGGTCTCTAACTTCTTGAGTTAGTCCTCGATTATTCAGCTTGTAATATATTGTTTATTTCATAGCTTTTTGTTCAATTTTTTAGATTTTTAGTGGTCATTATTCATCTTCTACTTTTTAGAAGCAAATATCTGCAACAAGGCTTATTTTTAAACAAGCTAGTCATACTTTTAAAGCAGGAAAAAAATGATAACTTTAAATTACTTCAAAAATTAATAGCTAACTATTCAAATTATAAAAAATAGCTTCTATTTCTAGCTTCTACAACAATTTCTACCCCTTCTTCAAGGAATCTATTCAAGACTCTAATAAGGACATCAGAATTGGTACCCTCAAGTGCTTAGTTAACCTTTTCGATAACATCCAAGATATGACTGCTGACCAAATTAACTTATATAAAGAATTGGTTGGTCCTATCTTGAATATCTTAGATTCTTTGATAGATCAAAATGACGAAGACTTAGTTTACTACTGCTTTGATGCTTTGAATCTTTTAACTGAAAATAAGGTAAATAAATAAACAAATATTTCTAACTAAAAATATAAATGAAGATAATCTAAATCATAGGCTAACTAACTAGCTGACTATCAGCAAATAAAATCATGTTAAATATTTTTAAAATGAAAAAGCATACTAAGAACAATGCAAATAATAGAAAAATTTGAGGAAATATATTTTAAAATTTAGATATAAATTAATTTCACTCAAACATTAAACAAATATCTTAATTTTGCAAACAAACAAAGAAAGATATATAAAAATTAATAAATTAGTTAATTTTGCAACCATTCAAAAAATCAATATTACAAATCTTTGCTATTCAAAAAAATAATTAAATTACACATTCAAGAATGAAATAATTATACCTAATTCCGCGAAAATTAAATAAATAAATAAATATACAAAGCATATTTAGTTAGATAAATAGCTTGTTTGCTTAGATTTTCTTTTCATTTAAATATTTAATTTAAAATTAAATGATTTATTTAATATAAAACAGAAAAGTATTCTCGACCAACATTTGGGTCAAATCGTTGAATATATGTGCTCAAATAAGGTTTTAGGAAATCCCAAGCTTTCTAAGAAGATCAAAGAAGTCGTTATTGATATGATTTTCTCTGCATCCTAATACCATAAATCTGTTTTCAACAAGAATACTCCCTTATTGAAGAAAGTTATTGAATCTATTTGCCTTATTATTGCTACTCCTTTCTCTGAAGAAGATTTAGAAGATGGTGAAGAACCCTTATAAGATATTGCTTTATGGTTAGTTTTATCTTTGAGCATGGTTTTGAATAAGAAGAAAACTTACGGTGTCCTCTTGGAAGCTATCACTGCTTTAATTCACTCTGGTGAACCCAATAAAATGAACAGTGGTTTCCTCATTTTGGCTTAATTAGCTGAAGGTTGCTACGAATAAATTGCCAGAAACTTAGCTAATCCTATTATGAGTGACTTCATGGTTAAGGGTTTGAATCACCCTGCTGGTGAAGTTAGAGGTGCTGCTATTAAAGCTTTGACTTACTTCGCTGAATACTTGCCCGTTGATGTTTGCAAATATCATAGCACTATCGTTCCCGCCATTATCAGTACCTTCGATGATCTCAATAACAAGGTTGCTGAAAAAGCCATTATTGCTATTGATATCTTCTGCGATAACTTAGAACCTGAAGATTTAGAATTATACATGTAATCCATCACTGAAAAGTTATGCATGATTGCTATGAAGGATAACTCTACTATGTTAATGAGAAGAGTTTCAGTTAGTGCTCTCGCTTCTTGCATTTCTACTGTTGAACACAAATTCAAGCCTTTCGTTACTGTTGTTGCTAATTTAATGCACTAAATTATTGGACTTGCACACAATGCTGAAGTCATCGCTTTAAAGGCAGAAGCTATCAACTGCTTAGGTAAAATTGCTGCCGCCTTCATTTCTGAAGACAGATCTATCTATGAGCAACACGTCGTTCCTTGCTTAGAAACTATTTACCACTTATTAACTACTGTTGATGACTTTGAAATGAGAGAAGGTTGTTTCTCATTCTTCTACAATCTCGCTCACGCCATCGGCAGTGAATTCGAAGTCATGTTCGATAAGCTCATCGAATTTACTCTTAAGTAAGCTGCCAGTGAAGAAGGTGTCACTTACAACAAAAACGGTAAGAACGGTGAATTCTCACTTGACTCCGATAGCGAAGAAGAAGATGAAGATTTGCTTGAAGACGAAGACCACAATACTGCTGTCAACATCAAAACTGCCTTTGTTTTAGAAAAATCTGCTGCCATCACTGCTGTTGGTCAATTCGCAGTTGCATGCCCTATGAAGTTTATTCCTTACTACGAAAAAGCCTTATCCATTCTTGAAACTTGCTACAATTATTTCGACGAAAATGTCCGTCAATAAGTCTGCAAATGCTACAAGGATCTCTGTGTTGCCATGGTTAAAACTGCCAATAATGGTGTTCTTCCCAAGTTCGAAAGAGGTCTCCCCGTTAAGGCTCGTTTCCCTGAAAAGATTGAAAACGTTATTCAAATTGACATCTTCTAGAAATTCTTGTACTATCTCAACTAAGAAGAAGCCTGCGAAGTCACTGGTATGGCTATTGAAATTATTGTTGAATTATTTAAGACACTTGGTCCTGCTTGCTTTGATAAAAACTTAGACGATATTTCTAATGCTATCGTTAAGCTTTTAGAAAACGAAAGCGAAGATGATGAACTTGGTGGTGATGATGAAGAAGATGAAGACGATGCTGATGGATACGTTATTGAAGCTCTCACTGACTTAATTCCTACTTTGTGCAAGCTCTGTGGTGATACTTTTAGCTTAAACTTCTAAAAGATCTACCCTTCCATGATGAAATACCTTAACCCCAAGAGAGATATCAGCGAAAATATCTATATGGTTGGTTGTTTCTCTGAAGTCATGAAATATACTCCTAATTTCCTCCTCTTCACCAGAGAAACTCTTATTCCCACTTTGTTAGAAAAGGTCTAATACGGTGATGATGAAATGAATAGAAACCTTGCTTTCTGTCTTGGTAACATTGTTGAAAAGGGTCTCAACCACGTCTAAGAAGCTCTTCCTACCATTCTCAATATCTTAAAGAATATCTTTGAAACATCAGTTGAATAAGCCACTAAGGACAATGCTGCTGCTGCCCTCTGCAGAGTTATGATGACTATTCCTGACTAGTTCCCTCTTGATGCTGCTCTTGATTAAATTCTTTCTATCGCTCCCTTCTAAGGTGATGAAGCTGAAGAAAAGACTGTCATTAGAACCCTCCTTTTCCTTGCAGAAAAGTATCCTTAAGTTATTACTCCCAAGATCAACAAAGCCATCGCTCTTTTCGTTGATGGTCTTGCTAACCTCAAATTATACAACATTAAGGATGAATTAAAGGGTAAAATTGTTCTCCTTCTTAAGAACCTTGCTAACAACTCTGCTGAACACAAAGCTCAATTAGAATAGGTTGTCTTCGCTAGTGAAGAAAAGGAAAAGCTTATCAAGTTATTATAATGATTTTGTTGATTCAATCAAATTGACATATTTTATACACTCTACCAACTCTTTTAAATAAAAATAATTATTCTCATAAATTCTAAATATTTCTCTATACCTAACAATTAAAATCAAATTAAATAAATAATTATACAATATTCATTTTACAAATTTAGTATTTTAATGTAATCACATTCATTCATATCACTCATTCATGGTTGTTTCCATTATTATTTCAATTAGTTAATCTTCAAAAGTAATATTTAAATTTATTTTACATCCGAATATCTAAATAAATAAAACAACCAACAAATAAATAAAAAAGTAAATAAATCTTACAAAATTATGAAATAAATTTATCTTAAATATTCTATCTAATTTATTACTTAAGATCTATGAAAGTATTAGAGAAAAACGGATTTAATAAAATGATAGCAAATTTGTTTTTTCAAAGTTGTGAAATGAATTTACTTTGAATCCTCTATATTAAATTCTCGAATATTCTAATTGTTAGAAGTTTTAATTTTAAAAATATCTTTATTAAATTTTCTAGAAATTTTGAAAAATGTAAATAAAAATTAACGAAAATACAAAATATAAATTATCCAAAGTTGTATATAATATTTTTTTACATTTTGGCTCTAAAAAATACCAGGGCTATTAAAATATAACTATTTGTTATAATACATTTTGATTGTTAATCAATGAGATTTTTTTTTTTGACTAAAATAAATTCATTTAAAATTTATAATAGAATTATAATTAGTAATTTATTCTTTTTATAGATTTTAAATATTATGTGCATAGTAATCTTAGTTTTATAGAGCAATTGATATTTACTAAACTAAAAACAACAAATAAAGTAAAAGGACAGGTTCAAATAGACAAATCATTTTTTCTATTTAAAAATATAGCTATTCTTAGTTTAAAAGAGAAATTGATTGATATTTTTTAAATTAAAAAGATCAGATAAAGTCAAAATCAAAGTTATGTTTTAGAAATCAAAAAACTCTATTTATATGCTTAAATAAATAAGGTATTTAATAAGAGGGCTAAATTTTAGTGATCACCACATCAGAAGCTGCTGTTATAAGAAGGGTTCATTAGAAAATAATAAATTCTACTTTAGTGTGGCTAATAAATTGGTAAACATCGAAAATGAGGGAGAAGTTATTCATTTTGAGGATTCCTTAGCTAAAGTTTCTGGCTTAAGAAACTCCAAAACTGGTGAATTAATTTAGTTTAGTGGAGGTGTTAAAGGCTTGGTAATTGATCTATACGAGGAATATGTTTCAGTTCTAGTTTTAAGCAACCAAAATATATAAGTAGGTAGCATTGTAAATAGAAGCAATGAATAATTTAGTATGCCAATAGGCTATGAGTTATCTGGAAGAATCTTAAATGCTCTTGGCAATCCGATTGATAATTTAGAGACTACAAAAACTAATTAAAACTAAATAATTCCTATTTATACATTTTAGTATAAAAATTAAGTTGATAAGATGATTGTAAAAGATTGTACTTATCCTGAATAGTTCAGAAATGTCTGTATATTTACTGGGATTAAGTTCTTTGATAGTTTTTTTAATATTAGGCCAGGATATTGCTACATATTTAACAGTTAAGAAAAAAAAAACATAAGTACAATATGTTAAGATATGGTAGTAAATAACAAATCTATGTTTGAACATAGTGATCCTTCAAAGTAACTTTATTATGTTTACGTTTTTGTTGGATAAAAGTAGACTGTTATGGATAAATTTATTTTTCGCTTAAAATAATATGATTGTATCAAATATACTACATTTGTTTGCTCTAGTGACTAAGACTCTTATTCCCTTTAATATTTAAGTATTTTTACAGGATAATCAGTTGCTGAATACATGAAAAGTTAAGGGAGAAGAGTGCTGATAATTTATGATGATTATAGTAAGCACTTTGAAAGCTTTAGTAAATTGTTAGCTGGACTTAAAAGGCCAACTTCTAATTAATTTTTATTACATGCAGCATAATCTTTATATTCTATTATTGCTAAAAGATAGAATATTGAATAATTTCAACAATTTCCAATAACTTAAATTGTGATGACATGCGGTGATAAAAAAAACTTCCTTTTTTAAATGTTTTCTAATTTTGGTAATTGCTATCATTTTGAAAACTCACTCTAAAATTTAATTATTTAAGATGTTCTATTTGATATTAGTATTTAAGACCCTAGTCATATTTCACCTTATTATTATGATGGAGTTTTTTTTTATGCGAAATGGAAATTAATTTATTTTTATAAGTACAAAAGTTTGTATGATGATTTTTATTTGAATGAAGATATAAATTACATTAAAAATAGATTTGAATAACTTGATAAAATGAATCAAAAATATAAAACTTACAAACACAAAGTAAATATAATCTTAACAGAATGGTATAGGTAAAGAGCTTAAAACAAAATGCTTTTAAAAACAGATTTAACTTTTAAAAGAAAATTTTATGAAAGTTAATGTAATTATGATTATTTTGTAACGAGAAAATTATTATTTGAATATTTTAAGTAAGATGACCATTAATGCATTTCAATTGTCGAATAATATTTTCTATAAAAAATTTTGTATTATTTGATATCTAATAAAATCCTCATTGATAACTATAGTAAGCTATAAAATGAAATACTCTAATACTTACGTCTTAATAAACCAGACTTACTTTAATAAGTTTTATAATAATACCTTCAAGACCACAATTTTTTTTCTCGTAATATAAATGAAACATGGAAAATAGATCCATAAGATTAAATTAAAATAATTGCATAATATTTTTAAGATAAGCTAAAAGAAGAAGAAGAATAATAACAATAATAATAATAAAAATAATAGTAACTTGAGGCTTAATAATAATGATAAAAAATTGAATTTATTTAGCAAATAAGACAATTAAATAAGTTATTTAATGTGGTTATTTAAGGGACTGCGCACAGCTGCGCATTCACCTCATTATATGTGCTAAAAATTGCAGTGTATTTCTTGTCCACAGCTATGGATTATCCTTTCAATTTTATTTTTATAAAGACTAAGAAAAAAATTTAAGTGATTTTTTCAAAAGATCATTAGCATATAATGTAAAATATATTTTATGTATAAGCTACTTTTAAATTTATTTTTATTTTGTTAAATAACAATTCTCTCCTTAGTGCATAGGATTATAGTAATATTTTTTATATTTAAACAATCCCAACTCAATGAATGGGTAACCTGTTGAGTTGGGGTTGTAAGAAAGAAATCAATCTTATCAAAATTTTTTTTCTGCTTGGAAATTGGTATTTATAAAAGCATCTCCGTAAATTAAATTCTTGAGGACACTGAGATTCAAAAATTTAATATATGTATAAGTAAACTTTAAATTAGATTTAAAAAAATAAATAGTAATTTTTTTAATTTATACATTTTTTGCTTTTTTTATTATTTTAAAATTAAATTTTTTATTTAAAAATTTTTTTTATTAATTATATAGTTAGTTGGAATGAAAATTTGAGAATAAAATATGTAATCAATAAATTTTATATATATATAATGCAAAAGTTGGAAATAAAAAATGAGTTAAATAAACAAAGAAAGAAAAAAAACACTAGCACAATAAAAAATAAAATAAAAACAACCAAATTAATTAAAAGAGTTATATAAAAAATAATAAAAAAAACTGAAATGCCTAATTAAATAAATTTATAATATTAATCTATTTTATAGCTTATTCATGAATTAAATTTTCTAACTTTTAGAGAGAATATATAAACAAAATTTTTATGAAATTTGATACATTTAATAGTTGGAATTAATAATCTAGAAGTTTGATCAGATTTAATCATTATAAATAAAGACTTCTCGAAAGATACGAATATTATTTTTGATTATTGAAACTCTGAATTTATATTGATTAAATTGAAATGACAAAAAATTTAAAAATTAATAAAATAATTAAATTATTAGATATTTTAAAGATAATTAATTAGATAATTTTGCAAATAAAATTTTCTCAAGCGAACCAAATAGAAATAAATGACTTAAGAAATTATTAACATTACAGAAGACGGTGGTATCACCAAGCAAATTCTTCAATAAGGTGAAGGAGACGAATATCCATAAGCTGGTTAGACTGTTGAAGGTAAATAAATCAATTTAATTTAAAGAAGAACTTACTTGTTAGTCACTTTCAATCAACACTCAAATCAAAGAAAGGCATCGTTTTCTAATTAATTTCAAATTTTAAAAAAACAGTTTTATACACTGGAAAACTTCTTGATGGAACAGAATTTGATTCAAATACTAATAGAGATGATCCTTTTTCTTTCACAATTGGCAAAGGTTAGGTTATCAAAGGATGGGATTTAGGTAATATTCAAGAATTTGATTCTTAAAATCAGAGTCTGCAATAAAATTTATTTAACAAAAAGGTGTTGCTACAATGAAGAGAGGTGAAAAGGCTGTCCTTACCTGCACAGCTCCTAATGCCTATGGTGAAACTGGAAGTCCCCCTAGAATTCCTCCTAATGCTACTTTACAATTTGAAGTTGAATTGATTGACTTCCGCGAGAGAACTAAAACAAAATGGGATTACTCATTAGAAGAAAGAGTTGAAATTGCCAAAAAATACAAAGATGAGGGTAATGACGCTTTCAAAAAAGGTGATCTTGAAGAAGCTGATGTTTTATACGATTAATGTATTGATTACGTTGATTTTGGTGAAGATGTTAATGGTTCTCTTGAACTTAAGTTCACTGCTTACCTTAACCAAGCAACAGTAAGAATAATTAAATTTACTTTTTAGAAAACAAAAATTTAAAAACAGCTGCAAAAAATAAATCAGCAACAATAGAATTATTTTATTTTTAATTAAATAGGTTTATAATAAATAAAAAAAATGGGACAAAGCTATTAAGAATTGCACTATTGTTATTGAAAAGCAACCTAATAACATCAAGGCTTACTTCAGAAGAGGTACTGCTAGAATGAATTATGGTTTCTTAGATGAGGCTAAAGCTGATTTCCATAAAGCACAAGAATTAGATCCTAACAATGCTGAAGTTATCAATTCTTTGAAAGTTCTTGCTTAGAAGTAAAAAGAAGCCAATGAAAAGCAAAAGAAAATGTGGGGTGGCCTTTTTAAAAATTCATATTATGACGACTAAAAATAAACTATTGTAGAATTCTCTGATCCTAGTAATCCTGTTGTTTTCTTTGATATTCAAATCGGAGAAGAAGAACCTTAGAGAGTTGAATTTGAGCTTTTCAAGAATATTGCTCCTAAAACTGCTGAAAATTTCCGTGCCCTTTGCACTGGAGAAAAAGGTACTGGCGTTTCAGGAAAGCCTCTTCATTATAAGGGATCCATATTCCACCGTCTTATTAAAGATTTTATGATTTAGGGAGGTGATTTCACTAACTCTAACGGTACTGGAGGTGAATCAATTTATGGCGCCAAATTCCCTGACGAAGACTTCAAAGCAAAGCATACTAAGAGAGGTTTACTCTCTATGGCTAACAGTGGTCCTAACACAAACGGAAGTTAGTTCTTTATCACCTTTAAAAAAACAGAATGGCTCGATGGTAAGCACGTAGTTTTTGGTGCTGTAACTAAAAATATCGAATTCCTTGATAAACTTGAAAACTCTCCTTGCGAAGGCGAAAACCCATCTCCAAGCATTAAAGTTGTTGACTGTGGTGTCGTTAAAGCTTGATGAAGCTAATTAAAAAATATTTTCAAATTTAATTTTAGATAAATTCAATACACAAAAATATATAACTAATAAATAAATAAATAAACTAATTATAAATTAAGTAATTTATTTATAAATTTACATTTATTTTTTGCAAAACATACATAAATAAATAAATTAATTAATTAATTTTGTAAAAATAATAAAAAGTATTTGATTCTAAAATGTTCATCTAATTTATTTAAAAATTAATTTGTTAATTATAAATAAATTGATTTATATATTTTTAAGATTTCATTAGAACTAATAATTAATTAAACATAGAATAAAATTATGGTCAATAATTTTTCTAGAATTTTTAAATTAAGAATTAGTTAAAAAATTAAAATTCCTCTTTGTTATCTTTTGTTTATTAATATATCTTTATTATTATATTATTGACATGAGGAATTTCTCTAAAAACCATAAATAAATATATTATTTTAGCATTTAAATTATTTAAATATTTTAAAGTATTTTTTTACAGTAGCTTTATTATGATATTAATAAGTTATTCTAATTAAAAAAAATATTATTAAAAATCAGCTAGATTTAGTTAATTAAATTATTTTGTAAATACTTATAATTATTGTAATAGTTTTAAATTTAATTTTTTACCTCAAGTTTTTTTTAAAAAGAAATCTATCTTTATTTCAGATAACTTTTTTGAAAATTATTTTTGATATAAGTGAAATGAATCTTTAAGAAAATATATAATTTTTAGATAACAAGAAAGAAAAAATATTTATTATAAATTAATAAATAAATTTTATGTAATCTATATTTTAGATAAATATTAAAATATAAATTATTAATATTTCACAAAATTAATTTATTAAATTAAAAAAAGACTTCCTAGATAATAATATTATTTTAATTTTCTTGAATTGATAGACACAATTAAATTTGACCATAATAAATTTAAAAGATAGTATAAATAAAGCTTTCTTTATTTTAATTAAAATAACAAAATATAAGCTTACTTAATTTATCAAAAGATGTATTTCAAAATCCTTAAATTTATCTTATTCATATTAATAATTTAAAGTTTACTCGCTAAGTGTAACTAACCTTAACAAAAGAATCTAAATTTAATTCTTAATTAAAATTCATAATTTTTTTCTGCGTCACTAAGAAAATATTACTAAAATTAAGTTACTGTGAAAAAATAATTGTCATTAGATTTAAGAGTAAACAACAAGAGTCTTTTTTCTAATGACAACTCTTTATTATAGAATAAAATTAATAACTGAGATAGTTTTTGTGGCAAATAATTATTTTATATTCTCTTAAATAATTAAAACCAATGAATCAATCAATAAATAAATATTACACTTTGCACTTAAAATATTACATGAAATAAATTAATAGATAATTTCAGTATAAATAAAAATAAAGCAGATTTGAAATCATAAGAACTTTTTGATTCTAAATGAATATCTTTGTGTGAAACGAAAATTACAGTAAAAGTTTAAGATTTTTTTTGTCATCTTCAATCATTAAACACATTTTAATAAAAAATGATATCCACTTAAATATTTTTTAGGTAACAATATATTTATTTTGTTTGCTTAAAATAATTTTTAAAAAAGAAAGACCATTTTAATTAAAAGAGTTATTTTTTTATATTGTTATAATAAAGATTTAAGATACTACTAAAAACATTAATTTAAAAGAATTACAGAAGTTTTATAAGTTTATATGTATTAATAGGAAATTTATTGCTTCTTTTTGAGCATATTTTATACTACTTTTACATTTTTTGTACATAAATATTGGCTTTTTGCAGAAAAGTGCATATTTAAATTACTAAAATTTCATATTTAATCTATATCTATCTATCTATTTATTTTTTATCTTCAATAAGGCTTACTAGTATCACCAGCGAAATTTACAACATCTTATCCAACTCTTCTTACTCTGCTTTTGTGTTAATCAGCTTGGGTTCCTTGTTGCTAATTATTAGCTTGAGTATTTGTGGTTGTATTATTTGTTGTGGCATTAGTAGAATTAGTGTTAGTAGTAGTAGTAGTAGCTGCTGTTTTTGTTTCAACTTACTTTACTGTTGTTTGGTTTTATTCATCAATAACCTTTTATTCACTATTTTCCTTGTAATAGTAATCGGAGGTGTCGGCTACTGACCACTTAGGTGTGTCTTCAACTTGATAATCGATTTCACATACCTTAAAGAATTTGGCACTCTTAGTTTAGACAGGAATCAAACTAGATTATTTCCATTTAATACGGTTATTAGGTTGGGCGCAAAATTACCCATTATCAAGCTTGATAATGTTGAAACTTTTGTGCTCGTGAGGAATCTCAGACCAAGCAGTGTTAAGGATGCCAGGGTCAGAGTGAGTGTGGTCAATTGTGAAAAGATACTAGCCAGGATAAGTCTTACCATTTTTCATAAGAACTTCGCAACGAAGACTAGCAATATTAACTTTGTTGACTACTGTGAAATCATAGCTGAAGCAATTCCATAATTAGAGGTGATCTAAAGGGAGCAAGTTATCGAAATCAACATCCTTTTTCCATAAGAAAGCAGAAATAGGGAGCTTATCATATAAGGCACCGTATTCAGTGAAAAGAGTTTCAAACAAGAAAGCTCTGTCTTTCTTTGACTTAACAGTAATCCAAACACCTTCTTCTAATTCGCCGTGACCTTCTTCAAATTAGGTAACGTATTCTTTTCTAATAAAAACTTCGGTGGGAGGGACATTGCCAACTAAGTAAGCGAAGTGATACTTCATAAATTGGCTGGTCAATTTAGGGGCAGAAACCTTATTAAAGGTGCTTTACATTAATTTTTTAAACATTTCTCTTTCTTTTTGTACTTCTTAATAAATATATATGTTTATTGCTTTAATTTATTATAATTAACTTTCTGTTGACTTTCCTGATTGGATATTTATATTCAATAGCACCTAATTAAGATTTATTATTTCGTTTAAAAGCAATAAAGTAAATAAAATTAAATTAACATCTCTGTTTCATTGTATGTATGATTGTTTTCTGGTTAATATTTGTTTTCTGTTGATATCTTACAACTCTTAATCAAAAATCAAATTAATAGCTCAAACAAATTATTTAGTCTTGCTATTCTTATTCAATTTCTAATCCAAGAAAAATCTTTGCATGATTCTTTCTAATTAATTAATTGCATTAAAATTAGATTTATTTAAAAAATTTTTGCTTTTTCTAGGATGAAGTAAAAAAAATATTTTATCATTTTGATAAATCTGCTATTTTAAAAATAGAAATAAAGCATATAAAAATGTTCTTGTTTTTTATTTTATACTTTAAGTCAATTGGTTTTTTAATTTTATCCACGATTACAGCTGAAACAAAGAAATTAAAGGAATTAACAATATACGTAAACTAATATTTGCTGATTGATGTAAAAGAATTAATTTTGTAATTATTTTTTATTAAAATTTACTTGCAAGCAAATACAATATTCAAATGTGATTTTAGGAAAAATATCTTTTATAATTTGTTTTATTGAGTTAAAATTTTTTTATTTTGTACAATTTAAACCTTTTATTTAATGACTTTTCTTTACATCAAAGCTAAGAATATAATGATGCAATAAAGGAATTACATTAATTACATTCTATATTCTTTTATAATTTTTAATTCGCTTTACCATTTTGATTTAGCTATTTTTCTGGATATTAACAAATGAACAAAAAAGACATCTTTCCCTCACAACCATAATTTTTATTAAAAAAAATAACCATATTAAAATTTCTGAAAAAAATTAAAAAATATAAAAAATGAATTAAACAAGCTTTTTACTAACATGTTTATACTTAAAAAAGAGATTTCGTGGTTTCAGAAATAGTAATTTAGTTTTTATTGACAAAATTTAATTTTACCTTTACTACGAATTATCAAAAATAAATATGATGCTTTTAATCTTAATTTATATTTTAGCTGACTTATTATCTTTCAGATTATATATAAGAAATTTTTGAGTACTTTAATTAAAAAGCTAATTATTCCTTTACTAAAAGGCAAATCAAACAATTTATCTTTTATAATTGATTGTAAGGACTAGCAGATTTCTTTTGATAAAATAAAAAATCTCTTAAAATTACTTATCAAACATAGCTGATATAAATGAGAAACATTTAAAGTCAACATAACATTAACTGATTTATAGAAAATTTTTATTTGTAAAAATAAACATTTAATTCTTGTATTTCTTTCATTATTTTAAGATTTAATCTAGAAATTAAACTGAACTTATAATGATAAATAACTTTATTAACTTATTATCTTTTTACAATTTATTAAATGATCTTTCAGTATTTATATTCTAGATAAATTTATTTCCCTTATTTTATATCAATCCAAAATAAATAAGATAATTGCTCTTAAGCATTTCTTTTTTTAATTTCAATAAAATAATTTAAAAAAGCTGTTTAAAAATAATTTAAAGATAAATTTACAAAAATATTATAAAAGATTTTACATACTAAAACAAGTAAAATAAATTTACAAAATGTAAAAACAAAATTAAATAAATATATATCTGAGTAATTATGATTGGAAATTTTGTAATCAATATCTTTCTTTATTTTTTCTAAATTTAATCAATTACTATTATTGAATCTTTTGTTTTTTTAAAAGAACTTTATCGAAATTTAGAGTTTGTATGTGTTTGATTCAACTCATATCAAATTAATTAAACCTTATTTTTATCAAAATTTTATGAAGTTACTCTTATCATATCTTTTTTTTCTATATAGAACATTCATCGAATATTTAATTTGATCAGTATTTGTTTTTGCTGTATTAAAAGTTATCATTATTTAATTTTTGATGAGGATTTTAGTTGAATATTTTTTATTCAATAAATAATTTTAGAAATTTGTATCAAAAAAAAGAGTGAATGCTAAATTTAAAAACAGCTTTGTATATTTATTATAAGCTATTAAAAAATTGTTAAGATTAAGATAATAAAATAATTATTTTTATTTTTCTCTGCTATTTTTTAAATTGATTCTTGAATTAAAATATAATGATCTATTAAATTAATATATTTAATAAATATTAATAATTGCCTATTGTTAATGTAATATAAATTACGCAGGCAACAACAATATCTAAAAATATTTAAATTAATAAATTTCAAACATATTTAATTTATTTAAAATAAATAATTTTAGTTAAATTAATCAATTTATTTTATTAAATTACTAAAAAGTTCTTATTAGGATAATTCTAAGTTAAGGAGATTTTAATTTAAGAAGAAAAAATTTAAAAATAATAATTTTTAATGACTCTTAAATTAGAATAAAATTTAGATAAAATACTTGAAAAATTTAAGAAAAATAAAATTTTTTAGCAACATTTATTGAATTGTTAAAAAACAAACTTTAAACAAAAATCCTTCAAAAAATAATTAATTTATATTTGCTATATTATATATTATGATATAGTCATATTTTGTAAATTTATATAAATTGAAATAAATTAAATATTAATTTATTTTATTTCTACAAATAATTAAAATTTTTTTTTTTAATTTAAATTTTTCAAAAGTATGGGTAGTCCCACAAATCTACCCTCCACCCCCCCCCCCCCCCCCCCGTTAATTTTATTAAAGGAAGATATATATATGTAAAGCAAAAAAGAGGAATATTTTCAAAAATATGCATAATTTCAGATTATCAAGAAGAAAATAAAATCTGATATTTTTTCCTAACTTTTTCTTTTTTGAATCAATAATTTTTTTCGATCAAAGAAGATTGATTGATAGAAATTTTTTAAGGTGTTTAGTCAGTCTTCGTAGAATCAAAAGAAGCAAGAAGATATCTAAAAATAGTTTTCAAAACTTAGCTAGATTTCAAAATCTGAGTAAAAATAGTCGCTCCTTGGTAGGACAAAATATTATTTATGTTAAAATAAAAAGTACAATATGATTTCTCACAAATGTTTTAAATTATGGAATAAAATTTCTCAAGATAAATAAAAAATTAATAGAAATTTAGGAACCAATTTATTTAAGTAAATAAAGCTTTTTATTTTTTAAAATTTCATAAGCCATTTGTTAACATACAAAAATATCATATTCATAAACATAAAAGTAGTAATAAATTTATCTTTAAATTATTATCATAATTCATTGATTCAGATTTCACTTTTATAATAAATTAGTGTAAATTACTAAAAATGTTTAAATATTAAAAAAATTAACAAAAAAAGAAATTTTAATCTAATAAAATAAGTGTGCTTTATGGTTTTAAATTCATTTTTATAATTAAAAATAAACATAATAAAAAGCAAATAATGTACTTTTCCTCAATATAAAGTTTCAAACTTGAGAGATTAGTGCACTTTGCTAAAGCTGAACGTAAACCTGATGCACCAACTGTACTAATTTAATTCGATCTTTTTAAATATTGAAGAAAAAATATATTATTAATTAGTTATTTATAAAGAAAAAATGAACAAAAAATATGAAATTAATTAATTAATAATAAATAAAAATTTTGAAAATAAAAAATGAGTTAAATTAACAAACTAAGAGAGAGAGAGAAAGAAAAAAACAAGGACAATAAAAAAATAAAATAAAAATAAATCTAATAAATTGGAGATCTATTGTTTTAAATTTATTTTTAAAATAAAAAATCAATAACATAATACAAAATGAAAATAAAAGAAAATAAAGTTAAATAAAAAGCTATTTAATAAATTAAAAGATCCTTAATGTTTTAAATTTTTTTTATAATTAAAAATATCACTATCCGAAACAAATAAACTGTTTTACTTAAGGTCAAGTACTAAATTTGAGAGGTTAGTGCAATTTACCAAAGCAGAGCCTAAGCCTAATACACCAATATCACCAATTTAATTACTACTTTTAATATATTTAAGAAAAAATATATAATTAATTTAATAGATAATTAGAAGGAAAAAATGAAAAAATAATAAGAAATGAATTAATTAATAATAAATGCAAGCACTAAAAATAAAAAAATGTGTTGAATTAATAAAGAAATTTAGAAAAAAGAAAAAAAAAGCAAGCAGAATAAAAAGATAAACAAAAGTAAATAAATTAAAAGACCTTTATTGTTTTAAATTCACTTTTAAAATTAAAAATATCACATTCCAAAAAAAATTAACTGTTTTTACTCCAGAAAAAGTATCAAATTTGAGAGATGAGTGCAATTTGCTAAACCAGAACCTAAGCCTGATACACCTATATCACCAATTTAATTTCCACTTTTTATAAATTTAAGAAAAAAATATAATTAATTAAATAGTAAGTTAGTTAGAAGGAAAAAATTAATAAAAAATATGAAATGAATTAATTTTTAATAAATAAAAATGCTAAAATAAAAAATGTGTAGAATTAATAAAGAAAGTTTGAAAATAAAAAAAACACAAGCACAATAAAAAAAAAGTAAATAAATTTAAAGACTTTTATTATTTTAAAATTATTTTTTAAATTAAAAATATCACAATCCAAAAAAATTAACTGTTTTTACTTAAGAATAAGTGACAAATTTGAGAGATGAGTGCAATTTGCTAAACCAGAACCTAAGCCTGATACACCTATATCACCAATTTAATTTCTACTTTTTATAAATTTAAGAAAAAAATATAATTAATTAAATAGTAAGTTAGTTAGAAGGAAAAAATTAATAAAAAATATGAAATGAATTAATTTTTAATAAATAAAAATGCTAAAATAAAAAATGTGTAGAATTAATAAAGAAAGTTTGAAAATAAAAAAAACACAAGCACAATAAAAAAAAAGTAAATAAATTTAAAGACTTTTATTATTTTAAAATTATTTTTTAAATTAAAAATATCACAATCCAAAAAAATTAACTGTTTTTACCTAAGAATAAGTGACAAATTTGAGAGATTAGTGCAATTTGCTAAACCAGAACCTAAGCCTGATACATCTATATCACCAATTTAATTTCCACTTTTTATAAATTTAAGAAAAAAATAGAATTAATTAAATAGTAAGTTAGTTAGAAGGAAAAAATTAATAAAAAATATGAAATGAATTAATTTTTAATAAATAAAAATGCTAAAATAAAAAATGTGTAGAATTAATAAAGAAAGTTTGAAAATAAAAAAAACACAAGCACAATAAAAAAAAAAGTAAATAAATTTAAAGACTTTTATTGTTTTAAAATTATTTTTTAAATTAAATATATTTCATAACTTAAATCAAAATTAACTGTTTTTACCTAAGACGAAGTTCCAAATTTGAGAGATTAGTGCAATTTGCTAAACCAGAACCTAAGCCTGATACATCTATTTAATTTCCACTTTTTATAAATTTAAGAAAAAAATATAATTAATTAAATAGTAAGTTAGTTAGAAGGAAAAAATTAATAAAAAATATGAAATGAATTAATTTTTAATAAATAAAAATGCTAAAATAAAAAATGTGTAGAATTAATAAAGAAAGTTTGAAAATAAAAAAAACACAAGCACAATAAAAAAAAAAGTAAATAAATTTAAAGACTTTTATTATTTTAAAATTATTTTTTAAATTAAATATATTTCATAACTTAAATCAAAATTAACTGTTTTTACTAAAGACTAAGTTCCAAATTTGAGAGATTAGTACAATTTCCTAAAGCAGAACCAATATCACCAATTTAATTACCTCTTTTTAAATATTTAAGAAAAAATATATAATTAATTAAATAGATAGTTAGAAGGAAAATATGAAGAAAAAATAAGAAATGGATTAATTAATAATAAATGAAAGCACTATAAATAAAAAAATGTGTTGAATTAATAAAGAAATTTTGAAGAAAAAAAAAACACAAACACAATAAAAAGAATTCGCTTTTAAAATTAAAAATATCACAATCCAAAAAAATAAACTGTTTTTACTAAATGTAAAGTTACAAATTTGAGAGATTAGTGCAATTTGCTAAACCAGAAACTAAACCTGATGCACCAACTGCACCAATACCACTTTTTATTTATTTTAGAAAAAATATATAATTAATTAATTAGTTAGTTAGAAGAGAATTAAATAGATAAAAAATAAAAAAATAAAAATAAAAATAAAAATAAAAATAAAAATAAAAAAAATAAATTAATTTAAAAAATTAATTTTTAATAAAAAGAGAAAAAGAGAAAGAGAAATAAAAAGAGAAAGTAAAAATAAATCAAATATTATATTCATTCAAATCATTCAATTTTATTGTTATATTTTTTATTATTTAGTTTTCAATTTAAACTAAGTTTTTTCGATTTAAACTTATTCTTGAATATTTTAACTATGAGCATTATCAAATTGTTAAATTTAATTATATTATTATTCGGGATAATATTGAGAATAATTTTATTCATCATATTATTAATTATTATAAAATTAAATACCTTACATTTACATTTACATCTATAAATTATACATTTAGTTATATAATTGATTATAATTTTAAATCATTTCTTATGGTTATAAAGATTTAGATTCGGAATTACAATTAGAATTAGAATTACAATTACAATTACAATTAGAATTGCATTCGCAATTTGATTCACAAGAACATTCAAAATTACAATTACAGTTAGATTTAGAATTAGAATTACAGTTAGAATTAGAATTAGAATTAGAATTAGAATTAAATAATTAATAATGAATTATATCTTAATTAAATAATTTATTATCTACACATTCAGTAAAATTACCTTCAAAAATCAATTTAAACTTATGTCTCAATATGAATAATAAATAAGGTAATCTTTCATTTTATAAAAATTACTATAACTATTAATCTTGTTATAAAATTCTATTAGATTCTATTCTATCTGAGATACAATTTTTCATCTTATTTAATAAATAAATAATTTATTTATTTTTATTAGTTTTAGTTTAATATCTTTTTCTTGTAATTTAATCAATTTTATCTATACCAGTTTCTTTAAATTATTGAGTTTTTCTATTATTATAAATTATTCCAAAATCTGTTATAATATCAAGTAAATCTTGAGAAGAAATATTTTTATAATCCAAATATTATCTTTAAATTGTTGAATTTAAAATTTCAATTAATCCATAAATAATTTCATTACAATTGAATAATTTTCTTATAAATTTCAATAAAATACTAGCTTCTGATAGTAATAAGAAACTAGTTTTTGTAATAAAACAATCATCTTTATTTTAAATCAATTATGTAATATAATGTTCAAAACATTCTGAATCTAATTATTTTTTAATTTCTTTTCCTAATCTTGGTAAAGTTATACTTCTAAATAATTTTTTAATTAATTTATTCATAAAGAATTCAAATTATTCATATGATACAATTGATCCTATTAAACCTGAAGCAATTTATAATGATTCTTAACTAAATCTCAGTTAATTGAATTAACAAATAACATCTGATTTTTAAAATAGATTATCGAGTTTAGGAACAATTAATTAATTTTATTCTAAATTCCATATTTTATATTATTTTTCTTCTGATTCGATTTTAAACATATCAGAAACATCAAATAATTTTTCTTTTCTTTTGTTAATATATTTTTCAACATAATTTTTAATTAGATTTGAAATATTATTTCCTTGTATTTAATCAAGTATTTTCTTTACATTATCCTATGAAATTCCATTTTGAGGCAATTTGAAAAATTCTTATAATGAAACATATTTAATGTTTACTTAGAATGTATCTTGTATTTTTTGATTTAAAATTCCGAAGGTTTAATCATCGTGTGAAATTGTACCATTTTTTACAATATCTCTTGTTCTTGGAATGTTATTGAAAAAGTTAGTGTTTATGTAATTTTTGTTAACTTCAGATAATGATCCCATATCATGTCCTTATTCGATCTTATGTATTTTTTAAAATAATGATTTAAAAACATTATAAGAAATAACTTTGACATATTCTTGATTAGATTGAGTTTGAGAAGAAACCAAAGAAGACATTTAAAATAAACTTTTTGTTGTATTAATAGAAAATAAAGTTTTGTGAAACTAAAATTTGATTTTTTTTTATTTTTATTTTTATATAAGATTTATTATATAACTTAGTAATAAAATTATTTCAATTTTTTTAATAAAAGTAAACTTTAAAGATTTTATCATTAAATTGTAATAAAATGTCTAATATTTACAGAGTTTAATATGGATTATAAAAATTATCAAACGATTAGAAAAAATAAGCTGAAAATTAATATGATTTCAGAATAAAAGAAATAGAGAAAAATTAAGTTTTTTTAATTGAAAAATTAATATAATATGTAAAAAATAAGCTAAATTTTGATATATAGAGATATGCACTTATTTTTATATTTACTAAAATTGTTACTGATATGATTTATGAATTTTTAGTCATTTATATGGAAAAGTTTTTATAATTTATGAAGAGAATTAGTTTTTTTTGATTTAAAAATTTAAAAAACTATAAGTTTTTTATTTTTTTTGTTTATTTTTTTTATTTTTTTTTCTTTTTTTTATTTTTTTTTTTGTTGTTTTTTTTTTTGTTTTCTGATTATATAAGATTTCATCAATTCAGACTATTTGTCATCAAAAAGTATCTTTTATAATTTAGAGTTGAATAATCAATTCATTTTCAATACTATTTTATATGTTTAATTTCATTGCCAAATATTACAGTATTCAATTATTCAGATTTTACAGCCTACTTTATTTCTCGCGTTAATTCTACACGAAAATAAATACCATAAGTTTGAAATGTATTACTTTCATTGAAAAAGCTTTTTAAATATATTTTTTATTATTCTTTATTTTTTATAATAAAACTAAACCCTTATTTATCAAGTTACTATTTTTTCTCAACTGACAGACAATTGTATAGATTGTAACATTTCAATTCATCTATTGATTCATCGTTTAAGATTTTTTTCAACAATGGATATCTTTTTTTGAATAAAGAGACACGTTTTTGTTCATTATGATCTTATTTTGCATGTGTCATTCTATCAACAGACTTAGATCTTTTCGATCTATTTTTATTCTTATTTTGATAAAGAAATTTAGCCATTTCCTTTGGTTTTTATAATTCTTCTTTATTTGAATCCACTGTAAAATTTATATAATATTATATTTTTTTATGATCTTTTTCGTATTTAAGAATAATTTCTGGAATGATGTAAAAAATACCATCGAAAAAGGTAAAAACAAGCTAGAATTTTTACATATTTTGTTAAAAATCTTTCCAATTTTTTTCAACAAAAGATTCTACTGATTGGACAATATAATTTGACAGAAAATTAAACATCATTTCTCTCTATATTTCAAATTAAGATTTAAAATGAGATAACAATTCATCTTCTTGTTTCTAAATATCTTTATTATATTCTAACATATTTTCTTCTCTTTCCAAAAAACGACATAAAAGAGTTTATAATTCATCTTTTTATTCCTTAGCTTTAGAATCTTATAAATCAAGTTTCACTTCAAATTTGGATGGTTGTTCTTTGATATTCTTACTGTTGAATTCACTAAGAAGTTTTGTTGTTTCTTCATTTTGGTTTGAAAATTTCAAAGCATTATCTCTTATTATAGATGCTAAAACTTCCAAGCATGATTTTTCTTATTATTAAGGTTGCTATTAAGGTTGCTATTGAGGTTGCTATTGAGGTTGCTATTAAGGTTGCTATTGAGGTTGCTATTAAGGTTGCTATTGAGGTTACTTTTGAGGTTACTCTTGAGGTTACTATTATTATTTCCCCTTATTTCCCTTAATAAAATTAAATTTTTCTTCATAAAGTTTTAATTCCTCTCCATTGAGTTCACTTAAGCTTGTAATATTTTTACCAGAAAGAAGTCTGATCATACTTTACCTCAAAATATCCATTCGAGCTTATTTTTTATTCTATATCGAGGAATCATTTTACTGATTTTCATGTTATTTATTAGGATTATCCTAAATATTTTATTTTTTATTTCTTGTACTTTTATCCATTATACTGTAATACTGTTTATTTCTATTCTTTTAAATTTATATTAATGTTTCACAATTGTATTTTTTCAATTTTATTTTATCTAATCTATAAATTAAAACTAAAAGTTTTTTATTTTTTTTGTTTATTTTTTTTATTTTTTTTTCTTTTTTTTTATTTTTTTTGTTGTTTTTTTTTTTGTTTTTTGATTAATATAAAAATTTCATCATTCAGATAAAGATCTAAAATCTAAACTCTGTTTTAAGCATATCATAATTTCATTCTCATTTTTTTTTTAATTGTTTTTCAGCTGATTCGCTAATTATTACAGTATGTTTCATTATGAAATCTTCTGTAGTGTATCTTATGACTAAGTTGCCTTCATTGTCATATAAAGAATTTATTTCTACTTTTTCTTTGCCTTTGAAAGGAGAAAATTCAACATCATTATTTTAAAGTATAGTCTTCAGTTCATTGGAAAGATGATCTTATATTTTGTAATCTTCTAAACTTTCTTTAAATTTAAGATCATCTGTCAAAAGTAAGCACATAGTATTTGGTTAAGAAAATACATATTTTTCATCATTTTTAGATTCCTCTACATTAGATGTCTCTATAGGTATTTCTGTCACAGGAATTTAATCTGTAGGTATATTTTCCGCCTCGCTAACCTATTCTTTAGATTCTTCTACATCGGAGCCATCTACAACGGATTTATCTACAACGGATTTATCTACATTAGATTTCTATTTAGGTATTTCTTTTTCTTCTTAGAAATTTATAGTGAATATTATTTGATAATATATTTTTCTATAATCTTTTTGTACCTACCAATTCTAAGGGATTTAAAATTCTTCTTAATCAAAATCATGAGCAACTTTAAATCTGGTATCAATCTAAATTGTATCGTTTAAATAACAGAAAACAAATTATAATCTTTCTATAAGACAAAAGACATATTATCTCAAATATTAATTTGTTTCATCGCAACTATAACCAAAATAATCGTGGCATTAATTAATTTGTTTTCCAAACATAACAAAATATCTACTTATGAATTCAAACATGAGCTTATTTTTCAACCCAAAGTATTTTGTATATTCCTAATTTAATTCTTTCTCTCCTTATATTTCTTTCCCTTTTTTCAATTTATCTATTAATTCAGCTATTGTTTTTTCAGTATTCTCAACTTCTTAAGATACTAAATCGAGATCTAATTTTTATGTAGATTACAATGAATGATTACTCTTGCATAATTTTTTGAGAATTTCCTTTGCTTCCTATTTGCGATTGAATTTCTCATTAGTAAAGAATTTAAATTAAGCTATCATGAATTTAATATTTTTCTATTATATCCATTCTATAAATTCTACTCTGCCAGAAAGTTTCTAAATATCCTACATATTTTATTTAAGTGCTTTTTATTTTTTAGTCTCTCTTTCAGATTATTCTTCATAATCTTTTATAGTATTAATTCCAAATTAATTTTGGTCCTACTATGTTTTTTACCTTATTTATTCGGTTTTTTATTCGGTTTTTTATCCGGTTTTTTATCCAGTTTTTTATCCCTTATTAAAAATTTGTTAAAAATGTTTTTTAAAAAGTATAAAAAAGTAGCCCTCCAAGGAAAATACTTGGAAGGCGAAAAAATAGCAGGCAGAGAGGTTTTTTTCTGCTTACTGATCTAAAAATGCTCCGATTGTAAATTCTCTGTGTTTTTACTTAAGGGATATATCAACATTTGAGAGATTAGTGCAATTCCCTAAACCAGAGCCTAAGTCTGATGCACCTTCATCACCAATTTAATTTTTACTTTTTTAATATTGAAGAAAAAATAAAAAAATGAATTAATTAGAGGTAAAAAAATGAAGAAAAATATGAAATAAATTAATTAAAAACAAATTTAAAAGTTAAAAATAAAAAAATAAATTAAATTAATAAAGAAAAAATGAAAGAAAGAAAAAAAAAAGAAACACAAGCAAAATAAAAGTTAAAAAAAATAAATAAAATAAATTAAATGAGCTTTTTCATTTTAAATTCATTTTTATAATTAAATAAATCACAATCAAAAATAAATAAACTATTTTTACTAAAGGTTAAGTCTCAAATTTGAGAGATTAGTGCAATTCCCTAAACCAAAGCCTATGCCTGATGCACCAACAGCGCCAATTTAATTATCACTTTTAAATATTGAACAAAAAATATATTATTAATTAGTTAATAGAAGCTAAAAATTTGAATGAATTAATTTATAATAAATGCAAAAGTTAAAAATAAAAAATTAGTAAATATAACATACAAAACAAAAAACACAAGAACAATAAAAAGAAAAAGAAAAATAAATAAAATATTAAAAGAGCTTTATTGCTTTAAATTCATTTTTAAAGTTAAAAATATCACAATCCAAAACAAATAAACTGTTTTTACTAAAGTGTTAGTGCCAAATTTGAGAGATTAGTGCAATTTGTTAAAAGAGAACATAAACTGGATGCACCTTCATCACCAATTGTATTCGAACTTTTTATTTATTGAAGATAAAATATATTACTAATTTGCTAGAATGAAAAAATGAAGATAAAATATGAAATGAAATTATTAATAATAAAAAGTTTAAAATAAAAAAATGAGTTAAATTCATTAAAAAAGTTAAGAAAAAAAAACAGAAGGAAAATAAAAATGAAAAAGAAAAATAAATCAAATAAATTGAATTAGCTTATTGCTTTAATTTTGTTTTTAAAATTAAATATATCATAATCTAAATCAAATAAACTATTTTTACTTAAGGTTAAGTTTCAAATTTGAGAGATTAGTGCAATTTGCTAAAGCAGAACTTAAGCCTGATGCACCAACTGCACCAATTTTATTATCTCTTTTAAATATTGAACAAAAAATATAATATTAATTAGTAAATAAGTTAGTTAGTTAGGAGGAAAAAATAAAGAAAAAATATGAAATTAATTAAGGGTAAAAGTTAAAGTTGAAAATAAAAAAATGATTTTAATATAAAACAAAGAAAAAATACACAAACACAAGAACAAATAAATCAAATAAATTAAAAGACCTTTACTGTTTTAAATTCATTTTTAAAATTAAAAATATCTCAATTTAAAACAAATAAACTGCTTTTACTCAAGGATAAGTTCCAAATCTGAGAGATTAATGCAATTTCCTAAAGCAGAAGCTAAGCCTAATACACCTATGTCACCAATTTAATTTAATCTTTTTAAATATTCAAGAAAAATATATTATTAATTAATAAATTAATTAGTTAGCTAGGAGGAAAAAATGTAGAAAATAAAAAGAAATGAATTAATTAATAATAGTTGCAAATGATAAAATTGAATAAACTAGTTATAGTAAAAGAAAGTTAGAAGAAAAAAAACATAAAAAAAATAAAAAAGAAAAAGAAAAGTAAATAAATTAAAAGACATTATAGTTTTAAATTTATTTTTTAGTTAAAAATAGCTTAATCTAAAACAAATTAACTGTTTTTACGTTAGTTTAAGGGACAAATTTAAGAGATTAGTGCAATTTTTAAAAGCAGAACTTAAGCTTGATGCACCTTAATCGCCAATTTTATTATACCTTCATAAATATTGAAGATAAAATATATAATTATTTATTTAATCAGTTATGAAATAATAAATAATAAATACAAAAGCTGGAAATAAAAAAATGATATTAAAACAGCTTTATTGTTTTAGTAATTCATTTTTAAAATTACAAATATCACAATCCAAAACAAATTAACTATTTTTACTGAAGGCTAAGTGTCAAATTTGTGAGATTAGTGCACTTTTCTAAAGCAGAACCTAAACTGGATGCACCTTCATCACCAATTTAATTACCACTTTTTATATATTGAAGAAAAAATATATTACTAATTAGTTAGTAGGAAAAAATGAAGAAAAATGCATTATTAATGAATAAAAAGAAAAGTTAAAAATAAAAAATGATTTTAATGAACAAAGAAAAAAAAAATCAAAGCACAATAAAAAAGAAAAAGAAAAATAAATCAAATAAAAAGCTTTCAAATAAATTAAAAGAATTTTATTGTTTTAAATTCATTTTTAAAATTAAAAATATCACAATCTAAAGCAAATAAACTGTTTTTACTCAAGTACAAGTGTCAAATTTGTGAGTTTAGTGCAATTTGCTAAAGCAGAACCTAAGCTTGATATACCAACTGCACCAATTCCACGAAATGCTTCAAATTCACCAAGAAGACTAACATAATATAAACTTTTTAAATATTGAAGAAAAAATAAATAAATAATTAATTAGTTAGTTAGGAGAAAAAAATGAAGAAAAAATATGAAATTAATTAATAGTGAAAGTAAAAGTTGAAAATAAAAAAAAAAGAGTTAAATTACCAAAAAGTTAGAAAAAAAATAAACACAAACACAATAAAAAAAAATAAATCAAATAAATTAAAAGACCTTTATTGTTTTAAATTCATTTTTTAAATTAAAATATCACAATCAAAAAAATAAAGTGTTTTACCCAAGTCTAAGTGTCAAATTTGTAAGATTAGTGCAATTTGCTAAAGCAGAAAATAAGTCTTATAAACGTTTATCGTCATAGAATTAGTTACTTTTTAAATATTAAACAAAATATATTGTATTAATTTGTAAGTTTGAATGAAAATATGAATAAAAAATATGAAATGAATTAATTAATGAATAGTAAAAGCAAAAGTTAAAAATCAAAAAATGAGTTAAATTAACAAAAAAAGAAGAAAAAATATAGCATAATAAAAACAATAAGAAAATAAAATAAATAAAAAGTTATCAAATAAACTAAAAGAGCTTTATTGTTTAAATTCATTTTTAAAATTAAAATTTCTCAATCCAAAATAAATAAACTGTTTTTATCAAATAAAAGTGTAAGAAACCAAAAATGAAGAAAAATAACAGAAAATAATAAATGGATAATAAACAATTAAAACTTGGAAGTGAAAATTTAGTTAAAAAAGCTAAAAAATATTTTTATAAATAAAATGAATGAAAATTGAAGTAAATTTGTTAGAAAATTATTTTACAGATAAATTGAAAGTTAAAACAAATAAATATTAATGATAATAATATTTATAAATTAAATATACCTAAGATTAATATGGAGAACCTAATGAGATTAGAGTGAAGAGTTTAAAAACTTTTTTTATTTATAAAAATAAAATTAAATAATATTAATAAAAAATTTATAATTACTTCTTCTAATTCTTCGTAGTATTTAATCTTTTACATAGTTTTTATAAAAAAATATTGAATATCATTTTATGGAAATTTAATTAATTAATTATAAATGGAAAAAAAGAACAAATAAATTGTAATAATTATCAAATATGAATTTATAAATTTGCTTTTAGGAAGAGATAATACTAAAAAGTTTGTGTAACATCATTATTTAATCTTAATATTTCTATTTTAAACACGCGCTTAAAAATATAGTAGGAATTAGTTATGGGTAGTTAAGTGTTGAAAAAATTCTAGTAATTGTTGAACTTAAATTTTATACCCAAGACCCAACGCAAAAAATTTAATTTATACCCAATAGGGTTGCCTTGTATAAATCTCAATAATTTATTTTTATTTAATAAAATTTAATTACTTCATGAACTTTACTTTTTTCTACTTAGCTTAACTAAGCTGTATTTGCGGTTGTATTATTTGTTGTGATATTACTAGAATTAGTGTTAGCAGTAGTAGTAGATGCTGTTTTTGTTTCAACTTAGTTTACTGTCGTTTGGCTTTATTCATCAATAACCTTTTATTCACTAGTTTCCTTGCAATATTAATCGGATGTATCGGCTACTGATTACTTAGGTGTATCATCTACTTGATAATCAATTTCACATACTTTAAAACTCTTATTTTAGACAGGAATCAAACTAGATTATTTCTATTTAATATGGTTATTAGGTTGGGTGAAGTTATATTTCATAAATTGACTTGTCAATTTAGGGTCAGAAACCTTTTTAAATGTGCTTTACATTAATTTTTTAAACATTTCTCTTTTCTTTGTACTTATTAATCAAAATATATGTTTATTACTTTAATTTATTTTCTTTAACTTTCTATAACTTTCCTAATTGGATATTTATATTCAAAAAGATCAAATAAAGATTTTTTATTTTCTTGAATTGCAATAAATTAAATTATATGAACATCTCTATCTATTTGATTGTGTGTTTGTTTTCTGATAAATATTTGTTTTCTGCTGATATCTTATAACTCTTAATAAAAAATCAAATTGATAGCTCAAAGTAATTGTTTTGCCTTGTAATTTCTTATTCAATTCGTAATCCAAACAAAATTCTTTGCATTATTTTTTTAATTAGTTGCTGATTAAAATTATATTCATTTAAAACATTTGTGCAAAGATAATAAGCATAAAAAAATGTTCTTATTTATTATTTTAAACTTTAAGTCTGTTTTGATTTAAAAGATTTAATTTTGTAGTTATTTTTTAGTAAAAATTGCTTATAAAAAAATAGAATACAAATGTAGTTAGTTTTAGGAAAAAATATCTTTTATAATTAGTTTTATTGAATTAAAATTTTTTTATTTTGTATACTTAAAACCTTTTATTATAAATTTAAAATAAATAAAAGCAAAATTTGAATAAATATATAAATAATTATGATTGGAAATATTGTAACCATCTTTCTTTATTTTTAAAAAAATTAATCAATAACTCTTATTACATCTATTTTTCTTTATAGAACTTTATTGAAATTTAGAGTTTATCTATTTTTGAATTATTAATAAAAATTCGCTGAAATTCATTTTTTTTCCTTCAATATTTCTCGAATTTTTAAGTATTTACTTTATTTCATTCATATTTGAAATAAAAACAAATTTTCAAAGATTCCATTGATTTATTTTTTTAACAAAAATTGACTCAATAAGATTTTCTTAAATATTCATTAGAAAAACATATCCAAAATTAAAAAGGCAATTAATTCTAGTAAAATAGTTATATTTGTTTTTTCTGCCATTTTTTTAGTTGATTTTGAATTAAAATATGAAAATCTATTAAAATAAATTTAACAAATATTAATATGAATGTTCTTTTAAGATAAAAGTTTGAGAGTGAGTATATGTTTGTTTTTTAATTAGCTTATCAAATTCGCATGCAAAAAATTTTTAATTTATAAATTAATAATTAGTTAATGCATTTCTAATTCATATTTCAAATATTTTCTTTGTTAAAAATTGTATTTTCAATATCTTTTTTTGTTATTTTGAAAATATTTATTTTTTCTAATAATTTGTATTTTATTTAATGTCCTTTTTTGCTATTTTTTAAATATAAAAAGGAATTATTTGCCTACTATTCCTCTACAAAATTTTTATAAATTTAAATTTAACATCTTTTTTACTCAATAGAATTAAAATTATATCACTCTTATTTTAATTGAGAAAACAAATCAAATTTATTAAATTAATATGTTTTTAATTTATCTTTAGATAAATTAATTTTTATTGCTTAAAATAAATGTAAATTCATTTAATGGTTTTTTTAATAGTAATTCAAATGAATGAATGAATGAATGAATAAATAAATAAATAGTTAGTAGTCTTAAATATCTTCAAGATTAAGTCATACTAAATTTTCTCTTTAAAATTAAAATAATAACTATGAGCCACTATATAAAGGATAATTAGAATGCAAACTTAGTAGAATATAAACCCATTTTATCAAATATACACGTATTTCTGTGAACCAATTTATTTGAGTAAAACTAAATTTTTTATTTTTTTATATTTAATAAGCTATTTGTTAATATACAAAAATATCATATTGATAAACATAAAAGCAGTAATAAATTTATATTTAAATTATTATTATGATTCATTGATTCAGATTTAACTTTTATAATAAATTAGTGTAAATTACTAAAAATATTTAAATATTAAAAAAATTAACAAAAAAAAAAATTTTAATCTAATAAAATAAATGTGCTTTACTGTTTTAAATTCATTTTTATAATTAAAAATAAACATAATAAAAATCAAATAAACTACTTTTCCTCAATATCAAGTATCAAATTTGAGAGATTAGTGCAATTTGCTAAAGCAGAACGTAAGCTTGATGCACCAACTGCACCAATTTAATTCGATCTTTTTAAATATTGAAGAAAAAATATATTATTAATTGGTTAGTTAGAATGAAAGAAAGAAAGTAAGAAAAAATGAAAAAAAAATATGACATTAATTAATTTATAATAAATGAATATGTTGATATAAATGAGTTAAATTAACAAACCAAGAGAGAGAAAGAAAAAAACAAAGACAATTAAAAATAAAATAAAATAAATCAAACAAATTGGAGAACTATTGTTTTAAATTTATTTTTAAAATTAAAAAAAAAATAACATATTAACTGTTTTTACCTAATATGCAGTAGCAAATTCGAGAGATTAGTGCAATTTGCTAAAGCAGAGCCTAAGCCTGATGCACCTATATCACCAATTTAATTACCACTTTTTATTTATTGAAGAAAAAATATAAAATTAATTAATAGTTAATTGTTCGAAAAGAAAAATGAAGAAAAAATATGAATTAATTTTTTTAATATATATATAAAATGAAAATAAAAGAAAATGAAGACAAATAAAAAGCTATTAAAAAAATTAAAAGAGCTCTAAAGTTTTAAATTTATTTTAATAATTAAAAATATCACAATCCGAAAGAAATAAACTGTTTTACTGAAGGTAAAGTGTCAAATTTGAGAGGTTAGTGCAATTTGCCAAAGCAAAGCCTAAGCCTGATGCACCTATATCACCAATTTAATTACCACTTTTTATTTATTTAAGAAAAAACATATAATTAATTTAATAATGTTTTAAATTCATTTTTCAAATTAAAAATATCTCAATCTAAATCATTTTACTCAAGGAGAAGTGTCAAATTTGAGAGATTAGTGTAATTTTCTAAAGCAGAACCTAAGCCTAATGCACCTATGTCACCAATTTAATTTCCACTTTTTAAATATTGAAGAAAAAATATATAAAAATACAGATAATTAGAATAAAGTATCTCGCGCTTATGTAATGGACTTTAAATTTCAAAAACTATAAATTTGTTAAAAATCCATTATTTTTTATGCAAGAGATACTTTATTCTAACTATCTGTATAGTAAGAAGAAAAAAATGAAGAAAAAAAAAATTAATTAATCAATTAATAATAATTGTATATGATAAAATTAAATAAATGAGTTATATTAATAAAGAAAGTTAGAAGAAGAAAAAACATAAACACAATAAAAAAGAAAAAAAAAATAAATTAATTAAAACACATTTATTGTTTTAATTTCATTTTTTAAATTAAAAATATCGCAATCCAAAAAAATTAACTGCTTTTACTTAAGGTAAAGGGTTAAATTTAAGAGATTAGTGCAATTTGTAAAAGCATAACCTAAGCCTGATGTACCTTCATTACCAATTTCATTTCCACTTTTTAAATATTGAAGAAAAAATATATAATAAATTATTTAATCAGTTAGAACGAAAGAAAGAAGAAATAATAAGAAATGAATAAATTAATAATAAATACAAAAGTTGAAAATAAAAAATGGTATTAAAACAGCTTTATTATTTTAATTTCATTTAAAAATTTTTTAAAATATTGCAATCTAAATCAAATAAACTGTTTTACCTAAGGCTTAGTGTCACATTTGTGAGATTAGTGCAATTTGCTAACGTAGAACATAAACTGGTTGCACCTTCATCACCAATTTGATTGTCACTTTTTAAATATTGAAGAAAAAATATATTAGTAATTAGTTAGAAGGAAAAAATGAAGAAAAATACGTTATTAATGAATAAAAAGAAAAGTTAAAAATAAAAAAATAATTAAATTAACAAAAAAAAAAAAATTAAAGCACAATAAAAAAGAAAAATAATTCAAATAAAAAGCTTTCGAATAAATTAAAAGAAAGAGCTTTAATGTTTTAAAATTATTTTTATAATTAAAAATATCATAATCTAAAACAAATAAACTGTTTTTACTCAAGGCTAAGCGTCAAGTTTGTAAGATTAGTGCAATTTGCTAAAGCAGAACCTAAGCTTGATGCACCAACTGCACCAATTTTATTTTCAAGACCAAGAAAAAATATATTACTAATAAGATAGAAGGAAAAATTAAAGAAAAATATGTTATTAATAAATATAAAGAAAATTTAAAAAAAAAATGATTTAAATTAACATAGAAACAAAAAAAAAATCAAAACACAATAAAAAAGAAAAAGAAAAATAATTCAAATAAAAAGCTTTCTTATAAATTAAAAGAAAGAGCTTTAATGCTTTAAACTCATTTTTAAAATTAAAAATATCACAATCTAAAGCAAATTAACTGCTTTTACTTAAGTCTAAGTGTCAAATTTGTGAGATAAATGCAATTTGCTAAAGCAGAACCTAAGCTAGATGCACCAACTGCACCAATATTATTGTCACTTTTTTAATATTGAAGAAAAAAGAAATAATTAATTAGTTAGTTAGGAGGGAAAAATGTAGAAAAAAAATGAAATTAATTGATTGTAAAAGTAAAGTTGAAAATAAAAAAAACGAGTTAAATTACCAAATAATAAGAAAAACAATAAACATAAACACAATAAAAAGAAAATAAATCAAATAAATTAAAAGTTTTTATTGTTTTAAATTCATTTTTATAATTAAAATATTACAATAAAAAAAATAAAGTGTTTTTACCAAAGTTCAAGTGTCAAATTTGTTAGATTAGTGCAATTTGCTAAAGCAGAACCTAAGTCTGATGCACCTTTATCACCAATTAATTTGTAACTTTTTAAATGTTGAATAAAAATATTTTATTAATTGGTAGGTTTGAAGGAAAAAATGAATATAAAATTTGAAATGAATTAATTAATTAATAGTAAAAGCAATGAGTTTAACTAACAAAAAAAGAAGAAAAAAAATACAAACATAATAAAAAAATAAGAAAATAAATTCAATAAAAAGATATCAAATAAAATAGAGAAGAAAATTTGTATGAGAAAAATTATTATAGAAATAAATTGAAAGTTAAATACAAAAAAATATTAATGATAATAATATTTATAAATTAAATATACCGAAGATTAATATGGAGAATCTAATGAGATTAGAGTGAAGAGTTTAAAAACTTTTTTTATTTATAAAAATAAAATTAAATAATATTAATAAAAAATTTATAATTACTTCTTCTAATTTGTCATAACATTCTATCTTTTACATAGTTTTTATTAAAAAAAATAATGAATAGCATTTTATGGAAATTTAATTAATTATAAATGGAAGAAAAAAAAACAAATAAATTATGAAAATTATCAAATATTAATTTATAAATTTGCTTAGGAAGAAATAACACAAAAAATTTTGTGTAAAATCATTATTTAATCTTAATATTTCTACTTTAAACATGTGCTTAAAAATATAGTAGGAATTAGATAGAGAAGGGTAGTTAAGTGTTGAAAAAATTCTAGTAATTATTGTACTTAAATTTTAAATTTAATTAAATAAAAATAGAAAATAGAAATTTATACAAAGCCACCCCATTCGGTATAATCATCAACTTCACTTTTTTCTACTTAGCTTAACTAAGCAGTATTTATAGTTGTATTATTTGTTGTGGTATTAGTAGAATTATTGTTAGCAGTAGTAGTAGCAGTAGCTGTTGTTTTAGCTGTTTCAACTTAGTTTACTGTTGTTTGATTTTGTTCATCAGTAACCTTGTATTCACTAGTTTTTTTGCAATATTAATCGGAGGTATCGGTTACTGACTACTTAGGTATAACATCTACTTGATAATCGATTTCACATACCTTAAAACTCTTATTTTAGGCAGCAATCAAACTAGATTATTTCTATTTAATATGGTTATTAGGTTGGGTGAAGTGATATTTCATTAATTGACATGTAAATTTAGAGGCAGAAACCTTATTAAAGGTGTTTAACATTAATTTTTTAAACATTTCTCTTTTTTTTGTACTTCTTAATCAAATTATATGTTTATTGCTTTAATTTATTTTAATTAACTTTCTGTTGACTTTCCTGATTGGATATTTATTATCAAAAATATCAAATAAAGAATTTTTATTTCCTTAAATAGCAATAAGTTAAATTAAATTATATGGATATATCTATCTATTTAATTGTGTATTTGTTTTCTGATAAATATTTGTTTTCAGCTAATATCTTGCAACTCTTAATCAAAAATCAAATTGATAGCTCAAAGTAATTGTTTAGTTTTGTAATTTCTTATTCAATTTGTAATCCAAAGAAATTCTTTGCATGATTTTGTTAATTAATTGCTGATTAAAATTATTTTTATTTAAAACATTTGTGCAAAGATATTAATCATAAAAAAATGTTTTTGTTTATTATTTTTATACTTTAAATAAGTTGGCTTTTTAATTTATCCTAGATTACAGCTAAAACAAAATAATAAAACTAATAAATTTTAAAGTAAACTATTGTCTTTTGTGATTTAAAAGATTTAATTTTGTAGTTATTTTTTACTAAAAATTGCTTACAAAAAAGCACAATACAAATGTAGTTAGTTTTAGGAAAAAATATCTTTTATAATTAGTTTTATTGAATTAAAATTTTTTTATTTTGTATAGTTAAAACTTTTATTTAATACCTTATCTCTTCTTTTAAATGCTGTAAAATAAATTTACAATAAATAAAAGCAAAATTTGAATAAATATATAATTAATTATGATTGGAAATTTTGTGCAAATTCATTTTTTTCCCTTCGATATTTCTCGAATGTTCTAAATATTTACTTTATTTCATACATAAGTAAAAAAAATATTAATAAATTTGGAAAAAAAATAAATTTAATTAGTATTAATATTAGCTAATTGTTAATCTAATATATAATATGTAGGCAAAAAAAAATATCTAAAAATATTTAAACTAATAAATTTTAAACATATTTAATTCATATAAAATAAATAATTTTAGTTGAATTAATTGCTTTATTTTACTTAATTAATTGAATAAAGTATAATATTTTTACTTTAGTTATCTTATTTAGGTTTTATTGAAGAAATATCTCTGAATTAATTTGTTCTTTTCAAAGATATAAGTTTGAGAGAGAGTATATGTTAGTTTTTTAATTAGCTTATCAAATAAAATTTGCATATTAAAAAATATACTATAATAAAATGTTTAATTTATTTTTTATAAATTAATAATTCAGTTAATGCATTTCAAATTCATATTTCAAATATTTTTTTGCTAAAAATTGTATTAGTTATTTGGTAAATATTTATTTTTTCTAATAATTTTTATTTTATTTTAATGTCCTTTTTTACTACAATTTTTTAAATATAAAAAGGATTATTTGCCAACCATTCTTCTACAAAATTTTAAAAAATTTTAACATTTTTTTACTCAATAATATTAAAATTATATCACTCTTATTTTTGCTAATTTAATTAAGAAAACTAATGAAAGTTATTAAATTTTTATATTTTGAAATGATCTAAAATGTAAAGTTTAAATTTTCAAAAATTTGTTAAACTTTAAAGTTGAAAGAAAAATGAATAAACTTTAAAAAAAAATATGATAGATTAATAAACAATAAGACAAACAAAATTCTTAAATAAATTAATTTTATTACAAAAAATAAGTGTAAATTCATTTAATGGTTTTTTGAATGGAAATACAAATAAATAAATAGTTAGTAGTCTATAATATCTTCAAGATTACGTCACAAATTATATCACTTAAACTCATAATAAAGACGAAATTTAATGATCAGCTTATTTGGCAAGAAAATTAACTAAATTTAATTAGGAAATAGAAATAATTAAATAAGAAGTGAATAAGATAAAGGAGAGCTTTTATATTAGTAAAGTAAAAAAAAAAAGCAGAAAGAAATTTAGATTGCAGCATACTTGTTAGTATAAGCTACTAGTTTGTTGCTAAACTGATCAAACTCAATTTTTTCATAAAATAGTATTTTTTCACTATTGTTCTAAGCTTGCTTTATAATATGATTTTTTTAATGATTTAGGGCTTTAATAAAATTTGAAATGGTTTTTGGGCTTATTGCTCATTTTATTGAAGTAATAACAAATGAAATTGTGGAGGATGTTTAGATAGTAAAGGAAGTTTTAGCTTATCATATTAGCGAATTCTCTGAATACCGCTATCAACAAAAAGAGATGAGAAAGATAAAGTAGAAAATGAATTACTGTGATAGCTATGAAGAATGGGTCAGTTATTCAATTTAACATGATAGTTTGAAAGATATAACCTTATGGAAAAAAGATCCTACTTCACCAAATTATAATTTTGAATATATCTAGCATTTGCGTGATTAACTTAAATCAGATAGGTTAAATAAAAATGTTCTTAAGATCATCCACACTCTCAGATCACATGCTTTCAGAAATATTGGAAATATCTTAGATCCTCTACTTTATAAAGAATGCTTCAATGGAACTAAAGATTTAATTGAAGATTTCTAAAATGAAATAGATCTTTGCATTTAGTACATCGCTTCTACTTCTTAATTATCTGTAAGAAAAAAAATGGAATTCTTCATAGAAATGAGGCATGCTGTTGGGAGAACTGCACTAGTATTAAGTGGCGGTGGACTCATGGGAATGTATCATGTTGGTGTTGTTAAGACCCTCTACGAATAAAAATTGTTGCCTAGAATTATCAGCGGTAGCTCTGCTGGAAGTATTATAGCAGCTTTCATATGCACCAGAAAATATGAGGAGCTGCCTTCTCTTTTCTTAACAGATGGAATCAACTGGCAAGCATTTTAAAAAAGAGATCCTAAGTAATTAATCTAAATTTATAAAAAAATTATTTGTGTTAAATCAGAAATTTTCTACTGAATTTTAATTACCTCCTTTCTTTTAAAAACATTTAGTTAACTCATTTACATATTTTTTATATAAATAGAGGATAGATGATACGTAAGCTTAAGAGATTCTTCAAAGAGGTATGCAAACAAATATATTTTTTTAATTACCTTTGTTTTCTTTTCTCTTACTAGCTCAATTTACTTCCTAACTTACTTACAATCATAATTTTTATTTAAAAATCAATCAATCAATTTATTTATTTATTTGTTTTCTAATTAATTTAATTCTTTAAAATTTTTGTAATTCAGTAAAAATATGAAGAAATAAATGGAAAATAAAAATAAAATTTTAAAAGGAATATGTTTCTTATTTTACACTTACATCTCAATAAAAATATGAAGCAACTGAAAATAGAAATAAAAATTTAAAAGGAATATGTTTCTTATTTTAAATGAATATAAATATTTTAGGGAGTTCTACTTGATGTTAAAGTACTTTATGAGTTTACAAGATAAAATATTGGAGATATTACTTTTTAGGAAGCGTATGATAGAACTGGATTTATTCTGAATATTACAGTTACAGGACAAGGTACTCATGATAATGACAGAGTTTTGAATTATTTAAGTGCTCCAAATGTTATAATATGGTCAGCTGTTTGTTGCAGCTGCGGTATCCCTTACATTTATGGACCCAGTGATCTTCTCTGCAAAAATGAGAAAGATGAGATTGTACTTTATCTTGATAAAAAGAAAAAATTTGTTGATGGGTCAATTGGAGCTGATCTTCCCATGCATCGCTTATCTGAATTCTTTAATGTAAATAGTTTTATAGTCAGTTAAACAAATCCTTGGGTCGTACCATTCATGGATAGAGGAGAAAAGCATCCTATTGTATATCTTCCTTTCGTTAAGTTATTCAACATTATTAGAAAACTCCTTAACTCAGAATTAAAGCACAGAGTCTAATAGCTTTCAGACTTTGATCTTCTACCTGGAGCTTTAAGTAAATGGGTTAATATAGTCTTGCAGGTTTTATTTTTTCTACTTTTATTTTATAAGGTTTTCTACAAGTTAAACATAAAAGATTTTAATTTTATTTAATTAAAGAATAAAAATAGCTGAAAGTTGAAAGTTATTTTTATCTCAATTGAAATTAAATATTTTATTTTTTTAAATAAATTTTAAACAAATCACAAATTAAATATAAAAACTAAAATAATTATTGTTTTCATTCATAGTTGTTTTCCTTACAACTGATATTTATTAAATAAAATAAGTAAATTTTTTACAATTAAAAATGACTTTTTTATCAAATATACTAGACTTACGTGGGCCACATCACAATAGCTCCTGTACCAAGATGGAGTGACTATGCAAATGTATTGGAAGTTCCAAAGTCTAGCGATGATTTTGAGCATTTTATGTTAGGAGGTGCTAGAAAGACATTCTCAAAGATTCCATACATCAAAGCCTACATGAGGTATGAAAATAGCTTAACAAGAGGTTACAACAAAATAAAGCAACAGCTAGCAGAAGATTCTGGACCTATAATTCCAGTCTAAGATCCTGATGAGTCTTATGACAATGAAAGTATATTCATGGATGCCTTTGAAGAGGAAGAAGATATTAGAGACAAAAGAATTAGCCTCGGGAAGAGTAAATCCATTTATGAAGACTCTAAAAGAGTTAGAAATTTCTCTTTCATTATTCCAAGAACTAAATCAAAAGAAGTTCTTGAAAAACTAAATAAAATAGGAGTAAAACCTGCTTTAGTAAGAAAGAATTCATCCTCCTCAAAAGAGTGATGTGATACAGAAAATATTAATTATATAATTTATATCTAACAAGTTTACTTTTACTTACAATTTGATAGTCATTTACTTATTTCTAAATAAATAAATATAATTAATTTCATTATATTACTAAAAACTTTATTATTAAATAAATATCATTTTGCATTTTAAACAGAATAAATAAGTATGTGTGTTGATCTTCATTTTTTTATTTCAAAAAGATAAAACATTTATAAATAACGATTCTTTGATGTTAAAGTCCCTTTAAAAATATAAACAAATTCTGAAAAATTGATAAATAGATTAATAAAAAATTTAATAATTATTATTGAAAAGGAGGATATAAAAATATATTATTTTTAATTCAAGATATTTATTGGTTTATTTGTAACTTCATAAAATTTGAATTTTTAAGTAAAGTCCACAAAATAACCCTAATAATAGGAGGGAATGATTAATTAAAAGTTAAAATATATATGAACATATTTTTTAAATCATTCATTTTATTATAAAAGGCAAATTTTATTTTTAGTAATTTTAAAAATGTTATGAAATAATTTTTTGAAAGTAATTAATTATTAAATTAAATGCCATTTAATAATACATTTCTAAAATAGTTCTAATTTATAAATTTAAGTTAATAGGAAGACTCATAAAAAGTAATTCATTTATCAATTCGAGAGAGAGTTTTTTTATTAGTTAAGAGAATTAAGAATATATATTAAGATAGAATCAAATTATTTTATAAAATTAATTTAAAAAAATTTAAATATTCTAATTGATTAAATTATTATGTTGATTTAAATTGGGACATTCATTTAAATGCTAATCAAATTTTATTTTTTATTTTAACCTTCTTCTTTGTTTTGTTTTTTAAACTTTATTGAATTAATATAATTATTTTTAGAACTGAAAACTATAGATAAATAGATAGATAGATGCTGGAATTAAATTAAAAGTTAGAACAAATTTTTAGATAAGTAGGTAGCTAAGAAATAGATAATTCTCATAATAACAAAAAAAATTTTGATTTAGATTAGTTCTAAAAAAAGTGCCATTTATTTATTTTTGAATAATAAAGAAGAACTTGCTATAAATAAATAAATATTTTGTGATACCAGTCATTTAAAATGATGATTAGAGATTTGCTAATGTAATTTTATCTCTCTGTCGTGAATATTACACATAATATAAATGAGCTAGTTATCAAAAAGACTATGTAAATGAAAAAAAGAAAGTGAAAATCTCAATCTCTTGGTAACAAATTTTTATTTATCTTTTTGTTGCTTTAATAATATTTTTAATAATAAGTAAGTGAAAAAAGCAATCGTAAACTAAAAGGATTAGTACAATTTTTACTTATTTATCAATTCTTTAAAAAAGTTAAATTGGTAAAAAATTAAAAGTAAAAAATTAATCTTAACATTTCCTTATTTTATTAGAGAAACAAACCTCTTCTTTCTAAGCTATTTTCAAAATCTATTGGCAGCAAACAATTAGCTTTTACCAGATAGAATCCACTGTTGAATATTAATCTGATACTGCATTTATACAAGACAATAAACGCTTTTGCTTCATTAAAAAAAAAAAAATCATAAAAAGCTAAATAAAAGTAGTTAGTGAGTTCATAAAATGAAGACATAAGATTTTAAATCCAACCAAAAATCTGGCGATATTGAATCACAAATGCCTAAATAAGGTTAGAAGGAACAAAGATCAAATAAGGAAAATTCACCTGAAAGATCGTAGCAAAATATTTGTAAATCCATATTATATTTTTCACTGAAATGACATAGTAAATTTGAGATAACATTATTTTTAATCCTTTTTTATTGAAAAAACAAAAAGCAACGAGCTCAAACAATATTGATAAAATAAACAATACTTTAAATAGCTCGAATTTTGAAATTGGAGACAGATTGCCAATGCAAAAAATCTAAGTTATAAAATAAAATTCATCACCAAAGAACAACGTTATCTCTAATTATTTAAGCTAAGGAATTAGGTCTGTTCGTGTTCTCACTTATAACATCTTTCTAAGACCTCCACCAATCAAGAACAATAAAGACGACTACAAAAATGAGAGAACTAAGCTTTTTCTCAATTCAATAAGTGACTTTGATATTGTTTGTCTTTAGGAATTGTTTGGTTTTCTCAACCAACGCAAACACAAAATTATATTCAATGCTATGAAACAAGGATTCTTCTATCATGCAACATCACCTTCTCCTTCCTTTTTTAGCTCCTACTTGGTAGATGGAGGATTAGTAACAATTTCTAGATTTCCCATCATAGAAAAGTCGTACAGACCTTTTAAATATGGAGTCCTCTCAGATAATTTATCATAGAAGGGTGTTCTATACACAAAAATTTAAGCAAACGATTCGTATATTCATCTTTTTAACACACATCTTCAAGCTAGTTACGTAGGTGCTGAAAATAATGTGGTAAGAGACTATATTAAACAATATTTATACTAACTAATTAATTAAAAGCATACTATAAAATTAATTAATTTTCATTCATATTACACTAAAATTGATAAACAAAATATATTTAAGCATCATTTTTCTTTTCCAAAATTATTAGAAAGCTACAGTTATCACAAGAGTAGACCAACTTATTTTGATAAAAGACTTCATAAAAGAATAAGTAAAAAAGCACAGAGAAAAGGAGAGTGATATTATTATGATTTGTGGTGATTTCAATGTTAATGCTCGTCCCTAAACTTATCCTATTCATTATTTAAATGATGTTCCTGATATTTAAGTAACAAAATTATAATAAACCTTTCTTACTAGAAACATTACAATGTTTAACCTAAAAATAAAAGGAATATATCAGAAAAATAAACCCAAAAGAATTTAGTGAGTATGACATCCTTAGATACATTCTATCTGACTTTGAAAGTATAGAATTCATAGATACATTAAGGGTAATTCAAAAAATTTATTTTCAATTAATCAATTTAATTTGATTTCGATTTAAAAATTTTTTTTTTTAAACTAATTTTTGATTATATGTAAATTATCAAATAGAGAAAATTTAAAGGTGAGTCTCCCATTACTTATGCCGATACTTACATTGATAGGGAAACTTAATAAGAACTACCAATGGAAGAGGCTCTAACAATAAAAGAGGATTTACTCCAAAAATCATGCTTAGACTATATTATTCAATTGAAAATTCCGATTGAAGCAAAAGAAGTATAAGAAAATAACAACAACAACAACAATAACAACGAAAATGAAGAAGTAAGATAATAAATAATACATTTGCTACTAAATTATAATTATTAGAATGCGACAGTTTCTTGAATTTTATTTTTATCAAATTAAAATAGGATGATATTGAAGAATTCAAAATGAAAAAATCAAATGCGCAATCTCAAAGTGGATTTGTTTTTGATTACGAATAAGTTTTCTTAGAAAAATTCTTTGTAAAAAACTAACCATTTACATAGTTAAGCGATCATTATGGTGTTTACACAACCCTGAGATACGTAAATGTAAACTAAAAAAGTAGTTTCCAATTTAAAGAGTCTGTTATATCTTCTTAGGATAAAAAAAATATAGATAATAAAAATTAGCACAGCTTTAACAATGCAAGTTTGAATGAATGAATGAGTAATTAAAATTGTTTTCAATGAGATCATTTATAAATCATAATGAAGTTTGAATTAAAGCTAAAACTAATAAACTAAATAAATATACAAAAATAATAATAAACAACTAAATAAAGCATATATAATAAATATAATCAATCTAACAATACTACTATTTTCTTATACTCTTTATTTGCTGAAATTTCGTTTTGAAATAGAACAAGTTTCCACATATTTTTACTACAAATTATTGACAAGTGATAATTATCAATAAATCTATCTTAACTACCTTATAATTAGAGATTACTAAGCCTTTTTTCTTAATTTGCTTTTAATTAAAGAAATATCCTGAATTAAAAATTTTTTCTAATTAGAAATAAACCAATTCTCATGCAATTGAATGATTGATTGATTGATCTATCTATCAATCAATAAATCATTTAATAATTAACATTTAAAAAATGTATCCGAAAAATATGTAAAAAAGAGCAACTTCACAAAAAACTATTTATATTAAAATTAATAATAAATATTTTATAAGATATTGTGCTAAATTACAAGTTTTGCATAGAGTTTCTTTTTAAATTAATTTTTACCTTCGAAATCCAAATTTCTTTTTAAAATTTGTTTTATTTTATTTAAAAATTTGAATTTTTTTCTATATTTTTAAATTCAAGTCAATGTAATTTATCTGATAAGAAAAAATTTCAATAAAAACACAATCAACACTTTTAAATTAGAGCAGATTTCTTTAAGAATATTATTAAATGAATTAAGAATTTTAATCTTCTCTTTTTCTGATCAATTCTGAAATTGATGAATATTATGTATGAGTTGATTAATCAATAATTTAAAAAAAGAAAAATTTAAACAAAAATTTGTTTGAATTTAATAATTGTAATTATGAATGAGTTCATTAAATAAAATTTGAATATGAAAGTATTATTTTTTTAGAATTAATAAATAATTAAGCTGAATTATAAAAATTACAAATCGTAATATGAACATTCAATAAATAATCAAAATACTATTTAAATAATAATGTATTCTATAAAGCTTATGGCTAAATTATTTAGATAAAGAAAGCTCTTAATATATAATTGAATATAATGAGATAGTTTGCTGATTTCTAGACAATTTACAATTAATTTTGTGATATTTATTTTATACAATAGATAAGTCAATAAATAATATTATAAATAAATAATATATTTAAATAAATTAATATTCATAATTTACGTTTAGTAGGAATATACAAAAAATTATTGATTGCTTAGATGGTCAGGAATCTCCTCAAAATTTAATATTTGTTAACTTATAAAATTTAAACGATAAGTTTACTCAACTTATCAATCATATAATTCATTCATTGATTCTCTAATTGTTTGGAAGGCTTTTTTCTTTAGCCTGATTGAGATGTAAAGGCCTTTCTTATAATATTTGAGTTTTTAGAAAGATAAATATTTGATAACGAATTAATATTTTATGAGCTATTTAAAAAGTTGTTTGGTGTAAATGACTGAACCCAGTCTTATTGGAGATATTTATAATGAACAGGGTAGTTGTTAGAGTAATTTGCAGAATTGGGGTAGTTTGATACAAGAAGTGAAGAGTTATTTTAGAAATTACCAGCCAAATTTGCTTACAAGTTGTTTTGTAAATTGTTGATTGAGATGAAATTACTCATATCATCTGTTGAAGTACTTGATACATTTTTGTTTAAGCTGTTTATCTTTGGCGTGTACAGAGTATTTCTTAGTTTTAAAACAACCTCCTGAGAGTTTTCTTTTGTTTTCTGCTTTTGTAGAGCTATTTAAAGTTATTTATTAAGTATTTTATCTGTCGTAGAGTAGTTTCTTGAAGTTGGATTTGCAGAAAATGAATGTGCATTTTGGTTATGGTTTTCTTCTATCAATGTGTTGCTTGATATTTCATTTCTAAAACCCTATTGAGATTGGTTTCTCCTTTTGAATAGAGCATTTGTTGATTAATTGTTTTTGTTTTTATTAATGTTAAAGTAATATTTTAATTCTGAATTGTTTTTCGTGGTGGAGCTTTGCTATGGCAAAAAATATTTATTATGAAGATCTTGCTTCTAAAGCTCTTTTCTTTCCTTTAAATTGATTTCTCTTCTAACTGTAATTAGTTTAAATTAATTATTTTATTTATATTAAACTAAAATAAAAAAATTTACTATTGTAAATTGCATTCGTTTTTATATTTTAGAATTCAAACTTCTAGAATTCTTTAGCTAACTTTGAGCTTATTTTGTTGTTTTCTTTCTTGATAATATCGCTGAATTTCTCTGCAAAATCATTTTATTAGACATTATTATCCACTATTTTTTATGTAAATAAGCATAATCAAAATTATAATAATAAGAATTAATTAATTACATTTATTTATTTTGAATAGCACATCTTAATCTAAAGCGAATTATCGGTAAGCAGATTTTTCCTATTTGCTGCTGTCTGTTTCTGCATTCTATATCAATCTGTGATAAACTATTTTCTTTTTCTTTTCTTCTTATAATTTTTTCTCTCTTTCTACATTGTCTTTGTTGAGATATTCATCATATTCCTTTCTTTCTACCATTTTTAAATGATCTCTTTCTTCGTCTATGAAATCCTTTTAAATTTAATATAAAAAATTCATCATTTAAAAACTAAACAATAAAATTTATTTATTTATTTACTTCTTCTGTATATTTTAAATTATTTTTATCAAAATTGTTTGATCCAGGACGATTTGAAATTTAATTTTATTGTTAATTAGGCTAGTTGTTGACATCTGTCATTGAATTTGTAGATTAAAATGCATTTGGATCTTTTTGATTTCCATTAGAATTAGAAATTTATACACTGTTCTATTAAGAACCTAAATTAATCATACTGTTATTGTTTCCTCCATTTAGATTTTAGTTAGATTAACTAATGTTGTTAAAGATGCTTTAAAAGGATTATCCAGATAATGGAGAAGCTATTTTTCTGGCCATATTTTTACGTAAATCAGATATTTCATTTATAAATTTATAGATTGCTTGCTTTTTATTTACCTGGTCTTAGGTATTATTGCCTAAGTTATTTTAAGAAGAAGGAGGAGAGTTAATTAATAATTTGCTTTTGTCGATTTGCGAAGAGATTCTTGCAAATCTTTATAAAGCGTCTTCTTCTTCATTCTTTCTATATTTTAATTGCTTATCATAGGCATTCATGTAACTCTTTATTATGAAGTCGCTCTTTGGCAAACTCAAAATTCCTCCTGTAGTTGGAGGATTATCAGAACCTTGGACATTATTTCTTATTTCAATATTTCTTTCCTTTAATTATTATATGATAAAATTGATATATCCGTCTATCAGCAAATACAGGCTCTGAAAATTTGTAAATATTTAATTCATTTTTTCAATTAAAATTTTGAGAGCTTCCTCTTTTATTTGTTAGAGTATGTCGCTGTTTGAAATTTCAGGAAAACTCTCAAGAGTTCTGCTAATAAATTATTTTATAAATTACTCATGTAACATATATCTAGCCATTTTATCTTATAGAATTTCTTAACATATCTAATTGATATTTTATTCTTTTTCTCTTTCTTATGTAGATTATTTCTGCAAATTATTAGTATTTTAGTGAATAGATTACTCTTTTATCTTATCTGTAAATAAAGATATAGGTGGAGGAAGTGTTGTTTGATCATCTTCAACCATTCTTTGACTGGAACTTATGTTAATTCCAAAGTTTTCATCAAAATTTAAATAGCTTAGCTACCTTTAAGACCCTCTTTTAAACGTTTATTAGGATGTTTTAGAAGCTTCTTTGCCTTAGCTAGTAGACTAAATTTAAGAATTTTAATGACTGAATTAAGATATTGAATTCTACAAGTTGGGTATATTTAAATAAGTCTATTTTTGATTGTTAGTTGCTATGTTTGATTATGGAGTATCTTTTATATTTGATGCAGAATGCTAAAGTTACAAACTCTATCCTTAGTTAAAATTAGAATGAAAAGAAGAATGACTTTTTTAAAACGAGTAGCCAGATACTTAATAAGTGTGAAAGCCCATAACTTGCTCATTTATTTTTTAAAATTCTTTCTCAAGAGACTTTCCATTCGTTGCCAATGCAAACAAATCGGAGCTGCTCTTTAGAAGCTACGTAGTGACATACTCAAATTCAAAATATAAATTTGTTTTCTGCTATAATTAATCAATCTTAAAGTCTATCAAAGGAACTATTAAACATATCCTCTCAACATACTCTACCAGATTTAAGTAGCTCTTGAAAATAAATTTCTATAAATTCTCGTTTTCTTTTTCTAACTGTAGTGTTTCTTTATTGTACTCGCTAAACACTTCAACATTAATTGTAGATGTCTTTTTAATTAACAATTATACAAATTAAAAGAATAAATTAAATCAATTATTTAATAACAAATAAATAAGTTTTTTCAATAAATTGAATTCTTAAAAAATTAATTTTAAGAAATAATTTACAATTTCTTTGTTTGTTTTATTATCAATTTTGGAAATAAATCCTGAATCCATAGCAATTTTTTAATTAAGAAATTCATCAACTATTTCTTGTTTTGTCTGTATTTGTGGCTTTGGTTGTACCTCATTTAAATAATTTGCTTAACCTTCAAAAATAATTTTCATATCAGGATATTTAGTTTAATTTTATTAATTTATTTAATTCTCCTAATTTTAATTCTCAACAAAAAAATTTTGTTCCTTGATTAATTTGATTTCATTTTCTAATTCTTAAAGCTCTAAAGTAAGAAGCTTTTTTTGTTGAATAAATTCCTCACATTAACTTTTTTGAAGTAAATTTTTGAGAGAAAGTTGTTAATAAAACTCCATAATTTATTCCATGACTGGCTCTATGTTTTCATTATGATCAAAATAATACTGATGTATTTTTTCTAAAACTTCTTTTCTGTCGAAGTTAGGTGGCTCAACTTCATAGTCATCTAAATAATTTGCTGTCACGTTTTCCAATATCTTAAGTTGTTTTCTTTTAGACTTTTTACTAAGTCTAATTGGGGTTGATACTAAAGGACTCATAATAGAAGAATTTTGTGCACTCCTTATTATTTTTGACTATCCTAAGGTATTATGTTTGTTAAAATCTGCTAGATCTTTTTTGCTAGAATTTTAATTCTGTAAATTCCCAGATGGACTTTATATGTTAATCTGAGTCCCAAAAACAGTAGAAACACAATTTACACTTCCTTCGTTTAAATGCCCATTTTCATGATTTTTATTTGCCATTTATGAAGGAGTTTCAATACTGTTATGCTCAATCTCAATGTAGTTTTGAATAATATTATCTGTTTATCCCTTCAAAAATATCCTATTTAATAGTTTAAGAACATTTATAAATAATTCTAACACCAAGAAGAAATTTGCTTACTTTTCTATTTCTTCAAAAGACCATAAATAAAGACCAACAAAGTAGGATTCCTTTTCTCTCTTTTCATATTTTTATTTTTCTAAATCCAACTAAGCTATCTCTTTTTCCAATTGTATTATTTAGCTTTTGCTCTCCTAAGATATTTAAACAAATTAAATTAATATTTTCATCAAATAAATAGAAGGCTTATTTAACCTAATAAATAAACATTTTCAATTTCAAAATAAAATGTATTTATTAATCTTCTCTACCTCTATTTTTATTTGAACATTCGACAAGAAATACTCTTCTTGCTCGTTTTCTGCCTTGAGCTGCTAGCTAATCCCAATTTTTTTATCTTTATATTGCTTATACAATTTGCCAACGTTTTAAATTTATTCCTTTGCTTACTCTACATTTTAATTAACAACCCTCTTTTTATAAGAATAATTTTTATAGATTTAGTACAATAATCATTTTCAAAATACTTTATTATCATTAGCTTGAAGTTCTATCTAAAAGATATCTTTGTACTTCTAATCTGCCAAATCATTCATCCTCTTTAATTGATTTACCTTTCTTCTATAATCTTCCTGATTTGATGAAAAAATTCAATATATAATTTAAAAAATCTTTTATAATTTACAATAGAATGCAACAAATTATTTTTCATAGTAATTATTTAATCATGTCTTTCATTTTCATTAAAAATATTTTATTCACTCTCACTTATAAGCTAATCAATATCTTCGATATGATTCTTTATCGTACTTTGATCATAAACTGACTTAGCAGGCATAAATTAGGTGCTTTTAGAGCGATAATAGCTCTTAGAAAACCCGTTTTTAGAAAAGTTAAAAGATTTCTTAAAGTTTCTTTCATCCATTTGGCTTTGCTATTCTTAGCGAGACATTAAAGAGTTTCTAGTAGCGAAGAATCCATTAGTTGCTTACATATTTTAGCTGTTTAGATTGTTTTGAAATTAAGAGTTTGATGTTAACTTGTAAGTTGATTCCATTGATGTACTTCTATTCAAGGCATTGTTATTTCTTTCCTAAATTAGAAGCTTATCTAAGCTAAGCCTTTTTTGCTCATTAATAGTTTTTAGTTTGTCTAATTCTTTTTTGAACTATTTTTGATTAAAATAAAATGAATTTGAAACCAAATGTAATATATAAATAAATAAATCATTAGTAAGCAAATAGGATTTGTAAAAATAAATTTTATAGGAGCAATTACATCATTATCTTAAATCTATATTTTAGGATCTAAATCAAGATTGCTATTGGATGAAATATCTGTTTTTTTGTACGTCTCAAATTCCTTTCTCAACTAAATTCTTTTTTCATTGATTTGTTAATCGTAAGCCTATTGTCTCTTCCTAATTTCCTCTTCTTCTTTCTTTTAGCGCTCTTTTTCAGTTATATTAAAGTTGACTCTGCTTTTCATAGGTCTAAATCTTATTGCACTTTTCCAACAATATTCTGAAATGTGATTTTAATAGAATTAAGTTGCGTATTTCTATTGTATTATAAAGTAGGTAGTGCAAATAATAATATTTATTGTTGGTCAAAATCAATCTAACTAAATACAAACAAACAAACAAGTATTGAATAATTAATTAATTCTATTGAATATATCAAATTTAATCTTTTAACTTCCAATATTCAATATTGATTGTAGTATCTATCTAACTTTTATTATTAAATTTACAACTAATTTTTCAAAAAAAGCTAAATAGCTTTTATGGTCAGAGTTTTTTTACTAATTTTTTTTTTTTCAAGTTAATTAAAATTATTTGCTTGAAAAAAATTTATTCCTACTACAAAAAAAAAAAACAACCCAAAATGTAATTTTTAAATAAACATAATTATTATTAATTCTTTTAAACTATAATTTAATTTAAAAGTAAAAAAACTTTAATTGAGAAAGAGTAACATCGAGTAGTTAAGCGAACATTTTTTAAATATTCTATATTCAATCTCAAATAAAATATATTAATAAATTAAGTGTGTTAATAAATTTCGTTTCTTATTTAAAAATTAAATTTAGTCTAAAATATTTTCTTTTCAAATTATCTATCAAAAAGATAAAAAAATAAATAAAAAATGAATGAATGAATGAATGAATGAATTATTGCTAAAATGAAAAATAATTTTGTGGAAATTCTAAAACTTTTTTCAAGCAATAATAAATATCCTGTTTATTATTTTGTCAAGATATGTTTTATTTGTTAACGAAAGTTCTTCAAATATTTGGACAAATTTATTGGTCGGGGATCTAGCTCAAATGGTAGAGCGCTCGTTTAGCATACGAGAGGCACTGGGATCAATGCCCAGGTTCTCCAATCTTTTTTATTTTTTAATTAATAAATATTTAGTTTTAAAAATAATATAAGAAAAAAATAGCGAAAAATATTGTTCGGGGATCTAGCTCAAATGGTAGAGCGCTCGTTTAGCATACGAGAGGCACTGGGATCAATGCCCAGGTTCTCCAATTTTTTATTTTTATAAAAAAAATAAAAAAATGTTTAGATTAAACAATAATAGATATAACTTTGATCTCAATATATTGTAAGGGGATCTAGCTCAAATGGTAGAGCGCTCGTTTAGCATACGAGAGGCACTGGGATCAATGCCCAGGTTCTCCAATTTTTTATAAAAATAAATACTTTTTTCTTAATAATTTAAAATCAAATAAGAAAAAAAAGAAGCAAAAAGATTTTGGTGAACTTAAAATTATAAAAATACAAAAGATATATACACAAATTATTAAATCTACAAATAAGATTTTTAATTATATGATTGATGAATGGTATTTAAGCTGTTTCTAATTTTTTTAATTCAACTTAATGTGATTCTAAAAAATAACTCGAATAAAATGCATGTGTAAATAGGGATAGTCAAGTTGTCATCAAAGTAGTATTTACGAGAGTTAGGGCCTATTTCAGCCAAAATAGAAATTAAAAAGCAAGCTATAGAATAATGTAGATAGCTAGTATTGTCTAATCTTTGGTAATGCAAGTAGTCTAAATAAACTAATCTGAAAATAACTCCACAAATAGTGCAAATAATACCACACCCTAAAGTACCTGAGATACTCTTTCCTTCCATAAATTGCAAGGACTTAAAATAAATCCCGCATAAACTAGCAAATGGATCACCAAAACTTAAGAAAAGAATACCGATCAATGCAATAGGCTTGTCAAAGATAGCAAGACTTAAAAATACACCTAATAAAAAGAAAAATGCTCCAGGGAGACCCTCAATTTCGTGAGGTCTTAGCAAAAACTTAAAAGTGTTTAAATACATTTAATTAAATCTTTCATTTTTCTTCCTAAGAATGTGAACACACAAGAAATACAAAAAACCACAAAGTGAGCCATACAAAGCGAGTGTATCAGAAACAAGAATTGCTATAATAAGAATGACCAATCCAGAACCTAAATGCTAAATTCTCCTAATTAAGTGGAACTCATTCGAGTTTTAAACATCATCATTCCTTTTTATAAACTTCAAGCTGTAGTTAAAGCCTACAACAAGAGCAATCATGCCCAAAATTTCAAGAATCATTTTCTAAAAAACTAACTAACTAACTAGCTAACTATTAACTTATTTATTTGATATTATTAGTTTAATAATATTAATCTAAAAAATTAAAATTAATTAGTAAATATATTTAAATTTCTCAATTTAATATGATACTTACATGGTAAAGAAAATAATTAATATGAATGTAACATTTGTAATATTCTAAACTAATATTGAACCTTTATTTTGAATTTTATAAAATTTATATCAGTATTATTCATACAATTTACCATCTATACTAAATTTAAATACCAAAAGGCTAAATAAACAAATTAATAATATAATTCTAACATTTACATGTTCAAATTTATACCCATTTCTTCTATATTTTTATATAAGTATCATAAAGTTTGTAGCATAAAGCTTAACAAATATAAAGTTTCTATAATTATTTTTATAATCAAAATAAATAATAAATTATAAAAATTGTATGTTTTTTAAAAGAATTCAATTTATCAAATCATCAAAAATAAATAAATGTGTAGATAAAAACTCTATAAATTTATTATTTATAAATCATACAATGAGTTATAATAAAAATATTTAAAATTTTCAAAAAATTTATCTTATTTTTCTTACTATTTTATCACAAAAAACAATAATATTATTAATTTCAAATTTAATTATTCTGTAATAACTTTATAATTATTTAAAGATCTAAATTAAATTTTAAATTCATAAATTTTGCAAATAAGCATAATTGAAATCTTTTAAATTTTATCAAGGAATAATCAAAATAGATACTCATTACAAATTAAATCTTCTAATATTAAATCTTCTAATAAATGTATTGAAATAGAAATAAATAATAAATAGAAATTAAAGCTCATTAACATATAATTAATTTATTTTTGTTTAAAATATTCAAATAAATTTTATTTAATAGTAAATAGATATTTTAAACATGAAAACAAAAACAAAAAATTAACATTGTTTTAATCAATTTTAGATAATGAAAAAATAATAAACTTGATAAAAATATTAATAAATTAATTAATTGATTAACGAAAATTAAAAAAAAAAATTAAATCTTTCGAATTATAAATTTACAAAAAAAAAAAAGCGTAATATTAGCTTAAATTTCTTTTCTTAAATTTAATTTGGTTTTTTATTATTATTTGTTTTTGTTTCTTTGTCTATTTTTTATTTTATTTTTATTTATTTTTGTTTTGTATTTTAATCTCTATCTTTTATTTTACTTTTTGTTTGTTTGTTTGTTTATTTATTTATTTTCTTGCTTGATTAATTTATTATTTATTTATTTATTCTTTTTAATTATTATCTCTCATTCTTTTTGTTTCTTTTTAATTTTTCTTTTTCTTTTTTTTCTCACTTTTTTAAAATTAAAAATGTGCATCATCATATTAGCTCTCAATCTCTGTCTGAATATCTAATTCAAAAAATATTTTTTATATATTTGGGAAGAAGCCTAATTAACAGGTCTCTCACTGTGGGAGTGGAATTTCAAAGCAGTGCATTCGCTATGAGTCCACCTCCTCAGGATAAGTTTGCTAATTAGGTATAGAGAATGGGGGTTTTAAAGAGCTCAAAATGAATTATTCAAACTCGGTATTTTGATTATAATTTCATCTTGAACCCTCCTTCAGATTTTTTTTTTATTTCGGCAAACAGCATACTCTGTTAGGCAAAAGCTCTCCACTCCATAATAAATATCTTATAAACGAATAAATTTATCACCCATTTGAAGCCTCATGACATTATTCTTCAATGATAAATTTTAAAAATTCATTTAAGATAGCGAAATCAAAAACTTTTTCCTACGACTGTTTAAAAACTTCAAAGATTGTTGTATGGAGTGGTACTTTCACCCAAAGAATAGAGGTTATTTGATCTGAAGCCCGAAAGGATCGTTACTTTTCATTTTTTAGATCCACTCAGTAGTTTGCTTTATTTTTTATTTATTTAAAAAGTTTTTTTAATTATTAAATTGGAGAAAATAAAAAATTTTCTTCTTCGTTTAATTAATTTCCCTTTTTTCCTTTGGAAATTTAAATTTACAAATCAAAAAAAAAATTAAAATTTAAATTTTTCCACTAACTTTGAATTAAAATCGTATATAGTAAGTTCAATAATTTGAATTAATCCACAAGTAGGGAATCAAAAAATTTGCTTTTCATTTTACAATAGACTCTAAATAAAAGCATATGAATAAATAAATAAATAAATGAATTTGTTTGGAAAAAAAAAAATTAAAAAGAAAACAGTTATTTGAGAAAAGATTGAATTGTTTTTTAGTTCTATATAAGTGCTTGATGATGCATATGGATGGATGAATAGAACAGAAAAAAACAGAAATTACATCTATTTTAAATATTAATAGTTATTCTACTTATTTATGGTGATTATTATGATAATAATAATAATTAAGTTTGTTAATAATTATATGATAAATGATAATATATGTATTTATATATATGTATGTATATAGATAGATAGATAATTTTAGTTTTAATCAATCATTATAATTTAGACTTGAGACTAATCTTCTTAACAGACAGACAAACAGCAATCATTCATTAATTCATTCATTCATTCTTTGTAGTAGCCTCTAATTTTATTAAAATTAACTATTGAAGGATATTCAATACAGCACATTAAGATGCATGCATACCTGCACTCCCTTTTTGTAATGAGTTTATTTAGAAAATTTGATTTTAAAAAAATCAATTATCTATTTATATTACTAAAAGAGCTAGCTAGTATGCCAATTTTGAGCTATGCTAAAGAAAGTATAACTAACTAATCTTAATTGTGAAACTAACTAAATATTTGTAATTGATTGATTTATTGTATTAAAAGCGTTTTTTTTTTTTGTAATACTCTCTTTTAATTGCTATTGCCTACACATATTTTTATTCAGAGGATATTTAAATTACAAGCTAGCTAGTTAGTTAAGTAACTGGCTGAAGGAAGAGTGATCTTCTTTTTTAAAAAAGAAAATAATATTTGTGTTTTTGTTTGTGTTAGTTAAATGTTTGTTTTGTTTAAGTGTTTATATTTAGTTAGCTCATAGCTTAATAGGTTCAGCGTTGTAAAAAAGTAAGTAACGAAGTAAATAAGTAAGTAAGCAATCAATCTAGCAAAAGAGCAAATACGTAATTATTAAAGAGATAAATTGATAAACGAATGGGCTAAGTAGAATAAAGATATATAGAAAAGTAAGTTAAAAGGTTGATTTTAAATAGGATGGAAGAGTCTCATAGGTATAAAGGAGATAGATAGATAGATATGTTAAATTAAGTACATCACTTTTTATATTATAAACCTACGAGTTATTCACCTTATTTACATAGGATAAAATGAAAGATTTTCAAATACGCTTAAGCCACTTCTTCTTTTCATTTTGCTGCTTCCCATTGTTGGTATTTGTATTTATATTGGTCGAAACGAATGATTGCTATCCTACGGCATAATTGTTGAAAGTCAAATTGAGAAGCACATTATTTTTATTAAATTATTGAGGAGGTTGCTTCTATTATTAGCTTGTACCTTATGTTGCAGAGGATTATACTGTATTAGAGTAGTACCCATTATTTTTACTGAGAGCGCACAAAGGCTCTTCCTAAATAAGACTTCCATTTAACAATCCAGGATTTGATAAATTATTTTAGTTTCCAAAGCTAGAATTTGTTTAATATTATAAATTTTCCTAATTTTGATTCTTTTAGAAGCTGCTTCCATTCAAAAATTGGCTATTATTCATAATCTATGGCTTATTGCTATCTTTATATGGAGAATTTATTGAAATATTAGTTATTACTGCATTTGAAAAGTTTGCTTATGTCAAATTAAACTAAGAGCCATTATATACGATACCTTATTGCTATCCATTTTATAGATTTTATTGAATAGGTAAAGTTTAATTACCACTAAGCAGAATGCCATTGCTGGGATTACCAACATTGTTATTATTATTGCTGTTTATTTTTATCTATGAACCTAGTTACATCTATTGGGATTGTGGCTAGGAATTTTATAAAGTTGCAGTTTAGCTGTTCTATGTATTAGCAGGGAGTGTCTAAGCAGTAGTTTTATCTAATTTTATAGAAATAACTGTAGGGATTTCCTCCTCAACTTTCTTACTTGCCTATATATAAGAATAATTAATTTAAAAATTGATAAAAATACTATGTTGATCATATTTCAAAAAAACAAAGATCTTTCTTTATCTTAAGCATTTCATCCAAAAAATTTTTAATTTTATGAAATGTTTGATTAAAAATTAAAGTTTTTTTTTTTAAGGTTTAGAGGATTTAATTTTTGTTTTACTCTAACGAATGATTCATTTATTGTTTGATTGATTGTTTTAATTATTTATTTATTAATTAATGAATTCAATTTTAAATACGGTTCCTTAGAATTAATCAAATTTTAAACCTAAACACTCTCTTAAATTCAAAATAATATTGTTTTATATATTTATATTTATTTGCTTATTTGTTTGTTTGTTTGCTTGCTTGATTATTTATTTGCTTGCCTTTTATGAAGATTTAAAAAAGGTATTTACTTCTTCTTTTTCAACTTCCATTTTATTTGTTACTTTTGGTTTGGCGTGTACTTCGGTCATTAATTTTGCATACTTAAAATAAGAATCATAGTCTTCCATGAAGAGTTTTCCTGCTTCTTCATTCAGTGCACTTTCTGGGAACGGAATGATCAGTAAACATTTGATAACCTATATTGATATAATATTAAGAATGTTATAATATTCATGCTGATATGATCAAGTGCTTAAGATCACAAAGTTTGTTTTAAAAGGATACTAATAATGATACTTATAGAATAAATTTATTGCTAATCGAATTATTTATTATTTATCCCTTTTAACTATGCAATAATAATTTTTCTACATGAAGAATAAAAAAATAAAAAATAATGGGCTCACCTCGAAAATATTGTAAAATGACCAACTTTAATGATTCCAATCTTTTTTTAAGGTGTTAACGCAAATCTCACCCTTCTCAGAAACGTTAGGGTGGAAGATCTTAGTAATAAAATAACCTAATATTTTAAAAATTTATATGATTTTTTAAATTTTTTTATGAATTTTTTTTCATTTGGCTCAGCTAGCTTTTTGTAATTAATTAGCTTATTTCTTTTGAAGAAATAATACAAAATCAACCTCAGAAGTCAGTCTCAAAAAGCTAACACAGAAGAATGAAATAAAAAAACAAACTCAATTAATTAATCCTACCTTTGGGTGGACTCTTAGGAAAGTCTTAAGGAAGTACTAATTTACATCTAAACAATCCTCCTTCGTATGGCGTTTTAACTATTAAATACAAGAATAACTCTAAATATGACAGTTTTTCTTTAAATTTTGCTTTTTTATTGCTTGCAAACTATATTATTTTATGATTATTTTCTCATAAAACTAACTAAACTCTAGCAGTTAAAAATTAAGTAAATAAATGTCTGCATGATCGATCTATAAAATAAACGAGATATTTACCTGGACCTTCAACATCGGCTTGAATATCAAAAATATCTGCATCATTAATCACTATCTTAACACCTTATATTTTTATAACATAATAATTCAACTCGCTTTTTCTAAAAATCTTCCTTTTTAAAAGCAAATTTTATGTTTGTTTTTGATGAATTATATCTCAATAATTAGCTAATTTATTACCATCAGGAGCTTTAGTCTTTAATTAATTTAATTGCCTAGTGACTGCTATTGTAACTCTGGGATTGCTTGGCCCTTCTGAATTCTATAAAAATAAAAAGAGATTGTTAAGTCTTGTTGTGGTATGGTAAGATAAGTATTAAGTAAGTAAGTACCATTGTTTTTCTGCTTTCTCTCTTACTTTTATTTATTTGTTGTTTTGCTTATGTTATTCTTTGATATTATAAATAGTAAAGAAATTTTTTGTATTAATACTATATATATTTTGTTTAATTCTTTTGATTTTGATTGGCTTTATAAGCAGAGTTAACAATTAACCTTTATCTTCTTATTATAATTATAATTATTAATTTTTTTTCTTATTATTTTGCTTGAATCACTTACTTGATTCTTTTTTTCTTTTTTCCTTTTATCAGCAGCAGTTTGCTGTTATTGATATTCCTTAATTATTAAAAATTTTTCTTCTTAAACGCTTATTGATTCTATTTAGGAAAGTGATTAAAACTTATTTAATCAAATTATAAGCAGATTAATATTCTGAAATCAAATATGTTGCTACTTATATAGATAAATAGATGAATAAATAAATAGGTCAGCCAAATAATTTATTTAATAGTTAGAATGATAAATAAATAAATACTGTATTCCTTACAAATGGAATTTAAAAATATTGAAATTTATTGGTTTTGTTTAATAAATAAAACCTATTAATTTGTAAATTTTATGACACTGTATATTGAATATTTTAAGATTCACTCTATATAATCTACATTCAAATATAAGATTCAAAGACTTTTACTTAAACAATTGATTAAGATTTGACGAAATAATTATCTTAATAAAAATATTTGCCTTAAATTAATTAAATTCATAGCATATCCTTGCTAATCACTCTAGAATTTATTTTTATTATTTTGAAATAGAAAACCACAGGATAAAATCTAGTTATCAAATAAAAATTAATATCATAGATTATTATTAGTTATTGAATAATAGCAATTCTACTTTTTAAATATTGATCATTATTAGCATTAAAATTAAAATTTAATTAATTTTAAAATATGATTTGTTGCTTAATTTATCTTCAAACATTATATATATTAATTTTTTAGCTTGTTTTTACCGTTTATTTTTTGTATTTCTGATAAATAATTTTGCAATTAATTAAATTAAAAAATAAATAAGATTCAGTAAAAGTTGTAATCAATTTATCTTTTATATAGAAACTTGCTTATAATATTTAAAAATAATTTATTATTTTCGTTTTTTACTGAAGTATTGTTGCTAGATTTTTGCAATGCTAATTTATTTAAGAATTTACAATTCATAGCAAAATAGTAGTATTTTTTCACTGAATTATTTAAGAATAATAAAAATATTAAGAAAATATTAAGATATATCAGAGTTATTTGTTAATTTATTTACCTCTATATCTATCTATTTATAAATATATATATCAATTTTTTTATTGTTTAACTTAAATATTAAATAATTTATTAATTTATTTATTATCTTTTATTTGATTAAGATTATTTACTTTCAAAATCAGTAAAACCATTATAAGTTATATAGATTTCTAATATAAATAAGATTTTAGGTAAGTAATAAGATTCAATAGGCAAAGCTGCTATGAGTCTACATAACTCTAAACAATACGTAAGGAATTTTTATAAATATTCATTAAATAATTGTATTCATTTTATTTTAACTTACTATTTTATAGATTTCCAGTAAAAGCCCTTTCAAAGGCCCATTTCCAGTATGATTTATTAATGATGTTGAAGATAAATTAAAGACTTTGCTAAAAAATTATTAAAATAGCTTTCTTAGTTCCTTGAAGAAAGACATTAAGATATATAAGGAAACCATTTAGTGTTTTAAAATCACAATATCGATGAAATTGATGAGCTCTACATGGATATGTCAAAAATAAGATCTATTGATCTCTCATCAAACAGACTCAAATCTCTAAAAGGGATTCAACAATTTTAAGATTTAAGAAACTTAAATATTTCAAATAACTAAGTACATTTTACAAAAGAAAACCAATAGCTATTGATTGATTCATTTATATTTATTTTATTATAGATTTCAGATGTAAGCGAACTTTTCTATCTTAAAGAGTTGCAGAATTTATAGATCCTAAATTTGAATAACAATCCAGTTGTTTAATAATAAAACTACAAACTCACTTTAATGACTATTCTACCTAAATTATAGGTTTTAGATAGTAAAGTAAATATTTAAATTTAGAGATATAATTTAACATTTTATATTAGATACAATTAATTAATTGTGATTTTTTATTTTTATAAAAAGAAATTATCTTAGACAGATGTAGAAGAAAATACAAGATAAGTCAAGTTTATGAACAACTAACTGAATTTACTTTATGAGAATTATTTGAAAATAGTGGAATTACAATCTGTAAGCAAAGTTTTTTAGATAAAAATAGAAAATATTTTAAAAATTAATTATAAGTTTTATATTAAAAAGATATTATTAAATCTTAAATAAATTTAATAAAATTTCAAAAGATAATTTAAAGATTGCTGACACATAAAGAATATATATTCACCTTTGAACCTAATGTTATGAATCCACCATTTAATTTGTAGAAATTTAGGAAAATTTTTAGCTATGGAGATACTATAGATGAAAAAGCTTAATAAGAAATCAAAACAAATTTATTAGCTGACGTTTAAACAATTTAAAATGAAATATTGAAAACGTAGGACTTTATTTTTTTTAAAACTCTTGTTTTTTAAATAAATTATTTAGTTAAAAAATAGAAGAAGCATTTGCAGAAATGGAAAGGAGATAGATTGATAAAATCTAGTAATTAGAGAATACTGTGCTATAAAAAGTTAAAGAGTACAAATACAACTGTCTCGATATTGAGATTTTCCATAAGCTGAATAAAAATAATACCAAAATACAGAACTTAAAAGTAAATTAAAATTAATATTTTATTTACCAAAACTAACACTCTAAAGAAGCTATTGATATTTGCTAGATTAAAAGCTGTTTAAAATAGATTTTAGAATATTTAGGATTTTATTCAATATCTTATTAATTTTAGAAAAGAATTATAAAATTAATATTTAATTATTTACCAAAATTAACACTCTAAAGTTTATTCAATATCTTATTAATTTTAGAAAAAAAGGATTTTATTCAATATTTTTTTAACTTTAGAAAAGAATTATAAAAATAATTATTTAATATAGAAATTTATAAACTTTACAAGATAAGAGTAGAAATAAGAAGTAGTTGTAGTAGGTAATAAAGGGAAAATATAAAGAAATAGAAAAGATCAATAAAATATTTATGTTGAAGATAGCTAAAGTAGTTAGTCTTAATAGAATAAAAACGAATAAGGTTAAATTTAATAAGATTTTTAAACAGATGAAAGCTTAAGAGGATCTTTTTAAAATTAAACTTTTACTGAAAGAGACCTGAAAAGATTAGCGAACATAAATAGTAAATGGATTTAAGTTGGCTGTGTTTAAGTTTTTTTTAATTGAATAGGGGATAAATCTGATTCAAATATGAGTGAAATGAATGTCAGAAATATGTCAGAGGAGGAAAAAGAACTTCTTATAGAGAAATTAGCTGGTTCTTTGAAAAAATATATAGGAAAATCAAAAGAATTTGAGAAATAGTATGAAAAGGCTTTACTGCAATCTTCTAATGATCAAGAAATGCTCAGAAAAAAAGAAGAAGAGTTAAATTGTATTATGGAATTACAACAATAAATCAAGCAAAAACTTGAAGATTACGGAGTGCAAAATATAGATGAGTGCTTTTAAACTCTTTAAACATAGTTGGAATAAATCAAAGAACTCAGATAACTACTTGAATAGCAATAAATTGAAGAGGAAAACACACTAAAAGCAGATTACTTTTCTAATCAAAGATTAATGCAAAGATCTTTAGGATAATTGTATTTCTAAACAAAAAAAAATAAAATGGTGAAAACTGTTGTTGAAAAGAGCAATAAATACAGAAATCTAAAAATTCTAAAATTATATCTCAGTCATTGGAAATAATACCATGTTTTTTCAAAAATAAGAAAAACAAAATAAGAAGACTTGCTTTAGAGAGTTTATGTTGGCTGTTTTTTTGCTTTAAAGTTTAATGTAAATAGGAAAAAAGCATTAAAATAATTCTAAGAAAAATTCGAAAAAGGATTAGCAGTAATTTAGTTTCGTTTAAGAGTATTTGTTTATAATCAATAATATATTTTTATATTAATAGGAAAAAGCATTTAGGAGTTTGTTTATATTTTTAGTTTCTAAAAAAAGAGAGAAGCAGGATGAAATTGCTGCAGATGAGAAATACTCTTTTCTACTTTTGAAGAAAGGTTTCCAATCACTCTTTTATAATCATCTGCAACATTCAAATAGGAGAGATCCATTATATGAATAAAAAATGTAAATTGCAGAGGACTCTAACATTAAATAAATTTAAATCAAAGTTCTTTCTCGTTTTCGAGATGCATGTGAAAATTAAAAGTACAATAAAAAGAAAGTTATAGCCATGACTTAAAGAATACAATGGGCAATGCTTAAGTATAATTTTAGAGAGTTTAAGCTTGAAGATATCAGAATGAAGAAATTAACTAGCAGAGCAGACAAGTTTTTAGGAAGAAGAGTAAAATTAATATTTCATCAAAATTCTTTTAATCAAATATTTAATTAATTAGTAAAAGTATTGGCTTAGGGAAGCATTTAATGCATGGAAAGTTGATTTTCATAATTATTTATATGAAAAATAATAAGTAAACATGCAAATCTCAAAGTTTTAATTGTAAAGTGTTTTTAATACATTTAAGAGAGGATATAAAATGTCTTGTCAGCAAACTGCAAACATATAAAATTATTAGAGAAGAAAAGACTTGCTCTTATACAGCCAATATTTTGCAATAATTAAAAAGTTTTCTAAATAATAAATCAAAGTAAAGCAATTTGCTAAAAATTACAATACCAAAAAACAGCAATAATCTTTAAAATAATCGCTTTAATGCATGAAAATACATACTTAACTGGTAAAAGAGAAAAAAATACTTGACAAAAAAGTTAAAAAAATAATATTCACAAAAGTTATACAAAATTTAAGGTAAGTTTAAAATACCAAAGTCCTTTAAAAGTAAAAATTGAAAAATGTCTTCAAGATCTAAAATTCTTAAAAGATATTCTTAATTAAATAAGCCTTAAAAAAATGGAACAAAGAAGCTAATAGAGACAGAAAGCTTGAAAGTGCTTTGAAATTCTATTAAAAAAATGTAATTTTTTTTATTTATTTTGAATAGCTTTTTAACTTTATTTAAAATAATAAAAGCAATATTAAAAACAAGGCTACTAATTTATATCTAATTTATTACAAAATGGGAATAAACTGAAAAAGTAGCTGAACAATCAGCTTGATGAAAAAAACATTCAACTAATGAGGGAGAATTAATACCTAAATGAATAATTAATAGAATAACAAAAGCAAATCTATTTAATTAATGAGGAATATTAATAGCAGGTAGTTAAATCAGAATAACTTGCAAAATATAACCTAGAGAAAGATGTTTTAATTTAGCAATTAATCAAGTAAAATAATGATCTCAAAGAGATTAACATCCAACTGACAGAAGTTGCTGAGAAAAGAGAAGAAAACAATTAGAATTTGGAGAGCAACTTAAACATCATCTAAGACGAATACGAGTAGCAGATTAGAAACTTAAAGAATGTCTAAATCTAATTCGATAAAGAAAGAGATCTGCTAAATAGCAATATCTAAAATTTAAATATTGAGCTCAATGCAAAAATAGAAGAAATAAGTGAGTTTAAAAGCATAACAGCAGCAAAGAATGAAGATTTTTACTAAGAAATAACCCAACTAAAGAACAAAATTTTAGCTTAAGATAAAATAATTGCAGAATACGAAGAGATGACAAAAAGCTTGTCAAATACAGTAATTAATATTTATTTATAGGAAATAATTTAGTGAAAATATTTTATTAAGAACAAAGAAGTAGAGAGCTTAAACATTCATCTGAATGTAAGGGTAGAGTCTTTGCAAGAAAGAATTTCAAATTTGCAAAAAGAATCAGCTATGCAAGTTTCTTCACTTGAGAAGTAGTTAGAATTTGCTAACAGAGAGAGATCAAACTTGATTGCACAAAACACTTCTCTGATGAATTAAAATAAAACTTTTTAAGCAGAATTAAATCAGCTAAATCAAAACCTAAAAAAAGAGGAGTTTAAAGTCTCTCTTCTCAGAGAGTAAGATTATGACAAAACTTCGTAATTTATACAGTTGGCCAAAAATATTAATTCACCTAGCAGTAATTTTTATAAATCTATATTTATCAATTAATAAATTTTAATAAAAAAGGAAAACAAGCATCGTCTCCATTAAGATTTACTGGAAGACTAAAAACTCTTCCTGAAGATTCTTTGATAGATGAAAGAGTTCTCAATACATCTCATTCAAGAATAAACACATTAATACAATAAAAAACAGACAGAAATTTATTCACTTAACCAATTACTTAGGAAAATGGAATTTAAAATCCAAATAACAATTCTATATCATAATTTTTCTCCCATAAGGTTCCCCAAATGAATCAAACTTAACATAATTCTATAAAAAAAGAAGTCTCTCCTTTGAGGGAATATCTAACTGACATGAAATTCAGGGCCTCAGTGTTTATAAAAACAATTGACATGGATGAAAAAAGTAAAAAAATAAATATATTTTTATAATAAATTGAAGTTAACTTGAAAAATGATTAATAGATAAAAAAAGCATAAGAAACTCACCATAAAAAGGCTGTATTTCCCCTTAAAAGACCTCATCACCACAGCTATATAAAAGCCAAAGAAATTTATAGTACAATTTCATAATTCAAATAAAACAAGTTTATTTAATTATATATAATATATTGAATAAAGGAATCAATCACAAACAAGTGTGATAAAAGATGAAATTCAAAGAAGATTGAACAATTTAGACTATAAATTTAATGAGGATATCAAAAAATTTTAATCTTAGCAATAGCAGTGAGAGATAAAATTGAATTATTTTAATAAATAAACTCTAAATTTTATATTTAATTTTACTCAATTAATTAATTAATTAATTAATTGATATAGTAATAATATTTTATATAGATTGTTTTAATTAATCTATTCATTCATTTAGCTTATTTTTTATATTAATCTATCTTTCTTTCTTACATTTTTTCCATAAAAAAATATTTAAAAATTTCACTAAATTCTTTCTCTTAATATTTTACAATTTATTTGAAATAAAATGCATTCATTGATTATATTTTTCTTAATTCATAGATAAAAAATTCAAAAAATATAAAAAAATATCTAAACTCAACTTACTTTTCATGATTAATTTAAAAATAAATGAGTTGCCTTTAGAATACTTAAAATTTTTTGATAAATTAGTTTGATTGAATAAACAAAATGTAGTTTTATATGTAATATTTAATCAAACACTATGAAAATATTATTATCAATATATAATAAACGATTATTTTACTAGTAATTTAATTAAAAAAAACACAACATAATCTATTTATTTTGTGTATTTTTTATATGACATAATTTGTTTTATTTAGTGACATAATGATGAAATATTAAGAATTTTGAGTTTAGTTTAATTTTAATAATTCAAAAGATAAATAAATAAATAATCATTAATATAAATAAGCGCAAAAGAAAATGTAAACTTAATAAATGAATTTTTTTAAAGCTGGAAACTACAAGATGTTTGGGAGTTTAGAACACAACAAGAAAAATGAGTGCTAGGAAATAATAAATAACTAATTGCTAGATTACATATTCTTTTCCGATTCAATGATTGCAGAAAATTGCTGTATAAAAAAAAATAAAATAAATAGATTTATATCAGAAATACACTCAATTTAAAATGATTAATATGAATAAATACATAATTTTTATAGAGCGGATAATGGCTATTTATTGATATTAAATAAGAATACGCATAGAAATTTACATAATTATTTGGAGTAAAATAAGTTTCCTGCAAATAAGGTATGTTTTGCAAAAATAATAGTGTCAATACTTTAAGGGCTGATTAATATTCATTAAAAATCGATTATTTATACATGGTAATTTTTATTTAAACATATTTCTAAGTATTCCAATTATTTAAATAATATTAAAAATTAGTATTTCGCCATACAACTTAAAATTAGATGCTAAAGATAAAGTAATTTTTAAAGAAAATACCTATGAAAGAATATTTTAAGATTATACTTCAAATGAGTAGTAGAAGCTATTTTTAGCTCCAGAAATTTTAGAAAGAAAATAATACGGATTTTAAGCAGATCTTTATAGGTAAAAATGAAAAAAAAAAATAATTTTTAATGTTAATTATCATTTTTATAAATAATTAAATAGCTTTGGGGTTTTGCTTTTTTATATGATATACAACAGACACCCTTTTTATTTTTCTTAAAATCTATAAAAAATTAATAAATAAGAGTTAATTGATAATATTAAATAACAGAAAATAAACTTTGATTAAAATATTGTAGTTCCTATATGTTTAATTGATTTTATCAAAAGACTCTTGCATTATGATCCATAAAAAAGAATGAGCTGGTATTAAGTTTATAGACATCCTTTCTTAAGACATTATATAGAATAGTTAAATGATTCATAATTTTCAAGCTCATACAATATCTAAGAAGAAGAAAATTTAAGAAATTAAAAAGATAAATTACTAACTTAATAAAATTTATATTAAAAAGAAATATTTTAAGAAAATAAAATTCCAAATATAGAATTATATTAATAAAATCTATAAACCATTTCTCTTGAAAACAATAAAAAGCAATAAAATATTATTTAATAGAAGAGAAATGAATAATAACCTAAATAATAAGCAGATATTGCATAAAAAAATTTAGATGCTATCTTTGATGTAATTTAATTTTATTTTATTCATATTATTATTAAAGTATTTTATTAAAATAATAGAAAGCAGAATTTTTAAGCAAGTTTACTAAAAGCGTGAAGGAGCTCTAAAAAAAAATCTAAATAGACAGTACTTTTATAGTTTAGTACAGTTTAATATGGTAGGCAATTCATATTTTAAATTAGATTTAAAGCATAATTAGCAAACAAAATACTGTTAATAACTTTTAAGTTCAATATCTTGATTAATTGATTTAAGATGAAAATAAAGTATAATCATTTTAAATGAAAGTTTAAGAAAAAATAAATAAATTAAATAAAAAATAAATAAAAATTTTAGGAAATAATTAAGCAATTAAAAATCTGTTTCATCCTACAACATTTTAAACTGAATACAATCAAAATTTAACAAAATATATTAATACTGTAAAGACAAGACTAGAATAACATTTTGAAACTGATGATAAGCCTAGATTATTTGCTCATATTATGCTTGCTTTTGAGGCATTAAATATTTAAAAAAATAATTAGCAAGATAAGAAATACTTCAAAGAAATCTATATAAACTCAAAAAATTAACCTCTTGACTAATGGGAAAAATTAATTAATTAAAAGCTTTAAAATTGATGTATTTTGCTCAAGCTTTATTTATATATCATATATAAATAAAATATAAAATTAACTAAACTAACTTAAATGTATATGTGTCAATCTGTCTGTCTGTATCTTTAAGCAATGCAGAGGTTGTTAACTATTTTGTAAATGCTTTTTTATTTTATAATATAATCAAATATAATAAATTAAAATTATTTTATATTTTTTTTATAGAATATTTATCAATATTTAAAACAAAAAAATTTCTGTCTATAAAGTATGTTTCAATTTTAGATTTAAAAATCACTAAAAATTGTTAAATAATTTGAATATTGATTGGATTGATTTATGGTGCATAAAAAATTTTTTAATAAAAATTAAATGTTATCTAACATAATTTTATCATCATATAAAATTTTTAGAAATGCCACATCTCTATCTCAGGTTTTCAACACTTGCTTGTAGATAGATTATAGATATATTAAATATTTGTGATTGATTGATTATCTAAGAATAAATAAGAAATTATAAAATTTTAAATATTCTAAAAAGTGTTTGTAATTTTGTATGAAGAATTAATAAATAAATTATTTAGAATATTAGATTTTATTGTTGCTGGTAAAAAATCAATTGATAAGATCAATAAGTAAATAAATTAATAAATAATTGTTTGTGAATACTTAATTTCAAGTCTCAAATAGAAAAAAAAAAGATAGATAGATATATAAATAGATAGATTGATAATTGATAATTAATGAGCAATAATTATTAGTAGTATTAAATAAATGGGAAGTAATACAACTTAATCAAAAGGTTAGGGCAAGGTTAATTTGGAGATGTTTTTCTTCTTGAGGACTCTGCTTAAAATAAGTTCGCTTTAAAGATAATAAAAAAGGATAAGCTATAAAAGATTCCTTAACTTCTTTAGTACACTTAGAGTGAAATTGAGATTATGGAATAAATAAAACACCCTAATATAATGGAGTTAGTGTCTAGTTAAAAAATGGATGGCACTTTTTTTTTAGTTTTAGAATATTGCGAAGGAGGAGATTTAAGATAGCATATTCAATCTCTTATAAAAAAGAAAGAGTTAAGTTTTGAATAAATATCTAGGGAGTTTTTAGAAATACTAGATGCATTTGATGTATTACATTCTAATCATATAATTCACAGAGAGTAAAATTACTTTAACAAAACACTACTTAATTAATCTGAATTATAAAATTTAGCGTAAAGCCTGATAACATTCTTTACAAGAATGGACATCCAAAAGTATCTGATTTTGGTTTCTCCAAAAACATCTAACAATAGGATGATATTGCTGCTACAACTTTAGGAACTCCATAAACTATGGCTCCAGAAGTATTGGAAAGAAAGAATTATACTTATTCAGCAGATATATATGGGTAATTAATTAATTTTGTAATCTATCAATCTATCTATTTTCATAAAATTTCATAATACAATTAAAAATAGGTTAGGATTTATTTTATATTTCATGATTTATCAAAAATATCCTTTTAATTCAGTTCATTATGAGCTGATTGTTGAGCAGATAAAAAAACAGAAAATAAATTTTCCAGAATCAGGATTGCACGTTGATGAGGACATCAAACAAATCATCAAAAGAATGCTGAGCTATAATCCATAACTTAGGCCATCAATTGATGAAATAAGATAAATACCATACTTTAAAAAACTTAGAAAAGAGGAGGAACAAAATATCATCAAAATGAATATGTCAAAACTTTCAATTTAGGCCTTATAAATAGTTGATAATATAAATTAAGGTCTATAAAAAATTTAAGAGCAATTATATTAAGAAGAAAAGATAGAAAATTAATAAAACGAGGAAAACTAAGAAGAAATAAATAAAAATCAGAATCTATTCAACACTTAAAAATTAAATTATTATCAAATCAACTTAGAAAAACTGTTAGAATATTAAAATAAAATGTTAAAACACGAATAGTAATTAGAATTTTACGACTAAAGCTTTATATACACTGCAGATGATTAAACAAATGTTATGCTCAAGTAGTAAATTTAAGAAGGTAAAATGTACTTGCTTTAATTCAAACAGATAATTTAAGTAAATATTAAATTTGATATTTATTACAATTTTTCTTTAGGTTCCTTTATTTCTATAAAATAAATATACCAAAAATATATTTTATGATTTCAATTATTTTTAAATAAATAAATAGATAAATTAAATAATAGATCAAATATTAAATGATTTGCTTAATAATTTTAAATCTAAATATGAGGAAGAAATTAAATAGTTTGCTTTATTTCTCTATCAATACTTTTATTAAATAGAAAAACATATTTAAGTACAACTCTAATCATAAGAAATTTAAAAATGTTTAAATTATGATTTGCATTTGTTAAGTGAATATTAAAGCTTTGAGGAAATGATGTAAAAGAAATAAAGTTCTGTATCTGAGAGTTCTCTTTTCAATGAACCTTCCAAATTAAGCAATACTCAAATAGAAAAAACTATTTAATACTGTCAATTATTTTAGAACGCATACTATGAACTCTCTTAATAATAAAAAGATGATAAAAATAAAGATGAGTACTATTTATTTTAACTTAATCTGAGTATACTAACCTTCTTCCTTTTAAATAAAATAAACTTAAATAATTTTAATTTCTCTAATTATATTGAAACTATATATTCTTTAAAATAAGAAGAAAACTCTTCATTGGTTTCTCTATTCCAACAATGATACTGTCTCTAACCATCATCCAGAAAACAAAAAATGGGAAAAAATGTATCAATCTTTCAAATAAATGACGCTCATTGTAATTAAGCTAATTAAAATAAAAAATAAAATCTTAAACTCTTCCTTTCCTTTATATTAAAGCCTTTCTATTTATTAAGTATTTAATAAATTTTATATATAATAATATCTCATATTCACTTAAATATATAAATAAATAAATGTTTGATTCTTGTGTTTGCTACAATGATTTAAAAATAAATTTTTTATTCTTATTTAATAGATTGCAACTAGCTTCTAAATTATTAAAGTTTTATCAATTTAAAAGTATTTTTAATTATGATAAATATTTTTCTGTTTTAGTAAATTATTTGAAATTTTGTTCATCTACTTTAATTTTCTTCTCTAATTTATCTTTATAATTAATTACCAATTGAAAAAAGACTTTTTTGTTATTAGCTAGAATAAAAATAATATACTAAAAGCTTAATGAAATAAATTAATAAGCAATTAATCTAATAAAATTTCATTTATATTATTTTATATCATTCTGCTTGAATAAAAATAGGTTTAACTTTTAAAGATAATTTAACAAATTAGATTATCTCAAAAAAAAAATAACTATTTATTTGTTAATCAAGTATTTATTTTATTTTATTTTTTGAATTTAGCTTTTGCTATAAAATAATCTTATCATTAGATTTTGCTTTTATATCTATATTTTTTAATACCTTTCTGATTATAATACATAAAATTAAAAAAATATTAATATCTGTTAGAATATTTGTAAATTAGAAAAGATATTGATAAAATTCCTATTCTTAATACTAATTAAAGAAAAATGAATATGATATTTATTCCAGGTACTCTACTCTAGAGCAAGAATAACACATACAGGATAATTAAAACTTTAGGTAAAGGACAGTATGGCACAGTCTATCTAGCTATAGATTCGAATTAATAGCAGTAATTTGCTGTTAAATAGATTTTTAGTTAATCTTTAATAAATAAGAAACTCAATGAATTACTCAATTAGGAATTAACTATCTAAAAGATTATTAAAAGCTAGCATACAGTATAAGTTATAGAAGACTTTTTTGATCAGAATTTTAAAACTCATATAATCATACAAGAATACTGCGATGGAGGTGATTTAGAATAGTATGTAAAAAAATATAAGTACCTTCCTGAAGCTTAAGCGATCTCATACTTAAAATAATTACTTCAAGCTTTTAAGGAATTACATTTCCATAAATGTATGCACAGAGAGTAAATAAATAAATATAAATACACTTAAATAAATTTATACAATTTTAGTAAACAACTTAATCTCATTTATTTTTATATATAGTATCAAGCCCAGTAACATACTTATCTCCTAAGGATTGATAAAGCTTGGAGATTTTGGATTTGCAAAATAATTGAATGATTAAGATATAACTAAAACTGCTTTAGGAACAACTATTACTATGGCACCAGAAGTATTTTACTAACAAGAGTATAGTTACGAAGCTGATATGTTTAGGTAAATTAATTAGCTTTTAATTAATTTATTTATAGTCATAACTTTTATTTTGTTCAATTAAATAAAAATAAATATATTTTATTTAAAATAGTTTAGGCATTGTATTTTATTATATGCTATTTGGGCAGTATCCATTTAAACCTCAAGGTTTGAATCCTGAGACACTCTTTTTGTAAATAAAAGAATAAAACATTAATTTTAACTTAAATGGAGTAACAATAAGTAGAAATACTCAAGATTTAATAAAATAAATGACAGCATATGATAGAAAATAAAGAATAACATGGCTAGGAATATACTAACATCCAGCATTGCAAGAGTAATCCAGATTCCCTCAAGAAGTTATGAGATATGGTATGGTATAAACTGATAACGTTTTTAATAGAGGAATTAATGAAGAGTTTTATTAATAAAATGGTTAAGCCCTATATCAGCAAGTTTTCAAAAACCAAAATGATGCTCTTGCTTATTAATTCATCTAAATAAAATTTGAAATTTAAGATAATTTACCAAACCAGCCTAATAAGCCTTTTAACTAGCAAAATATTAACTTTGTAGAAGAATAAAACAAGAAGAAACTTCAATAGTAAGCAGAATAACAAGAGAAAGAAAAAAAAATGATCTTATAGCAAAATGAATAAGAATTAGAAAAATAGAAAATGATCTTATAGCAAAATGAATAAGAATTAGAAAAATAGAAAATGATCTAATAATAAAAAGAATAAGAAGAATTAAAATAAAAAATTTTATAATAGCAAATGCAAGAAGAATAAAATAAGTTGTAGCAGCTCATTTAGCAAAAAAATCAAGACTTTGAATTAGGATTGCAGAAATATTTCCACAAAAGAAATGTAAAATAACTTTAATAAATTAGCATTTTTCAACCTATTTATTTATTTATTTATTTATTTATTTATTTTAAAGACAAATTGCATACTGATTTAGATGCTTAACTCAATCAGAAATCTAAAAGATTTTAAAATTAATTATTAAATTCCTGCGTTTTTGACTTGCAAAAAGCTAATAAAATTGATTAAGGAGTATGGTTAGACTTTGTTAAATAAAAATAATATTTTTGGAATGGTTTATTTTAAAGAATTTGTATAATCAAAATAATATTAAGATCTAATTTAAATGTCGAACAATGATTTAGAGAAAGTTAGGCTAGAATATCCTTAAATCTTATAAGAATGCAAAGACAATATTAATAAATTAAGAATGAATAATGCATAACTCTTATCGCACTTGACATCAGAAGAATGTAATGATAAATTTGAACTTTAGTACAAGGAGTGTTTAATCAATTATTCTCTTTCACTTAGAGAACTAAAAACTTCTGAAGAAACTGAAAAGTAAAGAAATCTCTTTCATCATATTATTCTTATTTCTGATATAGCAAAGATAGATACATTTTAAAAAAATAACTTTAATTTCGACTTTGAAAGATACAAAAAAGAAGTTTACAATACGCCATTCAATGAAATGGAGTCAAAGCTTGATGAAGCTTGCTTAAAAATATTTTCTTGAAGTTCTAAATTTAAATATTATTTCATTCACAATTAATTAATAACTTGATTATTTAATAAATTACAGATAAATAACAGAGATAATTTTTTTATTATTAAATTTTGTAGGTGTATTTTACATAGATTTATAATTAATTGTTGAATAAAAAACAAATTAATTTATATTAAATTGAGAAATAATTAAAATAAAGAACTAAAAAAAATTTTAAAAGATAAGATCTATTTTAATACAATATATATATATATATATATTTATTTATTATGAACATTTATTACAATATTATTTTATTTATTTATTTATTTATTAAAGTTACTTTATATAAATTATTACCCAATTTTTTAGATATTTTGTATATATGAATGAATGAATTTATTTATTTGTTTTTTTGTTTGTTGTTTGTTAGTTTATAAATGATTTTATCTATCTATCTATTAATTCAAAAATACTTTTATTCTATGTAGAAAAAAAAAATTTATGTTTCGACAAAATTTTCTAGGAAAACTTTATTACCTTAGCAATTTTTTAAGATTGAATTCTAAATTTATACCATATCTAGTTATTAAGAGTTGTCTTGCTAGAAAATGGGTGTGGTAGGCAATTTTTCAATAATTGTTTCTGAGATAGATTTTCTTATAAGAACTAGAAGATTTTTTAAGTTTTGAATCTAATTTTCATCTGGTTTATAAACAAGCCTTTTGTCATTATGAGATCTCTGTAAAAATTTTTTGAATTTGTTTCCTAATTATTTAGATGTGATATTGTTATTTATTTCACTGAATATTTGCTTTATTTTTTTTTTTTGGTTGCCAAATTTGAATTTTTAACTCTCCATCTTACAAACACTTTGTTGGTTTTTAGTGATTATCATATTTTTATCCAAGTCAATATAGTAACAATCTTCATTGTAACCATATTGGTATTCAAACTTTTCTGAACTCATATTAACTCCCACTATGATAGGCACAGGTGATTCGAGGAAGTACATCAAATCTTCGCAGATAGAAAAAATAACTGGATGGGGATACTTCATAGGTTTGATGATATTCTAGAATGTAATTGAAGTTAGAGTAAGTAGTGTGATATTTTTTGATAGGAAAACAACTTTTTTTTCTAGCAAAATCAAAGTAAATATCAATTAAAAGTCATAATATGGTAAATTTGAAAATGTAAGGTATGCTGCTTCTACTCCTTCTACATAGCTCATCTCTTCTAATGGAGGAACATTATAAGAAGCAGCCGTAAATTGTTTGTTCTATAATGATTAGTTGTTGAAGGTAGATAATCGTTTTTTTTCGTCTTATTAGTTCTTTTCATCTTAATGCTAACATTAAATTTGAGGATTATAGAGGTAAAAATATACAAATTTATCTGGCTGTACTTCTCTTATCTAAAGAGCTCTCAGACAATAGCTTAAATCCTTATCTTTTTGAAGATTCTTTATAACCTGGTCAATGTCAACGTTTTAAAGGCTGTTATCAATTATGCCTGAGAAGGAACTTTTCACTAATCTAATAGTCTTGATTCGATTTACTACTTCTTGAATCACTCTGAGGAAGAAATCAATGAAAGGATAGTAAGTAAGAATGCAGTAGACTGTAGGGAATAAAAAGACTGTTTTTTCTCCAGTCTCATCGTCATTTACAACAAGTAAATCATCTTACTAATAGCAGATAGCATACATAATTGAGTTAGAATTAATAGCTTCTAGTGAAATGTGTTTAGTCCTTAGCTCATCTTCACCTCTAATACTTAATATAAACATATTCTCACTAATACCTGTTTCCTTCTACTAGCAAAGATTCATTAATAAAATGTCCTTGAATCTGTGTGGCATATTTTATAAGTCAGCTTAACTTCTATACCTATAATACTATAGGCCTTATGGAAATGCAAATTAAGATACAGCCTGTCTCTTTGGACAAATCAAAGGAGAAACATAACAAGGCTATGAAAAGAGAATTTACTACTTAACAGTACCCTTTTTATATTCAGATGTAGATCCTCTTATTCCACTAAAAGGATTTAAATTTTCTTCAATCTAGTCTTTTAACTCATTCAAATCTGGTCCAATTATCATAAACTCCTCAAATAAAAAATCTCCTTGCACACCAAACTACTTTAAGTCAAAAAAAAGTTTTTAAAATTTATTGTAGTCAGCCTCATATTTTATTTATTCTGGATCCTATTCCGTAGTCACAATCATGGTCTTTAAGTTAGAATCTTGAGAATTACTCATAGAAATATCTATATCATTTGAACTGAATGGGTTCTGTTCAATTGATTGATTAAGAAAAATATTATTTTGTATATTGTTATTGCTTGGATTGTTGTTAAAATTCATCATATTAGCAGGGCTAGTCACTAAATTTAAACTTGTCTATTTGCTTAAAGGTAAAAGCTAAAAAGGGGTACTTTGCTATGGAGGTGCTTGACTTTGCTAAAGGACTAGTTTTGGAAAATTTTAAGGACTTATATTACCTTAAGAATTTGCATTTTGCAGATTTGTGTTTTACACAATCCAATGATTATTGTTGTTATTGTTATTACTGTTAAAGTTAAAGTTATTGTTATTGTTATTGCTATTGATATTGTTGTTAGTATTATTATTAATTATATTACCATTACTATTACTACCTGAGCTTTAATTATTATCAGCTGATGCATTCTAAGGTGTAATTATACTACTAGTATGATTTGGGTTGAAATTTTCTTTTGAATTTTAGTTATTGTTTTAAGAGTTGATTGTATTTTGACTTGGTTGGTCAGAATATATTACATGAGCTTGATTTTACCCTTGGTTTCCCTAATTAAAATCTTTTTAATGGTAAAAGAAATCAGAATGTTCATGAGGAGTTTAAATATTTTTTCCATATAAATTTTAGCTAAATATCTTTTGCTATTCAAAATTATTTTTATAATGGATAATTTTCTGTTCTTTTTTGATAAAATTTGCATCAAATGAGGAATTATTTTATATTCTGCGTTGACTCTTATCGTTAAGCATAGCCATTTATGTCTTTGTCTTGAAGTTTGATTGTGGGTCATATCCTATTGCTACTACTTGCTCAGCCTTTTCTACCTTCAATTAGTTTGATTCCTCTCTCACTTTTTACAATTTGATGAACCCGCTTTGGTGGTAGTGATGTGCATCAGTAGTCATTTTATTCTCATGTTTTTCTTCCTAAGTATTTCTCCTAAATAATTCTCTTTTAGCAAGGCTGATATCAGAAGCTTCTCGTTGCCTGGTTTGTTAGTTCTGATCAGTAATTTGATTATTATTTTAGTTTTCAAATACTTAGTCGAATGGTTCCTTATATTGCGCTCTACAGAAAGGAGATACTGCATTTTAATCACCTTTCTATGAAAACTTATTCTCAGCAGTAGCAAATCTCTAAGGTACATTAAATTTTTATGATTTTTCATCTTAAACCTTCTAATTAGCATTTTAATTCATTTATCTGATACGTGCTCTTTATTATTTAGTTAGAGGTTTTTGTGTCTAAAAAATCTTTTTTATTAACTTTGATTTATCATGTTCTTCATAGTATATGATATCTTACTGCTAATCATTGTTGTTGTTTTTCTGATTCAGCTATTTTATTTTCTCTTCTTATTCTTTAAACTTTTGCTCATAGAGTTAAAGCTTAATCTTCAGCTCATTTACCTCATTTAAGAGTTATTCATTTTGTTATTTGATCTGATTATTTTACCTTTTTACAGAAGAGTATTCTCTCTAAAGCGATATGGAATTAGTTATATTAGTAGAACTGTCCATAGTAGTTAACGTAAGCTATCCTCTATCCTATTCACCAAAAGTCGCTTACGAATTTAGGTTATTTTCTGTTTTAACCTATTAAAGTTATAATTCTAAGCCTAAACTTTACTGCATTTATTTGATTCAAACTTGTTCTATTAATGATCGATTGATATACTTACTATTTAAATGCAAATAGAGAAAGTATAATATCCTAATTTAATATTTATTATTTAGTTTTTTGATGATTAATTTAGAGTATTAAATATCAATTAAATATTTATTATCAAATCAATCAAAGAGTAAATAACTACCAATTAGATTATTCATTTAATCATCTAATATTTTTACTTAACTAGTAATACCTTTACCATCTCTATATGCATACTTAATACATACATTGATAGATATATAGATACCTACATACGCAAATATAATCAATTAATCATAAATACATCTATCTATACATATAATCAAAGAAATATAAGTTTTTAGAAAAAAGATTGGTCACCAAAAGAAGATTAATATCTATTTCCATTTTAAATTCTTCAAAAATTGAATTATATTTTCATGCATTCATAATTATAAAAAAAGTTTACACTTTGTAAACTCTAAATTATCATAAAAAAAACTAAGAGATTTTCTAAGATTTCCGTTCTATAAAATTTTTCTCTTATTATCTAATGATAAATCTCTCTCTGATTAATTTAAATAGAAATAGTCATTTAACTCTATTTTTTATTTGTGTAATTATAATAATTTATTTATTCTCTTATATATATTTAACTTAAAATTTATTTTCTTATCATTTTGTATGTGCATTTATATAATTAATAAATAGTAACTAAGTTTTCCCTATACATAAATTTAAATCTAGATGATTGATTGATTGATTGATTAATTTATTTATCTATCTCTCTTTATTTTTATTATTTTCTCATATAATTTTTAAATAATTTCACTTTCATCAAACAAATACAAATTACAAGTAAAATTTTATTTTGTAAAAATTAAAAATTATTTTTTTATTATTATTAAAAATAAAATACAAATATTTGTGGTTGTATCTATAATTATTATAAGTAATTATAAATTTACTAAAAGCTATTTCTTTATGTTATTATTTTGTTTATAAGATTAAAGAATTTATAATTTTTTCTTGTCAGAATTGTTAGTTATTTTATCTATTTTAATTGTCTAAAAAACTTCTCCTATTAATTTAAATTTAAATGCTATTATAAATTTGATTTATTGCAAAATTGTAATTTAATATACTATATTTAATTACATACTTTCATTCAATTAATAATTTAGTATTTGTATTTTAGTTTGTGGTTTTAAAAATATTTTTTATTTTTATTTAAATTATAAAAATGACTTAAATGAATTAATTAGGCAATACAAAAGTGATAAAAGTAATTAATTTAATCTCTAAAAGTTTATAATAATCTTGAATTAATAAATATTAGCATTTAAAAGTCTAATTGATTTTAATAAAATTAAATAAAAAAGTACTTTAAGTAAAAATGTAAAGATATAATTCACTAACTGATTTATAAAATTCTAATTTAGAAGACAGTAATTATTTATATATAGATTTTAGGGGTTAAAGCTTTGCATCGGGTTTTGGTGCATGCTTATCTAAATGTTTAAATTTAGAAGATTTAACTCTTTCTTTTGTAAATTAGAAAGAAAGAGGATTATTTGATTTAGATGCTAGTTTGAGTAATTGTAAAAAGCTAAATAAATTAACAATAATTTTATCATATAATGAAATTAATGGTTAAGAATTATTTGATTTATGCTTTACTTTTTCTAAATTAAATATCAAATCTTTGGTTTTAGATCTTAGCTTCTTGGAACCATAATACATTTAAATTAATGAGCTAGCTAATTATTTAGGATTAGGATTGGCTGAATGTAAAAATATTTAGATAATGTAATTAAATTTAGAAAGAAATTTAGTTGGAGATAAGGGTTTGTGTAGTATAGGATCAGGATTAGGTTAATGTGAGCAGCTCTAAAGTTTAAAATTAAACCTTTCATGGTTTTCTAGATTAGGTAAACTTTATAATAATAATCTTTATATTCATGACGAAGGTGCTTGTGGCTTAGGAAATGGTCTTGCTTAATGTAGAAATCTAAGAACTCTAAAAATTGACTTAGGTAATAATAACGTTGGAAATTAGGGAGCATATAATTTAGTTATAAATTTAAGCCAATTAGAGCATTTAAACCACTTAAGACTGATATTTACTAAAGAATACAAAAGCCTACAAATATAAAACAAAATTTATAATAAATTAAGAAAATCATTTAGGAAATTAGTTTATTTTAAATTAGATTTCCATAGAGAAGACATAGGCTGATATTTAAAATTAAAAATTTAGTTAAATTAAATAAAATATATAAATATAATGTTCAAAAAAATTCATTTTATTGTTTGTCTTTTTTTCAAAATAAATAAATAAATAAATACTGTTGAATTATCTTTTAATTTGTTGATTTAGTACAAATATATTTGAGAGTAGAAAGATTTTAACCATTCATTATTCATTCTATTTAATCAAATTCAATAAAATATATAAAATAATAATATTACAAAGTTATTTTTTAAGTAATTTAAAAAAAGAAAGTGATAAATAAATTCTAAATATTTCATAATAATGTTAAAATTAGATAAATAAAAAGGTTAGTTGATTCATTCCCTTATTCATTATACATCCATCCTTTTGAATGAAATTATTGCTTCAAATTTTTATTAAACAAAAATGTTTTCATAAAATTAGGAAAATAAGCTAAAAAAGTATTATTTGTTCTCAATTTTCAATTTGATTATTTTTTGCTTCGAATAAATTTTTTTGAAGAATATCTTTCTTTTATCTATCTTTCTATCCTCTAAACTTGAATTAATAATTATTTGTGAATTAGATTAGAAACTAACTTATTTTATTTATTTTATATTAAAAATGTAATTAAATAATTTAAACAGATCGTTTTTTTAGATTAATAAAATTTAAATCTAAATATCTATATATTTATTAATACTATTCTTACTTGAATAACTACTATTTCGACAATAGGAAAATTATAGCTACTGGAAAATAGCAATATATCAATCAATCATTCTATCTATTTTCAATTTAAATTTTCTATTTTAATTTGAAATTTATTTTTCCTTTAGATTATAAAAATAGTACTTATTTTGTTAGGATTGATCAAATAGTTTATGATTTAATTATTCAATCTTTTTATTTAATAGAATATTAAAAAATTTAAGGAGGATAAAATCTATTTTTGATTTGTTTTCATCCTTCCTCTCTTTCTTCTATATTTGGAAATTATTTGTTAAATAGATTAGATAGACTAATTAATAGATTTACTTCTTATATCAATTAAATCAAATTAGGTTTTAATATAGCAATACTCTCTTAAAGAAAATACAAAATCAATTAATCAATACACATATGGACAGATAGTTGGCAACAAAAATTTATTTGCTATTTAACTCTTTTGCGAATATCTTACTAATCTATCTAAGCTTTGTAATTTTTTAATAGGGATCAGTTTGGTATTTCTCATTAATTTGGCTTTATGTTGGCATAGAAAAGTTAATAGTGTTAATAAGTATTTTTTGCAATTAAGAAATGACCATTTTTTATATTTTAGATTTTTTAAACCTAAGCCTCTTTAACTTCTATTTTGATAAGCCCTCTTTAACATAGTTAGTACCATAAAAGGTTATAATTGGTTATAGTTAATTAGTAATATAATTTATAACTATTTTTCCATACAAAATATACAACAATTAGCAGTTTTCTGATGAAGTGGTTTTTATTCTTTATTTTTCTTTTTTTGCAAATATCTTATTACTATCAATACCAACTTCTACTCAATTTACAAATCGCATTTCTTTTAAAATAATACTGGAAAATGTTGCTATGCATCTGTCTTTGTATCTTTTATTAGGATAGTTTACTATGATTAGTGATTCATATGGAATTAATATGGGATATTATTCTCTCATTGTTATTTTCACTTGTGCTATAGTGAAGATATGTTTAATTTATTAGTTTAAATCAATTGATTGCTTAAAAAGTCCTAAAAACTAAAATTACAATGATGAATAAGATAAAGATAAAGATGGAAGAGGACTTGTTTTCATTTTTATTTTAATTTTGCTTGCAAGTTCAAAACTGATGGAAACATATGTTGATTCTTATTCAGCAAATAAAAAAATTTTTGTCCTTGAAATGATAAAAACTTTCATTATGTTTTTGCTTTGTCTCATCTACGGTAGCATAACATAATTGCTTAATACCTAATCACATAACAGAGAATAGCAATTCCAAAAGCTAAATATGATATTATTAATAATCTTTTGTTCACTATACTTTATAATCTGGATTTTTATTTTTTTTACTGACTTTTAAAAAGTGAAATCAGTAATTATAAGAAATGAAAATGATTTATCGAAAATAACTATGTAAATTTAAAATAACTAAAATAAAGTTTATACAATAATTATCCATGATAAAAATACTACAAGCTGCTCTTTACCCTTTGATGATTAAGATTAAAATATATAAAATGGGTAAATATGCAAAAGATGCTAATTTTACAAAGCTATTTGTCAAACTTAACTAAATATTATATTGCAACAAAAATCTCCTGTTGTTTGTTAAAGAATAAATAAGCTTTACGAAGGAGAAGAACACATTAATGAGTAAATTTAATTTATCAATAAATTAAGTCTTTAGTAAATTGTTAAAATAGCTGAATCTAGAATTCAAAGAGGATATTTTATTAACATTTTTACATCAAAGATTATTAATCAGATAAATTAAGAATATTCACGCCCCTAAAATAATTAAATTGTTTTTGGACAACTAAAAAAAATATATTTTGATTAAGTTTCAATCTTACTCTAAAATTTCATATTTTATAAATAAGTTTCAAAGTGTATTCCCTTAAATCCCTCTTTGATAATGTATGATTTAGTAGAAGATTTATTACTTAAAAGCTGAAAGAAAATCAATCTGCTTGATTTCCCTCATATAACTTATCTGAAATTTATTCTAATAACATTTAATTATGTATTATTAAAAGTCTATTATAAATGAATGCATTTTTCTTCATTTTTGTAAAGTTATATCAAAATTTTAAATAATAGTAATGAATTTTATTTGTGCAATATAATTAAATTGATCAGTTAATTAATTAATTAATCAAATTTTTGGTACAATTATATAACACTTTATTTCTTATAGAGAGATTTATTTAATAGTTTTTTAATTATAGAAAAGATTCAAGCTATAATTAATAATTATAATTATTATTTTTCTATTTTTACTATCAAAAAGCTAGGGAGGGCAAAAAAAATTGAGAAAATTTTTTTTACTTAAAATTTTTAAAACTATTTCATAAAAAGCAGCATGCCAACAACTATATTTATATATATGGCACCTTTCTATATTTTATTTATTTATTTGAAAAGCATATATTTAATATCTAATTTTTAAAATAATATAATAATTATTTATTAATATTAGGCAGAATTTCTTGAAAAGTTAGTGTACCAATTAAATTAAATTTTTGATAACTTTTTATGTTGTTTACAATTATTATGATAAGAATATCTATTATTCTTAATAAAGATTTAAATTTTTTTAATAGTTATATTTAAGAAAAAGTAACCAAATCACTACTAGACTCAAATAACAATTAATAATAGTAGTTAAAAATAAAAAAAAAACTAAAAAATATATTTAAATTTATAAGGAGATATTTGGAAATATATAAGGAGAAATCCTTAAAAAGTACTTGAATAATAAAAGGTCTTTACAATTTTTTTTATTTTTTATGTGAGTTTCCCAAAAAAACCTAATTAATATAGAGTATTTTTTTACTGAATATTTTTTTATTGATTAGTGTTTGACATCAAGTTTTATTTTAGATATCAAAAAGGATAACATTTCGTATGTTGTAAACTATAAAAAATTAATTATGAAAAGTGTAAATAAAAAATTAATTAGTTAGTAATTAATTAAGAAAATAGTAATACTGAGTTCATTATTATTATATTTGTTGGTTGTTAACTGTTATCAATAATTACCTCAATAAATAATTTAGTCAACAAAAGAAAATTTAAAAATTTTTAAACGTAAATATCGACTTAATTATTTTTTGTAGACAAGATAAAAATTACAAACATTAAAAAATAAAATAAGAATAAACCTTCATTTTTTATGAGTTAAATAGTAATTATTGTGGATTAAAAAACGATTTTTAATTATAAAAATACATTTTTGTTTATATTATTTATAATAATATTACTTACTTCATAATTTATTTATTTAATTTAATTGGTCAGTATTATTAATAACATCACATCCATCTTAAATGGCAAAATTTAATTATAATGAATTTAATAAAAAATATTTAAAAAAAGCTTAAATTCTTAATTAACTTTTTTTTTGAAATAAATCATGGGCTGCACTAGTGGAAAGCAAATCAAAAATGTTAAAAATAAAAATAAATTTCATCATGAAAAATTTTCACAGGATAAAAGAATTTCGTAGATAATAAATTCAATTTAAAATTTAGCAAATGAACTCGAAAAAACTTACTTTGATATCATGAATTAAAATGCTGAAATTCCTGAAGAATATTCTATGCTAGAACCATCATAGTTTTTAGAAAATCTTAGAGAAGAAAGTTTTTTAAAAAATGAAGAAATAGATGAAATAGAAAAAAAATTTAAGATTGTTTTCAATAAAATTTCAAAAATAATAGCTGAAGCTTCTTTTCTTTTATTTGATTCCTGCTAAAATAAAATGATGAGCAAATAAAATGAATAATTTTTCTTCACATTTATACTCTTATACGAAGAAACATGTAAATCATTTTTTGAGTACTATGATAAAAAGTAAACCAAAAAATTTTTTGAGATAGTTTGCTCAAAATCTTTCATTCAAATAACAACATAAGAAGATACATTACCGTCTAACTGTTCATCTTAATAAATATCATAACAATAAAAAAGTTATTGACCATCATTAAACTTTTACTAATTTTTTCTAAATTAAAATAACTAACTAATAAGCATTTTATATAGAATATTCAGTCTTAAACCCTATAATTAAAATTAAATAGATAATATCTTAATTAATATGTATTTAAAATAAATTTGCACTATCTATTTTATTATTTATTTATCATAATATTGATTAATTTTATAGTTAATTTCTTTTTATAAATACCATAGTTTTTTTTTATTTATTACATATTATTTTATGAAATTTTATAAAAAGAAAAAAAGAATAAAAAATAATTCTTCTAACATTTTGTAATTGTAAGTAAATTTTAATGGAGAGAATACAATATAACCAAATAATATTTAGTTTAAAAATGGTAAGTTATTCAAAATAAATTAAAGGTACATAAATTTGATAAATTAATCGAGTTTTTATTTTTTAACTATCTAGTGATTTAACCATCTAAATTGATTGATTAATTGGTACTTTAATTTTGTTCTAGTCACTTCTTTTTCTTATTCAAGCATATATACTAACTAACTAATTAATACTAATATTAGGAATATTAGTATTCAATAAATAAGTATCTAATTAATTGTTATTACTAAGGTAACCTTAATATCATTTGGATATCTATAAAATTATTTTTATCATCCAATTTAATTTATTGGCCTTGATAATTTTAACTATTTTTTTAATTTTTTATAAATTATTAAAATTGTTAATTTAGCTTCCTAAGTCATTTAAACTTAATAAATATTTTTAACAATATTTTAATAAAAGAATACAATTTTACTGGGTATCTTTTGCATAGTTAATTTATTTTTAGAAATGTTTGATAAAAAATATCTAATATTTGCTTCATTAAAGTAAAAAACATCATAGATAGATTAATAAGTTTATTTGATTTTTAAAATTACTAATTTATATTTTTTATAAATATTAAAATAGCTCATAGAAATCTATTTTTATTTTATTTATTTTAAATTAATTATGAGAAAATATTAATCTTTAACCTTTTAAGTTTTTCTTTGATAAAAATAAAAATATATTTAAATTCTTAACTTTTTATTGATCGTAAACCTTAGTAAATTCTTAAATAAAACTCTTCACTCACTTTAATTTTCAGTAAATACATCATTTTGTGTTCTAATATCGTCTGTAAATACTCTTATTAGGATATTAAGCTGATCTTATTTTAAATAAAAAAGAAGCAGCTTAAATAATATTTTGGTAAGTTAAAATAGTTAATGTTATTTAGTTTAATGGTATTTTTCTCTCTGATAATTGATAGAAATTTATAATTTTTTAAACATAAATTTAGTAATTTAAAGTTCTAGATCAATTTGAACAAATTAACTGAGAGAAAAATAATAGTAATAGTAATATATTATTAATTGATATTAATGTTGAATAAAACTACATTAAAACTAAATAAATATTTCTCAAAGGGTAATAAATATCTACTAAAAATTATAAATATATTAGAAATCTTTAGAAGCTTTATTTAAATTTATAAAGCAAGTAAAATTAATAATCAATTTTTATAGTATCAAAAATTGTTTAGTTTTTATTAAAATATATTTAATTTTTAATATTTCATTTAAAAAGTCTAATCTTATTTTTGTATGCTAGCAAATTAGACATTTTAAAGGGCTGATTTTAGTTGTTAAAATTAATTTTATTTTAAAAAATATCTTTATTCTTTGTTTTAGCTTGTTAAGTAGACAACTTTTTATTAAACAATATTGTGTGACTATGTATGGGTAAAGTTACTAAAATACAATTTACTAAAGAACAAATTATTATTTTGACAGACAAATATTGGACTATTAACTTTTAAATTTTGGAAATAGGTTCTATGAATCTATTTATTTATTCAGTTTGATAAGGTGATTGATAGCTTTTTATAAAAGCTCTTAAAATCTTCATAAATTATTTTAATTTTTATTGTTTATTGCTTACTTATCTTAAAGGAAAAGTTCTAAGGAATGTAAGTAAGTATATGGATTTAAATGTATCGAAATCATTCAAAAATAATAAATAATAAGCTTTAATTATATGAGCATTAATACTTTACAAATTTTTTTGTTTCAAGATTTTGCCATCCTTACAGATTACTTTTAATTTTGAGATATTTTTTTAATAAATCTATTCAAGGATTCATTAAAAATTTAAAATCACAAACATTAATAATTAAATATAATTTATCAGATCTTAGTCTATAAAGATATGAATTTAATTAATACTTGCTTATTTTATTAATGTAAGTAAAAGAGTTATTTAGTAAATTCAAGAAAAATATAAGTAAAAAACAGCATCACACTTTAAAAGTAAAAATTTGCAATTAAGCATTTATAAATATAATAAAAAAAGCTATTAATAAACATTTAACCATATTTATCTACAAATTTTATGATTGTAAATAATTCGTGTATATATTAGCTAGAGCTATTTTTTACCTAAGTAAAATCTTATTTGATTTACTAACTTTGATTTCCAAAAAAAAAAATTTTTGTTGGATCACTTATTATATTTCTTAAGCTATTCTAAGTATTTTTAGTTAACGTATTCATTATTTTTTATTTATATTCTTAGCAAAATTATATATTTTGATTTTGCTGAAAGAGATGAACATATTGTTAGAAATAGTCTATATTTAGATTTCTTCTAGATTAAAAATGCTTATAATTTCATAGATTGATACATTAACATAAAGTGAAAACTTTGCTATATTTGGTAAATTTAATATAAACAATATTTTTAATTAAAAATTTACAAAATAATATATTGAAATCATAACAATTATCTTGATCACATTCACAGACAAACAAATGGGCTGCGTTGGAGGAAAATAATCTAAAAATTATATGTGCACATCAAAGGATAGCTAAACTGCTTCGAATTTGTAGTAAGAGAAAGCTTCTTAGATGATATCTTCTTTACTAGAAATAGCAAATAACCTTGAAGATTTATACACAAATATTCTATAGGAAAACACCTAGATACCTGAAAAGTATGCTCTTTTGCATCCTTCGGAATTTTTGTAAAAACTCAGAGAAACAGACTAATTTATGGAAGAAGATATAGATAGAATAGAATAATAATTTAATCATCTGTTTAAAAAGCTATCTGTAATAATTAATTAAGCATCCTTGATGCTATTTGACTATAAATAAAGTAATTTAATTAGTGAAGAAAAGAAAAATATTCTTTTAACATTTATAATGCTCTACGAGAGCACATGCTAAAAATTTATAAATTATTACAATCAAAGGAGTCTAGAAAAGAGTGTAAAAACAACTAACTCCAAAATAATCTCTTAAGATATGCTCTCATAAAATTAATAATCGAGAAGCTAAAATTAAATTGCTTCAACTTAACTTTTTTATAGAAAAGATCATTAAAAGTGAAATCACCCAAATAATAAATTATCTTTCTGAATAAATAATTAAGTGACTCTCTAATTAACTAACTAACTAACTTACTAACTATCTAACCTATCTTTTTCTAAATAAATTACTAAGTGACTGACTATCTAACTAGTTATCTAACTTTATCATTTTATAAATTAACAAAAATCTAATAAACTTATTCTCTATTTATTGTAAACATAACATATATATCTTTTCTATTATAATATATTTTTATTCTCATCTAATTAAAGTATAACATCAAAAAACCTTCAAATAACTATCCATTTATTAACAATTTATGTAAACAAAAAAATAATAAATATATTTTTAGCAATTCTAAGAATAATCATTAATGAGATGTTATCTCATTTTTAATATTTTCTTTATTCAAACATTCAAGCGAAGCATAAATAAATAAGATGATACGCTTATAGAACCAATCTTTTATAATATATAAATAATTTATTAATATCTAAAATTTATGCTTTTGTTATTCAATCTGGTTTTGCTGAGATATTGAAATTTGCTTTGGAATACATACAACTTGAGTTTATATTTATAAATCACTATGGCATTTATAATTATTTGTTTATAGAAAGAAAGTAAAAAGTATTCAGCATGATTCTTAATTATAATTTACAAAATTAATTTGATTATATTTTTTTTTGAATTCTATTTGGTTTTTTTCAATTTTCATTATTCAAGCCTTTTAGAAATAAATTAATTATTAAATACTGTTTGGTAATACTTAGGTCGCTTGAACTACTGTGAAAACTTTACATTTGTTATTTTTAAATATAAAAAATAAAAATAAGCTACTTTTACAATTAATAAAATCAAATTCATAAAAACTAATCATTAAAAACATCCCATTTTTAATTATTTTTGCATCTAATTTGATATTTTATTAATTTTTCCTATTAATAAATAAAAGCATTAGGTCTCAAAAAATCTTTAAATAAGGGAATCCTTTAATATCAGTCCACATTTTGTTTTTTATGTGAAAATATAGAAAATAAATTAATAAGTCGTCTTTTAAAATAGTAAATAAAATAAAATAAAAGTAATATATATTTCTAAAAGAAATTTATAATTAAAATTTAGAGAAGAATTAGTTTGTAATCATTATTAGAAATAAATAAATAATCTTTGTTACAGAGTCTATAAAAAGTGAAATTTGAATAATAATAAAAATATCAATTTCAATTTAGTTTAATTAGCTATTTTTTAATTTATCTATTTTCTAATTATGTTTTTAAATCCCTAAAAATTAAATGGGGAAAAATATAATTTGTTTAAAAATACTATCTCTTTTCTACGAATTCCTTCAATTTCTAACCCGTTAAATCTAATTTTTTTATTTTACATTAATTTGCTAAAAACTTTACTTACAACTGCAAACTGTACTACTTACAATTGAAAAATTATTTTAAATAAAAAGCTAATAAATAGATAATTTATTGACTAAAATCATATAATATTTTTTCCTAAATAGATAAATTTTTTATTTTAAATGCTAAAAAATGGCATTTTAAAAATATGAATTAAGTTACTAAAAAATATTATAGCGATTGATTTTATCAACTAATTTAAATAAATATATGCTAAAAATTAAAGCAGATTATTGTTAGAAGAAAAAAATTTTTGTTATTTCTAATTTATTTATATGTAAACAAGCAAAAAATTAAAGTAATCAAAAATTAATCTGAAATACTTGCTAATTTGTGAATAAAAAAAAGTAAGCATATATTGTTTTTATATGTTAATTTTTTAGTGAATACCCTTAATAACTTTTATTTGCTCTAAAAAACATTAACTGTAAATTAACCTACTAAATGATAAGAATTTATAAACTAACTCACCTGATATTTATTATATGACAAACTAAATATATATTTACTTATTATTCCATATGCTGTGAAATTAAAATAAAGTAAAAAAATATTTTTTAAATTTTTCATTAAATTGAAATTTATTTTGATGGAAAAATAATTTCAAAATTTAATAATTGATGTTTATTTAATAATTTTAAAAATTTGTTGCCATTCTGCTTTTAGAAGAATATAATTTATAAATTAGTGGTTATAACGCATTTAATCTATGAGTTAACAAAAATGTTAAATTGGAAATATTAAATCATATTAGATATATAAAATAAATAGGTTTAACTTAAGAAAATATTATTTTTTAACAAAAAGTACACATTCATATATTAAAATCTCTAAGTACAAAATGCATTTAATCATGCTTTTGCTAAAATGTTCATTTATTTAATGTTATTTTTTAATGGATAATTGAAATAAAGTTTTAATTATAAAAACAATTATTTTAAATTGAGTAATAATTTTGGATATTCAAATTAATGAAAATAATTATTATCAGATAAAATATTTCAAACAAGTCACTAATTAATTTTAGATATTTTAATTAAAACAATGCATTTATTTTGGTATCATATAAAATTTGCAAGGGAAATAATTATGACAACAGATTATTCTGCAAGTAAACAGAAAAGCCAGTAAAAAAGTAAAAATTTGTTAATTTTATAAAATTAAATACTAAAGATTGAAATTATTAAAGTTAATAAGAATAATTAATATCTTGCAAAAAAATAATTAAAAAGTAAAATTAATCATAAACAAAAAACACAAGTCTACTTGATTAGTTTCTTATAAAATAAGTAAATAAATCACTAACTAACTAAATGGGTTGCGTGAGTCATAAATAAAGAAAAAGAGAAACAATTGTATAAAATTTAACTGTTCAAAACGAATATGATTATTAACATGCCCAAAATATTATAAATTCCATTAATAATACTCTCAAAAAACTTGAAAAGTATTATTCTTAAGTCATATCTATGAATTAATAAATTCCAGAAAAATTTGCAATGCTTTCTCCATAATTTTTTTTGTAGCAGATAAGATAAAATAATATCTTAAATATAATTTAAATAGAGGATATAGAGTAAAAATTTTTAATTCTGTTTACAGATCTTAACAAACATATAAACTCAGCAACTAATTTCCTTCACTTTAACAAAAATATGCAATAATCCTTAGAAGAATAGAAATTTATACTTAAGTCTTTGGTTCTAAAATACGAAAACTTATGTTTGTAATTTTTTGCATATTTGAAAGAGAATGACTAAAAGAGGCTAACTCAAGATAAAATCAATTTACAGAACAGAATGAAGAAAGCCTTTACTAAGAATATTATTGAAGAAAATTAAACTTCATTAAATCTATCAACTCAAGAAAGCAAATTATAAATAAATTGATTTATTTATTTATTTATCTTGACCAGCATAAATAATTAAACAAAACTATTACTAACCCATATCAATCATTGGATGAAAAATACTTCAAACAAATACTAAACAATTATATTTAAAATGTATAAAATAATTTAATTAATTAAATAATTCACTCATAATAATGATATTCATTTATAACTAAAAATTAGTCCATTTATATTATTTATTTAGTTAGACAGACAGAGGTGTAAATATTACCTATACGTACGTTTTTGTAATAAAAATATGTAAAATAACTTGATTTACTAAATTTACAAACTATTTCTCACTGTTTGTCTAAATAATCAGTTAATTTGAATTCACTTTTAAAAAACAAGTGATTTACCCAATCATTTATTATTTATCGCTTAAGTTATTCAAGATAATTGATTGAGTTACTGGACCTATTAATTTAAAGGTTTAATGTCTAGATTTTATTATTTATATTACATTCTAAAAAAACTAATTTTATCCACAAAAATTGTTAAAGTTTCTATTAAATTCAATCAATAATTAATGGAAAATTCTACTTTGAATTTATAAATGAATATTTGAAATTTAAAAAAGTAATATTTTAGCATTTTTCTTGCAAAAAGCACTTCAGTAAATGATAAATATCAAAATTCTCATAGACTATTTATTAATTGAATTAATTAATCAATGATTAATAATTAAAGGTTACAATTTAAAGAAATCTCGAACATAGATAGATGTCTTGATAAATTATTTTGAAGTAATTTAAATTTATTATAGATATTATCTATTTATTTATTCTTTTATAACAAATCTTATCTAGTATTAACAAACAATTTTTATATTAAAATCAAGATTTTTTCTTAAAATGCATTTAAAAATGTGAAAAAAAGGTATTTTTAGTAAAAAAATAAGTTTTTTTTTGTAATAAAAGCAATAAAACCTAAAAATAATTCAATTGAAATTTAAGTTATCATATATTTAAAGTAATTTTTTAAAACAAAAGTGAAGTTATTTTCATTTTTTAATATATTAATACTGCAATAGTCAATATTTAATATATAATATTTAATATAAATACTATATTTCTAATTTATTAAGCCAGCTTAAAAATACCTTTCACCCAAATTTGATCTAGTTTGTTTTTAAAAATTTGATAACTTAGTCTTAAGTGGCTAGTGCTTAATATATGAAATATAATATATAATACTAATTAATAATAATAATTAGATTTTTAATTTACTAAATATTTAATTTTATTTTTTTATCTTATGTTTTAAAAGATATTATTTTATATTTTTTAAAATGTTAAATTTATTAATACCAAAGATTTTTGTTCTTAGATGTTTAAAATAAATTAATCAAATTTATATTTTATTTTAAAGCAAATTTTACTTACATAATATTTAATATTAGTTAAATAAAATTTATTTTTATTTTGAATTGAATTTAATATTAAAATATTTACAATACATTTTTATGTAGGATTATTTGTAAAATATACAATATTATTTTAAGTATTTTATATTAATTATCAAACAATATTTTAAATCATATTAAACTATTGATACTTTTTAAATTAATTAATTAACAATCTTAAAATTTATAATTTGATTTTATTAAAATTAAATTAAAAAGAATTTTGAATTTATTTCCTTAAGTATGTTTATTGATTATTAAAATTAGCTAACATAATGATTTCTGTTGAGCAGCTATTTTGAATAACAGAGAAAATAAAAGTATAAAAGAATATGTTTAATATATTTGATAGATGGCTTAGTGCTAAAAAAAAGATTATCAAAAATATTAAATTTTTTAATTGTAAATTTAATAAGATTATGGATATATGTGTTTGCTTGCTTGCTTGCTTTTATTTTTGATATTAAAATTAAATTAATTTAGAATGGGATTGTTTAGGTAGGATTCATTCTTTGTTTTCATGTTTGATTGCTTAGTTAATTGATTGTTTGTTTGCCTTTAAAAAGAAAAGTTAATGACACAGAGAAAAATAAAAAGAAATAAAAAAGATTGCAGTATTCAATAAAAAATCAATAAAATTAAATAGTTTTTGTTTTTGATTGATTAAATAGACTAAGACGCAGAAGATATTGATATCATAAATCATAAATTAAATAAAATATAGTAAGCAAACAAGCAAGCACTAAAAATAACCAAGTGGAAGCCAATATAAAATTTAATAGAAATAAGTTTAAAAAGCAAAATCTAGGTAAAATGATTTCACAGATATTTATTTTGTCTGCTAGAGGAGATATTATTATCAATCGTGATTTTAGATCTGATTTAGTCAAAAATACTCATGAAGTTTTCTACAGATAAGTTAAGTTGTCAAAAGGAGATTGCCAACCTTTATTCAACATTGACGGAGTTAATTTTAGCTATTTGAAACGTGCTGGTTTATATATAGTTGCTACTTCTCGCTTCGATAACTCACCCTCTTTTATTTTAGAAATTTTAAATAGAGTTTGCACTGTCATTAAAGATTTTTGTGGTGTTTTGAGCGAAGAAGCAATCCGTAAGAATTTTATTTTGATTTACGAATTGTTAGATGAGATGATCGATTTTGGCTATCCCCAACTTATTTAAACTGAGTAAGTTAAACCTCATATCGCAAACGAGCCCATAGTTATCAAGAAGTAAACTCTTCCTACAACCACCACAGGAAGATTAGGTTCTCTCTTTAATTAAGGAACTGTTTCTTCTATTGCCACCAATCGTCCTGTAAATTCATAATCTAAGAAGAATGAAATATTCGTTGATGTTTTTGAAAAAATCAGTGTTCTTTTCAACGCTTCAGGATATGTTATTAACTCCTCCATAGAAGGATGTATTTAAATGAAATCTTATCTTAATGGAAATCCTCCTTTGAAACTCGCCTTAAACGAAGACTTAGTTGTAAGCATATTATTAATTCATTTATTCATTATTTTATAAAGCAATAAAATGCTCAAATTAGTAAGAAATACCAAGCTGGTATTGTAAATATTTAAATTCTTCACAAAGATAAATAGAATAAAATAGATTACTTGTGCAAATATAAAATTAAATTCAAATATTTGGGCCTAAATTACATAAAAACAGATATGTTTATTAAGAAAATGATATAAATTAGCTAGATTGTTTTTAAAATCGAAAATTATTAATTTTTTTATTATTAATGAATGATAGATTGGTAAAGGTGAGAATGGCAGAGTAGTCTTAGATGATTGCAATTTCCATGACTGTGTGAACACAAATGAATTCGATTTAAGCAAAACTTTGAGAATCTAACCTCCTGATGGTGAGTTTGTTGTTATGAATTATAGAGTTACTTCAGAATTCTAAACACCTTTTAGAATATATCCAGTTATTGAAGAAATATCTAACTTCAAGCTCGAGTTGCATTTAAAGGTTAAAGCATGCTTCCCTAAAGAAATATTTGCAAGTTACGTTACTTTGACATTCCCTATGCCTAAATTAGCATCAAATATCACTAACGAATTAGGAAAGAATGCATCAAATTAAAGTGTTGATATTGAAAATAAAGGAGATGTTAAAATGGTAAAGTGGAATATTAAAAAATTCATGGGTGACACTGAATAAGTATTAATAACAAAAATTACTCTCTAATCAAGTGCTAATTCATACAGTGCTCGTAAAGAAATTGGTCCCATTAATGTCAGCTTTGAAGTTCCTATGTATAATGTATCTAATTTACAAATTAGATTCCTTCGTATTGATGACAAAGAAAAGAGTAATCCATTTAGATGGGTCCGTTTCATCACCTAGTCATCTTCATATGTTTGTAGAACTTGATATCTTCACCTATTATGAACTGATTCATTCATTTACTCGTTAATTTTTAAACCAAATAAATAGCAAATTTGATTCTATTAAAATTCAAAAAGCATAAAATAGAGAAATAAATAAATAAATATAAATTGATAATTAAGTTAGAATGTTTTTTATAATTGTTTTTAGGTATTCGAATTTAATTAATAATAAATAAAAAATGCAAAAAAATAACAATTATTTTATTTTATATTTTATTGTTATTATATTTAGCTAATTTTTTCTTATTTTAAATCAGTCAAGCTAAAATTAAAAGTGATTATACAGATTTATTATTTATAAAAATAATTCAAATATTTGGAAATAATTTTTGAATAAAAATATTTTAAATAAATGATGCTAAATTTAAAGTTAAAATTCATAAAAATAAATAAGAATAATTGACAAAAATAATTTTATTTTTTTGTATTTATTAATTTTTGATATTTTTAAATAATATAATTAAAATAAAATTAAGTTATTAATTATGATAAAAAAATTGAATTTACTAGTGACATTTGATTAATTTAAATATAATAAATATTTTTATACTTAACAAAAGTGATAATAATAATACTTTTAAGAGTTTTATAAATGAAATATTTTACTTAAATAAAATTTTGAGATTCATTTAACTCCTAAAGCTTGTTAAATAGATGAAAATTACAAAAATTAAATACATTCATCATTTAAATGAATGAATGAATCTACCTACATTACATTACATACATACATTCTTGCTATTTAATATTTTATCTAACGATTTTAAACTTAAAGATGGTTTGTTGGTTTGTTTTATTAAGAATTTTCTTATATTGCAAAATAGGTTGGTTAATCTTTATGATAATATTTTTAATAAATGAGTCAAAAATATGTATCAAGTTATTAAGCTACTTTGATTGCTCATTTTTGGGAATATTTATTATGATTTAAAAAATAATATTATGCAAAATTAGCAATATTTTGTTTCTACATGAAAAATTGATTATTTTTGAATAAAATTTTATAATTTATTTATTTATTTGTTTATTTATTTATAATTAGTATTTATTGAGTTTATTTTGAAATGTTATATTTTTTTCAATAAATTTTAAATCTCATTTAATTTAAGAAATTTTATCTAGCTGGAAGGGTAATTATGAGATAAATGCATATTGTGGGTATGTTCTTCTTATATTTTCTTTCATTAAATGGCTAGCTGCACAATATGTGTAATCATCATCTTATTCTGGCATTTCATCAGATATATCTAGCCTGGATTCTTTTGATTCTTTCATTTTATTTGATCGGATTTAACTATTCTTTTGTGAATTTTTATTTCCGTCTTATTGTTTGGTTGATTGGATTTCGTTTTAGTTTTGATTATTATCTTCAAAGCTAGATTCTTTAGTTATTGATTCTTCCTCCTCTTCTTCTTACCCATTTATTTTATTTATTATTGCATCTTTGCCCATAAATTGTAAATTTTCTGCATTTGGATTTGTTTATGGTGTCATATGGGAAGGATATTGTATAAAATTTTAGCTGTCTGAGGAGCTCGCATTGCCTAAGCTGTTACTAAAATTAGCACCAATGCTGTTGCTGTTGTTAAATATATTTTTCTTCTAATCAGATGGACTGCTACAGAAGGAATTGTACTAACCACTTGGCTAGTTAATGATTGAATAATTCGGTTAAATAGAATTGTCTTTTGCTAATGATATATTATGATTTGAGTTTAGAGATTGCAAAATATTTTATTCACTTGAAAGCTACTGCATATTATAGAAATAAGAGTTGTGTTATTTTTATTCGTCTTCAGAACGTAAGTTTGAGTTGGTGAGTTCTGAGTGATCAAAAGTTCTTTCAACTATAGTTTATAGGATTTTAGAGGGTCGCTTATTAAAATTGTAGCGAGCATTTCCTCCTTGAGTTTATTTGTTTTTTAAAAATACTTGATGAACTAAAGCCTGTTTGGCTGTTATTCTCTTTAAAGGATCTTTACAAAGCATTCTTTGCAGAAGGTCCATCATTCCGTAACTTATATCAGAGTCGATATATAATTTTGTTGTTAAAATATTATCTATCTATTACTATGTTGGAATGGATAAGAAATTGAGTTAGTATAGGATTATCCCAAGACTGTAAATATCAGATTTTAAATAATCGTCAATTGAGAGTCTTCCCGTGTAATTGATAATTTCAGGAGCTACATATACTAGCGATTCTCCTGAAGGAATAGGTATAGGGGATTTAGGAGGCATTCTTCCATTTTAAAGAAGACGCAAGTCAATAGCCTACTCGAAATTATACAAGTAGAGCTGGAAAAAGTCATTGTTTGCATTTTTGAATGCTATGTTAATTGGATCGATTCATCCATGAAGAATGCGTTTATCATGTAGATATGCGACTGCTGACAAAATCTTTTAAATAATATGAAGGATCAAAATTTCTTCAAATGGTTGTTCATCAGCTAGCTCTTCTTTAAGAGTACGACCCTCTGAGTATTCACTCACTATGTAAAGAGATTTATTGTCTTTCTCATGAAAAACTTCAATTATATTTTAAATCGAAGGGCCTTTTATGCGCTATAGTATTTCTATTTCGTTGAGAACTTTATTTTAACGAGATGTATCTTTCATTTTAGCCTATCTTACTTGATAAAATTAATTAGATCCTTACTGATTATTCTTGTTATATTATGATAGATTATTCCTGTTTGGATTCTTTGAAATACTTAAATTGCCCATGTTTGGACTAGAACTATTGTTATTCTTTTTCTTTTTTATAAGAACGCATTTATACATTTCATCGGATGGGTAATTTCTTTGCTAAGCTATGCTAGATATACAAATATATTTCTTAAAAAATCCACTTAACTTACAAAATTTTTTTAGTTATTTGACCCATTTTTTGAGGGATTGAGCATTTGGAGGGAAAAATTCTATTCTTAAATTTCCCTAATCGCTTAATGTAAAACCAAATTCATATGGTCTGTCCTTAATATTTTTTTTATTTATCTTTTTAAGGTAGAGATCTTTTAGATCAATAAAGCGAAGGAACCTAAGTTATTAAATACTTGGCTATTAAATTTCTTGAATGTATCTCTGTGATCCTGTAATCATGTTTTAAAACGATCCTGTTCCTAAATTTTCTCTTGAAAAGACATTATTATGGTAGAATATCTAGTTTACAGACTAAAAATCTGAGTCTTAATTTGGCCAGAGAAGAAGACCAGGATACAATTCAAAGTATAAATATTTCATACCTTTTTAATTATCATCTTTCTCATTGTAGTACATGTAGCCACTCCATACCATTTCTAAAGGGTCAAAATAACCAGGTATTTAATTGATACTTTTCCACATATTAAATCAATCAATAAATCAATAAATCAAAAATAAAACTATAACTTCAAAAGTTTTTTATTCAAAAGAAGCTTAATTTCTATAACTTATATTTTTAGCAAGTGCTGATCTAATTTTTACTCTGGCTGTAAATTATTTTAATGAAATACTATATGATAAATATTTTATTTAACACTTTGATTTTAAGTTAAAAATTTAATTCTTTATATATTTTTTATGGCTTTCAACCAAAATCACCTCGAATCTATGTAATTTAATGACTATTTATTTATTAATTTATTAGTTTAATGTGAAAATAATTATTGTATAATTCCTATTACTTTAAATTAATTAGAAAAAATCAATGACTCTTTTAATAAATTAATTATTTATTTAATTTGTTAATCATTGATTCGTTTAATAAATAATTTACTATGAAATTACGCGAATCAATTCTATTGATATCTTTAAAACATAAATACAAATAAATAAATAAATTAAATATTTATTAACTAACTAACTCTTTATCTAACCCAATTAAGTTTAATTAAATTTTGGTTATTAACTTAATTTCACTCATCTATCTATCAATCATCCAAATCAATTTTTTTAATTTATTTATTTATTTTTCATAAAACTGTTCTATTTATTTACCATATAAATTTTATTAATCAATCTTCCAAATAAATTTATTTTTCTTTGAAAAATAAATATAAAATGGCATCGCTAAACAATTGGTAGCATGAGAATTTAATTTATTTTTAAAAGAAAAATATTTTTTATTAAGGTAAACTGTAAAAACATTATTTTTCAGATATTTTACATTTAAGTCCAAAATAGATTTTTATATTGTTTATTTCTTAATTTCTAATTAATCTGAAATTAAATTAAATAATTGCAGTCATAAACAAACAAAGATATTTGAAAATTATTCAAAAATAAAATAAAACGTTTTTCAAAAATTATAATTTAGATTAAATAGAAAGAAAAATATTCACCAAATCTTTGATTTTTATCTTTAAAATTATTAATTTTATATTTCTAATTTAAATTATTTCCTCACAAATTTATTTTTTAAATATGTAACTTACATTTGTCAAATTTAGCTGAAGTATTTAAACTATTAATTATATGTTAAATTTATTTTTATTTAAAAAATAAATAAATAATTAGTCAAATAATTTAAATTTTAAAAATGTTTCTACTTAAAATAAATTAAAAAAATTAAAAGCATTTCATTTTTAATAAATTTGTCTTAGGAAAGATTTAAGTTGTATTTCTTTCAAATCCACATTAAATAATTAGTTTAGCTTAATGCAAAAAAAATTAAAGCCTTGAGTGATTTTTAATTGATTTTATTGTAAAATTTATTGATATCATACGTTTTAAAATTCTGTAATAGTAAATAAGTAAGTAAGTAAATAGAGCTAATAAATTTAAATATGAATTAATCTATGACAGATAGAGTTTTTATTTGAATGTAAAAACTTACTATATTTGATTAAATATTTAGAATAAAGTGAGGATAATATTATGCACACATCCATTGATCCAACAAAGCAAGCAACCTATCAATCAAAAAAACATACAAAAGAGTTATAAAACTAATTTACTATTTATAAGTTAAGAAAGTCTTTTTAATTTAATTCTAATATTTTAAATCCAACTAATACAACTTATTTGCAAAATTAATTATTACAGTTCCAAACATATATAGAGGAATTTAAATAAGTTTTAGTGAATTAGCGCCTTATAGAAGAGAAGATCAAATAGCGTTTGAACAAGCAAATATTTACTAAATTAGCACTACAGCATTTTTATTTTCTTAAAAATAGTTAAAGAAAATTGCTAGATTTTTAATAATATAAAAAAGGGAGTAATAAATTTAGTTACAAATATTTCATTAATTGAAAGGCAAAAGAAGCATAAAAATTTAGAATTAAAGAAAATTTAATTTTTGAAATAAAATGTCAGATACTGAAGATAACATTTAAAAGCCACCCCATATAAGATATGGATCAATAATTTCTATTTCTCATTTTTAGGATGATAATGCTTTCATTTATGCAGATGGACATGTTAAAAAAGATGTTACGCTTAAGTCCTTTTCTCTTTATAAGAAAGCATAATAACTCAAGCAGTTGGAGATGCTCAGAAAAAAGAAATAAAAATTGAATAAGAATGATGAAGAAGCAAATAAATTGCTCACAAGACAAATAGAAACATAATAATATTTATTATAAGATGATGATAATAATGCAAGTTATGAGATTGATTAATAAGTTTTTGAAGATGAAATATCTTAGAAAAAAGGCTAAGATTAAGGAAAAACAAACTCGCATTTTGTGTAGAATTCATTAAATAAATTAGATATTGAGGAAGAAAATGATGCTGGCAGTAAAATGAATTAATATAATGGAATTAAGCCAATGGTAGGAGAACGAGAAATAGACTAAAAACTTAAAGAATCTACTCGCTAAAAGCTAAATCAAAATTAAAAAAAAAAGTTATCTAATTTAAATAAATAATCTTTTTCAAATTGCTTATTTATGGTTTTCCCAAGTCTTACAAATACTTAAAAAAACCGTGTTGTAAAGAGTTTAGGATATGAAAGTGATGAATCTGATAATGAGCTTGACGACGCAGAGACTATTTTCATAAATCCATATACTCAATAGCAATAGTAAGCTCGTGGAAACAATAAAGCAAGTGTAGATACATAGCTTCTTCTGAAGAAGATTTAGACTCTTAACTAGCCATAATCACCGAAGGATAAAAAAGGAAAATAAGATGAAATAAAATCAGATCCAGCAAATGCTGATAATGAAGAAGAAGATAAGTAATAGGATTAAGATTATCTAGATAGGGAGAATTTAGATAAACAAAAAGTTAACTTGCTGAATGAATATAAAGCTAATTTTGACACATTCAAAAAAGCAAAAGATTAAACTGTATCATTCAATTCTGTAGTATAATTGCTACATCTTAATTCAGCAAAATGGCTTGCCATAAAGCCTATTGAGGCCAAACACTAAAAAGAAAATTTTAGAATGACTTTGGAAGCATACACTTCTGAGAATACTATGTTTAAGATTATTCCATCTTTTAAATATCAGAAAGATGGTGATTAGGTTATTTTTGCTAATGAAATTGTTTATATTGCACGTGCATAAGATATTAATAATAGAACTACATTTTTCAATGCTTCAGATGAGATATCGAAAATCAATTCAAATGCTACCAACAATTATACTTAATAAAATTTGAATACAATCTAACCAAGAAAATCGTTTATAAATAATTCCCTTTAAAGTATCCCTAATTATACTACTGGATTCGAATAATTTACACAACAAACATAAGTCAAAATGGCCTCTTTAGAAAATGAAATTTAAAAAAGAGAGGTAAATAAATAAATAAATAAAATATACAATTTTGAATGTTAAATTCATTTAATTAATTTTTTATTTATGAAAAGATTAATGGCTCATAAGAAAATTAAACAAATTTTAAGCTTAACCTGTTTTAAGAAAACTACACAGAATATTAGCAATATTTAAAATGTGGAGATGTGATTTGGCTGCATCACTCAGAAGCTACAAGCCAAATTGGAGTTTCTAGAAAAGACAAGGGAGTTAACAAAGTAAATATTTTTTTTTAATTATAAAATAAAATTAATTCAAATTTCATTTATTTTGAAGTACACTTTCACTTCTATGAATTTGAAAACTTGGATGTCTCTAGAAAATCTTGACCTAAAAGTTATTGGAACTGCTAAACAATCAATCTACGAATAATACAGCGGAAATACCTTTGGTATGTGGTAAGTTGAAAGTCAAAAAATAAGTGATGGTGGTTTTGTTGAGTTTGGCAATTTGTATCGTCTCAAGCATCTCAGTAGTGGATTCTTTTTGAGTGTTTTGAAAAAGAAAAACATAGAAATTAGTTGTAAATACTTTTAAATATTTTGTTTAAAAATTATAAAAAAAGTTTAAATGAATTTATTTAAGTTATTTTTAACAAAAAGTTAATATAATATTTAAAATTTATTATTTAGATATGATGGCTTAAATTTTAAAAAATTTAATTTTAATAAATTATTAATTAAATAAAATTCTTAATTCAAATAAAATAAAATTAATTTGTGGATTTAAATGCTTTAAAATAAAAAAAATTATTTTATTTTTAAATAAAACTGAATCGCTTAAAAAATTTAAAATAAATAGAGAGTAATAACATAAATGATTTCTTCGAACTTGGTTTAGTTGAAGTTCCTGATAGCTCTTCTTTATTCACATTCGATTGTTTACATAAAGATAAATAAAAACATAAATATGTTTAACTTAATAGCTATGTATATATCATGAGCAAAAAATATAAATATTATATTGATGTTGAAGTTGATGAAACACAAATATAAAAATCTGGTAATTAATAAGCTATTTATTTATTTAATTTGTATTAATATATTTTTAAAAATTAGGAAACACTTACACTAACTTTTCTTATCCTTAGTTGAAAATCAATTAGAATGAAAAACTTCTATTCAAAGTTTACTAAGCTGACAAAAATGAAGTTTGGGAAATAAATTATGTAATTAGTTGTTTTGGCTATTTGACAAAATTAGCTTTAGCTTTCGAGAATAATCCAATTAGATCAAAAAGTGATGAAAAAATAATGTTTTCTCATGTGAGAAAAATAAAAAAAGCAATTCAATGTATAGTAGACTTGACAAGATTCTGTGAAAATAAAGTAAATTTTAATCTAAAAAATATTTGTTAAAAATTATTTTTTCGTTATTTTTAGGTATACAATATAAGTCCTCAGTAAAAATTTGGAACAGCTAATTAATTTAGGTAGAAACTTTTGAGAGAATAGTATTTTATAGATCTTTTGATCAAAATTTTGGAAAATGCACTTCAGAAATTTGAACTAGATGTCTGGATTAAGTCATAAGATATTTTGCAAAATTCTTTAGTTTCTCATACTAAAAATAAATCTTCAGTCAGCCAATTTAATTTGTAGTCAACACAAAAAAACTCAACTTAAGATTTCTAAATGAAAGGAGGTGACTCATAGATTGATTAGAAAGAATATGTAGCATATATTAATTGGAAAGTGACTCTTTCAAAATTCATTTATAAGCTATTAGAGGCTATTTGCTTGCAAAACAGTTCTAATTAGATATACACCTTCTAGCTCATACCTTTCTTTTAAATACATGGAAAATATATATCAGAAGCGGTTGACTGCATTTCAAACATATGTAAATTAATTACATAAATCAATGATTATTTATTTATTTATTTTTAATTATTTGTTTTTAATTTGGTTTTAAAAAATAAATTTATATCCAATCCAAATAAATTGGTTAGAAGAGTCATCTTGAAAAAATATTTAAATTACGGTTTCAATTTAGTTTCTATATTTTATTTTAGTTTAGATAGAAAAAAAGATGAATATTTAGGAAAATTAAATTATCAAAATAATTTTTGAAATAAATCCTTGAATGAAAATATATATATTAAGAACTTATTTTATTTAAGAAGAAATTAATGAAATTTATAAATAACTTTTCATCATATTTAATAATATTAGGTTCATCTAATGAATAATTGCTTATAAATTTAAGTGAAAATTTATAAATTCAGTATGATTTTAATGAAAATACATACATTAAAGAAGATTAAAGCAGAACGGTTAAATTCTTGATTAATCTTTATGATGGAAACCCTAAAATTTACAAAGAGTCTTCTGTTGAAAACAAAGTTTAATTTGCTTAGCATGAAAAATTAGCCAATAAACCCATTAACTTAATTAACTTTTTTATGAGTCTGTTATGGGATCCTACAGCTAAAAATAAATCAGATTATTTAAGATTCTTGAGTAGAGTATGCTATTTTAATGAAAAGGGAATTACTATTAACTAAGAAAATATTTATAAAGTAAATTTTTTACTAAAATTCCTAAAATTAAACAAGTTTTTATTCTAATAATTATTAATTAGCTATATAAAAAGTTTTCAGCGATACGAGAAGAAATTCAGTAACTTATTTATTATTTATTTATTCAATTTAATTAATTTTTAAAAAAATATTTTGACTAAATTATTTATTTTGTTTTTAAAGCACATTTTAATTTTAAATATTTCTGAATTAGATTAAATTTATAATACGAAAATGGAAGGCTTAAAAAAATTTAGCATTTTTAGGAACTAGAAAATACTTGTGAACAAATCATGTTTTATGCAAATTTATCTTACGGCAGAAATTATTTATGGAGCAAATATTTAAAAGATAAATTTAAATCTGAAGATCTGTTCACATTAATTTGGGACTCTAAAATTATAAATGATGAAATACAGCAAAAACTTTCTTCTTCTTTATGCAGATTAGCACAAACACTCTATATTGATTATGAACCTCTAAATAGAGTTTACAGACCAAATTATTGTAGATTATTCTAAGAAGTAAATATAAAGAAAAAGAAAGACAAAAAAGACAAAAATTAAAAAGATAAATAAGCTGAAATCATTTCTTCATAGGAGATCGAAAAATATAGAAAATTACTTTCAAGTCTCAAGGAATATTTAAATCAAATAAGTATTGAAATCGATGAACAAGCAAGACTTTTTAATCCTAATAAATCCAAATCTTACAGCAATTTAAATGCAAGTGGTAAATCACCAAGTTCCGATCCATTTAAATAAAGTTTTGACTACAGTATTATACCTCAAAAACCTAAAAACATTTCAGGAACTGAAGTGCTTTAGACTATTATGGATTTATTAGACTTACTTCTCCATTTAGATATTTATAGCATAGTAGATAGAGAAGCAGACTTTAGTGAGCTTCTTAGTTTTCTCTTAAGAATTTTGTAATACGACAGAATAGGAATCAAATTCATGTCAGCCTTTTACTTAACTGAAATGAATTCAAGTAAGAAAAAGCTTGAACAACAAAATGCAGCTGCATTAACAAACATAGCTGGAGGTTTTTGTGATGGCTTGACAAAATTATTCAAATTAATAAGTAAATTATTAACTTTATTAGAACTAATTTCAAATGTTGTTTTATAAAAGGTGATTTAATATAGCCCTAATCTAAAACCTCAAATTAAGAAGATTAAAATGGAAACATTTTTGAATTCAGAACTGTGGATGACAATATGCTTTTTAATAACCCTATCATGAAAGGATTTGTTAAACTAAACAATTTAATTGAAACAATCATGTATGCTGACAGTGAGTCAATTTAATTAGAAAATAAAATTAAATAAAAAATTTGTGAAATACTTGATAAATTTCTTTCATTTAGATAAGATTATCTTCTTACTAATTCTCTTTGCTTTTTTAAGAAATTAGTTAAAAATGATATTGAAAAGATAGAAAAGGTAACTATTTAAATTTTCTTTAATTAATTTATTATCACCAATTATCTATTTATAAGATTTCTTTCATTCTTCTTACTTACTTAGTTTCTTATATTCTCACTTACTTTCTTCTTCTTCTTACTTACTTCAGATTATTATTTGCTTGTTTTTTTTAATTTAAAATTAATTAATTTAATATTAGAATGATAGCAAGCTTTTCAAAGCGTTTGATATTCATAAATAAAATTAAAGTATTGGAAAGTAGACTCTTTCTGGATTTTTTGCTTCTGAATTTATGAATATTGGTGGTGATGATGATGCTCCTATAGATGATAAATTGTAAGTTAACCGTTCTCGTGTTGACTCTAATACTCCACTAAACAATAAACGTGTAAGTATTGCTACACCAGAGTAGAAATAATAAAAACAAAGTGCTTTTAAACCAAGACTAGGTTAAAATAATTCTAAAGATTTAGGATCTAATCCTCAATTAAAACCTTAAGAGTCTAAAAGGTCCTCTACAATTAGTGGAAAATAAAAATAAAATACAATTATAAAACCTATTGATGAATAATTTTCTGATTGGTGGATAGATACCATAAAAAAAGAATAGAATAAATATATTTTACCTCCTATTTCTATGACAGGACTCCAAAAAGTAGATAAGCAATATTAAGAACCAGAAGAAAAGTTAAACTTAAATTTAAATTTAAATCTGAACTTAATGGGAACAGAAGAAATTGTTTAACCTAAATTTAAAAATTTTGTTGATGATAAAAAGTAAATAATTTATAGCTTTGATTAGCTACTTACAATGAAAGAAAAAGGCAATAAAAAATTAAAGGAAATTGGCCAATTAACTCACAGTGCTCTTCCTTCTCTTCTATGCACATTTTTATAAACCTAAGATTAAGATTTAGAAATTAAAGTTCTAAATATTATTATGAGACTATTTAACTAGCGTTTTGAGTTAGTTGAGAACCTTGGAGAACTTTAAATCATCTTTGATGCTAATAAAACTTAGTTATTTTAATTTTTGAGATAGTAATTTAGAACAGTTTCAAAATTGATGGAATAGAGTGAAATCTGGTTCCAAACTCTAGAAAAAAAATAAAATGTACAGCTTATTAATGCTTAATCTGGAGAACCAACACCTAGTCATATTAGCATGTCTTCAAAGTTAGTGAATAAAATTATGGATTAAACTGATAATTCACCTTTCTAACTCTCTAAAGGAGTTTCTGTACTTAAGAGATCGACTTTTTCTGAAAAAGAACATGAAGCTTATATGATATTAAAGCTTATAGAAAGCATAAGAAACGGACTTTGCCTTGACATCATCATTAATCCCAATTAAGATTAATTAGGGTAGCATGTTATAGTTAGAAATAAAAATATTGATCCTGAGAAACAGAAAATTCATAAATATTTGAAACTTTATGAGCCAATTATTTAATTAATTAAAGTAATATTACCAAAATATTTCAAAATTTATTTAACTTTTTATTTTTAACTATTTAGGATGGTATGCCTCATTTCGATAATATTATAATGAGTGAATCTTACACAATATTAACAAAAAGAATGATCTACAAGTTGTTTTTAGAAGCATTTGGGTACTTGAAAGATTTTGTAACAAAAAATCCGGATAATTAAATGCTAATTAGTATGTATTTAAATTCATTTTTAAGTCATTTACAGTATGATTTAGGTTAAATTGATTTGATCTGTGAGATATATAAAGATAACATTGATCTCATAGGAAATATTAGTAGCGATTTAGTATAAACATTTATCAACTTAATAGAGCACGAGGGTCGTTAAGACAAATTTTTGGATTTCTTTATTGTGATTTAGAAGTCAAACAAAAAAATGGTTTTCGAAAATTAGCTATTAGTCTTAAACAGCTTCCTACCCCTTGAAGGATTAAATGAACTTGAAATTAAATTGACATATTCAGATGGAGCCAAAAAGACTTCAGATATTTAATTTTATTTTGAAGATGTCAATACTATGGACGACTAAAATTTGATAGATCGCTTGATGGAAGTCGATTTCAGAGATACATATTTAGATTAACCTTTTAGATATCATGCTAAGTTGCTCATTTGTCTTCTCTACTCTACTCTCTAAACAAATTTAGATATAAATGATCCATTCTTAAATATAAGCAAAGACCACTTCAATATCAGTGTTGCAAAGCTCAAAAAAACATTTTCATTTTTCTATCTTTTAGAGGTTCTACAAAAAGAAGATGATTTTGTTTAATATAGCGGATATACCTATTAAGAAGATGAAAAAGTTGAAGTTTAAGATGATGTAATCCTTTAATCATAGTTTTTATCAGATAAGGAACTTAGAAAACAAGGATTTAGTTACTTAAAACCTTATGTATGCGATTTTATCAAGATTGTCCATATATTTTCAGATACTTAGATGACAGAAACTCTCTTCAGTGAGTTAACATATACCTAAAAAGGTATTAATTAATTAATTGCAATTCGAATTTTTTCTTTTAGAATTTAATTAATTTTCAAATAAAAAGAATTCTCATAGTTTATCGAGAAAGAAGGATTAAGATTTATCAGTGTTCAAGAAGATAAGATTAATTTGAGATATGTTGAATATGTTTGTATTCATGTATTTGGCATGGTGCAAGCATATTTTGATAAATATCTGTAAAATTATGTTGATAAGCATTCAAAAGAAGAAGAAGAGAGAAGAGATTTAGTTAAAGTTAGAGAATTCGTTGACAACATTGCAAAAAAAGTAATTTTCTTAGGAAAAAAAATTTTTTTTTTTCAAACAAATTTAATTTTTATTAATTAAAAGATGAAATCTAGTAAAACAATCAGAAAACAATTTTAGGATTATGATAAACATTTCGAAAGAGTTAAAACTCTCTAAAGATCCTTTTTCAAGGCTACAAATGTTATCCTCAATAACGATGAAGCAGATGATTTCTTTGATGCAATGAGCTAAAGTGAATCAAGATCTGATATTGATAATGAATAAGTTTAAGATTTAGAACCAGATCAATAAAATAAATAAGTTGGTTTTTCTTTATTCCCAAGTAGCAATTTTAAACCAGAAATGAAATCTTCAAATTAGATTATTAAGAAAGAAGTTAAATTAGATTCTTCATCTAGGAAAGAATCTCTCTTTGGTAGTAAAGATAAACTGGGTATCTAAGAAATGATCTTATAAGAGTATTAAGAGTTGCACTGGAAGTAATTTGTAGTTGCTATGAATAAGTCAGATCTGATCATTGAGCAGGTTGACAGAGAAGTTAAAGCTTTTGCAGATGCTATTTTAAATATCGAGCAGTATATTGATTAGGAATATCAAAGATACATAGACCCAAAATTAGATCTTAACTTGATCCTTAAGAAATTTATTAAATTCTTATAATTCAGTTTGAAAGTAGGAAATAGCAAGGTAAATTATAAATGATTTTTGATGAATTTTACTTAAATTTTAACAAATACATAATACATCAAAAGTAAACTGCATTGACTCTGATAAATGTACTGAAAACAATCGTAGAAAAAGACCCTGAGCAAATAGTTAATAGATAAGATTAAATGGATAAACTTGGAGCAAGCTAAATGGTTTTAATTATATTATCAGAATATTCTCACAATTTAGATGGATAGTTATATATTGATTTTGTATCTTTCTTGAATACCTTATTAAAGGGAGGCAATTCTCGTGTTTAAAAGACAGTTTATGATTTCTTTGTAAATCAGCCAAAGGTATGCTAACATATATTTTAAAATAATAGTTTTGTAAAAATATATTTTTGTTAAATAAGTCTGAGATAATTTTCATGAAGTTTAGCTAGTTCATCAGAAAGTAAATTGATTACATCGAACAAGAAGCTAAAATAAAGAAAAGAAAGGAGGAAGAAAAAAAGGGTAAGCTAAAAAATATAGGAAATGATGACTTTTAAGAAGGTATTTCTTAAATTGTTGATGATGAAGAAGGAAAAGATGACGGAGAAGAAGGAACATCTTTCACTCATGCATAAGATGTCATTATTTTAGACTGTGTGTTAGATTTCCTTTCTCTAGCAGTAGCAGGACACTATACAGAAATGCAGGATTATATCAGAGAATAATTTAATTTGAGAAACAAATATGATATGGTTTAAAATGTTGCTGATTTATTGAAGGCTTACTATAATGAAGGTGGTTAGTAATAATATTATGAAGGTATGATGAAGTGCTTAGACACTCTTATCAAATTCGTATAAGGTCCATGCTTTAATAATTAACAGGCTGTATCAGATAGCAAATTTTTTGATGTTGCTCATGATTTATTTGAAAGGGAAATGAAATATAAGTCAGGACCTGATGACGGAAAAGTAAAATCATATTTAATGAAATTTATTAAAAACAGCAATCAAACATAATTAAATTTAACATAAGCGATTGCTTGTTTGCGAGCTAATTCTTTTCTTGAAATTTTGAAATAATAAAAACTAATTTATGAAAAAATAATTAACAGAGCTAGTTCACATCTAGAAAGTCATAAACTGGAAGCAAGTAGGGTAGATAAACAATAAAAACTAAATCAATCTTAAGTAGAGTCAAATAAGGTTCAGGAGAAGAGCCTTTTGAAAATTGGATGATCGCTAGACTTTAATACAAAGTAATAATAATTAAATTCAAAAAATTTTATAAAAACAAACTATTTTTTCTTTTTAATAGTGTTTGTGCTTAGTTCATAGTTTATTAGAAGGTCGTAATGTGAAGATAGATTAAAGTATTATTAAGAAAATTGCAAGAAATATTCAAATTGACACAATAGAAAAGCGTATTGTAGAAGTGTATACAAGCTTTGATACCATTTATAATGGAGATTATGTTATGGGAAGCTTTGATCACATTAACTTTTCTTTCGACCCAAGTAACATAAAAGAATAAGAAAATCCATACTACAAACAGAATATGGACAAATATCCTAACACGATTATATAAAATGCATTCATGCTCTACATTCTCTTCTGTCTTTATGTATTTTTATTCTATTAATTAATCACATTTTTTAAGAATTAATTTATTGAATTAACAGAAAGATTCTGGAGAAAGGATAGATAATAACATTATGCAATTTTATAAATTGCAATATAAAAAGAGCATCTTATCAGAAAAGAATGCTCTTATATCATTCCTGACAGGTGATAATTTAATAGGAAATATTGTTACTTTTGTTAAATCATTTATCGAAAGTAGTATCAAGACAGCTTAAAGTATTAAAAACTAGGCTTAAAAGTAAATTAAAAACTTAAGGGAATAACCTAGTGAAGAAGAAGATGAGTTAGCTAGAAGAAAATTGTAGGCTAAACAATAAGAAAAATTCAAAGAAAATCTTTAGAAGGCAGTAAAATTCCTTTTTAAAAATACAGCTCACATAGAAGTTTTAAGAAATGGATAAATTGAAATCATTTATTTTTATCTTCTGCCATTCTGCTAAAGACTTCCTAAAGATAAGAAAAAAGATTTCAACGAATAAGTTGATCGCACAAATGTAAAAAATAAAATTTTATTAGGGTAAAATAATATTTTTTAATTAAATTTTATTTGTAAAAAAAGGAAAAAGCTAAGGTAACAGGCCTTATGACTTAAGCAGATTATTTGCTTGATGTTTGTAGATAAGAAGAAAATCTAAACAAATTCTTCATGTCAAATAAATTCATTTCTTTATTTGCTAACTATGTCAAGCTATGGAAGGATGTTGCTTTCATGCTGACAATTGTATTGAACATATTTAACTTATTAACTTTTACAAGTAAGTTTGATGATAGATTCTACAACTAACATTTATTTTTGGATGTAAGATACTTATAAAAATTAATATTGTTATTAAATTTATTATTTTATAGTATAAATCATACTCTGTTTAATAAACAAATCGTATCATATATCTGCTCGGAGCTATCATGACCTGCTGCAGCATGTTTGTTGTTTCCTTTTTCTTAGTTAAGAATCTTCCTGTTTTAATTAAAAGAATTTGGAGTGCTGATAAAGGTTAAGAAAATGAACTTTTTAAACACTTTTTGGCGAGAATATTTTTATGGCTTTTCAAATTAATCAAAATAATGGTAAGTCTATTGCAGGAAATAGAAATTATATATTACATATGTTACGGAACTTTTGCAATTTTAGGTACTGTTGTTCACCCATTCTTCTTTACTTTCCACTTATCTGAAATATTTATAAGGTAAAGTTACAAACAAACAAACAAATAAATTAAGTTTATTTATTTATTTACTTAATAATATTTTTAACAAACTATTAATAGATTCCCTCTACTTATGAGTGTTATTAATGCTGTGTATATTCCAAGAAAGAATCTTCTTTTGACATACATCTTGTATTTAATACTTGCTTGGTTGTTTTCACTATTTGCATATTATTTTTATGCTTCTACCATTTTAACAGACGAGTGCTCTACGTTAGCTTATTGCTTTGGTTTGCTTCTTGATTAAACATTCAAAGTAATTATTTAGCTATAAATTAATTTTTATTTTCTTAAATACTGTCTATATAAAAAAGTCAAATGGTGGTGTTGGAGGATATATAACAGGCAATTTTTAAGGAACTGATCATGATGGTAATCGTACTGATCATGACTTCTTTTAGCCTGGAAGATTTTTCTTTGATAATTTATTCTGCATTTTTGTTGTAATTATTATGGTCAATATTGTTGCAGGTTAAATTATCGATTAATTTGGTGAATTAAGAGAAAGAGAAAATAGTAAAATAGAGGATACTGAAGGAAAATGCTTTATCTGTGGTATCAAATCGTAATGAAATAAATATTAATTTTATTTTTAAAAAATATATTTCTGTTTATCATGTTATTAACATTATTTTCTTCAAATAGGGATTTGTTTGATAAGAAAGTAGATAAGAGTAGCAGAGGAGGTTTTTATAGCCATATAAAAGAAAATCATCACATGTGGAATTACGTTTTTTATATAGGTTACTTAAGGAGCATTAATCCTTTAGAATACTCAGGTATATAGCAATTCATACACGATATGATTTAAGAAAATGAACCTGCATGGTAATTAAATCAGTTTTATACATTTTAGATAATCATCATTAATTTTTGTATTAAAATTAATAGGTTCCCAACCAATAGAGCTAGTGATTTAGATTTAGAAGAAGATAGTAGCGAAAAAGAAAAATAAATTGTCAATGAAATAATATAAAATGTAAAAATTAAATTAAATTCTCATTATAAAAATAAAATTAAATATTTATTTATCTAATAGACCAATCTAATAAATGAAAGCGCAAAAAATGTCTTGAAAACCCTAAGCTAATTAAAAAATAATTGAAAAATAAAAAAAATTTAGAGATTAATTTAAATTAAAAAAAATAAATAATTCTATTTATCTATTTACCAGCTGTTGTCATTTATTAATACACTAGCAAAAATTCAACACCATATTTATTTAATCAATATATTTATAATTTTAAAAAAATTAGTCAAAACTAGAATCAAATATGCATACAAAAACTAATATTTCTTATTATTCATTATGAAAAAAGACATATAAATTGAGTATTTTTTAATGCCTTTTTTTTAAATATTTTTAAGTTGCTTTTTAATATTTTTAATTTTATTTTAGACAATTTTCATAAAAATAATTTAATGAAATATCAATCAAAAAATATGGAAATTAAATATAAAATATAACAAAGAATATCAAAAAATAAAATCTTATCATCAAAAAAATTTAACTAACTGCTACTCTTAAAATTCTAATGCTTTTGCAAAAAAGTAAAAAAATAAATATAAAAAAGAAAACCATAAAAATGAAGTTAAATGGAATATTGAATGAATTAATAGCATATAAAAAACAAATATAAATTTTCTATTTACATGATTCTTATTTAAGAGAGTTTGTGTTTATTTATGTATTTATGAATGAAAAATTTTGTTTGGATACGAAAGAATTTAATAAGTATTGAGTGCTATAATTATATAATATAAGTGTTTATATATTTTGGAGAATTATACATTTAGCAGGAGCAACGATCGATAATTATTCGAATGACATACATATCCTACTAGCGTTATTAACAAGCTCTCATAGAAATAAGAGTGGGTGGAGAAATAATTGTTTGATATTTTTTATGAGTATAATTAATAGTTTTATATTTATTTATCATATTTTGTTGTTATGTTAGTTAGTTCATGGTTATTATTAGAATTAAGAGAATTAGTTATAAACAAGTTAGAGAAAGGAATTATAAGAAAATCATGAGAAATATTATCATTTATTTCATCATTATTAAAAAAGGTTAGATTTTTAGCAAGTAAGCAAAAAAAAATCCTCCTTCTTAATCAAATTTATTCAATCAAAATTGACTGACTTTCTTAATGGGAGAAACACCACTGTTATTGGGCATTAATTTTTTACCAGAGCCATAAGAAGGTTGTCTAGTCTTGACAAAAACGTCATAAAGGTTCTTGGTAGTAGCAACTTCAGCACCGAGCTTAGAAATTCTCATTTAGTAATCAGAGAGGTCAGTGTTGTTTTAAATGTCTACTAAGGATTTTTCAAGCTTTTAATATTAATCTGCCTTTTCTCCTAATTATCTGTCCTTCATTTCAATTATATTCTTCAAGTCTTCAATTTCATTGGCCATAGCTTCTAATTAGTTATTATGGGATGCCTTGATAGACTCGATGGTGTAGTTGTTTGAGCTTTCTAACTTGTGTCTTAATTCTTGGATTTCTTAAGCTTTTAATTTCTCCAACATGACCATGTGGTTATTTAAGCTGTCAATTTCAGCATTAAGCTTCTTATTTTCAGTTTCTAAGAGATTTCTATGGATTTAATGACTGTTGGTTTCTTCTGTCTTTATCTTCAAGTTATCTATTATTAATTAAACAATAATTATTTATTAATTTATATTTATAATATATTTATTTATTTACCTCTAGCTCTGCTAAGTTCATTTTCAAGATAGTCAATTTGAGCTTCGAATTTCTTGGTTCTTTCTGAGTTATTGTTATCAAGAGCAACTACTTTTTGACGAAGTTCTTCAAGTTGAAGATTCTTAGAGTATTCTAATTGGTCAAGTCTCTTTCTGAGGTCGCTATTGTCGAGCTTGAGTTGTCTGATATCTTCTTCTAAATTGTTCTTGATAGTTCTGTGTTAAGCGATATTAATATCAATTTCATTGTTCTTATGTACAAGTAATTGTTTTAACTTTTCAATTTCACTTTCAAGGAATTAAATTTATCTTCTTTGTTATTCAGAGAACTCAGCATGAGCACTGTTAGCACGGTTAAGGGCTTCAGTGGCTTCATCATAATCTTTCTTTCTGTCTTCTTCAAGGACTTAGTATTTTAACTTTTAGGTTTCAATATCGCTATTAAGTCTATCACACTTAGCATTGAATGCATCTCTTTAGTTGTTCTTTTCTCTGATTTAGTTTTCGATTTCCTCTTACTTAAGATCAATAACTCTCTTCAAGTCGTTGATTTAATCATTGAGCATCTTAACTTGATTATCATGACGATCCTTCAAGTTTTAGATATCAGTGGTATGAAGCTTAGCGAGTTTATTTTAGATATCATCAATTTCATCTTCCTTGCAACGGTTATTTTCTAAAATTTTGTCCTTGAGAGCTTCATTTTCATCACGAACGGATTATAGTTCATTATCGAAATTACGCTTTTATGATTTATTTTACTAGATGAGAGTACCAATTTCTTAGTTCTTGATATCGAGTAAGTTCTTGAGCTTGTTAAGTTCACTTTCAAGAACATCTAATTCACTTTCGTGTAATTTCTTTAAAGCACTAATTTATTCTAAAGTAAGACCATCACATCTTCTCTTCAAGTTTTCAAGTTCTTTTGATTGATCAAGTTCCATTTGAGAGATCTTCATTCTTAATTTTTCTCTGTCTTCGTTGAGTCTATTTTATTCACTTTCAGAGTAATTCTTAAGATCCATCAATTTTCCTTATAAATTGAGGTTTTCTTTTTCTCTTTCTTCAAGGTTATCTCTCATTTTTCTTAACTATTTATAGTAAATTAAAATTTAATACAAAAAAAAGTGAATGAATTTAATTTATGGCTATAGTTGTTTTACGCAAAAAAAAAAAATAGAAGGAAAAAATTTTGGTTAAATATTTTGAGGTGGTAAATAAGAATTATTTTTGATACTGGGCTATTAATTTTTATTGCTTATGGCTAATTATTATTTTATTTATTGGTAAATAAAGCTTTGCTTATAAAAAATCAAAGAAATAAAAAATTAAATTTATAATTAAATCAACTTTTTTTTTGTAAAGTTGCCAAATATTTAGAAAAAATATGGCTTTTAAAGTTTCTAAAAATCATTTTTTAAAAATCTGCACATTTTTTTTTATTTAATTTTATTATAATTAAAATAATTTTTTACTTGTTCTTCATAGAGAGTAACATTAGAGCAGTGGGAACGCTTAAGAGATTCGATTTAGGTGAGATTATCATGGATTAATTATTATTTAGTTTCTTAAGCTTCTTTAAGTCTTTCTTGTTAGAGACCATCGTAAAGTTCTCTGGATTGAGATAATTCATTTTGTAATCTCTTGATTTCTCTTTCGTAATTGTCCTTGAGAGAAAGGATTGTATTCATTTAAGCATCATATTTGCTCTTCCAGATATCAGATTCAGTTCTCTTTTAGGAGAATTATTTGGAAAGTTAGTCGTTTTCACCTAAAAGTTGGGCATTTTGCTTGAGAATATCATCAACCTTGCTTTCAAGATCTTTAGCTTTCTTAGCCTTGAATGAAGCGAGTTCAAGATCAGTATTGACTTAGCAGAGAGAAGTTTCTAACTCGTTGCAACGACTCTTCCATAAGTCTACTTCATCCTATTAGGCTAAGGTAAGATTTTTGTTAGGACTAGCTTCAATGTTAGGGCGGACAGGTTAGACAGACTTCTTAGCAGTGCTCTATAAAGATTTGCTAGGAGAGATAGTAGAGGTGTAGTAGACAGAAGAAGGCTTGACGTAGTGGATAGGACTAATAGATCTGTTTGGAGAACTGGTAGTGTTATTTTAAACACCAGAAGAATGGGGATTGTTGCGTACGTAGCTGCTCATTTTTTGCTATGAAAGGGCTATATTAATATTTTTTGTAAACTGATAGTGGTTTTTTGTATGATAAGAGTTGGATTGCTTTTTCGAAATCGCTTGTTTGTTTGTTTGATGGCTGCTTTTATTTATTTGTTTGTTTGTTTTTAAGCTTTCTCTTTTTTGCAAAGAATTTAATTATTATTTATTATAAGAAGTGTATTATCAGAAGGACTTACTTATAAAGCATCGATAAATTTTATTAAATTTCTGTTTAACTAATTTTATTAATTTTATTGGATATTATTAAAAGAATATTGATCAATTTTATTGATTGCTTCTTTTATTATCTATGTAATTTATTTACGTAAGCGAATTTATCTCAATTATATTTTAACTTATCTTTATTTTATTAACAAATTTGTTCGTTTACAACCCGTAATTAGTTGTTAAAACTCAAAAATTTTATCTTTATTTTTTGAGCATTCAAAATCAGTCTATAAATCAAATAAATTATCAAAAACACTAACAAACATACAAACAAACAAATAAAAAAACAAGCAAATAAACAAAAATAAATAATAAGAAGTTTTTATTTCAAATAATTCTTATTATTATTTTTAATTTTAGTAAATGAATGATCAAAAAGTAAAATGAAAAAGAATTCCAATCAAAAACTTATTGTAAGAAATAAATTTTCTAAGTATGGCAGAGTTTTGTTTCTTATCAAATAGGATATTTCTATTAAGTTTTTATTCAACAATCTCATTTTTAAAACAAAAGAATTGCTTACAGCAATTTCTTTACCACAATTAATTCGAAATATTTGCTATAATAAAAAAATTGAATTTAACTATATCAAATTTATTGATTGTCATTCATTTCTCCCCACTTAGTAGGTAGATTCGCTTTTAATTTTCAATAAAATTTAACAGCTAATTCAAAATATATTAAATAAAATAAATAGCCTGTTGATTGAATTTGTTTTGCTAGATAATAAATAAACAATCAGACACTTAACTTTTTTTAATTATCCTTCACTATTTTTTTCTCCACTAATATTCACTTTATAAAGGAAAATATCCTTTTCTATTATTTTCTAGTTAAGATAAAGTGATAATCAAAAATATTGCGCAATAAATTTTTTATGACCATTTATGTTTTCTTTTTCTCTTTTATGAAATAACAAAAAGACAACCCATTTTTAAATAATAAATAAGAGTTTTATCTTTTAAATATAAAACCAAATTGCAAATTCTATTTTAATTGAGTCAAAATTTCCATTTATCTTTTCATCTAAATAAATTTTTTAAATATGTTGAAAATAATATCAAAATAGTTTCTATTTAGAATTTTTCTATCAAAAAATTCATTTTAATCTTCTAAAAAAATCAAATAAAGAATGAATTAAAAAGTATTAAAGGAATTTGCTCAATATCATCTAAAGTAAATTTATGATGAAGTCAAATAGTTTTCTGATAGGACATAAAAGATAAAAATAGAATAAAAAGTAAGTAAAAAGAATATATACAATAATTATTTTTAATTAATTGTTTGAGTTAGTTGTGAATTAAAAAGTTAATTACAAATAAAAATTAATATATATTTTATAAATTTTAATATATTAACAATTAAATAAATCGTATTTATCTATTTATCTAAGTAATAAAATAAAGAAGTAGAAGAAAAACATATTTTTTGATTAATTATAAACAAAATAATGAATTTATTTTTAAAGAAATTACTTTTGATTTTTACTTAAATGCATTAAGTTTATTTGCAAAATAAATATATGAATAAAAAGAAGATTGATTTGCCAATTAATTATATACATATTTAATATACATTCAAACTGTTTTAATTTGTAGATTATTTATAAATTAAAATATTACTTAAAAAATATCTTTTAAGATTTTATTTTATATTTTAAAAATTTTTAAATTTATTAATGAATAACTAGATTAATTATCATCTTACAGCTTAATTTATTTATTCATTCTTCGATATTTTTGATTAAAAAATAATTTAATTGTAAATAATGAAGTAAAATTTATTTTCCCATATTTCACTCGTTAAGTCTCCCTCTTTCATTTCTTCAACTAAAAGATACATCCAAAGCTATTTATTAATCATTATTTTCTTCATTTGTGATTTTCGTTTTGTCTTTTAATTAACTTTTTTATTCTTACGGTGGTTGACTACGATTTGCTTCGAGAGGTTCGTCCTATTTCTCTGCCTCTTCTAAAGCTTCTAAATCTTTTTCAAATTAATTTATTGTAATTTAATTATCTACTTTTTCACTATCTTCCTCTTAAATTTCTTAATTTAGATTTTTTTAATGATCTTAGGGTTTTTCATGATTTTCTGCTTATGAATTCTTTTCTTCCTCATGCTACAAATTCTATTAATTGTCTTATTAATATTATGGTGGATTATCACATCTAAAAGTATAGGGCTTTCCGGGAGAGAAAAGAATTTCCTAACCTAATGAACTAGACTAAGAATTAATTGCCTGCTACATTTGATGAATAATCATATCACTATTTTGCTTATCTATTTAATCTTAGTTATAATTATTTTAAGATTATTGTTGCTCAGCTTAATTATTAGCATTTAAAAATAAATTTATTTGAATTTATTCTTACTATTCATCTTCATCTTCTTCTTCCTCTTCTTCTTAATCTTATCCATTCTACTATTATTAAATTTAATTCTATTGCTATGTCTATTGTTAATATAGTTCATTTTCATCTTCATCATAATTGAGAGATTTCTATTGTTTTAATAGTTCCTCATATTATTTAATCGCTTTTAGTTCTTCATCTTGCATATACCTTGTATAATCTTTTTCTTTTTATTTAGCATTTGAAAAAACATTTTCTGTTTTCATTCTTGTATGCTACTAATTCTGATTGCTTTACTGCTGAACTCTATTTGATTCTTCTATTTCGTCTTCTTCATCATCATTTTAGTATTACTCATTTTTTACTTGGAGAGATTATGCATATTAAAGCTTCATATCTGGTGGATTTTGAATAGTTTTTGATGGTTATTTTGAGTAAAGAATAGTGCTCTTAGAGCGATTCTTATCATATTAACCTGTCTCTGTGAAATTTACTCCTCCCTATCTAATTTAATTATTAGAACCATCTACATTCTTTAGAGTTCTACGCATATTGTTGGCTGAAGCATGCAATAGTTCTACTTTTCTAGAATAGTTTTCTATTTCTTTGTGAACTTTGGTTGAAACATAGAACCATTGTGGTTCAATGATATAGTTGAGTTAATCAAAATTTTATTTCATAGAGTAAAACTGATTCATCTAGTCAGTAAGAGAGATAAGCTCTTGGTAGAGCTAGTAAAATTAAATTAAATCTATTGTAGTTAACAGTGGGTATGTTTGTACAAGCTCGTTTATTTCTTAGCTCATTACATTGTAATAGCTTACGCAGTCATGCAAAATAAGCAATGCTATATCCTATATAAAAAAGTGGGTTGGGTAATTCTTGAAAACTCTCTAAAAACTTATTTGCATCTTCAGCACATAAGAAAATATATTTGAAAGCTTAAAGAGCCACATAAATTTCAGTTTATAATCTAGTTTTGCATCTTCTGTTTAAGGGAGCTTTCCTTCCTTTTAAAATTAAACAGATTAACTTAGCTCGTTTGAATAAAAACATTTTTAAAATTCGAATAAAATTAATTAAAATTAGTAAAATGTAAGCTATTTTCTATTTTTAAAACACCCCTTATCATATTTAGCACAAAGGATCTACATGCTTTTCTATTATTTTACTGTTATAAAAGAGCAAATAGAAAAAAGATACTTTTAAATATATTTGAAGTTCTTTTTCAAAAATGTATTTTTCTACTATTTAATAATAAGTAAATTAGTTACTTCAATGCATATTTTATAGATTTAATAGTTATTGGCTAACCTTAGAAGATAATTAAAGTAGTATGTCAGAATATTTTCATTAATCCAGTCTTCTACATCTATTATATGATACAAAATCTACTTTGGCTTTTTTGGAACATGATCTAACAAATTTTAAAATTTATATGAAAGGAATTCCTATGCAAATAATTCCCCTAACTCAATGATATACTTATGGAACGTCGTCATTATCTTCAACCTTGCAGGTATTGAAAATTTACCACTTTCAATAATCAAAAAGAATTATCTTAATCCTTCTTCAATTGATAATCCATTTTTACCCTCTATGTAGGCTCTGATTTTAGTAAGATCGTCTGCCTATATTTTTACTAATGAATCTGTTGCAATACAACTTTTCATTATGCATTTTTCAAAGGATTTATCAAACGACTACTATTTTTTCTTAGAATTTCCAAACAAATTCTTTAAAAAAGACATTTCTTTTTTGAGAGAAAACCTATTTTTTAATATTCTTAACCTATTTAGAACGTGAAAAATTATTTAGTGTTGAATTATAATTAATTAAAATGTAATTTTTTAAGACTAAATAAATCACAACGAAGATTATCTCAAAAAATAAATATTAAAAATGCAAAATCGTTTATTAATACAATATATTAAGCTAATTATTAATCCATTTAAATAAATACCAATCAAATGAATAAAGCGAATTCATTTATTTTAGTTTACAATTAATGAAATTTATTAATTTTATTCATTTAATTATCTCAAAATCTCAAACACGATCTTTTAAAAGGTCAAACTAAGTTTTATAGCAACATAAAAATTAATAAATATTTTTGACTTAAATTCTAAAGTATTCATTTTATTTATAAAAAAACATCTACCACTAGTTTATTTGATCTAAAAAACTAATTTTAATGTTTTTGTTTGGCCACTCTTATTATAATAATAAATTTACATACAAATTCAAATTATTCCATTTTAAAAAAGGTAAGAATTATGAATTTAAATTAAATGATTAAATTACTTGTTTTAAATTACTATTTTTTTAAAATAACAAAGATTAAATCTAATTAATTTTTATTCAAATTAAAAGAAAAATTATAATTAATTTTTATATTCTTAATAATCTACAATAAATTTAATCTATCTAAATAATAAAAATTTATAATTTTCAAATTTAATATTAATTAATAATTAATTTGAAATTGAATATAATTTTATAAAAATTTTTTATCATATTCTTATAATCAATAATTAGACTATTTGAATTTTATTCATTTTTGATAAAGGTATTTCTTAAATTCTTTTATTAATATATATTTTATTTAGTATCTATCTACCTTTTTATTACCTTTAATTGGCATCTTAACCTATTCTTTTTAATTTATAAATACCAAATTATTCTTTAAATTTAACTCATATAATAATTATTGATTGAAAGATAATTTTACTAAAAAGCGAAAAAATAAAGTAAAAAGTTAAATTTGATTTATCATACATTAATTAATATTTAAGTAAGATTTACATTTCAAAAAAGATTTGTTTTAATTTTGATAAAAGGGAAATCCTATTGCTGATAAGAAAAACTTATTTGTTATTTTTAATTAGATTATTTTTACTTTTTTGCTTTTTAGAATCAAAAATTTTAGTGGATTAAATTTTTCGAATTAAACTTAAGTAATAAATAAACTATTAAATCAAATGGGCAAAGAAAAGTAATACAGTTTAATAAGATATTTTGATATCTTAGCTCCTCCATATTATTAAAAAATAAATCAAGACCATTATAAAAAGAAAACAGTAATTGGAGGACTATACTCTCTTTTATTGATGTCTGCATCTATAGGCTATTTAATGTATTTACTCATATTCTTTTATCAAGGAAATATTGCTCCTAAATATAATCAATATGAAGAATTTTTAGATGAAGGAACATAATACACAATTAAACTTAAAAAGCTTTATATTGAGCTAACTTAAGGTTCAAGATAACTATCTGAAATAGAATAGCAAAATAAAATTTAATATTTTGATGTTTACCTTAAAAATATGGAAGACTAATAAATAATATAGTCAAACAATTATTAAAATGGAGTATCATTTTTTGATTAAAATAATACAAATATAACACTTTAAAGCAGTATTATGCCATTTTAAGGTTAAAATTATGTAATTTTGATTTAAAAATGCTCATAAAAATATTTAAGAGATGTTAATTATAGGTGTGCTAATTAAGATGAAATCAACTAGCTGCTGTAAAAAAATGATATTAGCATAATCACTTATTTTGCAGATAAAACATTTTCTATAAAAAATAAAGGCCTAAAAGATAGATTATTTATAAATTTTAGTTTTATAAATAACAAGTATAAACAATTTTCCATGATAAATGCCAAAATTTAAGAAACATAAGTTTAAAATGGAATACTGTTTTAATCTTCTTAATATTATAAATAAATATACGATTTCAGTATTTAAAATTATTAGAATTCAGTAAATCCTAGCGATGGTGAATATAGTGAAATTTTGATTTAGTTAGATAATATGGTAAGGTAATCATAAATTCAATACCCTGTTATATCAGAAATATTTGCATAAGCTTGGGGTATAGCATCGTTATTATTACTAACTGGATATATCTTCAAATATGTTACAAGAGCAACACTTGCCTAAGATTTTTTAGGCATATAACTCAAGTATTACTATAAAAAGACAGCTTTAAGATTATTCGAACGTAAAGACAATACAAATTAAAGTAATTTAGAATTGCATCAGTAAGCCGAAGCTATATCTAAGCAAAATGAAGAAATTTAATAAGCTAGTTTCAAAAAGAACTTAAAAAGTTATTTTAAAATTTCTAATTATTAAAAGTAAATTAATTAATAAATATCTTTTTACATTTTCAATAAATTATATAAAAATTAACTTTATTTTTTTTAAATTCCTAAAATCATTTCAAGATTAGAAGATTAGAGAGAAATAATTATCTTTAAAATTAAAATATTTAATTATTTATTTATATAAAAAGATGGAAAGTGTTTTTTTTTCCAAGACGCTGTCTAAGACGTAAGAAAAATATGACGAAAAATGAAGAATTGCTAGACATTTTAATTAAATAAACAAGTAAAGACATGTGTGTATTTGAAATGCAAAAAGAGTTTTTAAAACTAAGAGCAGCAATCAAGCTTTTATTAACTCCAGAGCAATATTCTGCAATTCATATGTGTGGCTGCGATTTGGTATAAGATGAGTATATTAACACTGAAAAAGAAAACAATCCTTAAGGTGAAAAAAGTATTGATTAGAGCGATAAAAGTGAAAATATCTCTAATCTATCAAGTTCAGATATATAAAACCCTATAAATAGGTAGTAATATGACCATTCAATTATTTAAATAAATTAGTAAAGAATCTTAAATCATTTAGAGCTAATGAATAAAGTTGATGTAGATTCACTTTATAGGTAATAATGCTTAGAAAAATTTTTGAATAGCTATTAAAAAAGCTAAAGTAGTGACTAATAAATAGTTAACCAACGAATATTTAATTGTATGATAGGAATTTAAAATTATAATTCTCAATTAATAAATTCATGATATAATATGATACAATTTTTTTGATCAGAAAAATTAATTAATTGAGAATATTGTAATATATTATTTTATGTTTAAATGTAAGTATATTTCTATTTTTTATAATTTGATTTGATTTTTAAAATAAAATTGTTTGTAAATTTGATAATACTTGATTAAGTCATATTGCACATTTAATTTTTGAAAATATTTTTATTACAGAAAAAGCTAACATAATCAAAAATATATGTGAATACAACACAATTTCTCATTAAATACTGTTTGAAAATAAATTAATCAAATGAAAAAGCAAATATAATACTCAAATAATTAGCTAAAATATAATTTTCTAAAAAAATTAAAAAAATAAAATTTTATACATTAAATAATATTTAAAAAAAAAAATAATTAATTACTTAAATAAATAAAAATAGTTTTTTTTTATTTTTATAAAATTAAATACTTAACATGAATAAGATTTAATGGAATTAATTAAAATAATTTAATAATCTTATTTTTATATTTTTTTCATTCGTTTTTAATTATAGAAGCTATATGATTAATACAAATTAACCATATATTTTTAGATATTTAAATTATTGATTATATTTATATATTTAGTTTGACTAAAGATTGTTTGTTTGATTCATTGATTTACTTATTAACTGAACCAGTAAAAAAAATAGCTTGCATTTATTTTAAATAAATTTTAAAGGAAAGATTAAAAATGGCTACTAATTTTTTATATCAGTAGATTACAAATTTAGATCTTTATTCAGTCCCATTTTAGTATAATTTAAAGAGCTAGTAGAAATCAAGTAAAACATTTATTGGAGGTTTTTGCTCGCTAATCGTTATTATTATTTCTTTGATCTATCTTTTGTATCTAAGCATTTTATACTTCAGCAATCAGATATAACCAACGATATCTACTAAAAGTAAAATAACAATGGATTCATTTTCAGTTGAAATACCAAATGACTTTATCACTATAAAAATAATTTTATCTAGTGGCTAAAACCTTATTGACTATCAAAAATAGTCTGGAAAATAGCTGTTACTTGTTGGAATGCAACATAAGCGTAGAGATCAAACAAATAGCTCTAATTTTATACTTGATTACTACAAGATGGATGTTTGCGAAGATACGAGTTTAGCAGGATATTATTGTATTAATTTTAACAAATAACTAGGTGTCTAGAACAATAATAAGACCAGCATTCAATTAAATTTCAATAGCACATAAGATTAACAAGACAAGTTAATGTTAATTTGGTCTATGTGTGACAAAAGATATATTGAAGTAGGTGAAGTTTGTGAAGATGATTCAAATGTTTTAAAAACTTAAATTATAAACTTGAATACATAAATTACAGTACGAGTAAAATTGTATTAATTTAATCCCTTGACTAAATAAGTGGAATCAAAATGGAAATCCGAGACTTATTTAATCGATTCTATCCTTTCTCTAATTAGTTAGCTTAAATTAAAATTAGATAACGCTACTGTTATAGATGGATTAGTAATTTAAAAAACTTAAGAAATGAGCTATATAAGCGATTACTAAAGGATTGATACCACTTTAACATAGGATTTCATTAGCAAATACTTTGACCTTAAAGTATTTGGCTGTGTAATGCTATATTTAAATTAATATAATACAGATACAAATATTTAATATATAGCATTTTCTTATATTATTGCTTAATTCACTAGTATTTTTCATATAATAATTATGTTAGGAATCTTTTGTAAGAAAATATCTGAATCAGATATCATTTGTGAGCTAATACAATAACAGCTAAAAGTTAAATATAAACAAACAGCTTTAAATCTAATTAATAAAATATAATAAATCGATTCTTAGAAGTGCCTTGAGTCTTACAAAATACTCTATGATATTAATTTTAAAGATAAATTCAAGAGAATATTTGAAGTAGGATTAATAAGAAAGTAATTAATTTGATTTATTTTTTGACTATTCTTTTTTTTTATTTTTTTTATATTTTTAAATAGGTTACAGCTCTTTTTTATTTCTTCCTCATAGTAAGATTTGCTAAAATCTAAAAGTATAACTTAAGAGCAATCTGTCCTTTTACGAATGATAGACTAGTCTCAGCAATATACTAATATATTTTATATTTAAAGATAAATTTTGGAGATATAGAATATGCTTAAGCTATTGTTTTCAGAATAATAATATGCTGCAGTAAAGTTATGTGGTATGAAATTACAGAATAATTATTCATAGGTAACTAATAATTAAGTAGAAAATAATGCTATTAATTAAAATCAAATATAAAACAGCACAACTAACAAAAAGTAAATAGAAAATGTTTTAATAAATTAAAATTAAATTGAGGATGAATTGGTTAAATAAAATTTAATAACTGAAAATCAAAATAACAATAAAAATACAGCATAAAATTATGAAGTTAGCCAAAATTTAAAAAGTGAAAATTAGTAAAAAGTTAAGTAAATTGTAAAATAGGATATCAATATTGAACTTGAAAAGAAAGATTAGTAGCAAATTTCTAATTTCTAAATAACAAAAGTAAGTTTAAAAAGCCTAGACAATATTTAAAACTATTAAATTATTCCTGAAAACAAAGATAATCAAAAAACTGATAACTTCATTAGCATTCAAGGAAAATTCTAAGAAAACTCTTCAAGTAGTTTATAAAATATATAAAAGCAAGAAAATTAAGCAGATAATCCTCGAATAAGCAATCAGATATAATTTGATTAATTAAATACTGTATCGCTTTAAAATAAGGAGCAACATTAAAATTAAATTGATTTTAATATGATTGAAATCGAAAGTCAGGAATAACTAAAAATGAATCACTTAGAAAAACTTGAACTAATAGATTAAGATTACTCTTATTTCTAATAGCAAGTGAAGTACTTTATTAATTAATATGACTTAGATAATTAAAATACTTCTGAAGTAGACAGAAGAATTTACAATAGTATGTTAGGAGTTTCTTAACTTCAAATAAGTTGAATATTTTATAATTAATTATTAATCTAAATATTTCTTAACTGAAAAGTTTTTCTATTTTATCAATTCTTGTAATTTTTTATTTTTAAATAAAATCTTAATTTCTTATAAAAATTCTTTGTTTGGACTAAAAAAATTAAAAATTCCTTTAAAATTAAAAAAAATGATTAATTTAAATTTAGCATCATTTCTATTCTAGAAATAAATAAGCTTGTTATGTTTTTATAATTATAATTTGAGGCATTTTATTTAAAAAGATAAGCGTTACTATTTTTAATAATTAATTAATTCAAGTTATATTTTATTTAAAAATGCAAGAATATGATTAGTATTTGTCTATTTTAATTATAGAAAGGCTTATTACTTTCAGTGTTTGTAACAAAATTTGAGTGAATTGTAAAGTTTTTTTGATAAATGCATATACTGATTTATTTTTTAATTAAGAATTAATCAGATTGTTGATATAAATAGTTTTGTTTGATTCTTAATTATTTGATCTATGTAAGTTTTTAGGATTGACTTGTAAACATTTGTATAGAAATTAAGGTGAGATTGTTTGAAATCAAAGAATGACTCATTTTATAATTAAATAATTGCAAAAATAAACAAAAAATTTACTAAAATTTCTTAAAATTTTCAAAATTCAAAATGACTTCTAGGTATATTAAAAATTTAGATCTATTCTCACTTCCATTTCAATTTTCATTTGGGGCTCAAGAAAAACAAAAAAGAACTTTTCTTGGTGGAATTCTCTCATTAGGAGTTATTCTCTTATCTGTGGCCTATTTTATTTACCTTTGCTATCTATATTTTGGAAATATTGTTTAACCAACTATTTCTATAATGGATGAATATTCAGCTACCCCATATAATATGGATTACATAGAGGATATGATTGCCTTCAGAGTAGTTTTAGCTAATGGAATGAATTTAACAGATTATGAAAAAATGGTTGGTAAAGTTTATTTAAGTTATGTAGGCGATTTTAGATACACTGATAGTGCAGGCAATCAAAAAAATAAAACATTTTTTGCTTAGCCATGTGTAGATCCTTCTCTAAAGGGATATCAGTGTTTTAACACTTAGTAATTAAATGGTGTAGAAACAGATAATTTTACATTTAACTATGATCCATCAAAAACAATATAAGATAAATTAGCGTTATATGTAGCAGCTTGTATTTAAGACCTGTTGCCTTAGGGATAATTTTGTGCTGTTAACCCTATAGAATACGCTTAAGTATTGTACAATGTATTTGGATACTTTGAAACAAGAATAAAGTTAATGCAATTTAACACTAAGTCAAAGAAATTTGAGACTAAGATTAAAACAGAATAATATATGTTTGATGAAAGTTTAGCTTTTTATAGTAAATATACATTTTAAAAGACTGATTTGAAATTGATTGATGGATTTGTTATTTAATCTACTGTTCATGATTCTTAACTATCTGATTATACTAGAGTAGATTCAGCAATAAGTTAATCTTATCTATTTAAAGCATTCAAATCATAAATATATGGGGGTTTTTATTTTATGCTAGGACCAAATAACTTAGAATGTTCTGTTTAATATCCATAGTTTACTTCTTTATTAGCATAGTTCTCTAGTGTTTTTAATACCTTACTAATGATAGGATTAATTAGTAGGATGTTAGCCCAAACAGAAATAGTTTAAGACTTTGTTTCTCTACACTTATAGGTCTATTATAAATAAACTGCTGCTGAATTATTACAAGAGTAAGAAAAGAACAATAGCTAAGGTAAGAAAAACAACTACGGCATTTACAAATCTATTCAAGAGCAAGGCTTTAAGAAAAAATTCAAAGACTATCTTAATATTAGTACATTTTAAAGGTAAATAGTTTTATTAATTTATATAAATATATTAATTTATTGAATTTATTTAATAGAATTAAAATGTCGATGACAAACAGTAAAAATAAAGTTTAAGATCAGTAACAGTCAAAATAAATGCAAATGTACAAGCAAATTTTAAATGAGTCAATCTAATCATTAGATATTTATGAAATGCAAAAAGAGCTTCTAAGAGTTAAAATAATGCTTAGAATGATGTTTTCCGCTGAATAATATGCTGCATTATAACTTTGTGGAAGCAGATTAAATTTAGATAATTTAGAATCGGATAATTTATAATAACCATAATCAAGACAGGAATCTGGAACAACAAATAATTAACTTCAATAAGACTAAGTTTCAAACTCTAAAGCTTAAAATACTAAAAATTATATTCTACCATCAACTAATTAATAAATTTAAAATGATAATCAAAATTTAGCATTTAATATAACTTCGATTAACCAGATTAAATAAAATAAAAATAATAATTCCAATATTTCAAATCACCTTGAAGTAATTGACCAAATTGAGAGAGATGAAACCTAATTTTAGAGATATTTAGATTAATTTATATAAAATAATAAGACACCAACTTCAGAAATAAACAAAAGAATAATTTAATCCATGATCAATTGTAATAATGTCAACTAAATGCCCATAGAAAATTTTGATATAGAATCTTAAAAGTAGCTATTTAAAGAATGAGCTTAATATTTATATAAAAAATAGAACAAATAACTATTAATTTTATAATTATCCAATTATCAAGATATAAAAATATTTAATTAGTATTTTTTGTCTATAAAATAATCAACAATTTATTTATTTTATTCTATAATTATTATTAATATTTTTTTTCTTTCTTTATTTTAAAATTTAATTTTATTTTATTTCACTAAAAAATTTATTTTTTTAAATTCGGCAAAAGTTTTTATTTGTTTTTTATAAAATTTTTTAACAAAAAAATAAAAAAATAATTGTATTTTCATAAACTATGATCTAAGTTTTCATATTATTGTACATTTTAATTTATTTGAAAATATTATTCTATTTAAATTAATAAAACTTTTTCCTTAAAATTTATATATTTTTTAAATTTTTTATACTAAATAACCCAAAGAGCACTAAAACTCTTTAATATAAATTAAATATATAAATTCAAATATATAAGATGAAATATTTTTTTTTTTTGAATTACTTTAGTAATGTATTTTTTTATTTAAAAATTACAAAAAGAATTTTCATAATTGATTATCACTTGCTTAATTTATTATTTTTATCAAAGAAAATATCTGACTTATTTATTTTTTGGAATAATAAATTCACACAATCATTAATAATTTTCCTCTACACCTTCATACAATGTAAACTGAAACAAGTTTATTTGTAGATTAATACTAAAGAAGCTATTAATGATTAGAAATATCCGAAATATCCTAATAGAAAAAACAATCCTTGAACAATAAATATACTTACTGATGTTTTAGTCTTTGGGAAAAGATTTTTTTTGTAAATAAATAATTAATTAATTTACCATCAAAATTAGCAAATTAAAAAGAAACATAAAACTAAAAAATAAATATCATCATGGATTATATTAAGCAAATAGATTTGTTTTCGCTTCCATTCCAGTTTACTTTAATGGGTAAAAATCATAAAAAATAAACAATTTTTGGAGGAATAATATCCTTAGCTATTATTTGTACTTCAATTGCATATTTTTGCTATCTTTGCTATCTTTACTTTGGAAATCAGTTACAACCATCTATTTCTTCTACATTATAATACTTTTAAAATGAATTTTAAATGTAATTTGATAAAAATTTAATTGCTTTCAAGGTTGTTTTACCTAATGGTATGCTTATTCAAGAGTTCGAAAGGAGATAAAACAAAACTTATGTGACAATTCTTCCTACTTTGTCTACAAAAGATTAAAATGGAAATGATGTCTATTAAAATTTAAGTTTTATACCTTGCGATGACCCTGATTTATAAGACTATTACTGTGTAGACTTTTCAAATGTTAACTCAAATAAAGTGAATTAACCTTTCTTAACATATTATCCTTATGACAATCAAAAATAGAAATTAGAAGTATTGATGCTATATTGCACTAGCGAATTAAGTTACCCTGGTATTGTTTGCGCTACTCATGAAGAAACATAAAAAGAAATTATTAATTTTAAGACTTAGGTATATACAAGAGTGACAAGCTAATAGTATAACCCAACTACAAGATCATTTGAAAAAAAAATCAAGCTTGAGTAATTTTATTTGTCAGACACTTTGGTTTTTTTAGGTAAGTTCAGCCTAAAAAGTACCACTACTACAATAAATGATGGGTTTATCATTTAAAAGTAGAGCTCATATACATATATTTCAGATTACTCAAAGACAAATGAGTATAGCACCTTTACATTTTAAAAGGCTTAAAATAATTTAGATATGATAGGAGCTTGTTTTTTTTATTTGGATGAAAATGGTAGAAATGAATTTGTGTAATTCGTATAATTTCCTAGTATTTTAGCTCAATTTATGAGCATTTTTAACTCTCTTTTAGTAGTTGGAGTAATTTGTAAATAGTTTTCTTAATCTGAGATGATTTAAGATTTTATGGAGATTTAATTAAAAAATTACTACAAAAAAAGTGCTATTGAATTTATGCATGAAGTTGAAACAAAGAAACAATCAAATTCTATTTCTAATTATTTCTAAAATAATTTAATGCAAACTTATAAATAAATTTGTAATATGGACTACAAATACTATATGAAATAATTTTTAGATACCACTCTTTACAACAAGTAAATTTTTGAATAAAAACTAATTATTTTAAATATTTTATTTTAAAAGGATTAAGCTATTGATCTTTTCGAAAGGAGGAAAGACTAAAACGAATGATCCAAAATAAGTTAAAATGTACAAAAGACTAATGGATTCTACAATAGAGCAGATAAATATTTATGATATATAAAAAGAGATTTTAAAGCTAAAAATGATGGTAAGAATGAGTTTCACTGTTGAGTAATATGCAGCTCTTTAGCTTTGTGGTTTAAGAATTATTTTAGATGAAAATATTCCAAATGTGGAAGAATCAATCTTAGAAAATATATAAATGAAGGAGGATTTATTCAAAAGTTCTGAGGAAGAAGGTATAAAGCAAAAGAAAGAATAATCAATTGAAATGGAGTTAAAGCTAAAAGAAAATGAAGTTTAGGTTAAATTGTAAGAATATTAGTTAAATCAAATAGAATAATCGGTATAAAAATAATAAAAATAAAACTAAGATAATTATTTAACAGAAAATGCTGAAAATTAAGAAAGAGAAAATATTTAACATGAAGAAAATAATCTTAGCAAACCTTAAGAAAAACAAAATACAAAAGTAGAATTTGAAGACAATATATTTAAATTAGATGAAAAAAATGATTAGAAATTTAAAAAATTGAATTTCAAAAGTATTGCACTTAATCATCTTGAAAAAATAGAAAGACTAGAGAGAGATAATACTTATTTCGAATAGAAAATAGATTAATTTTTTAATTAAAAAAAGTTTAAAACATAATTGGACTAAAGGATACTTGATTGTCTTATAGGTTATAAGTAATATAAATTAGATACACAATCCTTCATACCAATTACTAAAAGTTGTACAATTAATAAGTGAAAATACTAAAAATAAAAAAGTGGAAAGTATTTTTAATTTTAGTTATATAAATTTCAGATAAAATAAACATTTTTAAATAAATAAAAAACCTTTTTTATGTTAAATAACAAATTTTGTTACAATATAAAAAAAAATAAAAATTCTAAAATATTTTCATTTTTAATTATTTATTAATATTCCATTTTATTTAAGGATTTCTTGAATATTTGTATATCAATGATCTATTTCATAATTAATTTAATTAAAAGCTAAGATTTGTTCTGAGGTGAATCATTTTCGATTTTATTATTCATATTAATTCATATTAAATCTATGGGGTTGAGACCATGGAAAATATTTGGATATATTCCTCTAGCCATTCAACCGCTATTTTTGTTCTGTCGGAGCTGGTTCATTGATTATTTAGTTAGAACCCTCAACTTGTGCCAGATAGCTTCTAAGACATTTCTGGATGTTTATTTTAATTTTAAATTATTAATTTGCAATTCATTTTGCTAACTAAATTATGCCATATAGAATAATTTCTCTAAGGCAAAGTTAATTTTGTAGACTTAGTGAATTACCTTTTAATAAGTATATATCTGCTCTCGAACAATTATTTCAATAGGAGGTAATATAAATTTAGTAGAACAATTAATATTTTTTTATAAATTTAAAGAATTATTTAAATGGTAATATTTATATTCCATAAATATTTCGATACCACTCTACAATTTTTAATAACAATATAAAGTTAATCTTAAATAATTAGGTTATTATTTTTATAGTAAATGACTAACAATATAAAATTTCTATATTTTCATCAGTAACATTATTATAGAAAATATTGGCTACTTAAATTTTAAGTGGATGTTAGAAATTACTAAAACCTTACTCATTTTATACATATATTATTAATTGATATTAATGTAAATTAAAGTAAAGTTTACTAATAAAATTATGAAGTAAATACTGTAAATCATTAAAATTACAAAAAACAGATAAAATTAATTAAATAAAAATAATCAAATGAATATCATTAATTATTTTAACATAAAAGACTTTTATAATATAATAATTAATTATTCATCAAAGTAGTATTTCAATAAAAATTTTTTTTTTAAATTATTTAAACTATAGATTACATTCAGAAATTTGATTTATTCTCACTTCCATTCTAATTTAGGTTAATGACAAAAGCTTAAAAATAGAACACCATTTTTGGAGGATTAGTTTTTTTAGGAGTTATTGTTATTTCTATCTCATACTTTTGCTACCTTTGTGTTCTTTACTTTGGAAATCACCTGTAGACATCTATATCTTCTACATAACAATACTTTTCAGAAGAATTCTAAATGTAGTTTGAAAGAAATTTAATTGCCTTTAAGATAGTTTTAGAAAATGGAATGCTTATTTAATACTTTGAAAAAAATAGACAAAAGTCATATATAACTATTCTTCCTGTTTTTTCTACAAAAGACTAAACAGGAAAAAAGGTTGATCAAAATTTAAAATTCATATAATGTGAAGATCCTGATTTAAAAGAATGTTACTGGATTGACTACTCTAACGTTACCAAAAATAAGATGAATGAGCCTTTCTTAAATTATTTTCCTAATGATAACGAAAAGCAAAAATTAGAAATAGTATTGCTTTATTGCACAACTGAATTAAGTTATCCTGATACTGTATGTGCTAGTTATGAAGAAACATAAAAAGAAATTATAAACTTTAGTACTTAGACTTATGTAAGAATTACTAGTTAATAATATAATCTAAATACTAGGTAATATGAAAAAAAATTAAGTAAGAGCAATTTTATTTATCAGATAGCTTAGTATTCTTAGGGAAGTTTAGCTTAAAAAGTACTACAACTACTACAAACGATGGGTTTATTATTTAAAAAGAAAGCTCTAAAACATACATTTCAGACTACTAAAAAACTAGTGAGTACAGTACCTTGACATATATGAAAACTTAGCTATAATTAAACATGATAGGAGTTTATAATCTAAAAATTAAAATAATTGTATTTATTTATTATATTTAAAAAATTAAATAAAATTAATTTATGTTCCTATTTTTAATTCTAAATAAATAAATTTTTTATAAAATAAACAATTAAAATAAATATTAAAATTAATAAAAATTTAAGTAAATTATATCAGCACGACCTCGAAAAAAAAGATTTGCAGCTAAATTCTAATTTTTAAATAACAAAAGTAATTTTAAAAAGTTTAAGTGATTTTTAAAACTATTAAATTTTTTCATAAAATAAAAATAATCAAAAAAATGATTACTTCATAAAGGAAAAAATAAAGAAAACTTTTCAAGTAGCTCATAAAATAAAAAAAGCAAGAAAATTAAGCATAAAAATAAGCAGTCAGATATAATTTAATTAGTACTTAAGTAAATTTATTTTTAGAATAGTACTAAAGAAGCTTTTAATTGTTAAAAATATCTAAAATATCATAATATAAAAAATAGTACTAGAACAATAAATATACTTATTTGTGTATTAATTAATTAGACTTTAAAAAAAAGATTTTTTTAAATTAAATAATTAATTTAACAACTAAATTAGTAAATTAAAAAGAAACATAAAACTAAAAAACTAAATATTATCATGAATTATATTAAACAAATAGATTTGTTTTCTCTTCCATTCCAGTTTACTTTAATGGGTAAAAGTCATAAAAAATAAACTATTTTTGGAGGAATAATATCTTTAGCTATTATTTGTACTTCAATTGCATATTTTTGCTATCTTTGCTATCTTTACTTTGGAAATCATTTACAACCATCTATTTCTTCTACATCAAAATACTTTTCAAATGAATTTTAAATGTAATTTGATAAAAATTTAATTGCTTTCAAGGTTGTTTTGCCTAATGGTATGCTCATTTAAGAATTTGAAAGGAGGTAAAATAAAACTTATATGACTATTTTTCCTGTTTTGTCTACAAAAGATTAAAATGGAAATGAAGCCTATTAAAATTTAAGTTTTATACCATGCGATGACCCTGACTTATAAGACTATTACTGTGTAGACTTTTCAAATGTTAACTCAAATAAAGTGAATTAACCTTTCTTAACATATTATCCTTATGATAATCAAAAATAAAAATTATAAGTAATGATGCTCTATTGCACTAGCTAACTAGAGTATCCTGGTACAGTTTGCGCTACTCATGAAGAAACATAAAAAGAAATTATTAACTTTAAGACTTAGGTATATACAAGAGTGACAAGCTAATAGTATAATCCAACAACAAGGTCATTTGAAAAAAAAATAAAGCTTGAGTAATTTTATTTGTCAGACACTTTGGTTTTTTTAGGTAAGTTCAGCCTAAAAAGTACCACTACTACAATAAATGAAGGATTTATCATTTAAAAGTAGAGCTCTTATACATATATTTCAGATTACTCAAAAACTAACGGGTACAGTACCTTTACATTTTAATAGACTTAAAATAATTTAGATATTATAGGAGCTTGCTTTTTTTATTTAGATGAAAATGGTAGAAATGAATTTGTATAATTTGTATAATTTCCTAGTGTTTTAGCTCAATTTGTAAGCGTTTTTAACTCTCTTTTAGTTGCTGGAATAATAAGTAAATAATTTTGTAAATCTGAGATAATTTAAGATATTATGGAGATTTAATTAAAAAATTACTACAAAAAAAGTGCTATTGAATTTATGCATGAAGTTGAAACAAAGAAACAATCAAATTCTATTTCTATTTATTTCTAAAAAAATTTAATGCAAACTTATAAATAAATTTGTAATATGGACTACAAATACTATATGAAAAAATTTTTAGATACAACTTTTTACAACAAGTAAATTATTTTTATTTTTGAATAAAAATTAATTATTTTAAATATTTTATTTGTAAAGGATTAAGCTATTGATCTTTTCGAAAGGAGGAAAGATTAAAAAAAATGATCCAAAATAAGTTAAAATCTTTAAAAAACTTATGGATTCCTCAATAGATCAGATAAATATTTATGATATATAAAAAGAGATTTTAAAGCTAAAAATGATGGTAAGAATGAGTTTCACTGTTGAGCAATATGCAGCTCTTTAGCTTTGTGGTTTAAGAATTATTTTAGATGAAAATATTCCAAATGTGGAAGAATCAATCTTAGAAAATATATAAATGAAGGAGGATTTATTCAAAAATACTGAGGAAGAAGGTATCAAGCAAAAGAAAGAATAATCAATTGAAATGGAGTTAAAGCTAAAAGAAAATGAAGTTTAGGTTAAATAGTAAGAATATTAGTTAAATCAAATAGAATAATAGGTATAAAAATAATAAAAATTAAACTAAGATAATTATTTAACAGAAAATGCTGAAAATTAAGAAAGAGAAAATATTTAACATGAAGAAAACAATCTTAGCAAACCTTAAGAAAAACAAAATACAAAATTAGAATTTGAAGATAATATATTTAAATTAGATGAAAAAAATGATTAGAAATTTAAAAAATTGAATTTCAAAAGTATTGCACTTAATCATCTTGAAAAAATAGAAAGACTAGAAAGAGATAATACTTATTTAGAATAGAAAATAGATTAATTTTTTAATTAAAAAAATTTTAAAACATAATTGGACTAAAGGATACTTGATTGTCTTATAGGTTATAAGTAATATAAATTAGATACACAATCCTTCATACCAATTACTAAAAGTTGTAAAATTAACAAGTGAAAATATTTAAAAATATAAAAGAGGAATGTATTTTTAATTTTAGTTGTTTAAATGTCAGATAAAATAAACATTTTTAAATAATAAAAAACCTTTTTTTGTTAAATAACAAATTTTGTTGCAATATAAAATAAAATAAAAATTATAAAATATTTTCATTTATCATTATTAACTAATATTCCTTTGATTTAAGGATTTCTTGAATATCTGTATATTGATGATCTATTTCATAATTAATTTAACTAAAAGTAAGCTGACTCATATAAATTAATTAGGCTAAGATTTGTTCAGAGGCGAATCATTTTCGATTTTATTATTCATATAAATCCATATTAATTCTATGGGGTTGAGACTATGGAAAATATTTGGATGTATTCCTCAGTCATTCAACCAATCACTATTTTTGTTCTGCGGGAGCTGGTTCATTCATTATTTTCTTGGAGCCCTCAACTTGTGCCAGATAGCTTCTAAGAGTTTTCTGGATTTTTATTTTAATTTTAAATTATTAATTTGCAATTGATTTTGATAACTAACTAAATTATATCATATGAAATAATTTCACTAAGAATAAGTTAATTTTGTAGACTTAATGAATTACCTTTTAATAAGTATAACTTTCCTGCATTTGAAATATTATTAATGAATTTTTTTTTCTAAATCTTAATTATTTTCTTTATATTTGATTTCTTATATTTTACAAAAATTAATCAAAATACAGAAAACTTTTTCAAATTTTGAGAGTAAAAAATTTTTTTACAGTAAATAAATTTTTTTAAAGCCTTTTTCAATACAACTCTACAATTTTTAATAACAATAAAGAGTTAATCCTAAATAATTAGGTTATTATTTTTATAATAAATGACTAACAATATAAAATTTCTATATTTTCATCAGTATCATAATTATAGAAAATATTGGCTACTTAAATTTTAAGTGGGTGTTAGAAATTACTAAAACCTTACTCATTTTATACATATATTATTAATTGATATTAATGTAAATTAAAGTAAAGTTTACTAATAAAATTATGAAGTAAATACTGTAAATCATTAAAATTACAAAAAACAGATAAAATTAATTAAATAAAAATAATCAAATGAATATCATTAATTATTTTAACATAAAAGACTTTTAGAATATAATAATTAATTATTCATCAAAGTAGTATTTCAATAAAAACATTTTAAAAAAATTATTTAAGCAATGAATTACATTAAGAAATTTGATTTATTCTCACTTCCATTCTAATTTAGGTTAATGACAAAAGCTTAAAAATAGAACACCAATTTTGGAGGATTAGTTTTTTTAGGAGTTATTGTTATTTCTATCTCATACTTTTGCTACCTTTGTGTTCTTTACTTTGGAAATCACCTGTAGACATCTATATCTTCTACATAACAATACTTTTCAGAAGAATTCTAAATGTAGTTTGAAAGAAATTTAATTGCCTTTAAGATAGTTTTAGAAAATGGAATGCTTATTTAAGACTTTGAAAAAAATAGACAAAAGTCATATATAACTATTCTTCCTGTTTTTTCTACAAAAGACAAAACAGGAAAAAAGGTTGATAAAAATTTAAAATTCATATAATGTGAAGATCGCTTATTATTTTTACTTGAAAGAAAATGGCAGAAGTGAACATGTGTAATTTGTCTAATTTCCAAGTGTTTTAGCTTAATTTGTAAGCATTTTTAACTCTTTGTTTATAGTAGGAATTATTTGTAAAGGGTTTTCTCAAAGCGAAATTATTTAAGATTTCATGGAAATTTAATTTAAAATTCACAACAAAAAAAGTGCAATTGAATTTATGCAAGAGGTTGAAACAAAGAAATAATCGAATTATGTTCCTATTTATTTCTAAAATAATTTAGCCAACACTTATTAGTAAATTCGCATATTATATGCAAAAAATTTTGGACACTAATTTATTTAATATGCAAGTAAATTCATTTCATTTTTTATTTCATATTAAAAATTTTTAAATTTATCATTTGTAAAGAATAAAGTTACTGATTTTTTTCAAAAGGAGGAAAAACAAAAAAAGATGATTCAAAATAAATTAAAATTTATAAAAAGCTGATGGATTACACTTTTGAATAGATAAATATTTATGATATTTAGAAAGAACTCTTGAAGTTAAAAATGATGGTAAGAATGATTTTTACAGTTGAATAATATGCCGCTCTTCAGCTTTGTGGTTTAAGAATAATATTAGATGAAAATATACCGAATATAGATGATACAGTTTAAGAGGTAATTAATTTAAATGAAGATCCTTTCAAAAGCTCTTTTAAAGAAATTAAAAAATAAAAGCAAGAAACATCAGTAAAAGCTTACTAAAAATAGAAGTGTATTAATTAAAATAAATAGATTATTTAGCATAATTAAAATTAGAAATCAGATGATTATTTAACAGAAAACATTGGTAATGAGTAGTTAAAATAGTGAATTTTTTGCAAATTGAATAATAAATATAAAATTTAACTAAATTAATTAATTATCTCATTAATTTTACATTAAAGTAGGTTAGTGTAAAAATATGTTTTTATAATTTAAAAATTAAAATAAATATAAGTATATTTATTTATTTATTATATCTAAAAATTTAAATAAAATTAATTTATATTCATATTTTTAATCTAAATAATAAATAAAGCATAAAATTATGAAGTTAGCTAAAATTTAAACAGTTAAAATTAATAAAAATTTAAGTATATTATATCAGCATGACAACGAAAAAAATGATTTGCAGCTAAATTCTAATTTTTAAATGACAAAAGTATATTTAAAAAGTTTAGAAGATTTTTAAAACTATTAAATTTTTTCATAAAATAAAAATGATTAAATAATCAAAAAATTTCACAAGGAAAAATTAAAGAAAAGTTTTCAAGTAGGTTATAAAATATATAAAAGCAAGAAAATTAAGCATAAAATCTTCCAATAAATAGCCAGATATAATTTAATTATTACTGAAGTAAATTTATTTTTAGAATAGTACTAAAGAAGTTTTAATTTTTATAAATATCTAAATCATCATAATAGAAAAAATAGTACTATAACAATAAATATACTTACTTGTGTATTAATTAATTATCCTTTAAAAAAAAGATTTTTTCAAATTAAATAATTAATTTAACAACCAAACTAGTAAATTAAAAAGAAACACAAAACTAAAAAAATAAATATCATCATGAATTATATTAAACAAATAGACTTATTTTCTCTTCCATTCCAGTTTACTTTAATGGGTAAAAGTCATAAAAAATAAACTATTTTTGGAGGATTAATATCTTTAGCTATTATTAGTACTTCAATTGCATATTTTTGCTATCTTTGCTATCTTTACTTTGGAAATCATTTACAACCATCTATTTCTTCTACATCACAATACTTTTAAAATGAATTTTAAATGTAATTTGATAAAAATTTAATTGCTTTCAAGGTTGTTTTACCTAATGGTATGCTTATTTAAGAATTTGAAAGGATATAAAACAAATCTTATATGACTATTTTTCCTGTTTTGTCTACAAAAGATTAAAATGGAAATGAAGTCTATTAAAATTTAAGTTTTATACCTTGCGATGACACTGACTTATAAGACTATTACTGTGTAGACTTTTCAAATGTTAACTCAAATAAAGTGAATTAACCTTACTTAACATATTATCCTTATGACAATGAAAAATAAAAATTATAAGTATTGATGCTCTATTGCACTAGCTAACTAGAGTATCCTGGTACAGTTTGCGCTACTCATGAAGAAACATAAAAAGAAATTATTAACTTTAAGACTTAGGTATATACAAGAGTGACAAGCTAATAGTATAATCCAAGTACAAGGTCATTTGAAAAAAAAATAAAGCTTGAGTAATTTTATTTGTCAGATAATTTGGTTTTTTTAGGTAAGTTTAGCCTAAAAAGTACCACAACTACAATAAATGATGGATTTATCATTTAAAAGTAGAGTTCTTATACATATATTTCAGATTACTCAAAGACTAACGAGTACAGTACCTTTACATTTTAATAGGCTTAAAATAATTTAGATATGATAGGAGCTTGCTTTTTTTATTTAGATGAAAATGGTAGAAATTAATTTGTATAATTTGTATAATTTCCTAGTATTTTAGCTCAATTTGTAAGCGTTTTTAACTCTCTTTTAGTTGTTGGAATAATAAGTAGATAATTTTCTAAATCTGAGATAATTTAAGATATTATGGAGATTTAATTAAAAAATTACTACAAAAAAAGTGCTATAGAATTTATGCATGAAGTTGAAACAAAGAAACAATCAAATTCTATGTCTAATTATTTCTAAAATAGTTTAATGCAAACTTATAAATAAATTTGTAATATGGACTACAAATACTATATGAAAAAATTTTTAGATACAACTCTTTACAACAAGTAAATTATTTTTATTTTTGAATAAAAATTAATTATTTTAAATATTTTATTTGTAAAGGATTAAACTATTGATTTTTTCGAAAGGAGGAAAGACTAAAAGGAATGATCCAAAATAAGTTAAAATGTTTAAAAGACTAATGGATTCCACAATAGAGCAGATAAATATTTATGATATATAAAAAGAGATTTTAAAGTTAAAAATGATGGTAAGAATGAGTTTCACTGTAGAGTAATATGCAGCTCTTTAGCTTTGTGGTTTAAGAATTATATTAGATGAAGATATACCAAATGTGGAAGAATCAATCCAAGAAAATATATAAATGTAGGAGAATTTATTCAAAAATACTGAGGAAGAAAGTATAAAGCAAAAGAAAGAATAATCAATTGAAATGGAGTTAAAGCTTAAAGAAAATGAAGTTTAGGCTAAATAGTAAGAATATTAGTTAAATTAAATTGAATAATAGGTATAAAAATAATAAAGTTAAGATAAATATTTAACAGAAAATGCTGTAAATTTAGAAATAGAAAATATTTAACTTGAAGAAAATAATCTTAGCAAACCTTAAGAAAAACAAAATACAAAAGTAGAATTTGAAGATAATATATTTAAATTAGATGAAAAAAATGATTAGAAATTAAAAAAATTGAATTTCAAAAGTATTGCACTTAATCATCTTGAAAAAATAGAAAGATTAGAGAGAGATAATACTTATTTTGAATAGAAAATAGATTAATTTTTTAATTAAAAAAATTTTTAAACATAATTGGACTAAAGGATACTTGATTGTCTTATAGGTTATAAGTAAAATAAATTAGATACACAATCCCTCATACCAAGTTATACAATAATTAATAATTGAAAAAACTTAATTAAATATACAAAATATGCATAATTATTTTAGAATTTAGTTTCTAAAAGACCAAATAAAACATTTTTAAATAATTTATAAAACTTTAATATGTTTAACATTAATTTTTGTTACAGTATAAAATTAAAATAAAATTAATACCAAAATATTATCTATCTTCATTGCTAACAAGATAAAATTTGTTTTATATGCTTAATTAATGACTTTTTAATAAGTAAATTTAGCTACTATTCTCAAACAATTATTTTTTGAGGACGTAAAAAAAATTTAGGAAATCATTTAATATTTTTTTTATTTAAAAGGAAAATTTAATAATTTTAATGGTAATATATTACATAAATATTTTGATACCCCTCTATAATTTTAAATCCAAATATAAAGTTAATCTTAATTCTATCTTTTATTACTTTTTTAATAAATGTCTTACATAATATAATTTCTATATTTCCATCAGTTTCATCACTAAAATAATCTGTGGCTACTTATATTTTTAGTGGATGCTAGAAATAAGTTAAGCCTAACTTATTATATCCATAAATTATTAATTGATCTTTATGTAAGTTCAAGTAAAATTTATTCATAAAATTACGAAAGAAAAGATCTAAATCCTTAAAAATATCAAAAAACAGATAGAAATTAATTTATGAAATGTATGTGATTAAGAATATAAGATAAAAGACTTTTTTAATTTAATAATTAGTTAAGCATCAAAATAACTATTTCAATATAATAATACAAAAAACTTATTTGCGCTATGGATTACATTAAGAAATTTGATTTGTTTTCTCTTCCATTCTAATTTAGATTAATGGGAAAAGCTTAAAAAAAGAACACTATTTTAGGAGGATTAATTTCGTTAGGAGTTATCATTGTTTCAATCTCATATTTTTGCTATCTTTGTGTTCTTTACTTTGGAAATCACTTGCAGCCATCTATATCCTCTACATTATAATACTTTTCAGAAGAATTCTAAATGTAGTTTGATAGAAATTTAATTGCCTTCAAGTTAGTTTTATCAAACGGAATGCTCATATAAGACTTTGAAAGAAGTAGATAAAAGACTTATGTAACAATACTTCCTGTTTTGTCTACAAAAGATTAAACAGGTAAAGAGATTTACCAAAATTTAAATTTCATACAATGTGAAGATCCTGATTTAAAAGATTATTACTGTGTTGACTACTCTAATATTACAAAAGATAATATGAATGAGCCTTTCTTAAATTATTATCCTTATGATAATGAAAAGTAAAAATTAGAAGTATTAGTGCTTTATTGCACACCTAATTTAAGTTATCCTGATACTGTATGTGCTACTCGTGAAGAAACATAAAAAGAAATTATAAATTTTAGTACTTAAACTTATGTAAGAATCACTAGTTAATAATATAATCCAAATACTAGGAAATATGAAAAGAAAATAAAGTAAGAGCAATTTTATTTATCAGATAGCTTAGTTTTCTTAGGGAAGTTTAGTTTAAAAAGTACTAAAACCACCGTAAATGATGGGTTTATTATTTAAAAAGAAGATTCTAAAACATACATTTCAGACTTCTAAAAGACTAATGAGTATAATACCTTTGCGTATATGTAAGCTTAGTTATAACTAGACATGATAGGAGCTTGTTATTTTTACTTGGACGAAAATGGTAGAAATGAATTTGTGTAATTCGTCTAGTTTCCAAGTGTTTTAGCTTAATTTGTCAGTATTTTTAACTCTTTATTGGTTGCAGGAATTATTTGTAAAGAGTTTTCTTAAAGTGAAATCATTTAAGATTTCATGGAGATTTAATTAAAAAATTACTACAAAAAAAGTGCTATAGAATTTATGCGAGAGGTTGAAACAAAGAAATAATCAAATTCTGTTTCTATTTATTTCTAAAATAATTTAATCAACACTTATAAGCAAATTCGTAGTATGAATTACAAATATTATATGCAAAAATTTTTGGACACCAGTTTATTTAATAAGTAAATAAATTCCATTTTTTTATTTCATATTAAAAATTTTTAAATTTGTTTATTTATTATTTTTAAAGAATAAAGTTACTGATTTTTTCATAAGGAGGAAAAACTAAAAAAAATGATCCAAAATAAATTAAGATTTATAAAAAACTGATGGATTCCACTATTGAACAGATAAATATTTATGATATTTAGAAAGAACTCTTGAAGTTAAAAATGATGGTAAGAATGAGCTTTACAGTAGAGTAATATGCCGCTCTTCAGCTTTGTGGTTTAAGAATAATATTAGATGAAAATATACCTAATATAGATGATACAGTTTAAGAGGCAATCAATTTAAATGAAGATCCTTTCAAAAGTTCTATAGAAGAAGTTAAAAAATAAAAGCAAGAAACGTCAGAAAAATCCAGTGAAAAATAGGAGTGCATTGATTAAAATAAAAAGATTATTTAGCATAATTAGAAATCAGATGATTATTTAACTGAAAAAATAGGTAATGAGTAAAAATAAACTATTTATCTAGAAGAAAATAACAGTAATTAAAAGTAGTTATAGTAAAATACTAAAATCGAGCTTGAAGAAAATATGCTTAAATTAGATGAAAACAATAATAAAAAATTTCAAAAACTGAATTTCTAAAGCATAACTCTTAACCATCTAGAAAAAATAGAAAGATTGGAGAGAGATAACAATTATTTTGAATAGAAGTTAGATAAATTCTTTAGTTAAAAAAATTTTAAAACATAATTAGATCAAAGAATCCTAAATTGCTTAATAAATTATAAGCAACATTAATTAGATACATAATCATTAATACCAATCAATAAGAGCAATACAAATCATTAATGAATATACAGAAAATAGCAAGTTAGCTTTAGTTAAAAAAGTGAATTTTATTATAATTTAATAATAAATGTAAAATTTAACTAAAGTAATTAATTATCTCATTTATTTTTATTTAATTAAACTAATATTATAATCTGATTAAATCTTATTTTGTATAATCTAAAAATTAAAATAAATTTATGTGTAGTTATTTGTTATATTTAGATATTTAAATCAAATTAATTTATATTCCTTTTATTATTATGTTTAAATAAATTAATTTTTATAAACTAAGCTAAATAAATAATATTATATTTTTTATTTAGCGTATAGATTAAATTTTCAAGTAAACAGTTTAAAAATAAATAAATAAATAAAATAAAATTTTTTAGCCAATAGATTGAATTTTTAAACAAATAAAAATAATTTAAAAAATTTTTATTTGAAACCCTCACAAATATAATCATTTAATAAATTTAAAAAAAATATGTAGACAAATTATTATCTTTCAGTTAAAACTTGTTTAAATATTATAATTACATAAATCACATTCAAACAAATAACTCAATAAATTTGATGAGGAAAGTATTAATCTAAAATATTTTTTTAAAAATTTTTATTAGCATAAGATAATATTTTTGGAATATGAGATTTTTAAAAAAGATAAAAAAAAGTGTTCAATATAAACAAGGAAAATTTTATTTAGAATTTGTTAGTTTCATTTTTATAATTAAAATAGATATTGAAAGTATGAGAGTGTAATTTAATAATTGCATCAAAAAAATAAAATCGATAAATTTATAGATGATGAATGGTTGCTCAATATTTTATTCAATATATTTGCTAGAAATTAAAAGAATATTATTTCCAAATTTATAGATGACTTTCGAGTGCAATTATATGATATTATCCACTAGTAAATGATGATTTTTATATGATATTAACCACAAATAAAGAACGGTTTCTATAATGAGTTGATATAGATCGTAGATATTTAATATTATGAGAAATTGTTAAAAGCTTGTTTCTGATGATATTTTTATTTATAACAGTAATTAAAAGCTAAGCTAATTAATAATATTGATAAACAGATGTCTCAAACAAAGACTGCGTCTACTTTGAAAAGATTTGATATTTTTGCTCTTCCTTTTTAGTTTTCTTTTGGTAATAATGAAAAAGAAAAGAAAACAGTCATAGGAGGTCTTATTTCTGTGGCCATTTTAATAGTTTCTTCCATATATTTCGGATACCTTTGTTATCTCTATTTTTAAAATAAAGTTTAGCCACAAGTAGTTTCTTCAAATATCTTTCAAAAAAATTAATACATCATGCAATTCTAACAGAATTTTATTTCTGTTTAAGTTATATTACCTAATGGTTAGAATCTATATGATTATTAATAGTAAACAGGTAAAATTTACCTAAACATTCTTGCAATACATAAGACTGGAAAAGTTATTTTTGATTATATTCCTTAGCCATTAATCCCTTGCAGTGATTCTAATTTATCAGGATATTTGTGCTTTGATTCAAGTAAAATCGGGGATGGCGAGAATCTTTTCTCTCTTACATACAACCCTGATGATTTAGAATTAAATTAATTTAATATTGTGTTTGGAATTTGTAATCCAATGCTAGTGAAAAGCCCTTACATATGCGAAGATGAGAAAATAATAAGAAACACTCTTATTTCTTATAACACATAAATAACAACTAGAATTAATTTAACACAATTTAATACTTAGACTAAGAGGCTAGAATAAAGAGTTGTAAAAGAACCATTTTACTTTGATACTAATTTAGGATTTTATACAAAATTCCACCTTTAAAAAACAGATCTCACTTAACAACAAGGCTTTATAATATAAAATTCTGAATATAATACATATTTTTCTGGTTATGCTCGCAGAGATATATTTTCATCACAATCTTTCATATAGAGTGAGATGAAAATGAATATTTTAGGTGCTATAGAGTTCTTTATTGGCTCGGAGAGTATCGATTTAAACATTTAATTCCCTTAGTTTACTTCTCTATTGGCTTAATTTACAAGTGTATTTAATTCATTATTGTTCTTAGGAATTATAAGCAAATTCTTTGCAGAATCAGAAATCTTCAGCTAAGTTGCAGAAATGTAGCTCAAAGTTTATTTCAAAAAATCAGCCGTATTTATTTTATAATAAATTGGCTAAGGAGAAGATATACAAAGAGAGTAGCAAAAAGGTTTAGATAAGCTAATTAATTATATTAAAAATTAAGATTTCAAAAATTTAGGTAAAAAGATGAAAATTAGTCTACTAAACAAGTATGATTTTTGTTTTCGAATTTTATCTTTATCATTTTATTTAATTCAAAAAGGATTATGTACATTTTCATGGGTAAAATTAAAAAAGAAGAAAAAGAAACAATATAAGTGAAAATGTTTAAGCAGATAGTCAGCCAATCAAATAAGGCTTTGAACATATTTGAAATGTAAAAAGAATTGCTGCAATTGAAAATAATGATGAGGTTAGTCTTATCCGTTGAGTAATATGCAGCAATTCAATTATGTGGAAGCAAACTGCCAATAAATAATGATATATAAAAAGATTAAGATCAAGAAATGATTTAAGGTATAAAAGATGAAGACAGTTATTCTAATTAGATAGTAAGTTAAGATTAAAAGCTTGAAAAGAGTATTGAAATGAAAGAAGAAAAATAATAGAGCCATTAAGATAAAACTTAAAACAATATTTTATCTTTTAATAATGAGAAATAGGAGTCAGTCAGGAAGTTTACTGCAACAGTTTTTCCTATCAGTATGGAATAATAAGCAATAGATCAAAAAAAAATAAATCTTTAAACGAAATTAATAAGTCACTTAGAAAAAATAGATATGATAGAAAGAGATGAGGGATTTTTTAAAACTTGTTTGGATAAATTCTTATTGAATAAATCACAACCTAAATCTGAAATCGATTAAAGGATACTAGAATGCATGATTGGACTTGAAAGTTAAAATTCAATTTAATGAAAAATCCATTTAAATTAAATAATTTATTTTCTGTATAAAATATTATTTTTGATTTTAATTTATTTGTAAAACGTATGTATGATCGATCAAGCACAAGTAAATTATGAATATATATAAAAAAATATTACTCATTTTCTTTTGTTATTTAATTACACAAAAACTTTATATAAAAATACTATATCATTCTCAAGTTAACCAATGAGTAATAATAATTAAATTGCGATTTATATTGTTAAAACTTACAATTTTAATTAAATTGATTAAATATTAAGCGAATTAAATTTACCAGCTAATAAAATGTCAGACACAAAAGCAATTGCTACTTTAAAGAAATTTGATATTTTCGCTCTTCCTTTTTAGTTTACATTTGGAAATAATGAAAAAGAAAAAAAAACAATTATTGGAGGCCTGATTTCAATGTCCATTTTAATTGTTTCTTCTGTCTATTTTGGGTATCTTTGCTATCTCTATTTTTAAAATTAGGTTCAACCATAAGTAGTTTCTTCTAGTAACTTTTAAAAAAACTCATACAATATGTAGTTTTAAGAGAATTTTATTGCGGTTCAAGTGTTAATGCCAAATGGTTAAAATCTCTATGATTTTTAATAGCAAACGGGCAAAGTTTACCTAAATATGCTCTTTCTTAATACAAAAACGGGCATGGATGGTACATTTTTACCTCAACCATTAATTCCATGCAAAGATAGTAGTCTATAGGGATATTTGTGCTTAGATTCTAGTAAGGCTGGAGTTGGAGATAACCTTTTTTCCCTTACATATAATCCTGATAATTTAGAATAAAATTAATTTTCTATAATTTTCGGTATATGTGATCCTAGCCTAATATAGAGTCCTTATATTTGTGAAAATGAGCAAGTAATAAGGAATAATATTATATCATATTCTACATAAATAATAGTAAGAGTAAGTTTAACTTAATATAACACTTAGACGAAGTAGTTGGAATAAATAGTCAAAAAAGAGTTATTCTATTTTGACACTACTTTAGGCTTTTATACAAAACTACACCTTGAAATAACAGATCTTACTTAGAAGGAAGGATTTATAATTTAAAATTCTGAATTTAGCACTTACTTTTCTGGATATATTCGTAGAGATATATTTTCTACATAGTCATTCATTAAACAGTAGTTTTAAATGAATATTTTAGGTGCCCTGGAGTTTTTCATAGGCTCAGAGAGTATAAATTTAAACATTTAATTCCCTTAGTTTACTTCTCTTTTGGCTTAGTTCACAAGTGTTTTTAATTCTTTGCTATTCCTAGGAATCATAAGCAAGTTTTTTGCTGAATCAGAAATTTTCTACTAAGTTGCAGAAATGTAGCTTAAAGTTTATTTCAAAAAATCTGCAATATTTCTTTTAAAATAACTTGGTAGAGGAGAGATTGTTTAAAAAGAGCAGTAGCAAGGTTTAGAAAAGCTTTTAAATTATATTAAAAATACAAACTTTAAAGAGTTAGGAAAAAAGATGAAGGTTAGCTTTATGACAAAGTTATTTTTTTATTTTATTTTTCATTCAGATATATTTAATAATTTAAAAAAAAAGGATTATGTATATATTCGTGGGTAATGTAAAAAGTGAGAAAGAAGAAACAATTGAGGTGAAAATGTTTAAACAAATAGCTAGTCAATCTAATAAAGCTTTGAACATATTTGAAATGTAAAAAGAGCTGTTGCAAATGAAGATTATGATGAGATTAATCTTATCAGTTGAATAGTATGCTGCAATTTAACTATGTGGAAGTAAACTACCTATTTACAATGAAATAAAAAATGAGTTAGATTAAGAAATATTACAAGATGTTATTGATGAAAATAGCTCAAAATCAAACAAAATAGATTAAAAAATAGAAAAAAGTATTGAGAGTAAAGATGATAAATAGAAATTTTAAGAATAAAGCTAAAACAATATATTATCATTTAATAGAGAAAAAATAAATTCATTGGGGAGATACAATGCTACTGTTTATCCTCTTAGAATAGAATAACAGTTATTTGATCAAAAAAAGGTGGAAAATCATACTAAATTCATCAGTCATTTAGAAAAAATTGATATGATTGAAAGAGATGAGGAATTTTTTAAAGATTGTTTAGATAAATTTTTAAAGAATAAATCACAATCTTAATCTGAAATCGATAGAAGAATTCTCGAGTGCATGATTGGATTAGATGATCCTAATTCTATTTGTTGATATTTAATGTTGACGTATTTTATATATTATAAATGTTTACCAAAAAATATTGATTTTTGCTTATAAAATAAATAAATTATTTAATCATTTTAATTCAAATAAGAGGAAAATATATAATAATGGTTTTTCTCTCCTCTCCCTAAACTTAAAATATTTACATTTTAATTTATTATGAAAATTAAATAATTAAATGTAATAAAAATTGAATGAAGTTATTATTGATAAGTATAAAGATATCTTACAGTGAATATACAATATTTCAAGATTTTTTTTACTTCTTCATATTTATATATATGTAAACAATTTATACAAATACTAAAGATTATGTATTATCACATGGAATATTATTTAATATTTAAATAGAGTGTTAAATATATTATATCTACATTATTATTATCACTCACATAATTTTTATTAATATTAAATTTAAATTGAAAAAAGATATTATTTTTATAAATATATTATTTAGAATTTGATTATTGAAGTAAATACTATTTATTTCTCCTAAAAATTTTATTAACAAATAAATGATATATTTCACAAAAAGATATATTAAAATATTAATAAAATAATAAAATTCAACAATTTGTTTAAAGGTAAGTACTTTCCTATTTAAAAAATGTATAATATTAAAAATTAAATTAAATACAATTTTTATAATTATTAAAACTTTACTTTTTTTAAGTTAAACTATTAATTTAATTCATTAAATAAAATAATATTTTTATCATAAAAGAAAAATAATAAAGACATTATTAGATATTACGAGAAGAACTGCTGATGCTTTTTTGTACAAGCGAATTAAATTACCCTGGTACTGCTTGTGCTACTCATAAAGAAACATAATAAGAAATTATTAATTTTAAGACTTAATTATATACAAGAGTAACTATAGCTAATAGTATAACCCTAGAACAAGATCATTTGAAAAAAAAGTCAAACTTGAATAATTTCATTTGCCAGATACATTGGTTTTTTTAGATAAGTTTAGTCTTAAAAGCACCACAACTGCAATAAATGAAGGATTTATTATTTAACAGTAGAACTCTTATACACATATTTCAGATTACTCAAAGACTAACGAGTACACTACCTTTACATTTTAATAGGCTTAGAATAAACTAAATATGATAAGAGCTTGATTTTTTAATTTGGATGAAAATGGTGGAAATGAATTTGTGTAATTTGTACAATTTCCTCGTATTTTAGCTCAATTTATGAGCATTTTTAACTCTCTTTCAGTTACTAGAGTAATTACTTTGTAAATAATTTTCTTAATCTTAGATGATTTAAGATTTTATGGAGATTTAATTAAAAATTACTAAAAAAAAGTGCTATCGAATTTATGAGTGAAGTTGAAGAAATAATCAAATTCTATGCCTCTTTATTTTTAAAGTAATTTAATGCAAACTTATAAATAAATTTATAAGTGGACTACAAATAAATACTACATGAAAAATTTTTAAGATTCCACGCTTTACAGCAAGTAAATTATTTTTATTATTGAATAAAAATTTCTTATTTTAAATATCTTATTTGTAAATGATTAAGCTATTGATATTTTCAAGAGTAGGAAAGACTAAAATCAACGATCAAAAATAAGTTAAAATCTATAAAAAAATATTGGATTCCATTATAGAACAGATAAATATTTACGATATATAAAAAGATATTTTAAAGTTAAAAATGATGGTAAGAATGAGTTTCACTATTTAGTAATATGCAGCTCTTTAACTTTGTGGTTTAAGAATTATTTTAGATCAAAATATACTAAATATAGAAGAACCAATTTAAGAAAATATATAAATGAAGAAGGATTTATTCAAAAATTCTGAAGAAGAAGGTATAAAAGAAAAGAAAGAATAATCAATTGAAATAGAGCTAACACTAAAAGAAAATAAAGCGTATGTTAAATAATAAGAACATTAGTTAAATTAAATTGAATAGTAGGAATAAAAAATTAAACATAAAACTAGGGGCTCTTTCATACCAATTACTAATAGCTGTACAATTAATAAACGAATATACTTAAAAATACAAAATAGTTATGTATTTTTAGAATTGTTTTTAGTTATATGTCTGATCAAATAAAAATTTCTTAAATAAATAAATAAAAAACCTTTTTTATGTTCATAATAAAATTTGCTTAAAAATAACATAAAATTTAAAAAATGATAAAATATTTTCAATTTTCATTGTTATATAACATTCCATTTTATTTAAAGTGATTATTAATAATATATATTTGCTATGAGATGAATATTTTGGATTTTATTATTCATACAAGCAAACCCATATTAATCCTAAGGTATGTATTTTGTTGGAATGCCATATAGCTTCTAAGACTTTTCTGGATTTTTTTTTTACTTTTAAATTATTATAGCTATTGATATTGCTATCTAACTAAATTATATCATATGGAACAAAAGCACATATCATATTAGAAGCAATTATCTAAAATCTCTCTAAAATAATGTTAATTTTATAGACTTAATTACTTTTTAATAAGTAAGTATATTTTATTCTCGAACAATTATTTCAAGAGGAGGTAATATAAAATTTTGTAGAACAATTGATATTATTTAAAAATTTAAATTAAAAATTTATTAATCTAGATAGTAATATATTCCATAAATATTTCGATACCTCTCTAAAATTTTTAATCAAAATATAAAGTTAATCTTAAATATATCATTTATTATTTTTATAATAAATGACTGACAAGATAAAATTTCTATATTTAGATTAGTGCCATTATTATAGAAAATCTTGGTTAAATATATTTTAAGTGGGTGTCTAAAATTATTAAAACCTTACTCATTTTAAACATAATCTATTAATTGATATTAATATAAGTTCGAGTAAAGTTTATTAATAAAATTATGAAGTAAATACTGAAAATCATTAAAAATTGCAAAAAAAAGATATAAATTAATTAAATGTAGGTGATTAATTATTTTAAAATAAAAAGCTTTTATAATATAATAATTAATTTTTCATTCATTAAAATAGCTATTTCAATAAAATAAAAAAAAAACTTTTTAAATAATGGATTACATTAAGAAATTTGATTTATTTTCTCTTCCATTCTAATTTAGGTTAATGGCAAAAACTTAAAAAAAGAATACTGTTTTAGGAGGATTAATTTCGTTAGGAGTTATCATTATTTCCATCTCATACTTTTGCTACCTTTGCTTTCTTTACTTTGGAAATCACTTGTAGCCATCTATATCATCTACATTACAGTACTTTTCAGAAGAATTCTAAATGTAATTTGAAAGAAATTTAATTGCTTTTAAGGTAGTTTTAGGAAATGGATTGCTCATTTAAGATTTTGAAAGAAGTAGAAAAAAGTCTTATATTAATATTCTTCCTATATTGTCTACAAAAGATTAAGCAGGTAATGAGGTATATGAAACCTTAGAACTCATATAATGTGAAGATCCTGATTTACAAGACTATTACTGTATTGACTACTCTAAAGTTACTAAAAATAAGATGAATGAGCCATTCTTAAATTATTTTCCTAATGATAATTAAAAACAAAAATTAGAAATATTAATGCTTTATTGCACAGATGGATTAAGTTACCCTTATACAGAATGCGCTACTTATGAAGAAATACAAAAAGAAATTGTAAACTTAAGTACTTAGACTTATGTAAGAATTACTGGTTAATAATATAATCCAAAAACTAGGTAATATGAAAAAAAAATAAAGCAAGAGCAATTTTAATTATCAGATAGCTTAGTATTCTTAGGGAAGTTTAGCTTAAAAAGTACTACAACTACTATAAATGATGGGTTTATTATTTAAAAAGAAAGCTCTAAAACATACATTTCAGACTACTAAAAGACTAATGAATACAATACCTTTACATATATGTAAGCTTAACTATAATTAAACATGATAGGAGCTTATCATTTTTAATTGGAAGAAAATGGCAAAAGTGAATATGTGTAATTTGTCTAATTTCCAAGTGTTTTAGCTTAATTTGTAAGCGTTTTTAACTCTCTGCTGGTTGTAGGAATTATTTGTAAAGGGTTTACTAAAAGCGAAATAATTTAAGATTTTATGGAGATTCAATTAAAAAATTACTACAAAAAAAGTGCCATCGAATTTATGCAAGAGGTTGAAACAAAGAAATAATAAAAAACTATTTCTATTTTTTTCTAGAATAATTTATTCAACATTTATAAGTAAATTCGCAGTATGAATTACAAATATTATATGCAAAAATTTTTGGACATTAATTTGTTTAATAAGTAAATTCATTTCATTTTTTATTTCGTATTAAATTTTTTAATTTATTTTTTTTAAAGAATAAAGTTACTGATTTTTTCAAAAGGAGGAAAAACAAAAAAAGATGATCCAAAATAAATTAAAATTTATAAAAAGCTGATGGACTCCACTATTGAACAGATAAATATTTATGACATATAAAAAGAACTCTTGAAGCTAAAAATTATGGTAAGAATGAGCTTTACAGTTGAGTAATATGCCGCTCTTCAGCTTTGTGGTTTAAGAATAATATTAGATGAAAATATACAGAATATAGATGATTCATTTTAAGAGGTAATAAATTTAAATGAAGATCCTTTGAAAAGTTCTATAAAAGAAGTTAAAAAATAAAAGCAAGACACATCAGAGCCTAGCTAAAAATAGGAGTGTATAAATTAAAATAAATAGATTATTTAACATAATTAAAATTAGAAGTCAGATAATTATTTAACAGAAAGCACTGGTAATGAGTAAAAATAAACTATTTATTTAGAGGAAAATAATCTCAATTAAAAAATGTCATAGTAAAATACTAAAGCAGAGTTTGAAGAAAATATGCTTAAATTAGAAGAAAAGAATAATAAAAAACTTAAAAATCTGAATTTCTAAAGCTTAACTCTTAATCATCTTGAAAAAATAGAAAGATTAGAAAGAGACAACAATTATTTTGAATAGCAAATAGATAAATACTTTAGTTAAAAAAATTTAAAAACATAGTTAGATCAAAGAATCCTAGATTGTCTAATAAACTATAGATAGCACTAATTAGATACATAATCATTTATACCAATAAATAATAGTAATACTATTAATTAATGAATATAAAGAAAAGAAAAAATTAATTTATGTTAAAAAAGTGAATTCTATGCAAATTGAACAATAAATATAAAATTTAACAAAAGTAATTATCTCATTCTATATTAATTTAAAAATATTAATCAAGTCAATTTATGTTCCTATTTTTAAGTCTAAATAGATTAATTTTTTTTTCAAATTAACTATTAAAATTAAAAATAGTTTTTAAGCCAATAAATTAAAATTTGAAACAAAGTTAAATTTTTTGTATAAATTTCATAATTGTATAAATAAAATAAAGTATACTCTATAATATATAGAGATAATATAAAAAAAAATTTGATCATGTTTAATGTTGGAAACGAGATATATCAGTATATTTCTGGTTGATATTCAAAAAATTTAAATAAATTGATCTTAAATACATATATTTTGAAAATGATAAAGAGAGAGTTAATGCTAAATGAAATTAAAACATTCATTCAAAAATTGGTATTTTAATTTATTTCCCCATTCTAACTTGAATGGGGAAAAAAAAGCAACCAAATTGAGCCATCATACAAACACTATTTTCATGTTATTTGATAAGAATTTGATATAATTAACTATTAAAATAAAATCTTAAGTTTTTAACTCAATCAAAATTTTTATACTATTTTTATTAATTATTATTTATTTTGTATTTAGCTTTTCTGAATTAGAGTAAAATACCATTTCATTTACAATAAGCGAAATTTAGTATTTTAATTTATAGCTGTTCCTGATTTTAAAATTCCGCTGATTGAATATATTTAATCAGCGGAGTTTGTAAAAATATTAATATATAAATGACTAAATGGAAGTTTATGTATTTTTTTTTTTTTCTTTTTTAAATCAGAATTTATCAGATATAGCTTTAATTAAAAATCAAGGAGAGCATTTTAATTTTTGGTTCAAAAAATTAAATTTTTGCTCTTCTAATATTTTTCAAAATAATGAATATACCATGAAATTCTAGCAGAATTTTATTTCTGTTTAAGTTATATTACCTAATGGTTAGAATCTATATGATTATTAATAGCAAACAGGTAAAATTTACCTAAACATTCTTGCAGTCTATAAAACTGGAATAGTTGTTTCTGATAATATTCCTTAGCCATTAATCCCTTGCAGCGATTCATATTTATCAGGATATTTATGCTTTGATTCAAGTAAAATTGGGGATGGGGAGAATATTTTCTCCCTTACATAAAACCCTAATGATTTAACATTAAATTAATTTAATATCGTGTTTGGTATTTATAATTCAATGCTAGTGAAAAGCCCAGCCCTTAAAAATGCGAAGATGAGTAAGTAATAAGAAATAAACTTATTTCTTATAACACATAAATAACGACTAGAATTAGTTTAATGGAATTTAATACTTAAACAAAGATGATAGAGTAAAAAAGAGTTGTTAAAGAACCATTTTACTTTGATACTAATTTAGGATTTTATACAAAATTTCACCTTTAAAAAACAAATCTCACTTAGCAGCAAGACTTTATAATATAAAATTCTGAAAATAATACATATTTTTCTGGTTATACTTGCAGAGATATATTTTCATCATAATCTTTTATTAAGAGTGAGATGTAAATGAATATTTTAGGTGCAATAGAGTTTTTCATAGGCTCTTAGAGCATCGATTTAAACAATGAATAAACTTAGTTTACCTCTCTATTGGCTTAATTTACAAGTGAATTTAATTAATTATTGTTCTTAGGAATTATAAACAAGTTCTTTGCAGAAACAGAAATTTTCAGCCAAATTACAGAAATGCAGCTCAAAGTTTAATTCAAAAATCAGCAGTATTTATTTTATAATAAATTGGATAAGAGAAGATATACAAAGAGAGTAACAAAAAGGTCTAGACAAGCTAATTAATTTTTTTTTTAAATTAGGATTTAAAAAGTTTAGGAAAAAAGATGAAAATCAGCCTATTAAATAAGCATGGTTATAGTTTTCAAACTTTATCTTTATCATTTTATTTAATTAAAAAAGGCTAATGTATGTATTTATGGGTAAAATGAGAAAAGAGGAAAAAGAAACAATAGAAGTGAAATTGTTTAAGTAGATAGTCAGCCAATCAAATAAGGCTTTGAATATATTCGAAATGCAAAAATAATTGTTACAATTCAAAATAATGATGAGATTATTTTTATCTGTTGAGTAATATGCTGCAATTCAATTATGTGGAAGCAAATTGCCAATAAGTAACGATACCCAAAATGATCAAGATTAAGAAATGATTCAAGGTATAAAAGATGAAGATAGTTTTTCTAATCATATTGTAAGTTAATATTAAAAACTTGAAAAGATCATTGAAATGATAGAAGAAAAATAAAAGAATCATTAAGAGAAAAGCTAAAACAATATTTTATCTTTTAATAAAGAGAAATAGGAGTCAGTCAGGAAGTTTACTGCAACAGTTTTTCCCATCAGTATGGAAAAATAAGCAATATAACAAAAAAATAATCTTTAAACAAAATTAATTAGTCATTTTGAAAAAATAGATATGATCGAAAGAGACGAAGTATTTTTTAAAACTTGTTTGGATAAATTTTTATTGAATAAATCATAACCTAAATCTGAAATTGATTAAAGAATTCTTCAATGCATGATTGGACTTGAAAACATCTATAAAAAACTTTATTTCTGATTTAAATTTATATGTAAAGCGTACGATCGAGCATAAGTCCATTAAAATATGAAAATTAAAAAAGATTACTCGTTTTCTTAATTAGATTAATTACACATAAACTTTTTTAAAAATATTAGATTTTTTTTCAAAATAACTAATCAGTAATAATAATTTGATTGTGATTAACATCTAAAATTTTAATTAAATTAATTAAAAAAAAGGCTAATTAAATATACCATCTATTAAAATGTCAGACACAAAAGCAACAGCAACTTTAAAAAAATTTGATATTTTCGCTCTTCCTTTTTAGTTTACATTTAGAAATAATGAAAAAGAAAAAAAAACAACTATTGGAGGTCTGATTTCCATGTCAATTTTAATTGTTTCTTCTGTATATTTTGGGTATCTTTGCTATCTATATTTTTAAAATTAGGTTTAGCCATAAGTAGTTTCTTCTAGCAGCTTTTAAAAAAATTCATACGATATGCAGTTCTAAGAGAGTTTTATAGCGGTTCAAGTTTTAATGCCAAATGGTTAAAATCTCTATGATTTTTAATAGCAAACAGGTAAAGTTTACTTAAATCTTATTTTACTTAGTACAAAGACAGGCATGAATGGTTAATTTTTACCTCAACCACTAATTCCATGCAAAGATAACAGTCTATAGGGATATTTGTGTTTAGATTCTAGTAAGGTTGGAGTTGGAGATAATCTTTTTTCCCTTACATACAATCCTGATAATTTAGAATAAAATTAATATTCTATAATTTTCGGTATTTGTAATCCTAGCCTGATATAGAGTCCTTATATTTGTGAAGATGAACAAGTAATAAGGAAAAATATAATATCATATTCTACATAAATAACAGTAAGAGTAAGTTTACATTAATATAACACTAAGACGAAGTAGTTGGAATAAAGAGTCAAAAAAGAGTTATTCTACTTTGATCCTAATTTAGCTTTTTATACAAAACTCCACCTCGAAATAACAGATCTTACTTAGCAGTAGGGATTTATAATTTAAAATTCTGAATATAGCACATACTTTTCAGGCTATACTCGTAGAGATATATATTGTACATAAAAATTCATTAAAGATTAGTTTTAAATGAATATTTTAGGCGCTCTGGAGTTTTTCATAGGCTCAGAGAGTATAAATTTAAACATTTAGTACCCTTAATTTACTTATCTTTTAGCTTAGTTCACAAGTGTTTTTAATTCTTTGTTGTTCCTGGGAATTATAAGCAAGTTTTTTGCTGAATCAGAAATTTTCTTAGAAGTTGCAGAAATGTAACTCAAAGTTTATTTCAAGAAATCAGCAATATTTCTTTTAAAATAACTTGGTAAAGGAGAGATTGTTTAAAGAGAATAATAGCAAGGTTTAGGAAACCTTTTAAATTATATTAAAAATACAGACTTTAAAGAGTTAGGAAAAAAGATGAAGGTTAGTCTTATAACAAAGTATAATTTATTATTTTATTTTACATACAGGCATATAATAATTTAAAAAAAAAGGATTAAGTATATATTCATGAGTAATGTAAAAAATGAGAAAGTAGAAACAATTTAAGTGAAAATGTTTAAACAAATAGCTGATTAATCTAGTAAAGCTTTGAACATATTCGAAATATAAAAAGAGCTGCTACAAATGAAGATCATGATGAGATTATTCTTTTCAGTTGAATAGTATGCTGCAATTCAACTATGTGGAAGTAAACTACCTATTTACAATGAAATAAAAACTGAATAAGACTAAGAAATTATACAAGATTTTATTGATGAAAATAGTTAAAAATCAAACAAGATAGATTAATAAATAGAAAAGAGTATTGAAAGTAAAGAAGATAAATAGAAGTTTTAAGAATAAAGCTAAAATAATGTCATATCATTTAACAGAGAAAGATTAAACTCAGTCGGAAAATACAATGCTACAGTTTATCCTCTTAGGATAGAATAATAACTATTTGATCAAAAAAACGTGGAAAATCATACTGAATTCATCAGTCATTTAGAAAAAATTGATATGATTGAAAGAGATGAGAAATTTTTTAAGGATTGTTTGGAAAAATTTTTAAAGAATAAATCACAATCTTAATCTGAAATTGATAGACGAATTCTAGAGTGTATGATTGGATTAGATGATACGAAATCTATTTATTGATATTTAATGTTAATATACTATACTAAATGTTTACCAAAAAATATATCTTTAGATGTGTAAAATAAATAATTTAAAAATTATTAATTCAAATAAGAGGAAAATATATAATAATAGTTTTTCTACCCTCTCACTAAACTTAAAATCTTTCCATTTTAATTTATTATGAAAATTAACCCATTTTAATATTAATTTCTGAAAAAAAATATTTTATTTTTGATTGATAAAAATTATCATATATTAAGTCACAAAATCAAAAAATCGTAAAGTTGAATTTTTAAATTAATTTCATTAATTCATATCAATTTAAAAGTAAATTTATTATTATAAAATTATTACATATTTTATAAATATATTTAAAGAAAATTATAATCTAATGTAAATTAATTATATAATCTTTACATAAATTTTATTGATTTTATAAAATATTTAAATTTATTTATAATTTCCTTTTGATTTATTTTTTTTATTAAGTACAGGATTGATCTATTATTTTATAGACAGACAGATGTCTTTGATTTTGTTTTTTAATAAATTATGGTTATTATTTCTGTTTCTTTGAATAAATTTATTAAACGTATGTCCTTAAATGAATCCATGGTGTAGATAAGTGTAGAGAATAGACTATTTTTAACAAAGATTGATTGATTATTAGTATTATTCGTCTTAGTAGAAAAAATATAGGATTTTTTATTAAATTTTATGACTATTTCTTATGTTAATAAATTGTAATGATAAGATTTAATATTATTAAACATTTATTTTAATTAAAATTGATTAAACTCAAAACTAATAATATTCATCAACTAATAAAATGTCTGAAACAAAAACAATATCTACTTTAAAGAAATTTGATATCTTTGCTCTTCCTTTTTAGTTCACATTTGGCAATAACGAAAAAGAAAAAAAAACAATTATAGGAGGTCTAATTTCGATGGCCATTTTAATCGTTTCTTCTATCTATTTTGGGTATCTTTGCTATCTGTACTTTTAAAATAAGGTTTAGCCCCAAGTAGTTTCTTCTAATATCTTTTAAAAAAGCCCATATACTATGCAATTCCAACAAAATTTTATATCTGTTTAAGTTATAATGCCAAATGGTTAAAATCTTTATGATTATTAATAGCAAACAGGAAAAGTATACTTAAATATAATCTCTATCAATTTTAAAAGTGGAGTAAATTTTAAATTTACACCTTATCCTCTAATTCCATGCAGAGATGAAAGTCTGTAAGGCTATTTATGCTTAGATTCTAGCAAGGTTGGAGATAGTGATAATTTATTTTCTCTGACATATAATCCAGATAATATAGAAGAAAACTAATTTAGTATTATGTTTGGTATTTGCGATCCTAATTTTATATAAAGTCCTTATACTTGTGAAGATGAATAAGTAGTAAGGAATACTTTAATATCTTATTCTACACAAATAACAGCTAGGATAAGTTTAAAATAATTTAATACTTAGACAAAACAATTGGAAGATAGAATAATAAAAGAGATATTTTACTTTGATATTTATTTAGGTTTTTATACAAAATTCCACCTTTAAAAAACAGATTTAACTTAGCAACAAGGATTCATAATATAAAACTCTGATTATGATACTTATTTTTCTGGTTTTGCTAGAAGAGACATATTTTCTTCATAATAATTAATTAAAAGTTAGTTATAGATGAATGTTTTGGGCGCTTTGGAATTTTTTTTAGGCTCTGAGAGTATAAGTTTAAACATTTAATTTCCTTAGTTTACATCTCTTTTGGCTTAATTTACTAGTGTATTTAATTCTTTATTGTTCTTAGGAATTATAAGCAAGTTCTTTGCTGAATCAGAAATTTTCAGCTAAGTTGCAGAAATGTAACTCAAAATATATTTCAAAAAATCAGCTCTATTTATTTTGAAATAAATTGGCTAAGGAGAAAATATTTAGAGAGATTAGAAACAAGGTTTAGAGAAGCTTTTGAGTTACATAAAGAATGCAGACTTTAAAAATTTAGGAAAAAAGATGAAGATCAGCTTTTTTAGAAAGTATTAATTTATATTTATTTTACATTCAAATTTATTGGTATTTATTTAAATGATTTTAAAAAAAAGAATTATGTATGTATTCATGGGTAATATTAAAAATGAGAAAAAAGAAACAATTTAAGAAAAACTGTTTAAGCAAATAGTCAGCCAATCTAATAAAGCTTTGAACATATTTGAAATATAAAAAGAGCTGTTGCAAATGAAGATCATGATGAGACTAATTTTATCAGTTGAATAGTATGCTGCAATTTAATTATGTGGAAGCAAACTTCCAATATGTAACGATAAACAAAAGGAATAAGATTAAGAAGTAATTGAAGAAAGTTAAATATCAAATTAAATAGTAAGTGTAGATTAAAAATTAGAAAAGAGTAATGAAATTAAGGAAGATAAATAGAACTTTGAAGACAGAACCTAAAACAATATTTTATCATTTAGTAGAGAAAAATAAGAATCAGTTAGAAAATTTAATGGTACTGTTTATCCAATAAGCATTGAATAGTAGATATTTGATAAAAGAAAGACTGAAAAAAATACAAAATTAATTAGTCACTTAGAAAAAATTGATATGATTGAAAGAGATGAAGGGTTTTTCAAAGATTGCTTAGACAAATTTTTACAAAACAAATCAAAACCTCAATCTGAAATTGACTAAAGAATTCTAGAATGTATGATTGGGTTAGATGATCCAAATTGTAATTATTGAGATATCATATTCAAATTTTATTTATAACTAATATATATTTTACTTTTTTTAAAACATTAATTTAAATTATGTATTAAATTTATAATTTCTAATTATTTAAATGTAGAAATAGTTTAATGTATTGTGTGTGGTTTCTCATAAATTTAGGCTTTATTTTATTAAAATTTAAAAATATTTTTTTTTAAGATTTTGGAGTTAAAAATTCTACTAAAGAATTCATGAATATTTAATAAAAAATATATTATGCTTCTATTTCAATTTTAATATTAATTATTATTACCATTATTCTAAAGATATTTATTAACCATTGATTGATTATTAATAAAATATAAAATCTATCTTTCTATAAAATAAGTTTATTTATTTGACCATCAAAATAATAATTGTTCTTTAATAGGTATGCCTGATTCTTTAGCAGTATAATCGCTTAAAAAAATAGATATATTTGCTCTCCCTTTTTAGTTTTCTTTTGGAAATAACGAAAAAGAAAAGAAAACAATTGCTGGAGGACTAATTTCAATCAGTGTTTTAGTAGTTTCTCTAATATATTTCATATATCTATGTTACTTGTATTTCTAAAATAAAATTTAACCACAAGTAGTATAAACTAATGTATTTTAGTAAGATCCATTTAGCATTTCATTCTAATAAGACTTTATATCAGTTCAAATTATTATGCCGAATGGATAGAGTCTCTATGATTACCAAAAGAGTACAGGTAAAATTTACTTAAATGTTATCTCAAATCATTTTAAAAATGGAACAGAACTTAAATTTAATACTTTTCCTTTAGTCCCTTGCTTAGACTCCTAATTATAAGGCTATATGTGCTTTGATTAAAGTAAATTCGGTAATAGTAATGGCGATTTTGAATTTCTTTATAATCCTAATAATATTGAATAAAGCAAATTTAATATATTTTTTGCAATATGTGACTAATCAACTACTCCAAGTCCTTATATTTGTGAAAATGAATAAATTATAAGAGACACTGTTTTAACATATTCCACTTAAATAAATCTTAGGATTAGTCTCTCTCAATATAATACTTAGACTAAATAGTTAGAGAAAAGAATCATGTAAGAGCCAGCTTATTTCGATACTAATATGGGTTTTTATTTCAAGATTGCTCTTTAAAAAACTAATTTGGTTAAATAAGAAGGATTAATTATTCAGAGTTCTGAATACAAAACTTATTTTTCTGGATACACTAGAAAGGATTTTTTTGCAACTTAGTCGCTTGTTGAAAACTAGTTATAAATGAAAGCAATAGGGATATTTGAAATTTTTATTGGTTCAGAAGGCTAAAATCTATATGTTTAATATCCATAGTTTACTTTCTTATTAGCTTAGTTTACAAGCGTATTTAATTCATTGCTTTTTATTGGTATATTCAGCAAGTTCTTTGCAGAAACAGAAATTTTTTGCATAGTTGCTGACATTCAACTTAAATTTTACTTTAAAAAATCAGCCTTATTTATACTAAAATAACTTGGCAAAGAGAATGAAATTAAAATAGCATAGGAGTAAGGATTAGATAAACTAAGTGATTACATTAAAAAAGCTGATTTCAAAAATTTTGGTTAAAAAATGAAAATAAGTCTATTTAGAAAGTATTTTATTAATATGATTAATTTTCATTATTCAAAGTTTTCTATTTAAATAAAAGAATCTTGTATTTATTCATAGGAGAGGACAATAAGAAAGATAAAGAAACAATTTAGCATAAATTATTTAAGTAGATTGTAAGTTAATCAAAAAAAGCTATTAACATATTTGAAATTCAAAAAGAATTATTATAGCTGAAAATAATGATGAGGCTTTTATTATCTGCTGAACAATATGCTGCTATATAATTGTGTGGAAGTAGTTTACCGTTATTTTAGGACTAATAAGATGTGTAAGTTTTATAAGAAAAAGACATTTAAAAGGAAGATAATAGTTAAAAAGTAGTAGTAGAAGAAGAAGAAGATAATATTTTTGAGATAAAAGAAGAAAAATAGACACTTGGTAAAAGTTAGAATAATATTTTATCTTTTACGATGGAAAAATAGGACTCAGCTAAAAAAGGTTCTTCTTCTGTTTATCCAATTTAGATTAATTAAATAGAAAAGCAAGTTTCAGAATCAAGCTAAAAAAAGTTAAAAAAAAATATTTTAAGTCATTTGGAAAAATTAGATTTGATAGACAGAAATGAAGAATACTTTAAAAAGTTTTTAGAAAGATTTTTAGAGAGTAAAAACTAAAAAAAATCAAAAGTAGATAAGAGAATTATTGAATGCATGATTGGTTTAAATGGAGTATATTGTAATGAAAACAGCATTGAAAAAGATATGTATTTATTTATAAGCAATTTTAATCAAAATTAAATATTTGTTATTAAAAAGGTAAAAAGTCATTAAGAATGAATGAGTGGAAGTTTAATTATAAAATTAATTCATACAATAATGAAGCTATTTTAAATGAAAAAAATTGTTTTATTTTCAAATTATCTTTTAAAAAAGTTGATTTATTAAGATTTAATAAAAATAAAATATTTATTTATGTTTTTTTTTAATTACAAATTTAAATTGGAATTGTGATTTTTTTACTCTTCATTTATTAGATTTGGATTAATTGTTTTCCTTTTTCATACTTTGTTATTGATTTATTCATTTTAAATTTATTCTTATTTAAAAAAAAATAATATTATACACTTAAAATAAATAATATTTTTACATTAAAACTCTTTTAAAATAAATAAACTTAAGGTAATTTTATTATTTTCTAGATAAAGATTAAAATATTTTATTTGTAATATTATCATTAAATATTCAACTAAAAAAAAATAAATTGAATATATTTTGCAGCAATAAACAAACTTAAAAGAAAGAAATTTGACTGACCAATAGACAAATGATTGAAATCAGAAATAAAGATTTTTTGCTAATTATAAAGAAAATCAAGGATTTTAGTAAGTAGCTCATTTATTTTTTTAATAAAGGCAAATATAACAAGTATCAGAAATACGAAGATTTTTTATTGATAAATGAGCACATCATAGAAGGATTTTAGGAATATATCAATTAATTTTTACAGAAAAATTATTTATTTATTACTTAATTTATTTTAAAAACAAAGGTTTATAGGTATTCTATTTGTTAATAAAAGGTAAACAATTAATAGTAAGTTAGTAATTCTAGGTTAGGTTGTATTAATAATAAGTATTTTCAAATTTATGGGAAACACTTTGTTAGAAGCAACTGATAAATATCCATTAAAGCAGTTCGATTTATGGAGTGAAGAGAAACCTGAGTTGTCAGGTTCTAAACTGCTATTCGAAAGCAAAATCTTTCATACGATGAGCTTTAATTTAAAGAATTAAAATTCAAGCATCATTATGAAAGTTTATTTAAAAGAAAATGATTTTGATCAGCGGAACAGTAAAATGTACAAGGAGTAGTTTGAGTATATAAAAAAGAAATTTACTCCTATTTATTATCCTAATGTTCTGCCATTTATGACTCTGCTACACTTTGATCAATATCAGGCATCTCAAGTATAATAATAACCATAATCTTATAATTTTGTAGTTGTGGCAAGATAAATGATGTATTTGACACTTTCTGAAAGATTTTTGTATAAACCTTCCTTGTCTAGCTTCGAAAAAAATTGGATTTTATTCCAAACTTTAATAGCAATATATTGTGTGCACAAACTTGAAAATATTTTCCATGGAGCTATCAGATCTTCAAATATATTATTAACCACTTCTAATCATGCTTTTCTTACAGATTTCGCTAATTATAAGCCTTTATACATTGATGAAGCTAATTAAATAAGAGATCTAAGATTTTTCTATAAAACTCATGAAAACAATTCTACATTAGCTCCTGAAAAATTTAAAAATAATGTTGAATAGCAATTAATAGCTCTAGATTAAATTGCTCCGAAGTTACTGAAAGATCTCTAATCGATGGATATTTTTAGTTTAGGTAAAATTATTTTAGCATGAAACGAAGTTAAAATATTCATAAATAAATATAATTTTTGCATAGATTATGTTGAGAGTTTATTATTATTTATAAATCATGTATTTTTATTCATAAATTAGGTTGTGTTATAAGCGATTTGTATTTTGAAGGAGATCAACCTTTATTCACATACGAGTAGGTCTAAAAGTTTAAAGCAAAACAATATACTCCTGAGAGTATCATTAAAAAAATTCAATGCTAAAAGACTTAATAATTAGTTCATAAAATTATAATGGAGGAAAATGAAGAAAACCGTATTGGGATAGAAGAGGTAAAATTTTTAATTTTACTTATTTTGTCAATTAGAATATTTAAATTAACAAATAATTAATTGAAATTCTATCTTCAATGATGTATATTAAATATATTTTATTACTTATTTAGGTACTTAAATATTTTATCAATGAAATTATTTAAGACAAAGAAAAGTTTATGCTACTTTATTGTTTAGATACTACAATATAATCAAATCTATTAGCCAAACCTGATTATAGAATAGCATTCTTGAAAGAAATGCTTCCCATCATTCATTAGGTGTGCATTTAATAAGAAAGCAAAGAGTTCATTGATAATCTCCAATAGAATTTCAAATATTCTTTACCTCTTAGCTTACAAAAGATTAACTTTAGAAAATAGATAGTTGATGCTGTTTAAAATTTGAAGTTTAAAATATGGGAAATATTAGAGTTGGAAATGCCTTATTATTTAAAGCATGAAAATATTTAATAAAAATAATTAGAATATGAAAACACAGAAAACTTAAAGGAAAAATAGTTTAAAACTTGCTGGCAGAATTATGAGAATAACGCTTAAAAACTATAGGAAAATCTTTAAAATGGCAATCAAGAATAAGATATCCAGCAAAACAATAAGCAATAAAAATAGCAATAATAGGTTAATAATACTTAATCACCTGAATTAAAGTAGATCATTATGCTTCTTTGTACAAATTTAAGAACTGTATAATATTCAGCAAGTAAGCTAGTAGGTTTAGAAATGTTAGTTCATTTATCTACATATTTATCTGACTATGATGTTTTACACGCTGTACTACCTTTTATTTGTGACTCGTTAGAAGATTCTGATATTTAGGTTGCCGAGTACGCACTAGAAGCTTTTGCAAAACTCCTTTCAAGATTGCATGATCCTTTTGACAGTCTAAATGACACTACTCTATACAAGGTATTCATATGGTCAAATTTCTAGAAATGTGCAAAAATTATGGATATTCATAGAGTGTTCCTGCTTAATTGCATAGATTTAGCATAATCATGCATAAGACTCTGTAACATATCCATCAAAAAGAGACAAAAATTTTTGGAAGAATAAATGAATCAATCGATAATAGTTGACAATCAATCTAGAGCTCAATCCATGATCAGAAATTAATAAGGTAAATAAATAATAGTAAGAATCGTATAAAAAATTAATTAATTTATTTAAAAAGAGGAAATTATATCACCAGAAAAACTAGAAAGTGAAATTATAGATTTAGTAAAGAATGTTTTCAAAAAATGTCTTTCATACGACAGTCCTTCGGATAGATCTAACTTAGCTATTTCTTAGCTATCAAGATTTTTAGAGTTTTTGAAAGAAGATTTAGAGAAAATGAACTTTTTATAGATTGTAATTTAATTTTTGTTTTTTTTATTTAACAAATTTAATAAAAATTATTTTATAAATAAGTTTATTTCATGCTTAAATAAGACAGAAAGAAAGCTAAGCTGCCTTGAAAATATGTATGATATTATCACAAAAATATAAGATCCTCGAAGTAAATAGTTTGCTATCATTTGCTTAAAGGAATGCTTGAAAGATTAAAATGAGCTTTTTGAGTACACTGCTGTAAATTGCAGTTGGTAAAAAAAAAAATCAGTTTAAAACTTTTTCTCTTATATATTTATTTTAATTTAAAAGGAGATTGGTAGAAAAAGGAATTTTAGACAAAGCCTAAATTTTAGAGTTTTTAGATTATATCATTCCATTAATTTTGCATCCTCATAACTGGATTAGAAAAGAAGCCATTAAATTTGTAGAAGTTGTGATTACAAAGATGGATCCAATTTAAGTTTTCTTAGAAATTCAACCTAAAATTAAAGATTATTTAACAGAGGAAGTAGCCATCATAAACAAAGACATTCTGAAGTTAATTCTTCCGAAGAAAATAGATAAAAAATACGTAGACTATAAGAACAAGAAGTGCGTTTTTACTGATAAACTCGGCGAATAAGAAGTAAGGAAGAATATTGATCTCTTCTAAAATAATTATTTATCCAGAATTACCTCATCTTCCAAGGAATTAGTCAAAAACTTAAAAGATGAAGAAATCAAATAGTTTGCAATCAAATTTGAGATAGCGAAATATAGGCAGGATTATAGACAAAATTTCAGTAAAAGACTTTCAGACTTCCTCATTTCAGCGTACATTTATTTTAATTCATATAAAAAAGCTAAAAACAATAAAATTTTTTTTTTTTCATAGATTCAAATAAAACTTTTTATACTTTTCGAACATGGTAGATATGAAATATAGATAGTTCTAAGGCTAAGATGATAAGCAAACTGAAAAGCTTATGCTTGATTACTTTAGAGAAAAAAAAATAAATTTTGATTCATCAAATAGCTGCTTTGAAATAAATAATGAACTATAGAAATTTTTAAGTTAACTCTAAATAGAATTAGCTTTCAAATATGATTAGCTAATGATTGATTACTCTCTTTATGGAAACCACAACCACAAAAACTTTGCTAATTCATTGATAAATATAAATGAATTCCTTTTGAAATTACAATAATTCGATGTTCAAGAAGAAACTGATGTTGGAAAACCTTTCTTCTATGACCCAGCTGCAAATAGTAATACCAATTCTCTAAAGATATGGCACCCTCAAGGACAGCTCGTTACAACTATATACGAGCACAGTGATGTTATAAGTAATTTAGAGTCTTTGGGTAATAATCGTCATTTCATGTCAGCATCATATGATGGCACTGTAAGAGTCTTTGACGTTCAAAATTTAGAGCAGTAAATATTTAATAAAAATAATTATAATTAATAATGATTTTACTTTACTTAAGGGATTTTACTTCTGATTCAATAGCATAAATTATATGCAAAGATAATAAAGATAACGCTACAAATAGAAACCATAAAATTAAGGTTATTAAAACAATACCTAATTCCAGCAGCGTACTTATTGGCACAGAAAAAGGAAGCATTTATTTATACAATGTAATAAAAATTTGATCTTTCTTTAAAAAAATTTATTTTAAACTCTAAATAAATTTAAATAATAGATCGAGTAATGCACAAACACATAGTTGAATTTAAATTTAAGAAAAAGAAACCTCCAAACCATTTATTGTCAAGGAGAAATTAGATGCCTAGAAAGCTTTGAAAAGTGTTTCTTGTATGCTACAAGCAAAGGTGAAATAGGAGTAAGAGATATTCGTACGAATTCTGTTGCCCTTTGTAACAATATAGGTAAAGAAAGAGGTTTAATATCTTCTATGGTTTTGGCTTCAGGATTTTAATCAGAACAAAATTCGTAATAATTTTTAGTTTTTTATATCTTGATAGCAATTAATAACTAACTCAATTTTAATATCATATAGGACTGTAGCAATTGGCACTTTGAATGGATATTGTTTACTTTATGATATTAGATGCAACCTTTTATCTCATAACTATCAATTATTAAATCATAATGAAGAGCCTCTGCCTATTATGAGTTTATCAAACTTTAATCGTTATGTGAATGTAGATATTCTAGGAGATCAAAAGGATTTACTAGCTATGAGCTATGTCTCTGATAATCATGAAGTAGCTATGTTTAATCTTAATGAATAGATGGTTGATAACATTAAACCAGCTGTTTATATGCTCAGCACAGATAATTACAATCCCATAATCCATAATCCAATGTTAAAATCAATAAATAAATAAGAAAACTTTAAAAATTGTAATAAAAATACTCTTAAAGATATGATGGATTATGATTTTATCCCTAAGTTCTCTGAGTAAGTAGATGTTTTAAGCTATCTTAAAGATCCTTTGATGACAAATTAAAATAACATTAAAATGAAATGGTTAGAGTAGAGCAATAACTGCTTCTAAAATATTAAAAAAATCTAAGACTGTAAAAATTATGTATCCAAGATTATTTGCCTTCCTAGTTATTCTTCATAGTCATATCAAACTATCCCTAAAGCTGTCTAAAACTAAATTATCACTTGTGGTAACGATAGAAATATAAGATTATGGCCTATGGTGAGTGATCCTCCTTCAAAATCAAATACATAACTGGATACACAAATAAAAGGATTCCACATATCAAATGTAGATGACTGCCAACGTAATTTCTCGTAAAAAAAGGTAGCAGATGTTCTTACCTTACATGAATACTCGAGAACATCCTTTTAACAATCAACTGTGTATCAACAAAATGTAAAAAAGAAAAGCTAGATTGAAGAATATAATTATCCTACTTTTAGTTAAAATGATAAGAGATCTTGTCATTACGACACAATCACAGATATGATGTATTTAGAGAGAGATTAAGGAGCCTTACTAATAACTGGAAGTCGTGATAAAACAATAAAAATATGGAAATGAATTTTTAAATTTTAATAAATTTTATTTCAAAAAATAAAAATTATTTTTGTTTTATATTTATTATGCGTTAAACAAACTAATTTTATTATAAAAAGTTAGAAAAATTAACTAAATAGAAATAGTTTATTTTGTAAAATAAAAAAATATGTCTAAACAAATAAAAAAATAAAAATTTTTAATGAGAACTATCATTTTTAAATTAGTATTTCAGTATTTGTTGGTTGTATTTTAAAAATAAAGTTTATCCTCATATTTTAAATTAAACCAATTAATTTTTGTTCAAAAATATGTGAAAAATATGCTTGAATTAATAATTATTTAGTAAAGAAAAAAATATAAAATAAACATAACAAAATAGTATAATTTGTTGATTATATTTTATTAGTAATAGTAAAAGTAAAATATATTTTAATGAGAATTATATTTATTAAAGTTGTATATTAGTAGGAATTTATTTGTTGCATTTTATTATATTTCTAATACCTTAACAAATAACAAGAAGAAGAAGAAGAATTAATTGTTCTCAGATGAATAGCTTTATTATAGTTTGAATAGGAATGTTGCAGTGTGGGCAAATATTACTTTTCTTTTAAACAAGTGTACTGCAAGGCTCGCACATAGTGTGGCCACATTGGAAGACAACTTAAGGAGGGTTATCGAGACAAATTCTACAGGTTGGTTTACTGTCTATGTCTTCTAATTAGCTCTATTTTTATTCTCCTTAGTTTCCATTAATTTTTTATCCGTTGTCTGTAACTTTTTATAAAATTTAATCATAATTTGCTCTCTGGGGCTTTTGGTTGTTTTAAATGTTTTCTTTTTAATCAGCTGATTACTCTAACTTAATTTAATTTATATCTATGCCATCTTTATTTGCCTAATTTAAACTATTATCATTTTTCATTCCTAAAGATTATTCAATCTAAGATTATATAAATTTAGGGACAGGCTTATTGTTACCAAGAGATTCTCCTAATTGATCTTTCATAAACTCCATAAAGTTATTTTATTAGCTTTTTTAAAGACCCTAGCTAAAATTCTAGTTTATTTGTATACTCTGCTCAACCTTTTAGTTATTATAAATGTTGGCTTTATTATTAAGGTTTAAATTAGGATTCATAACTGCTATTTTATTGATATGATTAATTTCTACACTCTACTTTTAATCAGGATTATAGTTATCTAAATTTTCTTCTTCTTGATCATCATCAAATTTATGAAGGTTCTACTCATCCTCTTCTTAATCGTGAATAAATTTAGGAAATTATTGTTCTTATATTGGCTATAAGCCGCCATTCTAATTTTACTTATTCTTTTGAAAAACTTCTGTGCCTTGCAATTATCTTAGAATTTCATCTTCGAAGTTTTGCTTCTGAATTTGAGTGTTTATTAATTTTTTATTGTTTTCTTTTTATTGTTGTAAACTTTAGCTTTAATTATACTAATTGTATTAATTGTAAGCAGAGTGATCTATTACTCCTTTAGGATGCTATTCTCCATCTTCTATCATAGGAGGTTAAATGAATGGTTTCTTATCTGCCTGTGCAGGTACAGCTCCACTAGCCATGATGGCAAGCATTTACTACTCAAAGATATTCTTTTAAACTTCTGTGTTATTTAAATTTTTAATAGCTCCATTATTTATTTAATTTTCATTCTAAGCAACATTCTGATTTCCAAAGAAATATCCTTTTTTAGGAATTGAATAATTAAATTACCCTGCCTATTCATTTTTGTTATGATCATAATCATTATTAGCGGGAGGAGCTGGTAAAGGAGGATTTGAATCATATTTATTTTAATTGAACTTAAAGTTATCAGGATTTTGTGTTGGAGTATCATTCTAATCTATTAACTAATTATTATTTTGATTTTAAAAATTAATATTTCCATTTTTGCTATTGATTTGTTTTACATTTTGTTTTTCTTCTATTTACGCTGCCAATTTTTTGTAATCGTTTGCAGGTTTATTATATGCATCTTAATTAGGCATGATATTATTATTTAAATATATATTTTGATTACCATAGTCTCCATATTAAGGTTGTTATTGTATTTATTATTATTACTGTTGCATTTGTAATAAATTTTATTCTCTCATTTATAATTCCATTTGCTTCAATTACATTTCTTTTAATAGAAGTTGTTTTTACTATTCAGCGATATATTGATCTTAGATCATATTCATTCCTGGAACTAGTGGAATTAATTAAGGGGCAATTGGACCTATATCCTTTTGAATAATAGGATTTGCCATAGAAGGATTAATCACACCATGTAAAGCAGGTGGTGCAGAGAGCTGCTATTGAGAAGGTATATTTTGCATATATTAAGGATTACTCTAAATCTAATTTTTAGTTATTTACTAAGGCAAGGCAGGATTTTAAGATAAATAACCATTCTAACCATTTTAGAGAGGCACTCCTGATCCTACAGAATGTAATTGCCTTAGATCACTTTACCTGAAATGAAAATAAATAAAAAGATTTATAATAAAGCTTATTAAGTAAAACTTTAATAATTTACCCTGATAAATCTGGATTGTTCAAACCAACTGGTATTTATAAGAGTTATGTTTACATAGTTTTTTAGGTTGGCTATTAAATTTTATTGGCTTCTATTTACTGCTTATTCAACTATTACTATTTAAATTTATTTTATCTGTATTTTCTAATGCAAAGAACAACTGCAAACAAAAATACAATAGCACCAACTATTCCAAGAACAATCTAAACTATTTACAAAGCATCACTTTCAGAGCTATCTGAATTTTCATCGCTTGTTTAAGTAGTATTTTGCTCACTACCAGATGTATCTAAAATTCTAATTTGGTCACCTAAAAAGTTTTACTTATTTTAAGGAAGAGAATCTTAGCTATTTGTCTCATTTTCAAATTATTTTACAATAATTTGATTTTATTCTGAAGTGATATAAATTTTACTATTCAAGTACTATTCCTGAATTATATAAATTACTTCATTACTTGGTAAATTAATTAAATTCCTTTTTTCCTCATAGCAAATCTGCTTTTGGCAATTTAATTATATTTTGTAAGCTAATTAAGACATGTTTTATTTTAAATAAATAGAATTTTGCAGAGAATGCGAGTGGATGAGAGATAAATTTGTGTAGTTAAAAATTTAAAAAATGCCACCATTATTTGATTTTAAAAATGCTAATTTTAGCTAATCACTTTCTTGATAAATTAAATACTTGTAAATTTTATTTGATAAAGTTCCGATAGATATAATTTTAGAATTTTTAGGTATAAAAAGAGGATCAATTAAGTTAAGTTTATTGGTAATAGAAGAAAAATAGTAATTTTTCCCTTTTTAGACTATATAAGTATTTTCAGAAAATCGCTAAATACTTTCAATTTTTTGGTTGCTTAAATTATCCTTTTCATCTAAATCAACATTGTTAATCAAATTAAGACTAATTTTTTCTCCATCAAATTTTAAGTTTCCAAAGGAATAGTTTTCTATCTAAACCAATATTTGTTACTTTATCTCTTTATGAGTTATAGTCTTTACTAAACTTAAGTCTTCGATTGCTTCAATCTAGATAAAATATTTACAAAATAAAATTTAAATAAGCTTAAAATAATCCTATTAAAATAGTTGCTTAATTTTTATTTTCTTGTTAAGTGTAGACAAATATGCTAAATAAATGCAATGATTTTGTTTAATAGAAAAAATTGAAAATACTTTACTTTAAATTAAAGATGATTACTCAATTTATCTTGACCTAAAGTAGTATCATTTACAAATTGTACTATTTTTATTTAATCATACTATTACGCTTCAAGCAGATATTAAAATATGTAAACTTTTTTTTCCTATTTAGATAGAGCTATCAAAACTAACTTTTTTGCTAGAAGAAGATTGGCATTTTCAATTAAAATATTATAATCCAAAGTATTTCTAGCATTTATTGAATCAATTTAATATTAAAAATCAGTTAAGAGCTGATTTAGTGCTATACTCCATACTAATAATCTACTCTAAGTAACTATGATGCAAAGTTTCAAAGGTTCAATAAATTAAAACTTTTACACATTATCATCATCTTGTAAATTAATTTTTTAGAGAATTTTAACATTGCTAGGTACATCGCTTGCTATTTGTTTATTATAAACACTAAATGAATCAGTAAGAGAAGATGATGCTTTAAAAAATTGTAAGAATGTAACAGCTAAGAGTAAGAAGAATATGATAAAAATTGTTCTATTTCTCATCATTTTGCTATTGTATATGCTTATTTAATTATTTCCTTAGAAATCCTAAATTAATTTGTCGTAATTATAATTTATCATTATTTTATTAATAAAGCTATCTAAGAAATTTGTTTATTTTTTATGTTATTAATAAATTTTTAAATTTCCTTATGTTTTACAAATATATTTTTTATAATTGTCTTTGCTGCAACTCAGCCAGACATTTTTTAGAAATCGAGTCTATTATAACATTGTTAAACAAAAAAAAATAAAAATATGTAACAAACAATTATTTTAATGAGCCATAGACTCTTTCTTTAATGCAAATAGCAATAAATGTCTTGCAATAAAATAGATTTACACTGACAAGAATATTTTTTATTAAAATGCTATGCATTCATTTAGAAGTTAACTCTGCAATTAATTTATTTATTAATCTAAAAATAGTCTTATTTTATTTTTTCTCCTAAAATAAATTTATTTATTTATTTGATAGAAAAAGTTATTTGTTTATTTGACTATTTTTTTTTGAGTTCACTCTTTTAAATATTTAATAGATTAAAGAATTTGATTATAATAAAATTTTCTTCCTCTGCTTAACTATCATTTTTATTACATAGACTTTATTTAAATTAATGCAAATTTATAAATTTATAAGCATAAATAGGACAAATAATTTTATTCAAAATTATAAAATTCCTAAAAATAATTTGAGATTTTGGATTAGAAAATGAAGTATTATCGATGTTTGTCTATCCCATTTGTTCAAAATTTAAGATTTAAAATTTATTTTATTTGTAATTTATAGAAATAGAAAATAAATAATCTATATGAAAATAGATGATAAATTTTGATGTAGAAAGAATTAAATAAATCTAAGTTTGATTAATGTTTAAGGTTTTGTTTGTTTTGAAAACATGAGTTTATTTAGTAAAATTATTTACAATTTATATAGATAATTTAATTAATAAGTATTTGAATAGAATAATAGAATTATTTATTTATTTAGTTTGATAATAATAATGTTTTTTTATATTATTTATACATGGTGTTTGTTTGTTTGTTTGTTTTTATTATTGAGAGTGAGAAGAAGAGTGAGAGAGAAAGTTCTATAAATAAAGATTATTTACTACTTGTTAGTAAAATTATTTTTCATACACTTGTTGATTGTTATTTACAATGAATAAATTCAAAAATGTTGATTTCAGATATTCTTAGATTCATTGAGCAAGTTGTTAATGCTTAGGAGAAAATGGTTACTAATTTATTAAGTCATTTTTTGTAAAGTATCTATTTGATCGTTTTTATCAAAAATATCAGAGGCATTCAAATTATTATTAAAAAGAATGTGGTTCATATCCTTCTATTTCTTTACTTCTTATGATTCCTCAAATAAGTTTTCGCTAATAAATTAAAAGTCCTTGATATCAAATATTTCTTGTTATTTTAAATCATTATTAATGTGACGAATTTTTTTGACGGTGTCGCCGTATTCGTTAGAAGTAGAGGAGAAGAAAGATTTATCATTAGTTTCGGATGTATAGAAAAAGGGGTCATATTTGCCTTCTTAATTTACGCAGTCCCCCATTTGCTCTTAGAAGTTATCCATAAATCTTTGACTTTGGAAGTCAGAGGTAAGGATTGAAGAGTTAGATTAGCTACTTGCAGAGCCGCTTAACTCCATTTAATTTAATATTTCTTCTTCAAAGTTGACTGATTGTTATTAAAATGTCAAGTGCCACATTTATTCCCTGTCTTAAGCGCTTGGCTTATCCTATGATGATTGAGATTATTAGCTTTAATATGAATGTATATTATTGCTAATCTGAGGTGATTCAACTTAATTTTTGAGCAATTTTTATTATGTTTAATTTGCTTTTTAAAGTCTGCTGCTTGCACTTTTGTGTATATTATTTGACTGGGTAGAAAGAGTGCGTGAATTACAATTATTTTTGCAATTAAAAAAAAATTAGCTTTTTTGAAGATTTTATTTTTTTTAATCATAATTTAATTAATTATAAATTTTGATATTATGTGCATATAAGCAAAAGCCGCATTTCCTTTGATTAATTTTTTAAATTTGTTATTGGGGATCGCATTTACAAAAAAATTTTTAATTTTAACTATTAGTTTTTTTTTATAGGACAGAATTTGTGTGAGGAGTCAAACAGTAGAAAGAGCTTTATGTAAACCAGTCCAGCTCTTGCCTGAATTTTTTAAGCATGCATTTTTTAAATTATTTGTTAGTATGTGGAGAGTAAAATTGCAAATAACATTCCTCGTTACTTCCTTTCCTTTAATTAGATTCCTTATTTTGTAATTTCATATTTTAATATTATTATTTTGTAGCTTTTTCATCTTAAATATTCTTAAATTAAAGTCTATATTTCTGTTCCTTTTAATTACCCTTACTGCAAAACTAATTCTGCCCTTACGCGATTTCTTCCATTGTTGAACTATCAAGAAAAATATCTTATTATTGAACGCCATCCTATAAAATATAATTTGCTCTCTCTTTAGCTCCTACATCGCTATCGCCTCTATCTTAGAATGTCGTAAATGGAATAGCACGTGTCTAATCTCTTAAAGGCTAAATATTATTATTTTACATTATTTATGATTAGGATGAAAGTTATTTGTATTTTTGTAGCAATCTTAGTTCTATTGATTAAGTACTTATAAAATCCTATAATTGTAGCTAATTTGCATTTGGAGCCTTACAATACTATTAATCTTATTGTTGCAAGATATCTTGATCATAGGTATTTTATCTCGATTGCTTTAATTAAAAATTGCAAGGGGAATTATATAAATTATCTGATGGAACGATGAATTCCTTGTCATTAAATTAAAAATAAATTTGTTTCAAAGCGTTCTGATGCTACTGCTCCAAAATCTGATTATTCTGATTTTGAAATTTATTAATTTCAAAATTATTTTTCTTAATAAAACGGTTGCTTAATTTATCCTTTAATTAAATATTACTCTCATTTAAATTATTTTATTCCTCAACAAACTACTAATCGTTAGTTAAAGGAATAGTAATTGATTCCGCAGTGCAACTATTAAATATATTTTCCTATGGCTGCCTACTATTTTTGTCATTTACTGCTTCATAATTAAAAGCTCCTTTCAAAGTCTATGAATTAGTATATTAAAAGTCTTTGTATTTTTTTTGTAATGAGGGCTCACTCGATTGTTACTAATGATCGTCAAATACTTCAGTTTATTGACGTGAGTTTGGTTCTTGCATTTCCGCCTGAATTTATTTACTGGATTATAATAAAAAGTTGCTGTTATTATGACTAACGCCTTTGTATTAATTTTGGGGTGGGTTTTTAAATTTAAAGAAGAAATCTTTCTGATAATTTTTGTTATCTTTTTCAATTTCAAAAGCAGGAATTTAAAAACTTTTTAAAATTTAATTATTTTTTTGAAATTAGCGGAATTGATCAATACAATACTCCTGCTTATACTAAAATTCCTGAATATCTTTAAATTAGCTGTAGCATTACTATTTTTCCTCTTCTTAATCTTCTTAATCGCTTTAAGTCTACTGCTACACATACTTTTTTTAAATTTAAGCATTACTAATTATCTCATTAAGCTGCGCAGATTTATTTTCAAAGATCGGATAATTATTATTTTACACTTGTAATTTGTTAGTCGAAAAATTCCTCTCCATATACAAGTCTTCTAATGAGTAATTTTCAATATCACTTGAGAAGCTACTCATATTTTTGTTGTTAGCAATTTATCTTGGTTAAACCACAAAATATTCAGATTAATCATCCTATTTTTCAATTGAAAATTTTTATTCAAACTAAATCGCATTATTTGTTTTAGGTTAAGGTTAATCTACGGTGCCATTATATTGACTTAAATCACTTTGATCTTTACAATATTTATTTTTTTAGCTTTTTATACACTCTTAGATATTTTCTTGACATAAACATCCTACGCATATCAACAATAATAGAAAAAATACTATCTCTGACTTATTTTACTCGATAAACTCCTCCAAGTTTAAAGAAGTCTAGTAGCGAATATTTATGCGCTTTATCAGTTTCAATTGTTTTTTTTAATTATCTTTTTAAGTATACAATTTACCTGAATTTTTACTCTTCTCTGTAAAACAAATTTCTTAATTATTAAAATTTCTATATTCATCACACTCAATATTTTTCTAACAATCGAATATTGGATAGACGAAATATTCATTTTAGTACAGGCAATTCTTAATAAAAAACTAAATTTTTTGCCCATCTGATATAAAAAATCCACGTATTTGCTTAGAATCTGCCTTACTGAATAGTAGTTAAGATATATTTTTTTATTTAAAAACTGCGTTAGTTTTGTTTTGCTTTTTCTCTTTAAATTAAGTTTCATTAAAATCAAATAGACAATTTTTTAATTAAGTTTAACTTTCTTTCAAAGATGTTTAGTTTTAAAATAGCTTAGATATCAGAATATCTTAATTCATATTTTGCACAACATGTCTGCTTAAGCTAGTAAACGTTTACTAATCAAGATCAAAGACCAATTAATCAAAGACGATTACTTTTTTCTAGATAGACTGATAAATTAAAACAATACTCAAGCTTTCTTATTTTGATAGGACAATACCCTATAATTAGAAATTAATCTCAAGCTTATTTGCCTGAAATAATTTATGATAATTAAATGTTGGAATCTCAGGTAGATGATATCTTACTGAATTTTTTTGTTTCTAAAATACCGGAGTCTCTAAACTCCTCAAATCCAAAAATCCAACTTTCAAAGTATTATCTACACAAATTACATAAGATTAGTCATTTAATAAAGAGCAATTAATAAAATGAAGGGAGCTATCTTTAGGTCTAATCTCAAATCTACTTAAATCAATATCATGGTATTTAGTAATAGTTTTATTATTTTTTTATTGTTAATTTTATCCTTATAAAATATTTTGATTGGATTTACTCAAACTTAGCCTAATCTTGATCAAATAAAATGATTTTTTATCATTTAATCCCTTATTTTTGATTAATAGATTTAGAAAAATAAATGGTTGCTCAATTTTTTTATCTATTTTGGTTTCATCTCTTAACTATTTGTTAGTATAAAAAATTTAAAATATATTTCATTAATTTAAATTTTTTAAGGAAAATATAAATTTAACAATGTTGAACAAAAAATATTAATATCAAATCTTACATTTCTAACATTACTCTCCACTTTATTTGTTTGATTCACTTATTAAAAAGCGGTAGTTGTATTATGAGTGAGAGGAACTTAAAGATCAAAATCATTTAGTTTTTAATATGTTGAAAAATTTTATATCTAGAAATCAAAGGTATAAACTAGTAATTCATTTTATTCGGATTCCAAGATAATAAATAGCTGTTCTTCATGCTTTTATATATGAATTTCTTTCACATATTTTTCTTCGATAGGAACACTTTGAATAATTTCAAACCTGAAAAAATCATATAAATTTAAAGTTAAATTCATAGACGAATAAATAAAACAAATATGTATAGATTCGTCGCAGCGCATCAGCGTATTTGGTAACTCTAAGCTTTAAACCTAAGAGTATAAGTGCAACTCATCAGCTTCTAAAATATTATGAGAACATTCTAATTTACCAGTCGAAAATAGTAAAAAAAATGTAATCAAAAACTAAAGTATCATTATATTTGGTTGATGAATTAATTTTAGATATATTCTTTTTGTTTGCTTGTAAAATTAATTGTTTTCCTTTCTTTTTTCTTGTTCTACAAAATAATAATAAAGTTAGTCGTAAACCAAAACAATCAATCAATCAAAAAAAATTAATAAATCAAGAAATAAGCAAAATTACAAAGAAACACATAAAAAAAATCAAGAAAAATTTATTTATTCTTAAACAGATTATTATATGATAAATACTAGTTTGATTAATTTCAAATGTTTTTAATTATTATATCATTATTTTTATCAAATAAATAGCTAAGCTAAATAAATCAATAAATCATTGATTGAATTATCTTTTTATTTTAAATAAATTGCACACAGACAAATATAAAATTTAAATTAAAAAAATTCATACTTAATCAGAAGAATTTTTAAAAAAAATCCAAGCACTTATTACATATCAAATGATGATTTAATCATCATATTTTATAAATATAAACTTAACATACAATTAAATTTAAGATTATACTTCCCAAAACTTTTTACTTTGTTAGTCCACACAAAAAACACATTTTTAAAACAGTACTCTAATTTATTTATTTTTTTCTCTCATCGAAATTCTTTTTTCTATCCTCCAAAACGAAATGCGAATTAATTAAAGAAAAATATCTATTTACCACACTTTTTGTTAAAAAAGAATTAACATATTATCACAATAGTTGTTTTGATAATAGAGTTTCTATATTCTTATTAATTTTTTAGTACAAAATAAATTCCCTTAAATTTTCTATTTATTAAAGTTAATTTTTTCAATAGATAGATCTAATCAAAGATCAGTCAAACAAACTGAATTTATTTCAAATGTTTTCTATTGTGATTATAATAATCTATATATATTTCTTATTTGTTTTTGTCCTTTATAAATATTTTTCTTACATAAGTTATTATTTTGAAATGTAAGTACCTAATATAATGTTTACAAAATTTTGTTTGAATATATTATAATAATTATTAATCTTATCACCTAAATTACATTTTTTTAAATTATACTTTTATATTTTTTTTTTAGTATTTGCCAAATTATTCACCTTTTTAATTAAAGTCTTTTTTAAATTTTTAAAATTAATTTCATTTTATAATTTTTCTATTATTTTTACAACAAAAATTTTAAAAATTAAAAAAAAAATTTTATCTTAAAATTATCAAAAAAAAAAGAATATTAAATTTATTTACTGTCATTCCAATCCTTAATCATTTATTAAAATATTATTTTTTTTTCAACTTATTATTTTATTTATGAATAATTTTTTTAAGTAAACAAATTTTAAAAAAATAATTCAATGCATTTTTAATTAAATAAATTTTGAAATTTATTGAAATAATTTTATGAAAATTTTATGATAAAATCAAATTTTGAATAGCTTATTTTCTTAGCTTAATTTTATTATAATATCTTCTACCTAATTAAATTAATATTAACTACTTTGTAAAAGATATCTATTTAACTTTGTTCTAATTCTAGCAGTTTGGTTTAAAAAATGGAATAAATTAATCAAGAAATTGAAATAGAATCTGTCCAAAATTAGTTGGGAAGTTTTTTATAAAGATACTTGACTATAACTACTTTAAAAGAATAGCTTTAAATTCCCTATCAGTCCTCTTATAGTACCTAATTTCCTTCAAGCTCACATTAAATTGATTCAGATTTAGATGAAAATTCTTTGTAGGATCTAGAAATATTTAACTTTTAGTCAATCAAAACTTAAAACTATTTTATAAATTATATTAACCATATAGATAGCTCAAAGGTTTTAATAGAATTAAGTCACTAGCCTTACTCATATACGCTCTTTCAAACAGTATTTTAGTTGATTAATAATAACAAATTTATTTAAAAGGTGCATTTGAAATTTCATTACCAAATGGAAACATAAGAAATAAGTTTATTGAATGATATTATGAGAAAGCCCGGTTTAATTGAATTTAAATTAACTTTAGAAAACAATAAAATAGTGACAAAAATCTTCACTGTAATAAGCGAGATTTTGAAAGAAAGTGAAACACTAAAATCTTTTTCACTTGAAATATTAAATTATCCAATAAAATCAAATGACACTGAAATCTTAAGTTAAGGGATAAGTGCAAATAAATCTCTTAAAGAAATAGAAATAGTAAGCTACTTTTTGATCCACGAGTATAATCTTATAATAGACGCAATAAGTAATTTGGAATAGCTAGAAATTGTTAAACTAGATTTAACTTATTCAACTGATTATATCTCTGATTCAATTGAGCAAATAGGTTTGTAAATTGCTAGCAAATTAAAAAACTTAAAAGAAATTTATGTTTAGTTTAAGCATTTTAGAATCATAGATAATAATGCTATTGTAAAGCTTCTAGAGTGTATATACTCAAATCAATCCATAACAACTATCAGCATTTTATTCCCCTTTACTTCGTTAGACATAGAAGATTTCAATCCTTTTAATTAAGTGGCAAAAAGAAAGTAGCCTATAAATTTACATTTAGATATTAGGATAGCCTCTAATTCTGCAATGGATTATTTACTTTAAATTTTTAGATTGAATACCTTTAAAATATTAGATATAAAGAATTTCAAAAATATTCATGCAAGACTTAGCAGATTATTGAACTCATAAATCATGTATGATGAATAAATAGAGCAACTCAATTTGTAGTGTTCATATAATGATCTAATCCAGATTGATGAGGGTCTCTCATTTAACAATTAATTACACAGTGTTTCTTTAATAATAAAGTTTGACATCATTGATTTTGTTAAACTTAAAGAAATAGGAAATTTTTTGTAAAAGATACCAAAACTAAGCTATTTAAACTTAGTGTTTAGTGATTGCAAATACGATGTAAAGCATCTAACAAACTTGATAGTGAATAAACTGTAGAGCAAATCAAATATGGTTTATATGAGATTAACACTCTTTAAATATTCTTCAAAGTAAGACTAACTTATTCAATTTTTCGAAGATAATTTGAATTCTAGAGTAATCTTAGACGTTAACCCTCATAATTATACTATTCAAGATCCATATCTTCATATAATAAACATAACTGCAAGAGAATAGCTTGTTATAATTTCTAAAATATTTTATTTCAATAAAAATATTGCTCCTCTACTCCACTATAATCCTTAATTTATCTTCTCTGATTTATATTTAGATTGAAGTAATCAGTCAATAAAATATTATTTCATTTAAATGTTAAGCGTTTGAAATAAAATACAATAAACTTTATTGTTCTTTTTAATATTTGATAATTTTACCAACTATAAATATTGTAAAAAGTGATGTAAATTTCAATTGTTTATTCTATTTCTTGTTAATCTAAAATAATTTATCTAAATAAATGATTTTAATTTAAAAATAAAAATTAATATTTATAAATTTTTTAAACATTTATATTTATTTTATGATAATTATTTTTTTAAATTAAAGAAGATAATAATGAGAATTATAAAGCATCCAAATAAAATGAATGTAATTTCTAGAAAATAGAATAAAATTTTTAGCTATTTCAACTTATTTTAATTATAAAAGAAGACAGAATTTAATCATTTTTAAACAAATGTCTTAATTTAATTCTTTGATTAACAAATATTAATCCCAAAACAAACAAACAAATAACTAACTAAAGATTATTAAAGTTTACATAACAGAAATTTTATTTATAATAACATTTTTTAAAAAGGTAAACAAGCAAACCAAGCATAGGATAGTAATAATTACAGACTTATGAGCAAATAGCAAGTCGAGAAGATTGTATTTACAATCTTCCTCGTTTTAGCTGCTCTTGATATTGCATTTACTCAAGTCAATAAACAAAATCCTTAGGTTCAAAATTTAGATAATGACCAATTCAGGAACACAAACTAAGATGATAAGTATTATAGTTCTTCTGAAAATAGTAATAAAAGAAGCGATTATTAAGAAGATATCGATTCGAATTATCAAAATAAGGATGAAGATATAGACACAACTCACCATCAAACTTATGAAAACAATAAAGAGAGAATAAGAAATAAAAGAAAGAGTAATAATAGTACAGGTGGCAGCTATTAAAAAAGAGGAGGTTAAAAGTACGTTTTAGTATAATATTGTATTGGGTGATCATACAAAGGCAATTTTATGCAGTTAAAACAAGCCATAGAATCCAGCATACCTAATGTTTAAGTTGAGGGTACTGAATACCCTATTACAGCTTAAAAGCAGTTAATTTGCAATATAATTACTGCAATTCAATATGGAGGTATTGCATTTATGTTCTTTGGAGATACTTTGTTTTAAATGCTTAAAATTGCCCCCCCTCAATGGTATTACTCATTAAAGGAAAATAAATGGACAACCATTATATTCCTTTTCATGGTGGGAAACATGGTTATATCCTAAATCTCACAAAGCGGAGCTTTTGAAGTTTTTTGCAATGATAAGTTAATTTTTTCTAAGATTCAGTCAAATAGAATGCCTAGCTTAGATGAAATAATAGACCCTATATCAAATATGTGAAAATTATGAAAGAAATTTTTCTTATATTTGAATGTTTTTAAATTAATCAAAATGCTAATAAATATTTAGTTTATAATTAAGTTTAATGACGTTGATTGACAAAACTCGAGAGAGAGTCTCTCAACTGAATATATAATAGAGATCATATTAACATTTACCATTGATGTTAAAATGTTCCTCTACTGTTTCTTATTGTAAACTTCATGTTAATAGGCATATTCATTAATTGATATTCAATTTCTAAATAATCAAAATATTTTATTTAAATTAAAATTAATGTTGTTATATTAATAATCTAATTTTGTGACACATTTTTTAATTTTTAGAAAATAAAAAAACCAAAATATTTTTATTAAAATGAAAAATTGTTTAATGCTTAGTAAATAAAATAAAATTTTTTTATTAATATGAAAGAGCTCACAATTAATATTGCATACTGTTATAACTTTTAAGCATAGCTTTTACATTTTGTTGAAATTGTATTTACCTTATTTAGTATTAAATGATTTGGAATATAAAATATACTTAATTAATTAATATTTCATTTTTAAAAATGAAGTCATTATTTTAACTTTTTTAATGAATGAATTAATATTACAATAATTTAAAAAATATAAAATGTAAACTTGATACATAATTTCCAGTATTTTTAAGATCACTTTAATTTTATCACAAAAATAAATGATTTCAATAAATAATTATTCTTATTATTTCAATCTTGAAAATGAATAGAATTTTATATTATATAAGATTTAATTAAGCAAATAAAGTTTTCTATAAAAATGTCTAAAATATTTTTCTGAAAGCTTAATATTTTATTTATAATTATGTTTTTATCAAAAATTTTAACTATTAAAGTTTACATTAAATGCAAAATAATATAATTAATAAATTTTAATAAAAAAATTTATAAAATTTTACACAAATATTCAAATTTACTAAAATGAAATGATTTTACAATTAATTATTTATTTACTTATTTTGTGATAAAATTGCATACTTTTTTTGGTTTAAAAATCAATCACGTTTGCTACAATTTTTTCTTTAATAGTATATAATAATCAAACTTATAGTTAAAATTTCTATTAAATTATTTAATGAAAAAATTAATATTTTTAAAAAATCTATTAATGCATAAAATACTCTATTTCAAAGTAAAAAATCTATTTATGATGAGTAAAATTTTGTTATTTTTTGATGAATCCAGCGTATTTTTTGAAAACTTTATATTAGTAATTTATAATCATCTAAGAAGTTTTGATAATCATCAAAATTTTTAATTACTAAGTAAAAAGAATTTAGCATTACATATAAAGCGGTATAAAATATTACAAAACCAATAATTTTATAAAGGAAGGAGACATACCATAAGCATTTATAAAATATTAAATAAGTTGAATGAATACGATAATAGCAGAAAACCCAAGAAATTTGATCAATTAGAATAAAAAGCAGCCATCTATTGCAAACGGTAATGCCGTAAATGAAGCTAACACAAAAAATAAAATGCATTCATAGTAACCTACAAATAAGCCTACTAAATTAAAAAAAGTTGGAGATTATATTTTTATTAAATAAATTGGATCTGGGGCTTATTCAACAGTTCATCAAGGAAAACATAATTAAACTTACTAAAAAGTAGCTATCAAAATGATCCCTAATAGCAAATTAAATGAGACAATTTATTAGCGAGTGGTTTCAGAGATAAAAATTTTAACTAGATTGAATCATCCTAACATAGTAAGGATTATAGATTTTAAAAAAACTTCTCAAAATTACTATTTGATTTTTGAGTTTTGCTCGAATGGAGATTTAGAAAATTACATTAAGAAGCACTATGAAGGCAAAATAAGTGAAACTCTTTGCTAACAAGTTATATTTTAAGTGAGAGAAGCTTTTAAAGAGCTGACTAAACATAAAATTGTACATAGAGATTTAAAACTCGCTAATATTTTAGTTGATGAGGAATTTACAATCAAGATTGCAGACTTTGGATTTGCAAAGCATAATTAAGATGATGATCTTTTAAAGTCTACTCTAGGAACTCCAATTACAATGTAATTAAAATAAAATTAACTTTATTTAGAATCATTTTGTCTTAAAGACATTTGGATTTTGGAATTTTTTTTGATTATTTTTTGATAAACTCCATTCTATTTCTTTCTTTTTTTCTTTATTACTGCTGTTTTTTCGTTTTTTTAAATACTTCAACATTTATAAAAAAATGATTGTTGGTATTTAAGCAAAATCAATTTTTTAACTGAAATATTGATATAAACAACTTTGATAAATTTCAAATCACCCTTTTCTTATTTATTTGGCTTTATTGAAACACTCTGTATTAAATAATAAATTGAAAAGGGCTCCAGAAATTTTGAATGGAAAGCAATATAACGAAAAATGTGATATTTGGAGTCTTGGAGTCATTATTTATTAAATGGTTTTTGGGAAACCACCTTTTATGCCTGCTAAGGGAGGTGGAATTAATGGACTCATAAGAGAAATTTAGAAGGAAAAGTTTGATTTTCCTGATTAAATTCCTATAAGTGAAGAACTAAAAAATTTGTTGAGAAGAATGTTAACAGTCGACCCTCAAAAGAGATTAAATTTCAAAGAATTATTTAGCAACAGGTGGATTACAGGAGAATTCAAACCTGGAATGATAGGAAATGAAGTTGAAAGTTAAGATATAGATTTAACTTAATCTTTGAAGTAAAAAAAAAAATAGGCTAAGGAGATTTAAGTGAAATAAATAATGCAACTAACCTAAATGTAGATTATTGAAAATGAAGAGTATCCTGAGGAAGAATAAAAAGATACTGATTAAGAGTATTTAGAAACATAGGTAGAAGAAACATAAGAAAAAGATTTAGAAGACATAGACATTTAAGCTATTTAGGAAGTTAATCCAGCAAATGAAACTCCAACACCTTATGTTGATGAAGCTCTATTATAAACACATGAAAAAATTCATTTAAATTAAATAAACATATAAAAAGATGAATTTAAATAAGAAAAAGTAACTTATAATTTAACTCTTCATTTTATCATTAAGTTTTTAGATAGTAAAGATTATTTTTTTATTTTTTTCATACATTGAAAAAAATTTTAAATAACTTTCTTTCATAGCGTTTCTAGAATTATCTAAAATAAATATTGATTAGACAATTTATTTGAAATTTTTATGAAATAAATATATTAAATTGTAATGTTGTAAAAAAAGGTACTTATTGCAGGTGTAATGAAATTCGCTCTCTCTTTAAGAAAATATTACGAAAAAAGAATAATTATCTTTATAGCTAACTGCAAAAAATACATGGACTTCTTTTAAAAAGTTCAAAACTCTTTATGTTTTAAAAATAATTCTTTTTACAGAAACTCTGTCATTTTAAGTGCTGTAATTATAGCTTCTAGAATTTCTGATTTTGTAAAAGGTAATATCTCTGTTAAAATAGAATCAGAAACACACAATCTTGGAACTTATTCTAACTTTACAGGTCTTTTCTTAGAGAAAGGGGAAAGTGATCAAACTAATTTTATCCACATCTTAAAAAAGAAATAAGCTATGTTTGTTGAAATCATATAAAAGCTTTTAGCAAGCTAATAAATAAATATATCTTCTTCTAACTCACCTGAGTACCTCTTTATTCAAAATCTTATTAAAACATATTCTCTACATTAAGCCACAGCAAATAGTAAACAATAAATAAATTATCAAAAAATAGTTTATTAATTAATTTTTTTCAATAAATTAGATCAGTGCGATTTGCAAATAGTCAAAGATATGCATGAATTACTTGAAATATATGAAAAGCTTTAATTACCTCAACTTTAATTACAATCAATTATAAGAAGATAAGGTGTAGATGTAAAAAAGTTATTTGGAGATTTGAACAATATGTTTAATCTTATTCAAGATACCATTAAAGCTGATAAAAAATATGTTAAATTTCAATAATCTCCTTTTGAGATAAAAATTGGTATAGCAGAAATACCTTAAAGCGAATAGCAATTCAACGAGATACAAAAAAAACTTTCTTAAATATTAAATTTAAATAGTGAAAATAGCAACAATTCTAGCTATTTTTGCAGTGAAAGTTTAGAAACCAACAACTGAAAATCTTGTGATTTAGCAAATAAAAATTAATATAGCAGAATATTTTATTGAACATAAAGAATACTACTTTCATCACTCTATATAAAGATGTTCAACAAAAATAAAATAACATAAGGCTACTCTAAAAAAAATGCACCTTTTTAAATAAAAATAATCCAAAAAAAAAACTTAAATTGTAAATCATCATCTCCAATGTAAAAAAAACCTATTAAAACTAGATCGAATATTTTTAAAAAATGTATAAAATATAATTTCAATTCTAATTAAGTAAATAAAGTTAGTAAATAAATAACTAGAGCTTAAATGCTTTTTCATTAAATGTAAGCTACCATTATTTATTATTTAAATAAGTAAAATTATATGATTTAAAATATATTAAGAAAAAGTATGCCAAAACTAGGTAAAAAAATAAATACTTTTAACTTTCATTAATAAGAACCCCATTTGATGAAAAATATACCTATAACATATTATAAAATTTTCTTCTTGTAAAAATTTAACTTATATTTAGGCTAATAATTGATTTTTGTATTTAACTTTTTAATTCCCATAAAATAAAAAAAGTTTTATTTTTGAAGTTTTTGAATTGTTTTTAATAATGTACTTATTTATTTATTTTAAACATATTTATAATCGAATTTATTTTTTTAAAATTATGTTTTTTAATATTTTTGGGATTTAACTAATGAGGGTTGATACTAATCTAATTTTATAATTGTTTTGTTATTATGGTTTTTTTTTAGAAGAAATGCTAATATAAAAAGATAAACAATTATTTTTTATTCCTTCTAAAATTATATTAATAATCAATTAAAGAAAACTAAATCTCAAGAAAATAAAAAAAAGAAATCGATATTAAGGAAATCATAATTTTTAAATGCAGTTTAAGTTTCTATAATTTGAAAAAATTTACAAAAATTAAAAATTATTAAAGCAGATTGAGTTTATTAATAAGTTATTTAATTACTTTTTAGAATGACAAACTTATTTTTTAAATAAATATTTTTGAAGAAATTAAAACTGATTTTAAAAAACAAATTATAAATTTTGAAATATATTACTGGAAGTAGAATTTTTAATTGACTTACGATAAAAATTAAAGAAAATTTGAGATTAATTTTTGTATAAATTTACTGATTATAAATAAATATAAAACAGATATAAAAAAGTGTTAACTTAAATATAAAATAATCTAAATAGTCTTAATTTTGGTATGTTTTTAAGGTCTCAGCTCTTATTAAATCTACATATTTTTCATATTCTTTCTAATTAAGGTCATAGTTTACTTGAATGATAGCTTTTTAAGAAAATGCTTAAAATAAATATGATAAAAAGTAAGAAAATAAATAATCAAAATTTAAGAAAAAGAAGAGTAAATATTAACGATTTAAAACATTTTTGAATAGAAATCGAAAAAAGTTAATGAACCAAAAAAAAAAAAGAATTTATTTAAATAAATCAAATTAAATAAAAATGAATAAGAATTAATAAAGGAAATGTAAATGAAAGAACAAAAAATGGAAAGGAAATATTAAATGAATGGTAAAGAATGAAGTAAAAAGAATAAAGAAAATGGCAATTGAAAGAAAGAAAATAAATAAATAAAGCTTTAATAAAAGAGAAATTGCTTAAAAGTATGGAAATCACATACTAAGCAAGTGGAAAAAGAAGAGCATTTAAATGAGGTTACAGTGACATTTATCATCGTTTTCATCATACATATTATTATTATATTTTTTCCAATTTTCAACTTCATATACTGTGAGATCCTCATTGAATGAAATCTTCTGCTTCTTCTTCTGGTGATCTATTGGGTTACCAAACTTATCTACTCTTTGATTTGTCTCATTTGCTTCTACATTGTATGCTGCTCCTTCTTTCAAGAGTATGCTCTATAATTTTCTGGGCTCTTCCTGGAATTTTACATTAAGTTACACATCGTCGTCATTCTGAATCTACTGGCTTATACGGAAACTACCTCTTTTACCTTTTGTATCATTTTTACCTTTTTTTTAAAAGAATTTTTTCTGTTCTTATGTTGCGTGCTAACTTATTGGCGTGAGATTGTGTTCATCTGTAGTAGGCACTTATAATAAATTATTGCCATTAACGGGCTTTTTGGGTGATAGAGATGCTTACTTTTAAAAGCTTTCCATTTCAGACTGGACCGAATTGCCACTTGAGCTTGTTGCTTTAAGCATTTTATTTTAAAGTATCTAATTATTATTGTATTAGCTATATTTTTGGCGTAACGCATCCTCTGCATTTTTAATGCTATTAGTGTTACTGTTATTAGTGGGCGAAACTTTAATCTTTCTCATAGTATGCTAGTATACCTAAATCGAGATATTAAATGTTTTATTTTAATTTTTAGATGAAAATAGCAGCGATTTGCTTTAAATATGGATAAGTTTCTTTATTTTTTGTTGGAGTAAACCTTTTTTTTAAATTAATACAATCGTTTAATTGAAAGGTTTTTTTTTTATTAATAATGTTTATGAGACAAAGCATTTCTTTCAAGAAAAAGTTATAATTCATTCAATGAATTAATAAATCTTTGATGAAATAAATAAATCAAATAATACAAAGTAAGTTCTTTCTTCATTTATTTTATTAACCATAAATTGAATTATCTAACAAGAAAAAAAAAAAAAATTATCAAGCAATATTAATATTTTTTTTCGAATAGACTAATTTTATGCACTGCTTTTTTTATTTGATAATTTTATAAATTTGAATGGAAATTGATATTTATAAAGTAAAAAAAATACTTAAGTATATTCTTTAAGCAAAGTTAAATTCAAGCAAATATTTGTTATTTTTCAAATCAACCAGGTGTTAAATAATTATACTTTATTTGGAAAATTTGTTATTCAGCATCTGTTTATTCAGTTTCATTTTAATTTTTGTTCAAGTGCAAGCTTCTTTTTTTGGCTATTAAAACATTCTAAATTATTTTTACATACAAAACTTTATAAATGTGTCAATTTATGAATTAGTCAAAAATTCACAGAATTATCTATTTGATAATTTATATTCTATAAATTATCACAAATCAAATCAGATAATTATTTGAAATACCCTTTATTATTCATTCATCAACGCAATTACTTTTTTTACCAAGAAATAAAAAAAATCAAAAATATACAAAAATGTAAAAGGAAAGGTACCTGAGAATTATAAATTTTAATAAATAACATTTTTTCTAATGAAAAAGGATTAACTTTATTTATTTTTATTTGAAAGAAACAAATAAATATTTTTCTAAAAGAAGTAGCACTAATCTAGTAGAATGCTAAATATAGATGTAATTCAATATTCATGTGAAATATAATCACTTAATTACATTCGAGAGAATAATTAACCCAAATTAAATAAATTAATGTTTCCAATAGCAGAAAAAAAATAATAAGTAATATTAAATAATTAATGAATGAGCTAATTAAAGTGCAAACAGACAAGGCAATTATTAATTTAGATACATTACATTACTTTTTTTCAAAGAAAATCAATATAAATAATTTAAAAATTTATGATAGATAACAAGAATCTTTATAATCAAAAATACTTACATGAATTAATTTAATTAAAAATGATCAATCTCATAAGAAATTCTCAAGATAAAGTTACACATCAATAATAAATGAATAAATATATGATCAACTACCAAAAATAATAAATATAAATTAGATTACTATTTATTTTTACAACTATAACTGTAAATGTTTCTTAAACAAATTATTAAATATATGATGTTATCTTTTCATTAGTATTATTATAATTATTTTTTATGTAAGGCTAGATAGATATATTGATTCAAAATCTACTTACAATTTATCCATTACTCATCTTAGTAATACCTTAAAAGGCTCTTTAAAAATACTGAGAGCGCAAGTTGCTAATGTGATTTTACATGGATTCCTTATCTTGTCCATTACCTGCATTAGCAATTTGTTGTTAGTTGCTTATTTGCTCTTTCATTATACTTGCTTCTAAGTTTTTCTTAACAATTTCATAAGCAACACTTTTAACAATGTTAGCAAAAGTGAGATGTATTGCGCTGACATTTGTGAGGTCAAGTCCAAAGATGAACTTATGAGCATCAACATCTTTTTAGCTTGCAGCTAATTGCTTAACATTTTCTTCATTAAGGGTTAAAAAGAGAGCGTTATAGTGGCTGTGAGTGTAGAAGTTGGTTTTAACGGAGGATTTGCAAGTATCGCGAGAGTGCTACTTTATTTTTCCAGCAACTGATTTAAGACTTGAAGATAATTCCGGACTAATATTGTAAGTCTATCTTAAGTTGGCCTCATCTTTGAAGATCTGAATGATTTTATACATCAGAAGACGAGTTAAGTTGTGGAATTTAGTGCTTAACTATGAATTCTGCTCAATAGTCTGTTAAATCTTTTGTTCTCTCTTCTTGTTTCTCCTAGCATTCATAAATGTGTCTTAAACACTACTTCTATTCTAGCTACCACTAGACTAGTCAAGGACAGCATTTTTATTAGCCATGCTACATTTGGCTTAGATACAATTTTCATATTTAGTATCATTTTAGGGTTTCAAAACGGGGCTGCTGCTCTGTTTTTCTGATTACAATTGTTCCAGAGGAGCAATATCAAGTTTTCCACTCCGTTTCTTTACTTTAACAGGCTCGTAGTTTTCGTTTTCATGTTAATTCTCTTCGTCTGTTCCTTCACTAGAAGATCCTTGGTTGTTCATATTCATGATACCTTCTTCAATAATGGCATCTTCCTATTCCAAAAGTGAGGTATTTATTTGATTTAATGAAGAAGCTGCAAGAAGTTCTTGATCAAAAGCATCTCTCAATTCAGGTGATTGATGAGAAGATACATTTGAAGAAAGATTGGTTTACTCTTGCTTTTCAAGAAACTTTTTGCTGATTATCAAATCATAATTTTCATTTTATTTGAAATTAATATTCAAATTCAAAGTATCTAAATATTCATATATATTCTTTAATATATGATTAGTCTCTTTGTTTTTCTTTTCTTGTAATTCGGAAGGCCCTTCACCTGCTATTTAAATGATAATAATGAATTTAAAATTATTTTCTCTCAAATAGGTAAATTAATCATTCCTTCCTTCCTTTTTCAGCTAACTACCTACCCTTCCCTTCCCAATAAAATACAAAATTGCTAATTAATTATAGCACCCCTCCGCCACCCTGTCCCTTCTAACTTAAAAAGAATTTAATTTAATCCATTTTATACCTTAACAAATTTTATACTACATCATATGGTTGCATCCAAATTGTAATATTTAAATTAAATTTAAATCTTTTGAAAGAGGATTCTATTTAGGAATTTTCCTTTATTTTAAATGTAAAATTTTATCCCTTAAAAATGTGTGAATCTTTTGTATGAAATTGAGAACAAATTAAGGTTATTTATTTAAATAGAAAATCATGTTTTTTAAATAAATTAATATGATTGATTATTTGTGTTGGATTTTTTTCCCCTTTAAGAAAATTCAAGAAACTTAAATTTTATTTGGCATTTATTTCTCCTTTTGAAGATTATTTTTTTTAGTTTTATTAAAATTTTATTTCTAAAAATTTATTTATTTAATAGTGGGCGCTATTTACTCTATGGATGCTTACACTTTTTAACCAGTGTTATAAATTTAATTAAAAATATTGAGATTTTAGAAAATTGTAGTATTCCAAAAAGCGAAAGATTTTATTTAAATCTCGAATTTTAAATTTATCCTATTTAAAAATAAATCTCAGGGCAATAACATCACTCTTGTAAAAAGCAATTAATTTCTCTCCTCATTAGCCATAATAAATTAAACAAAGACCCATTCATCAACAACAACAACATCCATCTTCTTCAAATTTCCACTAAGCAACTAAGCAAGTATTTAACCTTCAGCAACAACACGAAGCAGCTCATAGAAAATCTAAGACAAGACTTTTTTCAGCTGATAGAATTTCTTACAATTACTACTACTATAATTTAGCATAATCTGTAGCAGTTTATCACCAAAAAATAATTGAATTAAGAATGGTTTATGATTTCTAAAGATTATTTGATGAGTGAGAGATAAAGTAGAAAGAGTGAAAGGTTAAATGTAAGATTGTGAAGAATAAATTCAAATTACATAAGTAAGTAAGTAAGTAAGTAAATGAGTATAATTTTAAAAGATTAAAGTTTTGTTTATTTGTGGAGTGAGTGAGTAAGTAAGTTAGTTAGTTAGTGAGTTAATTTGATGGAAGGATTGATGTTAGAATAAATAGAGATGTTTTTATTTACTTATTGCATTTTTGGTCTCTTAATTGCAATTTTAATTCCCAGTAGCAGCAAAGCAGCAAGGAGGTGAGGGTGATGATAATGAAGAAGATGTTGATGAGGATTGAGGTAGTTAGATGAAAGATGGTGTTGATGAACTTGTTGAGTTTTAAGTCTATTCTAAGATGAAGCTAGTACATTTCTTGCCTTCAGAAAGCTAATCGTAAAATTAATTAAATGTTGAAGAAGTAAATTGAGAATGTTATCCTTGTAAAATTTAATAACTTTAAGATTATGGGGCGTTTTTAATTTAATTTTTGAATATGCAATCAGCGATATCTTTTAAAATTAGCGGGTCAGTAATATTTTTTAGCTTTTAAAAATCCCAGTCCTTAATGATAGATTAATATTGACTATTTGGAATAGCTGTTGAGCTAATAGTTGAAGCTGCTAAACAATTTGAGTTAGAAATTTCCTCGGAAATATCTTTTTTATTGGAGCTTTATTTATTCATTGTAATAGTGCCAAGAAACTCACATGCAGTTTCTTATTGAGAATTAGCTTCTTAGTCACATACCTTTGAATAAGACAATAATGGGAAGACTGGAGATTTAGTTCCAGAAATAGATGCAGAATCTACATTAGTTTCTGATTTATCTCTAATTATTTATTCTTCTGTTTTAGCAAGAGAAAAATTAATTTCTTAGAGTTTTGTTATCGCAGTCGATTAAGATATTTAAGATCCGACTCCTGCTAATTCATTCTAAGTGGGGATTTTTTTTGAGACACGCTAAAATCCCATGGGTTTGGGAATTTTTGGCATATCTTGCCCACCGATTTACACTTGTTAAAGTGATTGGTTAAATGTTTATTGTTATTCAGAATCTACTCTCATAGCTGTTAAAGTAGTAGTATTGAGGGTATTCAAGTCCACTCCTTTGTCCTTATCTTTTTTGCTCCCTAAATTATATTTGCACTTAGGATCTTGAAATTGGTTGAGCTAATCGATCTGCGCATTATAGATTCGTGGAAATTAGTAGAATTAAGGATACTCAGGAGGGTTTTCAGTGTTGAGATAAGGTATTGGAGACGATGCTATTGATGAGTTTTGGTTGTAAAAATCATGATATGCTCCACTTAATTGGCTTTGTTGAAGCTAAAGAAGCTGTTGCAAGAGAAGCATCTAAAAGGGATTTTAAATTTATTATTCATTTTAGGATAGAATGGTACCATAAATACTTTTTAGTTGAAGGATTTATTGGAGATATTAGTTGGTCAAGTTTTATTAAAAGTTTTCGTCGTTAAAAACGAAATTCATTACCTTGCCTTAGATTTTAAGCAAACTCTTTCTCTTTTTTGATTTGTTTCTTGGAAGAGTTATTTAATACTTTTTTTGTTTTTGCACTAAATTAATTATTTATAAATAGAAATTTGATTTCTTTTTCTGCTTTTTTTTTTCCAATACTTTTTGGGCCTTCTCTTTACTTTTTTACACTACTCATTAATATTTCCAATTTTTCCTCATTTGTTTATTTCAATTAATCCTTTTCTCATTCTAAAAATCATATCTCACTCTGCATATTATTATTTAATTTATGACGACTTTTATTACCATTATATATATAATTCCTTGGGAAACCCTATAAAAAATTAAGTTATCTGTTTGTTCCCATGCAGTAATTTATAAATTTATTTCTGATAATTTACTAATTTTCTTCAAGCCATCCTTTAAGAATTTAAATAATAGTAATAATCTTAACTCCTTTTTGATTAAAACTATAGTGGATTTTTTAATTTGATAGAAGAAGTAATTTAAATTGTGATAAATTCTTTCTTTGAGCTTGCTTGTGTAATTACGACAATAAAATAGAATAATTTGATTATTTTTAATTTTTGAAACAAAAACCAACCAAATAGTTGTTAGCCCGAAATATACAAGTTGAAAATTTTAGTATATTCTATCCACTCATTTTATTAAATATATTCTATTCATTTATCTAATTATCTCAAAAACTTTTTGTAAAAATATGTTAAATTGTATTAAATTTCATATTAAGTAGGATACTATTTTAAAAAAAGAGATATTTATTTCAAATAAAATTTATCTGATAAAAAAATAAAAAAGCTTAGCTAGTTAAAAAATTTCTGTTATTTCAAACACAAAATAAAAAATGTAATGCTAAATGTTGAAGAAATTTAAGATACAAAAATAAATTACCAGATTTAAGTTTCGAATCTAAGAAAATTGATTGATTATAAATTTTTGAAAAAATGTTAGTAAAAAGGGAGAAAAGAATTATAAATAAAAACAAGTTCTTAGTTGTTTATTTATTATATAAAATTTTATGTGATTCTATAAAAAATTAATAATAAAATGATGGATAAATCTTCTAAATATTTTGATGAATAAATAAAATTTATTAATAATGCAGTAAAAATAATTAAATTCTAAATAGAGTACTTCCTTCGTTTTATAATAAAGTAATCACCTATTATTATAAACATTGTTGAAATTTAAGAAATTTTAAATGAAAAATTAATTACTCTCATATAACAAAAATAAAAAATAATTTAAATTTTAAATTATAAAAATTATCTAAAACTAAATATTATAAAATCTTAAAATAAGAATATGCTTTTATTGAATCTCAAAACTGCTAATCTTTTTAGCCTTTTTTATAAAAGAAATTTTTCTTTAACTATTAATATAGATTTAAATTGGTTTGATTGGTTTGGCAATAGAATCAAAATTTAAAGATTTTAAATATATTTAGAAAATTTTAATTTTTTTTATCACTCTTATTCAGCTTGTAATAGAGAAGTTATTTTTATACATATTTTAAATGCAATAAACATAATAATTAAAATATTTTTTTATTTTAAATAATATATTCTAAAGAGTCTATGCATTAAGGTCAAGTTCTCATAAACTCTGTAAAATTTTGAGTGTTTTATAAGTATCTCAATTATTTTATACAACTATTAAAAAAAATCACAAGTTTGTTTTTTTTTTTTGTTTACTTCTTTATAAATGAAGTATTTTTATTTTTTTAAAATAAAATAAAGTAGAGAAATTATAAATATTTTATTAAAATTTTTGTATCAAAAGTGTTTTCTAATTTATAACAACCTGATAAAAATATTTTCTCTTGAAAATATATGGAGAATTTCAACATATTATTTATAAACGAAGGAAAATTATCAAGTATTGATAAAAAAATACACCATAATTGAGAAAATCTCAAGTGAACATTAAATAGAAAACTTTAATTTAAACATCTATCAAATATGCGTCACTAAATTCAAATAAAAATATCTTCCTCAAATTTTATAAGCCTACAATTTATGAATACCAATTTATAGAGTTTTATTTACAAGTATATTTATTTAATATTATCACAATAAATAAAAAAAGATATTTATAAGATATTATCTATATTTATATATGCTTCTTTAATATTCATTTAAAAAATTTAAACTGCTTAATAGTTATATTCTTCTCATGGGTTTTTCGAGTATTTTTAAATTTTTAGTTTAGATTTAATAAATATAAATTGTAAATAATTGTTTAAATTTTTTTGTTAAAATATTATGATCATTTTATTTGAACATAAAAATATAAATGCTTTAATTTTAGAGGATTTTTTAAGTTTCTAAATATTTTTTTTATTTTTAAATATTTCAAAAGTTAAATACAAATAAATTTGTTTGAATTTCATTAAAATTTTAAATTATCTGATGATAACTTTTATAAATAATTATTTAACATAATAATTTTATTCTTTATTAAATTTATATAAATTTTATGAAGAAATTTAGCAATAAATAATTTTTAGATTTGATGAATTAAAATTTTTATTTCATTTGGAAAAATATGAAAAATAAAATTGAAAAATGAACGCATAAAACAAAAAATTTTATTAACAAAACAAATCACATATTATCATTATAAAATCATTATTAATATTTTCCGACTTAAGAGTTACTTATGACATTTTAACTGCTTTATAGGACTTAATTGATACGACGGTTTATTTCATTCATCATATCATTGTTTCCAGTAGTAGTGGATGTGTATTATTGGTTAACTACGGTACTGGGAAGGTAGTTAGCATTACTAGATTAGACGGCATCTGATCTAATACCACCATAAGTTGTGGAGCCAATTTAGAATGCAGCGGTGTTATTGATTTCAGAAGGATATTAGTTTGCACTAACCATACCAATAGGACTTTCAGGTTCATGAGCTGCAAATGTAGTACCATAAGTGGGAGCATTATTGTATTAGATCTAGTTAGCATAAATATCTTAGTTAACCATTTGTTAGTCGCTTTGAGTTTGGCGCATAGCTTTCTTAACAGTTTCTTCAGCAGGCTACTATTATTGAATAGTAGAGTTAGAAGTTAAATTATTAATAGGAGTGTATTAAATAGTGTTAACCATAGGATTTATTTAGACATGGCTATTAGTAATTTCAGCTCCAGTTTGAGGGTAGGCTACTTAGTTTTGTTGTAAAGGAATAGAAGTAAAGGGCTTTTCTTCAATATTGTAAGAATATTGAGCAATAATTTGAGATTAGCCAGGGTGGTAAGGACTAGTGGTAGTTTATACGTATTAAACACCAGATTAAGGAGCAGGATTCATGATGAGTTATGAAGCTGTGGGAATTGAAGCAGATTGATTTTCATAAGAAACTTACTAGTATACAGGTTGAGTTAAAACTTAAGAGTAGTGTTGTCTAGCTCCATTCAAGATAACCTAAGGTTGAGCAGCAGATTAGACGTATTAAACTCCACTGATAGCAGTATTGGGTTGAATGTATTCAACTTATTGAACAGGTGGTTAGGAGTAAGATACGTAAACTCCACTTTGGTTTGTAGGCTCGTTAACATATACAGGATTAGTTTAGTTGTTGAATTGATCATGGTAGAAGAATTGATTTTCTAATTGAGGAATGGGTTAACCATCAGATTATTAGATCAAATATTCAAATTATTGTTAGGGAGCTTATTAGTAGTAGATTTTACCATCTTCGCCAAGATAAGGAACCTTAACGAAAATAGGAGAGTTAGATTATTGAACACTGCTTTATTGGCCATTTTGTAAAATGTTGTCGTCTGCAAAAAGTTTCTCTCCTTATTATTCTGAAACCTTGAGTTAGGAGCTTTCTTATTCAAGAGATTTCTTGATGATTTCCTTTTCAGGATTGAAGGGTTTCAATGCTAAGATGTCCTTCTCATAGGGTTGCAAAATTTTGTAGATAATTGAAGGAGTAGGTCTATCTTCAGCGTTTTCACTGAGCATAATTTTAACAACCTTGCAGAAGAAGTCTGAGTATTAGTTTTTAGAGAAGTCAAGGAGGTAGTTAACGTAGTTGTAGTTGATTGAGCATTCATCGTAATTGTACCAGCTTGGGCTAGTTTGTAAAGTAGCGCAAGCAAGCATGGTCATACCTACATAATAATTATAACAAATTATTAAATTAATTATGTTGCTTTTTCATTTTATATTGCGAATTTATTTCTATCTTAATATCTTGCTGAAAATAGAAATTAAAAAAAAGTATTTGCACGTATGTATGTAATTGTATCTATGTTCGAATAGATTATTGAAAATATATCTTTTTGCTTTGCATTTAATTTTTTACTGAATTATAACACTTAGATAATTTTTTTTAATTAAAGAATCTTAAGGGTGAATAAAAAATATTAAAATGAGTGAATGAATGAATGAATGAATGAATGATAGTTATCTTTTTTTTAAATTTCTTTTCTTTGAATTTATTAATTTCTTTGTTGTAAATTTCCCTTTTAGACTGTTAATAAACAATTTTCTTTTGCGTTCATTTATTCATCCAATCACTCACTCACTCACGCATTCATTCATTCATTAATTTATAAATTTATGATTTATGATTCAGTCAAAAAGCAAATTAAAAATTTATTTCATCTAAAATTTATTGTATCTTTAATACCCTAAATTTTGAAATTAGTTATTTTGATAAACCGCTACTAACTTTCTTCATTAATTTATTTCTTTCTTTCTTTCTTTCTTTATTTTTTTAAGCTATTGTATTCATTATTTGCTATGAATTAAAATGTTATCATTTTGAAGTGAAAAGTAGATTAAGTTAATGCCTATTAAATAAATTACCAATAGAGTAGACATCACTCTTGACTTGGTTGACATCAGGAACTTGCTTTCTTTTTCTCATTTCTTCAATCTATTCAGGAGAAAGGTAGCTCTATTCGCTTTGGCTAAAGCATTTAGCATAACCACTGATATCTTCAGGGAAAATACTATTTTATAAATAAAATGCTTAGACATTTGCTGAGTTAATTTATTTTTATTTTATAATTTTATTTCAATCTCTAAAAATGTGTAAAAATGATGGATAGATAAAGAGCTATTTTATAAACTGAAATAATGTTCTTGAAAGCCCTATCTCTATAAACTACCATTTGATTGCTCCTTAAATTATTTTGGGAGGCATTTTTATTTGATGAGCTCAAGATTAGATTCCTTTTAAGTATTTCAAAGAAATCTTATCAACTCAAATTGAAAAAACAGAATAATCTTTATTTCATAGACATAGGATATAGCTAATCATAGAATAATGAAATGCTCATATGTCTAATACGTTTGATTTTTAGAGATAGAAATAAAAAACTGTTAAGGAATTAGTATAAAATGTATCAATTACCCAAAAGGCATAAGCTTAACTTCTCCCTTTAAAGTGAAATAAACAGTAGAAGGACGGACGTCAGTAAGAGGAATGAGATTGTTCTTTTCAAGATAATAAGCAGCACTTACAATAGAGTAGAGAATAGCCCATAACTCTTGTTCTATGTAGTAGAGACTGACTTGTTAACGTCTGACGAGCTCATCTTGAACTGTGTTTTGGTAATATTCATGGTAGGTAGTGATACCGTTGACAGAACCACACATGCTATCTTCAGAGTGAGTCTTGTAGGAAAGTACCTTCATTAAGTAACGATTTTAAGTATTTAGTGCTTTTGGCAGATTGTTTTCTACAAATTCTTCCATAAGCTCTTTGCTCATTAAGAAGTTATTCTTGACAGCTACCAAATTACTTTGAGGACCCTAATATACCTTGACATTACCAAGACGAGTATCGATTTCTTCCCCGATTTCCTTGTATTCTCTTTAGAATACTCTTAAGAAATCTACATTAGGTTGTGGTTTTGAATTTGTCTCTCCCATTTTATTTGATCCTATATTTTTGTTGAAATGTTTTTTTACTTTATAACCTCTTTTTTTATTAGTTCGGCTTTTTCAAGCTGATTCTTTCTATTTAGTTAATTAATTTTTATTTAATTTTTATTGAAATAAATTTATTACTATTTATTTTTCTTAAGAGAGATTCAATTAATCAACTAATTAATTAATTGTTATTGCTGCATCTTTCTTCTTTTTATTATAAATCTATTAATTTGCATATTCTTTGTTCATTTATTTTAAAATTATTACCATCATCATCGCAAACTACCTCACTTACTTTCATTTCTAATCATAAGTGATTTAATTATTATTGCTTATTTGGTTTTTGTCTTATTTCATAGCTTTCTCTCTCTCTTTTTACATATTCTAGACATCCAGTATATTTATAAATCGCATAGAATCATTCCTAGATACTTCAAAGTTTCAGTTTATTTGTTGTATCTAATATAAGAAATAGTCACTCTATACAAATGCATTCTGTTTTTATTGATAATTTGTTTGAAATATCTAAAATAGTTAGTTTTATTCTTAATTCATGCTATCCTTTATTTTTGATTCAGTGCAAATAAATAAATAAATATCTTTATTAATTTCTTAGTTTTCAATATAAATTTATTTGTGTCAATAAACAAGCACAAATTAATAGAAAATATCTAAACAATTTTTTAGAAAATAAATTATTTCTATACTAATGTTCGCTTTATTAAAGTTACCACATTTGTACATATATATAAGTACTTTCTTATTTAGTTAAAGCTGCTACAAAAGTATTCAGTTTAAGATTGCAAATTTTGTTTTACTAGTTATCCAGTCAAAATAAAATAAAAAATATTCACCAAAAAGTTATTCGATATTTTATTATTAGCTATTAAATCAGTAACTACTAATCACATAAATTTTAAATACCAAAGATATGTTTGATTAATAAAAATAATCTATTACGATACTAATAAATAATTAAGAATAATTGCATAAGTAGAAATATCTTATCAAATTTTGATTCAAGCGTATCTTTCAATATCATACAATTAATCAATAGTGTATATTTTTATAAATTTTGCAAATAAAAGATAAAAATTACTTTTTATAAAATAATTCTAAGTTACAATATTTTTATTTAAATAAATAAAATCTTAAAAATAATAAATATTTTAAAAAGCAATTTAAATTGAAATACAATTGATTAATGAATTATTTATTATTTGAGCTTTAATAAAGCTTTTCATTCCAATTTTAAGAATCATAAGAAGAAGATTTTTTATTTGTAGAATATTTTTAATTGGTTTGTGTAAAATGTCTTATTCATCATTAAATATAGTTAAAAATTTAGCTTATTATACTAGAAAAAATTGAAATTAAAATAAAAGTTTTATTTGGAGTTTAATTTAAGCTTGAAATGTATGGAATTATTATTATTATTATTTAAAATAATTTAAAGAAATTCAATTAATCATTTTTTATTTTCAGAGCTAATAATAATATTGAAGATAAATTTACAAATGTATTTATACAATCTAATAGTTTTAAATAATTTATAAACTATCAGCTACTTTTTCGACAGCAAAATTTGAAATGAGACAGGTAATCGTTTAAATTACTACCATCATACTCATAACAATTATCAAAGCAAACATGCTTACAAGTCTATTAATTATCATAGCATATTTCACCGTTTTCTCTTAAAGTAACATTAATTTAGTTGAGCTGAATGTTTTATTTATTAATAATGTCATTATCTTCAATAGATTAAACAAAACTATTGCATAACATTATTAATATGGTTAAATTTATGATACATTTCTTATATTCCATTTTATATTATTGAGTTTTAATAATAATGAATTAAAATTAATAAATAGCTTTTTTACTGATTAAATACTCTTCTAATTATCAAAAAATCTAAAATACAATTTTTGTTATTACAAATAGTATTAAACTTATAATTGTGTTTTAATTATTATAATTTATAGTAAAAAAACTCCAAAAATAAATATTGAAATAATTTTAAATTAATTGATTAGTTCTTTTAATTTTTCTAAACTATTAAAAAACAATAAAAAATTAATTTATTATTAAATTATTTATTAAGTAAACTATCTAATTAAATTAATAATTTAATAACTTTAAAATGAATAAAAAATATTTCATTTTTTTAAAATTTGAGTAACTTTTAACCAATAATTTTGACAATTTTAGATGAGAATTAAACAAAAAATTACAATTTGTTTAATATCTTTACAATCATCCTCTCAAAATATTCCCATAAAATTTTTCAAACTTAAATACTTTCTTTTATTTAAACCAAATTGTAAAGTCAATATTTTTTAATACTAAATATTTTAAAATTATAAAAAGAAAATATAAATAAAATTTAAAATATAAAAAGTTAGTATATAAGTTAAGCTAATATTTATTATGATATAAATTTATTTTTTGCAATTTTTTAAAGCAAAACAAAAGGATAATAATCCTTCAACTAAGGAATAAAATAAAAACTTTCATAGTCATATAAAAATAAAAAGTACCTATCAAATATAAATTAGAATAAGCTAGCCAAATTAAATAGATTTTATTTTGTCAAAAATGTTAATTTCCTCAAAAGAAAAATTAATTAGGTAACCTTGAGAAAAAATATTGATAATAATTATTTAAATTTTTATGAATTATTTTTAACTTTATAATAAATTTATAAAAAGTTGAAAATAAAATATTTTAAAAAATAGTTATAAATAAATCAAATAATTTTTTATTTATTCTTAAGTTACTTACTATTCATATTTGTTTAATATTTATTAATTAGTGTTAAATTAAGAACTAATTTATTAAATTTTGTTGGTAATAACATACTTAAATATGGATATAGTAAGGTATTTGTAATTTTTATTAATTGGAAGTAAATTTATTAATCATATTTATTATTTTGTTAATAAATATATGTATCTATTATTTATTAGCAATGGATTTCTTTAAGCAAATTATTATCTTCAATATTTATATTTTTTAAACTAAATTTGTTGACTAATTATTTTTAACTATAATATTTAAATTACATAAGAGATAATTTGTTTTATCTACAGATCAATTTAAGCACCTTAATTGATAAATATTAATCTTAAAAATATATTGAAATTTTAAGTATCTAATTTTTTCGTATATAATAAATAATGATAAAATTAATTCAAATTATTAAATGTTTGCCTTTTAGTTTTAAGGTTTTATAAATGTATGAAAATTTTTAATATTGTTTAATTAATTTAAATATCTTAAAGAAATAAGGGTATTTAAAAAATATTTTTATCTTTAAAAAAATATTTCCAATAAAACTATTAATCTAAATATAAAAAAATTTATTTGATCTATGATTAATCAAATTTTAATATAAATTATAATGTTTTTGTATATTTTAAGTTATAACCTAAAATCAAATATATTTTTATATTGTTAGATTTTAAATTTTTATTATGTTTTCTTTAATGAATTACAAAAATGAATCATATTTTTTTTCAAAATTTTGTAATTGTTTTAAGTAAAATTTATATTTAATTATTCTTCAATGCAAAATATTTTAGTTTATTTGTATCCTTTATAAAGTCATTTTTAATTTAATTTTATCTTCTTATTTTAGCAATCAAATTATTAACAAAATATTTAATATATTGATTGTCTAATTAATTGCACGAACTAAATATATCTAAACTTACTCAAAATATACTTGCTTTTAATTAAAATTAATCTATTTGAATTATTCGATTTAATTCGTTCTAAATTGATAAATCCTGGGCACGTTTAAAGTGATTCAAATTTAAAAAAAAATAATCTAATAAAGTAAACATTTTTCAAATACAGATTTTTTCAATCATAATATTGGAAAATCATCAAAATAAATTTGGTAAAATAATAGATTTAATATAAAACAACATTTTTATTATATTTATATTCTAATTTACTAAATTTAGTAACTAAATGCTGAAAATTTAATAAAATTTTAAAAACTTATCACTCTTGGGCATAAAATAAAATAATCTATATACTTATCTTACTACTGATTATTGTTCTACTAAAAGCATGATTTAATAAAAACCATCAATATTCGAATACAGAATACCAATAAAGATATTTTTTCGTATTAGTAATTGTATCTACTTGAATGTAATAATTTTGTATTAGTTTTTATTTTCTTATTAACTCTACTAAAAATTAGGTTTATTCAATTAAGACATATGAAGAAGTGAATTTATTACATAAAAAAGGATAATTAATTGTCTGAATAAATAAATTTTTTGGCAAGTTTTACCCTAAAATAATTTACTGCTTAAAAATTTTTTTATCATTATTTAACATAAATAATTATAGGCTTAATATGTATATAAATAGAATAAAAATTAGTAATAGCTTTAGTATTAATTTTTTAAAGAAGATTTAAGATAAATATTAAGTTAAGTACTTGTGTATAAAGTATGGGATAAAGTAGGTTTTAATTGATTAATAAATATCAAAAATACTTAAAAATCGCAATCTTATTCTTTAATTTACATTTTTCTTATATTAACTAATTAAATTAAATTAAATGGATATAAATAAATGAATCTATGATTGAGTATCCTATACTTATCATAAGTCAAATTATTTTACTAACTTCCTTAATTATATGAGTCCAGTAAATATGTAATGTTAATATTAAAATACATATTCCAATAATTTTACATGAAAAGACATACATATTATTATTAATTTTAGTAAAATAATTTATTTTAGATATTTTTTATGAATTCAACATTTTTTTTTAATAGATAAACTTTAGGAATCAATTATACTTTATCATTCATACTTAGAAGCTGCTAATTATAAATAGTTAAATATATTAATTGTATTTGGTGCAATTTTTTAATTGTTATAGTTGATTTATGTAAACCAGCCAGAAATTAAAAGTCTTCGCATTTAATAACAAGATAAAACTAAAGATATTTAAAACTCGTAATTTCTAACATAGATTAAATTATAATTTTTAAAATAAAAATCAAAAGATATAAATAACAAATAAAGCTAAAAAAATGAATAAAGTTACTTTATTGCTATTGTTAACAGCTTTATTAGTAAATTCACAATTTACTGATAAAAAGGTTGTTAACTCTTGCTTACAAGACGAAATCGATATGAGTAAAATTGTTCCATAAGACTACTTAGAAACGTTTGATGAAAAATATGGATAAAGAAAGCTCCAAAGGTCTGAGCCCTAACCTTTTAGAATTACACTTGATTTTAATGAATTAGACAATCCTCTAAATGGAGCTGGAATGACTCCAAGTTTAAAAGAATACATTAAGAAAATTATGTATGCTGCTTAGACATTTTTGAACAAGCTCATTAAGGTACATCCTAGATAAAAACCAAATAAATATACTTGGTTTAATCATCTTTGTTATGATACATTACTTTCTGAATAGATAAAAACAGTTGGTGTAGATAATTCTGATTTACATATTTTTGTTACCTATGGTAATGAACGCGCTTCATATGTAGCAAATGCAAGTAAATTAATTTTTATTAAAAGTTTATAATTTTATTTAATATTAATTTATTATTAAATAGTTTGGTGTAACTTAGATCCTAATCCTAATGTTGGAAGAGTTAAATTCAATTTAGGAAATATGTTTATAGATGAAACATCTGGTTAGTCTTTCTTGGATTACTTTTCAGTTGCCTTGCATGAAATTATGCATATCTTAGGTTTCTCAGGTAATAGTATTTAATATTGGATTGATCCTGATACAGGTAGCGCTTATGGTTACTGGAGTGTTGAAAAAATATTGAAAAAAGAAAGAAGATGGGATATTGAAAATGTAACAAAGATATCTTCTAAAAATCTTTTGAAAGTTTCCAGAAATCACTATAATTGTCCTTCAATTGATGGCATGTACCTTGAAAATTAAGGTGAAGGTGGCTCTTTTGGTTCACATTGGGAAAGAGATTTACTTGGAAATGAATTTATGACTGCAAGTACGGTCTTTGGCTACTATACTATATCTGAATTTACAGCTGCTCTCCTTTTAGATACTGGTTATTATGCTGAAATCAATCAAAATCTCCTTATGCCTCTTTACTGGGGTAAAAATAAAGGCTGTGACTTCTTCAATAAATCATGCAACGCTGGAAAGTACTTTGCTGAATTCTCAGATGATACTACCAGAGAAGGTTGTGATTTTTACTCTTATGGTATTGGTCGTCGCTATAAAACTGATCCATTCTCGTAATGTGAAAATATTGTAATCAGCATTTAAGGTAGATGTGATTCTGATGACTTTAAATCTGAAAACTTTTTCAGATAAAACCCTGGTGCTGGCTCTAGATGTTTTAGATCAAATTCAAATGCCAAAGGAGAAAACTTTTTGAATATTTAAGGCAGATGCTTTAAGGCATAATGTTCAAACGATTTATCATCAATTAAAGTTAATGTTTGGGAAAACGAATTTGTTACTTGCTAATACCCAAATTAAGTTATTAATTTGGCAGAATAAACTAAAACTACTTAAGGTGTTATGAAATGCCCTGATGATTTTGAATTGTTTTGTGGTTTCCCTAAATAATGCCCAAATAAATGTTCAAGTAATGGTATTTGTATTAATGGATTTTGTATTTGCTTAAAAGGATATGCTGGGGACGATTGCTCTAAAAGATGTGGTGAGGATTAAGTTTGGGATGGCGCACACTGCACATTAAATTGCCCTTCTGGATTATTTAAGAATTTTGATAACACTTGCAAGACCACTTGTCCTTATAAGTAATATGGAGATTAAGCAACACGTAGTTGTGCTGTTTGCTCTAATAAATGTTCTGCATGTTTTGGTCCCTCTTCTAATTAATGTATTTCTTGCAATAACGGTTTTATTCTTTAAGGAAATCAATGTATAGAAGCTACTTGTCATTCAAGTTGTCAAACATGCTCAGGACCTAATGCCAATTAGTGCACTTCTTGTCCATCTGGAACATATTTAGACTCAAGTAAGACTTGTCAACCTTGCTAGGCTCCATGTGAAAGCTGTTTCAATTCAGCAACTGAATGCACAACTTGTGTTAAGGATTATGAAATTGATAAAGCAAGTGGGTAATGTATTTTTAGCAAGGTTTGTGATATTTCTTGTCAAGATTGTTATGTGTTTAGAGATCCTAGAGGGTGTCTTACATGCAAAGATGGCTATTTCTATAATGGAAGTGAAGGAAGTTGCTAAAAATGTGATGAATCTTGCTCTAAATGTACTTATAGAAAAGATAAATGTATAGAATGTTCAAGTGGATATGAGTACGATGGTTATAATTAAAGATGTTACTAACTCTGCCATGAAAGTTGCGAATCTTGTACAGCTCCTTAGAATCCCAAAGCATGTAAAAGCTGTGCATATAACCATGTTATGTAGAATAATTTATGTGTTCCTTGTGACATAAATTGTATTGGCTGTAGAGATGAACCTACAAAATGTATCGAATGCGTAGCAGGTTATAAGTTTGATCATTCTTAGTAAACTTGTGTTAGTGTTTGTAACCCAGGTGAGTACTAAGATACAGATGGTAGCTGCTAAAAGTGTGTATCTCCTTGCGCCACTTGCTAGTATTAGAGTGATTTCTGTTATAGCTGTATTTCTGGCTATACTTATAATGCTCAAATCAATTATTGTATTCCAAATACAAATTCTTGTCATGAAAGTTGTAATTAATGCAGCTAAAATAATGATCCTAATTCATGTACTTCCTGTAGAGATGGAATGTATTTATCATCTGGAAAATGTTAGTATTGCAGCAATAAGTGTTAAACCTGCGAATTTGGTCCTAATAAATGCACTTCTTGCTAAAGCAATGAATTTTTATTAAACAACCAGTGCCAATAATGCCATAATAGTTGCTTAACTTGCTCGGGAAAAGCAACAAATTGTACTTCTTGTTAAGATGGCTTATTAAAAGATCCAAAAACTGGAATCTGTATTATGAATACACCTATTTGTAGAAGTAATGAATATTTGGATAGTAAAAACTAATGTTAGAAATGTCTTTCTCCTTGTGCTTCTTGTTCCAATTAACCTTACATGTGTTCAAGTTGTATTTCAGGCTATAAATTAAATAGTTAAACACTTTAATGTGAATAGGATATAATTACTTGTAAAGATGGGTAATTCTTAGATTAAAACAATAAATGCAAGCCTTGTCATTCTTTTTGCAACACCTGCGAGTAATAAAGTGATAGATGTACCAGTTGTAGACCTGGTCTTCTCCTTATATAATCCTTTTGCTATGATGAAGTATGCTAAGATGGGTATTTCAAGAACTAATAAGGTAAATGTTAAAGATGTAGTGAATCTTGCTCTAAATGTGTAAACTACTAAGATTAATGTACTGAATGTGCTAATGAATACACTTTAGACTCTAGGACATAAAGATGTATTAAAAACTCAAGCAATTAGAAATGCCATCCTAATTGTAAGGAATGTAGCTAACCAAACAATGCCCTTGCTTGTTATTCCTGCAAAGATGGTCTATTCTTAAATAACAGAAGAGAATGTGTTCAATGTGATAATTCTTGTTTGACATGTGATAGATATTAAGATTTTTGTACTTCTTGCTAATAAGGATATAAGTTAGATGCTACAGGTGGTAAATGTACTCCTGATTGTAAATCAAATGAATATTTGGATAGTAAAAACTAATGTTAGAAATGTCTTTCTCCTTGTGCTTCTTGTTCCAATTAACCTAATATGTGTTTAACTTGTATTTCCGGCTATAAATTAAATAGTTAAACACGTTAATGTGAATAAGATATAATTACTTGTAGAGATGGGTAATTCTTAGATTAAAACAATAAATGCAAGCCTTGTCATTCTTTTTGCAACACCTGCGAGTAATAAAGTGATAGATGTACCAGTTGTAGACCTGGTTTTCTCCTTATATAATCCTTTTGCTATGATGAAGTATGCTAAGATGGGTATTTCAAGAACTAATAAGGTAAATGTTAAAGATGTAGTGAATCTTGCTCTAAATGTGTAAACTACTAAGATTAATGTACTGAATGTGCTAATGAATACACTTTAGACTCTAGGACATAAAGATGTATTAAAAACTCAAGCAATTAGAAATGCCATCCTAATTGTAAGGAATGTAGCTAACCAAACAATGCCCTTGCTTGTTATTCCTGCAAAGATGGTCTATTCTTAAATAACAGAAGAGAATGCGTTCAATGCGATAATTCTTGTTTGACATGTGATAGATATTAAGATTTTTGTACTTCTTGCTAATAAGGATATAAGTTAGATGCTAAAGATGGTAAATGTACTCCTGATTGTAAATCAAATGAATATTTAGATTTCTATGAAAATAAGTGTAAACCATGTACATCTCCTTGTGGAAGCTGCGAATATTATCCAGATAGATGTACTAGCTGCATTTCAGGATATAAATACGACAACGAAGGGTATAGTTGTGAAATCATTTGTCAACCTGGATAATATGCTGATAGAGATCAAATATGCAAACCTTGTTCATCTCCATGTGCAACTTGTGAATACTATGATAATAGATGTTTGAGTTGTGTTTCTGGTTATACTTACACCAACTACAATTGTTAATAAACTTCAAGGCCTAGTATGAGAGGTTGTCATGAATCTTGTAATACATGCACAAGAGCTATGGATCCTCGTTCATGTGACTCTTGTAGAGAAGGATATGTACTAATGAGTGGATCTTGCCAAAAAAAGAAAGGAAATTATTCTAACCCTAAAAATTGATATATTAAATGTGTACATTATTTTATGCATATATTATTGTATTTTTTAAACTAAAATTGTTTCAGCATTTTCAAAATTTTAATTTAAAGCTTACATTAAAATTCAAAGAATTATTATTTTGCAATTTAGGCATTTATAAATAAAGTATATATCCTTTTAAAAAAGTAAATAAACTTTTAAACATTTTCTAATTCTAACAATAAAATTTTTTTATTAAAATGAATAAAATATTTTAGATTCATATTTTTAAAACGATCAAGTGATTTTAAAAGAATACATTTATTTTTTAATGAATTTCTTTTTACAAGAAAAATGGAAAATTAATAAACTAATATTAGAAAATTAGACTATTAAAATCTAATACCATATTTTTTCGCTAACTCATCTTATGATACTACAAAATATAAAATTTCGAAATATGGAAATCTTTTTAAATATTTGCTATTATTCATTACTTCTGTTCATCTATTATTATGAAGAAATGCGGTATATGGATGAAATGATTTGTTCTAGTTAAGTAGTATATTACTACGAATATTCATAACCTAAGCATTTTTGATTGATTTAGCTAAGTTCTAATTAATTTAAAAGAAATAAAAGTATGATTTATTGCAACTTATTTAAGTATTTAGTTTAAAGAAAATGATATTTAAAAAGTAATAAAAATGAATATATAAATAAATAATATTTCTTCTTTTATTATAGAATGTATTAAATAGCTTTTTTAGACAAATTGTTTAATTTTTATAAATAATTAATTCTAAGCTTTTACTAAAGATAATTTTATTTTGTTTTTAAATTAATAAGTGATTTAATTTGATAAAGTATCATTTCAGTGGGTAATCTTTTTATTTAAAATTTAAAAAAATTGTCATCTTAGTTATTTAAAGCTTACTTAAAATATTTGAATTAATTAAGGCTATATTTTTTAAATTTTTTTTAATTAGGTAGTATAATCAAATAATAATGCTAAATGTTATTATTATGACAGGTTTTTATATTTTCTAAATATAGTTGCTAATATATTACTTTATTATTGAGTAACCTTCCAATAAAAAGCAAAATATTCCTTATAGATACTTTAAAGATTTTTAAACATTTAAAAAAGAAAATATGTTTATAATATTCTATGATAATGAAATTAGCTTATCCATTAAAAAATAGCTCATTTTTAAAATATTTATGAAGCATTACTCTAAAAAATTTTTAAAATAAAAGTATGAATAAAATAGCTTTCATAATAATACTAAAAATAGAAAATATTTATACTAAGTCTTTTTGATATTAAAATTGTGGCTTTATTACAAGAATCAAATTTTATATATAGTACATCTGAGCTTGATTAAAAATAAATCTAATTAATTAGTTTTAGCATAAAAAAGATTTTTTCAATTTCATAAATGTTGTGAGCATTCATAACATAAAAACTATTTTTCTTTATTATTTTAAATTATTCAATCAAAAATATACATTTATTTTATTCACATTTAAATTTGTTGTTTTCTTATAAAAAAATATAATTATTATATGTCTTTAATTCTTTCCTTTATTATTGACTTACTAGTTAAATAAGAGTTACAGTATTTGAAACTGCTAGTTATAGTTTATAAAATTAGTATATTATCACTTTTTTTTGATTAATTTTCAGTAATAGTAAATAAGGGTTTTATTAAATATGAGCTGATAAATACACCAGTTTAAGTATATTATAATTAAATTAGCTAAATCATTAAAAAATAGCTCATTTTTAAAATATTTATGAAGCATCTAAAAAATTTTCAAAATAAAAGTAAGAATAAAAGAGCTTTCATAAAAATACTAAAAATAGAAAATATTTATACTAAGTCTTTTTGATATTAAAATAGTGTCTTTATTACTAGAATCATATTTTATATATAGTACATCTGAGCTTGATTATAAATAAATCTAATTAATTAGTTTTAGCATAAAAAAGATTGTTTCAATTTCATAAATGTTGTGAGCATTAATAACATAAAAACTATTTTTTTTATTATTTTAAATTATTCAATCAAAAAATACATTATTTTATTCACATTTAAATTTGTTGTTTTCTTATAAAAAAATTTAATTATTATATATCTTTAATTCTTTCCTTTATTATTGAATTACTAGTTAAATAAGAGTTACAGTATTTGAGACTGCTAGTTATAGTTTATTAAATTAGTATATTATAACTTTTTTTTATTATTAATTTTTAGTAATAGTAGATAAGGGTTAATTTTATTAAATATGAGCTTATAAATACACCAGTTTAAGTGATATACTTATGGTATAATATAAAGTTAAATATAAAAATACCAAACATAACAAACAACTTATAAAAATGAATGGTCTTACTATCATAGCATTCCTAATTACTTCTTTAGTCTATGCTTAAAGTTCTGACAAATAGCTTGTTTATTCTTGTTTACAAGAGGAAATAGACATGAGTGAAATGGTTCCTGAAGATTTCTTAGAAACATATGAAGAGAAGTATGGTAATCGAAAACTCTAAAATCAAGAGCCTTAGCCTATCAGAATTACTCTAGATTTCAAAGAACTTGATAATGTTAAAAATGGTGAAGGACTTACTGCTAACAAAAAGGAATACATTAAAAAAATTATGTATGCAGCTTAAATATATTTGAGTAAACTAATTAAAGTGAATCCAAGATAGCAACCTATTAAATTTCTAAAGTATACTGATATTTGCTATGATGTCAAAGTTTCTCAAGAAATTAGAACAGATGGAATCTATGACTCCGATTTACATATTTTTGTCACCTATACTAACTAGGAAGGCACCACTTTGGCTGATGCAAGTAATAAATTTATCTTTAATAGCTTATCCTAATATTATTAATAATTTAAAAAGTATCATGTTAATTGGATCCTTACCCTAATGTTGGAAGAGTTAAATTTAATATAGGTACTATGATAATTAATGAAGACGATACTTAGTCTTTCTAAGATAATTTCACAACTTCTTTGCATGAAATAATTCATATTTTAGGTTTCTCTGGAAGTAATATCTAATATTGGATTGATCCTGATACAGGAAAACCTTATGGACTCACAAATGCACATAAGATTATGAAAAGAGAAAATAGGTGGGATGTAGATAATGTACTAAAGATATTTTCTAAGAATATTTTGAGAGTCTCAAGAAATCACTATGGTTGTCCTTTAATTGATGGTATGTACCTTGAAAACTAAGGTAAAGTTGGTTCCTTTAGCTCTCATTGGGAAAGAGATCTGCTTGGAAACGAATTTATGACAGCCAGTCTTGTTTATCGTGTTTCTACTATTTCTGAATTTACTGCAGCCCTACTACTTGACACTGGTTATTATGCTGAAGTCAATTCTAATCTCTTAATGCCTATTTACTGGGGTAAGAATAAAGGATGTGATTTTTTTAACAAGTCTTGCAATACGTCTTAATAATTCCCTGAATTCCCAGATGACAGTGAAGAAGAGTCTTGCGATTTTTTCTCTTAAGGTATAGGTAAACTTTAAAAAGCAGGTACTTTTACTTAATGCAAGACAGTAACTATCAATAATAACCTTTATTGTTATTCTGATCAATTTAAGGCTAATGAATTCTTAAGATAAAATACTGGTTCTGGGTCTAAGTGTTTTAGATCAAATGCAAGTATCAAAGGGTATGAAATTTTAGATATGAAAGGTCGATGCTTTAAGGCTTAATGTGCAAGCGATTTATCCTCTATTTAAGTTAGTATTTGGGGTGATGAATATGTCACTTGCAAATATCCAAATTAAGTTATTAGCTTATCTGAATAAACTATTAACACTCAAGGCATTATGAAATGCCCACATGATTTTGATTTATTTTGTAATTTCCCTAAATCTTGTCCCAATAATTGTTCAAACAATGGCATATGTAATAATGGTTACTGTATTTGTCTCAAATAATATGCTGGAGCTGATTGTTCTTAAAAATGTGAGGAAGGTTAAGTTTGGGATGGTGCTCGCTGTGCATAAAGTTGTCCTTTTGGATAGTTCAAAAATTTTGATAATACTTGTAAACCTACTTGTCCTTACAAGCAATATGGAGACAGAAATACAGGAAGTTGTGTTCTTTGCCCAATAAATTGCTCAGCCTGTTTTGGTCCTACTTTTAACCAATGTCTTTCATGCAATAATGGTTTTATGCTTTAAGGTAACTAATGTATTGAATTTACTTGTCACTCTAGTTGCTATTAGTGTTCAGGTCCAAATGCAAACTAATGTACATCCTGTCCTTCTGGAAAGTATTTAGATTCAAATAAGACTTGCTAATCATGTTAATAACCATGTGAAAACTGCTTTAATGAAGCTACTGAATGTACTACTTGTGCTTAAGGTTATAAAATGAACACATCTAATGGAAGATGTGAATCAGTTAATAAATGTGACAGCTCTTGCCTTGAGTGTTCTGATTAAAGAAATCCTACTAAATGTACTTCTTGCAGAAACGGCTATACTCTCGACTATTAAGGAAAATGCCAAAAAATAATATGCTTCATTAATGAAATAATGCTAAATAACTAATGCGTTCCATGTGATAAAAGTTGCGAAGGATGTGTAAATAATCCTAAAACATGTATTAATTGTGCAAAAGGATATAAATTTGATTTTAGTAACAAAAATTGTGTCCCTAAATGCAATTAAGATGATTTCTTAGATAGATATGGTAATTGCTAATAATGTTAACCACCATGTGCTACATGTGAAGATTTTAATAATAATTGCATTAGTTGTGTAAATGGTTATACTCTTAATACCAATTATAATTCTTGTGAACTTAAAAATTAAAAATGTCATGAAAGTTGCAATTCATGCAATAGATATAACGATTCTTATGGATGCACTTCTTGTAGAGATGGAATGTATCTAAATTCAGGAAGATGTTTACCATGTAACATCGAATGCTAAACTTGTGAAGATGCATCTTATAAATGTACTTCTTGTAAATAAAATGAATACCTGTCAAAAATGAAATGCAAACAATGCCATGCTTCCTGCTTAACCTGTTCGGATAAAGAAACAAATTGTACTTCTTGTAAAGAAGGTTTCCAAAAAGACTATAATTCAGGTCTTTGCGTTCCTACTATTAAAAATTGTTAGTTTGATGAATATTTGGATAAAAATTATTAGTGTTAAAAGTGCAACTCACCTTGTGTTTCTTGTTATTTAAATCCTAACAGATGTACAAGTTGCATTTCTGGTTATGTACATAATACTTAAACAAATTAATGTGAAATTAATGATCCTATCTGTGATTATGATTAGTTTTTGGATAGCTACAAAAATTGTAAGCCTTGCCATTAATCGTGTGCAACATGTGAAGGCTATAGTACTAAATGCACTAGCTGTAAAAATGGGTTTATTCTTTTAAGAAATGCGTGTTATGAATAAAGGTGCTCAGAAGGATTTTTCCTCAACTACTTGGGTAGATGTGTAAGATGTGATGATTCTTGCTTAAAATGTGATACATTTAAAGATAATTGTACAGAATGTGCTAATGGATTTACTTATGAAGCTAGCTCTTAAAGATGCATCAAAATCTTAAATAATAATTAATGTCATCCTACTTGTTAGGAATGTAACTAACCAAATAATTCATCTGCTTGTACATCTTGTAAAGAAGGTCTCCAAAAAGACTATAATTCAGGTCTTTGTGTTCCTACTATTAAAAATTGCTAGTTTGATGAATATTTGGATATAAATTATTAGTGTTAAAAGTGCAACTCACCTTGTTTTTCTTGTTATTTAAATCCTAACCAATGTACAAGTTGCATTTCTGGTTATGTACATAATACTTAAACAAATTAATGTGAAATTAATGATCCTATCTGTGATTATGATTAGTTTTTGGATAGCTACAAAAATTGTAAGCCTTGTCATTAATCGTGTGCAACATGTGAAGGCTATAGTAATAAATGCACTAGCTGTAAAAATGGGTTTATTCTTTTTAGAAATGCATGTTATGAATAAAAGTGCTCAGAAGGATTTTTCCTCAACAACTTTGGTAGATGTGTAAGATGCGATGATTCTTGCTTAAAATGTGATACATTTAAAGATAATTGTACAGAATGTGCTAATGGATTTACTTATGAAGCTAGCTCATAGAAATGCATCAAAATCTTAAATAATAATTAATGTCATCCTACTTGTTAGGAATGTAGCTAACCAAATAATTCATCTGCTTGTACATCTTGTAATGATGGTTATTTCATTTTTAATGGTATGTGTATTTAATGCAGCAGCTAATGTTTGACGTGTAAAAGAAAATCTAATTTTTGCACTTAGTGCAAATAAGGTTTTAGATTAGACAGCATTTTCGGTAGGTGTATTTAAGATTGCTAATAAAGATATTATTTTAATTAAACAAATAACTAATGCTAACCTTGCTTATCTCCTTGTGAAAATTGTGAGTATTATTCTTATAGATGTACTAGTTGTATTTAAGGATACAAATATGACAATGATAGTTTTGCATGTGAGATTGATTGCAAACCAGGAGAATATAAAAATACAATTTAATCATGTAAGCAGTGTTCATTTCCATGTTTAACCTGTGAATTTGATGATAATAGATGTTTAAGTTGTGTATCTGGATATACTTATAGAGATTATTCATGCTAAAAGAACTCTAGGTCTAATTTTAGAGCTTGCCATGAATCTTGTAATACCTGCATAAAAGCTATGGATCCTCATTCTTGTGATTCATGCAGGGAAGGATATACCTTAATAAATGGCACCTGCTATAAAAAATGATATAAAATAATAACTCAAAAAATAATTTATTTTTAAAATTTAATTGAGGTACTAATTTTAAAGATATAATAAAATTATGTAAATCTTCATACATTAAAGTCCCCTGAGCCACATAAACCATAATTCAAATTTTTTTTTAAAATTTTCTAAAAATTAGCCTTTAGTTAAAAAGTCTTAATATATGTATGAGGATCTTAAGTATATTTTTTTGTTTAATTAGTATTTAATATAATTCTATTTTTTTTATTTAAAAATTAAAACTCAACAAGATATATGAATCTTAAATATTTTTAGTAACTTTTAATAAATAAAGCATAATATTTAGAAAGATAATTATAATTATATAAGCTTTTGGCCATCTTTTTCAGTTAATAATTAAAACATAAATCACCATAGATTTCAAATTTTTTTTTGTTGCTAATGAGAATTGAAAATTTACTTTAATTATGAAATATAAAATTGTAATATTTTAAAATTAATATTTTACAATTAAATTTTTTAAAAATTGAATTTAGTGATAAATATATTTTAGTCTATATAAAAGCAGCAATTTAGAATAAAACAAGTTGCATAATAAATTAAATTTCAAATAAAGAAATTATTTTAATATTAAAATAAAATCAAATCTTTAAACTTCAAAAACTAAACTGCTTCAATCTTTACTAATAAAAGTTTAGTAGATTATAAAGTATTAGAACATATTTCAATAAAATGGATATTATTAAAGCAATGAAACTCACAAGATTATCAATAGAAATAGCTCTATTTATTAATCTAAAATAAGAAAAGTTATTATATATTACTTAGTTTTTTCATAGCTATTACGTAAAATTTTAATAATTAATTAGCCATTAAATATCCAATAAATGATATTAAGTAATTGGTAAATTGATGTTATCTTTTAATTTGTTTGTAATTTATGTTAATTTTCTTTTTCATTATATTTTAAAACAATTAACAGATAAATTACCTCAACTTTCATTAAAATTAGATCAAAATTAAACTATAGCAATTTTAGTTAGGCAAATAAAAAAATTTATCTTTCAAATTATTAAGCATAATGTAATAACAATATAAAATAAAGTATTTGTATAGAAAAATTAGCACAAATATACCATTTAAAAAAAAATAATTTATCTTACTAAGATTGTTTGCTAGTTTACATTAATTAGTAAATTTATTGATTAATTTAAATCTATTTGGTTGAAATAAGTATTTCATCAAAAATAATCTATTTGCTTTATCTTAATAAATAGTTCTATAAAAAGTAAAAATTATCATATACAAATATTTTTAAGTAATTGATTTTTAAAGCTGCAAGGTTTAATCTTTTAAAATTCAAGTAAGTTACATTCATTCAAAAAGAAAAATACTTCTTTTAAACAATTTTGCTTTAAAACCATTCCTTTTTGATAAAAATACTTAAGCAATTATGGTGATTATAATTAAATCAAAAAATCGCATCTTCTTAATTTATTATAACATAGAAAAGCATAAAATAATATTTAAATAAACATTTTGTTTGATTTTTAATTTACCTTAAAATAGATTAATAGTTACAGATCGACATTTTTTATTGTTTTAGGCATTATAAATGTTAATGGACTTATATACCTAAAATAAAATTTGTAATTTTTTTAATTAATTTTTTAACTTTTTGTATGTAAAAGAATCATGAATTTATAATTAATAAATGATTTTATTTAAATTAACCTAAAATAATTATTATTCAGCAGAAAATATAGTTATTTAAAAAGTATTACTTCTGTAATAAAATTCATTTAAACATGCTTAAATAATTATACCATTTTATAAAAGTAATGCAATAAGCTTAATTTAAAAGGTACATATTTATGAGTCTAATATGTAACTATTACCAAAAAGATAGATTTTATAAGAATGAATGTATTAATTAAAAAAAATAAATATTAAATTTTGAATCCAGTATCAAATATAAATGGTATTAACTATAGCCTTATTAATTGTAACCTAATCTGATATACTTACTTGATACTTTCAATAGCTTATTTTTTCATTTTTTTTCATATTTTATTTCTAGGTTATTTTTATATATAATATGTTTATATTTTAAAGAATCAATGATTTTTTATGCTTATAAGATATTAATAGAAATTCAATTATAGTCTTACTAAATCTTTTATTAATATCTATAAAGTATGATAGTTTGTAATAGTTAATCAAAATAAATTAATCAGTAATTGAACGTTCAAGCTTGAATTTGAAATATAACAAAGACCATTAATTCTTTCATTTTACTTAGAAATCAATTACGCTTTTTTTATAAATTCCCATTTTTAAACACTACTTATTCACATAATAAATTAATTAAAATAAAAATATAAACTTAAAAAAAGTCTTAATAATGAGTAAAATTGCTATCTTACTGTTATTAACTACTTTATTAGTAAATGCTCATAATGCTAATAAATCAGTTATTAACACATGCTTATAAGATGAAATAGATATGAGTTAAATAGTTCCTAAGGATTATTTAGAAACATTTGATGAGAACTACGGAAACAGAAAACTCTAAAACTCTCAACCTTAACCAATCAGAATAACTCTTGATTTCAAGGAACTTGATAATCCTAAAAATGGTGATGGAATGACACCTTAAATAAAAGAATACATAAAGAGAATTATGTTTGCTGCTCAAATCTATTTGAGTAAACTAATTAAAGTATATCCAGCACAAAAACCTATTAAGTATATTTGGAGTGGTGACACATGCTATGATGTTAAGGTCTCTGAATAGATAAAAACTTCAGGTATTGAAAATTCTGATTTGCATATATTTGTCACTTATTCTAATCGTCCTGATTAAGGCCATTTAGCAAACGCAAGTAAACAATTTATTAAATTTAATTAAAAGTTTATTTAATTTTTTATTTATTTAATTAGTATGGTGTTAGCTTGATCCTTAGCCAAATGTTGGAAGAGTCTTATTCAATATTGGAACTATGGACATTAACGAATCTTCTACATAATCTTTCTAAGATAATTTCTCAACTTCTTTACATGAAATTCTCCACATTTTAGGTTTTTCAGGAAGTAGTATTAACTACTGGATTGATCCTGATACAAACAAACCATATGGAGATAAAAACTAATATAAAGTAATGAAGAGGGAAAGAAGATGGGACGTAGATGATGTAATTAAAGTATTTTCTAAAAATATTTTGAAGATTTCTAGAAATCATTATAGTTGCCCCTCTATAGATGGTATGTATCTTGAAAATTAAGGTGGTGGTGGCTCTATGGGTTCTCATTGGGAAAGAGATTTGCTTGGTAATGAATTTATGACAGCTAGTATTGTTTATGGTGTCTACACTATTTCTAAATTCACTGCTGCCCTGCTTTTAGATACTGGCTACTATGCTGAAATTAACTCTAATCTTCTTATGCCTATTTATTGGGGTAAAAATAAAGGATGTGATTTTTTCAATAATTCATGTAACACTGGAAAATATTTCCCAGAATTCCCTGGTGATAATGTTGAAGAAACTTGCGATTTTTTCTCTCTTGGTTTTGGTGGTCTTTAAAACTATGATTATTTTTCATAATGTTAAACTGTTAGCGTTTATGGGAATAGCTATTGTGAATCTGATTAATTTAAACCTGATGAAATACTGAGATAAAATACTGGTTCTGGATCAAGATGTTTTAGATCAAATGCAAACATCAAAGGATACGATGTTTTAGATATGAAGGGTAGATGTTTTAAGGCTTAATGCTCTGATGATTTATCTTCCATTAAAGTTAATGTATGGGGTGATGAATACGTTACTTGCAAATATCCCAATTAAATCATTAATTTAGCTGATCAAACTAAAACAACTCAAGGTACCATGAAATGTCCTCATGATTTTGATTTGTTTTGCAATTTCCCTAAGTCATGCCCTAATAATTGCTCTAATAATGGTGTCTGTAATAATGGTTATTGCGTATGCCTCAAAGGATATGGTGGTACTGATTGCTCTAAAAGATGTGGTGAGGATTAAGTTTGGGATGGTTCTCGTTGTGTATATAACTGTCCTTCTGGATAATTCAAAAACTTTGATAACACTTGCAAACCCACTTGTCCATACAAATAATATGGAGATCAAGCCACTGGTAGCTGTGTTCTCTGCTCCGTTAACTGTTCTGCATGCTTTGGTCCTTCACCAAATCAGTGTCTATCTTGTAATGATGGATATTCACTTAAAGGAAACTAATGTGTCGATACTACCTGTCACTATAGCTGCCAATCATGTTCTGGACCTAATTAAAATCAATGTACTTCTTGCCCCGCTGGTAAATATTTGGACTCTAGAAAAACTTGCTAGCCATGTTAATATCCCTGTGAAGATTGTTTCAACTCAGCTACTGAGTGTACAACTTGTGGATAAGGATATGAAATGGATAAGTTTATTGGTAAATGCGTATCTATGAATACATGCGATAGCTCTTGTCTTCAGTGTTCAGCTTTTAGAGACCCCACTAAATGTACTTCCTGTAAAGATGGTTAATTCTTAAATTAAGAAGGTAGATGTTAAAAATGTGATGAATCTTGTGCTACATGTACTTAAAAAGAAACCTAATGTATAAAATGCGCTGATGGATGGGAATATGATGAAAATAACAAAAGATGCCGTATGGATTGCCATGAAAGTTGTGATACATGTACAGTTCGTTAAGATCCTACAGCTTGTAAAAGATGTGCTTTTAATTACGTATTCTAAAATAATTTATGTATTCCTTGCGGTGCAGGTTGTTATGGTTGTAGAGATGATCCTAAAATATGTACTAATTGCATGAGAGGATATAAACTTAATACAGACATAAAAACTTGTGATCCTATATGCAGACCTGGTGAATTTTTTGATAGAAACGAAAGCTGTTAAAAATGTAAATCTCCTTGTGCTACTTGTCAAGCATATGCTGATTATTGTTCTAGTTGTGTAACAGGTTACACATTCGATACTCAATACAAATCATGTAAGCTTTCTAAAAACTCTTGCCATGAAAGTTGTGCTTAATGTAGTAGGTATGATGACATTAATTCATGTATTTCTTGTAGAGATGGAATGTATTTACAATCTGGAAGATGTTATTAATGTAGTAGTACATGTTAAACCTGTGAAAAAGATGCTTATACTTGCACATCATGCAAAAATAATGAATTCCTGTAAAATAAGGAATGCATGAAATGTCATAGTTCTTGTTTGACTTGTGATGGTATTTCAACAAACTGCACTTCTTGCTAAAAAGGTTTCTCAAAAGACCCTAAGACAGGTCTTTGTGTCGTTGATTCTCAAACTTGTAGAAATGACGAATACTTGGATAGTAATAATAAATGCTAGAAATGTAGCTCACCTTGTGCAACTTGTTAATATTATTCTAATAGATGCACTAGTTGCATATCTGGCTACGAATTAAAATCTGATTCATTCTAGTGTTAATATTATATTCCTTCTTGCATAGATGGATAATTCTTAGATTCCGATTAGAAATGTAAGTCTTGTGATTCTTCTTGTGCCACTTGTGATTAGACAAGTACAAGATGTACAAGTTGCAAATCTGGGTTTACTCTTTCTAGATACACTTGCTAAGCAGATACTTGCTAAGATGGATTTTTCATGAACTAGCAAAGTAGATGCTAAAGATGTAGCGAATCTTGCTCTAAATGCGTAAACTATTAAGATAATTGTATTGAATGTGCTAGTGGATATACTTTAGATACAAGAACTTAAAGGTGTGTGAAAAACTAAAATAACTCTAAATGTCATCCATCTTGTAAAGAATGTAGCTAACCTAACAATTCATCTGCTTGTAAATCATGTAAGGATGGTTTATTTTTAAATAATAGAAGAGAATGTGTCCCTTGCAATAATTCTTGCTTGACATGTGATAGATATTAGGACTTTTGTACTTCATGTTAATAAGGTTTTAAATTAGATAGCACTTATGGTAAATGTATCCCTGACTGTAGAGCAGATTAATATTTAGATTAACAAGATAATTAATGCAAATCTTGTGACTCTCCTTGTGGAAGTTGTGAATACTATCCAGATAGATGTCTTAGCTGTATCTAAGGATATAAGTATGATAATTAAAGATATAGCTGTGAAAAAGTTTGCTAAGCCGGGTAATATGTTGACAGAGATTAAACATGTAAACCTTGCAAATCTCCATGTTCAACTTGCGAATACTATGATAATAGATGTCTTAGCTGTATCTCTGGCTATAATTACAACAATTTTAATTGTTAAAAGAGTCCTAATTCTAATTTGAGAAGTTGCCACGAATCTTGCAATTCATGTACAAGAGCTATGGATCCTCGTTCATGCGATTCATGTAGAGAAGGATATGAGTTAATAAATGGCTCTTGTATAAAAAAGAAAGGCAACTATTCTGGTCCTAAAAATTGAGTTGAGTTTTATTATATATTTTTATAGTAAATATTTAAATTTTATTTTTTATATTATTTATGCTAAAGTAATTAAATAAAATATTTATCTAAATAATTCTTTAAAAAAATGTTTCTAAAAATTTCAAAATATTTTATCAAGATGTTTAAATTTCGCTATTATTACTATTTCATATGGTATATTTAAATTATTTTTGCTTTTGATGATACACTATTTATTTATATATTCAATAACTATAAATCATAATTTACTTATTTTTTAAATTTAATCAAGTATCTTTAAAGTAGAAAATTTAGAAATAATTTATTATTTTGTATGATTTATCTTTATTTAAAAGTTATAAAGGTAGCAAATAAATAAGTGAATTTATTAGTAATCATTAGTAAAAGATAGCATATCAGATTTTTTGATCTTAGAGTATTTTTTATTTTATGAATAAGACAGTATAAAGCCATGTTTTATTTAATAATATTTTTTTACTGCCATAAACAATAATTTAAATCGAATATCATATTTTAGATATATAAAAATGCAATATTTCTATTTTAATTAAGCAAAATTTTTAAAATTTATTTTTGGATCTTCTACATAACCTTGAAGATGACAATTGAATCAAATATTGGACAAATCATTAAACGTCAACTATTTTGTCTTCAAAGATAGAAAATTCATCTACTAAGAAATGAGTTACGCCAGTTGAAATTGATTGATATAACATAATTATCTAATAAAATTGAATAAATTTTGATGCTATTTAATAATTTTGGGATGAGCAATATGAAACCACCAATAAAATCAAACAGAAACACCATTTAAGTACGATTAAAATTGAAGATGCATATATAACTCTAAAAGATGTAATATCACTTTTTAAAAGCACCATTATAGCCTAAATCAATTAGTAATGGTATTTTCAATATAAAATACCATAAGAAATGAAAATATCAATTCATTAGCATTTAGAAGATAAATTTAAATTTTATCTTCATTTAATTCAACTAAATACTCCAATAATACATTTGATTGATCATAAATTAATTAATTATAAATAAAATGTAGTATTTATATTTGAATCTTTAAAATGTTTAACTTTATTTTTCTTTAATTTTGTTTCCAGCAATATATTTAAATATATTTTTTTAAATTGATTAAATTTTCAAATGTATTTTAAATTAATAAAATAAATAAGAAAATATAAATGTCTATTCAAATAATATCATTAAAAATATTAATTATATTTATTTGGTCAATTTAAAATTGAATATAAATTTATTTTAATAATACCATAACAAAATAAATTAAGTCTTAAAAAAAATCATTCGAGCTACTGTAAAACCAAATTTTTGGTCAAACTATAGTTATTATAATTATTATATAAATTTTAAATCAAATTTTTTTAAAAATTGTTGAATTCAATATTATTACATTTTACGAAAGTGTTTAATTATGCAGTTTTACATAACTTCAGATTTTATTTTTAAATCTTTAAATAGTAATTTTATTTCTGTAAATACAATTTTTTCTTTGTTTAAAAAAATAATTAAAATATTATTAATCAGATAAATAAATTAAAAAAATATTAAAAGAAAAAAATATATATTCTACTTTTTATTGAAGGTATTAAAAATTTATATATTTTTATATTGCATTTAGAAAGAAAAATTACTTCTACTATTATTAAACTTTTATACTTTTAAGTCTAATTTAAAAGAATTAACTTTTAATACTTTAAAGTAAAAAAAAATTAACAATTTTCAAATACTTAACTTAAATTTTTTGCTTTAGATTTTTTCTTGATTTAAAATTTAAAAAAATATTTTTAGTTTCTCACTCATTTATAAAAATAAATATTAATTTTTGTTAATATTATATAAACTATGAAATACAATAGAAAAAAAATTACATAATTGGATATTATTATATAATAGATTTTATGGGAATTTCGATTAAAAAACCATTTTTTGAAATAGTATTAAAATAATAAGTATATTTATATATTATTGTATAAGAAATGAGAATTTAATAATAAAGTACTTTGAAGTCATATATTCTGGCAATGATAATAATTCAAATAGTATAAATATAAATATTTAGAAGTTTCTTTTTACTTGGAATCTTAAAAATAGTATTTATAATTTATTAATAGTCTAATCTATATTAATGTATTGAATTTAAATTGCAATTTATATAGTTAACTAAAATGATGTGTTTTTTTAAATTAAAGTGTTTAAAGTAATCAATTTTTTGTTTATTAATAGATAAAATTATCATTCAAATTATTGTGATATAAAAAATAAATATAATCAATAAGATAGTAATAGATGAATACTGGATTAATAATTTTAAAATATAATTAAAGTGACCCATATACTTTACTAGCATTTTAAAGTTATTGAAACCCTAAATATAAATAAATTTGTTGTATAATCAATTTAACACGAATTTAAATAATTTAAAATTAAAAAAAATAATTTTTTTTAAAATAATTATAAAAGTTAGATAAATTTATTTACAGTATTAATTAATATTAAATAAAAACTTTATGATACAAAATTGTTCTAATAAGTTTTTAATTTAAGTAACTAAAATATATTTATTGGAACAAAAGATATTTTACATTTCAATATAATTATTTATAACATTTAAGTCTAACAAATGTATTAAGTTATAATTTTATCATTAAAATTAAATTAATCTACTTGCAAAATTTAATAGTTCTATCAAAAAAATAAAAAAATAATCACATAATTTAAAAATTTTTAAATTATTAAAACTAGTTCACTATTAAAAAGTTTAAATAATAATTTTAATCTTAGTTTAGTAATAGCAATATCTATAAATAATACACAATATATATATTGAGTAATAAATTATATTTTTCTCAAAAATGATTTATTTACAAACTATTTTTTTTTAAATAAATAAAATATTTAATGTTTTTTTTGAGATTATTATAAATATTCTTATTTTTAATGGTGTTTATAAATTTAGAATATTCACTTAATAAATAATTATTATTCATGTATAATCATTAAATTATTTTCTATGTTACAAATTCTTATATTTGCTTTAGTTCCTTTTACCTGATAGTACCTATTTAGTAATCTAAAATTTACAAGGTTTCTAATCAAATTTTTGTTATTCTTGCTTTACTTTTTTTAACAATTTTAAATACAGCTTAATGTATTTTCTATTTATTAAAAAAATTTTATTGGGGATTGGTAGATATAGGGGATTTTATAAAAATAAATTTAAAATATTCAAAATATATAAAAAACAGTTTAAATAAAATTTATTTACATTATCTATTAAAAGTGTTGATTGTTTTAAATATATATATTTTTAGTTGAAATTATATTTTTGTAGATTTAAAAATAAAATATTACTTAGATGTATTACTATCAACAAGCTTAACATTTTAATTTAATTAAATTTTATGTACTTATAACTAAATATTTATTAAAACATAAAACTTAGTGAATCAATATCATAAAGCTAGAAATGAGTGGTAAATCGATAATTTTAAAGTCTAATTTATATTATCAGAATATAATTTGCTTTTGGCATTTAATAATAATCTACATTCACAATAAACTTTTTGGTTCTAAAAGTATTATAAAAATAGATTTAAGATATTCAAAAAATATATAAAAAAGTTTAAATAAAATTTATTTACATTTTCTATTAAAATTTTTCATTATTTTTAAAAATATTTATTTTTATTTGATATTATATTTTTAAATATTTAAAAATAAAATATTATTTAGATGTATTACTATCAACAAGCTTAATATTTTAATTAAATTAAATTTTATGTACTTATAACTAAATATTTATTAAAACAAAAGTATCAAAAATAATTTAAAGTATTATAAATATATAAACAATAGCTTAAATAAACTAGAATACTTATATTATCTAATAAAATAAAACTTAATTATTTAAAATGTATTATTAGTAGTAGTTTTATTTAAATGCATTCAAAAAATAAAATGTTACTTATTGAATTTACTATTAGATTTAGAGCTACCAAAATAAGTAAGCTTAACATTTTAATTTAATTTAATTTTATGTACTAAAAATCTAAATATTTAGATTAGATAAATTTATTTACTTATATATAATATGTTAGTTCTATAAAAAATAAGAATATTAATGACCAATTATCTTTAAATGCAGGCAATCTCAAAATGAATACCATTAATATATTAAAATATAATTTGCTTAATAAATTACGTATTTATATACTCTTATTCTTTGAGATCTTTATGACATTTTAAACATCGTAAATAGTAAAATATTTATTTTATTTTAAAGTTTAAAAATTTTCCCCCCTTATATAATTTGAACTTGAATAGCATTTTAGTTTAAGCTAAATGTTAAGTTATAATTTGAATTCATAAATAAAATATTTATATTTAATACTATCTTAAACATAATATTCTTTTATACTTGAAAGGCTATTCAGTTGTTAAATATTAATTAATTAGATAATAATTTAAAATTATTTTGAATATATCTTACATGATACCTTAGTTTTTTTAAATTAATATTTATTTTTAGAAATTTGAAAGGGTTTAGTGGAAATAAAAAAATTAAAAAATAAAATTTGTTCGTACCCCCCCCCCCCTTAATTCATTCATGGATTTTTACATTTACTTTATAAATAAAATTAGTGGTTTTTAAGTATTTTTAACAAAATGAAAAATATCTTTTTGATTACTAATTAATGATATGGTGTTCATAACAATTAAACTTACTTTAAATTAAATAAATTGGATAAAATTAAATGGTTTTGAATTATTGATTTAAGTTTGTATTTTAATCTATCAAACATTAATAATTTTATTATGATTTATATAATTTCTATTTTTATGAATCCAGTAAATATGTAATTAAGATATTAATTTAAGCACATCTAATTTTATAAAGTTAAATGTGTATAAAAATAATCATTATCTCACAGTAACACTTTTTATAAATATTTAAAATCAATTTAA